GACTTTGACTCGATGTTCGGCATCTCCAAGATATTGCCATATCAGTGTCCGCTCTTCGTATTCCCCATGTGCGCCTTCACCGAGACGCTGAAGAAGACGGTGCATCTGGAGTACCCGATTCTAATTAATGGTGTAAGCACATTGCGTAATTGCCATTGGCTAGCCCTCACGTATCCACCACATAGACCCTCACCGAAGTTGATTTACATCGCATTCCAAACATGGGCTTCGCGAAGGTTGGCATGCGCGCAAAAGTGAACATCATGTTCCCTGCCATGTATCGGCCGAGCATGTCGTCCGCGATCCCCAAGCGGCTCCTCGTCATGTTCTACGAGGACGTGATGTTACCGAGCCTACGTGACATCCACTTCGCCCACCTCGGTCACTGGCCGCCATCTTATCAGGCCGTCGAGGACAGCAGTCGCGGCGTGAACGGGCAGTGGCACTTCGGAACTCAGGAGATCCCTGCCAACGTCCTCGATCTGCTGCATACCCGGATGGACGCACACATGATCGACATCCCCGAGTTCGCTGACGCCTTCTTCTACCACGAGCTCCGCGGAGCGAAGGGAGGAAGTCACCACAACCCGCATGACGATGTCGACGCGAACCTTGCCCTACAGGAGACATTCCAGCACATCGACTTCACCGACATCAGTGACGCCGATCTGGAGCACAGATGGTTCGTGGACGTCGCGCTCGAGATACATCATCCCGGGCACGTCGTTCACTGGCGTGCCGATCAGCACATGCCCATCATGAGGCATGTCATGCCCAGTGCTACTCCGGCGCGAGTGACTGCATGCGCGAATGGCGGGAACTTCGAGTACGACGCATGCATGCAGCTGAGCGACGTCGCGGGATTCCGCGTCGCTACACCGACCGCGGGACGAGACGACCAGGTGAAGTACATTAACGTGTACAGCACGGAGAAGTCTGTTCACTACCAGCTTCATCCAGGCCAATTCCTCAGAGCCGAGCCGAAGCAGCTCATGCCGGGCGAGGTGAACCACCTTCTCCAAAGGTTGAACAAGTGGACGGAGGCATTTCTCGCGTGCATGGGGGACGACGACGACCCGCCGCAAGAAGCATCGGCCCGCCTCGAAGTTCGGGTCTCGGCGAGGCAATGCGGCGTCGCACTCCGCAACGTCCCGTACCTTCTACTCAGTAATTCGTGCATCAGCGTGCCAGGGGACATTTGGTGGTAAGTTGCACCGTCACCTCACCTCAGTAATGCATTAACCCCGCGACAGGAGTTTCAAATACTGGCGTGTATTTGCCTGTTACCTAGCCATCAAAAACATGACCAAATCGCCCGCCTCCCAGCGCGTCACTCGCGCCAGTCTCCAATTCGGCGCGATGCTGACTCATATTCTCAACGGCACTCTTTACCGGAACAACGATTCCCCGCCCTGGCCAACGATGGAGGCGATGACCGCAGCGTATCGCAGAGATGATTGGGATGAAGACGACGAATACATGGATGACGACGAACTGGACGGTGATGGCATGGAGCCAATGGGCACGTCCCAAGGCATGTTCTTCCTCGCGACGATCACCGTGGTCAACGGACACTACACCTGCCACGATCGCCGGCTCATCAATCCAAACAATCTGTGCGCTCGGTATGTGGCACCTAACATGATCGAGCTCGCGGCTCGATTTGGGATCCACGGAATCACGGTTGTTCGCGGGAAGCCTCACGCTACCCGCCGCAACAACCGTCAGCCCCTCACGGGTTCGGCGCAGATGGTGCGCACCGCTCCCTTGCCTGTGCGACACCTCGGCCTCGCCGGGCAGGGCGTTCAGCTCGAAGATCAAGGCGAACGACGACGGGCGCTCGAGTTTGACGACGAAGGGGACCTCTCCGTCGAACAGCGAGTCACCCGTCTGTGGGAGCAGTTCAAGTACGACCTCATCGACAAGGCACCCGGCCCGCGAGACAAGCGTCAGCCGTCCTATATGATCGTCTCGCAAGAGGAGAGAGTCAACGCTCCCGACGCCCTTTTCCAATCACCCGAGCTCCCCTTTTCCCAAGTACGCGTCATCAAGGTGGAGCGGGATCACTGGCGAACGAAGATGTTCGACCGCTACTTCCCGCTGCCAAACGTACCCATCAATCACGCCTTGCAGAACTTCACGAACTGCACGTACTGGAAGCTGTGGGGCGGCCTTGTCGGGGGCAGAACAACCCCGGTCAATGTGAACTTGATCAGGGGGGCTGTGTTCCGCCTCTACGACGAGCTCCTCTGGCTGCCGTACACCGAGTCCGATCGCATTTGGACGACAAAAACGACGACCGCGATGAGGGCCAACCGAATCCCGTGCGACAGCGACGCTCCGGCTCCCTTATTGGCCATCAATCCGCGGGTCTGGAGGCGCGACATGCTCGTGCGCCTGCGGGAGGTACAGGCGGGAGAAGAAGACGAGATGCAGATCGAGCAGCCCGCGGGAGTTCGACAGTTCCCGGGTGGGCCCGACTTTCAGGAGGAGGAAGAGGACGAGGAGGACGTGCCTAGATAGTCTGATATGAGTGATGTATTGCACGTTCGAATGACATTTGTGGACGAGATGTGAGGAAACGGATTTAAATTGTATCACAGCACAACAAGTGAGCGAGCCCTGTTCTGTGAGTCTTCGACGCACAGCGCGCACGGGGCCAGTGAGCTTCGCCATCGCACTGCAAGGCGCGGCCTTGTGCGTCCGCGACGCACAGAGGGCTGTGGACGGCTGAGGTCACGTGCGGCCATGCCCCGAGTGGCCCTTGTGCGTCCTCGACGCACAGCGCGCGCGGGGCAGAATTGGCCTAACACGTGGCGCGCTGAAGGCCCGGCGCGCCTTGTGCGTCCGCGACGCACAGGGGCGCGCAGGCGGGAGCGACGGGCCGTCCGGCCCAGGTCGCGAACGCCGCCCCCGCGCTGCTGTGCGTCGCGGACGCACAGGTGCCCGCGCCCCTGCCGCCACGTGTTAGGCCAATTCTGCCCCGCGCGCGCTGTGCGTCGAGGACGCACAAAGGCCCTACCATTCATAGTAATTGCCCGCCCTTAATAAACTGTTTCCGCGAGTGCCGTCTCGCCACCGCGAATCCCGCCGCGTTTGGGCAAGCACGGCGTTGATCAATTCACCCGCCATCAATCGATAACCATCCCCATCACTCGAGTGGCCGAGCTGCATGCTACATAAAGACCAGCGCACGCAGTCCATCTCCTTATTCTCTCCTCTTTCCTGCTCTCATCGGCTTCCCTCTCCCACCGTCCCTACCGCCACTCCCGCTCCGCTCGACCCGACTCACCATGCCCGGCTGGTCAATCACCCACGCCCTCTTCGACCTGATGGTCACGTGCCCGGAAGTCGTCACCTCCGGCTGCTGGCAGCAGCTCACGGAGCTCGCCGATCTCCCCTGGTCGGACGACCACGTCGAGAAGGGCTGGACCATCCACGACGGTGCCCCGCTCACCAAGGTCACGGCGTTCGTCGCCAAGTACGCCGCCCTCCCGAACGAATCGACAAAGCAAAAGTTCCTCAAGGTCAAAAAGGACAACGACACCGAGGGCCGCGACCTCGTCCTGAGATGGATCAATGCTCGGATTAGTAAGTGGCGGGTGAAGGAGCAGGTCGTTGAGACGTTGGAGGGCGAGGAGAGCAGCGCGTACGATGTGATGCGCGAGTTCAAGGCGACGTCGGTGCGTGGGCCTTGCTCGCTGTCGTTAACACCTCTGACGCCGTTGCAGCTGCCCGGCGTCACTGCTTCCCAGCTCAACGTGCATTATCCGCGGATTGCCCTCGCTCTGTTCGGCGAGCAGGCGACCGTCAACGGGATGGGGAAGAAGTGCGTCCCGTGGGCCCTCAGCGCGGTCAGCCGCATCGTCGCCTCCACCTGGCACGGCGAGAGCGTCCGGATCGGACGTGAACTGACCGCGCTCGAGAAGGAGGCGGTCGAGCTGGACCAAAAGTGGGAGGGTGAGTAAGCCGCCTTCTTTCCCGGCTGGATTGCTCACGTCCGTGCAGAGATCGTGGCCAGCCCGTCCATCGCGAAGCTCAAGGCGTACGTCAAGCGCATGCGGAACAAGATCGCCATCGCCCGCAAGTACGACAACGAGGTGACCTGCGAGTTGTACAAGAAGCAGCTCGACCGCATCGAGCTGCTCAAAGATCAGGTCGAGAACGTGAGGGAGGACGTGGCGGGTACGTTTCAATGCATGCTCCAAACGGTGACACTGCTGACTACTGTCGTCAGGCCTGCCGAGAGCGGTGTCGCAGGCGCTCCGGCTGCTCGCGTCCGAGACGGACCTCGCCGCGTTGACCGCGGAAATCGACGTGTTGGTCGGGGACGGTGAGGAAGATCCTCTCGACCTCCTCATCCCCGATGACGCCATGAAGGGGTTCGACTGGGGGACCGGCGTCGAGGAGTACGAGGCGTTCAGCATGGACCAGCTCTGGGACTTGCTGGGCGTCTCGGCGACGAAGGCGATCCCTTTCTTCAATGACAAGGAGGATCCGATCGGCCTCACCGATCCCTGGACCGACGAGGGCATCAAGGCTCTCAACGCTCCCTCCGCCGTCCCGCTGGCGCCCCGCTGGCATCAACTCATCGGCATCATCAAGATGCTCGACAACTACCTCGGTGGCAAGCCCACCCTCCTCATGGACGGCGTCGGCGTCGGCAAGACGATGCAAGTCATCGGCACGGTATGTTTCCTCGCGTTCTACCGCGAGTACTACGAGAAGCACGGCCATTTCCCGGGCAAATACGGTGCGTCCTACTCACCCCCACCTCTGCAGCGCGCTAACACTTCTCCCAGCGAAAACAAAGTTTCACAACACCAAGGACGGCAACGTCCCCGACGCGCCCACCATCCTCATCATCCCCGTCGCCCTCGAGACGCAAGTCACCGTCGAGTTCCATCGCTACGTCCGCGCGAAGACCTTCGACTTCGCGCCGTACACCGCCGCCGTGCGCAAGAGCGCGAAATCGTTCTGGGAAACGGTCGACAAGTTTGTCCAGCCGAAGACCCGCCAGTTCGTGCTCGCCACCGCCCCGGTACGTCCTGCCTGCGCTCGCTCGCATATCTACTAACCTCGTCGTTTCAGTCCGTCGACAAGGACGGCATCGAGATGTTCCGGAAGGACGAGAGCAAGCCCTGGGGCGCGGGCAACATGATCAAGCGGCCCGAGGGCCAGCACGAGCCGCGCATTGGGCGCACGATCTACAGCAGGGACTGGGGCATGATGATCGTCGACGAGGTGCACTCGATGCGCCGCCTCAACAAGCTCTACACGGCCGTGCGCTCGCTGCGCAACCAGACGGCGGGGATGATCGGGATGACGGCGACCCCGACGATCACGAACCCGATGGTATGTACGCCCGCTTTCCCGCCCTTTCGCATTGCTGACCGATTCGTCAGGACCTCGCCCAAATCGGGCGGCTGATGGGCGTCCGTGGGTTCAACGACGACAACACTTCCGCCATCGAGGGAAGTCGGAAGGCGCTCCAGCGCGCTGCAGCCCGCGATCGCAAGGCTCGGCGCAACAGCAAGAAGGCGCAGGAGCAAGTCCACCGCTCCGCCCCCAAGGACTCCGCCAAGGCCGTCGAGTCCGACCTCGTCGTCGAGACCGTCAACGTGATGGCCGACTTCCGGCAGCGGTGGACCAGCATGGTCATCCGGCGGACCGTCCAGTCCCGCGACTGGGAGGGCAACGAGATCAGCGGCCTCCCTCCGGTGACCGAGATCAACATCATGTTGCGGCTGGCGGAGTACGAGTCCGAGGTCCTCAACGAGATCGCCGGCAACTTGGGCGACGCGATTGGTCGCAGCCAGGCGTCGGCAACGGACAAGGTAAGTCAAGCATTTCGGATTTGTGCCGGCCGTTTGTGCGTCCTCGACGCACAGCGCGCCGGGCTAACCTGGATCTCGCCCAGCCCGCGCAGCGTAGGGCCACGGCCTGTGAGTCCGCGACGCACAGCGGGCATGCAGCCTCGCCACCGCGCTGTGAGTCGCGGACGCACAGCGGGCACGGAGCCCCCGCACCCCGCTGTGAGTCGCGGACGCACAGTGGGCACGGAGCCCCGCACCGCGCTGTGAGTCGCGGACGCACAGCGGCCGCAGCCCTAGCCCGTGCTGTGAGTCGCGGACGCACAACCGGACGCAGCTGCCCGCGCGCCTACCCCAGAGCGAAATGCCGGGTCGCGTGTACGCGCTGTGAGTCGCGGACGCACACTGGCTCGTGGGCCTCTCGTTGCGGGGGAATCTGCCTTCTGCGCGGCGTTGTGCGTCGAGGACGCACAGATCGATGGTTGCTTTTTCGTTTTGCTGACTCATTTTTTAGTCCTTCTACATCGACTTGCGGCGCGCGATGTTCCATCTCTCCCAGTCGTCGAAGTCCGACTTCCCCGTCCCCGGCTCTCGCGATGAGTTCGAAGCGCGCCCGACCGCCAAGCTGCAGGCGCTCTTCGAGATCATCCAGCACCACCTCGGCACCGCGGGCGCCCCGCCCTTGGCCAACAAGAAGGAGTTCCGGGGCGTCCCCCTCAGGAACCTCCCCCCCTTCCCCGACGCCAACGTCCTCGAGCCGGACAGCAACTACCAGGAACACCTGGAAGAGGCCGCTCCTGCGGGCGACGGGGCCGGCGGCGACGCGGACGCTGCGCGCGACGAGAACGCCGAGGCTGCGAAGACCGCCGACGACGAGAAGACTGCCGAGGTCGAGAAGACCGTCGAGGTCGAGAAGACCGTCGAGGGCGAGAAGACCGTCGAGGGCGAGAAGACCGGCGGGGCGAGAAGACCGGCGGGGGCGAGCAAGATCCCGACGCGGAGGGCGAGCAAGATCCCGACGCGGCAGAAGCAGGCGGGCGGCGAGAAGAACGATGGGGCCAACGCCACGGACGTTGACAAGATCATCGTCTTCTCGTACTTCCCCTCGAACAACGAGGTTCTCAAATCGTAAGTCCTCCTTCGCCTTCTCCGCAGTATTACTCACGTTCTTGTAGTTGTTCGACGCCTACGGCATCAAGGTCCTGTTCCTCAACGGCAAGCTCTCGGCCGCCAACCGCGCGAAGGTCGTCGAAGAGTTCAGGAAGTCCGGTGTCGACGGGCCCCGCGTGCTCGTCATGTCGTCGGTCGGCGCGACTGGCCTCAACCTGACGTGGGCCAACATCATGATCTTCATCGTGAGTATCCCCTTATCTCCTTGTCGTCTGCTCACACCTTCTAGGACACTACGTGGTCCGCGCAGGAGGACGAGCAGGCGAAGGGGCGCATCGTGCGCATGGGCCAGCTCAAGGCCTGCTACGTTACTACCTGGTTCTGCTCGGGAGTACTGACGTCTTCCTGCACAACCTCGCCTACGCCAAGCTGCTCATGCACGAGGCATTCGTCGAGTCCGATTTGCCCTGCGTAAGTCGTCCTTTTCTCATCTTGTCTTATCTGACCTTCATGCCTCCACAGAGCGAGCGCTCTCGGGCCTCATCGGCAACGTCGTCGCGGACCTCATCGACGATGAGGCCGAGGAGGTCGACGAGGAGGACGAGGAGGAGTTCGAGGACGAGCACCCCCAGGAGGAGGAGCCCACCCCCAAGGCCAGCAAGTCGAAGGGCAAGGGCAAGGCCGACAGGAAGGGCAAGGGCAAGGCCGCGCCGAAGTCTGCCGCCATCGTCGAGTCCGAGGACGACGACATCGTGGAGGTCTCCGCCCCGAAGAAGTCGGGCAAGAAGACTGCCACGACGACCGCGTCCGGGGCTGCGTCGACTTCGGCGGCCTCCACGTCCCAAGTCGCCCCGCCGAAGATGACGAAGAAGGCGCAGAAAGCCGCCGCCGCCGCCGCGAAGAAGGCCGAGAAGGAGAAGGAGAAGGCCGACAAGGCGGCCGAGAAGGAGAAGGAGGCGGCGAGGAAGGCTAACCTCAACAGCTGCGCCGCCGGCAGCGCGAGGGCTATCAAGGCCGCCGAGGTGAAGGCGAAGAACGCTGCCAAGGCTTCCGCGCAGGCTGCCGCAGAGGCTCTCGAGGACGAGGTCGAGAAGATGGCCGCGATGGCCGCAACGCCGACGCCACCGTCGTCCCGCTCGCCGTCTCCGTCGACTGGCTCCGCTGCCGGCCCCGCCCCCCGCCCCCCTCACACTCCCACTCCGCCGCCGCCATCGTCCTCCCGGTTTGTGTTCCCGCCCCTCCCGTCCCCTGCTCGCGTCGTCCCCCCGCCCTCGCCGTTCTCGTTCCTCCCGCCGTCCTCGCCGCAGCACCACCACCCGCACTCTCCCGCCGGCCCATCGTCTCCATGGCGCCAAACCTCTACCGTCCCCCCTCGCTCGGCTGCAAACCCGCCCTCCCTCGACGCTGTTGCTCAGCAGTTGCGTGAGGCGTCCCTCCACCCCGCCCCGCAGCAGGCCGCCGCCCCCGTCGTCGACAACGAGGACGCCATGGACGTGGACAACGCGCCCCTCCCGGGTGCTGGCTTCACGCAATCCAGCCCTCTCAGTAAGTCCTTACCCGCTTCAAACACCTTGTGCTGACTTCCTTCTAGGCACCCCCGCCGCCAGCCCCTCTGCAGGCTTCATGCAGTTCGACCGAGGACGAGCAGGACGACGAGGACGAGGGCGAGGGCGCGTCTGCCGCTGGATCGTCGTCTGCGGCTGGACCGTCGAACCCGCGCAAGCGCAAGAACTCGTCCGCGCTGGATGAGCCCCCTCGTCGGACGATGCGCAAGGCCCCGATGGTCGAGCGCTTCACTTTCGCCAAGGTCAGCGGCGGAAAGGCAACCGGCAAGCCGACGACTTCTGCGCGCAACGCGAAGAGCGGCTCGAAGGGCAAGAAGGGTGGCAAAAAGTGAGGCCTTCGTCGTGTCGCGGACTCGTATATACTGTATCATCTCTCGCATCCTCATCTGTACACGTCGGACTTTGTTTTCTTTTGTTCTTGTACTACTCGTTACGCGGAATGCAATGCTCATCGTACATCAGTGTGACTTTGAATGGGTACATTGGAAAGATAAGCAGTTGTAAGTAACGACGGAGAGATAAGCAATTATAAGTAACTACGGAAAGATAAGCAATTGTAAGTAGCCACTGTTACAACGGGCAGAATCGCAGCTCTAAGCAACCAGTCACTACCCCAGCTCGGGTGAACCGGCCAGGCTGGACGGTGAATGGGTACGGTTCGTCGAATGAAAGGCCGGGCGTGCGATGTGTGCGTCCGCGACGCACAGCGCGCACGGGCAGCAACGGGCGTGCGGCACGGTGTTGTGCGTCCGCGACGCACAGCGGGCACACGCCGGACGAGGCACGTGAGGCGCGCGCATGGCCTGCGGTCCGGCGGTGCACGTGCACGGGTGCAGCTCCGCTCGCGCCGGCCGTCGCGCGGGCGTTGTGCGTCCGCGACGCACACCTGCCCGCGCGACGCCCAAGGCTCTCGGCTCCGCAGCAACCCGCGCACTTGCACCGCCGGACCGCAGGCCATGCACGGACCTCACGTGCCTCGCCCGTCGTGCGCCTGCTGTGCGTCGCGGACGCACAACGCCGCGCCGCACGCCCGCTGCTGCCCGTGCGTGCTGTGCGTCGCGGACGCACACATCGCATGCCCGGCCTTTCATTCGACGAACCGTACCCATTCACCGTCCAGCCTGGCCGGTTCACCCCACTCTCCAATCCACCCACACCAGTCCATCGCCCTGCCCGCCCGCTCTGGGAAATCTTGGGCGTCTATAGGGTTAAGCCGGCGCTTACTAGGGTTAAGCCGGCGCCAAGGCACCCTGGGTCGTCTCAATTGTCCCCATAACCAAATTGGCTAACGGTCGGACCAGTCTGGGCCTAGTCACGTGATGGTATCACGTGTGGCCTAGAGCGAGTCACGTTTAATCACGTGACACGTCAGGTGCCTTCGGTCACCCGGGCTCCGCCGTGGTCACGTGCAGCCAGTGAAGCCTCCGGGCGCTCCCGCTGTCCGGACCACTCCGGAACAGGATCACATGGCGCTGGTATAAGCGCTGATCTTGGATTCTAGATTACTGACGTCACTGCGTTCTAGATCGGTTCCAGCCGGGATCCGGCTCGGTCTAGAAAAGAAGTCCATCACGGACATCGCAGCATTTGCAAGATAATATGTGTCACCCTGCCCAAATCGGGCTTGTTGTGGTACTGTACAGGTAAACGTGACTAAACAATACCAAAGGGACCTGATGAGGCATATAAGCCGAAAGGGTCGCGCTGTGGATCCCCACTGCGCTCTTGTCCCTTGGCCTCTACCGCCACCTCCTCAGTCTAACGCCGCTTCGCGGCGTGTTCAGGCGATTAAACCACCTAACCTAACCTAAGCACGCGCGGGCGACCGAGAGAGGTAGGACGGGTAGGGGGAGACAGGGAGGTAGAGGTTACTCACCTCCGAATGCTAACGGCCTTGCCTGCCGTTCACCTCCTCGTTTCCCTCTCCATGCGGCTACCGGCGACTCCTTCGACGCGCAGCGCACTTGTTCGCGCCGCACGTTCGCCTGGACGAGCGCGTTGCTCGTCGTCGTGGGCCGTCGGACTTGCCGTGGCTGGCGCGCTTTGCAGGCCGGCTGTACCGCGAGGTTCTTCGCCCGACATGTCTTGTCTATGCCGGAGGCCGTCGGGCGTGCGTTAGAGGTGAGATGAGAGGCGGTGGAGGGTCGGCGAGGGTGGTGGAGGACGAGGAGAGTGGGAGGAGAGGGAGAGTGGCGAGGCGCGAAGTGTTGAGCGCCCGCCTCGGGACTTGCCGATTCGGGCGATCGACGCTGCTAGCGCGTCGTTCTTCCTTCCTTTCTCACCATCGCTTCCCTCTCCATCGTCGAACGCTCAGCTTTGCTCACCGCCGTCGCCCACGCCGACGTCGTCTCTGTCCGGAAAAGGTAATCTTCGTCCCAGGTAAGTGTTTTTTTTATACGTTTTCGCGCGAGTGTGCCTAACTCGGACCTTACAGATGGCTCGCACCGCCGAGCCCGCCGGCTCCGACTCGGACTCGGACATCCCCCGCCCGCCCAGCCAGCGGTCTGATGGGTGGAAAATGGTGAAGGTGGACAAGAGCAGCACCGCCGACGAGCGCAGCGACAAGAGCCGCACCACCGTATTGGGCAGCCAGAAGAGCAGTAGCAGTGACGCCAGCAGCAGTAGCAGCGACGACAGCAGCAGCAGCAGCAGCAGTAGTAGCGACGAGGATACGTACACGAAGACGAAGGTCGACGCCGGCATCAGCGAGCCCGGGGACGGCGGAAGTCCAGCCCACGACGAGGAAGACGACGAGATGGTACCGGCGCAGCGAACGCCGCCAGGACCTCGCCGTCTGTTCCCGGGCGTCCAGCGACGGATGGTAAGTCTGACTGGGCGTAAACGTGGCACATACTAACACATACATACCTCCAGAAGGGCCGGTTCGTCGCAGTGAAGACTGCGAAGACCGACGCCGCGAAGGACAAGGCTGCCGCATCCGTGAATACGGATGAGGGTCGGGCCTCGAAGGCTGCGAAACCGGATGCGGCGAACGCTGCGACGATCGACGCGGCAAACGCGGCGGTGCCCAGTGACGCAGCGAACGCAGACGGGGCTGACTCGGCGATGGCTGACGCGGCGGACGTGGCGACGGCTGACGCGGCGGATGCTGCGACAGCTGACGCGGCGGCAGCAGTGCCGACCAGCGACGCGGCGGAGGCGGACGCGGAGGCAGCGGAAGCGGAAGCGGACGCGGACGCGGCGAAGGCGGACGCGGACGCGGACGGGGCGAAGGCGGACGCGGACGCGGACGCTGCGAAGGCGGCGAAGGTGGCGAAGGCGGCGAAAGCGGACGCGGCGAAGGCAGCGAAGGCGGCGAAGGCGGACGCGGCGAAGGCAGCGAAGGCGGACGCGGCGAAGGCAGCGAAGGTGGACGCAGCGAAGGCTAAGGCAGCGAAGGCTGTCGCAGCAGAGGCCGTCGCTGCGAAGGCCGTCGCTGCGAAGGCTGAGGCAGCAAAGGCCGCGGCTGCGAAGCCTGCCGTGTCCAAGGCTGCGAAAGCCGAAGCGGCGTCAGCCAAGGCTGCGAAAGCCGTGGCAGCGAAGGCCGCGAAGGCTCAGGCTGCGGAGGAGGAGAGAGCCGAGGCGGTCATCGCGCTGAAGGCTTCGAGAGACGCGAGGACTGCGAAGGCCAATGCCACAAGGGCTTCCAACGAGGCCGCGAAGGAGGAAGCCGAAGCTGCGACTGCGGCGAAAAAACGTAAGACTGCGCAGGCTGCGAAAGCGGCGGCGTCTGCTGAGGCCCTGAGGCTCGCTCGACTCGTAGACCCAGTGCTAATACGAATCCCGAAACTGCGATTGTCGAAGAAGCGAGGCCGCGTGGTAAGTGACTGGTGAGTATATCTTGTGCCGAACTAACATCAATTCAAGGACGAGGATAGTGAAGACGAGGGCGAGCAAGACTACCAACAGGACGACAGTGTCGGGGTTGTCGACCTGGATGCAGACGATGCGATGCCTCGTAGGCAGACTCGGTTCGTAAGTACTGACAGTTCCTTTCGGTGAAATTAGCTGACAATTGACATGCAGAATGCACACACCGAAGCTGCAGCTGCTGCGCACAAGGTCCATATTGCGAAGGCTGCGGAGGAGCATGAGAATGCACGTACGAAGCTGGAGAAGCAAATTCGTGACAAGGGGAAGTTGACGAGGTCCTATGCGGACAAGCTGAACGCGACGCCTGGGAAGGTGTTCTACTGGTCTGAGAGGAGTAAGGATACGAAGTGCTTCAACCAGGGATGCACGATTGGTATGTGTGTTAACCCTTCCATGCTGAGTAGCCTGACTGACATTGTATGTCCAGGGGACAAGCTTCTGAAGGCTGGCGAGCTCGTCTGCGAGCGAGTATTAGCAGGTCATCATGTCAAAGTGAGTGTTCATTATCTTTTGTATTGTTTCTTTCTCCTGAGTTGTATGCTCAGGGCAAGGGAACAAACTCACGTACTGTGCATACGCACTGGCCGTGTGTCTCGGAAGGCGCTCGTAAGCGCTTCCAGATGGATGGCATGCACCGTGGACTTGCGGTAAAGAAGGTAGATCCTGGGATGCTTATCATCCCCAAGGCCATCATGGGTGCTGATGTCGCGATGATCAAGAGAGATGTCGCGGCTTCGCTGGGCAGGCAGGGCGAGGTGAAGGAGATATCGGAGGAGGTTAAGCGGCAGAACCGGACAGCAAAGCGTATCCGGCGTGATGCGTACAAGGCTGAGGAGAGGGCTGAGAAGGCATTGAACAAGGCTGATAACTTGTTCCAGCGCTACAGGGAGAAGATAGCTGGGCCTTCAACCAGCGCTGGACAACCTCCTTCCAAGCGCCAGCGCTTGGAAGAGGAGCTCTCATCTGAGCTTAGTGAGCCAGATCAGTAATTGGGTGTATTATTGTGACCATATCTCCACTAAAAAAAGAAAAAAAAACTCGCACTTACAATCATTTAATCCTACCTTCCCCTTGTATATACTTGCAGTTGTTACAGACCATCCTAATAAGCATACAATATTGTTCATGTACTGCCATTTGCTCTGTGCATAATAGCATGACACTGGCATACTTGCTTATCATCCAAGCTAGATGAAAGATAGCTCAAAAGACAAAAGACAGAATGCTAAGTGTAGAGAGAATCTTATGACTTATACAGATCCCCAGGAATGCCAACAGGTACAGCTTTGTTGATTGTTTCATATATGTTCAAAGGAAAATACTTGCAAGCAAAGATGGCTTTGCTGAGCAGGAATAAGCCTTGTGTATGACTCTACAAATATTTCCAAGTATAGGCAGATTATATGCTATGTTCACAATACCTACATTGGCAGTTGGCACAGCTCAGTAATTTGCTCAGTGTGTGTTCATTTGAAACTCCTCATATTCAAATATAACCCTACTGGGTGGTCTTATAGCTTGCAAGCAAGTGGTGTGGTGGTCTGCAGTATCAATAGAATATTGTGGCATGTTCATATGACCTACATTGTCCGTAGGTACAGCTCTGTGATTTGTTTGGTATTTGTTCAGTGGAGTGTGCTCATATTCAGATGTGGCCTTACTGGGCACAGATGACTGGTGCATGTGAGTTGGACAATATTCCCTGATACAGACTCCCTATTCTACCATCTTCATACCAGCACAATTATGAGCCATTGTCGCTCTGTGGGCTGCCATTGATTCTGTCAGCGAGAATGACTCAGATTGTGTGTGGCTCTACTGAGGGGTCATATCATGTGCATGTGAGTTGTGGTGTGGGCCCTAGTAGTGATGGAGCATTCTGGCACCTTCATATTACTTGGATTATTGCTCAGTGTAGCTCTGTGATTTGTTTGATAGTTGTTCAGCCAAAACTGCTCATATTGAAATGTGGCTTTGCTGAGCGCATGTAGGCATTCTGTTTGACTTGGGGAGCACTCTTCGATAGCGCCAGAATATTGTGCCATATTTGGACTCACTGTAACACTGTTGGTTGTCTCTCTGTGCCCTGCTGGTTATTCTGTCAGCGAGAATGACTCAGATTGTGTGTGGCTCTACTGAGGGGTCATATCATGTGCATGTGAGTTGTGGTGTGGGCCCTAGTAGTGATGGAGCATTCTGGCACCTTCATATTACTTGGATTATTGCTCAGTGTAGCTCTGTGATTTGTTTGATAGTTGTTCAGCCAAAACTGCTCATATTGAAATGTGGCTTTGCTGAGCGCATGTAGGCATTCTGTTTGACTTGGGGAGCACTCTTCGATAGCGCCAGAATATTGTGCCATATTTGGACTCACTGTAACACTGTTGGTTGTCTCTCTGTGCCTTGCTGGTTATTCTGTCAGCAAGAATGACTCAGATGGAGTGTGGCTCTACTGAGCCATCATATGGTGTGCGGGTGAGTTGTAGTATCATCCCTAGTACTGATGGACCATTCTGGCATGCTCAGACCAGTAGGATTGTTGCTCAGTGCAGCTCTGGGATTTGTTTCATGATTGTTCAGTTGAAACTGCTCATGTCGAGATGCAGCTTTGTTGAGTGCATGTATGCCTTCTGTTTGACATGTGGTCCATTCCTTGATATAGATGGAATGTTGTGCCATATTTGGATTCAGTATAACACCGTTGGTTGTCCCTCTGTGCCCTCCTGAGTATTCTGTCAGCGAGAATGACTCAGATTTGGTGTGGCTCTACTGAGCCATTATGTGGCATGTAGGTGAGTTGTGGTGTGGTCCCTAGTACTGATGGACCATTCTAGCATATTCAGACCACTAAGAATGTCACTGAGTGTAGCCCTGCAATTTGTTTTGTATTTGTGCAGCCGACACTGCTCATATTGAGATGTGGCTTTGTTGAGTGCACGTATGCCTTCTGTTTGACTTGTGATCCATTTCCAGATATAGATGGGATATTTTGCTGTTTTTGGATTCAGTATAACACCATTGGTTGTCCCTCTGTGCCCTGCTGGTTATTCTGTCAGCGAGAATGACTCAGATTTGGTGTGGCTCTAATGAAGCATTGTATGGTGTGCGGGTGAGTTGTGGTGTGGTCCCTAGTACTGATGGACTATCCTGGCACGTTCAGACCACACAGGCTTTCACTGGTGACAGTGCTGTGAATTATTTGGGTGTTTGTTTTATTGAGATCACTCGTAATTGAATATCGCTCAGCTGGGCAGTCATATTGCTTCCGATTGAGTTCAGGTATAGCTCTAAGTAGTCCTGGAGTATTCTGGCATGTTCACACTGTCTGGGTTGTTGTTCAATAGAGCTGTGTGATTTGTTTGGTATTCTGTCATTCTGAATGACTAAGACTCTGCATGGCTATACTGAGTGGCAGTGTGGCTTGTCAGTGAGGTGTGTGTGATTTCCTAGTACTGATTGGCTGTCGTGGCATGTTGAGAGTGCAAAATTTGCCATTGGGCACAGCACTGTGATTTGTTTTGTATTTGTTTCCCTCAAATCACTTTCATTTAAATGTGGCACTACTGAGCGGTTAGATGGCTTGCGTTGGATGTGGGAACCCTTGCCTGAGACAGACATGCTATTATGGTGAGTTCAGACCATGTAGATTGTGAGTTGGTATAGCTCTGTGAATTGTTTGTTGTTTTGTTGTCGGGAACAACTCAGACGTTCCGCAGCTGTGCTGAGCGGTCATATGGCTTGCATATGATTTGGGGAGTAGGCCCTGGCATTGTGAGCCCATTCTTGCCTGTTGAGAAAGCCTGAGCTGTCATTGTGTGCAACTTTGTGATTTGTTTGGTGTTTGCTCAGCGGAAACAACTTGTATTTCAACGTGGATTTATGGGGGGCACGGAGGGCATGTGTCTGATGGAGAAAACATCTCCTGATATCGACTGACTATTGTGGTGCATTTAGACCACTTGAAATGTCAACAGGCACAGCTCTGGGATTGAATCGGTGGTTAGTTGGCATAATAAGACCAATAGTCGTCCGTGCTTCTGCTCAGTGCACACAGAGGCCAGATATGCTCTGGAATGTCTTTCCTAGCGTACATGGAGTGCTGCCACACATTCAGCAGACCAGGAATCGTAAAATTGCATGACTTGGGGATTTGTTCGGTGAGTGATGGTTGACGGTGCAACGGGTGGAACAGTAGCACTACTGAGCGGATGTATTGCTCTCCTTCTGGTTGCCTGCTGTTGACAAGGAATGGATAACAGGTCCCATTGCATGTGGGGACATACAGGTGGTGACGTGTGTACGTTGGCAGTGGGGCACGCCCAACATTCAAAGTTGTTTCAGCCACGAGTGAGAGTGGTCCAATATGCAGTGTGGGTCCCTGTGAGAGGTGCTGAAGAAAAGAGAAAAGAGGATGTGAGTGAGAGAACGACAGTGACGAGCGAGAATGGTCAGGATGGACGTGTTATGCACGTAGAAAGACAGTTTGAGTTGGCGGTCGGGAGTGCCCGGCAGGCACTGCCCAGCAGGGGGTCGTGGGAAAATATTTCCATATATGGTTAGATTGCCCAGCAGGGGCACCGGGCACCAGGCATAGGGGTAGGTCGATACAGGCGGACGTGCTGGTGTTTCCGGCTCGGGCGGATCACTCGACGCTGCAGCCGCAGCCGCAGCCGCAGCCTCAGCCTCCCGCTGCTTCTTGGTCGGTTTCTTCGGCGCCATACTGACCTGTGAGAAATTGAGTGAGACAAACGCTGAACAGACACAAGTAGAGTACCCACCGTATGGATGAGAGTGAGAGCGTGATGGAAAGGGGATGCGTCGCTGGCAGACACAGGTGGAGGACGCCTCATGTTTGCCACATGGACGAGCTGATCACCTGATGCAGCGGTGACTGGCAGCGTAAGAGCATGAATGTGCCCACCTAAAATACGTACTTACACAGTGTATAAAGTCAATAGTGTAGCATATAATATGCAGACGGACGTACCTAGGAACGAGGAAGGTGCATGACCCGCTGCATGCATCACAATCAGTACATTTAGGTCACCGTGCGCAATTGCGGGCGTGCACCTGTGAGAGCAGTATATGTCTTCAGCGGGACATATACTCACCATCATAGGGGACGCTCGCAAATGCGTACGGCAACAGCAATCATATGGGTCATTCACCCAGGATATAGGAGGACGCGCGCGATCGCGCACGCCCTCCTATTACCGTTGATTTTGTGCTTCAGAAGGGTGGCATTCAGTGCCATATAAACCTGCTAAATAGGAGGGCGCGCGCGATCGCGCGCGCCCTCCTATATTGTATGATTTGGACAGGTAGATGGGGTGCACGCACCTTTGGAGGGTGCGTGTTGAGTGCGCGCACCCAAATATCATCAAAAACACGCCATTATAGGAGGGCGCGTGCGATCGCGCGCGCCCTCCTAAAACAGCCCATTTGATGGGTATAAAATTGTGTTTTGAAGGGTGCGCGCACCCCTCATGCCGGTGCGCGAACACGTTCGGAGGGTGGGCGTACGTGTCGGAACACCGTCAAAATAGACGGATATAGGAGGGCGCGCGCGATCGCGCGCGCCCTCCTAAATCAGTGTATTTTGGGCCACTATAATTGGCCCGTCAGACGGCCCATATAGGAGGGCGCGCGCGGTCGCGCGCGTCCTCCTATATACGTATGTTTGCGACACATATCAGGTACCTGTGGTACGTTGATATGGCCTTTTAGGAGGACGCGCGCGACCACGCGCGCCCTCCTATATCAGTCTATTTACGACACATGTGAGGGTCGCAACACTGGTTCAGGAGGACGCGCGTGTCCTCCCACATCGTGGGTATACACTCACCTGAGATGGACCACCGGTGAAACACGCGGCTGTAGGGTGGACGTGCTCCGTCGCGCACGTCCACCCTGAAGCAGATTAATTACATACACATTGCGGTCTTGCCCATGTTTATATACACTTGTAAACTACGAGTACATTTCGACCAGCCTGCAATACCTATCTGACGTCCGCGCATCATTCGCCACGGCGGCGCTTCATACCTACGACATATCAGCACAGTCGCGTCGCCAGTACATAGCCACGCACCTGCCCTTGGGCCTCCTGCAACAGCCGGAGTGTGGGTGCGCGCACGGGCGGAGGGTGCGCGCACGGTCGAGCCGGTGCGTTTAACGGGTGACTGCGAGCGATAAGTGCACCATACGAATACAAAAAAAGGACGTGTACTCACTCCGAAGGGGCACCTCTTCTTGCGCGACCGACAAGTCACACAGCGCGGGTCGTTGGCAGTCGCCGGGACACGGCATTCCTCCATGCCCTGCTCAACGCAGAGCTGGCAGCGGTCGCTGCCGTAGTGCTGTAGTGCACGCATCGCGTCAGCTTCCGCGGAAACGTAGGACGGCACTTACCACCGTATCCTGCGACTTGGGCGGGATGTTAGGGGGTCGCGCCCATGAGCGCAGACGGACCGGGTGCGCCATCGCAGCGGGCGCACGGCCCTTCGCCTTCCAGGCGAGGTAGATCTCCGCCTGGCGCTGCGCCTTCCTGCAGTCCTCACCAGTCACACGCCCCACGTCGATCTCGTATCCTTCGCTGTGCGGATCGTCCTCATCTTCGCGGTCTTGGACCGGGGTTGCAGCTGCAGTGGGTGCGCTGTTCGTCAGACGACTCGGTGTAAGTGCGCAAACACTTACGGTTGAGTCGGTCGTTGCCTGAGATGGGGTGCGCGCAGTCAGACACAGGTGCGCGCACGTAGACACGGAAAACTTACTGAGCCAGATTTCCGCAAACGGCCTCATGGCGGCCTCCTGGTCCGCCGGCGACCACTTCTTGCCCCACCACTTGGGCTTCACGTTGCGCCAGCCGGTTGCGAACGTCTTGAAGTCAAGACCCTCCTTCCACGCGCCCTCCGCCGGCGCGTCCCACCACTGCCAATCGAAGCAAATGTCGGTGAGGCGGGGGAACTTCTTCGCCATCGGTATGTAATTCATCTCCTCGCGCCACGCCTCTGTCTGGGGAACCGCACGTCAATCCCCCAGCTCGCAGCCCACGGAACAGGGTACTCACCAGCAAGTACGTCGCAACGATCTTCTCGAACACCTTGAACGACACCGGGCTGTTGTACAGCGCCCGGAGCATCCTGTTGAAGAGGATCAGGTCCTCCTCCGTCCAGTCGTCCCATCGCGGCGGGTGGTCCGTGAAGATGAGCAAGTCCCGCTCGCTGAGATGGTGCCCGGCCTCGAGGGCGACCTTGCGCAGGTAATTGGTCAGTTTTTCCATGCCCCAGGTACCGACCATTGTTGCAGGGTGTCGAGGAAGAGCGGGGTGAGTGGTAGAAGCAGGGGGGAGAGGGAGTGCGAGTGGGAGAGGGAGATGCGCGCGAGCAAGAGCGAGCAGCCACAACGGCGTCTAAGTCTCAGCCACAAGCCACGGCGCTAAGTCGACCGACGCGACACGACGGCCACCGGTCATCTGACCGTATGTGCCGTTAACGCTCAAGTGTTCGGCCTGCACTGTAGGTAAGGGGTGATTAAGTGTGCGCAGTGTTTATTACCGTGCGCACGGTGATTCTTACCGTGCGCGCGGCGATTCTTACCGTGCGCATAGCATGCGGTACTCACTGTGTTTGGTGCGCGCACCTTTGTGACTTACCTCTGGCTGAATGAATATGTGTCCGACCGTGAGTAGCATTGTTCCGCGCGTGTGTAAGAGACCATACAAACATGACTACACAACTGAGAGTAAAAAACTGAGTGTTCAACGTTCAGAGTGCGGATGCTTACACTGCTGATAGAATCGACCTGCGCATTGAAACCACGCGAGGCGTGTCAAGTCGACGCTTTTCGAGACGTCCTCAGGTGACGGCCCACCTCCGCGGTATGTACGGTCATTGACCCCGTGCAATGTGGCACGCTCCGCTGTAGCGGAGTATACGTGCTGGCAGTGAAGGGCCTGGCGCGACGCCATACCGTTGAGCAATGTTCGCGCCAGCTCAGGTGGTTCGGGCATGCGACGGGCTCTGCGATCCGGACTGTTGTCCCAAATCATCTCCTCGGGGTGCGCAAACAGCGATGTGAGTTGCCCATGGGGAGCGTGTATGTGCGTCCGGAATCGCTCTATCCCTTGGAGATCGATTTCGAGCCAGATGGGTGGTCGGCGCTCACAGCGGATATCGAGTTTCTCTGCAACTTTTCAGACAGGTGCCATAATACTAGAGAGAGAGGGGTGCGCGCACCGTGAATCATGAGTAGTAGTGCGCAAGATGACCGAGCCAGCGGTCACCCAAACATGGATGTCTTCATCGAATTCAATCTCACGATCTATGCGCAATTGCCGCTCTTGGAGAAGAAGGGCAATGTGCGCACAGATGCGCTCAAAGAATTCGTACTCGTTCGTGTAATTGATGTGGTCATAGGGGACAAACCACTGAGGGCTCGGATTCACAAACCGTCCGGAATAGCCAACAAGTGTGTTGCGCTCTTGCACGGCGGTATCGAGGTCAATGGCGTGTTTGGCATGATGGTTGTACAGGATCCGCTTGATGGGTGGATCCTGCCAGAGTATGCCTGCATCGACTGTAGCAATGGAGGGTGAGTAGCTACTGATGTAACAATGGTGTGGTACATGCCATAATTCTTGTCCAGTATTTCTGTGTGATGAGTCAGTATGCTGAATAGACTAATTGTCATGCAGAGAACATACTGTGCCAGTAATCAACAGTCTCCCTCACCACGCACATGAGACTGATAGTGGACCGCGCGATGTGCGTCCATTCATCACGATCATCAGTGTGGATGCGCAATGATTCGGGCAATCTGGGGGTGCTCCAGTGCCTGTACAAGGGGGTGATGAAGTTGGCCAATGCGATCATGACCGCTTCGAGTCGATCGATCTCTGAGCGTACATAGAGCATGTTGAGGGGTTGCGGGTCGGTGATTGTACGGACGCGTATGATGCGGAGCCACTCCTTCATGTGCTCGTGCCATTTTTGGTAGATGTCGTAGATGGTGAGCGGGACGTATGCGGGACCGACGGGAACGAGCGATTGCACGAATTGCTCCGTGTGTTTATGGATCAGCCGGACGAGCACAGCAGCTTCGAGGACGACACGAATCCGGTCAGACCATGCTGGACGGTCCATGGTGACTGGCCAGCGCTGAGTGCTGTGGTAGGGGACATGGTGAGAGCAAGAACGTACCTGGCGCACACAGATGGTCTGTGGATCAAAGGGAAGGGACTGATCACGCCATCATGCAAACAGATGAGTCACATGTGTGGAATATTATGGCACGTGACAAGGAGGGCGCGCGCGGTCGCGCACGTCCTCCTTTGACATGCATCAGGGGTGCGCGCACCATGATATGCATGCCCAAATACACCTCGGTAGGAGGGCACGCGCGATCGCGCGCGCCCTCCTATTTAGCAGATATATGTACACACACACCGTATACGTTGGCAGAATAGACGCCGGTACACATGCCATGTAGGAGGGCGCGCGATCGCGCGCGCCCTCCTATACCATGGATCATGGGTGCACGCACCATCCCATACATGTCCAGAATATCTGTGTTTAGGAGGACGCGCGCGGTCGCGCGCGCCCTCCTATAAGACACATTTTGATTGGACATGTGCTGTGTATGCACACTGAAATAGACGCTGATATAGGTACGATTAGGAGGGCGCGCGCGATCGCGCGCGCCCTCCTAATTGGTATGCATGCCATCTCCATAATATCCGTGTTTAGGAGGTCGCGCATGGTCGCGTGCGTCCTCCTTAATGTACCTTGTCATGAAACATCCAGCATACATTTTAGGAGGGCGCGCGCGATCGCGCGCGCCCTCCTATGAGGCATCATTTGGTCCATATGTACCACCCACACAGTGGAGAAATGTCACCACTTGCCTTATATGGTTATGCCCATATATAGTAATTCCTATATCGGGCAACACAACCCCACCACAACCCCCCCCATGTTTACTGTAGGTCACTATAATGTGCACCGCGAGCGAAGGCTTCTGTGCGGCGCCGAGCGCACCGACTCAATGCCAGCGCGGTCATCTCGAACAGCCAGAGAAAATAAGGACTCACCACAGGACAAAACCCACCCACGCGTACTCCAGGATACAGAAGCGACCGCAGAGCAGGGAGCCGAGTCGTGATCACACTAACAGCATGCAGAACGGGAAGACACTCACCGCTGTCGAGTTCGACCTCAGAACCTTGCTCTTGCAAGTGGCAGATGCAGATGGAACCAAATGTCGTCCAACGAAGCATCCTGCACTAATGAACAAAGGGGTAAAGGAGACGAATGTCTCGAAGGCATCTACAAAGCATTATACTACACTAGTACCCGGGGCACAAGTCGTATGGTAGTTCTACAGGGCAGGCATAAATACCATGTACTGTGAGTTCAGGCGCTCCACGCCTCTACGAGTTTGAAAAATCCCCAGAGGCATCCACCGGAGATGATAGGCAGTGTAAGGTTGTCGTCCAGATTTCCAAGATCTGCACAGCGAACTGTGGATGAGTGTTATCACCAAACAAAGGCTGCACGCGACGCACCGAGAGCTTCCGTAATGCCTGAAATAAGCCCAGCGACAACGCCCAACACGCCGAGGCCCAACCATGCCCCCGCTGCACCAAGGATACTCGGATTCCCGGTCGTCGGCGCGACCACCGGCCATTGCCAGCTGCTCGGCTCACCCACCTGGGGGACGACCCAGCCCCAGAAGCCGATCGCGATGGCCGCACCGGTGACGACGGCTGCGATGAATCCAGCAACGGACTTGCGGGGCGCGAGGGGGAGGCGGAGGAGCGGGAGGCGGGCGGGGAGCTTGGGGGTGCGTGCGCCGAAGAGACGGCCGATCGTAGACGCGGCGGTATCAGCCCAGGACAAACTACGTGGGTGTCAAACCATGCGTCGCGCATAAGGAGGGTCTCCCGACTCACATGAGGATAGAGACTACGGCGATGTCGAGAGGGTATACGGCGAGGGCGAACATGACGCCGGTGATGTACCATATCACGCCATTCGTTGAATTCTGCGGGGGCGACGCGTCAAGACGTGTGGCGATGAGCACGAACGGACAGTTGCAAGACGCACCTTCTCGCTTTCGCGCATGAGGAAGCCGACGCTCCTCTCGAACAGCCGTTCGAACCTAGCGGAGCGGAGCCGGAGGATATCGCACGGGACGATGAACGCAAGGCCGCTCGCGAGCGCGACGACGACGGTCCGCGGCGAGCCATGGGAGTAGTAGAGATACAGAGTCAAGACACCTTCGCACCAACGCCCATTCAGCCCGTCGATCAAACAGAAAAAAACGCATTCCGCACTCACCAATCGACGAATGCAGCGCCTTTCGCGGAATCTCCCAGTCGACGACGACCTTCTCCGCGACGGTACGCTGTATGACAACCTTCTTGCCCTTCGCCGCCGAACGGGAGCCCTTGCGCGCGTGCTTAGCTGTTGTTTGCGCCTGGCCGTTCGGTTGCTGGGGCGAGTGGCCGTTGGTATGGGCGTCTGCGTTGCCGTTGAGGGCGGGCGACGCAGACGCTGCGCCGGAACGTCTAGTGGACATTGATGGTCGGTCGGAGGACGATGCGCGCGTGGAGACAGGGGACTGGGATCGCCGCGAACCAGAGAGGAAGGAGAGCTTGGAGGAGGGGTGGAGTCCGAGGCGACTGGGTTCGTGCTTCAGACTGAGTTGAAACGCGTCGTTAGCGGTGATCATGCTACAGCGTGTAGGGTCGTAAGAGAGTAGAGATTGCCGCAGGAGACGACGAGAGGCGCAGGATGGACGGCGAGGAGGGACGCTAGGACGGCGAGTGGTGGAACAGACCAAGTCGCGTGCGGATGCCGTGGTGTTCGAACCCGGCCACGTCAAGGCGTCTAGCCACACAAGGCACAATCACATGTTGCCGCGCAAGACATACCGATGCGGCCACCTCTCCTCATCGCACTCGTCGTACAGTACAGAGATACAGACAGCTACGTTCAGCAAGCAGACAATATTAATACATGGCGCATACACAGCATCGAGCATGCATGATCATTTTAGAGATGCCCAAGGCATCGACGTCGTAGATACACAACACCCTAGTACACATAGCCCAGCAGCTTGCCACCGACGTTCTTGCGACGCGCCTCCTCGTGGTCGAGGATGCCAGACGATGTCGTCTGTACCGCCGCAATTAGCACGGTCACTCCCACAGTATAACAGACAACTTACGAGGATGATGATGCCGAAGCCACGAGCAGGCAGGAGCAAGTTCACCCACGACTCAATCTGGGGTGCCTGGATGTTGTAGCGGGGAGAGATGACACCCGTCTTGTTCAGCCGGCCGTTGAGCTGGATGACGATCTTGCCGGAGCGGTGGTCGTCGACGATCTCGAACTCGCCGATGTAGCCTGTAAAACGGAACCGACGTCATCAGCATATGACCCCGTGCATTTGCTGTAATCCGTATAGAATGTAGTCTCTGAAGTGAACAGACGTCCGGTGGGAATAAGCCGGACGTGCGTTGTATGTACAGACAGCTCGTTGATGTCTCGGAGCGTTAAAACAGCAGACAGGTGGAGGCACGACCTCGTCAACTGTAGTTATCACCCCGAAGATTCGCAGCCGAAAGGCGGCGATGGTAAGGGACGGAGACTCACCGTGACGCTGCATGACGCTGAGGAACTTGACGATGACCTTGGAGGAAGGTCGGACGAGGACCTGGCGCTTGCCCCGCCGCTCGGCGTTGACAATGTTGTTCTGCGGAATAGTGTAAGGCTCTAGCCGAAATTGTGACTTATGAACTGAACTCACCAGGCAGTCGTTCTAACATGCCATCATTCACATGTTACCACCAAAGCTACGCAAGCAAAGTCGCAGAAAGAGACGACGCACCAAAACAGAGACGCGGACCATGGTGGGCAGACGAGAGAGACGGTGAAGAGCCGGAGCTAAAAGCGAAGAGAAAAGACCTGGAGTAAGCTATACACGCTCGTCCGAGTGTCGCGCTACGGAAAGCACGAGTCAAGACGAGCTTCGGCGAAGACAGGCTACGGAGAGACCGCGCGAATTCAATCGACCAGTGCTCTTCTGCTCGCGCGCAGCAGCGAGGAGAGCGTATTCACCTTGGAGGGTCTTGAGGAGGGCGGCGGCGGCGAGCGAGAGGGTCTCGGTAGGCGCGCAGGGGCGAGCGGCTGTGGCTGCTGCTGTACAGTTCCTCGCAGCCACCCGGGCGTTGCCGGCGTCCACTGGCGCTGTGTCGGTCGTCGGCGAGCATCCCCCAGCCAGCAAGCCCAGCCGCAAGCCCAGCCACCCGCAAGTCATCTCCGCCCTCTCTCGCCTCCTCATCATCCAACATGGTCTGCTCGCTCGTCTCCCCACACTCGCCGCATTTCTGACCATATACACTGTGTGTAGGGCCGCGTTCGCACGAAGACCACCAAGAGGGCCTCCCGGGTGCTCATCGAGAAGTAGTCAGTACATGCGTTCGTCGTAACGGCGATTTCAGAGGCTCATCGTTGCCCGCCAGCTACCCGCGTCTCACGCTTGACTTCCACACGAACAAGCGTATCATCGATGAAGTTGTGCGTACACATAAACTCGAGCTAGGACTTGGTGCTGAAGCGATCTTATAGGCTGTCGTTCCCTCGAAACGCCTCCGCAACAAGGTCGCTGGCTTCACGACCCACTTGATGAAGCGTATCCAGAAGGGTCCCGTCCGCGGCATTTCCTTCAAGCTCCAGGAGGAGGAGCGTGAGCGCAAGGACAACTACGTCCCTGAGGTCTCCGCCCTCGACACCTCCGTCAACGGCCTCGAGGTCGACCCTGACACCAAGGTGCGTTTGGTCCTTCACCTTGCATACGGTCCCGTCCGTACAACCGCATCCCTTGACTCACTCGCCCACTTTGTAGGATCTCCTGCGCTCCCTCAACTTCGACTCCGTTGCTGTCAACGTGGTCGTGCCCGTCATCGCGGCCCCCGATCGCGGCCCCCGGCGAGACCGCCGCAACGTGCCGGGCGCTGGGCGGTAAAGTCTCCCTGTTCACCGGACGTCCTCCACTGCACGCGCATCGAGGCGCCCGACAAAACCCCTCGCATAGTGTATTCCATGTCGGTCGCGTTATGTCGTCTCTTTCTCCCCATGCTCTCGCTGTATGCTACTTCGATCGCAACACGCAGCATATGGTTCGCGACAAATGTCCCGGGCCGCTCTGTCAATGCAGAGATTGCGCTTCCAGCAGTAAGTGTTGGAGGCATCACGATACGGGGCTTGAGCTTGGTCAACGACAACGGACGATTGATGCAATGCGAGAAGCTCGGGGCATACTTCGCACGTGTAACAGTTCAAATATCCTCGTACCAGGATTTAGGTTCGAACTTTCGAGCGGCATGCATTCGTGAAGCATCCCCGAGGGTAAAGACGTCTGAGACGGTGGCTCGGTCGGTGGGAATGGTAAGTGTTCTGTTGTAGGAGACAAGCAGCAGCCACCCATGGCATTGTGGTGCTTACGGCGTGGACCGAGAGTGAGTCAAATCGTCTCAAATGTGTTTATCATTACCGGCCAGTGTCTTCCGTACTGGAGTCGACTTTGTTCTCGACCTGCATCTGTTCTCCGAGTCTACGCGCGCCGGTTTCTGTATAGCACAGGCCAGTGGCGTAGCCGCAGAGACTTGATCTTGAAGCTTGAGGCGATCGACTTGAACCGCGACCGCGACCGTCGTTCTGAGGATCGCTGTGACTTGGTCGTGTGCGCCATGCAATAGCCTAATGCTGCCTAGACTGAACACGTCTACCTTATTGCACCTCACTAGAGCGCACGGGTGGCCTGAGTATACACACTTCGTCCGTCCGTCATCCCGACTTGTACACGCCTTGCTTTCTCCAGTCACCACCATTCCTCACGCACCGTGGCATGTCAACTTCTCCCGCTCACAGCAGCATTTCTAGCTCAGCGGGCTCCGTTAGTGGCTTTCCAGAGGAGGACTTGAGGGAAGGCGGTCGCGACAATCCTGGCTATTTTGCTGCGAGATTAGGGCAGCGATTAGAACGAGGTCGCTATTGCATCGTACGCAAGCTCGGCTGGGGCCAATACTCCAGTGTCTGGCTTGCAAGGGATCGCGGGTAGGCGCCTCGTTGGAGTTCTCTCGATGTATAATCCGCTGACCTCTGAAAGCAGCCAAGATAGCTTTGTCGCGCTCAAGATATTGACCTGCGAAGCTACCAAAGCCTTGTCGGCCGGTCCTGACCAAAGGTCAGACGAACAGCGCATGCTAGAGAAGATCGCAAACGCCGACCACGCTCACCGAGGCTATCGCCATAACCTCGCCTACTTGAATGCCTTCGACATCAGGGGTACACATGGACTTCACCGTTGTCTCGTTACAGAGGCCCTCGGATATGGCGTCGACTATATCCGCAAGCTGCGTGACGATAACGATCGTCGCGTTGCGCCCAGCATAGTCAAGCGAGTGGTACGGCAAGTCTTGCTCGGCTTGGAGTATCTGCATGATGTGTGCGGTATAGTCCATACAGGTATGGAAGCAATGAGATGCGGTACAGCGCACGTTGACGGTGTAAGCTCTCAGATCTCAAGAACGACAACATCCTCTTCCGCCCGCGGGATCTATGCACCATCGTCGCGCACGAACTCGCCGAGAACCCGTCAGTCACGTACGACTGTGGAACCGAGGGCAACGCCTCAGTCGTTCCAGTCGTCTCGCAAGTGTTGCCCTTGTCCGTCGATGCCTCCATTCATGAACGGGACCTCGACGTCGTACTCGCCGACGTTGGCCACTGTGAGTTTGCTAATGCAGTTCTCGAATGGAAGGACCGCGCTGAGATACCATCGGCATGCAGCGCACTGGATCGAGCACCATTTTCAGGAGCTCATCCAGCCCGACGCCCTCCGGGCACCCGAAGTTATTCTCGGCCATCCCTGGAGCACTCCTGCGGATATATGGAGCGTGGGCTGCCTCGTAAGGCTCCGTTCCATGCAGTCATGTTTCGAACGTGACTTTAACCTTCGCATTGGGCAGGTCACCGAATGGCTTGTCGGATTCTGGCTCTTCGAACCCAATCGCGAAAGATTGTGGAGCTACGAGGAGGACCATCTAGCTCGGATGACTGAAGCTCTTGATGCCCAGTTTGAAGCGTCTACACTGGAGAATTGTAAGCATCGAGACAAATACTTCAAGCAGGATGGTATGTCACTCCTCTGCGGTGCTGTAGCATACTATGACCTCCCTTCGATTTTGATTAGGAACATTCGCGCATTTTACGGATCACGAGGAGCCTACGTGGCCTTTGCGCAAGCTGCTGGAGTCGTTTTCGGAGCTCGGTGACGAAGTCGATGCGGCTGAAGCCTTCCTGAAGCGGTGTCTGCAACTTGCACCAGAGCGGAGGGCCACGGCGAAAGAGCTCGTTGACGACCCATGGCTGGCTGCGCCTGCTGTCAGCAAGTAACAGCATGATTGTCCGATTCTGCGATCAGCGGGGCATGAGACGGGCCAACGGTAGATTCCGTCCTTCATTGGTTCACAGCATCGCTTTTCCACATGAAGGCAACAACGATATCCCCCGCATATACGTACGTGCGCCTGGTTTCCACGTCCGATTCAGGCATACGGTGTCGTCTGTTGATCTGTGTGGTAGCTCGTATGAACACTCGCTTCGATCATCACTTGATCGAACGATCTCCATGAACGTTATGTTATGATCACCACATGCATGGACCGCTGGCTATGGACCCACAGCAGCACGCGAAGACATCGTGGCGAAAGCGTTCCTGATACTAATCTTGCCAAAAAGAGATTCGCTGCGAACACTTATCATTTCGGATAACAGTACTGTTTTACTCATCCGTTTGGAACGTCTTTTGACAGACTGCCTATCCGATACCACGACGCCGATGTCCCCCGCCAGCATATGCCTAGGCCCCGTAAATGACATCCCACAACTGCGTTGTCGGGATGGCCTCGGCGTACGCCTTCCTCGCGAGACGTGTGTGCGTGTGCTGCTCATATGCATACGCATACGATACTAGGTCAAACTCACTCCAAGCCGTACCGAGGAAGGACAGGCCGATAGGGACGCCAGGAGCGGGATACACTGTCTCCGGTCCCGCGAGGCCAATCGTGATGTTGTCGGGATAGAAGCCAAGCGGGACTGAAGTTGGGGTCAGCACTACTAATGTGCGAAGAGCGACCGAGGCGACGTACCGGTCACGATCGGGTACCCGGCTATGGCTGCAATATTCGGTGTCAAGCTATACAGCACAATGGACGCGTATGAACAGTCACTTACCTGCGGGGACGGTGGTGAAGCCTGGCGCGGGGAGAACCAATGCGTCGAGGTCGTACATCTCCAGCGCTGCGTCGATCCCGTTCGTCCGTCCCATCTCATAGTCGTACGCGAGCGCCGCATAGTATGTTGAGTTGAACCCAGTCGTTGCTTCGGAGGCAATGAGCCTAGCGTAGGTATGAGGACCATCAATTCGCAGGGAACGTTGGCACTAAAAAGTGATGAAGACTCACTCCGACTGGTCTGTGTACCTTGCAGGCTCTTCCAGAGTTGGATTGGCGTTGTCGAAGGCAATGAGCTCGGCGAGAGACCGCACACCGGATGGGTTGGACAGCAACCCCTCATACCACGCATTGAGTTGGATCTGCGAAATCCACGTATCCCATCAGTACATCAAGACCTCACGCTCGAGGAGACAGACCTTGAAATCCGTATCCAGCACTGTCGACTCATTATTCGACGTCGCAATCGCTTCTGCACTCGGCAAGTCTGCCGGGTCCACCACCGTCGCGCCAAGGGCCTTCATAACCTCCAACGCAGCCTCGAACACCTCATTCACGTACGGGTCGTTCCCCGTGATCGAGTCGTTCAAGAACACCGCGCGAGGGACGCCGATGCGTTTGCCCGCGAACGCGTTCCGGTCGAGCGCGAGCGTGTAGTCGGGGACGGGGGACGGCTGAGCGAGCGTGAAGTTGTCGTTCGGGTCCGGGCCTGCTATGACGGAGAGCACGATTGCGGCGTCGGCCATGGAGCGCGTTAGGGGTCCGACGGTGTCCTGGTGTTCGGAGATAGGGATGACTAGCCGGACAAACGAAGATACGAGTCAAAGGCCGCATGGCAGGACTGGAGACGGATGGGACATGACGAACCTCCTGCACGAGACGTGAGCCCTACTGACGGCTTGATTCCCGCGAGGTTATTTTGGTTTGCGGGGCAGGTGATACTTCCGTCTGTCTCAGTACCGAGGGTAACTGCTGCCAGCCCGATGGATGCAGCGACGGCAGAGCCCGCAGACGAACCACACTGTTTGCGATGTAAGCGTTTTCTCCACACTCAGACGGTTCAGAGGGAAACATACGGGGTCGGCATGAGGGAAGTACGCATTCGTGCATTGACCGCCCCTGCCGGACCAGCCTGAGGCCAGGTTGCCTCGGAAATGGGCGAACTCAGACAAGTTGGCCTTGCCTGCAAGTCGTCGTGGGCACCATACAGAGAAACATGCGGATGAGTACTTACCCAGAATGATCGCTCCGGCGGCGCGAAGCTTTGTGATGACACCAGCTTCAGCGGGGACAACAGAGCCAAGCAGACTGTACGATCCAGCCGTTGTGTTCATTCCTGCATATCTCATGTTCAGCTATAGTCTGTGCAACTGGACGACCGTTCTGTCCTGCCTTACCCTCGGAGGCAATCGTAGCAATATTATCCTTCACCAGTACCGGTATGCCATGTAGCAAGCTGCGGGGACCGGTCTCGAGCCGCTCTGCGTCCAGAGCGGCCGCCTGCGCTAGCGCAGATGGGTTCGTCTCGATGACAGCACGGAGTATTGGGCCCTGTAGATTGACTTCCTCGATGCGCGCGAAATAGGCCTACGACATGTATGTGTGTGCACATACAAGTCGAAAGACACATGCACTCACATTGACGAGGTCTACACTAGTGAATAATCCGGATTGCAGACCGGCCTACAGTATTTTTTACTTAGAAGTTGTGGCAAGTCAAAATGACGCGACGTACTTGCAGTTCAACAACTGATGCCTCGTACAGATCCGGCAGGGATTCCCTGATAGCGATGCGTTGCTCGGGCAAGAGAGACCTAGCAGATAGCCGTGCTGCAAGTACGGCCGCCTGCAGTGTGATGAGTGCAAGAAAACAGGCAAGGAACCAAGCTCGCATGAAGGGCAGCATCTTCGAAGGTCGGAGCAGAGCCGCAGGCATTCGAGGTGGTCCAAGCGACGTCCTCGACCCTCGCAGATACGATAGGTAGACCTTTTATGCCTCCTTGAAGACTGTCCACAAATAGCCTGAGCATGCGTACGTACCACGGTCCGTTATCTCGCTCGGACGCAGGAGGAGGTGCGTTCCTGCGAATGCACACGACCTCGAGATTTCCCACTGGTGGCTTGGTCACGAGCCTGGGCCGTCATTGGTCCCGGCAGCCAAGAGTTAGTCCTCGAGTAGGGAATCAGTGTAGCGAGTCAGCGGTCGGGTAGGTGCAATGGTTCAAACGTCTACGAAGCGATAGGATGAGAATTTCCTGCATATTCGTGCAGAGTGTCGGGAGTATCTGTGTGATGTAAACTGCTATTGAATAGGCCGAGGGCACCCGCAGTACGGTCGAGCAGAATGCTCACTGTCTGAAAGCCGAGGTACGAGCGAGTTCAAACAGTTCATTGACGTTAGCGGCTGGACAATCAAGGATCGGCGGATAGCTGCTTACCAACCCTCTTCCAAAGTGCGTCGGAAGCCTGTTACGACGCGATGTCCGCGATGCCACTGAGGTCGAATTATTTGCGACGCCTATCGTCGTCGTTACTTGGCACGGGACTCATAGATGCCGGTGGCGTCACACAAAGCTGCGAAGGCAGGTGGTACACGCTGTAAAGGCCGTGAAGACGCGACAACTGCAATCTATATGCATGGGGGTCAAACAGGATAAACCGTGAGTGGATGGTCATGATCAATAACATGTATATACGTCATGGCATACTCTGAGTGGAACGGAAGAGCGGACAATTGTAGTGGAAGCGACATAACACTATGATAGCACATTGAGCGACTGCGACAGTATATTACCTTTAGGTCTATTGTAACGAGCGGGGTATACACAACACACGTCCATGAGCGAGGTTCAGCTGCGCGGCAATGAGATAGTTGGCGTCGAGACTCTAGAGGCAGATAACTGAGAACGAGCTTGCACCTGGCGCTTGAGTTGCGCCTCGAGTTTATTGCGCTGCTTATAAATATCCTCGTCCCGGAGTTTAACGGAGAAGGCTAGTTCGATGAAGGCATCCGGAGTGGGCGGTAGGCAATGCGGTGGAGGGTGCGCGAGGATGGCAAGCAACGACTCTTGGCCTCGGCACTGTAGGAGCGACTGGCGACAGCTTGAAATGACGGCCAGACCTACGCGGAAGAGGAAAGAAACCCCTACGGATGTTGTGAGCTCGGCGTACTCGGCATACGATCAATTCCAGAAGCAACATACCTTCGAACAAGAAGACATCCCAGACGCGAAGGAGGAGATCGGTGGGAAACGCGTCCGCAAATAGCGCAGTGAACCTGATGACAATTGTCGTCAGTCAGCAATCCCACGAAACTGATTAACACCGTGCGTACCACGGTCGGCATATGCAGATGGGGGGTATCGCCATCTCCACAAGGATTCTCTGAGCCAGCGGAGCGTCGTTGTTCTCCATCGCCTTCGAGAACAATGAAGAGTCGATGTCTAGCAGGATCGGCTGCGGGGAGTAGTAGGGACGGATATGTGAGTCCATCATCGTCACAAATGTCCAGAACGCATCCTCCTCGGGAGACTGCAGTATAAGCTGGCCAGCGATCATAGCGAGCCCCTTCGTGTACTGCACGTCTGGTACCATCGTCAGGTAAGCCTGGAGAACGTTAACGAGTGACTGGTCGAGCAACGGCTGATCATGGAAAATACGTTGCGCATCCTGTTCGATGTTGGAGATGGGTGCAACTCTCTCCCTTTGGCCTAGCCGTGCATATAACCCCTCCATCCGCTTCGCCTTGCTGTCGGTGAGGAGCGCCCACACCTGATAACGCACAGACGCCGGAACGCCCTCAAGGACCAACTTCCGGATGCGCTTCGCCTTGCGTGCCTGGGACGGAGATGTCGAGGTCAATGCAGAGATCCATCTCAGCTCTCGTTGACGGTGCGCCTCGATCTCCGCAGCATCGGTTACCTTGGCAACTCTGTCTTCTACCGATTTGTCGGACGACGGCCGCCTCATGCTTAGGGGGCTTGCATCGATTACGCTCTTGGCATCCGCATTGGCAGGCGGTGCGAGCAAGGAGTCCGCGCTGCTTGTCGCCAATGGCGAGCGCGGCACCGCCGGGGCAACCAACTCAAAGTCCATGTCCTTGACGGACACGTGTACTTTCTGTTCAACAGGTGTCTCAAATGAGAACACGCTGGATGCCGGGCTGCGCTCGCTGGGTTGCAATAGCGGACGCTCACTCGGCATCTGCACGCGCAAGCCGGATGAGGATACTGCGGACCGCAGCGATGGGACACGCGCCGACAAGCCAGAGCTGGATTCCGACACATCAGGGGGGTGTGAAGAAACTTTCATTGCCATTGATAACTGGGATGGGCGGCGCAAGCCGATGCTGTCTGCCGACTGGCGCGACGCACTGCTCTCCACAGATGGACGTGGTGGTGTGTTACTGCTCTCTATAGATGAGCGCCCCGGGGCGACCTGCGCACGGGGCGAGGGTGGGAGTGCCGGGTCCCCCCGCGCAGTCTTGGTGCCCGGCAGAATAGACGACCGACTGTGTCGTATTACTGGAAATGATGATCGCGGCGATGCAGGAGACCTTGGAGACGATGGAGGGCTAGATGGAGATGCTGAATGTTCAGACTTTAGGGTCGCCGTCGATTGGTGACGAACGGACGAACCTCCTGTCGGGACATCCCGTTGCTGGAGCGGACTGGTTGTTCCGTTGCGATCGAAGGTCGCTCGGGAGACAGGCGAACCCGGAGCTGAGGATGCAGCAGGGATCAGCATAGGACGCCCCGCGAACGGTGCATTGGCAGACGCAGGAGAGGCAGAGCCTGCCACGACGTTGTTCTGAGATAGGGACAGAGGAGAGGGTCTTTGGACACCTCTGACAACGGAGGACGTATGCGAGAGCGTAGCCCGTTGAGGTGTAGGCACAGATACTGGAGAAGTCGCTGCTGCGGGTGTAGCAGTAGCAGATTTCGACCTTTTGGTGACGAGTGCAACAGATGACAGCTGGGCAGCCGACGGCCCGTCCTTGGAACTGACGGACGTTAACCCCCCTCATACAGACGCATGGCGAAGACACTCACCTGTTTCCTTCGGGCATGACTACCTCTGCGATCGGTGAGTCGAACCCCGAGAAGGAGCGCGAGCGAGGCCGAGGCGTGCCTGATTTAGGGAAGAAGTTGGGCCTTGGTATGGCCTTACCACTGCTGACCGAGTCTGGACGCCCAAACTCGCCCTGTACTTGGGGAGGGGAATTGACAGGTTTCGGTGACGCCGTCGCAGACCGTGCCAGATTGGAGCCAACACCAGAAGAAGCCGTGCGAACCAAACCAGCGACTCCAGGTGAGGCCGTCGCTGACCTCGCCAGACTTGAACCTTGAGCCATAGTTGCGGCTACGTCGTACGGAGAGGGATCTAGCGGCGTTCCGACGCGTGAAATTCCTGCTGCAGGCGATCCCGCCCGGCTACCAGGACCGTGGTTGTACATAACCGGTCTGTTCGCCGGGATGTTCATCTGAGGCTCCAACGTGAACGAAATCGGCACCGGTCCAGTGGAGGTAATGAGATCCCTGTCGAACCGTGCGTAGATCGTCGACGCGCCACCGGGCCGTCTTCCCTGCTGCTGTTGGCTCAGCAAGGTGTGTATGATCTGGATGGCGGAGTTAGGTGGTGGGCCGTTGTACTGCTGGGGCGGCTGGAAGGGAGCAGGCTGACGACCATACATCGGACCCGCAGGCACTTGCGCTGGTTTTGGTGCGTGAGGGTGAGGCATGAAGAGCGATTGACGGGAGGCAGGGTCCACAGGCGGCTGGTTCGTCGAGCGGGTGCGCAGCAGTGGCGGTCCCTGCTGTGGTGGCGGAGACAGCGCATACTGCATCGGCCGTGACGGTCCGGAGATAGCATACGGCGGAGGCGCGGGCTCGTTGGACGGCGACATGGCGCGCTCGGCTGCCTCCCTAGCTTTTGTTGACGCAAACGCCGACTGGTCTCGCGGAGACGTGGGCGACGCAGGGCCGTTCATGAACGGCGGCTCCTCGTCGTCTTCGACCACGATAGCTTGTCCAGATACCCTTCGCACGTCGACGTCCCGCGGCGGTGACAGCCCACTAAACACATCACGACCCGGAGATCCGGGTGGAGGAGAGACGAACGAGTCTACGGATGCCGGCGTATTCGGAGAGGCCGGTGTTCTCGGGGTCGCGCTCTGCGTCGGTGAGCCAAACGATGCATGGAGGAGGGGCGAGGGCCCCTCCCCCGTGCTAGTGCTGCTGTACCGCAAGTTGTTGTGACCTGTATCCCTATCCTGAAGCGACAGCGGCGACGGCCGGTCCTTATCCTTCAGCGTCGCGCCCCGTTCGGACGTCTGCGCTTCCTCAGCCGTCGGAAGCTCACTCGTGATCGTCCCACTCTCCGAGCTCACAACTACCGCGGCCGGCAGCTGCGCCCCCCTATCCAACTCCTCCGACACTCTCACACTGCTCTCCATGTTCAATCTCGACGCCAGGTGGTCACTCGGCACTGGCGGGATGTCGCCCGTGGGCTTGATCGACCCCTGAGAGAGCCTCGACATCTTGCTCGCCATCGAGAAGCGCGAGTAGCGGTAGTCGTCGTAGATGTCGCCCTCCCAGCCGGAGCCGGAGCCACCGCTGTTCTCGGAGCCCGCAAGCGACGGGCGGAGGGACTGGAGGGAGCGCATCGACTTGAGGGAGTGCATAGAGCTGCGCTGCGAGTGGCGCGCGTACGGCGGGTTTGGCGGGTCGAACTCATGCGGTGATGGTAACGGGGAGGTGGGCGATGCAGGAGCCGGGACGGAGGGAGATGGCGAGCGGGAGTAGTGCGAGACGGATTGCGTGGCAGAGCGCGGGCTGTCTGCGAGGCGACCGTCGATGTTGACTGTAGAAGCGACAGACTGGCGGTCGTCTGCTGCATCGTCGCGATGGGGCGTATTCGCCCCGCTCCTGCTGCTCAGGATCGACGCGTCGTCGTCGCCGTTCGCACCCCCGCTGAGGAAGCCCTGGAGCAAAGACAAGCCGATACCTTCAACGCCGGCGGACATGTCCAGCGAGAGACGGCTGCTATCCTCTGTACCGTCCACATCGAACGAGAACGACCGTGGACTGATATCCGAGCTGATGTCTGACCGGATCGGGGAGGGCGGAGGCTGCGGTGAGGTCGCCGACGGGGACTTGCGGATGTTGAGCGGACTCGTCATAGGGCCAGGCGTAAGGGCCTGCCCACTGCCCTCCTCCTCGTCTCCAAATAGTACGGACTCACGGACGACGGGTGAGAGCTGCTCAGGGTGGTCACGCGAGTGGACCGCTATGCGTACGGTGTACTCTTCCTCGTCCGGGGACAGCGTGGCTGGGGTGGTGGGCGGAGCCGTCTCGAGCGTAGCCGACCGCGAGGACGAGTAGCTCGTAGAGCGCTCTGGCGGGTGTGGGCCTTCCTCCATGGAACGCACCTTGCTCAGCGGCTCGAGCGCGCGCACCGAACTGATCGAGCTCGAAGGTCTGAACTTGGCGACGCTCCCCGTCGAGCCCATGCTATCCATCTCCGTCATGATGCTACTCGAGCCGCTCACGCTGAGGCTCATCCTGGGACTGCTCGCGCGGGAGGCGGCCGGGGACGCTTGGAACGGAACGGGCGGGGACACGACGTCGCGAGCGGCGAGAGTGACTGCGCTTTGGGAGGATGAGGGGCGGCTCTGGGAGCGTGAGCGAGGGCGATGGGAGGGTGAGATGGAGTGGCCCGAGGATGAACGCTTGGTCATGACGGGTTTCTTGAGACGGCTGTGGAAGCGGACGAAGGAGCCGCGGAAGCGACCTATGACACCCTCACAGTAGCCCTGCAGTGCCGTATGTGTGAGTCCATGTCACAGAGCAGAATGCAAGGATTGAGCTGCGCATGAAACAGTCACCCTGTTGCACCAATCGACTCACCAGGAAGACATCCTCGTCGGCCAGCTGCAAGAGTACGGTGATCTCATCGTCCTGAGGTACTCCGAAGTCAGACGTTGTTCACACGTGTGAACACGCACGGTACCTTCATGAACATGAGGTCTTCGGGTTCCTCTGCAACGTAGTCCTGGAGGGCAGTGCATTTGCCAATGCCACCCTTGGCAGCAAATCGCGACCAGCGACCGAGTTCAGTTGCATCCATATCAACGGCAAGCCATACACAACACGCAGAAAAAAAGACGAAATTGAAGATGAAGACAAAGTCGAGTTTGCGCTGGGAGCCACAGTGGGAGCAAAGCGCAGTCGTCGGGCGTAGGCGGCTAGAGTGACTGTTGAGGATAGCGCTGCGCTAGGCACGACAGCGGCGAAGTGTCTGGGTCCTGGGCGAGGCACGATCAGGCAGGCAGGGGCAGCGGAAGCAAAGGAGTGGAGGCGGTGTCGGCCACACCGAGGACGATGTCGGAGGGGAGCGAGGTCGCTATGTCTGCCAGCGTGCACAACGAGGCGTGCAGCGAGGAGAAGACGAAACGGCCTCGCCCCCGCTAAGCTCTCTTCGCCTGGGCCGCCTATTATGTAAGCATCCCCGGCGCTCCTGAGCTTAACGCACGGTTGTACTTAGCTCATTTCTTCGAAGTGCTGGTCTGTTGCGAATGTCGGTCGCATGGTAGACAGTCACTTCGCTCCTCTGCGAGGCAATACACCACTTTCGGGCAAATCACACCGTGTGCGTCAGTCAAGAACTTCTGATTCTTGAACGTGAACGTCGACTGCCGCAACAGGAAATACAGGGCCGCTACAACTCAGAGAACAGTTTGCGAATACTTCGAAGAATTACTCCAGTGTTCTCCTTGTGGACGGTTTACTTGCCAGAGGATACTAATGATCACTGCTCATACTTTTCTACGTTCAGCTCTCACACCTATCCAGCAAAACGAAACAGCTGAGTACATAGGCAACAGTCTCGACTTTTCGCATCCTTAATACTTTCGTCTTTTGTAGCTATCACGGAAGCGTCCTCAGTTCACGTCAGGGCGCGTTCGACGGCTCTCAAGGGCACTGCATCGCTTCGCCACTCGATTGACCCGTTTAAGTACGGGTAGTAACTCGAAGCTCACGTTGACAGGCCACGCAGAACATCCGACTCATTCTCGTCTCTTGATCCAACCCTCCAATGTATTCATCTGCACTGTCTCGATTTTCTTTCTCTTCCTCGGGGGTCCTGATGCAGAACCCCACCGTCAGGTCAGGCTCCCACCTTCAAAACCGCAACAAATGCTTACCTGAGTCATCTGCTTGCGAATCCCGCATCACCTGCCACAGCCTCTCAAAGTCCTCATCCTTCACGATACCCCCGCTTGCCTGCGCGTGGCCGCGCGCAAAGTCCTCGCCCATGCTCTCAGTGAGGCCTGATACGCGCGACGCGTACTCCCGGAGAATGTCCGGTATGTTGATCTCACCTCCGGCTCGCTCTCCGCACTTGTCCTCATTCCCAGTACCTACAGATTTCCGCTTCGACGACGACGAAGTGCCCTTGGCAGCGGGCGAAGGTAAGGCGCAGCGCGCAATGCGGCACGCAAAGTTGGTCATCCCAGCGCCGGGAAGGTACGCGCCGTTGCCGCAGATGACGATCTGCAGGCGGGCCGACTTGAGGGTCGACGCCCAGCGCGTCGCGATCAGCTGTGCGCACGGCGTTCGTTGCCAGATATCAGTACGTCCACTTCCCTCGAGATACCAGGACGACTTACGGGGTGCACCTGCGCCTCACTCTGTATTCGGACTAGAGCGACGCGGCCGTCCCCAGAGAAGGTCGGTGCTGTATGCCCGCACCGCTCCGTCTCCGTGCGGATCTCGACGCGAGCCTCGTGCAGCCTCCGTATATGCATGTTCCCCGACGCGCCAGACACGATCTGCGCCGGACCGCAAGCAAGCAAGGCCTCCCACGCCGTCCGGACGTCATACTGCGCCGTCCTCCGTGCTACATCCACGGCGCCGTCAGTCCACACATCCACAACGACAGCGCCCCGCGACCGCGGCTACTCACGTGCATTCACCAACGCAACCGCCTCCCCCAGCGCCTTCTTCGTCCACCTCCGCGCACACGCGCTCATATCCGGCCACGGCCTCTCCCACTTGTGGCCGGCACCGAGGTCGCCCATCGTCCCGAGCACGCAGAGCCACTCCATACGCTCCCTCACCTCCTTTGACGCGACCCCGCGGACGAGCGGCTCGCAGAGGAGGTACGCTAGTGTCGAGGACGTCGCGACGGGGTCGCACCGCGCCGCGGAGAGCACCGTCGCTCCTTGCGGGAACCCCTCCGCGAGGTGGTGGTCCACGATCAACGTCCTCGCCTCTTCTTCCTCGCCCTCGCCGGGGAGTATCGCAGGCCCCGCACGGCTCCCCTGGTCCGCAACGAGGACGAAGCGCGGCCTGGGCACGAGCTCCTTGAGCCGCGCGCGCTCCGCGGGTGCGTGGACGTTCGCGCCCTTTGCGACGAAGTGGGTGTGGATGAGCGCGGGCGGGAGGCCGAGCGCGGTGAGGGTGTGGTGGAGGATGAGGGCAGAGCAGAGGCCGTCGGCGTCTTTGTCGGGGAGGAGGAGGGTCGGGAGGCGAGCGGCGGCGCTGCGTGGAGTGTGGGTGCGGTCAGTGTGAAGGTCGACGGCGTGCAGGGCGTGGAGGCGGACGCGTACCACTCTTGGATGAACGCTCGGGCGGTCGCCATGGTCTGCGTGCTAGTGGGCCAATTGTCTTGTTCGTCCTCGTCGCTCGAGTCTGATCCTCGGGGTGTCGGTGAACGCATGGCTAGACGGGGCATCGACCGCGACGGGTGGTGACACACAGACGTGATGCTCTGTCGAAGACCAAGACAGAAGCGAGTGGACTTGTCAGCCTCACCGGACACCGAGAGTAACGGACAGCTCGACAAGGGGCTCGGAGCATGCAGCGGCAGTCGATGGTAGACGCCACACTGCTGGTTAACGTTCAAGTTCGTTCGTCGTGTCATCCTCTTCAAGATCGAGCCCACTGTCAGCCGCATATGCACATGTCCAAATCGTCGCCCACATGCAGCACAGCTCGGACGCGCTTCGCAAGTAAGTATGCCTGCGTCAGCCTCTCGTTGTTGTCAGTTGCTGCGCTTCCCTGTAACGTAGGTTATTGTACCACACCATTCGAATTGTGAGCAATTGTGCCATTCAAGTAAGCAACAGACCACGCAAGTCCCGCAACCGGTTGCCAATGACCGACGCTGCACCCAGTCCGCGGCATCCCGCCAATTGAACATTCGAAAGCACGAATACATTCCAAGACAGTATAATACACCATTCACGCTACGAGCCGACAATCGAGCTATGATACACGCTACAACCTTTTGCGTTACGTTGCCTCGTCATGCTACAGCCATCGTACACACGCATTCACATTTCTTTCCTTCGTTCCAAGAAGCCAAGTCCGATCGCGCCCTCACCACACCTGCAGTTTTCCCCGCCCTCGTATCGAGCACCACCCCAAGGTACCCCTCCGCTGCAAGGCGACACCCGACTCGCTCACACTCCGCACCGCTCCGCCGACAAGCCCGCACGCTGGCGTCGCACGACAGGCATGACGACCTCCTCCACGAGGGCCCACGCGCCGAGCATGGCGCGCTCCGCGTCGGCGGCGGCGCGCTGGAGGTGCGCGAGGGTCGCGCGGTGCTCCGCGAGGTGGGCGTAGACGGTCTCCCAGTCCGCAGGGGACAGGTTGGGGTTCGGGGGCGGCGGCGATGGGAGGGAGAGGGAGGCGAGGGCGGAGAGGGGGTCGGTGGGCAGGGAGGTGATGCAGTCGGCTTCGGGCAGGGAGGTGGCGTGGGCGGGGGAAGGGTGCGAGTTGATGCTGAGGAGGCAATGTTGGCAGACGGGGGCACCCTCGGCGTAGAGCTCCGTCGTCGCGCCCGAGAGGCTCCAAGAATGCGCTGAGCCACGACGGTCCTGGGCGTGCCACCGACGCGCGGCAAGGAGGTAGTCGGGGTTGTACCTGCGCAGGCGCGGTCGCGTGCCGGGGCCCGACTCGAGCCGCCGCCGTCGCGCGAGGCATTCCTCTGCATCGAACGCAGATGCAGTACGGACATAAACATATGGAGGGTCTTGCACATTAACTGATAGGGACGCACCTTCGACGCGCGCTGTGACGCGTCGCTCCTCCTGCCTCGCCTCCATGTCACGCGCGACGTCCACGGGGAGCACGGGCGGGTGTATGGCCGGCTCGGTGGGGCGTAAACCATCGGCGGGTGAGCCATCATGGGCATGCTCACGTCCTGCGCCCCCTCCTTCCTGCCGGCGTGGCCACGGAGTGGGCCATGGCGCCCGTCGCCAGTCGCTTCGACGCGCATAGGAGCGACGGACGACGCGCGCGACTCGGCCTCCCAGTCTGCCTCCCATCCGGAGTCGTCCTCGTCCATCGTGCACGCGGCGGCCTTGCGTCGGAGGTGGGGTGGGAGCCTGACGAGGCGGGGTGGTGTGGCTGCGGGGGACGCTGCGGGGTACAGACGATCGGGATCAGTGGGGTTCGATCAGGGCGGGGCGTCGGCAAGCCCCCCAGGCCAAGGGCGAGGACCTACTGCGCAAGCTGGACCCTCCTCCTGAGGCCGAGTTTCGTATGTGGACGTCGGCGTCCGCGCCGCAGCTAGAGTTGGGCATCGCTATTTATGTGGGCGTGGGCGTCCCTGAAGACAATGGCAGTCGTTGGACGCGCCGCGTAGCGAGGGCGACGGGAGGACCGAGCAGGAGGGAGGGAGAGGGACGCGTCGACGTCTTTGGCCTGCGGACGCGGAAGCGCGCTCAGAGTCATGCTCGATGAATGGGATGGGTCTTCTTTCGCCTCGGTTATGTCTTCCTCGGCCCGAATCCCGGAACGCGCCAATCCTCAATATGTACGATGGTTGTGGAGGGCATGGCGCACTCGGGGACGGCACACTGATGATACAGGGATATATATAAGTTGAGATGACTGTTCATGTGAGGGACAAGAAGTCTCTGAGGTATTAAAGGCGCGTACCACCCCGCCACATCGACCATCTAGAGACGGAGCGCAGGAGCGACGTATGTAGCACTCCGCCGGCCGCAAATGGACTCACAGGGATCGGACCGGAGATCACTGCGCCGGTCAGCGTACTGTAACGTTTCGACCATAGGTTCGCAGGGTGTGACCTGTGACCAACGAACTAGCGAAATCCCCAGTTCACCAGTGGCCCGGGCAGGCGGCGGGTGGCCTGACCGGTTCTCCTATGTACTTAGTATTGGTATAGACTGGCGCTTCAAAAAAAAACGCGCGCGTCCGTTGACGCCTGCCCACAGCCACAAGTTGGACGTGGAGACCACAGCCTCTTTCCCTTCGAGCGTGTGGCGGATCTCCGGCGGCACTCTGCCAGACGTACCATACCCAACCGTGCACTCCTCGTCAACGACGCTCTCCGCCGTAAGTACGACGTGTCGCGTTTTGAGGCGAACCTGCAACGCGGGCGGAATCTCCACGACGAACAGCGTGCCCTTGACGACGTTGTTATGGGAGCCTGCTCCGACGTAGAGGAAGCCCTTGTCATATCGGATGGGGAACGTGCTTGCAGCTCCCGGCGCCTCGTCCGTCGTGAACAGTAGTCGGTGCTTGTTCCGCCCAACGCACAGCGGGGTCTGACCCGCCATCAACTGGAGCGTCCCCGAGCTCCATACATCCACGCCGTCCGGCTTCCGCAGTGCCTCCACGAGCTGCGCGTACGTGAGGTTCTCCCTGTGCTTCATCCGCGTATACGCGAGCAAGTGGAATGTAAACACCCCGCGCGGCATCCCGCCGATGATGTGCTCCTGCGCCGTCTGGTGTGGTTGGCACGCCGCGAGGAGGACATGCGAGCGTGCCTCCGGATCTGAGAACCCGGACTCAGGTGGCGCAACGGGGACCATTGTGACACCACGACCAGCCTCCGGGTCTTGCCAAGCCCAGATGTGTTGATCAAGGGTCTCGGGGATAGGAGGACGGGGCACCCAGCTCTCCGTCGAGAGATGCCGCGTCTCGCTCGTGCTCTCGCTCGGAGGCCCGCTGCGGTGCATGCCTCCAGAATGGCAGCAATCGAAGATGGCCACCTGTAGATACGAGCGTAAAAATATTCACGTCACTACAGCGCAAGCCAACACAGTGATCGAGTGAACGTACGATGTTGTCTCCCTTCTCGTGAGCCAGCCGGCGCATCAGGCCCCCAAACGTCCGGTCAGGAATGCCAATGATAGGCTGACCTCCCTCGTCTGGCATTCCTTCGTCGTGCGCACAGATCAACTCGACCATATTCAGTCGACCATCGGTGGTGTTCCAGCTCGAGGGTGCGCTCCTGCGGTCGCCATGGCCTGCATAGTAGATGATAATCGCGTCGCCCCGTTCGATATTTGGGTTGTGGATAAGGTGGGAGAAGAAGGTGTCGATGATGTGTGTACGCGTCGCCCTCTCGTTCGTCAGCCGGACGGTCTGGTTGCCAGGGACCCTCAAGGTGTTCGTGAGGTAATCGCAGAAGTCGTCGCCGTCGCTCACACAGCCACCAAGATTCTTGATCTGCGAATGCTGGTAGACGTCGATCGCGACGACGAAAGCCCAGATGCGAACTGGGTCGTCATGCGGTGCCTGGGCCGCACGTCGTGTTTCCGCTATGGCACAAGCCCTAATATAGTGGCAACATCAAGATGCTGTCAGCATGAAAGTATGAGCTTGACCTGAAGATGCCATTCGCGACGGTCCGGGTCCCCGAACGGACGGCCGACCTTTTCGCCCTACTGGATCAAGTATGATCAGGAATCTCGGCGAAGGAAGGAAAACAGAATGAAGTAGCGCACCTCCGCTTGGTGTAGGCTTCGAATAGTCGATGACGCTTCAAGCATTCTCTGATCCTTCACGGCGGTTAGCCCGTCCGGTTTGCATTGCCCGGCCATGAAAGCCCACCTATAGTTCTTCCGGCCCCGTTGAGCATTGGGAGTCGCCCACGATGACTTCATTCCGTACGAACAGCACGCTCGGCGGCGGATGTGCAAACCGAGTTAGCGACGTACCGACGATATGTGGAGTAGGGGGTTGCATGGTACAGACCTTGGGTACCCTGAATCCTGGTACACCCGTGCGATACTAGGAAACTGTGCAGACCGGTGCAAGAAACGGTGCTTGACTTTATGGAGACAATTCTGCAGCGCTCGGGCACAGTGCCCTTGCCGTATATACTGGAGAGTGCATCAGAACCTGATAGGAAAGGAAGTCGGAAGATAAGACCGGCGCACTATGTACGGGTCACCGCCTCCCCGTCCTTCTCTTCTCTCTCCTTCCATCATGTCTCTACCTCACTAGTACACCGCACCTGTCCCAGCCGCGAGCGCGCTACCGTTGAGGAACCTGGCGTATGAGCGAAGAGTTGGCATGCATCGCGCAGTGGATCTAGACGTACATTGCGCATCTGACGCGTGTTGAATGTCCCGCGCGAAGGCGCCCTGTCAGTCGCGGTTGAACAGGGATGCTTGCATGAACTCGGTGGCAACTTGCCCAGCACAGCACACGGCGCTCAACACCGTCGGAGTCAACGTAACCATCATTAACACGACGATCCACGCGGCCATCTAGTGATCCGCCAGCTCGCACGCGGCGAGGAGCCACACGAGGCCCGCGAGGAAGTGAGGGAGCCCGCCGAAGAGCGTGACGAAGGGGAAGAAGAGCATCAGGGAGGAGGGCCCACCCCACCACGCCGCGGTGCAGGACGCGGTGATATACGTCGAGCCTGCGGACCCTGCAAGGTCGGGCACGGCGATGAGCTGGATGTTGGAGTGCGCCGGGGGAGGCGAGAAGGGCCCGTGGATGGCGCGGGAGTGAGAGTCGGAGTGAGGGCGTAGAGAAGGGAGGTGCGTACGCGGAGGAAGATCTGTAAGCAATTGGTGGTAAGACTGATCGCGGGGTTGGTCGTCAGCCGAAGGATTCCTCGAACGCAGGACCTCCATTCAGAGGCTCGCAAAGAAGAGGAAGCAAAGACCCGCAGGAGAGAGCATGACGGACCATGGCCCGAGGTATTGGGTGCGGTGGCTCCACGATCACGGACCCACTCCTACCCACTTTTGCCATCAGCACGACTGCACAAGTTCGTCGCCCTCCCGATACACTTAGACTGAGAGAACGTTGTTGACATACGAGTTCCGGGTGCCAGTGCCAGTGCTATGCGTGCGCCAGCGAGTGGTAGAACCGTGTAGTATGCAGCCAAGGAGTGCGCGGTCGGCGGCGACGCATCATAGGCCGTACTTAATACTTTCTATGGCTAGCTCACGCGGCCACTGGCCGGGGCGGGGTAAGATGCACAAGATCAGGATTCGGGAGGAGGACTGGCGACAGCCTTTCTCCAAGCAACCGTCAAGTCAAGGACTCCAGCGAACTGCGAGAAACCCCAAAGGCTCTGGATCCACCAAGTAATTACCGCCGATGTCTTCCCGGAGCTGACCCGCGGCGCGAGCCTCAGCGCAGGGCTCTTCGCGCTCCGCCGTATGCGCGCTGTCACCGCGTGGTTCCCCGCTTCGGTGAACATCCATCGGAGCCTCGCGAAGCTGACGCGGGACATCACACCAGCAACGATCTACGTCGTCAGTACCTCGTCCTGGACTCGCAGTCGGTGTCAACGCTTGACGTGCTCACGGACCACCTCCCCACGACGCTAGGACTCGGAGAAGGCAGAGCAACGAGGGCGAATCAAATGTTCAAGACCGCGCCTGAAAATCCCGGTGAAAGCCACCGGTACGATACTTACATTCCGAAACAGCGTTGTTGACCTTGATCTATCGTGCACACGCCCGGAACCCCAACGAGGCTCCCCGTCCCAGATTCCAGCCCCGATGCCGGCGTTCACGAATTAGAGGATGCGCTGCAGGTAAGTCCTACGCGCGACCTGTCATATCCATCTGGTCACGGTCTTGATTAGGGATCCACCGGGGTCGTCGGGACCGCGAGGAAGTGCTGCGGGTGCTCTGGCGTGCGGAGCACCTCAGTCCCCATGTGGATCCGACGTTCCGGTCCAGTGTGCCTGCTAGCGCGTCCCATGGTAAGATCTACCCCTAGGCACCACCGCCGGGCTTGCCGCTCGCGGTCTTGGAGGACCTGAAGACGACCATCGACGCTTGAGAAGGAGCTGACAAGCAGTCTTCGGACTTTTCGGCTGGGGAGCGATCGATCTGCATGCAAGGCCCGCCAGCGTTCTCCCGAGTTGACGGACTTTGGCGCAGAGGCTCTACAGACCAAATACGGTGTTTTGCTGTGAGTAGTGCGCGACGTCGTAATGCTCAATCATACGTTTCGCCGCAGTTGAAACTGCCTCGTCGAGCGCAGGGCGCTGGCATACTCAGCAAGCCACAGAAGGGTCGATCCTCTGACAAGATTGCGGCGTTCGCCAAGTCGTGTTGAACCAATACCTGCGAGCCCGATCTTCCTCTGCGCGACCTTGAAGTTGACTTCGTTATCGAGTTCAGTGCTAGCATACACGGGTATATGGGTCAATAGACGCGTATGGCCCCCCCAGGCTCTCTATATGCGGATCAGCCGCCAGCGAAGCACCTGCAGACCCGCAAGTCGGACATCCTCTCCCCTGTGCGAGCCACCTCAGTCACAGATCTAGATATCCAGTACTATGTAGTACCTGCAAACTAGATTTATAATGCATTATATACGTACTAATAGTAGTACTCAGCACTAACAGTAGCACACTTCACTAAAATGTGGGCACTCTATAAGCACTAACTATTACAGCACTACACAACGAGTACTAAGAAAACGGCACTACAGTAATACTACAGTAATGGTATGAAGATCACGCACTACAGAAACAGCCATAAGAATACAGCACTAAGGGGGTGGCACTAAGAACACAGCACTAAGAAGATGGCATTAACGAGGAGGTACTACCAAGCAGTACTACAGTAGCGGTACTAAGACGATCTAAGCAGACAGTACTAAGAACTTGGCTCTAGGGAAACAACACTAAAGTTATGGCATTACGAAAACGGCACTACAAAAGATGCATTACAAACATGGCACTACAAAAGAGTATTAGAGACACAGCACTACAAACACGTACTAAGAACGCAGTACTACAAAAACGTTCTAAGAACGCAGTACTACAAAAAAGGATCAAGAACGCGGGGCTACAGAAACGGTACCAACGGAAGCGACCTACATCCTGAGCATTTTGGTTGCCGACATCAAGCAGAGGACCGCGCTTTCCGAGCTTTCCAAATGCGAGCAGGATCCGGCCACTCCGGATCGTCGATATAATCGAAGTTGTCTGCCAGACCGTCAGATAGCACTAGGATAGTCAATGAGAAGAACGCACCTGTCAACCAATTCAGGTCTTCCAAGTCCTGAAGGCCCCATTTCGCCCACACCACGTAATCGCCTTTGCGCAGGCGAAAGCGAGCGTCGATGAGATTCTCAACGTGCATATAGCGCCACTTTCCCTCGGGACTGAGCCACACGGCGATCGGGTCCATGAGGTCGAGGCCAGACGCTGTACAGATCGCCGTGAAGGAGACCCTGTGCGCATTCAAGTCGAACTCGGAGCGCTCTGGTGGCTCGCCATCCTGTACAATACTCGATCAGTAAGGGTACTACGAAGGATCCCAATTGTGAGTAACACACCTTGGCATATGCCCATACGACCACGAGGGCTTCCTCCAGAGACAGCGAACGCGCACGCGACGTACTGGGACGAGGATCCACCGGAGATGAGGTTCGGACAGGAGACGACGTTGGGATGGCCGAATGCGAAGAGGATGGTTCATGCAAGCCGATTGAAGGATCATCGTCACTGTCATCTACGGTGAGGTCAATGACATCGTCGTCAATGTGGGGCCCAGTGTGGATGGGGCGATCACGTTTTGGGGCCACAGGCGACGAGGTAGGCGGCGCGCGACGACGCAACGCACTCTGAGGTTGCACCACAGGAGCGGAAGGCCGTGGTTCGCTGCGAGGTAACTTCTTGAATTGTGGCGGTGGCAACGGGCCATCCAGCGCCTCCCAGTAAGACGCAGAGTTCTCGGACTCTTCGTCTGACGACTCTTCCACATCAATTACGTCTTGTAGCGCTGCAAATTGAGTGGGGTTGCGCTGCGTGGTCCCCGGAGGAAGTCGTGGCCGAGGAGGGCCGACGAGGTTCAAGGGACGGTGATGCTCAATGTGTACAGACGCACGCTGGTCAGAGTGGTTTGGAGCGAGCTGCCTGTGTTCGATGTGAGGCTCCACATCGCGTTGCTCACAGAAGTTGCGAGCTTCGCGGTCCAATTGGGTCCGTTGGGCATGCAATCGTCGTTCCTCGTCAGCATAGAGCTTGAGCTGATGGTCTTGTTCGGCAGCTTGATTGCCTCCCGTAGCGGGCTTCTTCTTCTCGTACCTCTTGCGTGCACTCTCAGTGGCTCGCAGCCGCTGTAGGACGTCTCGCATCCGAGTGATCAGCGCGCGTTCGTCTGCGCCCACGGGATCACTCAGGTATTGGACTTTTCGTGCCTTCGGGCAACTAGCTTGGGTACACTATGCACACAATCAGTGAGGTATGTATGGGGCAACGGGAGCGAAACGCACAATTCCAACCCATCTTGCCACATTCTCTGAGTCGTACTGTAATTGCTTGAACGGGCGATGTCGACAAACTAGTTCGTGGACCTCGGGCTGCGAGAGCTCGCGCGCGAAATTTTTAAGATGGCTGTCCAGCGCATCCTTCGTGTCCTTTGTTCCCGAAGGGGTCGAGGATGGACCAGCCGACGCAATGGCGGCCCTTGACGTCGACGAGCGCATCTTCGCTCGGGGAGCAGGACTCGGCGTGGGTGGCGGCATTGGACAGAAGTTATCGCGGGGACTGGGGCTCACGGGGAGACGCAGACGGCTCACCTTTATCAGCGGCGAGGTTATTGTTCGCGAGAACAGTGACCCGAGGTCATGTTGGTGGCACGAACCAAATGCGGACAAGTTAAAGAAGGTCAAAGCGTCGGTGTGGCGGAAATTGATACTCCTCGGCACGCCGGGGCCACCGACTACGTACGCGAGGCTATTGTTCGCAAGGAGAGTGGCCCGAAGTGGTTTGGGTGGCACGGCGAACCAAAACGGGGCCGGTCGAACAACGTGTAAGGTCAAGGCGGCGGCGCAAGGTAATGGAGCTCTCTACGACGGTCACAGCGGCTACAGTGTTACACATACGCAAACCAAGTACCAAAACATGTCTATGACGAACCATAGTAATGATCATGTCTCCCCTCGTTCCATAGCGGCATAGTCACGTCTCGGCCTGCAGCTACCGTTAGCGAGATTGTCGTCCGTGAGGGTAGGGACTTACCTGGCACGCTTCGGCCGAGTACTCGGCTCGGCGACCTGGTCTCCAGCGTCGACCTCCTTCCTCTTCTTTCCCCGGCTCGCGGACTGTCCAGGGGTAGCCGAGCTCGCAGGGGCCGGATCGGTTTGAGGCGCCTGCTTGCGCTGATTAGGGTGGTCGACCTGCTTTCCCTTGGGCTTCTTGGTGTTCTTACGACCCTTGCGAACTTTAGTAGATGCGGCTCCATCGCGAGCTCCAGTGTCGCTGTCGATGTCGAGAAGGGGTGCATTCGTGTTGACGGTGTCTCCCCCTTGATGGACATCTTCGTCGGCGACATGAGCCTCATCGGCGCCCGCAGAGTCATCGCGCGTCGTGGGGCTGACCGCAGCGTTTGCAGTGATTCCAACATCGCGCGTGGGGTGTGGCTGGACCTGTAGTTGAGGGTCGGGTGCGTCCACGCTCTCCAGGTTGGCGTGGGGGTCCTTGGGTGGCTCCTCCTCGCCACTCGCCGCTTTGCCATCGTGCACAGTAGGCACCTCATCCGCCGACGATGAGGTCACAGCCACACCGCCAGTGAGGTGTTCTGGCTGGTTCGTTTGGGGCAAGGCAACGCGCTGTGGCTCTGGCGCGTGCTGATCGTCGACCGCGGGTTCGGAGTGGCTGGCATTGACAGTCTCGACGATCGCCGCTGATGGTGCTACACATTATTCAGTGGTACCTACTCGATACTAACGGTACAGCCGGAGTGCATTTCGACCATTGCAAACGGTAGAGCCGCCTCCGGCCGGAGCTGTGATTTCCTTGTTGCAAACAGGCCGGCCGGACTGGTTTCAAACAAGCCGGCCGAGCGTATCTCAAACCAGTTCAAACAGTCCGGCCGGTGTATCCCTAGGGCACCTATTTTCTGTCTGAACAGGGGGGCCATTTAGTGTCTTGCTGGCAACGGACCGGCCGGGCAATAAGGGGTTTTAATTGTAACAGATCAACCGGGATACTCTTTCTCCTATGGTAACGAACCGGCCGGGAAATGGGATCCTTCATTTGTAATGGGCCGGCCGGAGTGCATAGTTCACCAGTTGCAATGGGCCGGCCGGAGCACATGCTCCCTGGCTGATAACAGACCGGCCGGGTTGCATCATCTCTAGCTGGCAACGGAGCGGCCGGACCATTTTTCCACATTGATAGCAGGCTAGCCAGGCCATATAATCTAGCACTCCACACTGGTAACGGTCCGGCCGGGCAGTGGCACCATCCATTGGTAACGGTCCGGCCGGGCAACAGTATTGTGACCCAGTATTGGCTGGGCCAGTCAACAATAGACCATACTCCCTTAGAACAGCCTACTAGTAGCATGTATTATATGTCCACAGTGCATGCCCTATCACATTGCCTGAGCTGTTAGCTCACTGGCCAGCCATGCAAACACTGGCCGAGGGCATTCAAAAACCTTCGGCCTATTGTATTATGATACAGAGTGTGATTTGAATGATTGTATATGTAAGACCATCACTAATGGAGCCCAACATAGTGTTCCCACATTTTAAAGGGGCTTAGTGAAGCTGCCACCAGCCAAATTAAATGGCCGGACATCTCAAAACATCGGCCGGGCATTTTAGTTCATTGGCCGAAGCTTTTAATTCATTGGCCGAAGCTTTTTATTCATTGACCGAAGCTTTTCCTTCATTGGCCGAAGCTTTTTCTCACTGGCCGAAGCTTTTTCTCACTGGCCGAAGCTTTGGATTGACCGGCCGAAGCTTCTACTTCACCGGCTGGCGAAAACAAAAATGGCCGGCTGGTGGGCAGAACCGGCCAGGCTGTTGAATTACTATATGTGGAAATGTGGTATTGTCTGGGAGCCCTTCATTCGCAGAGTCTAGTATTGATTTCCTAGTGTTCAAAGGTACATAGTTAGGCCAGGATATGCAAGACAAGATTTACTACTCACAGGCTTCTTTGCAAAACATGTTATTCAATTCCTGAAGCCAATATTCTTTGCCCACACTGTTTGAAAATCTAGAATGTGTTATCACAATGCATAGAGTAGATCCCCAAAAGGAATAGTCTTATTCTATGAAGCTGAATGCAGGACAACAAATAAGGGGTATACAGGTATGGTATACATGTTGACTTCCTGCAGCTAATGTTCTTTCCAAACAGTGTTTTACCATCTAGAATAGTTCATTGACCCACAAGGAATCAGTCCTCCAAAGGAATAGTCTTATTCACACAAGCTGAAGGCAGCACAGAGTTAAGGTGAGGGTGGGTATATGGGTATACATGTTATACTGTGTTCACATCCTGAAGCCAATATGCTTTGCCCACAAGGTTTGGCAATCAAGAATGGCACAGAAACATCTACCCACTGTTGGTAATGGTCCGGCCGGCCAATCCTCATAGGAGATGGTCCGGCCTGTGCATGATCCCCTTAACTCTGTACCACATTCAGCTCATGTGAATAAGACTATTCCTTTGGACGACTCACTCCTTGTGTGTAATGAACCATTCTAGATTGTGAAACTGTGTTTGGAATGTAGATTGGCTGCAGGAAGTCAACATTGTTTGACATGTATACTATACCTTACCCCTTATCTCATGTTCTGCATTCAGCTTCGAAGAATAAGACTATTCCTTTTGGGGATCTACTCTATGCATTGAAATAACACATTCTAGATAGTCAAACAGTGTGGGCAAAGAATATTGGCTTCAGCAGTTGAATAACATGTTTTGCAAAGAAGCCTGTGAGTAAATCTTGTCTCGCATATCCTGGCCTAACTATGTACCTTTGAACACTAGGAAATCAATACTAGACTCTATGAATGAAGGGCTCCCAGACAATACCACATTTCCACATATAGTAATTCAACAGCCCGGCCGGTTCTGCCCACCGGCCGGCCATTTTTGCGCACTGGCCGGCCATTTTTTGCCGAGCACCGGCTGTTTTCGCCGGCCGGTGAAGTAGAAGCTTTGGCCGGTCAATCCAAAGCTTCGGCCGGTGAAGAAAAGCTTCGGCCAATGAAGTAAAAGCTTCGGCCAATGAAGTAAAAGCTTCGGCCAGTGAATTCAAAGCTTCGGCCAATGAACTAAAATGCCTGGCCAATGTTTTGAAATGTCCGGCCTATTGATTTGGCCCTGTAGGGACAACCTGGCTAATTTGATGGCCAGTAAAGCAAAAACCTGGGTGAGTGAAATCTCTGGCCAGTTAATTTGGCCAGCCAGTGGGGCTGTTTTGTGTTTTACAGCTTCACTAGGCATCCCTAAGTCATGGGAAAATTATGCTGTGATCTACTAATGATGGTATACCCCATAGGTGCATAATACATATAGTATTTCAATAGCCCCCAGGGGGCTGTGACCGGCCGGACCGTTTGAAGCAGGACAACTCCTGCCCGGCCGGCCTGTTCGTGGAGTCAGTTTGTTTAGGCTGGCCAACCCATTCTGGACCAGATAGACTTCACTCCGGCCGGTCCGCTTGCAATGAAGGGATTTTATCCTGGCCGGAACATTTGAAGTGGTGGGGCCTGAGTCTGGCCGCTCTGTTTGCAACGTGGACCGGCCGGCCGCTCCGTTGCATGTGCTAACCCTGCCCTCCACCCGGCCTGTTTGCAGTGATGTTGTATGGGTCCGGCCGGACCGTTGCCTATACAGCCGGACTGTTTACAACAGGTACATTACCCTGGCCAAAAGCCCGGCCGGCCTGTTGCAAGCGGTGCATTGTTGCTAACGGTAGACCCGGACTACTCCGGCCGGAGGCGGCTCTACCGTTTGCAACGGTCAAAATGCACTCCGGCTGTACCGTTAACAGCGAGGTTTTCCACTGAATGGGCTCGGTGCTATGGCAGCGTCGCCACTATCGAGCCGTTCATCCGGGTTGGTTTGAGGTGACGCGACACGCTGTGGCTCTTGCGCGTGTTGGTCGTCGACCGCGGGTTCAGAGTGGCCGGACTCCACAGTCTCGACGATCGTTGAACTCTCCGATGTGCCTCGAGATACTTGGTCGCGAACTGGATCGGTGTGCTCCGATGGGCCCGCGGGCGCAGGGACTGGTCGGGATGATCCTGCAGGCCCAGCGACCATCTGAGTGTTCACCGGTCGCAGCTCCAGATCACGCGTCTTGAGCATATATGCGTCCATTCTGTCCGCAATGCGCTCATTCTTAATGTATGTCGATAAGTCGTCACGTCCTCCCTTGCCGGCACTAGCACTGCAGGATGTTAGCTAAGGAGGATTGATCATCAGCCAGTCACCTACGTGAATTTCCTTGCTCGTCCCTCAGCATCGACCCACCCGAGGTATACGAAGACGTCCATGCCGGAGTTTTTGGCCCATTCATCGACGGACGCATGCGCAGTATATCTAATACGGCTCTGCATCCTTGCGGGATGTCAACTCGTGTTCGTCATGCATCATGAAGGACATAACTTACTCCTCGAGCGGTGCCACCTTGGGGCTACTCTCAGCGATGTCCTCGTCCTTTCCCTCGTCGTCCTCGCCGGCTTCGTCGTCTCTCTCCTCGCCGTCGCTCTCGCTGTCCTCACCTCCGGCTTTACCTTTGCCCTTTCCGCCTTTTTTCTCGCGCATTTCCCGCTTTGACGCTGCAGACGCACGCTCGAATACATCCCACGCTTCCGGATCCTCAGTCTGCATGCGCTTGGCGGCCTCCGATACAGCGATCGCGGCTGCTCTGGAGAGTTCCGCTCCCACCGTGACCCCATTCGCCGTAGCTGCCTCCCTGGCAGCCTTGGCTACCTCAGGGTGAGCGCGTTTGAAGAGGTCCCGCGCACTCTTGGCTCGCTTGCGGCGCTTCTGGGACTGCTGGGTAGGTGGAGTAGGGAGCTCGAGGAGACGCGGAGTCGAAGATACTTGCTCTTGAATCCAGGCGCGGTGGTTTTCCATCCACTTGACGATTTTCGTCTGTGAGCAGTTAGGGACGAACGTGAATGACCAGGATAGACCCAACGCACCCTCCTGCGCGCGCCGCACCGCTCAAAGCACTCTTCTTCCGTCTCAAGGCGAGGTGGCTTGTTGGGCTCCTCGACCGTCGCCAAGATGTTGGGGTCGAACTGTGCGGCGAACTGATCGGCGACTGTCCTCGCGGTCTGGTTGTAGTTGCCATTCGGGCCGGCAGCCTTCCAGGCATCAACAGCTGTCTTCACCAACCATGAGTGCTGGTCTATGCCGCGCTTGGGTTCGACGATGCAGGTATAACACTTCGGAGCGGATGTTCGGCGAGGCATGATTGATGAGCGACCAGGGGAGGGACGGGCGTGCCACTCACATTATATACGTTGGCGTGCTCGCCGAGGGCCACCAGGTGCACCACTAAACAAAGCAACAAAGCAACACAATGTCAGCGGTGAATTCGATCGAGGTAACAGGAACGCCACCAAACAGGGTTGAGCCACTTATCCTCTTTGGGCGATCAAAGCGTCGTCGGGGCCACCACACCCGTATCAGCCATAAGTTCGCTTAGTACGTCTGTCTATATATGTACATGGTAGTCGGGGTAGCTAATTACGTCGTCGCATTACACACTGTACTGGAGAACGGAAGGGAGACGGTGTCGAATGGTACACTACGGGGGAGACACGAGTTGCACGGGAGGACATGGCAGACGGTCAAACTTCGACGCGAAGGTTTTGACATAGAACTTGAGTGCAGTGGCCTCAACTGCGTCGAAGTGCCCTGCATCGTCGCAATCCCCTATGGTGGTGGCGTTTGCTCGCACCATCTCGGGCACTTGTGGCCACGCACTCATGACCCGCAAGAGAGCCTGAAGGTTCCTTCGTCGACCCTGCCAACCTTCCTCGCCTGCAGGTGTCCAACAGAAGGCGGGGGAGGAGACATCGACGACCGAGAACGCGGTTTGATGAAGCGAGGAGCGCCACACTTCAGCAACTCGTTGCTCACGTTCCCACTGGCGAAAGGCGTCGTCCGAATGGTCGACGAGGAGGTTGTCGAGGGCGCGCAACTCACAACGCCAGTTGGTTTCGTAGAGCTCCCAAAGCACCAATGTCTTCAACATGTGGTTGGTTTTGGCGGCCTCGAGAGTGACTTTCATCCCGCGATACGACGACACGTTCCGTTCGTCGTAGGAAAGCAGCGAGCCGCCTTTGGCGAAGAGCCGACGCACGCACTGCGATCGCTCGTAGAGATAGCTACGTTTCTGCGAATCCGACGACGGCGGATTACCCGGTGCTTGAACCTCTTGTCCCGTCTTGTCCTTCTCGTCGTGATCGTCGAGACGATAATCGCCATGCAGCACATGACGCCAATCGGCGATACGCAAGGGTGTCCCATTGATGGCGGCGTCGACGAGACGGTGCCTGCAATACTCACGAATCCGCGTGAAGTTGTGGATGTACCGCGCTTTTTGAGTCTCCGCATGGTACACGACAAAGGGAGGGGGAAAGAAGTATTCGAGGGCGACAGGAGGGGGGAACGGGAGTGGCGACAGATCGGACAGGGCAGCAGTCCAGTTAGGACTGAGCCTGACAAGATCCGAGGGAGGCGCCTCGAACGTTGTGGCGGGATGTGAGTCTGGTGTCTTGGCCCCTCTTCGACCCCCCCGCGCCCGTTTGCCTCTCTTTTTCGAGTTGCGAGTCTGCGGTGGAACCTGAGGACCTGCCATAATTGGCTTGGTGGCGTCATCGCCCTTGTGCCTCTTAGCGTCGCTTTCCACGCCGTCAGGCCGCGCGAGTACCTGGAGTCGAGGCAATGCCGAGGAGCACAGAAGGTTGCTCACGAAGATGACGGATGGGTGCGTCCAGCGTGAGGGGTCCTGATGGGTGCCGTCCGGGTCGTACCAGCTCTTGGGGATTCGCGGCCAAGCAGGTTCGTCACTGAGCTCGGTCTGCCAATGACAGGGCTTCACAACCTTGCGGATATAGATGTCAGCCGACCATGGCCGAATGTACCAGAAGGGCACACCGACACGATGGAGCAGCTGGGCGGCGGCGTCATTGCGAACAAAAGCACCCAGTACCTTCAATGGTGTGCGCGGAAGGGGGTGCACGTGGGCGACGCGGGGGACGACGATGCTGTAATACACTGATAGACCCGCAAGTTCGAGGATCAGGCGGTGAGCCATCCTCGCTGTCACCAACGTGTGCAGCTCAGTGCTGGGCAGTGCTCTAAGTCGGTCGACGGCGTTCCTCAAGAGAAGGCACAGCATGCCGCCCAGGCGTCGATCGACAGACGATTGATGGGATCCTATGTCCTCGCGCTGCCGCACGAAGGAATCGGCCTGCTCGTACTGCATGATGGTGCGCGCCGCAATTTTATGCAGCTCCTGCAACACGTCCGACTTCAGGTATCCAAATCCAAGTACACCACAAGTCGGCGATTCCTCCCAGGGATCATAGCCGAGTCCATCGTACACTTGATTCCCGGGTGCGTAATCCGAGTGCCTGGTCGGAATACAGGCATGGTGGACGCAGCCTTCGTTGTACATCTGCGGCCAGCGGGTGTACTCCTGGGGTCCCCAGAGACCATCCCTGAACGTGACGATCTCCCGGCCCGCAATGCGTGGAAACTCGGGGATCCAGTCCATCCACGGTGTCGTAATGATATTGCAATGGTCTTCTGCGTCGGCAGCGCAGCGTGCATCGAAGGGCCCCAAGCTAGAGCGTCTCTCTGCGTTCATTAGCCAGAGAAGAATCTGCCGCATCGGAACGTCATACCTGACTCGGGGGAGGGGTTGAGCACGAAGGTGGACAATTGGATGCGTCGGTGAAGATTAGCATCGGCCATATTGGACCCAGCTACGGTGCGGCACATTAGTCGATTCCGCGAATTAAAGGAAGCGCATAGGCCGCATACCAATATACTGCGTCCGATGTACGCAACTCCGGCGGAGTAGTTGCAGCGCCGTGGACCGTGTGGCTGGACCAACATCGCATGTCAGAATCATTGACAAGATCTGAGGACCCTTCCGCACCTTTGTGACGCGTTGTATCAATTCTAAGGCGTCGTCTGAGAGAAAGCCCACGCGTTCTCGGGTTTGTCAAATCTTAGCAATGCTGACCTCAGTCGTGCACGCGTCAGCAGCCTTCGGTGGCGAGAAATATCAAGAAGGCTCACGCGTACTACCTGACACGCCGGCGAGAAGTCCGGAGTGGGTGCGGGGCAGTACTTTGAGGAAGGGAGGATGACACCCCTGGGCCGTGTTTGCTAAACAACGGACTGTGCAGGCACGCGTTGCCTTCACAGGTCAAGATCAACGCACGCAGTATTGACCCGGCAATGCCTTGACACTTGAAGTTACACGACACGTCTTAATGCGAGGGAATCGTCTTGCAGTTTCAGGTCGACGTGCCCAACGAGGAGCCCGGCAGCAGATTTACTGCGCCGTAGCCACGTTCGCGCAGGAAGATCGAAATCTTGCCTGGCCGCAGAACGATCCCTCAGGGGTTTCGGAGCGAGAGCGGAAGCGAGCAGGGGGAGAGAACGCAGTGCCGTTTCGAGCGCGAGCGGAAGATGTAAGTCTAAGTGCGACTGTGGCTGTCGGAGCGCCTGGCAAGCGTCTACCACACCGAGCTCACCCCGAGCGCTCGCACTGCTTGACCGGCGACCGCGTTCACCACTTTACCGCCCGCACCTGGCCTGCCCGCCTCCTCATCCTCCTCCTGTCCTACTCTCGTCGCGCCGTCTGCCTGCCCGTCGGGCGCCATCCCCCGCCCATCTTCCGTCTTTCCCATGTGAGGCAACTCGGACGTCCGCTTTGGTTTCGACCATGCGTTGATGTCCGGGCAGGCGAACTCCTGCTCTCAGACGAGCAGTCGAGTAAACCCAGCCAAGCTTCGAGATGCTCGCCGCCAACTATCGTCCGCAAGCCGTGCCAAACGCGCAATGATTCGCAACTACGCCCACCATAGGAATTGTCTTGGTCATCCATGAGAGGACTGAGTCTGTCCCCTGTCTGGTACGTTATTTCTCGTTGACCCAGATTCTGATACCCCAGCTCGCCAACTACGGGCGTATGACTGTCTCGATCTATGTGAGTCTCTCCATCTTTGTATCACCATGAACGGGGCTAATGTATACCGAGATCGGGGAGCATATCCTCACGCCCTGGATCCCGATTACCCGTGCTGGGGACCGCAGGCCGTCTATGCTCCATCCTGAGCTCGCCGACGGGTACTCCGCAAGGTCTAAGATTCGACGGGAGGCAAGATCACGACAACTGAGATTGTTCTCGCCATCTGTGGGTCACTGGTGCCTTCGTCATGTTAACCTAAACTGATCCTGCTGTCTATCCCTACTTCAACATCACCCCTGAAGCCGTTGATGCAGGTGGCTACAGTGGGCGAGAGGTGAAGGTGCCGTTGTGCGAGACGAGATGTCCTGCACGTGAGATGTAAGTATTTTCGTCGCCTGGTTCGCCTTGTCTACGCGTTCCCTCGACGCGGTTTTGTGTTGCAAATAGAGTTGTGCCCCGGCTCAAATGATCACATTGTGCTCCGTGTCTGTTAACGTATGTCGACTCACACGTGAACGCAGCCGATCGCCACCCCCCACGTTGGACTTCAACCAGACCCTTCGCTTTGACCGGCACTGTTAGCCACCCGCAACGTCCGCCCTGGGACGCCAGTGGCCCTGCGCAACCACTCGTCCAACCCTGCCGCTCTGATTCCCCCAGCTCTGTGGCCCGCCATTGTTGTGACGCACGTATCGTACTCTTTCAACGTCCCTCCTCGCTCCGATTCTGCTCCATACACCCTCCATGCCGCGAGCCAAGCGCAAGAAGACGCAAGACTATGTTTATGTGGACGACGGCGGCGAGCTTATTCCCGATGGTCCGGCCACACTGTCTGTCGACGTCAATGGTAACGAGACAATCGAATACTTGTCTCCAGGCATGCGGGTTGAGAAGCGCGGCGGCTGCACCACCCACGCGGACGACATACCATTACCATCCCTGCTCGAAACAATGGCCAACGGCGGCACGAACATCGCCACCCCCGATCGAACAGTGTACGAGTTTCTTGAACCCTCAGCGCTTGAAGAAGATCGTACAGAGCAACCTCAGAAGAAACCTCAGGGCCAAGTGAGTTGCAGTTCGTTGTCCCTCTGTCGCATGTGGTGTTGATTGAATTCCTAGAGCGCTCATTCCATTACGTTCGCTTTCCTGGAGACGTGGGCGCAGAAACTCTTGAACGTTTTTAGGCGACGCGAGGCTGACTCAAACATTGGGAAGCCATGCTACAAGTGCAAGAACACGGACGCCCCGTTTCGTTGCACCGAATGCTTCAACGGTCCTATGCTCTGTCGCGACTGCCTAATCGACGCGCACACCTGGAACCCTCTCCACCGTGTACAGTGTTGGAACGGACGTTTTTTCGAGCGCAAACAGCTGAGTGACCTCGGCTTCATCTTTTCCATCGGCCACCATGGGCGACCCTGTCCCTCGTCGTTTGGCGATCCTCCGACCAAGCTGACTGTCGTGCACACGACTGGCGTGCAGACAATCGCTGTGGAATACTGCGACTGTCGACACGGAGCTCAACATGTGGAGGAGCGACCAGTCCAGTTGTGCAACGCAGGCTTGTGGCCAGCGTCGTTCTTGCGCCCGCAAACCGTGTTCACCTTCCACGTCCTACGACTTTTCACGCACCTCACGTTTCAGGCGAAGACCACTGCCCACGATTTCTACGGGACTTTGCGCAGGCTCACATCTAACGCATTCTTCGGAGACGTGAAGGTGGGTGCCTTGCTGGAGTCACGGGATGATTCGCTGATATATAAGGCAGGATCGCTATCGGGAGTTCATGACGGCTCATCGGCAATTCCACTACCTGCAGACCCTCAAACGCTTCGCAGTTGACGTCAAAACGAAGCTTCCGCCGGGCTGTCTCGCACTGCGCTGCCCTGCGTGTCCACATCCGGACATCAATATCGATCCGAATTGGCGGAACCGCCCAGAGGGCGAGCAGTACAAAGACGCCCTTCACTACGGGAAAGACGGTAACTTTAGTCTTAGTCAACACGATAAGAAGATGGACCACGCCGATCCACCTCTCATGGACGGAGCGGCGTACTACGTCGACAGTGAAGCCTACCGCGATTATCTCGACAAGATGAAGGTTTATGACGACGCCCAAGACGAGACCACCACCTGTAGCAAGTTCAATGCCCTGTCTGACCGTTACAAGGGGAAGATCAAAACAGGGCAGGTTGGGTTGTCGTGTACTCGACACGGTTTCGTTCTTCCTTGTGGTACTGTCGATTTACACGTCGGCGAACGGTATGCGAACGTCGATTATGCGACCCTGTCTGGCCTACGGTGGTTTCACTCTCTTGGCCTCGTAGTTGGCTCTTACGACGTCAACTGCAAGTATGGCATACATTGGTGGAAGCGGCTGAAGAATATCGCGTCGGTTATGCCCTCGGTCCCTGGTGTGACACTTGCCAAAGAGATGTGGCCGGCTATTCGACGCTGCGTCCCAAAATGGCATCTCGCGTCACACACGGGACTGTGTCGCTATTTCTTTTCTTTCTACTACACACCTGGTGTCGGCAATACCGATGGAGAGTCTGTCGAGCGGCGTTGGGCGGCTATGAATGCCATCGGGCGATCGGTGCGGGAAATGGGCCCCGGCCATCGACAAGACGTCATTGATGCGCACAACTCGGATTTCAACGCACAGAAGATGTTCAAAATGGGTCAGTCCTTTGTGTGTGTCACCGAGCCTACTGAGTAAGATTTAACGTTCCGAACGTTAAAACCGGAGTGAGATTCGCCCGTCTCAAACGTTGCGGCCGGCGCCGGCCGGAGGGGTCCGGGTCCACGTTGCAGACGTTGTCGTTGCCAGCGATCCGGCCGGAGTGCATGCCGGCCGGCTCTGCCTCGTCTCCAACGTTGCGGCCGGCCTCACCATCCCTGAATACTGTCCCCAATGATCCACCCGGCCTGTTTTCACAGTACGTTGCAATGCTCCGGCCGGAGTGCATGCCAGCCCCGCCCCCCCTCCTCAATGCTCCGGCCGGCCTGTTTTCACCGGACGTTGCAACGCTCCGGACGTTGCAACGCTCCGGCCGGACTACACCCCGGCCGCCCCCCCCACTTCTGAACGATCCGCCCGGCCTCTTTCACCCAACGTTGCAATGCTCCGGCCGGAGGGTATGCCGGCCGGTCATCCCTCGTTCCCAACGTTGCGGCCGGAGCAGGCAGAATTCAAAATTCAAAGCGGCCAGGCAGTCCACACTGCAAACAGTCCGGCCGGTCAATAGATATAGCATTGCAAACGAGCCGGCCGGCCTCAGGCCCTACCACTACAAATGGTCCGGCCGGACTTTTTGCCGGCCGAAAACACAATGTCTCGGGCCGAGGGTATAGCCAAAACTCGGCCAAAGCAGCCAGACATTTTGCCGGCCGAGCTTTTGCTTCACCGACCAGGCAAGCATTGTCTCGGGCCAAAAAGTTGACCATTTTCTCGGGCCGAAGATTTGAGTACTGCCTCGGGCCGAAGAGTTGGGCATTTTCTCGGGCCGAAGATTTGGCCGAAGCTCGGTGAAAACAGCCGGGCTGTCAGATTGCCATATAAGGAAATTTGGTATTGACTGGTAGTACTTCATTGATAGACTATAGTATCAATTCCCTAGTGACCAAAGATGTCTAGTTAGGCCAGGATGTGCAAAACAAGATTTACTCACAGGCTTCTTTGCACAACAAGTTAATCAATTTCTGAAGCCAGTTTTCTTTTCCCACACTGTTTGACTATCTAGGATGTGTTGTTTCAATGCATAGAGTATATCCCCAACAGGAATAGTCTTATTCTTTGAAGCTGAATGCAGAACATGAGATAAGGGGCATACAGGTATGGTACCGTGCTGAACAATGTTGACTCCTGCAGACAATCTACATTCAAAACACTGTTTCACAATCTCTGATGGTTCATTTACCCATAGGGAGTGAATCCTCCAAAGGAATAGTCTTATTCACATAAGCTGAATGTAGTACAGAGTTAAGGCAAGGGTGTATGGGTATACATGTCATACTGTGTTCACTTCCTGAAGCCAATATGCTTTCCCCACAATGTTCCACAATCTAGAGTAGCACATTTCAATGCAACAAGCAAGTCTCCCAAAGGAATAGTCTTATTCTTTGAAGCTGAACTCGGGGATGAAGATAAGGTGAATATGCATTATATTGTGAGAGACATACTTTGGATTATTGTCTGTCTGGGTGTCACACTGAAATGTTGTACCAGCATGCACATTGCACTTGCCACAGAAACATTTACATTGGTAACAGTCCGGCCGGCCAATCCTCATCCTCATAGGAGATGGTCCGGCCGGAGTGCATGATCCCCTTAACTCTGTACCACATTCAGCTTGTGTGAATAAGACTATTCCTTTGGAGAACTGAGTCCTTGTGAGGAAATGAACTATTCTAGATGGTGAAACATTGTTTTGAATGTACATTGTCTGCAGGAGTCAACATTGTTCAGCACGGTACCATACCTGTATGCCCCTTATCTCATGTTCTGCATTCAGCTTCAAAGAATAAGACTATTCCTGTTGGGGATATACTCTACGCATTGAAACAACACATCCTAGATAGTCAAACAGTGTGGGAAAAGAAAACTGGCTTCAGAAATTGATTAACTTGTTGTGCAAAGAAGCCTGTGAGTAAATCTTGTTTTGCACATCCTGGCCTAACTAGACATCTTTGGTCACTAGGGAATTGATACTATAGTCTATCAATGAAGTACTACCAGTCAATACCAAATTTCCTTATATGGCAATCTGACAGCCCGGCTGTTTTCACCGAGCTTCGGCCAAATCTTCGGCCCGAGAAAATGCCCAACTCTTCGGCCCGAGGCAGTACTCAAATCTTCGGCCCGAGAAAATGGTCAACTTTTTGGCCCGAGACAATGCTTGCCTGGTCGGTGAAGCAAAAGCTCGGCCGGCAAAATGTCTGGCTGCTTTGGCCGAGTTTTGGCTATACCCTCGGCCCGAGACATTGTGTTTTCGGCCGGCAAAAAGTCCGGCCGGACCATTTGTAGTGGTAGGGCCTGAGGCCGGCCGGCTCGTTTGCAATGCTATATCTATTGACCGGCCGGACTGTTTGCAGTGTGGACTGCCTGGCCGCTTTGAATGTTGAATTCTGCCTGCTCCGGCCGCAACGTTGGGAACGAGGGATGACCGGCCGGCATACCCTCCGGCCGGAGCATTGCAACGTTGGGTGAAAGAGGCCGGGCGGATCGTTCAGAAGTGGGGGGGGCGGCCGGGGTGTAGTCCGGCCGGAGCGTTGCAACGTCCGGTGAAAACAGGCCGGCCGCAACATTGAGGAGGGGGGGTGGGGCTGGCATGCACTCCGGCCGGAGCGTTGAGCAGTGGGGGGTGGGCTGGCACGCGCTCCGGCCGGAGTGTTGCAACGTCTGGTGAAAACAGCCCGGCCGCAACATTGGAGGTGGTATTTGAGGAGGGCAGGGCCGGCCGCAACGTTGGGGACGAGGCTGAACCGGCCGGCATGATCTCCGGCCGGATCACTGGCAACGTCCACGTCTGCAACGTGGACCCGGACCCCTCCGGCCGGCGCCGGCCGCCACGTTCGAAACGGGCAAATCTCACTCCGGTTTTAACATTCGGAACGTGTAAGACACACTAAATAATGTGTGTCACCTGCCGTCACTGACATCATGCAGGCCGACATTTAGAATCGAAACTGAAAGAAGCCGAATCATACCATGCACTGCATAAGGAAGACCTCGACACGCTGGAAGCGACCTTACGGCTGAACAAGCGGCCGCTAGATCAATGGAAGCAGGAGGAAGCCGTGTACATCGCACAGCAGACGAACCGGGATTTCGATTCGAGTAGTAGCGACCTCAAGAACCCATATCAACCGGCTGCAGACGAAGGTGAGTGGAACGCGGACAGTGCTCCAACTCGCGCTCATCGCTCGTAGCACCCACAATACAAGACATTCTCGCCGCGCTGAAGAGAGAACAAGCGGACGAACGTGAAGCAGACGCACAGAGGCGTGGGATGAAGCGCAAAGCGGGCGCTATGGAGGATATGCCCAACGACAACGACGCCCGGCGTGATTTAGGTGATTTCTTCTTAGCCGCGATGGACTTGGAGCGTCAACAGTGAGTACTACAAGAATCTTACTTTTTGATCGTCTGACCATCTTGACGCAGACGGGCAGTGAAGACGAAAGTGAAAGCCTACGATAGTGATCCTGGTTCGGAGTTGTTTAACGAGATCGAGAACGCCCGTTCGAAGTTGGATGGGGAACTCAAGACGTGGTTAATATGGCACGCCCGCATCATGGGACCCGTTCTGGCAAATCTAGAGAGCCAGTTCGATGCAAGCGAGTGGCCCACGAGTACCGTCGCCGCCGCGGAAGACACGCCGATCCCTGTTATTTCGGCGTATCCCGCTGCCGTTCGTCAAAACTTACAGGTGGACCGATTTGTCTCTGCCGAGAGGCGGCTACGTGATGCACACGCGCACGACGTGCTGAGGAAGATTCGACAGAAGCTTCACTTCGAAGCGTTCTATAAGCAGCAGAACGCGGGCAGTTTTGGTCAACAGGCTCATACCCGGTATTCCAAACTTCGAGCCACTGAGCGAGCGAAGATCGAGGAACTACGTAGAGAGTACGAGCTGAACCGGTTGAAGGTTCTGAAACTACTCGGCCCCAACACCACTTCTACGCTCAAGCCTCTACTCGAAGAACAATGCCAACCACCTGTCATTTGGGACGAAAAACCCGGGAGGAAAGGAGAGTTTGTGTCGTGGATTTGGCGTGATGAGACCTATCATGGTTCGAGCCTGGAGACATGGGTTTTAGAAGGCGAGTATAGGATGACGTCTCAAGAGGACTCGTGGCTGATCTAATCTGTGTAGCCGCGCGCGTGGAGTGGTTTCGGGCGAGTGCGCGCACGACGAGGTGGAGGGAGGAGATCGAGATCGTGAAGGAAGAGATGCGACGTACTCAACGTTTTTTCGACCATTTCACGCAGCTATGGGCTACACGTGCACAGGGAAACCATGATAGCGAAGAAGAACGAGGTGCGAAGGCGTATGCAGCTAGGTGAGTGTGATCATTCATGTTGTACGTTGGAATCTCTACTCAAACACCAATAGACAAGCGGCAATGTATTCTCGCTTGCTTGACGACGCACGGACACGAATACCACAGTCGGAATTGATCAATGTGAGAAGTGTGATCGCACCTTTAGTTGGCAATGCTGCCGACATAGGGGAGGCCATAGCTGATGAGCCATGAGGTGTAGTACAGACTCACTACTGTCGCTTAGGTAGTAATGTACTACAATGGGATGTACTACAATGGGATGTACTACAATGGGATGTACTACAATGGGATGTACTACAATGGGATGTACTACAATGGGATGTACTAAAGTCAGATGTACTAGAGTTGGGTATACTAAAGTCAGATGTACTAGAGTTGGAGGTGATGTACTAGAGTTGGATGTACTAAACTTGGATGTACTACAATGGGATGTACTACAGTGATGTATACTAGAAGTGGTTGTATGGTAGATTGAAGCACTATATTGACTTGTACTATTAAAGTGGTGTAGTAGAGTGTGAAGCACTACATGTAGTAGGTTGTACTATAGTGCAGTGTAGCCAGGTACTGGTGTAGTACAGTAATAGTACCTAGGTATCTAGTTAAAGGGTACAGCATAGTGGGAAAATTCTAGAAGGGTTCACTGATACTATTGCCTGTGCTATCTCGAGTTGAGCATATGCAAGTCGAAGGGAGCCTTCAACCTGACAAGGACACTTGGGCATACTCCCAGACGGCCCACATATGTGCCTTCAAGGCAATCATCATGTCGTCTTGGCTGGGATCGCGAGCTCGCCACGCCATCCTGGCACGGCATTGTCAGGCTCTACGCGTCCGCGCACATTCAATGCCGAATCTGCGTCGGACGCCGGACGAGTTTCGAACAGTGAGGACATCTTGTAAACGAGAGGTTTAGTACAGGAAGATAGCAAATTCAGAACACAACCCGTAAATAAGGGTAACAACACGTCCGAACAGCCCAATCGACGATCATCATCGGGAGTCAGGCTCTGAAGATCCGAAGGTTAGACTTGACAGCATGCCGCAATCCGTCATGGAAGTGAAGGTGCGCACATTCGAGGCGGCCCGAATCGGACGATATCACTTACTCAGTGCAGACCGTGGCGCCTTTCCCAATCAGAGCTTCACCCACATCACGGGGCACCCTCTCGTACGTGTCACACTGAAAGACACACCCCTTGACGCCGAAAGTGTCCGCGGTGAGCTTGAGGTGTTCCAGCCCGATGAGTTCGGGGCGGCTCTGCAACTCCGGCGGAATCTCCACGGTGAAGTGAATGCCCTGGACGATGTTGTCGCCGTCCTTTGCTCTGATGAAGAGGAACCCACCCTCCGGGTCATACCTGATGGGGAAGGTCCTTGCAACCCTAGGCACCTTGTCCATCTCGGTCACGGTGCTCCATAGCCGTCGGTATCTGAGTGGTCCCGAGCACTCTGGAGTCTGGCTGTGCACGGGCCGCTGGGGCATCACCGGTAGGTTCGGTCCTCGGAACGCCTCCTCGAGATCGGCGTACGTGAAGTCAGGGCGTTCTTCGTTCATGCGCAAGAACTCGACTAAGTTGTATGTGAACCATCCGTGCGGCACGCCGTCGATGATAAACTCATGCGCTGTCTGATTCCTCCCGCAGGCCGCAATGAGGACATGCGTGTCCAAGTATTCGGACTCGGAATCGGAATCGGAACCGGCGTCGGCTTCAGCACTGCCGTCATCGTCATCGATATTGAGAACAACAGGGACCATCGCTGCGGCCCGACCTGCAATCGGGACCTGCCCCAAGATGTACTGGTCGAGGTCCTCGGGAATCGAGAGGTGGGGCACTGCAGAGCAGAACCTAATGGCATCGGCAGGTGTGCCACCGTGCATGCCTCCAGGATGGTAACAGTCGAAGACGGCCAGCTACGACGTGAGGTTGAACCCTTCCCGTCATTACGGAAGACCAAAATCATAACAAGCGGACGCACTATATTATCGCCTTTCACATGAGCCAGCTGGCGCATCAGCGCTCCAAACGTCCTGGACGGTATGCCGAAAATGGTCTTGCCTTCCTGGTCTTGCATGCCCTGATCATGCGGACAGATCAGCTCCGCCATGGTGCTGAACTGACCTCCCGCGTTCCAGCTGGCAGGCGCGTTCTTGCAATCGCCGTGGCCGGCGTAGAAGAACACAATCATGTCACCGCGCTCGATGGCGGGATTGTGAATGAGGTGGCTGAAGAATTCACCGAGGATCCGGGTGCGCGTCGCCTCCTTGTCATTTAGCCTGACGACGTGGCCGGAGGGAACATCCAAGGTGTTCGTGAGGAACTGGTGAAAATTATCGCTATCGTCGGCAGCGCCGCGGAGAGTGACAGCCTCTGGATGGGCGTAGTCGTCGATGCCCACAACGATCGCCCAGACATGCTTGTGGCGGATCGGGTTGTCATCGCGGGCATCAGCCTTCTGCCCTGCCGCGAAGGACGAACCCGAATCGAACACTGGCAGCTCCATATCGTCCGGCTTGTGCAATGCGTCCACAACACGCTCGTAGGTGAGACTCTCCCTTTTCTTCTCACGCATATGCATGAGCCAGAGGTCTATAAACGCCCCACGTGAGTTGTCGATAATGTCATGCCCCTGCGCCGTCTGTTGCGGTGGGCAGGCTGCCAGAAGGACATGCGAGTGTGCCGCAGGATCTGAGAACGCAAACTGTGCGATGGGAATCATCGGCGCACCACGGCCTGCGTCCGGGTCTTGCCAAGCCCAGAGATGTTGATCGAGTGTCTCGGGGATAGCGATTTGAGGCTCGGGCACCCAGCTTACTGCTGGGAGGGGCCGCGTTCCAAGGCTCGTGCTCATAGTACTCGCAGGCCCGTTACTATGCACGCCTCCAGAATCGCAGCAATCGAAGGCCGCCACCTGTAGAGTAAGGTCGAGTCACTATATATGACGCAAATCAGAGCCGTATCGAGTGAACGTACGATGTTGTCTCCTTTCTCGTGAACCAACGCCCCCCAAACGTCCGGTCTGGAATGCCGATGATTGGCTGACCCCCTCGTCTGGATTTCCGCCGTCGTGCGGATGGAACAGTTCGACAGTATCGGGCTGACCATCATCACTCCAGCTCGAAGGCACGTTCCTGCGACTGCTACGGCCGGTGTAGTAGAATACAATCGCATCGCCCGGTCTGATGGCTCGATTGTCGATGAGGTGTGAGAAGAAAGTATCGATTATCTGTGTACGCGTCGCCCGCTCGTCCTTGAGCTGAACAATCTGGCTGCAGGGGACCCCCAAGGTATTCGTCAAGAAGTCGTACAGGTTGTCGCTGTCGTTCGTACAGCCATCATGGAGACCTTTGATCTGTGGATGCTGATCAACGTCGACGGCGACGAGGTAGGCCCAAATGCGAGCTCGATCGTCATGCGATTCCTGTTCTGCACGTCCGACTTGTGCATGTGCGACGTCATATGCCCTAGCACAACGTCAACATCAGGACATCGAGGTGACTATGTGGAGATCACCTCGTTATCTCGTTCGTGAGGGCCCAAGTCCTCGAAGCGGCTGTCGACACTTCCACTGTACTGGATGGCGCGTGATTGGCAGTGTATTAGACAACGGAGAAGAAGAGCGGCTCACCTCCAGTTAGCATTGGCATCCAAAAGTCGACGACGCCTCGAGCATTCTTGCACCCTTACCAGCAGTCAGGTCGTCCAGTTCGTCTTCACAGCCTATGTATATAAACGCTCACCTGTGGTCGGTCCACCCGATTCGAGCACTGGGAGTCGTCCAAGAAGACTCCATTTCGCGCAGAGCTGAAGTTGTCTGGTAGCGGTTGGGGTAACCAGTATGTGGGGCGAGTCCCAGCACTCATCCTTATCCTCCATCAAGAAGCGCCGATGATATTTGGAAGCTTTGCTCAGCTGGGCATAAGGCCTGAGGCAGTGTATTAATGCTTCTGGACCGTACGTGAGAACGTGTCGCGCTTCACAGGCGCTGCTTCTGCGAAGTCCGTCCGCATGCCTATCATCAGTTCGGAACGGAAGATGTCCGATCCTGTGTGCCCATGTTGACAACTTCTGTGGTACCTTGTGCTCCGTAAGGCTATGTTCTTCAAAACCAGGATAGATAAGGAGAACGGCTTACAGATCTGAGAGACATGGTGTCCGGGTCTAGTGAGAGCAGAGTGCTCTCCGACGAGGACTTACGAGGGCAGTGATCATCCGCCAGTGGTCCCGGTCAGCCACTGTGATCGCTCAGGTGTAAGGAGCGAGGTGATTGCGTCGGAAGCTCGAGGTTTTTAGTAGCGAAGGAGCGCACGGCGCAGCGGATCCGGAGTCTCGCTCTTGACACCCAGCGACTCGGCGGGTACCTTCAGCGGCTTGTACATACCGAAGCTTCTGGCCGCGTCCCAGATGACGAGCGGTTTGGGTCTACGCAAGATGCGGACTGTATAGTGAAGGCAGACGGGCGTTCGACAATGCGAAGGGTCGAAGGCATATGGGTCCTGGTCCCACCTCTTTCAACCTCGTGCCCGATATACACGCCCGGATATCTGGCGGCCATGGCACAACTTGGCGGCAGAAGGCTGGGGACTCGGAGAGGCTTTCGTTGGGATGCCTCTCCCCCAGACGTCTTCTAACACATCCTTTCAAGAACAGGGTGGATATGAGCAGCGTGCACGCCATTCATCAGAGCTGCAACGTCGAACCTGTCATATTATCCTGCGCCAAGCTTCCTCCGACACTCCGAGTCCGAAGAGCTCGGCCTGGATACATTCTGTGAATTAGCGAGTTTTGGAAGCTCCTTGCGGTCTTCAGCTTCAAGCTTCAAGCTTGGTGCGCGTCTCGCCTCTGATGCAGGCGCATGAACAGGCCAACCACCCACTTTGAGCGCCCGTAATCCAGGGCCGCAGTGTGAGGAACGTGAAAACGTTGTTAATCCTGACATTGATTGAGGACTAGCATACACGGGTATACTTATGGGTCGATAGATACGTATGGCCCGCCCAAGCTCTGTACGCGGATCAGTCGCCAGCGAAGCATCTGCAGACTTACAAGATAACCGACTCTGAAGGTCTCCTGCCGGGCAGCGAGCGCGCCTCCGTGCAAAAGATACTGATGAGGTCCTGTCGGTCGAACGGCAAGCCCGCGTGCTGATGCCGCATGACAGGCATGACGACCTCCTCCACGAGGGCCCACGCGCCGAGCATGGCGCGCTGGAGGTGCGCGAGGGTGGCACGGTGCTCCGCGAGGTGGGCATAGACCGTCTCCCAGTCCGCGGGGCTGCACGACCCAGGGGCCGGGTTGGGGGTCGGGGGCAGCGGGGATAGGAGGGAAATGGCAGCGAGGGCAGGGAGCGAGTCGGCGGGCAAGGAAGGGGTGCACTCGGGCTCGGGCAAAGGTGTAGCGTGGGCGAGGGGAGGGTGGGAGTCGATTGTGAGGAGGCAATACTGGCAGACGGGTACGCCCTCGGCTTCGAGCTCCGTCGCCGCGCCAGAGAGGGCCCACGGACGCGTCGAGCCACGGCGGTCTCGGGTGTGTCATCGACGCGCAGCGAGGAGGTAGTCGGGGATGTACCTGCGCAGGCGGGGTCGCGCACGCGGGCCGGGTTCGAGGAGCCGCCGCCGTTGCGCGATGCATTCCTCTGCACCGAACGCAGATGTACGGTACGGACAAAAGCATATGGAGAGTCTTGAACAGACTGATAGGGACGCACCTTCGACACGCGCTGTAACACGTCGCTCCTCCTTCCGAGCCTCCATCTCGACGTCCACGGGGAGCACGGGGGTGTATAGCCGGATCAGGAGGGGCGTATACCATTGGGGGATGAGCCATCATGGGCATGCTCACGTCCTGCGCCCCCTCCTTCCTGCCATGGCCACGGAGTGGACCATGCGCCCGTCGCCAGTCGCTTCGACGCGCAATATAGGAGCGACGGACGACGCGCTCGGCCCAGTCTGCCTCCCATCCGGAGTCGTCGTCCTCCATCGTGCGCGCGGCGGCGTTGCGTCGGCGGCAGGGCGGGAGCCTGACGAGGCGGGGTCGTGTGGATGTGGCTGCGGGAGACGCTGCGGGGTACGGACGATCGGGATCAGTGGGGGTCGATCAGGGCAGGGCGTCGGCAAGCACGCTCCAAGTCAAGAGCGAGTGGACCTACTGCGCAAACTTGACGCCCCTGCTGGTCGTCGTACGGAGACGTCGGCGTCCGCGCCGAAGCTAGAGTTGGGCATCGTGTGGGGTGCTATTTATGGTGTCCGTGCAGACAATGGCGGTCGTTGGACGCGCGAGTAGTGAGGACGACGGGGAGGACGGAGCAGGAGGGAGTAGTAGAGGGGGAGGGACCGGAGAGGATCAAGAGAGGGAGGTTACTCGACGTCTTTGGCATGCGGACGCGGAAGCGCGCCCAGAGTCATGCTCGACGAATTGGACTGTCTTCTTTCACGTCACCGCATCGCCGTTGTCTTACTCGGCCCGAATCCCGGAACTTACCAGTCTCAATGCCGTGGAGGGTTGCGTGGTCAGTATGTGCATACGGGTTCGAGGATACACAGGGCAGCCTGCACATCGGAAAGGCCCTTTACATATTTCCATAAGCAGTATGCGCGGCGCAACAGGGAGCGATGTATGCAATCACAGGCTCGCGCAACTCCATTATATAACCAGTATTTACGAAGGAAAGTGAGAGGAAAGGTGCTCGCCGAATATCCACTGGATGCATGCCTGAAAGCAAAAATACCTTTTACATATCAGTTCTGGAAAGTCTGGGCCGGCACGTGGTGAGGGCCGCCAGGGCGAACACTGGGAGCAACGAACAACTGAACGCCGCAACCGCACCCCTTCCGCCTCGCCTTAAAAAAAAAAGGCACGCGTTCGTTGACGCCTGCCCACAGCCACAAGTTGGACGCGGAGACCACAGCCTCTTTCCCGTCGAGCGCTCTGCCAAGCTCCCGCGCTACTCTGTCACCGGACGTGCCATACCCAACCGTGCACTCCTCGTCACCGACGCTTTCCGCCGTAAGTACGACGCGTCGTGTTGTGAGGCGAATCTGCAGCTCCGGCGGAACCTCCACGACGAACCGCGTGCCCTTGAGGACCTTGTTGCGGTAGCCTGCTCCGACGTAGAGCAACCCCTTGTCATATCGGATGGGGAACGTGCTTGCAATCTCCCGCGCCTCGTCCGTCGTGAATAGCAGTCGGTGCTTGTTCCGCCCAATGCACAGCGGAGTTTGGCCCGCCATCCACTGCAGCGTCCCCGGGCAACGTAGATCGACGCCGTCGGGCTTCCGCAGTGCGTCTACGAGACGCGCGTACGTGAGGTCCTCCCCGTGCTTCATCCGCATGTACGCGAGCAAGTGGAATGTGAACACCCCGCGCGGCATCCCGTCAATGGTATGCTCCTGCGCCGTCTGATGCGGCTGGCAGGCAGCGAGGAGGACATGCGAGCGCGCCTCTGGATCTGAGAATCCGGTCTCAGGTTGCGCAACAGGGACCATTGCCGCGCCACGGCCAGCGTCCGGGTCTTGCCAGGCCCAGATGTATTGATCGAGTGTCTCGGGGATAGGAGGGCGGGGAAGCTGGCTTCCTGTTGGGAGGTGCCGCGTCTCGCTCGTCACGCTCGCTGGTCCGCTGCGATGCATCCCTCCTGAATGGCAGCAGTCGAAGATGGCTACCTGTAGATACAAGCCAATGAGTATTCACGTCACTACTGCGCAAAGCAGGACGGTGCTGAGGGAACGTACAACGTTGTCTCCTTTCTCGTGAGCCAGCCGGCGCATCAGGCCCCCGAACGTCCGGTCCGGGATGCCAATCGTGGGCCGCCCTCCCTCGTCTGGCATTCCCTCGTCGTGCGGGCAGATCAACTCGACCATACCGAGAGCACCAGCGGCGCTCCAACTAACAGGCGCGCTCCTACGATCGCCATGGCCTGCATAGTAGACGATAACGGTGTCATCCAGTTTGATGGCTGGGTTGTCGATGAGACGCGAGAAGAAAGTGTCGATGATTCCTGTACGCGTCGCTTTCTCATTCTTCAAAAGGAGATCTGGCTCCGAGGGATCCTCAGGGTGTTCGTGAGGTAGTCATACACGTCGTCGCCATCGTTCACACATCCATGGAGATTCTTGATCTGCGGATTCTGATAGACGTCGATAGCGATGACAAAAGCCCAGATGCGAGTTCGATCGCCATCTTGATGCGGGTCCTGATTCCTACGGCGTGCTTCGAAGACTGTAGCCCACGCCCTGTATAATGTCAGTTTGGGGCGTTGGCCAGACTGCGTGAACTGCACCTGAGCTTTGCATTGGCCCGGGTCTGATTCCCCGATGCGGCTCCCGACACTCTCACTGGACTGGAAGAAGCATGATCAGTGTCTTTGACGAGGGAGGGAGGATATGACACTCACCGCCGCTTGGTATAGACATCCAAGAGTCGACGAAGCTCCAAACATTCTCTCACCCTTCACAGCGGTCAGCGTCCGCTCCGCCTACAGTCTATGGAAGCTCACCTATGGTCCTTCCGGCCCCGCCGAACACTGGGAGTTGTCCATGATGTCATTTCGTACAAAGTGCAAGTTGTTCGGCAACGGACGTGCAAGCCAAGTCTGCGACGTAACGACGGTATGTGGGTGTGAGGAAGAGCATAATACAATAGGTCCTGAGTCCCCTGCGTCAGAAAGCGCCGATGATACTCGGAAACTGCACTGACCTGTGCAGGAGGCAGTGTCCAAATCCCCCGAACTCGAGATTACGGTGCCCGAGCACAGTGCTCCTTCCGCAGATACTAGGGAGCGGGTTGGCCATGACAGGAAGTCGTAATGACATGGGCGTACAACGAGCCACCGCCACCGCGCCTGTCCAAGCCGTGAGCGCGCTACCGATAAGGAACCTGACGTATGTAATTTCGTCGGCCAGGCGACTTCGTTCGCTCCTACCTCTCCCATACGTCCCGTATTCTACCTCGCACCCGCACAGGATAGCGGTCAGTTCCGCTGAAGCAGTGCGGCCTCCCCCTCGCTGTCAGGAAGTCGGGAAGACGGGACACATCGGGGAGTTCTCAGACCGGGAATGTGTCTGTTCACGTGAAAGCGGGGTCAGCTGATAGTGGGGAGATGCGAAAGACGATGGGTTGTCACGTACCGGGAGCAGCGCGTTGTGAATCAAGACGTGCATCGCAGCTCTGACGCGTGTTGAACCGGAGGCATACCAGCCGCTGGTAGCTAGTGTGCACCTAATCGTGAGCGAGAGCATTGACAGGATACCCGAGTCATATAGCGCACCTTGTCAGCACATATCCGAGCAGATGGGTAGCCTGGCGGACTCGGGAGGCGAATATTGGCTCTCAGGTGGCTGCCTAGTTACTAGCCGTTCCGCAGGGCGACCAAAAGGAAGAGTCAAAGAATATGAGGGTTTACTGTCAGTACCCGTAGCACCGGTACGTACGGCCGGGTTGCCTAATGCTATGGAGTGAAGTTCAGTGACAGTGAAGTACTTACTGAGATACAAGATCTGGGTCGCCACAATCGCGGGTCGGCCCGATCGCGATGTGGCCATGAATCGCTTACTAAGCTGTGGCGGTTAACTTGGTCGTCTCGGGCTGAGGGCCACTCGTTCTCTCCTTCCTCTCCCATCGCGCCTCCGACACATACGGCCATGGTACGTACCACTCAAGACTTGTCCGTGAGACAGTCAGTTCTCATACCTCACCCACAGTCTACCAATTGCCGTCGCAGACTCATCCGCGACTTCAAGCGCCTCTCCACCGACCCGCCAGGCGGGATCTCAGGCAGCCCATGTCCGGATAACATTATGCTCTGGAACGCGGTCATCTTTGGCCCAGGTGCGTCTTCTTTCTCCCCCATCCGGTCGCACACCGGCGCCGAACCCTCGCGTGCCACACAGCGGACACACCGTTCGAGGACGGCACCTTCAAGCTCCTCCTCACCTTCGACGAGTCCTACCCGAACAAGCCACCCACCGTCAAGTTCCTCTCACGCATGTTCCACCCCAACGTCTACGCCAACGGCGAGCTCTGCCTCGACATCCTCCAGAATCGGTGGTCGCCCACCTACGACGTCGCCGCCATCCTGACCTCCATCCAGAGCCTCCTCCACGACCCCAACCCCAACTCCCCCGCGAACGCCGAGGCCGCACAGCTCTATCGCGAAAACATGAAGGAGTATGTGCGACGTGTGCGTGCGACTGTCGAGGAGAGCTGGCTAGATCCGGAGGAGCAGCAGGCCTTGGACGCGGAGGATGCCGGTGCGGCGACGGAGGCGAGTGGCTGAGGGGCGTGGAAAGTGGTATTGACCGGAAGATGTATGTACTCGGAATCCTCACTTGTATCGCTGGTGTATGATCGTAATCATTTGTAGTTATCGTCATCGCATCACGTCTCGTCTGTAACCCTAGTCTAACGCATGTAAGTTCTGCAATCTCATTGCTATCATACGCAATCCTGTATGCTGGGTGTGAGGATGAGGAGAGGTAGAACGAGGGCCCGAAAGCGTATGAAACGGATCGTAGTGCGAACTCGGCTGTCGCGTCCAACGGCGATGTTCCAACTAGCAGCCACAACTTCGTTTTGCCACTTGAAGCTCGGCATTGCTTGCCGTCGAGCTGACACTTCTGCAGACAAGCCCTCCGGATTGCATGGGGACCCGAAGATTTTGCCACCTGGAAATGTATAAGCTGACCTTGCTTCGTCGTGCGCTCCTTCGCTACTGGAATCTCTCGAGCTGCTGATGTAACCCCCTCGCTCCTTACAGCCTGAGCATCACGGTGGCTGACCGGGACCATTGGCGGATGATTTCCATCGTATCATGGTAGCGGTGGGTTGACCTGTACTCTTCCCCCAACTCTCTCTCACCAGACTCGGACTCATCATGCCTCTCAATTTCGTATCAGGTGCACTTCACACGTGCCCCTCCCACTGCAAGCTGCTCTCTCCTCGAGCGTATCTTCTTGTTGAGGCACGTACCCTTGTAGAGGGCAAGGTACCCGGCAATGTGGGCGTACAGGCATCTTCCGTTCTGAACGTGCCAAGCATGCGAGGCGAGCGGATCGGTGAAGTGCGTTGCGCTCACCATGAAGGAGACTCCTTTTCAACGCTGTTGTTGGAAGACCAGATCGCGGTTCACGCCTCATCCCGGCCTTCCCGTGCGGAGATCGACGCTGAGCGCGTAGAGCCAGTCGAATATGCAAAGTGCGATGGTGCGTGCATGGATCGGTCACTGCTGCTGCATTGGCACTGACCGCGCACTCTTGTCAGCGTGAGAGCCCCTCGACGGGACGGATCGCCGGACGGCGTTCGTCCTCGCTCCACGCGTCGGCGACCTGAGCAAGCGAGTTGACGTACACCCCGAACGGCGATGTAGAGATGGCCGTCATCTGGCAGACAGGCTCGAGCTGCAAATCACAGGTGAGCGAGGGGACCACAAACATGTTTCATCGTCCTAACGTGCATGCAGCTCCGCATTCCATCGGCTTCTCCACTCAGAATCACTTTGTTCGCCAGCGTACACATGATACCTATGCACCCGAGGAGCCGCAGTACAAATCGAGTCCCAGTTTAGTGGTGAGCCACTGCAGAAGTTCTGTTTGTCCCTGGCGCCGCGCTCGCATACCACGTCAGGACTCTTCCCGTAAATTTGCCCGCTACGCTGCCGTTGAGCAATGGAGTCGCGCCGTTCTCCTGCATACCTCAATGGCGCATAGCGGTCCCCAGTGCTGGCAAGTGACCATTGCTGTCCTGAGTCTCGTCACAGAGGCGCAGGAAGTTCTGTCTGAACATGGGGGTCACGGCAACAGCAAGTAAGACGCACCGTGGCAGAAGACACTGTAAATGAGACAATGCTGTATGGTCACGCAGCTGCCTCAGATGAACTACGTAAGTCACGATCAAACATATGAACGTCGCGAAGCAATGTTCAGTCAAGCGGGTTTAGTATCTGTTTCTGTTCAAGAGCGAGTAGCCGTAGAGAGCCATAGCCTAGCATACTTATGCATAGACTCGAGCCCGGAGCACCATTTACCCCAATATGTAGCGAGTACTTAGTGGAATATCATGATGTGTCTTCCCAAAACGACCATCTTTGCACGTAGTTATCCGGGCACTTACCTTTAGTTTTGCGCGTACAGTACATATATCGCCTCCCTGAGTTCATTCCTAGAGTTACACTTTGACCGAAACCTATTCCGATCGAGAGCACTTATACAAAACTTTTTGTTCGGGTGTCCGGCACTGTATGTAAAATCGCCCTCGAATTGCTTCGATAGCCATGCCGCGTACGCCGCGAACCTGTAACAGGGTGTACACGGTGTTCTATAGTGGCTACGGTGAGTGTATCGCGATTCCTAGACTTTCCCGCGTTTTCGTGGGTTTCTTGATTTATTTGAATGTTCGCACGCGCGGGGGCGCGTCGGACAAGCTTGCAAGGTTCTGAAGTACTTACCGGGCGCGCTGTGCCCGCGCCTGGGGGCGGTTAAGGGGGGTCGCGCTACACGCCGCCGGTCACTCCGCGATGGTACCAGTCAATAGGCCCCAGGTTCATGGACGGGACCTGTGCAGTGTGAGTACTGAGCAGGACCTAGAAGAGCAATCCTCCGCAGATATAAGATGAAATAGATATCTGGAGGAGGGGCGACTCATCGCACTCTTCTCCGGAACTTTCTGCGCCATGGCGGACAGTACTACTCTTCCGAGCACTGCACGTGATCTCGATGACCCGATCCGCCACAACCGTATATGGGCCGTACTGGTGGCTGTGAACACTTACGCCCACAGAGAGGCCAAGCCTCTCCGCGGCGCTGTCAACGACAGCGACGATTTCTACGATCTCCTCACAATCACCTTGAAGGTCCATTCCAGCCACATTGTTCGACTCAGCAACGAGGAGGCGACACGCACCCGGATACTTGATGTATTGTTCAGCCATCTCATCAATAACTCGGCTATCGAGCGCGGCGACACGATCGTATTCTATTATGCAGGCCATGGCGATCGCAGGATCGCGCCTGCGGGCTGGAACGCTGTAGGTTAGTTCGACACGATGGTAGTCTCCCCGGGCAGACGTAGACTAATTCCTTCAACCTTCGTGCCTCAGGATATCCCACGACGGTTGAGCTGATCTGTCCGCACGACGAAGGCATGCCAGACCAGGCAGGCAGGCCCATTGTTGGCATCCCGTCCCGAACATTTGGAGGGCTGATGCGTCGGTTGGCTCATGAGAAGGGCGACAATATCGTGCGTCTACTCAATAGTCCTTTGATCTACCCCGTAGTGACAGGAGGGTCCTTACTTTTTAGATGACTGTTTTCGACTGCTGCCATTCCGGGGGCATGCATCGTGGACCTGCCAGTGCCGGTAGGACGCGATATTTGTCTGCAGAAAGCTCGATACCCCGCTTTCCTATCCCCGAAGACCTCGATCAGGAGATCTGGGCCTGGCAGGACCCGGACGCAGGTCGTGGTGTAGCGATGGTGCCTGTCGTGCAGCCCGACACCGGATTCTCGATCCTGGAGGCGCGTTCACATGTCCTTCTCGCAGCCTGCGCGCCGGATCAGACGGCGCAGGAACATATCATTCTCGACAAGCCGCGCGGGGTGTTCACGTACCTCTTGCTCAAGCGCATGCGCATGAGGCTCGGAGAGCCTGACCTCACGTACGCGCGTCTTATGAACGCGCTGCGGAAACAGGACCATCTCGGGCTCTGGGGCCCCGGAGCACCACTCCCAGTGATGGTGTGGCACTTGCAGACTCCCGTGTGCCTGGGGCAGAACAAACACCGGCTGGTGTTCAGCCTGGACGAGGAACTGGAAGCTGCGAGCACCTTCCCGATCAGATATGATCGTGGGATCCTCTACGTCGGAGCAGGCTGCTGCAACAACATTATCAAGGGCATGCAGTTCATCGTGGAGGTTCCGGTGGAGATGCGGGGTAGCCTCAATCTAAAGCATCTCGTACTCACCGCGGAAAGTGTCGGCGACGTTCATTGTACCGTTCAGTGCGGCGCGTACGACACAGTGCCACCGGAGATTGGTGTAGCGCTGGATGGGAAAGACGCCATACTTTGCACCGACGTTACCAAGTTGCCACACATGTGCGTACCTTTGATTGTGATATGCTGTCGAGAGTCTGATTTCAAAGCCTTGCTCCAGGCGGCGACCGTCGTTGGGGTGATTCGTGCGTTCGACGGGCTCGGACCCGCCAGCGGAGTCGATCCCGACGCCCTTCACCCCCAGGCCGTACGACCTCTCTTCCGTTGCGCAAAATAATTCCGGCACGTCGCCTCATGCATGCATCTCTTCTTTTCTTTCTTCGCTCTTTCGCGCTCTCATCCCTCCACGCACCAGGCGGTCGTCTCGGCGCTTCCGCCACTTTGTTACCTGTCTCTCGTGCCCGTTTCCTGCACTCACCTCTGTCTCTCAGCTATCTTGCTTTACCTCTCTCAACAGAACTGACCCCATACTGTACCACCAACTCTACCGGCGCGCTCGCGACGAACCGGAAGGCGGAGACACGGAGCTACTGTAGGACGAGACGAGCACAGAACCGAGTGCCGCACCTGCTGGGTCCAGGTCGCATTCGCAGATGGCACCGTTCTCGAGCTGCCAACCTCGCGCCATGACTACGGTCCACCGTTCGAAGCCGGAAGGGGACTCAAGGGAGCCTGAGGTCCGTCGCCCAGAAAGGCGCTCATGTGCTTGCTGTACGGTACTTTCCTTTTTCGACATCAAGCCTTCCCGATCTGTCATCGCTCTTCACGTTTGTGCACGCTTCTGTCGAACCGCATCTCCCACGTCTCTCTCGACCTTCTATGTACTCATTTATCTCTCTCGGCGCTGAGTCGCGCTTCCAGCTGCTCTCGCATACAATAATATCTAGTAATATTGGGCCGCGTCGCCCCGGGCCGTCTCCCTATCAAAGTCCGCCCCCGCTCGACTCCTTTCGCTCGCTCGCCCGCTCGTCTGCACGTCCGCTCGCCCGCTCGATTGGAGTATTGCTCGCGCGTCCACCTATGCGGTCTCAAGACTGCGTCGCCTTCGCGCTCTTAGAGAAACGGGTAATCGCTATCGAGTTCGGCATGCTATTACTTCACATCAGCGGCAGTAAACCCCAGCCCCTACGGTACGATCGACTAGATCTATCCGAGACACGCCAGAAAAAGCAGACGATGCCTGCGACAGTGATCACCAGAGCCGGGAAGGGTGCCGCGCAGCAGAGCGCCGCACCTGAGGCCTGAGGCCTGAGGCCTGAGGGCGGCAGATTGCCAATGTAATCAGCTCCGCGCGCCGCGCCCTGCCTCGCTCCAAGTCCGACCGTTCGTCCAGTCCTGACGCCTTGTCGACAATGTGGGCATCGTCCCCTGGATAGGAGTCTCCTCCGTGCAGTATGCGTACCCGGAGATGCTCTGACTCTATTAATGTGCCAACTACTGTACGTCCACCTTGTTCCCCTGCCACCTTATTGATCACTCGGCGAAGATGGCGGCGTGGATGGCTGTGCTGATGACGGAGGGATAGTCACAGAAAAAGTGCCACCAGAGCCACGAGCACAACACGGCGAGCACCTCAGGCTCGACACAGAACGCGCGACTCGCCCATTTCGTGGAAGGCGATATCAGAGTCGCGCAGACGCCTGGCGGGCTGAGCGCAGGCCGTCGGCTGTCATGATGTGACTGCTGAGAGATGCTTCCAGCTGGAGTCGAGGCGCGACGAAGGCCTTCTTGCCGATGTACCCTCAGGTTACTAGTACTCCGCTCACGGATCTAATGGATACAGGGCCACAGAGACGAGATCCACTGTGTTGTAATTGTGGCAAAACATACAAATCTGCACTACGACCTACGCTACTCACAGAAACACACCGCGTTTGGTCTGCAGGACTTCTGTGCCCGAAAGCATCAACTCGAGAGAGCGCTGCCGACTCTTGGACTCAGACTCGAGTCGCTCGTCCTCGAGCCGGAGAGTCGAAAGGGCGGATCTCAGCTCCTTCTCAAGCGTCGTCTTCAAGTCCTCCAAGATCGCGGGCGGCAAACCCGGCGGTGGCGCCCAGGGGTAGATCGTACCATGGGACACACCTGCAGGCACACAGAACCGGAGCGTCGGATCCACATGGGGACTGAGATGCTCCGCGAGCCAGGAGCAGCACCAGCAGCACTTCTTCGCGGTCCCGATGACCCCGGTGGATCCCTAACTCAGATCGTGACCAGACGGGTATGACAGGTCGCACGTAGGACTTACCTGCAGCGCGTCCTCCAGCTCGCGGACGCCGGCGTCGGGACTGGAATCTGGAAGGGGCGATGGCTCGCTGTGATTCCGGGTGTGCGCACGATAGGTCAAGGCCATCAAGATTGCTTCCGAGTGTACCGTACCAGTAGCGTTCCCTGGGATTTTGAGCGCCGTCAGCATTTGATCCGCCCTCGTCGCTCTGTCTTCTTCGCGTCCCAGCGTCGAGGGGAGGTGGTCCGCGAGCACGTCCAGCGTCGACACCGACGGCGAGTCCGGGGAGGGGCTACCGACGACGTAGATCGTCGCTGGGGTGTTGCTCCGCGTCAGCTTCGCGAGGCTCCGATGGACGTTCACGGAAGCGGGGATCCACGCCGTGATAGCAAGCATATAGCGGAGCGCGAAGAGCCCTGCGCTGCTCGCGGCGCGGGTCGGCTCCGGGAAGGCATCGGCAGTGGGTACTTCGTCCAAAGCCTCTAGAGTTTCCTCCATTGTGGAGGCGTCCTTGAAGTTCTGGGGATCCGCCTGGAGAACCGCTGCCACAAACCTCAATCACACCGAAGAGGGCGTACAAGCCGAGCGATGCACACGACGCACCATCTTGGTATGACGGGAACAGTAGTCCCGGGTACGCTGCACGCCTGAATCTCTCAGAGGGACGGCGCGGTGGAGAGATAGCGGGTGCCCGTATTCGAAAGCAGAGCATGCAGAATGGCGGCCCGGGACGTCGCCCACTCGGTAACCTGGTCCCCCGTGCCCGCCGTCCGTGCGTCCTCGAGTTCTTCGCGAGTGCGGTTGAGGACCTTCCGTATGAGCTCTACCCAGCTCGCGGCCGCAGCCGCGTCGCAGAACCACTCCTCTTCGCCCCGCCCGTCTCTCGACGTCCTGATCCGGACAGGGCATGGATCGATAAGGCTGAGTTCCTCGGCCAAGTGGGGAGCGAGGGGGAACCAGCGGCCGTCGCCAAGTTCGTCTTGTGGTTGGGGTTCCCAGCCAAGTTGAAGGATGGCCGAGAGCGGAGCGGTCCAGAACTTCTCTGCAACGTTGTAGCGATGGAGGATCTTGGGGATACAACAGTGCACTATGAATCGGATGAAATCTGCGATCGGCAGCGACAGTGCGCGCGAGACGGCAAGAACGTTGTCGAGAAGGTCGCCTGGAGCGTCTCTGCAGAAGGATGAAATGGACCGCTGCCGTGCAGTAGTGAGGTGCACTCACGGTGTCTGGATATGGCTGGCTGCTCTGTCCAAGTCTGAAAGACTGATTGCGCGGGTGCAGAGTCGATTGCCTCCAGGCGGAGGAGGATGCGTCGCAACAGACGGCCTGTCCTCGGAGTCATACGCTACGGCAATTACGGCTCCGTGAGTCTGCGAGGTGGCTCCAGTCACGGAGACGGCTCTCGTTGCAGCACCCCGCCCATCACGCTTTGCACTTTCACCTTGACCCGCAGTGAGGATGGTCGCGATGTCGCTGTACAGTTGTGCGCTGGTGTCCTTCGAGAGGCCTGGATGCACGAGTAGACGGGGGAAGTCGGTCGGAGAGACGACTCGGACCCACTCGATCACTCGATCGCCTACGGCACGTGACGATACGCGCGGAGTTGTATGAGTCTGACTCTGACGGCGGCATCAGTGGTCTCCTGGTCGTCTTGCCCATCTTGCCCGGGCCTCGCCAGTGTGTTTTGGCTATAGACTGCGGCATACGATGCGTCGCCGCCGACCGCACGCTCCCTGACTATCTACTACACAATCCTACCACTCGCTGGCGCTCAGCCTAGTACTGGCACTTGGACCTCGTATCTCAAGAACGTGCTCTGAGCTTGTATCGGGAGGTCGACGAACTACGGCAAAACTACGGTGCTTGCAGCGTGCTGATGGCAATCGACGAATCAGATCAAGTGTGTGTCCATGATCGTGGAGCCGGTCACCGCAGCCAATATGACTGATGGTGTATTGATTTGTCATGCAGTACCCTGCGGGTGCTCGCATCCTCTTCATCGCAAGCCTCTGCACTAGATCTAGCAACTCTCCAGCTGGCGACCACCACGCGGTCAGTACCACCGATTGCGTACAGGTCTTCCTTCGCATACGCACCGCCCTTCTCTACACCCTCTCCCTCTCACTCCAGCCCCATCCCAAGTACTCCTTCCCGCCTCCCCCGGCGCACGACAGGTCGACATGGATCACGCGTCCTTCATCGCGGCCTGGTAGGGAGAGCCCTCCTCCCCGACGCTCTTTTTCCCCTCCGTCGTGCTCTTCGCCGGGCTCGCACAACACCTCTCGGGCCTCGTGTGGGTCCTCAATGGGTACGGCGTGCTGCCGGTACACGATCCGGCGGACCTCGGCGGAGATGGCGGCGTGGATGGTCTTGCTGATGATGTTGATGTGGGTCTCAGCGGTGGTGAGTGCGTGCGGTGCTGGCTTCCGGCTGAGGGTCTGGCGCCTTGTTCCTCGCCCAGAGAAGACGCCTCGGTCAAATCGACAAAGCAGGGAGCCGTCCGCTAGCTCGTCCTCTGCTTGCCCCCAAACGCATTGGATCCCACGACATGATCCCCTTCGACATCCTGCTCTCGTTCGCAATTGAGTGCACGCTCGCCGTGGGCGGGTGGTATGTCAAGTTCGGCTCAAGCGCATACAAGACGGTTAAGGCCGCGGCCTACTCCTGGATGCTCAACGTGCTGCTCGCGATGGAGCGTGTCAGAGCGTGTCGTGGTGCGTACTCGTGCTTCAAATTCGTCCTCCGAGTCCACGCTTCGCGTTTAGCTTCTCTGAACCGGCCGTTCGGCCGCGCCCAGGTGTACACCTGATAGGCGAACGACGGCAAGTCCCCGTTGTATCCCGTCTCCCGGGCCCTGAGGGAAGAAGGCGCACCATGTAAGCCTGCCTTGGTCGTTATTCCGCTGCGTATTGACCACGCATCCTCCGAGATGCACAACAGATATGACGCTGCGCCTGCGGTGAAGCGGGGCGTGCCAAAGCCGCTCGACTGGCGGGACCTCCTTCGCAAGGGCTCTCCAATGGAAGAGCACTCGTTTCTTGACTGAGATCCTCACTGTGGTGCGGGTGCTTGTTGAGTACCTGCATTGGATATTGGACGGTGGAACAATCGCGGATAAAGTGCCATTAGGGTTGCGGACCTGCACCCCGAGTGAGGCGCCGACTCAGGCCACAACTACGAATGATTATTATGTTCATATCGACTCTACAATATTATGATGATGATACAGCTGATTAATTATTTGTGCACGCGCCCACATCACCTTCATCCACTCGCCGAAGTGTTTGCAACCGGCTGCGCTTCGGGCTCGGGATCGCTTTCAAGTTCCTGCAGCGGTGGGACCTGTGAGACGACCTCAGTCAGCTTCTGAAATTTAGTACGCCACACTCTCCGCCTTGCGCATACATACCGGCTCACCCACGGAATTCCCTTCGTCCCCATCAGATGTCTGTCTGATCTGGGGATTCTGAGCAAGCCACGCCCTTCTCAGCTCCTGCATCCTGTCGACCTCGGGATGCCAGGCGAGGGTGTTGAAGTCGGGGTCGTCGGAAAACTCGACCTCGCGACCTGGATTGGCGGAGCTTGGCATGAGCGACACGACACCATGGGTCGCTGTTCGGGGAAGCGAGACACGCACGTAGTTGTGGGAACCTCTCGAAGAAGACGTCTTCGGTGGACCGGTGGCTGCCCGGGATCCGGGTCGCATCATGTTCCGCGAGCACTATGCATCGTCACGGTGCTAGTTTACTAACGAGTTAGCACGAGCAGGTGAATACTCACCAGCATCGCCTACGCCCCCGTCGGATGCGGACTGCTCGCTTGGGCCTGTGGCAGACGCTTGCCTGTTCGCAGCTTGTGTTCTCCTCTGGAACATCGCTTGCCGCAGTCGGAACTCGGCGCTCGGGACCACTACCTTCACGGCGACCCAGATGTCCGCGGACTGGATGACGTTGAACGCGAAACGCGCGTAGAGAAACTGGACGGGGACGCGCTCGTGGATCCGGGCCGCGGTCCGATGGTACCACTCCGCATAGTCTGGCTCGCCCTTGATGAAATAGGCCACAAACTGGGAGCCGGCGGGGAAAAACACGAAGCCCTGTCGGTCGAGACAGCGACGGATATCCGCGCGGAGGCAGACGCCATTTGCGCTGTCGTTCGGTGTCGCGGTGCCCCCAAAACTGTACGCCCTCATTTCGTTCTCTGCAAACCAGAACGCATGCTCCCTCGGCACCAGGCGTGCATTATCGCACGAGCTGCCTGTGGTGGAGGCTGATTAGTTGCCATGTACATACGAGCGACAGTATTCACCTGCTTCGAACCCACTGAAGACGCAGCCCCCATCCCTACCTTTGACCAGGTCGGACATAGTCTTTCGCTGGCTGCGGGCCCATGGCGGATCGTGTGACCCTGCGGGCGGACAGAGAGCCAATGGGCGGGGAGCACGTCGGGGAAGCGCCAGGTGGCGAAGTCGGAGACGACGGCGTAGTCGGGGTCGTGGTCGCCGAGGAGGAAGTAGTATTAGACGTCGGCGGTGAGCGTCGGCTCGCTCTCCAAGACACGGGCGCAGCCGTCCGGGGTAGCGGAGAGGAAGCCGTCGTGGTTGTTCGAGATGATGTGGCAGGCGTCGAGGACGAGGCGGTGGCTGCAGCCCGAGAGGTGAGGGGCGGGGGCGGGGTCGTAGGTGGGGAAGCGGAAAAGAATGTGCGGCTCGGGGTTGCAGCCTGGGTGGTAGATGGTGATGTAGCGCGGGCGGGCGGGGAGTGTAGCAGCGAAAGACTTGTGTGGTCGGATGGCTGTCGCCATGGTGAATGTTCATACGCGGTGAGGGCCTCCTCCACGATGTCAATGAGGAAGCTCGCACGGTAGTCTAGTTATTTGAACGCAGATCGGCGTCCTCGACGCCGGGAGCTTGATACTCGGCGACAGGACGGGAGCAAGTTGTCTGCATTGCACGATAGCACAGGCTGTGTGGACGCAATATGATGGCGAAGGAGCAGATGTAGAACTCACCTTCGAATCGTTGCGCACCGGCGAATGCTGGACAACGAAAGCGGAAGCGAACCACGACCGCGATGCTTACGTCAGTATGCTCCCCGGCGCTTATGCGATGTTCAACTCCCTGGCAAATCATCATGTAAAATTAGCCAGCGAGTATTATTATAATAGACACGCAGGTACAGTACGAGTAATGCGATGGCGATATCTACTAAACGCTACGGTCGCGATTATACTAACGCTACAATTTACTGTTTATTACGGTATACGACTATATTTTGTCCGTTGTACACAAACCTACATCCTGCTTCAGTCGTTCGCCGAAGTGTTCGCGACCTGCTGCTCTTCGGGATCGAGATTGATTTCCCAAGCAGAGACCTGGGGGACGACTTCAGTTTGTTTTGTCAAACTACGCACTCTCCGCACATACCTCCTCACTCACGGAATCCCCCTCGTGTCCGTCGGAGGTCTGCCTTACTTGAGGATTCTTGAGAATCCAAGCCTTCTTCAGTGCTTGCATTTTGTCGGACTCGGGATGCCAGCAAGATTATTGTAGTCGCGATCGTCGGAGTATTCGACTTCCCGACCTAGACGGCGGACTACCATGAGCAAGCTAGCTCCTGTCTGCCAAGCAAGAGTATGTACGGATCTGTGGGAACCTCGTGAAAAACGTCTCGGATTGGTGGCTGCCAGGGATCGCCTCGCGGTCCACTAGTATCATGTCAACACACTGGCTCAGTCGGATTATGATAAGTAGACGGACACTCACCTGGATGATCATCTGCTGGCTCCTCTGGTGTGGACCGCTCGCTTGAAGTCGCGGACACTCGCTTGGCTTTTCCAGTTCCAGATGGTTTGCTAGGCTGATAGGCCGCCGGCAACACTTGAAAGTCGACGCTAGGGACCACGATCACACTTTTCTTGGCGAAGCGTGAAAGGCCCGACAGCTAGATGACGTTGAAAGCGAAACGGGCGTAAGATACTGGATGGAGACATCTTCGTGGATCCGCGCTGGGACTCGATGGTACTGCGACGCATAGTCTGGCTCAGGCTTGATGAAATAGGCCACGAACTGAGATCCGACTGGGAAGAAGACAAAGCCCTGGCGGTCGAGGCAGCGATGGATGTCCGTGCGAAGGCAGACACCGTTGGCACCATCGTCGGGTGTCTCGACATGTCCAGCATTATATTGCCGCATCCGGTTGTCGTAGTACCAATCTGCTTGTTCCTTCGGCACCAGCCGTGCACTATCGCACGAACTCTCTGAGATGGAGCTCAATAGACGCTATGCGCGTACAAACGACGGTATTCACCTTGTTTATAACCACTGAGGAGGCATTCTCCATCCCTGAGTTTGACCACCGCGGACATAGACGTGCCGCTGGATCTGAATCCGGGTGTTATTATGTTCTGCTCCGGCGGCGGACAGAGAGCCAATGTAAGCCAATGCGCAGGGACGACGTCGGGGAAGCGCCAGGCTACAAACTCGCAGACAACAGCATATTGTGGGTCGTCGTCGTCGATGAGGAAGTAGTAGTATGCGTCAGCGGTGAGCGTGGTCTCGCTCTCCGGGACGCCGGGCCCACGGTGATCAGGGGTTGTGGAGAGCACGCCGTCGCGGTTACCTGCGATGATGCGACAGGCGTCGAGAACGAGACGGCGGCTGCAGCCTGAGAAGTGAGGAGCGGGGGCGGAGTCGTAGGTGGGGAAGTGGAAGAGCATACGTGGGGGTGTGTAGCCTGGATGGTAGATGGTGATCCAGCGCAGACGTAGGGGGAGTGGGGCCGGGGCCGGCCTGAGCGGTTGGGTTTGTGTTGCCATGGTTGATGTTTGCAGGCAGAAAAGACCGACTCAAATAGGTCAAGAGGATGCTGGCACGCCAGCAACACGGCGGTACTTTGTGTAGTATAGTGGGATAGCGGCACGACGCGGGTCTCATCAGCTGCCCGTTCAGGGCGAGAGCTCAGCTCCAGATGCTGGTACGTGAAGTTCTGCAGAGACGTGCATGCATCCAGAAGATCCAGGAGATCCGGGAGCGACCGCATGCGGGCTCCTGGGCGGTCCTGGAAAGAGGGAACTGTGGTGATCGACAGGGTTGTCAATCTCGACAGAGGTAGTATGGCATGGTCCAGCTTGACACGACAGAGCTCGACGCGTCGAAGGTTCTGGAGATGGTCCAGCTTTAGCCTCAGCGGAGACCAGCTACCTTCAGCGAGCGAAATCACGTAGATGGAAGTCAACATGGGGTAATCGGCGTTCGCTAGTTGCGAAAGACCCTCCGACTCGTCCATAGGCTGTGAGTGAACATCCTGCATGCCAAAGTGCGAGATCCGGGAACGGTGTGGCTCCAGTAGGGAGGTGATCGCCAGGAGATTGGTCTCGCCGTCCTGCCACGATGATAGTAAACTGTCGCGAGATTGAGGTGGAGCTTCGCATCTCCAGAGCGCGCTCTACGAAACGAGTGTCGCTCGACAAGTTGATGTCAGTCCAAAAGAAGGGCGTGGTCATGATGATGTCTCTCCAATGTCGACACACGCCCGTGAGACTTATCATCCGCTGGCTTTGACTCGGTGGGCTATCCAACGTAGGCCTGGTGCTGGTAGCGAGATCAAATATCTCAACGAACGCATCGACAGCCAGACTGTTGGCCATTATGGCTGCGTTCGGATTTTGAGGCAGGCGGTACTCTGCAAGTCCTTGCTTGAACCCGACGTTGGAGTCAAGCCACGAATTCCTTGATAAGTTCGAACGTTTGTCTTCCGAACACTTCTTGCCGCCTAGCACGCGATCAACTCAGTTCAGATGCTCGGAGAAGATTGAGTAAATACTCACAGAAGAGTGACTCCACGACCTCAGGCTGTGAGGGAGTTGGCTTCGAGGTAGGGTAGGTGTGTTCGCCTCTGAGGTGCTGCTAGAAAAATGGTGCGATGCATAAGGTTAACGTTCAGATCCCTGACGTTGAACAATTGGATTGCAATGTCAAGATCTCACCATCAGAATCTGAAGGGCACCCGAGCAATCGTCTTCAGGCGTCTTGCATCGCGCTGGCTCAACGAGCACGAGTCCTCAGCAGCAGGAGACTGGCGCGAATTGAGAGACGTTCCCATCCTCGTTCAACTACTGAGCCACGACCCATGTTTGGATCGTCTCAGCCAGTGTTGTACAAGCCCTAGTGAGCGTGATCCCAACGCATATCCACGCTGACAGGGTCGGCCCTTGGCATGTTCATATTGATCGGCGCCAATAACATAGGCAATACAGACCACCATGTTGGGAAATAGCGCCGAGTTACGAGACCTTGTGCATGTACCGCTTATCGTTGCGTAACACAATGTCAATCTGTACGTCGCATGGAAGGAAAGCGGAATAACATACTTACCACGATAGCCATCGGTGCCCGGGCTGTCAAGTTCTGGCAGCGTTCGACCTAACCCAGCTTCTATATAACGAGACGTTGGAAGAGCAGAACACGAAGATATTGGAGAATTCACCACAACACAGGACGTTCTCCGTTTCCATGTTTCTGGTTCTCAGTCGTACGGCACAAACCCAGGTGAACACCACACCGTGAATCGTTAGCCTAGACCTTGATTTTATTTGCTTTTTGACCAAAGCAGCATTTACGTCACCTGAAGCTGGCCCTGATGACAGCGGCGACAACGCGGGCGGTTTTCGCCAGAGCGGCTTGGAAGCGGCCTTCCAGAGCGAATACAGCACAGTACATAGTACCGTTAAAAGTTGGTTAAAAGTCGAGATTCTCGCGTCTGAGAGACTACAAACATTGCTTGTAGTGAACCGTACTGATGAGCTGTACAGTCTAGAAGTCGATCTACGCGATCGCCCAGCACGTGTGGTCCGTTATGTGCACCCACCTCGTCCACTACGCAGGCGCATGCTTAGAAGCACCCGCAAGACCTTCGTAGCGTGATGCCCGCTCCGCTTCCTGCAGTCGCGCGTTTCGCGCATTGACCGCGCTGAGGTAGGTATCTGTGCGAAGATAGATGAGAATCGGAACCTAAAATTGTGCATTGGACGGAGTGCTTACTCCAGAACGGCGAGATTGTTGTGACGACGAAGAAACGATACTGCACCGGGACAAGGGAGAAGCTGAGTGCTTGCGCGGGAACAAATATTGAACTATAAATGTGCCGTCCCTGGTAAGCATCCGGACAGAACACGAACAAGGGGAAGCAAGACGTGCGCGCTCACCAGCTCCGTGTCACCGCAGGTAGATACGCCTGTGTAGTGCTATGTCAGAGAGCTATTCCGGAATTAGCTTGATTAGAAACGCACCGTTCGTAGCCGTTCCTTCGCGTCGGCCGCAGTCTTTCCCTCCATGAACGTCATCGTCGTGAAATACGTCGCAATGATGGCTACCACGTGCAATGATGATTAGCGGACTCAGAAAAGTGACAAGCGACGGCATACTCGGTGCATAGACGAACTGGTCAAGGAAGACCTTGCATATGATCTCCTTGGGCCTCGACGAGAACTTCAAGCTATTCAACCACTTGAGCCACGTCGTGTACGTTGGGCCAAAAACCGTCGCTGAGACAAGACATCGTCATTGGACCCTCTGCTTCTCGCCTCTCGCTAAGGATAAGCTGCCAGACGTACCGCCGTAGAACGCTGCACGCCCCGTCCGGATTGGCTATATACGAGCAATCAGTGTAGTGAAGAGGGTATATCTGGTGAGGCGAATGCTTACGTCGTGCTTTAACCCCTTGGCCTCGACGAACTGCTGCGCCATGATATCACCTAGCGCGAACATCGACATTGATGTCGCGGACCGGGTTAGCAAGGGCTTGGTCACCAATGCCTCGCTGTCAATCTACTGTTCAGCGGGCGAGACATCCACAGACCCAATCAGCTAGCGTACTTGAATGCAGCAAGAAGGAATGCCATGTTGATCTCCTTCAAGAAGAGTTCTAGGATACGGACTCAGCGAAGCCTAGTATGATCTCTTCAAGTTGGGTCTTGGCTAGAGCCAGTGAGGATAAGTAGTGCGGAAGAGTAGGATACTATGTCCGCCGACACAGATGGTTACAGGTAGAAAGGAGGGTCGGAAGGGCGGTGCGAGTCATGTTTTGGCGGTGATCGCGCGTTTGGGCCCACAAATGGATGATGGTCTTGCGAGATGTGAGCAAGAGCGTCTCTCGCTCGATGCTCCTCCCCATATGGCAATGTCGCGTCGCGTCCCCAGACGCGTCTGTCATGTGACTTCACACTTGTAGCCAGTCGCCGATGACACGGGAGGATGGTACAACTAGTAGCCTGAAGCCACGAGCGACAAGGACATGTGCGTGGAAGGAAATGAGGATAGCACCAAATGTTATAGTCATGACATAACGTAGATGCAGTCAGCACTGCTGCTGCACTTGACGTAAGAGTAAAGCTACAAGATAACAGTGAGAACAGACAATGTCAGAATGAGACAGCGACGCGACGAGATCTATGCTACAATGAGTGGATTTACAAACGACGATACAGTACCTTGACACCCTCAAGCCCAGCAATGGAAAGCAAACAAACAAAACAAACAAGCAGACTCACACCTTCGCAGATATCTTCATGTCCCGCTCGCGCCGGAGATGCTCAATCGTGACGTCCACTCTCTCGGAGTGGCCCACGCCCGTCATCACGTCCCACGCGCCGAACGCGACGCGCGCATCGAGCACGAACCGGCGCACGTCGCGGCCCCTAAACAACCGCATCGGTACCGGCACCCAGAACCGCAGCGCCCACGCGCCGCCCTCGCCCGTTCCCGGGTAGTCCGGCGGGAGGTAGCTCCAGAGCGGTTGAGTGTAGATCCCCCGCGCGGGGTCCATCTGCGTGAGGATTTGCGCGCCCGGTAGCACGGCGCCTTCGTAGATCGTAGCGTACTCCGGTTCGGCGTCGCTACGAAGAGTGCGGGAGCAGGCGTCGATGGTGCGCCACTCGATCTCGAGGTCGATGATAGGCATATGTGGTCGGATCCCGGTGTAAGGTTTCGCATCTGCAACGAAGAGAAGGCCTTGCCAGGCGTAGGTGTCCCTATGAATGGTTAGCATGAAACGAGCGTAGTGAGAGGGTGCTAACTTACTCAAAGTCGACATCCCACATCGTGGTGTGCCTGTTCATAGGCTTGGCCATCACGTCGAAACGCTCATGAGTCCCCCACCGCGCAGGAGGCGGGATGAAGGGGGCCTGTTCACCGCGCTTCGGCAGCGCGTCCTCCTCGTCCGATAACATGTCAGGTATCTCTTCGAGATCGTCCATGACGATGCGTCCTTTCGGGGGCCGCTTCAGCGCCTCAGATTCCGCAGCGATAGCCGGGTCCTCGACGACATCCTTAACGACCTTCTGGACGATGTCTTCGTCCTCGTCATGCAGGAGCTCCTTCGCGCGCTGGATTTCGCCGACCGCTTCGTCAACTTGTGCCTCGTATACTTCGACCGACGTCGCACAGAACCGATCGAGGCGATCATAGTCTTTCTCAGCCTCGGTGGCGTGGAGGTCCCGGTGGGAGTGCGTGCGCTTCAGGGTCTTCTGTGGCTTAACAGGAGCGGTGAACGTCTTCAAAAGCTTCTGCTCAGTGGCACCCCTCGGCTTCGAAGACAGGTGTGTCTTCTCCTGTAGATCCAATCCAGCACGCGCCCGGGCCACAGGGATCGGCGCGATGCTTGACGGAAAGAGTAAAGAGTTGGCGTTGACGTCGCCTGTCTTGTTATGATCAGTGGTGCGCCTCAGCGCGCTCGCAGTCTTCGCTATATTCGCGATGGCGGCTATGCTGTCAGGTCGGGACAGAGTGGCGTGGGCGGGGTCGCTCAAAGACTCGACCAGTGAACTTGCAACGGGAGCGGGTCTTAAGCCGGCCTTTGGCACAGGCTTAGCCTCGTCGAGCCTGATCGTCCGGACAGTCTCTTGGCTGTCCGTCCGCGCCCTGACGGCGCGCGCACCCACCGTCCTCACCGAGCTGCCAGAATCGCACCGTTGCCGGATGTGTGCGAGACGGGTGTCGCCGGCGGTCTCGTTCTCGTCCAGCGCGACCTCGCAGTGCTCGCGCTTCTTGCGGATGGGGATGCGCGTCGGGAACGCTGCGTGGGCTGGTGGAGGGGGGACGAGGCGCGGCTTGGGCGCGAGGATGGTGCGCAGCTTCCCACCGAGCGGCGTCCCGGTCGCAGCTTTGGACCGTACGGGAGCGTTCGAGGGCGGGTTGGAGGCGAGAGTGGCCATGATAGCTTTGTTGGGTATTGAGGGGTATTGGTATACGTATCTTGGAATGCGATATCGTGTTGCAAGATGCAGTTTAGGAAGTTAAGGAGAGTGTTATGCGTCTCGGGGTCGGGATAGGGCTACAGGAAGTCGTGTCGCGTTTACCTCGCACCGGCGAGGGCGAGTATCGTCAGTCAGATACCAGGTCAACTGGTCAAGCTCGAAACTGGTGGAACAGATGCGAGGGAGAAGGCTATATAGCCTTGCGATAAGTAGTCGTCACCGGAAGCAGCCCGGATCGGTCGCACGCACACGGGTCGAACAAAAGACGTGAAGCGAGGCGATCTAGTACCGCCATGTGGCCTATCCAGATCCGTCTAAGGTTGTTTTGACGCTGCTCGGGATTCTCGACAACGATGTCTTTGGCCGAGACCGTGCCAGGATGACTCGTATGGATCTCGCGAGCGTTCCATCTTCTCCGAGCAGGCCCAGGGGCATGTCCGACGAGTCGATGAGGCCTGAGGGCGTACCTTTATGTCCCACCCAGCGCGGAAACTATACACCGTAGCTCATTGCCCTCCACTGGGCTTTCCCTAGGGTCTCCGAGTCTGACATGCGTTCAGGTTGCATTGCAATGGAGATACTGAGAAGGTCGAGACTGCCAGCAGTGCTAGCAGCGAGGATTTAGCGCCACCAAACGCGCATCTCGTGACCCTTGCGCGTGACATCTTCAAGTCGCGCGTCGCGCGTCGCGCGACGCGTCTGTGGCTCTTTGTGGCTGCACGGCAGGGCCCGAGCCCGTGGCCACCCTCCCGTGAGCCACTGCCGGTGCTGGACTTCCACCTTCACTTACACTCACACGAGCTCTCATAACTCCCTCACAACGACCCCAAGGTCGACACCTGCAGAACAGTTAACTGGTCCGACTGGAACCCCGACGATACAGGCGTCACGTCGCTCCGCCACACGCATTGTTCGCGTACAGCCTCCTCCTCTTCCTGCGCAAGCACACGACAGCACACGACTCAGGGACGCCAAAGCGCTCTTCTCCTATTAAAGCCATGCCAGTGCCCACGCATGCCCGCTCCAAGAACTCCGCGCCAATATCCGCGACGAGCCGCCTCAAGTCGGCGCACGCGATGAAAGAAAAGCTCCGGGACTCATTGAACCTCACTCTGCACCTCGCGCCACCCCTCACCGAACCTGAACCTGAACCTGACCTCGATAAAATGACGTTTCCGCTGCCACCAACCTCTGATCCGCAAGAAGAGAAAGACGGAGATCTGGGGTTGTGGACGGAGGAAGACGAGGAGAACATGAACGTGGATGGGGACGAGGGCGGGCACCCTCGAGCGCGCTGCAACTCTGGGGCATCCGTGGCCACGATTAAGGGGAGCAAACCAGGCAAGCGACTGGCCATTAAGCCCCGCGCGGTGTCTGCTAAGAAGAAGGGCCTCAAGCGGTGCCATTCTTCTCGGAACATCAAACTTGAAGTGGACCTCGAGTCCGACCTCGGTGGCCACAACTCTGCTGTCAGAAATTTGGACTCTCAAGACGGCTTTGCCGATGTCGAAGGCAAGAGCGTGGTGTCAAGGACGCCAACGGCGGGCGACGGCGACGCGTCTGTGTGGTCTGCGAAGAGCCCGGCTGTGCGGCCCCCGTGGTCGATCCTGACCTTGAGGAGATCAAGGCGCTCATTGCAGACGACGCGGAGGAGGCGGACCCGGGCTTCTTGACGAGGGTCTCCGGTCTGCTTATGGGCGATCTACAGCCGCACGATCGTTTCGACGTGTCGATCAAAGTGAAGGCGAAGCATATTGTCATGTGGGACGTCGATCTGGAGTGAGTGTCTATCTGTATTCACGCGTCCGCGTACGGTATGCTGATCGCCTGGGCTACTCACCAGCCACACCTACGTCCTTGAAGGGCTCGTCTACGTCAAGGACGCCAAGCCGCACTCGAGCCAGTACCCACTGAAGCCCATCAATTCGCTCACCATCAACTGGCGCACCGTCGATTCCCGCCGCGGTACGCCCAGCATCGCGGACCCCAACCTCTACGAGACGTCCTACCGCGGGGGCGCCGCCCTCATCAAGCGCGCGCACGTCCTGGGCTCGCTGAACCCCGCGAATGGGATCCACACCGATATTGCGTGGACGTACCTCGCGCCGGGCGTCAGAGGGACCGGGCTGGGCGGCGGGTGGGCGCTGAGGTTCTGGGTGCCAGTCCCGATGTGGTTGTTCAAGGGACGGGAGGTGGTGAGTTCGCTTGTGAATGCAAACGTGGTTTTTGGGGATGGAGACAGAGCGAGCTGGAAGGAGCATTCGGGGACTGTCGAAGTGACGATTGAGCATTTGAGGCGTGGGCGGGAGATGAGACATTGAGGTCTCTGAGAGGCGAAGACACCGTAACCGGCCGGCCGCGTTGTGGTTCTATGGAGGTATGTATTGACTCGCAGTGGTTCCATGTTGTCGCATAGATGGACGTGTCGTGGCTATTGGTTTTCTGTAATGTACGTTGCCATTTTGTATCAGCTTTCATGTTGTGTCTGCCCCATCCTGTACTTATCGCACACCGCGGCCTGTTCCATAGCCTTGCGATTCAGATTGAAGTCGTGTCGCTTTCGGCGTAAAAATGGGAGTGACGGCGGCCCCTCCAATGAAGCAGCATGGAATATGACTGTCTTGCGCTCGAGGTGGACGCCCTGCGTTGGGAGAAGTGAAGAAGGGATCGTCGATGGATGCGCAGGCGGAGGTACGGTCACGTGTGTCGGTGGGAACGGACCGCAGGAAGACGCGCACCGCGGGGAAGCGCTCGCCTGCCCCGCCATTTAGTCGCCAGCCATTTACCCGAAAATGTCGCCCCGCCCTCGCCAGCTCCCCCCATCCCCCCATCGCGCCCTCGCTCGTCGTCGTCGTCGCTGACCGCCTCCTCGCCGCCCGCCCACCGCCTGCCCGCGACCAGCCATGGCATCCTTCCTCAAGGCATTCAAGTAAGTCTGCCTCGCGCTCTCACCCCGCACGCTCTCATCGCCCACGCAGCGCATCCCTCGTCCGGAGGCCCATGCTCACCCAGTGCGCGTCCTCCGCCGTCATGTTCGGCATCGGCGACGTCCTCGCCCAGCAGGCCTTTGAGAAGAAGGGCACCAACCACGACGTGCGTCCCCCTCCCTCTCTCCCGCCCCCGCCCCTCTGCGCTGGCGGACGCGTGTACGTGCGCGTACGCGAGCGTTAACGTGGGGTCGGCTGCCAGACGCGTGACCCGATGCTGAGCCCCGTCCTCTCCCTCCCAGTTCCTCCGGACTGCCCGCACCGCCTTCTACGGCGGCGCCCTCTTCGGGCCCCTCCTCACAAAATGGCTCGACGTCCTCAACCGCATCAAGGTCCAGTCCCGCGTCAGGGAGGTCGCCTACAAGGTCTGGCTCGATCAGACCGTCTTCACTCCCGGTGCGTTCCCCGCGTCCCCTGCGCGGCACCGTACGCGCTGACGGCGGAGCCCGCCGGGCCCTTTGCACAGCTGTGGTCGGCTTCTTCTTCACTTCCATGACCCTCCTCGAAGGCAAGAGCTTCTCGGATGCGCAAGATCGTCTCAGCACTGTGCGTATCTTCAGTGCTTCGTTTCTCCGCGGGGATGGCCCCGGCGCGGGCGCGTCGCCTGTCGGCACGGGACACGTCCCCAGATGATCCGACCGTCCAGCAATGCTCGCCTCCCGAACGACCACCGCATAAATCCCCTCGCCACCGGCGCATCCCCGCGCACAAACCCGCGATCTGTCCATTTGGCTAACCCATCCTACAGGCATACGTCCCCACGCTCATCCGCAACTGGGGCGTCTTCGTCCCCACCCAAATCTTCAACTTCGCCCTCGTCCCGCCCCAGTACCGCTTCTTCACCATCGGCACCGTCGCCCTCTTCTGGAACGCCTACCTCTCCGCCGTCAACGCGCGTAACGCGCAGTCAGACGACGCAAGCCACGCCGCCGTGCTGGAGAAGGTCGAGGCGGGCGTGCCCGTGGATGGTGCGTTGGCGGTGAAGGCGTGAGGGGTGTGGTTAGGACGACGACTTGTGTTAAGGACAGAGAAGTCTGGCTTCCCCGAGGAGAACGCGAGCGCGGGGCAGAGAATGAGAGCTTGCTGAGGGCGGCGTACGATCTATCGACATCTAGATGCTTTCTGTCTTGCTCAGGTACACGAGGCACAACCCACCACATACCCAACCCATAGAGATACATAGAGAAACCAAGACGTACGGACTGCTAATCGATTCCCACTTCTTGTGCATGTCCCCCTCGATGTGCTTCGTGCTTGGGTGACCTGAGAGTCTGGCGAAGAGTCTTGGGGCCGTGGTCACTGATCCCGAGTCTCAGACCCCTGAGGCAGACAGGCATCCAGAAGCACAGAAGCAAAACTGATCCATATTCAATATTCGAGACGAAAGCACCTCGCAAAGCAGCCAAACACAGAGCACATAACCAAGCCACGAAATACATCTCACCCACATGCCGCCGACCCACCACCCACCGCTGATCATGCATCCGTCGCAATCAAGTACGTCTCGTTCTCCCAGTCAATCTCCTGCTTCAGCGCGGACGTCAGGATCAGCTCCTGGTTCCATACCCGGTGCCCCGCCTGCGCGAGCGGCCGCCAGATCGCGCGGTCCCCCGGCGCCGACACGACGTGCCGCTCCGGGTGCCCCGCCAGGATGCGCACCGTCGGCGTTTGCGTCAGCAGCTGTCCAGAGACGCGCGTGAGACATCAAGAAAAGGGGCGGGAACGGGGACGCACCTGCCCGCCGCACGCGGTGACGACGTTCTTGAGGAGCTTGCTGTCGACGGGGACGTGCGGGGTGACGTAGAACGTGAGCCCCTTGAAGAGCTTGCCGCCGTTCGCCTTCGCGCGCGCGAGCGCGTCCGTCAGCTTGAATCCGAACTTGTCCTCGTTCGCGGGGTCCTTCAACAGGAACTTGTCCTCCGCTGTCGGCAGAACACAGGCGGTGAGTTCAGCAGAATCGGCGAGGAGCAGGGGGGGCTTACGGAGAAGCTCCTTGACGGAGTAGGACGCGAGGAGCCATTTCTCGTTGAGGATGTGCGGCGCGTGTGCCATTGCGCAGAGGAACTTCTCTGTCCGCACAAGGTTGCGCGCGACGAGGTGCGTACACTCTGAGGGCTTGGTCGTCATTTGCACGCCCAGCTTCTTGAGGAACTGCTCATGGCGAGGTCAGGATAGGATCACAAGCTTGCCAGGACGATACTCACCTTCGTGACTTCATCGGACACAGTGATCTGCGTAGTCATGATTCGTATACTCTGCAGACGACTATAGGGCACGTTAGGCGCCTGTGTCCTGTTCACGAAGACTCGACTGTACGCTACCTTGATGAATTGCTAGAATCCTTACCCTTGCTCGTAGGCTTAGCACGAGGCTCAGCGTCGCTCGCCTGGTCTTCATCCTCTGCCTCACGGGCACTCTTCCCAGACTGTCGCCGTTGGGTCTTCGTCTTCCCTGCAGCCTTCCCCTCCTTCGTCAAGCTCGTCCGCTGCCGCTTTTTCTCTGGCTTCTCGTCCTCTTCAGCGGAAGCCGCCTCCGCCTCCGCATCTCCTATGGACGCCCTCTTCTTGCCCCGGCTCTTCTCCCCGCCCTCCTCGGCCGCCCGTTCCTTCTCCTTCTCCTTTGCCTTCGCAGACGACACGTCGCTTTCCCATGCGTTTCTGACTGCACCGCTCTTCAGCTGTTTTTGGAAGTTCACCACGTCAGGCATGATCTCGTCCCTCAGCTTCTGCGTCGCCTTGCTCGCCGCAGCCCGCCTCGACGGCGTACGCTGCAGGGTCGACGGTGTCTCCATCTTGGCAGGCTCCGTCTCCGGAGTGGTCGACGCTGTCGCTGCCGCCGCTTTCCGGCGCGACTTGGGCATCGGCGGCGGGCTGGGGGATGATTCCGGAGTCTCCTCCCTCGCCTTCTCCCGAGCGGGTTTCCCTCGCTTGCCGGGGGACGCAGGCGACTCGGTCGCCGTAGCACGCACGGATTGCATCTTGCTGAGCGGTCTCTTCGACGAGGACGATGGGCCCGCCTCGGACCGTGTCCCGTATAAAGCGACGACCGTCGGTACGACCACGGTGACCTCCTTCCGTGGCGATCGCGTCGATTTCTTGGGCGAGTCGGGCTCGATGGACTCGGACACCGCGGATCGTGAGGACTGCGCGGTGGACTTGGGTACACGGAACGATGGCCCGCCCTGGGGCTCTGGCTCGGACTCGGAGTCGTCCGCAGGCTTGGTGCGTTTACGCCCGCCCTTTGGCGGACCGATCTTTGCTGGTTGCGCGACCCCCTTGTCCTTGCTCCTCGTGGCACGAGCGGAGGTCGGCTCCACGGGACTGTCAACTTCCATGGCGGCCTCGTCTTCAGAGGATACCAGAGGGGCTGCCTTCTTCGCGGACGTTCGTTTCGTCCGAGTCGGCGACACCTCCGCAATCTTGGCTGTCAGGCGAGAGGACGACTTCTGCGCCTTCCGCGCCAGAGGAGACTGGTCAACCATCTCCACATCAGAGTCCTGGTCTGACACAAGCGCCGCCCGTGCAGATCTGGTTCTGCGTTGGTCAGGAGAGGCGGAGGTGGACGGACGAGGACCGTCGTCCTCCGCGTCCTCGTCTGGGCGGGCAGCGCCTCTTCGTCTCATCGCCTTCGCCATACTCTGATACTTCCGCGGCGACGATCCCTTCGACTTGGGTTTCCCACTTTCACCTTCGTCCGCGTCCATCTCGTCGTCAGCGCCCTTCCGCGTTCGCCGAGCATTTTTTTCCTCGATCCGGATGTCCGTCTCGAGGAACTCGCCTATGCTCACCTCCGCAGGATCCTCCGCCATTGCAACGGCGTCCTCGACCTCCTTCATCTCTCTTGCGCTCGCAGCCGTCCTCAAAGGTGGTTTGTTCTCTTTCCCGGCGACCTTCTGCTTCTTCCCATCACCCCTTTCGCCATCGAGACCCTCCTTCTCGAGCGTCTCAAGCTCCGCGGGCTCGAGGATGACCTTCCCGCCCATCGGCCGCTCCGTGATGAGCTTGCTGAAGTCAGTGCGCGGCGGGAAGTTGATGTACCGCTCCAGCGCAGGCGTGAGGTTCCGCCACTGCACGAAGCAGTCTTCGAGCCAGGTGTGGTTCACGACGGGTATGGACCACGAGACGGCCTTCTCGGCCTTCGTGCCCGACATACTGTGAACGGATCAGTGGAATGGCCTGAGCAGAGGCGTAAGGACGCACTATGCTGCTACAACGACCGTGTTCTTCGGCGACATGCTCGGCGTGAATTCCGCGCCCATAGTGAGTATCAGTTTCTTCAGGTAGTCGCGATGTTTGCCCGTGTAGTTTGTGATAGTGATAAACTGATCCTAGCGGTAAGCCTGTGAGAGCGTGCACGGCTACCAGGCTACATACATGTTTCGAGAAGCCTTCGATTGGTCTTCTTGGTATCGGATAGTGAACGAGCTGGTCTGTCGGATGAGAGATGGATCCAGTGGCGCGGCAGTACCACACCCATGGCAGTGTCCCGATAGTCTTGTTCTCCTTGTATGCCTGCCAGGACGTTGGTCTGTGAGCAGCTCGACAAGTACGACACGCTCACCTTCACGAAGGCTGGCCCGGATCGGTACGCAGTCACGAACACATCGGCCTCGTCGACTTTCGCGACCTCGTCCTCCACCAGCTCCCGCCCTTTCTTCGTCGTGTCCAGCTCGACGACGACTCCCCCTTCCCTGCGTATGTCTTCTTCATGCGCACTGCGCTGGCTGTCCGAAAGTCCGAGAGACACGGCCAAAAGCATGCGAAGGCCATTCCAGACATTGTGCGCCGGAGCTCGTGTGCGCGGCAAGTCATTGCCTGCCGCGAGTGCAGTGTCGAAGAAAGGCTTCTTCTCACCTGAGATCCTGTACGGTGGCGGCACCTCCCCGCTCGCAGCACCGTCCTTGCTCGTGCTCCAGTCACCCCTGAATACGGCAGGCTCGGGCCACTCGTACTCTGCGGTCGGAAGCCCCCTGATGCCGAGCCGTATGGAGTCGTCGTGCCAGTGAGGAACGAGAACGAGCATCCCAGTCTGCTCCTTGAAGTGCAGCGCGGTCTCGTACTTCTGGCTGCCTGGCGCGAGCGCGAAGACATGGGTCACGTCGCGCGTGAGCGCGCCCCGCCATTGTCCGCCGAGCGCGGTGATCGACGCGCACATGAGCTCCGCGTCCGACGCTGAGAGGTCTGTCGCTGTAGCGGTGACGCCGGAGAATATCTGCGCGGGATCTGGCGAGTAGAAGTCAGGAGACTGTGGCGCGTCGAGGATGCGCGAACGCTCGACCCACGTCGGGGTGACGAGGCGAGCGGTGGTGTCCTCTGGCAGGGATTCGAGGGTGTCATCGTTCGGGAGCGAGTTTGCAACAAAATGGGTGAGCGAGGGGTCGTCCGCTGTCACCGCAGTCGCGCCTGCAGCGTTGAGGACATCGGCGAGTTGTTCGCGCTGTTCGGCGCGCAGAGTGAGGGAAATGTAATATCGGACGTCACGAAAAGTTTCCTTTGCCATTCATGCAAAAGAAAAGCAGAGAGACGAACTATATCCGGCCGGAAATTGAGAGAAGATGGGAGGACGAAGGCAAGGTCGCTGAGCACCAGTGAGCAGGCGAGCAGGCCAGGAGTCATGGGCGCGCGTAGCAGGCACGTGGCACGCGCGACACTTCCTAATCGGGTATCGCGTAAGCGCTGTATCAGTACACACGAGGTACTAGACTCGCAAGCCAGTCGTTGAGTTCCGCCACCACCTTTTCCGGAAACAATACTTCAAAGCCAGGAAAGGAATCGGAGTGCGAAAGGGAGTGGGGGCCTCTAACGGAGTGCCACGACTGAGTTTAAAATTTCTTACGCCAGAACGGCTGGGAACGAGCCTACACGCGAGGATGGTTCGACCTCGGCACGTGCATCACGGAATCCGCGCTGATCATACATGCAGTTACAACATGCTTGTATACGACGACAAGGGCTGAAATCGTTATATACAGTGCAAGGTCCTATCGCGCTAGAAATTTTACATCAACTCGATAGAACATCAATATAACATTGATGTAACTTCGTTGCAAGCCACTCCTTTGATACTATCACTTCGCAATGAATGCAAGCTCGTACTGATGTTGCATACGACACTAAGCTAATGGCTCACTTGCGTCCGTCCTCACATCGATGCATTCACCGACTCATCACTGTATTCGTCACCATGTGTATCAAATTGACATTGAACTTCAGGCTGATGTAAGACAAAATGTAAGATATTCGAAAGCAGACCACTTCGTCCACGATGCACGCGATCCACGACTATTGCCAATGGATGAGTTCACGGAGACATCAGGGAAGCACAAAGGAAGGGAAGGGGATAGAGGCTTGGGGTATAAGAATGACCGAGGATTACAGCATCAGACCGAAGGCACATCCGACGATGTCGAGGCTTGAGCAAGGGCCATGTGGTGCGCGACACTGTTGATACGACGTGTACCAGAAGTAGCCGCATCTGCTTGGATTGCAGACAAGACCCGGCTTCAATTGACCCAGAAGTCAGTTCGGAGTTTCCTACAGTCAATAGAACAGGGCTTACATCGAATGGAATGAGAGAAGTGCCGTCCTGAGCTCCTCGGGCATGACGTCTTCGATAGTTCGTATAAGGGAATTATAGAATCCTTCGTACCAAAACTTGCCTCGTTCGTCTTCGGAGCCGGCGCCGAATGTGACCTGTGACGAAAGAGAGAAATGAACCTGCCCATGGATGTGAACCAAGATCAGTAGCTTCGAGATGAATCTGGGAGACTTACAATGCACGCGATGTAGGCAATCATTGCAGGGGTGACAGTGCGGATGCCATGGATCTGAGCGCGGCCCTTACGGTTCGAGCGCGATGTGACACCGTCGTTCGACTTAGCAACAGACGGGGCGACAAGGATATGTTGCAGTCCCTGCCAAAGTAATGCCAGTGACTCCGATCAGAAGCAGATTCTCGCAGAATGACATGATACTGATACCTTGAACACACCTTACAAATCAGCAACCCTTCGCAAAAGCCTCTGAAGAAATTCGTCTTGTCTGCAGTGTTGTCACGCCACAGAAAAGCCGGGTAGTCGTCTGCGCCTTGCGGATAATCGGCATGATATTCGAGAAGTGCCACACGAACTCTGCAAGGATGTCAGAAAGGACCGGAGAAATGTGTCTGCCAATTATACTCACCGTGCATCGCCGTAGTCGTACATCACAGGACAGAGGAGCTGGCCTGTGGACTCGCAGCTGAAGCCACGGAATTGCTTCTCTGTGGGAAGTGGTGGATTGAAAGTGATCCAATCGCGTATACCCCCCTTACAGGTGTTGACGATGTTGTTCCGATCGCGGGTGCGCCCACGTTCGATCTACAACAAACATTTGATATTGGTAAGTAGCCGTCCATAATTCGCATGTTGACATTACCATCTCGGCGACCTCTGGCGAACCAGTAGGTCCACGAATTGTTAGCTCGTCGCGCAGTTCGGGGGCAATGGCAGTCAGACTGTCATAGAGCTTGTGAAGCTTCTGCTCCCTTGCATAACTCTGGTTAGCAGTCGTAAGAGGCGAGCAGTGGCAGTATGAACAAACCAAGATGTGTATACGCTAGATGGAGCCTCGGGATCGCGAGCACGGCCAGCATCAATGATCGCTTGTACAGATCGGAACATGTCGTACTCGAGTCCAAACCGAGCTCCCTTCTTCTCGAGTTTTTTGACGATTCCTTCCCGGGATGAGGGCGCGGGCACAGCTGGTTCGGTACCCTGAGGGATGATGGCAGTAGTACTGGTAGGTGGGGCAGATTCAGAGGACATCGCAGGCGACGAGGAGAGAAATGAAGGTGTGATGCAAAGAATGGGTTGCTGTCAGTTGAACAGAACAGAAAGTGGCCGTTTGGCGTCCAACAACACCGAATGTTAGCCTACGATGAGAGCGAGGGAAAGATACCCGGGCCTATGTGAGACTCGACAGCTTTTAAGCTCGAAGACGCTGCTCACCGGTAGAACGGCCCGGGTGTAGTCTATTCCAGGAATGTGAATGTCCTATCGTGGATATGAGTATTTGACTCATACCTCGTGGATGCTAGAGGTCGTCTTCGAAGGCGCTAGCATCCGATTCATCGCCTTGCAGGTCGGCGAGTAGTCGATCTTCATCGGAGCTATACTCGTCTTGGCTCGTTTCGTCTTCTTCATCCAGAGGGCATGCAACCATGCTGCTATCAGTTGCTGACTCGGACTCGGCACTGCCGACTTGGGGAGACGATGGCGGTTCCGGGTCGGCAGTGCATGCAGAGAACACAATTTCGACATCGAGCTTGTCCACCGTTTGAGCACGACATGTCAGGTGGCCAACTCCTAGGCCCACATAGCGCATGACTATGTCTCGGTCAACAAACCTGTTGACATAATAATAACGCCAGTCTCCTGCCACATTGCGAGCGAGAGAGGGGCCAAGCAGCGAGAACGTTCGGCCATAGTGAAAACCAGGAATCAGATGCGACGCACGAAGAACATCAGCAGGATCTATGAAGCCAAATGCATCAGGGGACGTGGACGGCAAGAAAGAGACCCGGGGAAGCCTAAAGTCGTTTGCCGAGCTTGACCAAGTTTGGTCGCGTTCGAGCCACCGGACCCAGAGGAGCTCCATCCGCAGCTTGCTAGTTGAGCCTGGGCGAAGGACGTTAGCATGGTATATGCCAAGGACCTGCGCATATGTCCACGGATAGAGTGAGCCGTCAGCGCTCCCAGGTGTGTGCACCATGACAAAGCACTTATCGGTCCCGACATGAATGATGTCCTGTGCTCGACGTAAGTCGTAGGTAGTGAAGTTGACACGTGCTGTAGCATGGGCGAAGAGACAGTTACGATCCAGGATTAGGGCAGCATCTGCAGGCCACGAGGGATCTGTTGCCAGAAGCCGAGAATGGAGATGCGTCCTGAGGTCATGCACAAACGAGTGCAGAGCAGGGTCGTCGGGGTGGTCAGCGATGAGTTGACTAAGATAGACTGTGTTACGTTGCTCGACGGCAATACGATGATGCTCTTGCACAGCAGACGGGTCTGTGGCCTCGTCATCGATAAGCTGGACTGTTGAGCGTGTACTCGGAACATCGACACCGATGTCGTGGAGCTCATCAGCCATGTGGTTCAGTTTGGAGGTAATGACGTCCTGCGCTACGAGCTGTTCATCCGCATCCTTCTTGTTGGTACGAGCATAGCGCCTCTTGATATCACAGTGCTTGAACTCGCCCTAGAACAAATCAATGATGAGTAATTTATGAGGATTGCAGTCCATACGCACCGTCTGTGTTGACCCAGAGTCTGTTGTTCCGGTTGCACGGATGTTTGCGACATAATCGCCAAGGAAGTGCGTCTTCGGCGTCTTCATATTGAAAGTGCGCGGCCGCCGACCAGACGGAGCAGATTGGGCTGGGGCGAGACCTCTGGTTACGAGCCGGGCATGATTGCGCATTCGTTTGCTGTACTCAGCCGATGACTCCTGGGTAGTAAAGGCAGGGCAAGTTACCGCTTCGAATTGTCGCAGAGCCTCACCAAGTGCAGTCGTAGCTGTGTCGAGTAAAGCCAACGAAGAGTCAGTGTGCATGCGGAGTTTTGCGAGACCATGCCAGTATGCGAGTGTGAAGAGCAATATGCGGACATTGCTGTCGTGCGGCTCTGGCAGAAGTCCTTCGAAACACGGTATAGCGCACTAAGTCGCAGTTAGTACTTGTCGTCCGAGACAACAAAATCAATGTTACTTACCTGAAGGATGTCTTCGAAGTCACGGGCGGCGAGCTTCTTCATCTCGGACACATTCGCCGCAAATTTTCGGATCGTGAAGGTACCGAACCCAGGGACACGTCGGAAACTGCACGACAGCAAATCAGTCTGTGTCAAATCACTGGCAATCATCCTTTACCGACTTCTCGTCCAGCTTATCAACCAGGTTTCCAGGCTGAGACTCCAGAATGCGGATGAGGTGCATCAGCAAAACGGCGCACTGTCTGACGGCGCCTGAGGCTAATGAAGGGCCTGATCCGGAGTCTGAGATCGCTGTCATGGCTGACGTGACTGGGCGCTTATTCTCCGTGCGGCCCTCGGGTCGTTCTTGGCTCGCCAGAGCCCGTCAGTCTCAGGCTCCTCAGTCGTGTCAGTCGTGTCAGTCGCGACAGACCATAGTTTTGAAGCTACTACATACTTGAAGCTACTACATACTTGAAGCTAGTATCACTGTAAGTATACTACTGTTACAGGCTCTGACGAAATAGACTGAACAAAACTTTGACTACGAGTAAGTAGTCTACATTATTTCTTGGTACACTCATACTACATATCACGAGCACTGTGGTATCGACTCGGGATAGTACTGTGCGTAGGGTTGAGCGAGCGCTCAGACAGGAGGAGCAGGAAGACTCGGTGAGGAACGAAGTACCGCGGGCGCCTGCCCTAAACAGGCGTGCCACGTCGCCCACTCGTCCATGTCAACGGTTGCGACTCCTTTCCTGCCAACCCCGTCGCTCTGCGCAGCCACCCATTCTCTCTGTGGCTATAGACGTACATCGGAGAGCCCGCGCATACTGCAGCAGTCGATGCCTAGGATGCCCAAGCCGAAGGACCGTTGTCACCGGAATAGCACGAAGGACAAAGACTCTCAGAATTCGAACGGGAACCGCGGCACACGAGGCACTAGAGAAAGAGCATAAGCGACGCGCACCTGCGAAGGGCGTGAAGGAGGAACCGAGTAGGTAGGAGACATCGGGGCATGGCGGCGCTGACTACAACAGGCAGGGCAACCCGTACTCCAGCTCAACAGGCTCGGGGAGCGCGAGTCGTTCGGTGCCGCCATCGCCAACGGGCAGCGCGCCGCCACCGCCCACAAGGCTCCTCGACAAGGACCACGACGACGGTTTCGCGGAGGCTCTCATGAGTCTTCCGTTGGGTTCGACCGCGCTGTATCGCTGACCAGCTGATCCGCGCAGCTTCGGTCCTCTTCCTGGTGGGCCGATCGGTCCAGGCGGTTCACGTCCTGGGCCAGGTCATTCGCCGACGATAACGTACCGCAATCGCCAGCCGTCAATGCTGTGTCGCGCATCACCTCCGATATCGGGTACGAAACGTCCGCTCAGCCCCGAACGCGACGATCGCAACATCGACATGAAGCGCAGCCGTGCGAGAGCATTAAAAGCGTGCTTGAGAATGGGAATATCAGGTGCGTCTTTCCTCAGTCCGGCTCTGGCAGACGTCCGTCCCTAGTGCCCTCACGACTCGTTTATCCCCTTCCGCCAGCAATTTATGACGCATTCGCCTGCGGCACATCAGACTGAGGTGCGGAGCTACCCGCTGTCTGACGCACCCGCGCTCCCGACGATGCTCCCGCCGCATCTGTGACTGATTGGCGCAGGGCACGCAGGAACGAGTCTCCCGCCGATCAAGCGAAGGAAGGATCTGATTGTGAGTGACACAGGGAATGGTGATGTACAGCACAACATGCACGGCAGCCACGAGCATGCAAGTTGCTCGTCTGCTGCACGTTGTCCACGAGTGCGCAGGGCCAATGCCCTGCGCGCAGACGTGGCCGATGAGCGAGCGACAGGCGTAGGGACGAGGAGGAGGTGTGGGCGGGCGTGAGGGAGAGCGAGCGGGCGGACGAACAGACGGGCGGGCGGAAGCGCGAGCGGGTGAGTGCGTGAGGAACCGCCAAGCAGGGTGAACTGACGACAAACCGAGCGAGCCAGTGGGCAGGCGAGCGGATTACCAGACCGGCGGTTGAGCGGCCTGGCGGGCGGGCGGGTACACAAGCGGGCGACAACGCACAGTGACCGCGAGCGTGCAGGGCAAATGTCGAGCACGCAAACACGACGGATGAACGGACGGCATGCATGGGGATAGGACGGGTGAGACAAGTGCAAGACGGCGGGCGAGTCAACGGGGACAAGTCTATGGCTGGGGCACGGAAACACGACACACGCCGACTGCGAGCAAATGCAGCATGTACATGTATGTAAGAGTACGTGTAGTGACCTAGAAATATATTGGGTTTGTGAGGTCCGACGAGTCTGACGGGTGGTCTGAACCTCGTCTGAAAGTGTCTGAAAGGTGAGCTGACATCAGACACTGCGTCTGAAGTCAGAAATGAATCTACCCTTTTCTGACCTGGGGTATGATCTGTCTGAGGTGTCTGATCCGACTGATGTCAGACGTTTCAGACGACTTCAGACGAAGTCGCTGTTTTGCTGATGTGCGTGAACACTGCTTTCCAGACGCCGAGTTCGAACTCATGCAGGAGATCGACAACTAGAAGGACAAAGAAGTTCTCCACGATGTCGGAGAATGCATTCTTCGCTGCCATGTCAATAACTGTACCACACGAATCTCGCTGTTGGTGTACTTACCTGTGTTGGTATAAGCGACTCGCCCTTCAATTCCTTCTCCACTCGGTCGCTGTTCACGACGTACCCCTTGTCGTAGATAAGAGAAATGGCCTCATCGACCTTCCTTTGTCGGGTAGCATCATCACGGCGTGCAGTTTCCTCCCTGCGAACACGATCGGCAGGAGTCCCTAGCTCCGGGATTTCGTCCATCTTGACAAGGCATCGGGGGCATGGGCATAAGCCCTTGTCACGAATCGTCGCGACCAGCACCCTGAAATGGAATAGTTGTTAGTAACATGTACACAGACGAGATGGGACCATACTTCTCAGGGTAATCTGCTGAATATGTGAAGACACGTGGGTACAGACGCCGTTTGATACCGTCGGTGCAATCAACCACAATCCCGGTTTTGTACGCATTTAAGAACTCGGGATCCTGTATAAGGATCGCCCAGGTGGCGTGAAACAGCTCACGGCGTAAGTGCGTCAAGAGCGGGCCTTTTGCAGATTTGCCGTCATGTAATTTTCGGATGTAGTCCTTGATACTATCGGGGAGCTGATGTAACGGATATTCCCGTTACGGTATGTCTCGTCTTGTATGTTTGTCATTGTTTGCCTGAGGGCTCGTATGGCGCGCCTGTGCACCTACGAGACCTCAGCCTTTTACCTCGTCACCGCCCATGTATGCAATTGTAGACAGTTCTCCTTGAATAGAGACTGGGTACAGCGCATACCGGGCACGACGAGTGAGGCGACATTACACTTTTTTGCGCTCCAGATTCATTCTATTACTCTGGGGACTCTACTCTAGGCAACAAACCTCGAAACTCGACATCTACATCTATCTACTCGACGTCTATGCTATTCTGATCATATTCTGGCCAACTCAACAACTCAACAAGATGTCCGAGTCGACCACCAACCTGTCCGCACCTTCGCGAAGCAGCCGCGGGTCCCACAGTGGGACCCGCAGCAAGCTGAAGGCGTTGCGCGAGGAAGTCCGAGCGAAGCTCGCCGCAAGTCAAGAGCGGATCAACAAAGCCCTCGAGGAATCCAAGCAACTCGAGGCCGACCTGCTGGCAACGGTCGACGCCGCGTTGTCCGAGGCCAGCAGCCGCAGTCGGTCTTCTCGCACGAAGACCACCCGGACTGAGTCCTCTCACCGCGAGGACTCAGCCGGAGCTCTCACAGAGCAGGCGCCGTCCGACCGTGAGGTCGAACAGGCACCGCGCACTGAGCAGCTCGAGCCCAATGTCGAGCCCGCTCAAAACCGCCCGGAGACCGACTCTCCACCTGCTTCGACCCAGCCGATGAAGCTCGGCACCACTCTGAGGAGTGGTGAGCGCGCCGAGCTCGACAACGTAGCCGTAGTCGAGCTCGTGCCTGGATTGAATGAGCAGCGCCAGGAGCTGACTCGCATCAGCACCCGGGAGGGCATAGGCACACAGTACTACAGTAGTACTGTGTGCAGTGGGAACGAGCCCACGCGTGTAGATACGCTCGTCGCGTGTTCAGAGATGAGCCGCGACACAAAAATATATATTCGTTGTCGAATGACGTGCGCGCCATGTCGAGCAACTTGCTCGACGCGACGCGCGACGCGCTCGACTCTACGGGCGTCGAGCGTCACGGGTCCGTGGCGAGCGCCCTGAGTGCTAGCGCTCACCGCACTGCACTCGACCGCCACCACCGACTCCACGTCCTCGACCACTCCCACTCTCTGGGCAGCCACCTCGAGCGCCCGTCTGGCGAACCAGACGCGCGCGCGGCCCCAACGCGAGTGCGAACTCGCGTTCGCGAATGGCTGGCTGACTTACCGCCAGCCCAGTCAGTGGCGACCGACGACCTGGTACCTCACGGTACCAGATCGCCAATTCCTCCCTCCCCGGCTCCTCACCTCACCCCTCTCGACTCGCGCCTTGACTCTGGCAACCAATACCGCGGCTCTGGCGACACGCAACCCAGCCGCGCGACCCAGGACTTGAACACCGCGCGTTCAAGTCCAGCGCCGAGTAGCAGGACCGAGCGGACCACGAAAGACGCGGAGCGAGGAGAGCAGAAGGAGGACAGGGAGACGGGGAGCGATAGCGAGGAGAAGGAAGGAACAAAGGGACAGAGGGAGGAAGGGTGCGGGGCGAGCAGGAAGCACGAGCACGAAGGCTCGACGCCCACAGGTACGTACTCACCGTACGTTCCCGCATCGCCGACTCCGCTTCCTGTGCCCGCGTCAGTAGGCGTAACGACGAACGTGGGGTTCGCCGTGCGTCCTATTGACCACGAAGATGGCACGTCCGGCCCCAGGTACGACTGCGAAGTCGTACCCGATGTTCCGGGTGTTAGCACGCCCAAGGTGCTGCGGGACGACCTGCAGGTCGTACCCTCCATACCCCCCGTAACCGCGCCAGTAGGCGTATCGACGAACTCAAGGCTCGTCGTGCGCACTACTGGCCACGACTATGGCACCTCCGCCCCAGGTACGACTGCGAAGTCGTACCGGATGTCTCACGAAAGCTGCGGTACGACCCTGAGGTCGTACCCGGACCTTTCACTCTGCAAGGCAATACGACGGACGCGCAGTACTGCACGCCCGACGTGCCCCACCTCTCCATGACCGGGTGTCGAGTAGCGGGTACGCCCCAGATGGACGTACCTACCTCGACATCTCCATCATTGCCCGTGCTCGCGCCCGCGCTCGCGAGCGGAACGACGAATGTAGCATCCGTCGTGCGCAACACTGGCCATCAAAATGTCACGTTTGCGCTGCGGGACGACCTAATGGTCGTCTCTTCCACTCCGCAAAACGGCACGCATGCACTGCAGGACGACCTCGCGGTCGTACTCTCCGATTCGCAAGGAGGCACGATGGACTTGCAGCGATGCATGACCATCGTGCCCCATCTCACCTCGACTGCCACTAGTGCAGCGGACCCCTTGTCGGACAGTAGCATCGCGCTAACATCGGCGTCCCAAGATGGATGGCACTTCCGCGAGGAAGTGCAGGCCTCCGGCTGCTCCGACGCAGCTGAACCTTCTGTGGTTCAGTCGGCCAAGCCACGGGACGACCCCGACGAGTGCTCCCGCGACGCGCTCGACTCCGCAAGGATTCTGGAAAGCCGACCGAGGCGTAAGGCCTCTCTAAGAAAGGCCTCTCTGCGAGAGGCCTCTACTGCCCCTTCGCGAGCACAAGTAGCTCACGTCCGCGCAGTCGAACCGCCCGCGATTCAACTGGCAGACTATCCGGACGGCCTCGATCTCTCCAGCAGCCACCGATTGTACGCGGCAGCGCCTGAAGAAGACGTGCACTTCCAACAGGAAGTGCAAGCCCTCGGTCTCGTCAAGACCGCTGAACCTTTGGCGGTTCAGCCAGGAAGCCCGCGATACGATTTCGACCGGCTCGACGAAGTGGCGGACCTCGATCTCGACCTTTCCTGCAACCACCATCCTCCCCGCGATCCCGGCGCCCCGACGAGCGCGCAGCCCGACGATCGCGTACTCCCGAGGAACGCGCGAACTCGAGCTCGCGACCCGACTGCTGCACTACCGACAGTGCAGCGACCGGCGCCTACGGACCCTGACCGACCAGAACGGACTCCCATCCGTCAACCCGGCGAGAACTTCATAGTTCTCGCCGATGGCTCGCTCCTAGGGACCCCCTACCAGCTTCACACCAACCTCTCCGCGGCCCCCGACACCCATGGCGAGTACGACAGGCTCCGAGAGTCGGAGAACTCACGCATGACCCGAAGATCGAGCGCCGAACGGACAGAGGGTCAGGTCAGGCACGAGGTAGACGGGGATGAGGGTGCGGAGGCAGGAGGGGCAGTTGAGGAGGGTCAGGCAGAAGGAGGAGAAGGGGAAGGGTGCGGCGTAGGCGAGGAAGCCGAGCATAAGTGCTCGAAAGACGAAGGTACGCCCCTACCGGACGTACCTCCCCCGCCTCCACCACCATCTTCTACACCGCTACCACCACCCGTGACGAACACAACAACCGAGGCGGTTGTCGTGGCAGTCACCGCATACGACTGTGGTACAATCGGCCTAGGGGACGACCTACAGATCGTACCCGGCATGGTCAGGCACGGCGGTATGATCGACGAACACACAAGCTCGTTCGACGCACCCAACGTCCTGGTAACTCCTACGTGGACGTCGGGCTTCATGGGCGACGCATATGCAGAGGAGCTCGGCGGTGAGCTCGACAACGAGTACCTCACGGTACTCGCCTCGCCGTCACCATGTCCCATCCCGACACCACCACTGACGTCGAGTATTACACTCGACGCCAGCATTACTGAGCTCGCCGGTGACCCGATGAGCGAGTACACATCAGTACTCGCCTCGCGACCGCCGTCACCCGGTCCTGTACCACTGCCCGCGCCGATTGCGACCACCCCAAAGGTCGCCGCAAGGGACAGTGGTCCATTCACACCACAGAACGACATAGCAGTCGTATCTGTGGCCTCGCACGGCGGCGCGTCCGAAGTGCATACACGCCCTACCGACGCGTCCCACCTCTCCACGTCTGGTGCGGCACCGCCATCAAGCACTACATTCGATGCAGAGGGTGCTGCAGGCGGACACGATCGTCTGACTGACCAGGGCGAGTACCGTGAGGTACTCTCCCACCCACCTTCTCCCGTTACAGTGCCACCACTGGGCGACACTGAAACGAGCATTGACGAAGAAACGGGCAGGCCAGATCCCGTGGATCGCGAGCAGTCGACCGGAACATCTACAAAGGTAGATGTACGACAGGCTGCACCCGAGCACGGATGGCGACCGTCGGGACGCTACATGCCACCTGCACGTCGCGTCCACTGGCAGTACCTCGAAGACCAACGTGGACTGGCCGCGGCTCATGGCGACGAACACAACACCAAGTACCGTGAGGTACTTGGCACATCCAACAAACAAGACCGGGACCTACCGCCGAGCACGTCCAAGATATATGTGCCGTCTCATTACTCGGACCCGGCTCAATCGAAGGGATCGACGTGGACTGACAAGTCCACGTCAATAACTCCAGTAAAGGAGACACTTGGCGAGGACGAGTCCTCGTACTCGCGGGTGCGAATACCTGGACCGTATGGTGTGGCACTGGCAGGCACATCCAACTTACTGGGCGATGCGCCCGCATCGATTGATGCGACGACCAGGGCGTCGTCGCGCGCCCGTAAGAAGGAACAGCCACCGCGAGGGCTGGAATCATCGGACTCAGGTGAACGGCAGCGTTCAACGACTACTGCTGATACCGAGACCGAGCCGGCGCGAGTGCAAGGAGGAGATACCTCCTCTACGAGGGGGGGTACTCTCCTGAGAGGGGAAGGGAGCGGGGCCTCGAATGGCCACCGCTTGTTCCACAACACCACCAGTACATCATATAGTGATGTACTGGGATCGGACGCAGTCACGGGCGGTACATCCAGCGTTGAGCTCGATGTACGAGCTTCACGTCGAACACCGAGACAGGTACCACCCGTACCACGCGCATCGAGCGATCGACTCGACGTACAGAGTACAGGTGACCGTCGCGGCCACGACATCACTCGGGAAGTTAGTACCTCGCGCAGCGACATACCAGCATTGAACCGAGTACCGACTGCGCCGGATCGTCCAGTAACCATTGACGTGAGTCGATGGCCCATGGACAAGGTGTTGCACAAGTTGTGTTTCAGCCTCCTCGCGGACCAGCTCGACCACGATTTCGACGAGGCTGAATCCGCGGCGAGTGATGGCGAGTGGGCCATTTGGGCTCACTGCAAGAGATCTGCACTCAGCTGTGGACAGGCCATCGAGGAGATGTCCCCGCGACCGGGGACATATTCTCGTGCTGCTCGTCGAGCATGGGACCACTTCCAGAGGGAATTGGAAGTGGTTCCTCTCGAGTTTGATCCTCTGCTCATTGCACCATTACCTATGGAGATGGTGCGATATTGGGCCTACAACAAGCTGGGATGGCTTGTTGTACCACCTCGCAGTCAACCTCGGGATGACTCCGACTGGTATAACTCCTCTGATGAGGAGCCTCATACCACCACTCGTGAGGAGTACCCTGACCAGATTGAGTCGGAGTACTTCTCCGAGTCCGAGCACCATAGCTCGTGGTACTCACGAAGTTCAGGGTCTGAAGAGACAAACTCGGTAGTAGTCTCTGACTACTACGAGCAGTCCGAGATGGAGGATACCCAAAGTTCTTCTGCACTATCTGCCGAAGATGAGGGTAACTCGGAAGATGCAGACTACTACTCCGAGTCCGAGTAGTAGTCTACGTTCCTGGTTGCATAACTCCATCGAGTTATGTATGACAATGGTGAACGGTTGTGTCTGCTCACTGACACGATCTAGCATGTCGTTGTCTACAGTTCAACATCATCTTTGTTTTGCCACTTGCTACCACCGTTGGGTTGTTGCATATGTTTCCTTTCCTTTTCCTTTTTTCTATCTGTTTCTCTGGTTATCGCTGGGACCCGTGGTCGTGTCCAGTGGGGGAGGGTGTAACGGATATTCCCGTTACGGTATGTCTCGTCTTGTATGTTTGTCATTGTTTGCCTGAGGGCTCGTATGGCGCGCCTGTGCACCTACGAGACCTCAGCCTTTTACCTCGTCACCGCCCATGTATGCAATTGTAGACAGTTCTCCTTGAATAGAGACTGGGTACAGCGCATACCGGGCACGACGAGTGAGGCGACATTACAGCTGACGAAACAATTCAGCAGCTGCAACAGATGGAGCTTTCGAAAGACTTACTGAAGGAAGATATGCAATATGATATCCAGCAGCCGTAGCAGGTCGGGCACGGTCGTACTTGGACTGGTTGCCGAAGAAGATGTAGATTGGCCAAGCTTTTGCGTTTCCGAACTGTGCTAGGTTTGTTGAATCCGAATAAAACATCATGGCAACGATTGCACGTGGCAGATCGCAGCCTTCGACGCGCGGAGAGTTCTGAAGCTCAAACTCTGCGTTGAGCCATGCTTTCGATGTATAGAGCTCGCCGTGGACGTTCTCGGGCAATGACCCTGTGGGAGCATCAGGGGGTAGGTACGTGAGATTGAAGGGGTGATAGTGGAAGTTCCGGGAGATGCTGTACTGGCCGAAGACCTTGTCGATGAGTGGGACCAGCGGCTGATAAAAGAATGCGGGGATAGTGAAGTGATCGCCCGCCACTGAGTGCTCCGCCGGAACCTCCTCGACTGGTTCGTGGCGACGAATACGCTGGCGCGCCGTGTACTCGCTGCGCCGTGATGCCTCCGTGGAGCGATGACCTGACGGAATCCCGATCGTGATGCTCGCCTGTCTCCAGCCTTCCGCGGCATCGGTCCACGGTTGCTTGGCTGTGAGGATTGCATCGACCTTGTCGTAATTGGCTGCTGCAGCATCAGCTGAAGAGAAGTCTGGTTGGCGTTGAATCTCTTGCATCGCGGCACGCGATGCACGGGTCTGCATCGGGTAGCTCCAGAAGTGGTGGTACTGCCGCCATGCACTCAGGTTCGGGAGAGGAGCGATGATCTCGCTGATGGTGCGACGTGTTTTGGCATGTCGAGAGGGTTTGTCAGCAGGCAGGCAAGACGTGACATCGAGCTCGGCATCAGGAACCGTGCTCGGGCGACCCTTGTACAAGCGTGAGAGACCGAATTGGTTCGCGATCGTGCGGAACTTCTCCATGACGATGAGGCGAACCCGAGGGCGGAGGCGAACCTCTGGCTCAGGCGCCTCGGCACTAGACTCCTCCAGTGGTAGGAGTCCACTGCCTGACGACTCAGGGAGCATGTCCCGGACTTTCTGCGTCATGATCCGTGTTCGTGTCGATCGACGCGGAGCCGGGTCAGCCTCCGGTTCATGGGCAGGCGACATAGGGAGATCCAGAGTCGGAGCGACGGTGTCTGCATCCGCAGACGCGAGATACTGTAAGTCGGGTTGGTGAGTGTCAAGAGATGACTCGAGGCAGCGTGGACTTACGTGTGGTTGAAGAACAGGATGATCCTGCCCGGGTAGGAGTGCGCCCCTTGGTGGGTTTGAAGCCGAGTCGGGCCTGGCAGTACGAAAAACCTGTAGAGAATAGATCAGTCAGTATGTAGTTGGTGTTGATAATACATGTGCACATACCACATTGGACCCAGAGTCCGACACGGTGTCATCATTGACTCGTCTCCGCTTTGCTTCTCTCTGCTGCTCGGTCTCCCAAGCGATGCGTGCTTGATCTAATGTTGCTCGGCACTTCTTCTTGTGCTTGGTGAGCACACGTTCATTGGAGAAGGCTTCGGCGCATCCTGGGCATGTCGGCATACTAGATCGACATGAGTTAGTAGGGGTGCATTAAGGAAGAGCGAGGGGCTTCGCACCCACTGGGTCAGACTGCAAAGAACGTGATAAAGGAGTGGATAGGGTCAGTAAAATGTACGGTGCAGTTGAATGAGCGGGGCGGCCAGCAATGTTGGACAGTGCAGTACTTGGACTTCAAGTTGAACTTCAAGTTCAAGGTCGACGCGACGCCCGTTCGAGTCGCCGTGGCAGTGGACAAACAGAACCATTCAAACGAGCATTGTTGCATTGAGCGCGGAACATCGCGGACGTCTTACAGGTAAGATGTGAGCACGTCTAAGATGGCGTCGTACGTCTAACAGGTATATAAGAGCGTTAAAAGATAGTAGGGCCACGCAATCCTGCCCTGCGATCACATGCGCTTGTAGAGCGCTTGCAATCAAATGTATGATCGTGAGAGTCTACAGACGCTGCATTCACTTACCGTTTTGAAGGGGATTCCCTGATGTGTGGCCAATCAGCGCCAACGCACGAACGCGTTCAAGTTCATACGAGTGTGGTCTCCTGCACCATTACAGTCAAATCCCTACATACGACTCACTGTAACCTCCCGGTTGGATGTACATGGTTTACCATCATATACTGTGCGTAGTTGCTGACCAAATTATATTCTAGCACTGTGGATGATGGCTACAAAAAGCCCTCTCGCAGATGCACTCCTTGCGCTGCCGGTTGAAGCAGAAGATCTGGCGACGCACGGTCCATATAGCCAGGAGGTCCATAGCAGGATGACCACGGAGATTTCAAGGCTAGAGCTCAGACTAGAAAAACTGAAGAGGATGGCCAATGCGATTCTTCCCATGCACACGCTACCCGTCGAGACCCTCGTCGACGTGTTTCGTTTTGCTACCAGTAGCATGGCGCAAATCAGTACGGCCCCATGGATATCTCAGACTATGGGTGTCTGTCGGTATTGGAGGGACATCTTATCCCAAACACCTCTCTTCTGGACCACCGTCGACCTCTCGTGGAACGTGCATTTTCTCCGGCTCTGTCTCGCACGCTCGGCGAACGCAAACCTGAAGCTCAACCTACTGCACAACCACATACGGCACAATATGCCATCAGGCCATACCTCCATATTGCAGTTCACCCTGGCCTATCTCTCAGTCGCTCCCCTCCTTGCGCAATATCGATCGCAGGTCTCTGATCTCGTTATTCGGACTTCTAGGCCTGGGCTGACACCAGATTCCATATCGGCGCCCTATGCGGAAGTGCTCAAGCACATCATCTCTGAATATTACCCCGTGTTGACTACGATGTCCGTGGGTGCTCATTTTAGCGGACTTGCACTATCTGTGAATGACACGGCGCCGAACCTCCGACGCATCGAGTATAGCGGTCTCGCCCTGTACATCGCGCATTTGCCTTGGTCACGTCTGACATCGATATCGCTTTGCGACGTTACCTTCGTCGATCACCAAGGATCCAGAGCCCCGGCGCTCGCCGACCTCTTGGACGTACTAGAGCTGTGCACGTCCCTGGAGGAGCTCAAGCTCTACAAATGGGAGCCTAGTCCTTGGTCAGAGCGGGTAGTCGACCCAGGCACTACCGTGTCTCTGCCACACATGCAGAGCCTTCGCATGTCCGGCGGCGCACCTGATCTCTCTGCGATCACACATCATCTCTCCCTACCACCGAGCGCTCGCCTCGCGCTGCAAGCGCACTCTGTTGACGAGTGTCATTCGGTGCTGCGTTCAGTCCTACCATCTAACCCCGAGTCCATTGCTTGTATCCGGGAGATGCGGCACGTACTGCTGTGGTCCACCTCCACTAGGTTCGTTGCCTACGCGGACATCGATCGCACGCAATTCTGGGACTCGCGATCATGGAGGGCCGTCGACTTCAACCCCCCTTGGTTCGTCGAGCAACTGCCTCTCATACCACAGCTCTACATGTCATGTCGCATGATGCCCGTCCATCAACATGCTGATACCTACCACCACGGCTTCCAGACAGTCATCGGTGAACTTAGTGATGGCTTTTTCGACGCATCGTCTGTTCGGACGCTCGTCTTCTACGGACCCATGGCGATCGTCAATCCACGCGACTGGATGCAACTCTTGGCTGCCTACCCAAACATCGAGTGTCTCGAGGTCCTCTCGGACAGGACAGGCAATGACATGTGCGATTTCATCTTCACTCTCGCGCCAACCCCTGCCGGGGTCCCCTGCCCGCAGTTGCGCGAGCTCTTTGTGCAATGCGATCCATCCGCAGACTTTGCCGACGGGTCCATGATGCTGGATTGTCTCCTCTCGACGCTGCAAGAGCGCGATGAGGGAGGTACTCGTTTGAAGACTCTTGGTCTCAACCTCGTAGTCCGCCCAGACATTGATGCCGAGAACGACCCAATCCTCGCGCGCTGGGTTGAAGATGCCACTGGCACTACCTCCCATCAGCTCCCTGACGAACACGATGCCATCCAGAGAGGCCTACAGTCTCTGGTAGACTCGTTCACCGTACACATCAGCCGAGCACAGAGGGTGGTGGTGGACTCAGACGATGAACAGGATTGAAGGGGGGCAGGCTTGCAACTTTCTTGTGATCGATTCGGACCCTCGACCATGGCTTCCTGTGTGCACTGGCACAGATTGAACATTGCCAGCAAATTAGAGCCTGCCAGTCACGAAGCATCTTGAAACCAAAAATCGTGTTCGCTGCATACACTTATTGCTACCTAATCTTCCTTCACGGCTTGCAGCTCTTTGTGACTGTTGATGCATATCCTTCTCTTTGCTATCCTGCTGTAATGATAGATCATAGTACTTGTGTGTGTTCGTATACTTGAAATGCCAGCGCCGTGCGCACATTGGATGGCATATCGTGATTTCAATCGCTACATAATCACATCGGCCCACACCGCGAGAAGCTGCACAGGTATGGCTGGTCAATCGATACTTTGACCTTATGCGAACGAGAGACCTGCTCACCGACGTCTTATGTCTTCCGCGCGTGAACATGTCGGGAGAGTGCATGCACGGAATGTAATACGAGCCTTCTCTCAATCGGCTGGGGCGCATGATCGCGCGAGTACAGACCACTTATCACGCTACACTGGCACAACGACGACGGTGCGCCGTCCCTCCGATTTCATCCGGATGTGACGAACGTCTCATATTCAGCTCCATATATAGCTTGCAGAGTGCCAGGCACCCACTTAACACCGCACTGCCATGTCGGCGCAGACTCAAAACCCGTTGGAGGGCGTACAGGCCTTCGTGTTCGACGTCTTTGGCACCGTAGTCAACTGGCGCAAGGGTATTTTCGACCAGCTCGAGGCCAAGCTCGGCGCCGTCGCCCCCAATCAAGGCTAGTCGCAAGCCGAGCCCCAATACATCTCATGAACTGTGAAGAGGCGACTGACGAGAACCCTTAGACTGGGATGCGTTCGCGGAGGAGTGGAGAAAGGGGTATTACAAGTCGACGTGAGTGTGCTTGGTCCATACATTGCCACCCACGCCGACTGAGGCGTCCTCAGCTCCTCCGTCGCATCCGGCGGCTCAGGCCCGCTCAACGTCGATCAGCTGCACAGACAGGTGCGCTCTCCAGGTTCCGGCCGTCTCTCACCTCAATACAGGCTGACTCGACAAATCCGCAGATCCTCGAAGACATGCTCTCCACCGACCGCTGGGCGCACCTCGCGCCTCACCTCGACGACGCTGCGCGGCACGAGCTCGTCCTCTTCTGGCACCGCCTCCCGGGGTGGCCAGACTCGTCCGCAGGCTTGTACGGCGTGAAGAAGTTCGCGATCATCGGCACGCTCTCGAACGGAAGCGTGCGGACGCTGATCGACATGGTGCGCCCTTCTTTTCTGCATCTAGAGAAGTGAAGTGACGGACGAGGGATGACTCACCGATCGACGAAATGGGTGAATGGCATGCAGGCGAAGTATGCCGACCTCCCGTGGGACCTTGTCCTCTCCTCCGAGCTCCTCGGCTCGTACAAGCCGTACGTCCGCCTCTTGTTCCCTTCAATTCCTTCCCCGTGGACTCACATTCATCCCATCCAGCAACCCGAAGACGTACCTCGGCGCCGTCCAGCACCTGTCCCTCACGCACCCGTCGCAGCTCTGCATGGTCGCCGCGCACATGTACGACCTCCGCGCGGCGGCATCACACGGGCTGCGCACTGTCTTCGTACGCCGCCCACGCGAGCTCGACTGTCCACCCGACGTGCGCGCCAAGACGGACGGGGAAGGCGGCGAAGTCGACTTGGTGGTGGATGGATTGGAGGAGATCGCGCGGGTGTTGGAGACGAGGGAGGAGGAAAGGCAGGTTTGGCAGCGGTGAGCAGTGAGTAAAGAGTATAATTGAAGAGCAGGAGCAGTGCAAGTGTAAGACTACCTGGAGTGAGCGAGTCGAGCGCATGCGTTCATTTGGTTTGGTGCATCTGGGCTTAGCCTTGATATGGCTCATGAGTTGGCGGTCGCGCCTGATCTGCACGAATGAGAATATTCAAGAGGGCCCGAAGCACGCAGAGTCTGTACATATTATGAACTCCCATCCACCAGACTTTGCCTCGGGTATTGGGTGTTCTACATCGCTTGTGTTCTGTTCTTCCATCGCGCCTTCCCTCGTACGTTGATGTATGCGTGCGTCCGCCTCATTCTGGATCGCGGCATCGCGGGGCTGGAACTTGAGGTGCGACGTGAGCCGCGACTTGGACAACTGAGTCGCAGCTTCTCCATCGAGATGATCGCGAGCCACGACCGCGTCTCCCTATTGGTGTTTTGGTGGGACCTCCCCAATGTCTTCATACCACTCCTAACGTGGGGTGTAAGTCCACAATCCGAACCGTCGTGTCCGCCACGGCAACACAGCACCCATCCATATGGTAGACTGACGCACCTCCGGCTTCTCCTTGATAAACCTCTCCATGAGGTCGACGCACTCCGGATCGTCGAGCACGACGACGTCGACGCCGCGCGACCGGAGGAGGTCCTCGTCGCCGACGAAGTTGCGGTGCTCGCCGATCACGAGCCGGGGAATCTTGTAGAGCAGGATCGCGCCTGAGCACATCGAGCAGGGCGAGAGCGTCGTGTACTGCAATGTCGCGCGACGAGACGAGGTTCCGCGTAAGTTACCACAGCACGACCGATTTGTGCAAGAGGGAACAGGACCGGAATGTGGACGTACCATCGTTGCCTGCCGGTAGACCTCTGCCTTCAGCCGCCCCGCATCCAGCAGCGCCGCGGTCTCGCCATGGAGGATCGGCGAGTCGAGCTGCACGCGGGCGTTGTGACCCTGGCCGAGCACGACGGGCGCGCCGTCTGGCTCACCTGGCGGGTGCGGGAGCACGAGCGCGGCGCCAATCGGCACGCCGCCCTCGGAGTAGGACTTGCCGGCTGCGGCGAGGGCGGTGCGCAGACCCAGAGTGTCCTGCGGGGAGAGTGAGCTGCTGGCGGCTGGCGGGGAGGTCATAGAGGTGAGTGAGGTGGTGGAAAGAGATAGGAGATAATGAGATTCAGAGAGGAAAGACAGGTCGGCCGGAGGCTGAGCATCGCTTGAACGTCCTTCCTGGATCTTTCAGCTACCCGCGGTACCTGGACGCAAGGAATACCTTGTCGACGAGTGCTGCCCTGGATGAAACATGCGCACCAAGCGTACGGTTACTTATTCACTGTCCTTCGCTTACTAGAGTACTGTGAACCTATGCCGTACTGGGTGTAAGGTATGTACACGCCAACGGGCAATCAGCCACTGTCTTGGTAGACTAAGATAACATTATGTTTGAGCTTCGTGAACAAGATCACTATGCAATTGTGCTTATAGCAAATGAGGCAGTGGATGAAAACAAGAGCGAATCCTATATCAACATGGGCAAGCCAGCAGTAAATCCCCGTCCACTGCATCGCCCCGTGCTCTATCGCACCATTACTCACTAGCGACAGCCGCGGCCTGGTCTTGGGCGGACTCGAATAATATGTTCGCAAGCATGAATGACAATTCATGGGGCGGCGGTATTTTGTGAGGGGAATCCTTCACATCCTCATCTTCGTCATCCGGCAGCGGCGACAAGGGGCCAGCGAAGGGATCGCTATCGAACTTCTCGTCCTCCGAGTCGGACTCAGAGGCCCACTCTGGAATCAGCAACCTCCGTTCCCCGACATAAGCACAGACCCCACGCGGGACAGGGACGTAACCTGGCTCGAGGTCCACGTCCGCGGCACGGGCGCCCCAGCTGGGATCAGGCTTCCCAACAAAGACCCGCCTCTTCTTTAAAACGACGGCTTGCCTATCTTCATTAATGTACGCACCGCCAATCGGCGCGCCGTCAACGCCATAGACGCGTCCCCAGTATGACCCGCTCTTCAGTTCGTCTGCGCGGTTCTCTGTGAGGGGCTGTGGCGAGGGAGACTTGCGGCGCGACTGCGCGGCGGCGTAGATGGCACTGACGGGGGCATAGACTATCAGCACAGAAACTCGCCGATGGAACAATAGTAACGCACGTCGTGACTGTCGTCTGGACTTGGGCGCTGCCTTCGGCTTGTTGCTTCTCGGAATCGGCTCCAGGGTCTGGTAGTTGACCTGATAGCGCGGCATGGGCACATACGTCTCGCCACGCTTGGGGCAGCACTTTGAACACATGCACGTCTGCGCACAATACGGGCACGGAAAGTTCGTCGCAAACTCAACGAATTCGATCTCCGGATAGCTGTCGCGATTCGCAAACGCGTCGCCCGAACGAACAAGCAGAGTCGGCACGACGTCGGGTTCAGCGGAGAAAGGATTGCACTGACCTCTTCGCAATACAATTTATACAGAACCGCTTCCCGCATGGGTCCCCGTCTGGCTTGAGCAGCGTGCAGCGCATCTTCGCATGTAAAGTGCTCCGCCGGCAGTGATGACAGAACGTCACATCCCGCTGGACAGCATCGGCCTCCGCCGCATTCGCTTTGCCCTTCCCTTTTCCCTTCCCCCTCCCCTTGCTCTTCCTATTCTCCTTCCCTTCAGTCTTGCCTTTACCCTTCCCGCCGGTCTTCTCATCGTAGTCTGAGTGATCCTCAGGAACGGCAACTGTCTGCTCGTCGCTGCTTGGTCCGCTCGCGCTCGCACGGGCCGGCTCCGACATCGGAGACAGCGTACGCTCGAGTGTAGACGGCGGGCGCTCAGGCGGAGAAAGGTGACGCTCGTATGGCGACGGAGGACGCTCCGGCAGGGGAGGAGGGCCGCCCAGCAGCGTCGGGTCGATGGTCCCATTCCCGTGCTCTCCGAACGACGTGTCCATCGCCGCACCTCCCTGCTCCCCGAGAGCCATATCGATCGCCGCACCCCCTGGCTCAGGTTCTCCTCCGAAGGGCATGGCCACGTTCGCTTGCTCAGGCCCTCTAAAATCCACATCAGTCATCCCGTCCTCATGCTCAGGTTCTCGAAAACCCATGGCCATGGCCGCATCCTCAGACTGCGGCTCCCCGAAAGACGATTCCATCCCCCTGCTTCCCTGCGCAGGTTCCTCAAACGAGATCCGGAACATCTCTTGCGCCATCACTTGCTCCCGCTGGGTGGTCGGCAAATGTACCGGCGACACGATCGACTGGCGGGGCTGGATCTGCACATGCATGGACGCCGACGTGCTCAGAAAAAGCGGGTCAGAGAGACTACCGTGAAGCACCGGGGCTGCCGCCTGGACCGGCAAGGGCGGAGGCGGGGGTGGGGCCGGTGGCTCATACGGCGCTTGCATCTGCTGCAAGTCATACATCGGCGCGTAGAACGGCGGAGGCGGTGGTGGTGGTGGTGGTGGAGGAGGAGGAGGAGGAGGAGGAGGAGGAGGAGGAGGAGGAGGAGGAGGAGGAGGAGCAATATCCCTACTCGAGCTTGCCTCCGCATTCACCGTAGACCGACCCCGGACATGCGCCTCGCGTTTCTTGCGCGCCGGCGAAGCGCTAGACGTCGAAGACTCTGCCTTCACTTTCGCCCTCGCCTTTCCCTTCGCCTTCGCCTTCGCCTTGGCAGACACAGACGGCGCGTTGGAGGGACCAGGCGCTGACGCACCCATCAGCTCCTGCTTTCCCTTCTCCACTTGCGTTTTCCCCTTCCCCTTCCCTTTACCCTTCGCAGACGCAGACGGTGCCTGAGAAGGACCAGGCGCAAACGGACCCATCAATCGCCGCTTCTCCCTCTCCACCTGCTCCCTCCACCGCCTGATGTTCTCCTCCTCCTCCTTTCCCCTTTCACGCCACCACTCAGTGTCCCGCTCAGGACAAACGTGCCGGAGCGCGGTGCAGAGCAGCAGAGGCGTGATCAACGGGGGGTCCTCGACGCTGATGTCCGCGATCTCCAGCGGGGCGAAGCCGTCTGCGGGCACGATGGTGGTGTTCGCGTCCAGCGGTGCGAACTCGGGATAGAATTCGGGTTCGGGAGGCGGCGGGGTGGCGGGGAGCGATGGGGATCTGGCGGGTCTCGGTGGTTCGCGCGGTTGCGACATCGACACCGCGCGCCACTCGGAACCCTGAGGAGCAGCCAGTTCCATGGGCTTCGGTTCTTCCCGCTTTCTTGGTGTCGGCGGAGGCTGGGTCGCGTGGGACTCGCTGGCCCGAGGAGCAGCCACTTCCTGGAGCTTCGGTTCTGCCTGCTTCACTGGCGTCGGTGGAGGCTGGGTCGCACGGACCTCGCTGGCCCGAGGAGCAGACACTGCCTTGGCTTTCTTTTTCGCCCGCTCCCGCTTCTGTGGCTCAGGGGAAGGTGGATCCGCGACGAACTCGCCAGCATGAAAAGCCGCGACATCCTTGAGCTTCTGTTCTGCCCGCTGTTTGGCCTTGCGCTTGGGCGGCTGATCTAGGTACACGTCCATTGGCACATAGTCATCGAGCTTGACGTCCGGCGGTAGACGAGGTACCAGGACGAAACACTCTTGCCGAATCGCCGTCCGGCCATGGTGCAGACGATCTGGTGGGTGAGACGAGATGGGTGGAGGTGAGACAGAGCGGCACGACGTGGACGGCCCCGCCGCAGCCACGTATGTATGCATGTTCTTCTGTTGTTTCCTAGGCGGGGGGCCCATCGAGTCACGATCTGAAGGACCAGGGGTGGGTGACTCCTACGGGGAACGGACACGTCAGCATACGCACATAGCCAGAGCGTCCAGGCCACGTACGAAGAACGTCCGCTTGATGCCGTGGCTGCTGGTGCTGCTGCCCCTGGACGCCAGCTGCTTGAAGCTCGAGAATGATGATGGTCCCGGTTCTCCTAGCCGCGGAGGAAAAGTGTTAGAGGACGATGCCGCCTGCGGCGTAGCGAGTACGGTGAGCATCTCCGCCGCAGTTGACCGCGGGATGGCTCGACGACGCGATCTGCTCGAACCGGAGTCCGAACGCATGTCATGATGCTGCTCCTCTGGCGCATCGACGGTGAGATCAATCATCTCGACGTCCGTACCTTGTGGAGGAACACTTTCAAGACCTTGGGTTGTGCTTGAGGCACGCGTGGCAGCAGCGCTCTCCATGGGTTCTAGAAGCGCGTCAGAGGAGGCGTCAAGAGAGCCTGTCAACGGTGGGGTAGGCGGCAATGTCGATGCGGTCGCCTTTGACGATGCGGTGTCTCGCTGAGGTCGCAGTGCATAAGCTATCAGATGCAAATTACGCACAGGCATACGCACCGATGCCGTACCAGCAGCTTCGGCAGGCCAATCATCTTGAAAGGATAGCTGCATGTGCCCAGCTTCGACGAGAAGCGGGCCCTGAGGAAGAAACGTGAACGTAATGGACTCGGGAGGGACTTGGATATCAGGCAACAAGTCGGGAGACTGCGACGCAGGCGGAGTCGGCGGTTTTGGATTCATCTACGACCGCGGGCGGACAGATGAGAATCCCGCCGGGCGCAGGACAAAGGAAGCCACCCACCGTCGCCCGCACAGAGTGCTCCGCCTCCTTGGCCGCAGCCACTCGCACATCCACCTCCTGCAGAGGCTGATAGCAAAAGAGACGCAAGGACGAGTCAGCTGCCACGGGCACCGTGGAACGGAAGAAGCATCCCAGCACGCACCGCAGGACCCGCCTGGACTGGCTCCGGTTCCGAATCCGACTCTGGTAGAAAGAGCATGTTGTTGACGGCGCTCTCCGAGCTGGTAGAGTCGGGTGGGCGACGGCTCTTCTGCGCTACAGGCGGCGGTGGCATGTCGGACGACGCAGGCAGACCGGTACGATTGTCAGGCCGCAACGGCTCCGCAGAAATTGCGTTCGAGTTCGCGGCACCGGCACCGCTTTGTGCTGGAGGTCTCGAGGGTGAGAGGTGCTGTGTCTCGGTGGGCGGATGTCTGGACGGAGATGGGTGTTGGGAGGAGGAGGCCTGGCTGCCGTCCCAGTTTGCAAGGGAGGAGTAGGCCATGTCGAATATGGACGGAAGGGGACAAGCGCCTACGGGAGGCTGCTTCGAGTCGAGGCGCGTCCCGCGGCCGCGGCGATTGCGGTATCAACGCGTGACGTGACCCACGCGTCCAGTCACACCTCGGCTGCCCCCGATGGCAACGCGCCCTTTCTTTTCTCCACAGCTCTGCATTGCTGTGAAGCGTTGAAGTCTGATTGAAGTCACCACAGGGCAGCATACATGTCGACGGTGTAGCACACTTGTCCACAACCACTCATACATGTCCACTCCGGCGTGTTTTCCATTAATTATTCAAGTCCCCGTGTCCCCGGCCTCAGGGTCCTGAACGTTTGATCCTTCAATCAAATTCAGACGCGGAGACCTCTAACTTCTGAATCTGCTCGCTTCACCCCCGAAACACTCGATCCGCAGCTGAGGTTGTCAAAATCGTTCCCGCCATCCTTCTCTCCGCCGGGCAGATCCACGACCATGAGAATGAGAAGACACACGAGGCACCTGAACATCATTTGTTTTCGTCGAGAGATATCAAGGCACAAGACGCAGACAGTACGAGAGCACGGGGTGGGATGGGGAGAGCGTGAATAATGAATACAAGCATGACAACATTACGTTTTCCCGGGCGTACGTACGTATGATTGAACAACAACACGATTGATGACCTACCAGATTGCATACCAGGACCTTCCAACCGACAATGACGAGGGGGACACAGCCAGACTCCACCATGCTACACTCCACGGGCAAGCAGCGAAGGACACGCGCGATCACTGCTGCTTACACTCCTCCGGATTCACGTTCTGGTTCGCGCCCGCGCCGCCCTTCGCGGGCATGCGCCGCCGTTGTGCGGGCGACGCATCGTCCGACTCCGAGTCCTGCGTTCAGTCCTTCGAATCAGTCTGGCGACTTTCCCGGCGGTGGTGGGCAGAGAATAGCGTACCTCATCCTCGAAGTGGTCCTCGTCGTCATCCTCATCATCGATATCCTCAAAGTCATCGTCGTCCTCGAAGTCCTCAAACTCAAGCGCGCGGCCGGTGAAGTAGTCAATCGCACGGGGAATGATCTAGAGCAATCGAGGCGATTAGCGACCTTGATATGAGCGGGCCAAGAGCGATCGAACGCAAACTAACCTTCTCCTTGATATCCTCGCCGATCTGGTAGTCCATCTCCAATTTTTCCTCGAGCTCCTCGAGCTCTTCCCCATCAACGTCGTCGTCATCGCTCGGTGGCTGCGGGGGCGCGAAGAAGTTGAAAAACGAGTCCGTTGGCTTTGCCTTCCGCACTAAACGCGTCCGGTTCGTGTCTGATCGGTGATCGTCAGCATATACGCATGAGCCGGCGCGAGGTGGCCTGCTACGCACTTTTGTTCCTCTGCTTCTTGATCTCAAACTCCTTCGTGAGGTCCTTGTCCTCCTTCCACTTGATCTCCGTGCCAATCGCATGATCGTACATGAAATCGCCCGTGTAGCCAACCTCCTCCTGGTACATATACGTCTTCTCGAGCACCGAGTTCTCGAAGAATTCGTTCGGGGTGAAGACGAAGATGAGCTTGAAGCCGGGCTTGGTGTCCGTGGTGGGGAGGTACTCGAGACGAATGTCGACGAGGTGCTTGAGGGCGTCGCCGTCGCGATCTGTGATGATCTCCGACAGGCCAACATGGTTGCGCAGCGCGGTGAGCCAGAACTCGGGGATGGCGACGGACGGGTAGGTCGCCTCTGTGCCGAGAGGTCGATACTCCTCGTCCTCCTTGGCCCACTCCTTCTCGCCGGCCTCGACCTCTGCCATGGTCGCCTCCTCGGCCCCAGTGAGGATCTTGAAGCGACGCTCGAACAGCGGTTTTTGCAGCTCGTGGTACTGCCCGCCTGTCAGCGACCCCTATCGGAATAGGCTCGGCTGATTTTCGCGCACCTTTTTCTCGAGCTCGAGACATTCGCGCTTGTACTGGTTCTGCAGCTCGACCTGCCTCACCTGGACGCCCTTGAGCGCCTCAACGCTCTTCCGGACGTTCTCTGGGAGGCTCTCGACGTAGCCGGAGCTCTTGCCGATGAGGGTGGCGAGCTTCGCGCTGACGAGGCCCTGCATGGCCTGCTGGATGCCCGACTCCTCCTCCTCCTCCTCTGGCTCATTGTCCTCGCTGATGTCTGGGACGGTCGGCCGCGAGAGACCCTGCGCGATGGGGGCGTGGCTGAGGGGCGTGTTTTGCGGTGTCGGCGCCGTGGGGTCGACCTGGCTGATGTTGATGTTGGACGACATGGCTGGTGCGGGGAGAGAGGAGTAGCGGGGAGGCAGGAGTGTCCAGGAGGGCCGGACTTGGATAAAGACGGCACCGAAAAAAGCCACCACTGCGGAGTTTGAAATGCTATAAAGCATGGTGTTTACCTCCGCGACGCGTTCGAGGCTCAGTCCACTGGGCCAAGGGCTCCCCTTGCGCGCCCCTCTCCTGTCCCCGTCCCCTCGCCAGGCAGCGCACAACAGTCCTACTCAGCCGCAACAATACACGTACGAGAGCGCGACCTCTTCTCGCCTTTTCCGCGAGTTTTGTCGGCTTGTTCATCATGGCATTATTGCCTGTGTGGCCCCGGACATGCGCGCAATCCAGTGCCCCGAGTGCGCGGACGCCTTGAGTTTTGATTCCACGGCTACCTCCGCCCATTCTCAGTGGTCGACGCGTCTCTTGCGGTTGCCGGCGTCCTCAATATTCATTCATCGAGCTAGCTCAGTATGAACTAATCATAGAACGCTGACCTCACTCATTCGCGCATAATAACCCTCTTCCGAGCGAGCAGGTTTGTTGGTTCTAGTATCTTGCTTCTCTCGCACGCCAACCTCCAGTCCATAGTCGTGTGCAGCATTCCCACATTCCTCCGTAAACTGTCAAGAGAACGCTGGAGCGCAGCGCGTGTACGCTTTGATCACTCCTGGATCATCGTCGCCGCACCCCCTACTCCGTCACAACCAAGGCACGATCCAAATCCGCCCTCCCCGGCGCGCGCGCTTGCCATCGACGAAGTGTGGTGCCGAAGGACCACGACGAAGTCGAAGGCAGTGCCACCTGGTTCGTAGCTTCGTGTCTCATTCATTCGACTGAAATATGCATGCGCAGTCGTTCTTCACGCGCCCGCGTCACGCTCGATCCATGGGAACGCAAGTATCACGTATTGAGTTCGTGCGTATAGATGACTCGGTCATCGATTATGTCGCATTAGATCTTACACGATGATCTCGACAGAGCAAAAACACCTACACATTCGTAGTGTCGAGCGTCGAAAAGCCCAAGGTCTCGGAGACGCCACAGGTAAGTAAGAAGAGCCCTACATAGCCAGTCTGTTTGCTTCCCATCTTTAGCCAGTCCCCAGGCCGTCACTCAGAACGCAGCGGTTGTACGACAGCTAAGTACCCCATCGATCCCGAGCGGTACAGTACATCCCTCTCCCGAGCCTTGGCTACGTCATCCTTCGCAGACTTGCTACGCCACTCATCGCAATCGGGATAGAAGTCGTTTGCATGTCTTCCTGCGCATCTGACAGCTTCGTTTCTGACAGCTCCGTTCACTCGTGCAGCCCTGGGATGCACTCGTGCTCTGAGCCACGTCCATGCTGCTTCTAAACGTGCAGCGGCGAAGGACTTCAATGCGAGCTTGTATGACATTGTCGGATGCAATCTGGGGTATGATGCATGATACAGTGTCCCATTTGCTTGACTCCCTGACAGCTTCTCATCGTTCGACGCAGTGCACGTTGGGGCATACGAATGTGAGTACTAGGGACTGAATTGGCGTATTTTTGTAGACATCGGATATCGATGGTCTCTCAGTCAAGCTCCTCGGTCGTCGCGAAACTTGGAAGGATGCGACGGCAACTGCGGATGTGAACGGAAAGACCACAAATACATTGTCGAAGCATCGCGTCGGACCAGAACCGCGCATCACACAAGAGCATGACCAGTAAGCTTTCCTGTTCACCTTCTGCCGCGTTTCATTTGATAGACTTGATTCACTCCTATCGTTCGACGCAATCATGGTGGGGCATGAGAATGTGAGTACCACGACCCAAGTTACTGCGTCCCAGTATCAAGCTTCGATCATCTCAGGCAAGCTCCTCGGTTGTCACGAACGTGGAGGGACGCGACGGCAATTGCGAACGTGAACGGGATGGCCATAAATACATTCTCGAAGTCGGCAAAGAACTCATGATCATGCACAATGTCGAATGCATCGCAGAGTCATTGCATTACGGCGCATATGGCTTTGTGGTCCTCGATATGTCTGGAATCGCACGACAGCAATTATGATTGGAAACAGTATTTGGTAGGTAAGTGCCCAGAGCTCGAGCTTCATAGGGTGTGCGTAAGAACAGAGATGTCTATCATAGATGCACATGCTCGTGAAGCTAAGGGGATATGTTCACTTTCTACCTCTAGCTAGCGTACGCGCTTCCTCCAGACCCTCGCTCAATACCCAGTGGTCGTTCGATAACCAAGTGTACCACCCATAACGAACAAGATAATGCACTCTTCTCCGGAGCTTCGCCCGTCGATCCGTGTATAGCGCCTCCAGCTGAGGATCCCGCCTCCCCACAGCCTCTCTGAACGTTCGCCTCTGCTGTGTTTCCTGAATCGCCGTCTCCCACGAACCCTCGTCTTCGTATAGCGTACCCGGTGGGATAGAAAATACGTCTGGCGGATCCGACCGCCATTCGCCAGCCTGATCCGTCATCTCGTCGGGGTATATGGCCGTAAGATCGCGAGGAAGGACAACGGCATCGTCCCAATCGACGATGCCCTCTATGCTCCTACGGTCCGCTGAGAAGAGTATGTTCTTCCAACACGAGTAGTCAGAGTGCATTAATGCCATCGCCGGTGTACGTGCCAGTGGATCCAGGGATGCAGCGATGCATGTGAGTTCCTGCATGGCCTGAAAGCATTGCCAGAGCTTCTCCAATGTGTGCTTAGTGACTCGGTCGTCCCATACAACGAAAGATGGGTCTTTGCCTGCGAACGTCACGCCGATTTGGTGGCGCTGCGCTTCCAGCAGGGGGGACCAATGTTCAGCAATGCTCCTAGGACCAGAGTGCCTCTCCGTGGACGGGTCAAGCACTCCAGTCCATTCGTCAGGGAATTGCGGAATCATGGGTATGACACGGAATCCGGACGACTGCGCGTCGTCTCTGCTGGGCCGCATACCATGCGGAAGGTTCGACGCATTCTGAACGATGCTTCCAATCGTATTGAGAGAGACTGGCGCAGTGATCTTCACCCACGCGTCGGCGAGGAGGTCGATGGCCCTGTCCCGGCTCGCATTCGACATGTCGTCGTACCACTCTTGAATCGTGAGAGGCGTCCCTCTACAGAACTCGGAGATGATAAACGGCGCGCGCGACAGATTCTGGTTGTCGGGCGCAGCAGCGAGAACTCTGGGTATGGGTACAGTCGGCTTGTGAATCCTGAGGAAGTCCAACGTCGCGATTTGCGATCCAAGACGGATGGGATCGCGTGCTGCCGGCACGTCGAAAGGGACGCGTGCGACGACAGCGATGGTGCCGAATTGTATGAAGAACACCTTGTTGAAAGATCCAGTTTTAAAGATACGGACCTCGCTGGGTGCGGTGGATGAGTATAGCTGGAGAGCGGCGCGCGTCATTTCGACAAGGCCAGAGACATCGACATGGCAGAGTTTGCCGTATCCCGGGATGTAGGACTCGTTGAGCACCGCCTCAGATGGCACAGATGGCACAGAAACTGGTAGTGGGGTAACTTAAGCATCTGTCGACGTGACAAGAGGACTCAACTAATCACCAAATGATCCAGGCATACGGTAATCGGCTGCGAAGTTTGTAGGACACAGTCATCAGGTACTTGGGAAATCACAGTCGTAGCGAGGGCTAGCAGCGCTTCTTTAAATATGACCAAGGCCAAGTCTGTTTCCCACAATTCGAGATATCAGTGGATCAGATGCGCGCAGGCTGTGCAGTTCGTTCTGGGAAGGTCGAAGTTAACGGCATGTGGCGCATCATCCGTAGCCCTCGTGGCCCGCTATGTATTCAAGCATTGCGTTCAGCCAATGCATTCGCCTCCATCAATCCCTCACCCAGTATCCAGTCGTCATACGACAACCAAGTGTACCAGCCGTGTATGACCAGGTAATGAATCCGTCTCCTGAGCCTCGCACGACGGTCGGTGTACAACGCCGCAAGCTCTGGGTCTTGTCTCTGTACCACCTCCCTGAACCTCCGCCGCTGCTGCGTCTCCTGGATTGCAGTCTCCCACATAAGTCTGTCTTCATACAGTGTTCCGGGCGGGATAGCAAACACGTCGTCCGGGTCAGGGCGCCACGCAGCCTCGTGGGTCAACTCCTCGGGATACACAGCCGCGAGGTCTCGTGGGACGACGACAGCATCATCCCAATCGACTATCCCCTCGATGCGCGTGCGGTCCGCCGAGAAGATAACATTGCGCCAGCAAGCGTAGTCAGTGTGCATCAAAGCCAAGACCGGCGTGTTTGCGTGGGGACTGAGCAGCGGGTCCAGAGAGGCGGCAATGTTGGCGATCTCCTGCACGGCTCGAGCACATTGCCAGAGCTTGCCCGGCGAGTGCGTGTTGTGAAGGCCGTCTCTTACAATGAGCGAAAGGTCGTCGTGCGGATACCGAGAAGTGATGTCGCGGAAGTGTTCTTCAATTTTGGAGGCCCAAAAGTCCGCCAAGGTCCCCGGGCCCGTGCGCTGCTCGAACGATGGTTCGAGGACCTCAGTATGGCGGGTCGGAAGTTGAGGGATCGTGGGTATCACACGAAAGCCATGCCGAGAACCACTAGAGTCCATCCGCCACATGCCGTCTACGACGCAGGATGGGTCATGGAGGATGCTTCCGATTGCGTTGAACGAAACCGGCGCCGTGATCTTGACCCAGAGGTCGGCAAGGAGATCGACGACGGCGTCACGATCTGCGCTCGACAGGTTGTCGCACCATTCAATATAGGTGATAGGAGTCCCCGTGAGGAATTGGGAAATGATATAAGGCGCGCCGGCAGGATTCGTGTTGCTGACGGCAGCAGCGAGGACCCTCGGTACTGGGATATGCGGCCTGTACAGCGCCAAGAAGTCCAGTGTGGCGACCTGAGTTTTCAGTCGAATGGGGTCACGCGATGCAGGCACGTTGAATGGGACTCGCGCGACGACGGCTGTCTGCCCCGGAAAACGGACGAGGAAGACTTTGTTGAAGTGCCCAGTGTCGTGTATACGCACTTCACTACAAGCGACGGTCGAGTGAAGCTGAAGGGCGTTGCGCACAGCATTTACGAGTTGGCTCGCGTCAATGTTGCAGAGGACCTTGTATTTCGGTGAGTAGGCCTCGTTCAAGGCTTCCTCAGAGAGTGTCTGAGGGGTAGTGACTGGGAAGCAATGATCATGCAATGAGTAGTGTTGATCGTCTACAATAATGGTAGACTACCTACCACCCGTCGGCTCGGGTGTTTGCATTAGTCCTGATCGGTTGCGGTAGACTCATCAGTTGTAGCGTATAACGAATAGGCACTTGTTTGAGGGGCTGAACAAAGGGGTTGTATGCGATGTAGCTAAGGTAAGTTGGCTGGTGGATACTTGAGTGACGGGCCCGCGAGTGACGGTTGTGGCACCGTGGATGATGGGATGTGCACGCGATGTGCACGCGTAAATCAGAATCTAGATCTGTGACGCGTAACGCCAATGTGACTCTTACGAGTCACGAGTCACTGTGCCGATGACGCGGCAAACTTGCTTAATCGGGTAATGAAATCCGTGTAACACTTCCTCGAGGTTCCTCGACATACTTAAGTACTGTGCAGCAGGTAGCACTCAGTACGTATACTCAATATCGGAAACATCGTCTCGGCAGGTCTGCGTAAGTCAATTATGGCCTTTTTTCCAGGTCACTGGATTTTCACGTAGCATGCACTGAAGTCCACCGGCCCGTGCCAGTGACTGTCTCAACTTTCAAGGATCGGTGGTATCTCAAACAGCCGTTGTATGTGTGTCGGACCAAAGTGGTAGGCTGGCCTGAGTCGGAACACAACCCACCGCGCCACGCAACCGTCGGTCATAATACATCCGGTGGCCGCTCTTTCCACTCCTCAAGCAAGTACCCGCCCATTGCACGCTACACTGACAGTTAACTTCATCGTTCAGGACTGAATGCTCGAGCCACCAGGTAAACATCCCCGCTATGATAGATGGTCAGTGACACTGCTCATGATCATTGCTTCCCAGTCACTACCCCTCAGACACTCTCTGAGGAAGCCTTGAACGAGGTCTACTCACCGAAATACAAGGTCCTCTGCAACATTGACGCGAGCCAACTCGTAAATGCTGTGCGCAACGCCCTTCAGCTTCACTCGACCGTCGCTTGTAGTGAAGTGCGTATACACGACACTGGGCACTTCAACAAAGTCTTCCTCGTCCGTTTTCCGGGGCAGACAGCCGTCGTCGCGCGAGTCCCATTCAACGTGCCTGCATCGCGTGACCCCATTCGACTGAAAACTCAGGTCGCCACACTGGACTTCTTGGCGCTGTACAGGCCGCATATCCCAGTACCGAGGGTCCTCGCTGCTGCCGTCAGCAACACGAATCCTGCCGGCGCGCCTTATATCATTTCCCAATTCCTCACGGGGACTCCTATCACCTATATTGAATGGTGCGACAACCTGTCGAGCGCAGATCGTGACGCCGTCGTCGATCTCCTTGCCGACCTCTGGGTCAAGATCACGGCGCCGGTTTCGTTCAACGCAATCGGAAGCATCCTCCATGACCCGGCTGGCGTCGTCAATGGCATGTGGCGCACAGACACTAGTGGTGGTTCTCGGCATGGCTTTCGTATAATACCTATGATTCCTCCATGCCCAGACCGCTATACTGAAGTCCTCGAACTATCGTTCGAGCAGCGCACTGGGTCGGGGAATTTGGAGGACTTTTGGAACTCCAAAATTCAAAAGCAGTTCCGCGGCATCACTTCTCACTATCCGAACAATGACCTCTCGGTCATCGTACAGGATGGCATACATAACACGCACTCGCTGGGTAAGCTCTGGCAATGTGCTCGAGCCGTGCAGGAGATCGCGAGCATCGCAGCCTCCCTGGATCCGCTGTCGACCCCGCACGGGCGCGAGCCGATTGTGGCTTTGATGCACACTGATTACGCCTGCTGGCGTAATGTTCTCTTCTCGGCGGACCGCACGCGCATCGAAGGGATAGTTGATTGGGACGACGCCGTGGTCGTCCCACGAGACCTCGCAGCTGTCTATCCCGAAGAGTTGACCCACCAGGCTAAGTGGCGCTCTGACCCGGACGACGTCTTTGTTATCCCGCCCGGTACGCTGTATGAAGACACGGGTTTGTGGAACACTGCGATCCAGGAGACGCAGCAGCGACGGAGGTTCAGGGAGGTGGTACAGAGCCAAGATCCACAGCTTGCGGCACTGTACACCGATCGTCGTGCGAGGCTCAGGAGACGGGTTCATTACCTGGTCATATATGACTGGAGCACTTGGTTGTGGAAGGAAAAGTGGATCTTGGGCGAGGGTTTGGATGAGGCGCGTGCATTGGCTGAGTGCAGAGTTTGACCTCCGGCCACGAGGAGTAGGATAGATTGTACGTCACATTTAATCACACTAAAGCATACTTGTTTCTGACGAATCTTCGCTCTGCGCTGGAGGTAGTCCACGGTCACGAGCTCTAATATATTCAGTTGTCGACAGCATGTGTGATGTTCTAGTACTATGTATCCATGTAGTATACTGGTGGATTCTTGTATTACTGCCACGCTGAAGGCAGCCTATGGTTTGCTTGACTGAATGTTCGCTTCCCGCAGGGTACGTATATAGGCGGTGGCACAACTCTCCAGGCTTCAGGGCAGAACGTCAACGATGGTACGGCTGCCTGCCGCCGAAAGATAAATTCGAAGCCGACGACTTTGCGGGCCATGGTGTCCAGGCTCGTACTCAATCCGCTATGGCAAATATGCCACACTTGGGGAGAGGCACCTCTATATACTCCGGACCATACGCGCATCGAAGGGAACAATGTAGTAGTAATCAGACCATCACGTACAAGAAGAGTCTCATAGCTCTTCTTCCTAACCGCCTCAAAGGCGCGGTGATTTGGTGACCTGGCTATTTGCGAATAGTTCTCGTATTCAATGCCTCTCTGACGAGCGAAGCCGTATGCCGGTGCTCACTTTTCGTCATCACGCAATGCACGCGCCTCCTCCAGACCCTCACCCAACACCCAGTCTTTGATGTACAGCCACTCACCCAATCTTTGACTGACCAGAAGATGTACTCGCCTCCTAAACCTCGCCCGACAATCTGTGTATAGCTCCGCCAGCTGAGGATCCTGCTCCCGCACAACTTCCCTGAACGTCCTCCTCTGCTGTGTTTCCTGGACCGCGGTTTCCCACAGGCCCTCATCTTCGAACAGTGTACCCGGCGGGATAGCAAATACGTCTGGCGGATCAGTGCGCCATACGCCAGCCTGATCCGTCAACTCGTAGGGGTATACGGCGACAAGATCTCGGGGAACGACGACAGCATCGTCCTAATCGATGATGCCTTCTATGCGTGTACGATCCGCAGAGAAGAGTATGTTCTTCCAGAAGAAATAATCTGCGTGCATGAGTGCCATTGCTGGCGCGTCAGCCAGCGGATCTAGAGACGCGGCGATGTGCACAAGTTCCAGGATGGCCTCGTAGCACTGCCAAAGATGCCCTAGAGTGTACTTCTCATAACGGAGATCCAGAACAACGACAGAGTGGTCGTTGTCGGGCCAGAAGTCGACTATCTGACGGCGATGCCCTTCCATCGTGAGGGTCCAGTAATCACCGAGGCTCTTGTGTCCGTCGAGCATTGCCACAGACGGATCGAGCAACGGGGTTGCCTGCCCCGGGAACTGCGAGATCATGGGCATGACCCGGAAGCCGGACGGTCGCGCAGGGTCGCGGACAATGCTTCCCATTGACTGGAACGAGATTGGCGTCACGATCTTGACCCAGTTGTCAGCGAGGAGCTCAATCGCGGCGTCGCGACTCGCATCCGACATATCCACGTACCACTCTTGAATCGTGAGAGGCGTTCCTCGGCAAAATTCCGAGACGACGTACGGTGCGCGCAACGGGTCATCGCTATCGGCAACAGCAGTTAGCACTCTGGGTAGTGGTATAGTCGGCTTGTGAGTCTTCAAGAAGTCCAACGTCGCGATCTGCGACCTGAGTCGGATGGGGTCCCTCGCAGCCGGTACGTCAAATGGAACCCGTGCGACTGTAGCGATTGAGTTGAAACGGATGATGAACACCTTGTCGAAGGAACCAGCATTGAGGATACGGACCTCAGTTGGGGGGACGGAGGGGGGTAGCCGCAGTGCCGAACGCGCGATGTCGGCGAGTTTGCACACTTCGACATGACAGAGGGGTTTGTATCCCGGTCTAAATGCCTCATTGAGTGCCTCCTCAGAGAGTGCTAGGACTGCGGGCTTGTCGTGATCGGCGTCCTCAATCAGAGAAGCGAGGTCATTCGAAGATCCGGGCATGACTCGAGATCGACAGCTTGATTGCAGTGGTTGTACACGGAAGAGTCGGGTCCAGACGTTGAGTTACGGCGTAGCTGGAGGCTGGCTTTATCAAAGCTGGAGGCCTAGTTTGTGCCACGCTGTATTTCAGATGAGCCATGTAACGATTAGAGTTGGATGATCTGACATACTTACCGATGGTCCTGAAGTGAGGATGTAAGGATGCCAAAGGAGCCCACAGTGGCTGGCTAGAGCAGTGCAGTCGCTTCGACGTGATTGGCAACGATTCGACTGTGAACTGTGTTTGGGTTGCCATTAGTTATCGAGCATTGGACGTCTTGATCGAACGCACCGCTGCTGGGCAGCTACGGGCTATCGTATATGCCCAAGTCCGGCGCTACGTCCGAAATAGAGTGCTGAAAAGTATCAAGGTGGGTTGTGATCGTAGTACGAAGAGGCCAGGAGGAGCTTTGGATGCACTTGCGCAGATGCTGATGGTATGAATTTGCTTATCTAATTGGCGTTGAGCTTCTTAGCTCCGCCATCTTTCTCAGACAACAAAGTGTGATCAGAACCCACATCGCGCAGGCTTTCGGAGAGATAGGACTCATGAAGTGACCACGGACTATATATCGTACACGTATACATGGTACCAAGTCGTCAACATCATTTAGAATACCAGAGTGGCAGTCTGAGATCGTAAGTGACATTTGGGGACACGGTTTAACAACGCGTCCGCATAGAAGTAGCGGGTATCGCAAGGCCAGGACGAATAGACTATCAGAGGTGCAATACGCACACAGTTCAGAGTTATGAGGATCCGGGAATTAGGTATCGCAGTAGGAATAACGGGAATAGTTGAGGTTGAGGTTGTCACGTCTAAGCACAGAGCAGCGGCACAATGCAATATTTGAGTAACGAAACCTCAAGGAAGAGATCGTGGCGACTCACTGAACGCGGGACATTTCGGCTACGCTTCCCACTTGACCCTCAGGGACGGGAATTCGTCACCCAAGGACATCGCCTCTATCTCAGAGACTCGGCGACATCCCTCAACGCATACGATGCGGAGCAGCGATGGTCGCATGGAGGCATATGGGTTCCATCCAATGGTAGCGCCCGCGCGTGAGGACGGCGAAGACGTAGAGCCGTCGGCGCTACTGAGGTCGTCATCCCGAAGTCTTCTCCGCAAAGGCTTGACGACACGTGGAGAAGAGGATCCCGGCACGCGAGGCCCCTGCTTCGACGGAGTGGTGAGGCAGGAGCCGGGTGCCCGGGAACCATGGAATCGCGCGTGGAGCATCCCTCGCAGGCACCGGAATCTGAGGTCGGGAACGTCCACCACCCGGAAGACTTCGAGCCGCGGACATATCCAGATGTTGAGCGGGTTCACGTGTCGGTTGTCACAAGTGCCGCCAGACAGAGCGCAGACGACGCCGGCCGCTTGAGGGCAGTCCAGGAAAGTAAGGTGAGTGAGAGCGGGCATATATCGCAGCATCGTCTTGGTCTCGTCGATGTCGAGAGTGAAGTGCGAGAGCTTGAGATCCGTCACGGTGTGAAGCCGAGGCTCGCGGAACATGCTCTCGTGGCGGGGAAGCCGTGGAAGCTCGCACCGCGCACGGAGGGGCGGCAGATACGTGATGTGTAGTTTCGTGAGCGAGGGAAAGTGGAGTTTGTGGAAAACATAACGTAACGCTTCGTCATCAATACATTGGACATCCAGCTCTCGGAGAGAAGACAGGCACACTGGAATGCTGTCTTGAATGGCAGGGTCGGGGTTGGAGGGATCGTAGCCCGTGTAACGCGGCCATCGACTCAGGCCAGTGTTGAGGCACAGAGCAAGAGATCGCAGATTCGGAGTGTCGAGGAGAAGGAAAAGGAGCCAAGCATCCGCGGGGGGAGCAAAGCTCCAATCAAGGTGCTCCAGGCAAGCCAAAACAGGCACGTCGCGGTATATTCGAGGCTGTGAGGTTGAGGCCCAGGCCCACTGTATTCGAGGGCGGTCACCGAGTCGAGCGGGTATAGACCGTATAGCGAAATCCAACCTTGGTACGATATCAACTAGAACAAGTGTTTTGAGGTTCGGGGTGCATTGAAGCAGTTGATATAACACTGAGAGCCGCAAATCCCGGTGGTCGAGTTGTAGGATACGCAATCGAGGAAAGCGAACTGGAGGTTTGGAAAGAGCCATGGCTGCAGTGAGACGCAACTCCTCGAGCGCCGGGAGGGTTGTGTTGTTCATCCATACGTAGCGTTCGACTGCCCAGAACTGTAGTCTTCTCTGCTGCGCCGGACCGCAGATGTCAATGACCTGCAATGCGCACAACGGCACATCACTGGTCATCAACTTGTTGAGCATATCACGGCTCTTGCCGCCTGTCATCCGCCATCGGATTGACCGCACACGTGGAACGTAAGGGCGTAATGACAAGTGGGTCGCATCCCAAGATGAGACGTCGAAAACAGGAGTTTGCAAGAAAGCTAGTTCCAGCATCGTCTCCTGAGAGCGGCTCAAGAAAAGTATCATAGGTCGAGTGTGGACGGGGATGCGGAACCATAGGCTCGACGTCGAGAGAGCTAGCGATCGCCACTGTCGACACACGAGGGAGACGGTGATAGGGCGCACCGAAAGTTCCAACGTAACCGGTGCGGACGCATCTGCTTGGAGAAAAGCGACAAAGATGTCGAGTAGGAGTTCAGATGGGAGCCAGTGAACGGGCGTGGCCTGCGCGTCGAGTGCAGTGCGACGCGCCTCCAATAAGCGTCTCTTCGCTGACAGGACGTCTAGGGCCTCTCGCGCTTGTTGCTTTTCGGCTTCAATGGAGCAGAGTTGTTGCTCAATAGCGGCGATGTCTCTCCGGATGTGCGCAACCCGCGACATGTCCGTGACCGGCGTCCTAGAAAGGCCTACAGCACTACGAGGTTCTACCGCCACGACAGCCTGAGTTACTACTGCACAAGCCCATCCAAGCGAGGAAGAGGGGTCAACTTACCAGCGAAACACTAGTTTCAGGGAATAGCAAAGCGTGGTTCTGGAGCGAGCACAGGGAGTGACCGTCGAGGTCGAAGAGTCGTCGACTACGGCCTGGTCGTCTCAGTGTGGAAACTGTTGGCGAACCTGCTGACTAATCAGAATATGCTTCCGTTATGGGCGTCTATCGATCTACCATTGCAACGAGGTTAAATTCTCAAAGTTGGGCAGCGGTGAGTCAAGGTGTGCCGTCCGACGACAATACTACGAGAGATATTCATTACATTCCATCCTGACGCAAGGGGACGAGAACATATGCACACGAGATTCAATTCGTTACATCCATGAGATGAGAGTGTCGTTGTTCAAATCCAAATCAAACCCGGTCACGACGAGCTCCTCGGTGTCAGGCTTGTAAGTCCACGTTGCGTTCATCTGCCCCGGTACGATGACAGATTCTGGCTTCGCTTGCCCAGTCCCCAGGATCGTCACCTCTCGCAGAGCCTGCTGAATAGAGAAGTCACCGTTACTGATGATTGACAGCGTGCCGTTACCGGCGACGAAGGTCAGAGTCGTGTTCGGAGTCGGCGGGACGCTCAGCCCGTCATCGACGTATGCCGTACCAAATGCTGTCCCGTCGGGTGACAGGGAGACGAGTAGAGAGTACGGCCCTTGGCGCGTCTCCTCGACCGTGTAGGCAGACGCCCCGTACAAGAGAATCGCCGATCCGTCCCGGATGTGCACGGGAATGTGTCCGAGCGGGGCATCCAAGGTGGTGTTTCCGCCGGAAGTAGCATTGACAATTTCGTGCGTGTACCAATCGCGCCATGTCACCTGGCCCCTACCGGGGAACATACCTACCATCGAGGTAAGTTCTCCCCCATATGGAAAGTCTCGAGGGACCTACCGTCAACCGTTGAGACATTTGGGGTCAAAACTGGCGTCACGAGAACGTCTCGCCCTACGAGGTATTGCCTGTCAATCGCGAACAGCTCCGGCTCGTCCGGGAATTCGTAGAACAGGGCGCGCACGACCGGTGAGCCACACGTGGACGAGTTGGCGAACAGCGTGTACTACAAAGAGGTTTAGTCTAGGCACACGGATACAGAGCGGTCAGGAGGAGCTCACCCAGTAGGGCAGCAGGGAATAACGGATGCTGATCGCCGTGCGGGAGGCATTCGCGACGCTGTCCCACCTGTACGGTTCCTGTGGCAGCGCCGAAAGCTGGTTATGGTTCCGATAGAACGGCATAAATGCTGACATCTGCATCCATCGGCTGCACAGCTCTTCGTCCGTATTACCCTCAAACCCGCAGGTATCAGCGCCGACCATAGGGATCTGGAACAGTTGGAATTGCAGGACGCCCTGGATGTTGTAGTACATGTACGACCACTTGCTATGGTTATCGCCGAGCCAGTGGCCAGTCCACTTGCCAGAGCTGGGGAACGTCGAGCGGCTGATGAGGAACGGACGAATACCAAGAACCTTCTGAACAGCGAGATGGGTCGTCTTCTCCTCCATCAGCCCGAACATGTTGTGGACGTCCAACTCGGCATAGCCGCCAACATGAGTAGCGTTCGTGTCGAGAGTGTGGACATATAGCGGACCGAACCCTACCGGCATTTACAATCAGCGAACTCGCCGTTGTGGCACCCGGAAAGCTCCCTTACCGTTATGAATGGCATATGGCGGGAAGTTCAGATTGACGCCAGACTGCTCGCCGGCGCCAACGCCCCTCTTGGTCACAGGAGCAAACGAACGCTCATTCGCGGCGTATGTTAAAGTACCGTTGATCGTGATATTTCCACTCGGGCCCCAAACCGACACATTGTAGCTGGGAAACCATCAGTCGGAGTTGTCGGCGACGATGAGAGTCGCACCCTTCGGGATAGTCCGTGACGAGATTGCCAGGATCGCCAGGCAGAGAAACCGGGGTTGGGGTAGAGAGATCAGCCCCAGTACCGCTGCACACATGTGTCAGCGCCAGTAAAATTGGAACAAAAGACCTCAGCTGACCATGAGCCGTTGCAGAAGGAAGACACCTCATTCATGTCCAGCCAGATTCCCGAGAATTCGACGCCTCCTTGTGACCAGTTGCTGAGCGCCTCCGTCCAGTAGTCTTCGATGTTGTCAGAGAACCAGTCGGGAAACACCTAGTCACAGAACCAGGCCGGCAGGACGCCAGGTGAGCGCGCAGACCCGAGCACTTGGGCAAGAAGACACGGTGGGGCTCACCGTATAGCCCGGCCACACTTGACCGACGTATTCGGACCCATCGGGGTTCTTGACCCACACGTTCCTGTAGAGGACAGTCATCGACGCGAGAACACAGTCAGACCTAGCATGAAACTCACAGCTCCACACCCCGCGTGTACGGGTCGTACTGGTCAGAGGGTCAGCATAGGGCCGCCGTTGTAAAAAGCAGACGTACAATATCGGTTGAATTGACTTGCTTGGCGATGGCGGCATCTACAATCGGTATGTAGTGCTGATGGTTGGCCGCCTACCCAAGCGGATTTAAGAAAACATCCCCAGCTTGTGAGGTGGACTTACCAGTTCTTGAATGAACGCCCGTACTTCCTCTGCAGGGTAAGACACGGGATCCGTAGTGAAGTCTCTCACAGCGTGGTAGAGGTCGATATCATTCCACATCACTACATAACACAAGACGTCAGACAGCACCCGAGCACATAGCAGCCTGGTTGGCGAACCTTCAAGGGGGATATTTGCTTCCCTCATCCGGGTCACTTGTTCCTTTGTCTCCGTAATGTTCGTGTAACCCCATCTGCACAAATGAAAGCCAAGACCGAAGAGAGGCTGCCAAGTTGGCAGCCCTATGAGCTGGCCGTACTGCTCGATTACGTCCTGGGGAGTGGGGCCCGAGAAGAAATAGAAGTCGAAGGTGCCTCCCACGGCGCGGTATTGGATTAGGGAGACGGGAGACGACGGCGGAGTCGCCAATAACGTATCAGAACCAGCAGCACTGCCATGACATCAGCGATTAGCATCATCGACGGTCGGACAAGGGTGATGCACCGAACCTGAAGTGGAAGACTCCGTGTGACTGGGCTTTCCGCGAAGTATCATTGTAACGGTGCTCCAGGTATACGGAATGCGAGCCGTAGCTGCGCAGTAAACCGAGGTCAGCCACTGCAACACAGAAAATGAGCTCATGTACATACACATTTTCATCCACTGGATCGTCGATATCTCGGGCCCACATAGTCTGGATTGTCCCGGGGCCCCCACTGGTTCCTATGTCACGCCGGAAACCGCTGCTTGCAATCACTTCACCCAGCCCGTAAATGTTGGCATCGTACGGAAGAGCGGACGTGAGCTGGAGGTACTGGTCCTCAAATACCAAGGGGAACCCATCCAATGCAGTGGACGGGTCACTTTCATTGAGTGGCGGGATCGGCGTGGGAGGCAATGAGCTGATTCGAGTATCGAATAATGGCAGCGCATCTGGTTCCGACCGACGACTGATCCAAAATGCGAAAGGCGACGACTCGTAGTTGAACACGAGGTCTGACGTCTGCGCGTAACTTTCGGTAGGTTCGGGAGGCACGGAAATAACCGACGATGGGATGGTGAATTGCGACTGCGCAGTATCGAAGATGTTGACACGGAGCCTAATACAGAGTGGCTCAGGTCATCCTGCATTCTCAGTCGGACTAGGATATATTACCTCTGATTGGTGTCGTAGGTTACCTGCAGACTTAGATCCACGATATCCGTGCCGAAAGCGTCGCAAGCATCCCCTGCGAGCCGCAATTGCGCTGTGAGGCCCGTCTTTGATTCGCTCAAAGAGTCCAGCGTATAGCCTATGCAAAATCCATGCAATTAGGAGGAGCGAACAGGCAATATAAACTTAACTGCGAACCGGGACATGAAGATACGTTGAGTGAATGAGATGTGGAGCCGATGCGTGCCGTTCCATCTTTGGGAAACAAGGATGGTCTTGACCCCGCGGTGGGCTCAGAGAGCACAACACATGTCAAAGTCAACAGCACCGCATAGACGATGAGTGCCATCGTCGTCGCCATCGTCGTCGCGTCGCGATGTGCGTTCGAGCGAAAGTAACGCGGTTCAGCGTCGACGTCGAGCGTGGCGTCGGGTGTTGGAGGAGGGGTCGATGACTTCATTAATATATGCAGCGCCCGGCGCAATCTGTGATGATGAACGTTTGTGGTCTTATTTGAGTCAGCTGAGCACGAAGCGAAGCAGAGGGATCAAAACGTCTTATGCGCTGGCCGCCCAATCCCGTGGTTGGCCGTTTTCGATAGTAGGCCCCCGTGTCCAGAGTCGAAGCCGCGTATATCGGCGTGATGTTCCCGCTTCAAAACGAGCAGCTGAGTGTCGAGGAAAGTGTCGTACTGTGAGCAGCTGTGAGATATAGCCGCATGCGGCACCGGAGACACGAGTCGCATGACACAGCTGCTTGCGGCGTCAAATCTAGTACTCAAGAGTCAAGACTCCCGCGATTTCACCAGATGGCTAGAGGGAAGTCCAAGGATAACATACGAGCGAACAATGTCAAGCCCTCGTCGTCGGACGTAGGTTTTGCTACGTGGACGACATCATTGTGGTTCGGTTGACATACTAATAGTAATAGCGGACTGATGGCGGAACATGTGATCAGCCACATTGTACAACTCCGTCCAAACTGGGTGGCACTGGAGGTCACTCGCTGTTTGAGTTCATGGGTGGCTCTCATCAGATGATACTCGTACTCGCATCACACACTCGAGCGAGCAATGCGGGGTACTCCATGGAACACACCTATCTGAACCTAGATGCATAATCTCTCGATATGGGTGTGGACGGTCACCACTTCGCGTCTTCCGAGAGTCTTCGGCCACGATGCCATGGTGGCACCGACGGCTTCAGGCGGGCCGGACAGCGTCTGGCCTCTAATCTGGACAAGTCCTTTCCGTCGATAGCTGGAAGTGCCGAAGGAAACTGGCTATAATCCAGGATCCTTGAAGAATACCAACATGTGTAGACTATCGGGAGAGGCGGTAAACATCCCTAACGCCGGTTCTGTTCGCGTGCCCTCGAGCTGTCATATACTACTGGGTCAGTATCCTACTAGTCATTGCCCATTTCTACATGGACATAGGAAAGCTCTGCGTTTTACTGATTTACTGGGCATTGCCGCAGGGTCAATACCTCCCGATCCCTCCATAATATGGGACAGCAACACGAGTCGGAACGACAGCAGACTGATTTGATTTCAATATCGCCTATTCTATCACTACTTCGGTCCAACAACCGGACGGAGTGCAACAACCTGTGGGTATCGTTGAACAGAGTCTACGAAATTTCATCGCTCATAGCATTCATAGAAGGACTCGCAAGGGGCGCTTCAGTGACGGTAGCGAACGTAACCACGCTGTATTCGTAATTTCGAAGACATCTGACAGGTGTATTCTATTTAACCTCTTGTCATTTTCCTTCGCCCAAGAGCTAATCATCTTCTCAGACCGTACGGGCTTCGTGCCTATCGGTCTCAAGGTTCAGATACATCCGCAAAACGGGCTCTCGCCGACAAGAATGTTGGCGGCCGAGAAAGGAACGATCAGCAAATGATGACTAGCCATTTATGCGCAGAGAATCTTGCAAATTGGAGACATCTGCAGCTAGAAGACAGCACCGGAAGTCGCTCACCTACCGGACTCGAAGTGCTCATACCCAGTTGGGAGAAGACCGTCTCTGGTGGGATGTACCGTACGTGTCGGAGGTATTTGGCCTCCGCTGCGATCTTCTGTGGCGATATCCGGTGCGAGCACAAAGCCCTAGGCCACCCGCGCAATGCCGAGTTACAGGACTGCCGCTCGTGTCGCGCCTTGCCATATGGCCGTGCGAGGATGCGGAAGCATGGATATTCGTCCTGCCGGACTGTAGCAAGATAATTCGCACGGGCGCTGCTACATGGTTCCCTCCGTTCACCATTTGTAGGCATACCCTGCTCTGCTGGCGGCTCCGCAAGGTACGCATCTCGTCAGCTGGGCTAACAGCGCTTGCGGCACACAGGTGGCGCGCAACCAAGCACCCAGCCGTTCTTCTAGCTTGAGAGCCGTTTCAAGAAGGAAATTCTCGGCCGATTAGTGCAACGGCCTATCCGCCACGACAACATCGGATTCTCAGGGTGCCTCGACCTGTTAACGTGAAATCCACAAGATTGCACGCATTTGTTGCAGATTCCTCGCATGAAGTCTTGGAGTTGATGACGTGGGTTCACTGTTTCTAGATCATCAGCAACAGTAGCCTCGTTGCTGTGACTGATGGGATAATACCAAGGTTCCGAGTGGCTATATATTTTTCTTGAGGTCGATAGGTGAGGCCTCATGGCTACGGTCTGTGTCTCTCCGGCTTCCTGCGCTCCTGGATGGTCATTTAGAGGTGTATCACTCTTATGGATTATGTGGGACAGAGAAACGGCGCCATAATTCGTGTCGGCTGCGGGCGCGCCGCCTGAGAGTCGGGAGAAGCTTGCGCTGGTTGTCTCATGTGCGTTTCGTTTGTCTACCTGGTGGGGACCCTCTTATGTCGTCTGACCACTCACGGAGATGAAGGGATTCCCTACCTGGTTATTGCTGCATGTGGAAGTGCAATTATGAGAGAACGTTCTCCCTTTCTGCTCGGAAGCTGATCACGAATACTGTCTAGAGCTTGCTGAGACCCAGGTCCAAGTTCCTGGAAGCAACTGTACCAGAGAGGCGGAGTTCGAGCTCCGTTGGTCTGCTGATTGAGCGTGCCGCTATGCCTTTCCCAGCACAGCCATCGCGCTAGCTTGAACAACGGTGTCAATCCTCGTCGCGGACATCGTGCCTACAATCTCATCTCGAGATGCGAGTGAATTATGTCTCACCGTCTGTATTAGATGTGGGCGATCGAATCAACATTTTGAGCTCTCTCTGTGAGATCAATTCAATCGCAGCGGAAACGAGAACATCCGACCAGCTTCTCCGAGGTGCCAAGAAACCTAAAGCCCGCTTGGATCCGGTGAACAACGCACGGCGATTCTTCGTGTACTTAATGCTACATCACGAGAGTCGTACTTATATGGAACGCGTAGATCATTGGGCCTGTCTCAGTACTGCGATGCGCAGGACCGGATCTCAACTCGGAGCGTCCGTCGTGCAGCAGGCTAGCCACACATCGCTGCAAGTAGATAGGGTACCGGTGACGTCAAGAACCACATGCGCAACGCATCCGTGCAGTGATTGTGGGATGCTGACTGATTCTTGAGCATGGGCCTGAACATGTGAACAGCGCCTCGGAGGTACGACCCACGCATGAATGGGAAGCAAGTCGCCCATCGAGCCGGACAATCTTATGGAGAGCCGCGACTGCCTGTCGATTGACGACGAGAACAACACGCTGAATCACGCACTCGCAAGAGCTCGCTCAGGCCACATTCACTCCGAGGATTCCTCTGGATTCGGCGTTCAGACCGCCGTTCCGTTATCACTTATAGACAGAATATCCACCGCCAGTGCGTTGCCATATGTCGCCGATCACGCAATCCGGATTGACATCTTCGGCGGCATTGTCTTCAATGCTCTCTGAATGTGTATACCGCACTGAGCCTGTCGGCATGCCAATGAGATGCCACCAAGCACGAATTGACAATTTGACATCCTGCGTAGAGGCCATGTCGCATCTTTTGTGCGGTTTGATTTAACATAGCGGGCGTTGGTAAACAGCCGAAGCCGTTGCATGAGTGGCTCCAACCGTGAGGAAAGGGACGGCACCCGGGAGCGCCATTTAATTTTCTATGCTTTGGCACGAGCCGCCGAGCGATGAGAAGGCATAAGCAGCGATGCTAAATACGTCTTCACAAGGGAGATATTAAGTTCGTGGGTCGGAAGGAGTCGCCATATGTAGACTCACCTAGGCGCTGTGATGGGTTACACTAGGTTCAACCCCAATTCACGAGATGGCCCACTTGAAGTCGTGTGAATACGGTAGATCACTCTCGACATGCTGCGGAACTGTCGCCTTCAGTTGCTAAGCCTTGCTGGACTGGGCGAAGAACATGGACGTGCTTCCGCACGTAATGGCTGTCTCGTGGCAGACGTGCACCATGGAAGCACGAACTATCATCGCAGCGCCTGAAGCCCGCCACGCCGGAAGGTACGCCCTGTGACACGATCCACAGCCCACGCGTGCTGTGACAGGCCGAAACGCACGAACAGCGAACAGCGCGGGGCCGGGATTACGGCATCAATGCGGTGGGGAGTTAAGGAGCGCCAATCCGGACCCTGACTCGGCACGCAACAGCATCGGGCGCAGCCGACCGTTTCGCGACGGTCTGCCTGTGATCTGCCCTAAGTCCACTCTTGCACCGCCGAATTCGTAGGCCTTTGGGTCGGGGGTCCTCGGACAAAAAACCCCGTCTATCAAACAGTTAGCGATTCTGCGGGCGAAGTGTCACGCAAACTGATTGAGGGGTTTGCGCACTGTCCGAACTACGACATCCATAGGGAGGCATAGATATTGATTTCATGCGAAATACTCTGAAGCCTGTACGAGAGCGAACGAGTTGGCCATGCTGATGAGATGCGGAAAGCGAAAGCAGGAAGAGACGATACTCGAAATACAATAAAACTTCGTCTAACGTCCCTCGAATCTATTCCGATCGACGTACCCCATATGAGGGAGAGAGCTTGACATTGCGTTGGGGTTTGTAGGCGAAGGCGCCGTGGGAGATGAGCCTTGCATAGGCAGGGAAGGCATAGACAACGTCGACGGCGAGAAGTTTGTGTGCGAGGGAGGAAAGGACCGATACTGGGACGACCATGACGCTCCCAGTTGGTCCGCAGGGGGGAGGTACGTATTGGCAACAGGCGGAGGCAGTACGTTGGTCTGGGTGAAGCCACGGTGCTCAAACGCGCCATCCGACCTTCCCGAGGAGGGCGCTCCTCGGGGCGCATACACTGATTGCCCCGAAGAGTAATCCTGAGTAGCGCTGTAATGCGACATCGGCGACGAAAGCGGATCGACCTGTCGAGGCGAAGGCGATGGTGCAGGGATGAAGGGGGAAGTGAGAGTCGGGAACGCCGAGTTCGAGTGATGCGTCATGGACGCACTGGAGCTCCCTGAAGAGGTGGAGTACGGACCACTTCCCCATGTTCGCACACCAGTCTGAGGAGACGTTGCTTCCGCCCTCATACTGGCTGCCAAGTCTGACTCGCTAGTCCTCTGACGAGCAAGACCGGTATCCAGCGCCGGTAACAAAGGGACACGGCCTGTTCTCGTGCCGTCCCGGTGATACGGCCATGCGTTCGAAGCATTCAGCTCGCCCGCGTGATGCGATGCCAACATCCCTGCTGTGAGCGGAGGCGAAGTCGAAGAGGAATACCGAGAGTGCGAGAGTGAAGCGGACTTGTCGTCATAACGATTCGAAGAGAATGGCGAAGATGGTGCGTTATAGCCGGAGAGTGAGTGCGACTGTGCGGCGTTTCCGTAGGTCATCTGCGATGGTGCCCCCGAGGTCTGTGCGAACTGATAGTGATAGTCATGCAACGCAGCCTCCTCGACGACTTCGTCGAGCTCGTGAGCGTCATCGGTGCCCAAGTCTTCTCTCTCGACACTCGATGATCCTTCCGCGGACGCCTCGTGACCAACGTCTGGCTTGCGCTTCTTCCGAGAGTTGTTTGGTCTACGACGATAGACGTAGTCGGGATATCGAGAGTTGAAGTGGTCCTTGAGCTTCTTCGCCTGGTCGAGGTAGAACTTCTTCTCCGGCTATTATACAGATGAGTACTAGCCGAGACGAATTCATGAGAGTCATACCATCTCCATTGTGTTCCACTCCCGGCTCAATATCTTGCTCACATCACCGGTGCGCATCATCTGATTAGCTGCAGAAATTTCGGGCCTCCTCTTGCGAGCGAATATCATGAACGCGTTCATGGGACGCTTGGGCGTGCCGTCGGCGTTCAATGTTTGCGATGTAAGCGCAAGGTGAGGGTCATCTAGAGGAGAAATAAGTTATATGTGTGTATCGACTGCTGATAGAACACTAACCCGCAACGTCAGGGTCGTCTTTGTATCCGCCGGTGTAAGATGCTGCGTTAGCATCTGGCTCCGTGAGCGACGTGTCCCTGTCCACACGACCTGGCCCCTGCTGTTGATCGTAGTAGGACCCATCATCGCGGCCCGCGTAATAGAGATCTGTGCTATAGTAATTCATCGCTGGCAAGCTACGAGCGAGCGTGCAGCGACGCCGAGATTGTCGATGGCGGTCAGGTGTCCTCTCCAGTCAAAGTGACCTTCAAACAGAGAGAGAGGAGTGAGTGTGCGATAGCTGGCCTCCTAAATACTTCCCAGACGCGTCGGGTGACGACAACGCTGGAGTCTTCTGCGTCGTGTCGCGCCGCGTTTGAGCAAGAAGAGAGATGGGTCGCGCGTCTTCAGTCAATGCATCTTGTACACATGCCGGGGCGTTTGGTGTGACTGATGTTCTTCGTCCAACCGCCGGACAGAAAGGCACGCTGAAACTGATTAGGGTTTGTGGACGCAGGTGGGTTGCCCTAGATATTGGGAAATATTTGATAGCCCCCGGATCGGCCATGAAGGGCTTTGCCTTTTCATATTCCGCCTGGATCAGTCGATCCCGCATTCGGTTAGCTTGGGGCACCATGCTCCTCTTCCCGGAACAGCAGCGCCTTTGCTGACAGGGAGCCGCCTGACATGCTGACCGTCTACCCACCTCAGCCGATCTTGAGAAGACGCGGTGCTCGGCCGTGATGCCTTCGAGCGCATGGAGCTGCGCGAAAGAGGATCCAGGAGGCCGCTGGAAGCAGGTGCGATGCTGAGGCGATGGCCGTGGCTCCGGCGGCCCTGGAGCGCACGGAGAACAAGTCCAGGAGCGGGTTAGGTTTGTAGCCGAGGGAGGCTCTGATGATTGACGTCCCGCCGAACCAGAGGGTGGACAGAGGCTCCCGAGCCTTCGCGGAATGTAAGCGGACTGTGAATTTCACCTCCTGTGGCAATCCGGGAGTGGTTGCGCGCGTCTTATGACTCCCAGGTACACTGACATATTGACGGCGCGAAGCGAGAGCTACGTTCTTGCCGACCGAGTTCACACGGATGCACAAGGGCGGGCGAAGAGAGGGAATATCGGTGGGTCGGAAATTCCCGTTTGCGAGTCGTCATGCGGCCTTGGGTAAGGCGCCGGACTCACCCCGGAAGCGGCATCAATAGTTGGCGAAGAAGGCCCATGAAAGCCTCTCTTTGGTTCCGTTGCCGGACAGGATTGGTAAACACTTGAAGCCAGTTTGGCTGCAAGACTGCCTGCAAGAGAGATTCCAACCACCGACCGGAATCCTATAAACGGTGTCGAGGTGCGGACAGGTCTCGTGTCATAGTATGAAACCTACTCCGCTGGGCTGAAAGCGGACCGAATTCCTCAGTCGCTGTGGGTAAGGAGGATCCGCACAGATGGCTTCGGTGCCTCCGATTAACGCTGCCCTGAGTCGACGGTACGGGTCCACACTAAGCGCCCATGTGGTCGAGGCTCTGCCTGCGGTGCTGGACCGCCCACTTTGCTTTCGATCGGGACCTATATAGGCAACGCACCCTCACTTTCCAAAGTCTCCGGACTGCGCAGAGTGAGACCACGGCCAGTTGACGGGCCTGAGAATCCCAGACCAGTGGTCGGTGGCTTGGCCCGCGCTGGTGGTTGCCTTGTAAGAATGACATTCGTGAGTTACGGGTGCGATATTGCCTCACCTTCCATGGGGATTAAGGACAAAAGTCCCTTCCTGGCTAGGCTACCTGAGAAGGACTAGCGCCTAGCATCGTCACCGGACATACGACGACTGCCAGTGGGAACCCGGGGATTTCAAGTGACTGCCGCAAGGCACATGAGAAGCCCTCCGCTGCTCTGGAGAGCATCGATGACGAGCCCAGTACGCGATACGTCTCAGGAATCATGCTGCGAGCATGCCAGGTGAAAGATGAACGAACACGACTTGTGAATCGATATCAGATAACCAGCGCCAGCAGCAAGCTTCCTGAGTATGCACGGCCGAGAATTGCACTTACGGCCAGAGACACTGCGGGCGCACGAGAAGTGACAGGGCTTGGCGGCAGAACCTTGCATTATGGGATTACACATCCGTACCTGGACGAAGGCCGTCTATCCGAGCGGCCGGTGCTGCCTACACAGTCGCTGATCGTGGAGGACAGAGCAACGTTTTGTCCTCGGGACGCATGTGTGGCGCCGGCTAGTTGCTGAAATAGCCTGATCGAGCGATGTCGAGCGCGACATGTGCAGGACTGGGTCATCTCTCGAGTCGGCCGCAGGTGTCTTCAGCACACGCCGGCGGAGGTGATACCAAGTGCGTCCTTGGGCATGCAGCCCCGTGGATTGTCATGGGGCTTGTTCCTGCGTGAAGCTCTCGAAAAGGAATGTGTGCATTCACACGGAGTACAAGACAGCCTGGTAGGACTCCGCTGATGTCATGTAGGGCAAGAACCCTAGGGGAGACGCCCCAGAAGCCTCGTCGCTACCCGCCGTCTACCGCCGCCGCTCGAGGGATGGTCCCCTTGTCGGAAGAGCTGCAAATCATGGAGCTGGAATACTTCCCTACCGCAGGCTGACCGCAGCCTGCAGGAGACGGATACCGAGCAGCCTGTGCCGTAAGGGTCTGATGGTGACGGCGTGCACAGTTCGATTGTCGGTCGGCAAATGGTGATCGTCCGTGGAGCAGAGGCGACGCTCTCTGGGCCACATTCGGGCGGCGGTTTGCCACACGTAAGAGGCCTTCCTCCGGAAGGGAAGACCCGCAGCGAGTCGACCTGCGCTCCGGATACCAGGTACAAACATCGTGTTTCCGCTGAGCGCGTCGGAGATTGTTGGACGTAGGACGCTCTCATGGCTGGCGGTCAACGCCGGATTGAGAAATGATGTCCCCAGCTTTGAGCTATCGGACCGCTGTCAGTCCTGCACGCGTCCCCGCACAAGGTCATCCACTACACACCATGGGCAAGCACGGGAGGGAAGCCTTGTGAAGAGGCCTCGTGGTTCTCGCGGCATGCAAACGCGCTCCCTGCACTTGCTCTCCGAGCGCCTGCTTTCACGCCGGCCTCTGCTTCTGCGTTCTCCTGCCGCCGCAGACTGAAACATCGGACATGGGGGCGCCGATGAGAATTACAGCAGCTCGCAGCAAGACGGATGAGTCGCTCCGAATCGGGTTGCCACATCAGACGCCTGGGGCGTAGCCGCCACCAAGCTGTGTCCGCCCTTCGGTAGACTATGCCGCATATACTGAATGGATCAGGAAGAATGATATGCTTGCTTTACACGGAGCAGATACCTTGTGTCTGCGCCCACCGTGTCCTGCCTCAACTGATTCCCATCCGTAGCGAGGTGGTTTGATTGGTTCTCTGCTGCATTGACCACTTGATCATATGAGGAAGCGGAGTTGCAGAAAGCAGTGTGACACAGAGAAAGCAGTGGGCGGACAGCCCGAGGACGGCGAGGACGACGAGGACGAGGACGACGGTGGCGGTCGTGAGGCTCCGAGATATTCGGGGTGGCACGATCGCTGTAAACGGCTATTCCCGATCCGAGGCAAGCGCGCACACATTCAATTGAGCCATTCAATCCAACTATCACCTATCGACCATCGACAATTCAATACAACACTGCATACGGAGCCGGCCCACCTCCTTCCTGATCGACTTTAGACTTCCTATCACCACAAGGTCAAATCCACTAGGGGCAATACAGAAAGCCAAACGCCGGTAATCAACGACACCAACTGCCAACTACAGCAAGCCGGCGAGTCAATATGAAGGATCTGATTCTCGACGCGAGTAAGTGCGCTCCAAGACTTCTCTTTCTGCGGCATGGCTAGCCTAATCATTAGCGAGCCCATCTAATCTATTTGACCTGTTGCTGCAGATTTCCCCCGCACGCTAGATCAGCGTGTATACCATCTCGGCATTCGCTCGGGCGAAGTTGCTAACCGCATCGTACGTATGAAGTAAAATGTGTGTCAATTTGATGACGCATGCTGAGGTTCGTATAGGTCACGGTGGGGGCACCTTCGCGGGCGAGTGGCATCGCGTCCACCTCGACGCGTCGCCCAGGCCGTTCACGCTTAGCTCAGAGCGTGGTTTCACCACCATAACGGGCCGGTACAAGGGCGTGCCCGTCTCCGTCGTCAGCATTGGCATGGGCTATCCTAACGCCGACTTCTTCGTTCGGGAAGTGAGAGAATGCCTCACCGGCGATATGGTCGTAATAAGGTTCGTGTCTCGCGCGATCGTCCAGGCACCTGTAGACGTTCTGATAAGGTGGAAGACTAGGGTCCTGTGGCGGTCTGATTGATGTACCCGTCGGTACAGTCGTCGTCCCCAAGGCCAGCGTTGCCGTTACGAGGAACTACGACTACGACTTCATTAATGGCGACTCCCACGAGCTTCCTTACAGAATCAGCAAACCAGTCAGTGTTTTTGGAATACCGGACTACTGCTTTCCGCTAACAGTCGTACAGGTGGATGCTGACCCCGAGTTGCGTCATGCCGTCCGTACTTTACCCTGTGCCCAACCAAATGCATGCTAACTCTATAGGGTCAATAGCTGAGTGCCACGCTGCAACGCACTCGTCCACCCACAGTGTCCACGGGCGTCGTTGACAATGCTATCAACGCATCTGCCGATAGGTCATACCAGTGTTCATTTTTCGGGCCATCCTCTTACGTCCCGGCAGCTTCTACTCTTCCCAAGGACGTCAGACTTCCTTCCCGGATCACAACGAGACCCTCATCGAGGAATTGAAGTCACAGCATGCGGAGCTCGCAACGCTAGAGGTGCGACATGCCCCGCTATCTCTCTTCGCCGCCGCTATCTCACCCTATTGTATCTCACACTATTGTCATCGTAGATGGAAACGTTCCACATCCTCCACCTCGCCGCGAACTGGCCACGCTCCACGCACACAACCGCGACGGTCACGCCTCCCGTTACCACCCTCCCGGTGGCACCCGCGATGACCGTGCCGCCCCCGCCCTCGACGCAAGGACAGCCCCCCTCCGTGTCCACCACCGACGCTGAGGGAAGGACTCTCTGTCCGAAGCCGCGCATCAGGGCGGCCGCGGCGCAGATGGTCTTCGCCTCGCGCACGACGCAGGACTTCATCACCCCGGAGACGGTCGCCGCGGTAGAGGCGTGGACCGGCCGAGCGGTCCTAGAGGCTCTCGTCGGATTCGAGATTGAACCAGATGTGAGTCCGCGAACATATGGGAGGCCTTGCTGCTCATCGCTGTGTCTCTTCTCTTCAGCGACTGCATGAGGAGGCTGGAAGTGTGTGGGAGCTGAAATGAGCACGGTGTCGGCGTTCGAAAGCTCAAAGCAACGAGCTAGTGATGCGTTCCGGTATAGAGATAACCTACAGTCCCTTTTCATAGACAGAAACAATTGTGTTACATTCGGACCTTCAGTTGGCACAGGTCTTCATCACGACGCTCACTGCTTCCGCTCCACAAGTTTTCAGAGGACCTTGAGTGTGAAAAATCCGTTCCCACAACATATGTCATGTAACGATATTCTTCAAGGTTCCGTACCTCAGTCTATAGGCTCGACACAAACCCCTCACGCGGAGGGTGAAGGTATGAGACTACTAAGGTGAAATTCTCAGTACTTGGATGCAATAGCCACGAAAAAAAGGTGCAATATGCAGAGCTTATACCATGACTCCCTGGCGGGGAGTCGAACCCCGCTTTCGCGCGGCCCGATGACAGGCGCGTGTACTAACCGATATACTACCAGGGACATATTGTTGTCAGTGTAACATAACCTATAAACAGCCCGTCTTCCTGACTCTGACCATGACGCATGCTCACCATGCCTACTAGCCCTGCTGATCTGCACTGCCGTCCGACACGTAGTATGTACTAGGTAAGTTGGTGGAGATCCTGTTGCTTTTTAGTCTCCCTAAGCAGACCCTAAAGAAGACCTTTTGAGTGGAGGAGAGGACGGTCTTCTATGGTTGCTTTTCTTGATAGCCATGGCGTAGTAAGCGAACGCTAGTCCCGAGCCCATGGATATCGCTCTCACCGGTCAGTCGACCACCGTATTACTGGCGCATATACATAAGTTGCTGCATGCAGTACATACATGCAAGCACGCAGGAGGCAACTCAAGTACACACGCTCCAGGGCTGTGCCTCACGCGCCCTGGGAAGGTTGAAGGGAATGACACTCCGGGATGAGATTATACAAAACTATGCAGGGTACTGTATGTGCATGCAACAATGATCATCTAGTTTGCGGGGTTGAAGTCTGCGTTGTCGGTATCTATCGAGGCGAATGCTTCGTAAAGGTATATGAGGCCAAAGCCGAGGAAGAGTGCGCTGCCGGCGAGCGTAACTGCGCGCATGGAAGTCAGCAAATGTTTGGTTCTGAGACAGGGAGCGACGCACCATGCTTAACGGAGATTTTCGTGGAGACGTAGCGACCGCCGATGACGGCGAGGGCGGTACAACATGAATGTCCGATGACGGTACCCAGTGTTACAAGGTATACATTCTGCGCATGGGTTAATGAAGATGTGACACCGGAAGAATGGCCAACGCACATGTGCAGCTGCAAGTGCAATGGTGGATATCTGACTCCGGTCTCCCCACTCGCCGAGGAAGGTGAGGACAAACGCCTGTACGAACACGGGTCCGAGGAAAAGGCTGCAGAAGTTCCGCGTCGCGTCTGCGTACTCCTTCGCTGTAGACTTCGCTTTCCGTGTCCGTGCGCTCCCGTTCGAGCTAACGCTTGGCTTCCGGGCATGCATCTCGGGCCGGCCTCCCTCCTCGACCTCCTCCAGCGGTATGACGTCGTGACCGTTCCCCAGCTCTACCCCGGTCCCGTCTTCCAACGCATCGTCGCCCTCGATATCCTCCTCCGCCTCCTTCATCTCCTCCTCCATCTTGTCCGGCCGCATTGAGCGCGCCTCTTGCAGCATCTTCGCGCCGAATACGAAAAAGAGCACCGCCGCCGCTACCTGTGTCCATCGTTTCGGAAGAAGAGTGGGGAGGAGGTTCCCGAGCTCGGCGGAGAGGAAAGACATGACGACGAGGGAGGCGAACGCGCCCGAGAAGACGACGAGGCGCGGGTGGCGCATGGCGAGGATGGCGGCGATGAGGAAGGTCTTGTCGCCTATTTCTGAGAAGATGATCATGGCGAAGGAGCGGGCGAAGACCTGGAAGGAGGTCTCGTCCGCGTCGGGGACATCATTAGAGACAGCCATGCAGCTGCAGTGACCTGCGAGGCGTGGATACGAGTGAGAGGTTAGATGGTAGTACTCGCTGGGACGTACAGTGGTTGAAGAAACAAGGGAAAAGTAGGGAATGCAGGTATATTGGTTCAAGACACTACATGGGCTGGAGGAAGGGCAACAGAGGAAGGGGCCCGTCGTGTTGGCTGCGGAGATTCAGAACGGTTGGTCGCCTGTGGGGAGCGGGGAGCGCCCATACAAACCGCCCCGCGTCACGCGTCGGACGCGTCGTGCTATATATATACCCGATCCCAGGATAGAACACAACGCCACCACTGTCCCCATTGATCAGTCCAGTCCTCCAGCTGTTCACGTATCTGGACCGACTTGGACATCTCAAGATTCAGCGCATTGAGAAAGCATAGGCTTGCTCTAGCTGGCAGAAGTTCTACGTTCGGTCATTGCCGTCACGGTGCACGCACTTGTACACTGCGCTCACTACTGGCCCATCCGGTACTCGAGGACGTATAGACGACATGCAGGCTTCGCATCGTCCTCATTTGTACCGCGATGCACCGCAAAAGCGTTGGTCCCACTCATCTCGTGGGAAACCTTCTCGAGGGCTCTGAGCTGCCTATTGCAGCTGCTTCATCTAGCGGTGCCGCTTCATGAAACCGAGCAACGCGTCCCTTCGGCACTGGAGCCGTCAAGAACATCCGACATGCCACAGCTACATGCATGACCCTCGCGATGCAAGTACACTTGGTGTGCACTCCTTTTGCGTCCCCGTCGCTGCAAGACTACGCAACTCCCCCGTCTTTCGGAATGTCCCAGCCTGAGACAGCCCGCCCGGAGAGCAATTGCAAAGTGTGGTTTCTCGTTCAACAAAATATGGCCACGAGAAATATGTTGTGAGTGCATGATATCGCTGCTCAAGGCCATGTCGTAAGTGTTTCGGTGGTCGCAGCACTTTGATTATGTGCATCTATGGATGGCGGGTGCCGGTGCGGCAGCGGCTCTGACAGTCGTCGCGACGTTCAGTCCTCGGTTTCGACAGTGAAACCCTTCGCTAACTCGCCGTGATGTGGTCTGGAAAGCTACCGTCAGCTCGACGGCCGGAGGGTGTGTGGGCTACGCCGGGGGACGCGCGCTCCAGATGTCTGCAGACGAAGAGAAAGACGACTCGCTCCGCACGATGCGCCGGGTGCGCCAGGCGTTCAGGAAGTTCGACAAGCCCAGCTTTATTGCCTCTCATCCACAAAGATCCATCATGTCTCCGAGCGCCCTGACGATCGTACGTGCAGTTGTCGTTGTGTGTATGGTGCCGTCGCTCATACCATGCATTGTCATAGCCCCATCCACGCCTCCACCCTGACAGAGAGGATTCCTCGCTATGCTACCAGCTCATCACGACCTCGCAATCGATATACAGTGTACGGACCTACCTAGAGCCCGATCTACTCGCAGGAGGTGTCTCGCGCTCCGATGCAAACATAGCCATCACCTCCCTCGCAAGTGCACTCGATCGCAGCGTATGGGATGACTCAGTAAATCGAGCCTTGTTTAATGATGCGTGCCGCCGGAGCTGACGCAGATTCAGTACGCTCCCAACGCGGTTGCCTCCATGCTATCGTTTGTGAGGGATGCAAGGAGGTCGCGCCCCTGCTCTGTCTTCCTCGGAGCACCGGTTGCTGTTTGCGTGCTCGCGCTCTTCGGCGATTCAGTGCTCTTTGGGGCACTCTTGGGCATTGTCTCTATGTGGACGTTCCCGCTATGCCGTATACCACCCTGATCCAGGATAAGGCTGCTGTCGCCGCTGTGTTGCGTCGTAAATTCCGCAAGAGCTGGAGGCGCAATAAGTTGCGTCTGAACAGGATAGTCACATTAATTTCTCTTGTCGCCTTTGGTTTGCGGTCGCTCGACATACCTGCGCTCGTCGCTATTCATATTGCTATCGCGTTCTATTTGATGTGCGCAGTGTTCCAAACTCTGTCACTCTCCACCAGTAATCCGCCAGCCCACCTGTCTGGTGCATGCAGTCTCATACTGAACCCGGGGAAGACGTTCATATGAGCCGCCGCTGACACGCCTGTCGCGCTGCCGGTGCTGGATCCTTGGCGGTTCCTCGGAAGCATTCAATAAGGGCTGTCGATTACCTAAAGCTGCCTCATTTGCCAACGCCGGTTCGAATCGTCCAACGCGTCCCTTCGGCATTGGAGCCGTCGATAGACGCGACGGACGCGGTACAACTACATACATGACGGTCTCCGAGGTGCGGACATGGTATCTGCTGTCTTCTCTTTCCCTCAAGCCTCATCCCAGCTACAGCCGGGGCGAACTCAGGCTGCCGTCGTCGTCATGTCCAGCAATCCAAAGACTGAGAGATCATACTCTCGGAGGGAGGCCCAGTACTTGTTGTTCATGGTGAGCGCCGTGGACCCGCTGTGCTTCTGGATTAATTCTGACGGATGCGCAGTTACAACATTTCAACGAGGTCATCTATGGATGGCAGGCGTCGGTGCAGGGGTCACCCTCGCCACAACACTCGCATTCAGCCCCTTGTATCGACGGTGGAACACCGCGCTCACTCGGCGCGACGTGCTTCGCAAAGCCTTTGCCAGTTCTGTTGGCGCGGGGTGTGTCGGATACGCTGTCGGACGCCAGTTGCAGTTTGATATAAATCACTCCGAGGAGTCCTACTACACCATGAGGGATGTGCGCGGTATGCTCGTGAATTCCGGCAGGTACGAGTTCCTCGAGTTGCACCCTCCAGAGGCGGCCACGTCTATCAGCAGGTCCGACAACAGTACGTGACCCGCATCATAGTTAGCGAGTTATCCTGGCTCACCTGGTGTGGTGTACGGTGTCGCAGTATCGACTGAGTCCCCGCCACCAGGAATAGCAGAGAAGATATTGTCTGCTTGTCACTGGTTCACTACCACCTCAGAATCGCTGCGGAGCATGCGAGCGTTCCTCGAACAAGACCTGCTAACGGGCGGTGTCTCGCAACACGACGCGAACATCGTGACTACGTATCTGGCTAGCGGGCTCGACGGGAACAACTTCCAGCGCAGCGTGAGTGTGCCCTAGTACTAACGCCCTATCCTTAGCGTTGACGATGCCGCCCTAGCTGTCGATTGGATTGGTTGGCCTGCTGTACGTGATGCGAGAGTCTGCGAGGACGCATCCCCGCTCCGCCCTATATCGAGCTCCACGAGCGGCCCGCGTCGTCGTCTGGCTGGGCGACTTCTTCCTCCTTGGTCTCACAGCAGGATTTGCTGTTAGAAAGGAGTTTTCGTCTATGGCCTATTCTGGATACATCCGGGACAAGGCTGCTGTCGCCGCTGTTTTGCGTGAGAAGTTCCGCAAAGAGCTGGAGACAAAGTAAACACCCCTCTTGAATCATTGTCCGCTGTCCAGTTCTCGACGTGCTATACATTATTAATCGTACTGCTGTCTTGCCGTGTCTTCGCGTGTTACCCTGTATGCTGTAAGTACCTACTGCCGTTTTGAGACAAAATCATCCCAGTTCATTATTCATTCACGTAAAAGGTTTTCCAGACTCATCTGGGGCTCCTGGCATGATCGTTCCGATTCAAACGTCCCTGAAGTAGTGGTATTATCATTGCAGAATTCTCCGTGCGTCTTCATCCGTAGAAGAGGACGGTTTTGTTCCGCGGGCATGTCCGGCACTGCATAGGGTGCTTCCTCGGGGATCCTCGACTTCCTAGTGCAGTCAGTCTTCTCAATGCCGGCTCACCTGAAGCGGGCAACGCGTCGCTTCGGCCCAATGCCGCGAAGACGCGTTATGCCATGCGCCGTCTGACATGGTTTTAGACACGCAGGCTGAGGCAACATGTCCTCCCCTTAGACCACTAGACGTCTGTAAGCCTCATCCTGCAGCCTGAGACCCGTAGAAACCACCGTCGTATTCAAGATGGCTGATCCAGCAGAAGACAAGAATGACACTCATGTAAAAAATCCAGTTCCGGGCGACATTCACTGTGGGTGCGATACTTTCCTCGATTCGTGTTTGTACCTATATACACAAATGACTGGGTGCAGCACATCGACCAAGTGCATCTCTCGATAGCAGGCACAGTTGCCGGGGCAACGCTCACTGTAGTCACGGCATTCAGTCCCTGGTTCCGGCGGTGGAACTCACTCGTCGCGACGTGGTCCGCAAAATCCTTGCTCGCTCCGTCGGTGGAGGGTGTTTTGGGTACGCCATGGGGCGCGAGCTGCATATCTATGCCGAGGACATGAAGGACGAATCACGCCGGACGATGCACCGAGTGCGCGAGGTGCTCATGAAGACCACCAAGCTCGATTTCGTCGCGTCATATCCGCCAAAGCCCCTTGACCTGAGCTCTACCAGGGGTTTCGATGAAATGAATTGTACGTATGGACCATTGCCAGTGCTTACGGTTCCGCTTGCAAGCTCAGATGCCGTGTCTAGCATTCCACCCTTCAACTATAACAGAAAGGATTCTGTCTTTGTGTTTTCAGCTGTGCACGACCTCGACATCACTCAATAGCATGCGTACTTGCTTGGAACAAGATCTCCTCTCGAGTGGTGTCTCCCGCCACGATGCAAACATCGCCATCACCTCTCTCGCCAGCGCACTCGATCGAAATAGCTCGATAGACTATGTAAGTCTCCTCATATTCCAATGAGGTACCATCACGATTGATGGGGCCCCAGTTTGCAGCTACCGCCGCTGTGTGTGCATACATCTTCTCGACAGACTACTGCAGGCTACACACTCGCTCCGCTCTGCTCTTCGCACCCTGTCTATTTTGGGTGCTCGCCATGACGGGCGATATGATACTTTCTGGGTTCGTATCAAATACGTGTTTGGAGTTGGACATACCCGCCGCTGCATATGCCAAGCACATGCATGATAAGACTGCTGTTGCTGCCGTGTTGCGTGCTAGATTCCGCAAGGAGCTGGAGTCGCAGCAAGTCCAACAGCGGTCATACCCCTGCCCTACCCTGCACTTGCGATGGTGGATACTAGCAGTCATCCTTCGCTTTACCTGTTAGTCGTGTGTTGCTGTCTTGCTTGTCGTAGTATTTGTCAAAGAATTGAGATATCCCAGCTCACCAGATGGTCAGACAAAAGGCCACTGTCACGGTACTCACAGCTCACTGTTATATCGGAGATCTGAGCAAGAGATTCCCACGCCACCAGCCTCGAGGACAACAATTTGGATGGCAGCTTCAAGTTCGAGCGTGAGGGCAGCATGTGCGGCACTCTGCACTGCCCTCGCACGCGCACAATAGGGCCCATGCAGACTATATAGCCTGGTGCGCGTCTCTCCAAGCATCCATTACGTTCATCCTTCCGATACCCATCCGCCCGCCACACATTCCTTTCTTCGACGCAGATCCAGTGACACGCAGTGCTCCCAGACCCCAATCTCACGACTTATTTACAAGAATCGCAAGGATGCGAGGGTGGAAAACGTTTGTGTTGCCTCTCCTGGCTGCATTGCGCGTGTCCGCGCATGGCTATGTCAGCAGGGTGGTGATTGACGGGGTTGTATATGCGGGGAATGAGCCCAACGACAATACAGGTGAGCGCCACTGTCTGCTAACCTCTTGTTCGTGGCGTCTGGCCATGGTACTTCGGATAATCTACCGGGGTGGTGATGATGAGCATTTGTGGGTAGTCTCAGGTGGACTGGTGGATGTCCAGCTGCTCACTGCGTGAACCCGGCTCATAGTAGCGTTCCGTGTTCAATCTACCGGGTGGATATCGGCGACTGACCCTCTTGTCTCCGTCAGGCTCGAGTCCCATCCGTATGATATCCACTATAGACCCGGTGAAGGGCGCGAACAACTTGTACCTCAACTGTGGCCAAGAGGCCCAGGCCGCGGCGATCACTGCACCCGCTAAGCCCGGCAGCAGTGTTACGTTCCAATGGTCTGGAGCACCTGGCGGCGGTGACAACGTACGTCCCTTTCCTACATCATCTTGCGTGCTCTGTGCGCTGAAAACCCTCGTGTCAGTGGCCACATAACGTCGGCCCACTTATGACTTACATGACACAATGTACAACGACCAACTGCGCTGCATTCGATTCATCCTCCGCCGAGTGGTTCAAGATCGACGAGCTTGGGATGAACTCGTCGAATGCTTGGTTCCAGGGCTACCTCAGTATGTCTCTATGATTGCGAGGAGAATGTGTATTGACTTGGAGCAGCTCAAGGCGACTCGTATACTGTCACACTTCCCACAAGTATCAAGTCTGGAGGGTATCTCATCCGCCATGAAGTTCGTGCCGCCCCTCTCGAAGTCGCGTCACCATGCTCACCCTTTCTACTTACACAGCTCATCGCTCTCCACCAAGCCGTCTCTATCGGAGGTGCAGAGTTCTATCCGTCGTGTACTCAAGTGCTCATCAGCGGGAGTGGCGACGGCACTCCAAGCAGTGGCGAGATGTGCACCTTCCCCGGCGGCTACTCCGACACTGACCCAGGGATCTACGTGCCAGACGTGAGCGCGGTTTTCTCGGACAAGATCCTCGATCGTGCCGACGGCTGACCCCGCTTCCGCCCTAGATCTACAACGGTGGCCTGGACTACGTTTTCCCCGGGCCCAATCTCTCCCATTTGGCGTCTGCGGGTGATGGGATGATCACGGCGAAAGTGCCAGGGGGTGATGCGCCCCCGACTGGCTCGACGATCGCGACTAGCACTGCTTCCGTCCCAGTTGTGGCGGTCCCCTCAGGCGCTGGTGGGAGTAGCGGCTCCTCCTCCCCGGACTCGGGCTCTGGCTCTGGCTCTGGGGATTCGTCAGGCACGTCCGTGGCCGCGATGCCGACGGCTGGTGCGGGCTCTGCCGCGGCACCGTCTCCGCCGAAGTGTGCGCTCAAATCGAGCGTCGCCCAAACACCACTCTCAACGCTCAGCCGACGACGACTCCATCACGTTATCCGACGCTTTTTCTCTCGGTCATCGTGAACGGTGCTGGAGCCGTCGAGCCGTGGATTTATGTGCACCTGGGGTGTCCACTCGGTTATCTCGGGCAGCGGATGAAGCAGGCCTCCTGTCTCCTATGTGTCGTGGTCGCTGGAACTCAAACGCTGTATTTTGGGAATATCTCTGGGAGGATTGTCTGCGTGCAAAGTCTGTGACTGACGCTTATGTCTCTGTATTGTATGTTCTGTATTTTACTCTTCCTTGCAATGATAGCTGTGGTGCGTTTGAAGCCTATAGATCTGCCAATAAGCAGCGGAAGAATCTCCCGAGCACAAGTCTGCAGCTGGGATGTGGCGCAAACACGCGGATATAGAACGCTCTGTCGATCGGGCGCCAATATGCCTAATTGGGTAGTCCCGCCATCAGTACCCGACATCGGGTGGCGTTCGAGCGTCACGGGCCGCCGCCAGCCAATGGCGATCCTGCGGATTCGGCTGCACGACGTGGTAATGGCTCTCGTGCTTGTCTCGGCTGCGCTGCATGGTGATCTCGGCTTGCCCAACGTGTGGTCGAGCGCGCCGAGAATGCTGGCGGCGAGTAAACCGTAAGGCGCATGCGCTCGTGACAAGTCGATTCACCCAATTTTGGCAGAGAAAATTGGGCAGCCGTTGGCATCGCACGGGATCTCCTATTGTCGCTGTTCGGTTTCTGGTGGATCCATAGAAAACGTGAGTAGCTGCTTTTGCACATCATCGTCGGAGCCAAGGGCTCTAGGCCCGTGACCAAGTTGTGGATGCCCAAGCGTTGGTAAGTTGACCAGATCGACGACGTGCTCCTCACATCACGCCGCACCAAGGCGGAAGTAAACTGCACTGGATCCGAATGTCCGTCTATTTCGTTCCAGCCTGACGGGTGCGAGGCATTCAAATTCAGGCGTCCAGTTGCTCGACTCCTACCTTTTCACACTACCACCCACAGCACGACCTTCCATGGACGAATACTCGCCCTACTCTAAAGGCCAGCTCTCCTTGGAGCTCGCGGCCGCTGCTCTCAGCATGCACTCCATGCCGATGTCGTCTTATCACACACTCGCAGGCTTAGATGCGTTCACGCCAGCCTCATACCATGGCACTGCCAGCCAACCAATCAACGCATACCCTCCACCTCACTACCAGTACCCCCACGACCAGCACGACTCATTCATGCCCTCTGCGCTGTCAGGCAGCAACCTCGCTCTGCACGACGCTCTCACGAATGCCTTCCTCTCGGCGCAGCTCCAGCAGCAGCGCCCGCCATCTCCTCAGATGCACTATCCGCTGCGATGGCCAGAGGCTGACAGTTACCCACAATACCCGATGGCGAACACCAGTGACCCCGCCCTCGCGCAGGGACCGTCCCTCTTCCCATCTTCGTATTCCGTGGCGCCGCAGAGTACGTACCAGTCGGTGCAAGACGCCCAGAGCGCGGCGAGTCAGCCTGCATGGTCTGTGTCGGGCTCCCTGGATCCTGTCACCGGAGTATTCCAGCGGATGGCTGAGCACCCTCGCCTGCGCACCGCTCAGGCCTGCGAGAAGTGTCGGGCACGTAAAGCAAAGGTATGATATCCGTCTGCACTTAGACGTAATTGTCCTGACTTCAATATATCGACCTCCAGTGCAGTGGCGAACATCCTTCGTGCCAGCGCTGCCGCTCCCGTGGCCTGCTTTGCGAGTACGCACCTGAGCGCCGCATGCGTGGACCCAACAAGAAGAAGCGAGAGGGCAGCAGTGTCGAGCGCCTTTCACCGCCCGCGCCAGACGATGGACGCCGTGGCTCCATCGTCTCCGTCGCCTCGACGAGCTCAGCCACCAGCGACCTCGACAACTATCGTTTCCCGGAGATCCCGGCTGCGGTTCAGGCCTCCATCGCAGCGCCACGCCCAGACTCGCGCGCTTCGCTGCCTCACCTCAATGTACCTCACCCTCCCTCGCCCATGCGCCAATCGAACCGGTCGCACGACTTCTCCGGTGGCATCCCGTCTTCGCCTCTGAGGTTTCCCATGGACGGAGGCGCGAGCTCAATGTCGCCCCCTCCGCCTCCAGTGCAGACGTCGATGCAAGGACGGCGACGTCCGCGCCCCCCGCCGTTGCGCCTCGGCGATGCCGCGCTGTTCAACTCTTCCGCGTTCTTGCAGCACATGCCGTTGACGCCCGACCCTGTACCGCGCTCTGCGGCCGAGCTCGTGGACGATGCCACCCCCACATACGCCGCGCGCCGGCAGTCTTTGCCGTCGTACCTGGTGCACGAGTACACACCAACACCGCCCGTGCTCACCGAGCGGTTCTCGCAGCTTTCGGATCATTCGCACTCGCGCTCGACCTCGAATAGCGAGGCACCGCTCACGCCGCTTTCTGTGCCAGAATCCAAGCTGAGCCCCCACGGTGATCTGGCATATCCAGATGATTTTGTTCGAGGGTTCGAAGGGAGGCTAGGGGGTATCCAAGAGGGTAGGGAGCCGTTTGAGCCCGAGCTGCCACCTCTGGATGCCAACTCGGACACGCGAATGGACGGTAAACATTCTGTGGGCGTCACCGTTGTAGACGTCAGCCCTGTGGAGGCTCGCATCGTCGCCAAAGCTCCTGAAGGGGAGACATGATGACGGACAGATATAGCACGGCTAGGCTTCATGGTGGTTGCTATCTTTTCGTCAGTTATTGTTGTATGGTAACATGTAAAACTGTACTTGTAGTAGGAATACGCACAATTTAAAAACGGATTGTACATTGTCTCTTTAGTGCTGTTGCGTCCATGGTTCTTGTCACGCCCTACACTCTCGGACAGCCAGAATAGCATTGTACCGATTGCCGTCACTGATCGCACACATTGAGATGTATGAACATTCTATGCAGACTGGACGGTGACAACCGTCTTTTCGCCCTTTCCAGAGGGACCAACCTCCCACGCACTAATCTCTAGACCTCCAGTATCATCTGCAATAAACTGTACCTCCACTTTTGTCGTCCACCTAGCTTTCTCTTGTTTTGCCTCCTTCGCCACGAAGGACAGTGCGGTAAGCAAAGTCTCCTTCTCCACTGTCTTCTCCTTCACCTCTTCCTCTTCCTCCTCTTCCTCTTCCTCGTCTGCCGGAATGTCCTCCTCGTCCTCAAGCTTGGGGAGCTTGACCATATCAATCCTGACGCCCTCTTTCGCCTCCCACACCTCGAAGCCGACCTTCTTCTCACCTTCACCTTCACCGAGATCGACATCGAGGCGCAGTGTTCGCCTCGCCGGCACGACTGTGTCTCGGAGTACTGCCGGTACCCACTGGCCGCCCAGAGGACCTTCGGCGTTCTCCTCAGGGAAGAGCATGCCAATCGTTTTCGAGGTCGCCTTCGCCTGCGTCCATTTACTTCCGCTGGCGAATGCTGCCTTCACTTCGCGCTCTTCTTCGGTGCCCTCGGCAAGCATTGCGACCAGCTTCGCCTGCAGCGCGCACCCGCGGGAGATGATCGTCGTCGGGTCGCCCACGCCACCGCCAACGACGGTGCCGGCGGTGAAGGGCGTGACGACCGACTCGGCGAAGCCCTGAGCGAGCGTCTCATCGAGCCCGGGAAGACTCGCGGAGCCGCCGACGTATACAATCTCGTCGACGTCGTACAGGTCAAGGCCTGCCTTCTCCACGAGCTCCTTCACACGGGTGGACACTTGGTCATACACGCTCCGGACCTCCATGTCGAACGCAGCCGCGTGATTGTGCCCGTAAAGTCGAGCCCGTCCTTGAGCGACTCGACGGAGCAGGTCGCGGCGCCAGGGGACGCGGACAGTGTGCGCTTGGTGTGCTCGACCGCAAGCCGGAGCTTCGCCTCGGCGCGCTTGTCCTGTGGCTCCGGGCGGGAGCGACCGTCAGGGGCGTCTTAGTCTTCTTGGTGAACTCCTTGGCAAAGAACTTGATCAGCTTGTCGTCGAGCGCGGTTCCGCCGACGGTGGCGTCCGAGAGCGTGGCCAGCGAGAATGCGAGCCCTTCGCGGATGGAAAGGAGGGAGAGCTCGAGGGAAGAGGTGCCAAGGTCGACTACCAATTGGGTGCGATCATGGTCGAGCTCAACAGGAGTGAGGTTGGTCGTGGTGGTCACTGTCGCCGCGCCCGCATCCTCAAGCAACTGGAGGACGTGGATGCCAGCATCTTCTGCGGCTTGCGTCAGGGCGGCACGCTGGGCGTCGTCGAACCAGGTGGGGATGCTGATGACAGCGCCCTGGACCTTTTTGCCGAGGAAGTCTTCGGCAGACTGCACAAGGGACCTGAGGAACATCGAAGTGACCTCGGACACAGTCAGGATGCGCTCGGCGGGGGTTGGCTCAGAGCGCGGAGTGGCAGCTTTAGAGGCGGCCGGAGTGTTAGTCGCTGTCGTCAGGAGAGGTGAGGGCGCTGCCTGCAGAACCTGGACTTTGTACGCGGGGACGTCTGGCTGCTCAGGATGCTGAATGACAGGAGCAGACGCAGTGGGTTTATCAAAGGATAACTCAGAGAATCTGAGGACTATCATTGAGGGACCTCAGGACGCACATCTGAAACCCACTCACTTTTTGCCGAGGAGGTTGCGGAAACCCAATATCGTATTGTGCGAGTTCTTGACCAGCTGCGGCTTCGCCTGGTTGCCTATGTACTATGGAATGCTCAGATACGTAAATATGCTACTTCAGTGGATGAACGTACCAGTTCCTCGCCGAGGAAAGCCACAGCGCAAGCGATCTGACGTTCTCCATCTTCGTTGGCAATGCAATCTGCAGATCCTTCCTATGAAAGCTCTGGAATCAGTGGCTGCTGCGGGCGTGAAGTTTCATGAATATGCTGTCGCCTGCAGTGATACAAGCACCATTTTCGTGCGTATATCATTGCGGAAAGTCGTACACGTTCAGATACAACACTGCAGGAAGACGTACCTTCGTGAGTACTGCAATCGACGCGTAAGAATTGCCAAAGTTGATGCCAACAACAGTGGGGACAGAGGATACTTCAATGGGCGCGTCGGCCGTTCCGTTGGGTTGCGCTGCCATCGTTTAGCACAGCGTCGAGGAGGATTTAGCCGATGCACAGAAAACAGATTTTGCCAGAGGACATTCGCGCCATCACGTGCTCTGGATGTCTATTTAGCGCGTTACGCACCGGCGCCTAGCGACGCGTCCTCTCTTCGACCTGCCGCGAGTGCTGCCTGGATATCCAACGCCTGGCTGATCGACCGACGCACTCGAGCGCAACTGTAAAGAGTATTATTTTGGCTTGATAAAAGAGACCATAGGGCGTGGTATATAGGTGCGATCTTTCCGGCTTGAAGCGTTCGCGGAAAGCTCAGTTATTGTCATGGTGCTGGTGGCTGCTGTCAGTCATAATGGTTTGCGGACACATCAGCGACATTGCAAGGCTACAGCCTCCACGGATTTCTCAGTCTGTGCACAGAGAGGAATGTACGCAGTGCTTTGACAACCAGGTGGCGTATGAGACTTGTTCGCTCAGGCCACGTGAACTCAGATCCAAGGCTTAGGACCACCCCTTGGGCATTGATGTATGCTTGACATGCTTCAACGGGGGATGCCTTGGTCAAGACAGGCATCATGCACGAACGCACGCCGAGAAGACTGGCCACTCCTTCACGCTCAATGTCAAGCGCAAGCTGAGGCCCTCTGCAAACCGTGTATGCCGAAGCTCATACGGTGTTCATGCGCGCCACTGACAGCCTAGCTCCAGGCAGATGAAGAAGAACCCCCAGCGAAGATGAAGAAGCTCGCCATTGTGGAGGATCGCGAGGAGGACAAGTACGAGCACAAGACCGTTCTCAAATGCTGGAAGTGCGATCCTATTAATGGGCTTGAGATACCTGACGCAATGGCCGACCCGCATGTCAAGTCATTGAGCGATGGTGTCATGCAGTCTCTATCATCCGCCAGACAATCCGAGGTCAAGGCTTGGGAGGAGGAGATCACTCCTTGCGAGCATACATTGACTTTGCAGCAAGAGGCTACCGGGCCGATCCTCGCATCTGGTAAACGATGACATCCCTATCTTGTGCGGGTGTCACTAAGGCGCAGCTCGCAGGACTGGCCCATTGCTCCAAATGTGACCTGAAGGAGAATTTGTGGCTATGCCTGACCTGTGGATCGCTTGGCTGTGGTCGACAGCAGTTTGGTGGTCTCGGAGGTAATGGCCATGGTCTGCAACACTACGAAGAGACGAAACATCCTGTCAGCGTCAAACTAGGTACCATCACACCTGAGGGCAATGCGGGTCAGTATTGCCGGCCATCGTATCGTCAGTTCCGCAGCACTGAGCTCTCCCTCGCTAGACATCTACTGCTATATTTGCAATGATGCAAAGACCGATCCAGAAATGGCATTACATCTTGCGACGTTTGGCATAAACGTCCAGACGCAGACTAAGACAGAGAAGTCCATGACTGAATTGGTGCGTAATCTGTACCAAGTCACCTAGCGAATCTAAGGCTCTTGCAGCAAATTGAACACAATCTGAAGTTCGATTTTTCACTCACTGATGAATCCGGCAAGGCTCTTGAGCCTGTGTTCGGGTCCGGGCTCACTGGTCTTTCTAACCTCGGCAATAGGCAGGTGATCTTACTCTATCGGAGGACGTGCATTGACATCCCCTTAGCTGTTACATGGCATCTGTCGTGCAAACGTTATTTTCGCTTCCAGCGTTCCAACAGCGGTACTACCCATCTACCGCCCAGCATTGGACCACCTGCACGGAGTCGCTCCCGGCCAACTGCGTCGACTGCCAGATGCACAAACTCGCCGACGGTCTGCTTTCGGGGCGCTACTCTCACCCGCGGCCAGCTGCCGGAGGCCCGTCTGAGCCCAAAGCGACGAACCCTCTTGCGCATGACTCACCCACACCTGTCTTCCAGGAGGGCGTGCGCCCGAGTGGATTCAAGGCGCTCATTGGGAAAGGCCACGAGGAGTTCAGCACGATGCGGCAGCAGGACTCGGAGGAGTTCTTGACGCACCTGCTCACTGTCCTCCGGCGGCACGCGAAGAAGACGGGTGGTGAGCAGGGTGCGGAGCCGACTGAGGTGTTTGCGTTCGGGATGGAGCAGCGTTTGGAATGTGGCGAGTGCAAGCGGGTACGTTACCGCGTTGACGAGACGGACGTGGCGAGCGTGCCAGTGCCAGCGCGCGAGAAGGGGAAGGACACGGAAGGGAAGACCCTGTACGCGGACGTCGAGCTGTCTGAGTGCTTGGACATCCTGACGGGGCCCGAGGCACTCGAGTACAATTGCCCTGCGTGCCAGAAAAACGTGATCGCGACGAAGTACGTCTGGCCGTCAATCTGTTTTGGTTTGGGGTATGTATGACGTCTGACGGCCCTTTTTGCAGGCGATCGCGATTCGCGGCCTTCCCGCAGGTCCTCGTTGTGCATGCGAAGAAGTTCCAGCTCGTGAATTGGGTACCGGCGAAGCTCGGTAGGTGTTGACTCATACGCAGCGGGTGATTTCTCCGCTCACTCTTCTCATCTAGATATTCCGTTGGCCGTTTCGGATGAGATGCAGCTCGATAACTATCTTGGGCGGGGACTGCAACCTGGGGAAGTCGAGCTACCCAACGAACAGCAAGGTCGGTGCGAGCCCTAATTGGACTGTATGAGTAAGGTTCATCGATGTTCCCCAGCTTCCGCCCTTCCGCAGTTCAACGAAGCCGCGATCGCCCAACTGGAGGGAATGGGGTTCCCGACTGTGCGGTGTCAGAAAGCACTCCTTGCCACTGGTAACAACGACGCGGAGGCCGCCATGGAATGGCTCTTCCAGCACATGGAAGATCCCGGTGAGATGGCTCTCGGGGTTAGCACGGGCGATGCTGACGTGTTGGACAGACATCGACGCCCCAATCCAGGCTCCTGGGTCTGGAAGCTCTGCTCCCGAGCCGCCGCAGGAGCAAATAAGCATGTTGGCCGAGATGGGCTTCACATATGCCCAGGCTCGCAAGGCCCTGCGGGAAACGGTACGTTCTAGGTTCCTAACCTGACTTAATGGTTCCGCTCTCTGACATCTCTTCCAGGGCGGGAATGCTGAACGAGCTGTAGAATGGCTGTTTTCCCATCCTGACGATAATGGCGAAGACGCACCGAGTGCCGCGGCGGAGGTGTCAAAGACAGCGAGTCTAGGCGCCTCGGCGGAGTTACCGGCAAAATACAAGCTCAAGGCGTTCATCTCTCACAAAGGCCCGTCAGTACACTCTGGGCACTACGTTGCGCACATTCGGGTTAAAGACGAGAAGACAGGCGAGGACGCTTGGGTATTGTTCAATGATGAGAAGGTCGTCAAGGCTGACGCCGAGAGTGTACGTGACTTGAAAAAGTTGGCGTACTTGTACGTGTACGAGCGTGTGTAGAGTAAGTTGGTGTCATGATGGCGGACTAAAGATTCAATGTACTATTACTCGTTATACATGACGCAACTTATTTTAGAGTTGCCTACGCACACAGATTCACGCATCGATACAAAGGATAGTAATGTACATCTTGTTGGCATTGATTTGGGAATTATGTGATGGGTCTCTGCCAGTATGAGTTACGCCCTCCAGTTCCCAGCCAATGCATACGCCTCGTCCATCGCCTTCTCGAGTATCCAGTCGATATATGAAAGCCAGCCTCGCCAATCGTGCATCGCTAAATAATCCACGCGCCGCCTGAACCTCGCCCTGGGGTCCGTGTAAAGCATTGCGAGCTGCGGATCGAATCTTTGCACTGTGTCCCTGAATCTCTTCCGCAGCTGCGTATGCTCCATGGCTATCTGACACGAAAACATATCCTCAGGCAAGACCTCAGGTGGTATAACGAACACGTCCTCTGGGTCAGCAGGCCACCACGCTTGGTTCGTCAGTTCTTCGGGATACCGAGCCGCGATATCTCGGGGAACGACGACGGAATCATCCCAGTCGATTATGCCTTCGATGCGTGTGCGGTCCGCCGAGAAGAGCACGTTGCGCCAGCACGCAAAATCGCCGTGTACCAGGGCAAGGTTAGACGCGGCGGGGCGTGAGGTCGAGTTGGCCAATGGGTCAAGCGAGGCGGCGATATTGACGAGGTCCCGTATAATATCAGCGCACCGTACGAAAGTACGTCTGCCATCGTCACTCCATTGCGGGGATTTCTTGACCATGGCACGACGTGTGGCGTCAAGGGCGTAGTGCCAATGTTCCGCAAGTGTAGTGGGCCCGCATCGCGCCTCGATCGACGGGTCGAGCAGCTCAGTAAAGGCGCTTGGATATTGTGGGATCACGGGCATGATGCGAAAGCCGCGCTGTGGCGTGCTGTGTCTCTGCCACAGCGAACGCGAGGTGTCTGCGCTATCGGCCACGATGCTTCCGATTGCACTGAACGGAACCGGCGCTGTTGTTCTGGCCCATTGTTCAGCCAAAAGATCAACTACGATGCGCTTGCTCGCATCCGACATATCGTGCCACTCTGGAGGAGTAAGCGGCGTGCCATTGCAGAACTCGATGAACGTATAAGGCACGCCTGCCGGGTTGGTGCCGCTGAGCTGCGCAGAGAAGAGCCGGGGAATGGGGACGTCTGGTCTGTATACGCTCATGAATCCTAGTGTCGCGATCTGAGACTTGAGTCGAAGGGGGTCTCGGGTCGCCGGGGGTTTAGGGACAGGGACCCTCGCGACAAGGGCACTCGCTCCGAACTGAATGAGGAAGACTTTATTATACCCCCCATGAGCGAGGATGCGGATCTCGGTGGGAGCGACTGCCTTGGGAAGCTGAAGAACAGCACGGGCGGCGTCGAGGAGGTGCTCGATGTTGACGCCACATATCCCCGTGTATCTTTCATGGTAAGCAGAGTTTAGGCCCTCTTCGGAGGGCGCAGCGTAGGTCAAGGCTGCAAGATATGTGTGAGCTCTGGGTCGCCGCCATGCGTCAATGTATGACACACCTTGAGTGGACATAAATTGGGGCATGCCAGTGCCAGGGATCGACAGGGAACTACGATGAAGCTGCTACTGCAGTGATTCGCCCAATATACGCCAGTGGGAACAAAAACTGTTGTTATAATATCGATTTGGGCCGGGATAATCCAAAGCCAGGTTCAAGCTGTCGTATGACAGTTTCAACCTACGGGCGTCACTTGGGCCAAACAAACATTGCAGCTATGGCCTCGGACGACGTCAGCGAGTGATCAGTAGAGCTTCGTTCGTGGTCGGCGAATAATATACGTACTCACTCCGGTAGTAGGCGTCTGCCAGTGAGGAGGTGTACTTCGGCGGGAGATACTAATACTGATAGTCACCTCGTTCGCTGGCACGTGACGTACCTGAAGCTCGGCAGACATACGAAGGTGCCCTAATAAGTAGGCCAGGGGCCTTTTGAGTACATATACTCCTATAGCATTGACCGCTACTAGAGAGCTATCTGTGAGACAGCTTCATCATGTCGCCTACTAGTATATGCTTGCTGAATCGCGTATTGATACAGACTCAATACTACTAATAAGTAGTAGTAATGCATGACCAGAGTACGAACTTTGTGATGTGTCTGTGCCAGTCTGAGCTACGCCAACCTGTTCTCAAATATTGCATGGGCCTCATTCATCGCCTCCTCGAGTATCCAGTCGATATATAGATACCAGCCTCGCCAATCGTGCATGGCTAAATAATCCACGCGCCGCCTGAACCTCGCCTTGGGGTCCGTGTAGAGCGCCGCCAGCTGTGGATCGAATCTTTGCACTGTGTCCCTGAATCTCTTCCGCAGCTGCGTATTTTCAAGTGCTATCTGCCACGAAGACGAATCCTCGGGCAAGGCATCAGGTGGTATGGCGAACCTGTCCTCGGGGTCAAACTGCCAACCCGCGTTGTCTGTCAGCTCCTCGGGATACCGAGCCGCTATATCTCGGGGAACGACGACTGAATCATCCCAGTCGACTATGCCTTCGATGCGTGTGCGGTCCGCCGAGAACAGCACGTTGCGCCAGCACGCAAAATCGCCGTGTATCAGGGCAAGGTTAGGCGCGGCGGAGAGTGAGGTCGAGTTGGCCAATGGGTCAAGCGAGGCGGCGATATTGATGAGGTCCCGTATGATATCAGCGCACCGTATGAGCGTACGTCGGTCATCGTCATCCGTGGGAAATTCCTTGACCATGGCACGACGTGCGGCGTCAAGGGCGTAGTGCCAATGTTCGGCTAGCGTAGTGGGCCCGCACCGCGCCTCGATCGACGGATCGAGCAGCTCGGTAGAGTTGTTAGGATATTGTGGGATCATAGGTATGATGCGAATTCCGTGCTGCGAGACGCAGTGCGAAGTGTCTGTCCTATCGGCCACGATGCTTCCGATTGCACTGAACGGAACCGGCGCTGTTGTTCTGGCCCATTGTTCAGCCAAAGATCAACTACCATACTCTTGCTCGCATTCGACATATTGTGCCACTCTGGAGGAGTGATCGGCGTGCCTTTGCAGAACTCCATGAGCGTATAAGGCACGCCTGCCGGGTTGGTGCCGCTGAGCTGCGCAGAGAGGAGTCGGGGAATGGGGACGTCTGGTCTGTGTACGCTCATGTATTCTAGTGTCGCGAGTTGGGACTTGAGCCGAAGGGGGTCTCGGGCCGCTGGGGGTTTAGGGAGTGGGATCCTCGCGACAAGGGCACTCGCTTCGAACCGAATGAGGAAGACTTTGTTATACGCTCCATGAGCGAGAATGCGGATCTCAGTGGGAGCGACTGCCTTGCGAAGCCGAAGAACAGCACGGGCAGCGTCGAGTAGGTGCTCGATGTTGACGCCGCATATCCCAGTGTATCCTGTACGGAAAGTAGAGTCGAGGGCCTCTTCGGAGGGCGCAAGATAGGTCAGGACTGCAAAGTATGTGTGATTTTCAGGTCGCCGCCACCATACGCCGACTCGAATACATAACACGCACCTCGATCGCTTGCGAACATGGGAGGGTGAGAGCAACGCAGCCACAGCTCGGATTTTAGTCTCGGAATCAGCCGTTCGGAGGTGAGCGGAGAGCGAAAAACCCATACCAGAGACACCTCCAGAACGCGTGACTATGTAAATGAAATACCCTCCTCCTCCTCTAGGTTCGACATTGGTTCGACACCATCATCCTGCCTCTTATGTACGATGGGCCAGCGTTTCAGGCGATGCGGCTAACAACTGACTCACCGAGTCCGCCACGAGTGCGAGTCCAGGGTCTAGAAGCGCATCTAAATCCAGAGAGCGCTGCGCTGCCGGGCGCGCCGCCCCCTCCGGTATGAAGGGCCTCGCCGGACAAAAACAACCTGACGTACGAATGTTGATCTTGGTGTCATTTTTTGGGCGTTGATGTTGATATTGCACCGTACGTACGTTGATGTTGGTCTTGTTGTTCATAAGTTGAGTTGTTTGACAGGTTGTCGGACAGGCTGTCTGACAGGTCGTCCGACAGATTGTCTGACAGGTCACCTGACAGGTCCGTGCAACCACGTCGCCTGCGCCCGACGCGCCCGACGAGCCCAACAATGCATGATGGCCCCATGACCGCTCATGAGAGACGATCGAGCGGCCGCACCCATCACTCACCACCAACGACCGCCGTCTATGCCCCCGGCAAGGTCCTTCTCGCAGGTGGATACCTCGTCCTCGACCCTGCGTACTCCGGTGTCGTCGTCTCGACGAGCGCGCGGTTCTACACGACCGTGCGCGACCTCGATGAGGCAGCGAGCGTCGCGGCCGCGAAGGCGGACCGATCGATTGAGATCCCCGCGCGATCGCCCTAATTCGTGAACGCAATCTGGCTCTATATCGTGTCCTTTGATGGCGAGGCCGCTAATTCGTGGTCTACCAGGTCGCAGACATGTGGATGGTCTGCTCGAGGTTGCCCTGCGTCGTGTCGTGATAGGCGGGACGCTGAGTGAGTTCAGGTTCATCGCATCTCGCAGCGCGTCCTCGACCTCCTCCTTGAAGAACAAGTTCGTCCACCATGCGCTCTGGTGTACGCTCTCCCTAGCACTCGGAACTCGTGGTGCTGGCACCTGCAGAACAGCCTCAGGCTCTTGCATGGCCTCAATATCACCATAGCTGGCGACAATGACGTTGACTCTCAGTGGGCTCAGGTGAGTGCTCCCCATGCCTGCTCAATGTGCAGCCCTCTAAGATTCCCCTGTGCACAGCTGACAGTGAAGAGCCTCCTGCCCACGCTCGCATCTCTCGCACAGCTCCCGCCCTTCGCTCCAACTGGCGTACAGTTCGCTGAGGTCACAAGACGGGGCTCGGCGGCACTCATCACCTCACTCGTCTCGAGCCTCCTCGTTCTGTCGAGTTAATAACATGGGGGTCTCTTGCATACTTGTACACTGTACTGCAGTCTGCAGAGCTGACCGCAGTACTCACGATACCTCTCAAAACAATACATATTGCATGATGTTGTGACCGTACTTGGTACAATACTCACATACATTCGTAACCTTTATCAAGTACTTCAGACTCGTACGCTGGCACGCGCACTTTGTGGCTCCATGGCCGTCACTACTCGTACTAGTACTCGGAGCCCACGTCGGCCACTTTCTTGCGCATTCGGGGCCTTGTCGACACCTCCATAGAGCCAATTTATATGCGTCGTAGAATGCGAGAATGAGGCTTTCAAGCCAGTCCGATTAGTATTGAGTACTTGAGTGTGCGAGTGAGAGGTGAGAGGGAGATCTGAGGCACGTGTGTTGCAATGTGGCGGAGACGCTAGTCTCCCGTAGGCAGACCCTAAACACGACCTTATTGCAGCTACTTACAACAGACGAGGGGTGTCTATCGTTATGCAAATAGCTGTGACTGGGGGAGGGTGGTCGTATATACGGAGACACATGGCACGAAAGCTCCAACCCCGGATTCTAGTGGGTAATCGTAGGCGGCGCAGTGGCACAAGGATGATGCAAGAGACGACGAGACAACAAGGAACACTACGGATCGGATAATGAACAGGTTTCGGTGCCTGAGCATGGTGTCCACAATAAGGAGAGGCAGCGACCACGTACGACGACAAATACGCGGCGGCCAGTCAATGAATGAAAGCAAGCTGCTGCAAGCATACGAGAGACCAAGACACATAGTGATCACCGGTCGGTCGCCGATATTTAAGGGGACTCCCTCGCGGATATCGACTCGAGCACATTCAACCGCGAGAGGGTCTTGCTCACCTGCTTTCGCCGCTGCGGTAACGGAGTCTATGTTCACCTATAATATAAAACAGAATACGCAAGATCCTATAACGGAGAGCCCAAAGCAGCCATGTACAAACATAGACAAGGTACTTTGCATGGTAGAAAAACAGTACATGCGAAACTGGGTATCTTAGCAGACACGGCACAATGAAGAGTTTGCGGCGGCAGTAGCATGCGGACAGTGAGCGGGGCAGTGCGAGAGCGAAGAAAAGAAGAAAGGCGCCACGAACCAGATGCAATAGGTCCTATGCGAGAGCATGGTGTCCGAGATAACAAGCGACAACGGCCGCCTGCGCGAGCAAAGACGCGGAAACCAGTTGGGGCAAAGCAAGCATGGAAGACAGAGATGAGCATGTCGCGCGACGGGCCTATCACACGCACGGCGTCGCGTGGGCGTACCAGCCCTGGTCCTTCGCCTTCTTCGTCGTCGAGGCGCGGTCGGTCGAGATGACGTTGGATATTGAAGGCAAGCCCTTCGCAGGAAACGAGTCGAACGTGTTCGACCTCGACAGCGACTGGCCAGCTTACTTCTGCATTGGAGACGGCACGACGACGGCGACGGACTCTTGCTCAATGGCGTGGGGCATCCCGTGGGTGCTGTGCAAGGCGAGGCGGATGTTGGCGTCGACGGAACCTGGTGGCGTTGACGGCGATGCGGACGACGCGGGGCTCGTGGACGTGGAGTACGACTGCTCGGGCGGGTCGGGCATGTCGGGGCTCGCGGGCGGACTTGGGTACGCCGTGCTGGCGTCGACAGGCATGGGGGTGGGCTTCGGTGACGACATTGACGGATACCTGGCGAAGCTCGGGGTGGTGGTGGACGTGGCATCGTATATGTATGGCGTCAATCAATGGTACCGGTGTCGGCGCAGGCGAGGGGAGCACGTACTTAGGGTACGGCCTGTGGCCCTTTCGTGGCCCTTGAAGTTCCTCCGCACCTTCGCCTCGAACTCCTTCAGCGCTGCCAGTTCGATGTTGAGCTGCTACTCGAGGTAAGAGCACATCTCTCGCACCATCTGATTGATCTTGCGGAGGGCGCACATGCCCCGGCCTACGATTCTCCACGACCTGTTCGAGTACGTTCATCCCAGATGAGCTTGGATGCTATGAAAGCGGGAATCTATAGACGGTAACTCGACGAGCCGCTGGCGGCAGGGAACCACGCATTTAGACGTTGGAAAAGGTAGAGGGCAGCGAACATCACCGATGTGTGAGGCCGCGTTCTGTGGAGGGCGTAGGCGATCAACAACGCGAGAGGCGGCGACGGTCCTGGCGGATTGCAGGCGGTGGATAATGGAGGGAGGACCGGGCACGCAAACAAATGCGTCACATACCTCGTAAAGGGCTTCGCATCTCTTCGTGTCCGTCTCAGCGACAGTGGATCATCAGTACGTTCAGTACTAAACGAGAGTATCTCTTTTTGGTCAGCTACGGAGACTAGTTCAGTACTTGGATGTGGCGGATGCCCGGCGCTTGCCGGGCAACCTGTGTCAAACCACCTGTCAAACCACCTGTCAACCACTTGTCAAACCACCTGTCAAACCACCTGTCAACCACTTGTCAAACCACCTGTCAAACCACCTGTCGACCACTTGTCTAACCACTTGTCAACTTCAACGTCAAGAACAGCGTACCAACTTGTGTAAAATGTCTTCAACACAGAGTTCGACGTCTCGGGACTATCAAACAGAACAGCTTAAGGTCGTCAACGTCAACATCAACCCGTTTTTTTCGACAGGATAGCAATTGTCCGGCCGTACCCTTCACACTCCGGTCACCGGTATTGGAAAGCTCAGTACGTAAGCCAGTACTCAAGTACTCATGCTCCCACGTATCGTACTTCGAATGGACACTGTCATTCATCTGCACGTTCGTTTCGATTCTTCTCTCTCTCGCGTCCTCCGCCTACGCCGGCTGGCTTAGCCACCCCGGGCTTGTACATAGAAGTACGATTTCTCTTCTCCGTCTCTCGCTGACGTTTCCGGTGGCCGTCTCCCTTCAGGGACATGTCGTCGACCTCTGCCGCAGTCACCGGGCTTGCCCACTGACTGCGCCATCCTCTCCTTGCGCCTTATCCGTCCGATCGTCGATGTTCCACGTCCAGAGATGGGGATTGCCCCTCTCTGTACGTGCGCGAGGTTCGCGCTGCTCGACGGGCACCTCGGCGGACCCCTCGTGAGCCATTGAGGCCTCACATCAATGGCCTTATATATATAGGGTGTGACTGTCCCGATGCTTCAACATCTCAGCATTGCTCGCCTTTACTCCCATATATCCCATATATCCAACACAATCATGGTGAGTTTTAGTCGATTCATCACCTATTGAATTTCCGATACGATATGGCTGCGCTCATGCACCAATCCGTTCTACAGAGCTTGAAGAGAACCATGGAGGCTCTTAAAGACTGGATTGAAGCAATCCTGGATCCTGCCTCTCAGCGGACTCTCACCTGTTCTTCTCCGCTGCCGGTGGGCCTTTGGCACGATATTTACGGTGGAAAGACCTCCTCTATGGCACCCTCCTTCCGCGGTCAGATTATGCTCGCGACGGATGAGACATTCTCATTCCGCGTCGTAGAGAATGGAGATAGGCGTCATGTTTACGCGGGGGTAGTCGCCATCGCCTCGGATGATTTGCTTGAAGGACTTCGTGCGGTGTACAATACGCTCTAAGACGTAGTTACAGGGTAAGTGGGAATACCGATCGATACGCTGTCGTATATGGAACTGACGATCATCGTCTCAACAGAATGGCATGGAAAGTCACGATATACACGACTTCGTGATGTCTTCCCAAGGCTTTGCATTGCGACAAGGAGAGTGAATGTTGTACGATATCACGTTCAGTACGGGTTATGCGAGACTACGAATGCGTCCATCATCAGTACAACTCGGTGGCGTCTGGAGACGGTCTACTACGTTCAGCGAACGGTTGATTATGATTTGTCAAAACCTCGTAGCCTCAAGCCGTAAGTCAACCTCGCATATCTATGCAGTCTTCGGGACAGTGCTACAAAGTCGCTAGCCTGAGAAGGCCGGCTGTGGATCTCCTTATCGCGGGCAGAGACATAGGCGGGCATCTATTATCAGTTGACTCTTGGAACAGTTGGCCAGGCAGCATCACTGCTCATGCCAGTGGGGAATGCTGACGTGTGCATGTTCATTGAGCGACAGTGAAACACCGTCCGAATCGCATGTACGGCTTTCGTCGTGTAAGAGTGCTCTGCTCGAACTACGTGCCGTCTGTTCGGGTAAGTGCATTAGTAGTTCGTAGCATCCCAGAATGGGGGAGACAGCGTCCAGAGACGGTACGCATGGGCGATGGCCGGTCACCGGTCACCGGTGGCTGCCAGTGCCACTGGCCGCTGTATCGTTCGGCTAGCGAATTGGGAGATAGAAAGCTGTAACATAACAAGACAGCGAGATAACACAGGACAGATGAGCAGGAGCATGATATGACTATGGTTGATGTGCCAGTGCGATTCCAGAGCAGACACGGGATATATTGTTCCGGTCAATGCTCGTAGAAGACCAGCCGGCGGCCAGAGGGCTACCTTCAAATCACTGTATGGTCTGATCTCATTCAAAGCTCAGGACTATCCGACAAGTGGTAGAGAAAACGGAACATCACTTACAGTCAGCTCGATAGTTGGGTCGTCAATGAAGGTAGTATAGAAGTAGCCTTAGTGGGGAGGGAGTACTTCAACAAGTTCCTGTTCATGCTGTCCCTTTTGAGTGGTCGAGAGTAACGCTAGCCACGGCCCAGTCAGCGACATGATAGAACTAATGGGAAGCACAGCTCACTGTAATGATCCGAATCAAAGCTCCAGCCAGGTGTGCATTGGTGCTCGGATAAACGTTGGCCCGCATCTGTTTCGAGGGCGCTCAATACTCTGATACCACTGGCGATTTCCTCTTTGACCCGCCACCACCACACCTTTCCAATAAAAAGTGTGTCATCATAAGGTTGACCACCAATGCCAAGCGAGAGGTACCGCAAGGACGGAACCGCATTTGCGAGACGGTCTAGGGACGGTTGCACACAGGCGGCGTCCCAAGCCTGCGCGAGGAACTCGTGGATGCAGACCTGGACCATTACTATCCGGGTCGACACCAGAAATTCGGCCATCGATTCCTGCGTGGTATAATTTTGTTGAGATACAAAGTCGAGTGATCATCTTCATCACTCACTAGAAAGGCAACAAGCATCTGGGTCGATTGTGCGACATAGTACACGTCACGGTAATCTGCCAACAGCGCAAGCGCGGCAAAGAGTCACCCATTTGGCGCCAGTAGGAAGCGGGGAGTGATTTGTTTGGTCTTAGAGAATAGACGACGGGTGATGCGTTCCTCACGAGAGCGAGTAGAGTCTTCGTATGTGGTCGATGATTGTTCTGCACGCTGAGGCGAAGCCATTGTACGTGGGGAGATCCAATGGAGTCGCTCGTGTGGCCATGAGCGACGTCAGGTCCCGTCCACAGCATTGTCGAGTTTGTATCATCGAGGTCGCAGCGGAATAGTTGGAGAGTGTGCAGTTCACGACTCCCTCGCATCTGGCTAAGAACTTCCAATGAATGCTGCCCGATGTCCATCATGATATGTAAGATATGTCAAGTCGGGGAGGCCTAAAAGGGCACTGCGAAGCCGAGGTTCAAGAGGCAGCACATCTCCAAGGACAGACTCCGTAGATGCGGCACAGTTGAAAGTAGGTCCGCAAGCAACTTCATGACGTCCGGGTTGAACTTGAAGGGCGATAAATGGGAAAAGCCAACGAAGTAGTCGTCTGCAACATGAAGGGCAGACGCGCCAACTGTGAGCAACCGCAGCCATCTGAGCCGATCGTGGATGTCTTCGAGCATGTACGTAAATGCCGCGATAGCGTCCCTGGTGGTCGCATTGCGACGCCGTCGGCCAGCATGATTTCTGAACAAGCCCGTCGTTTCATTATGGGGAGGAGCTCTCGGGAAACCGTCATCAGTGACCCGGGAGCATCCCGGGGAGAGATGAGGTCCATTATGGCGAGTAGCGAGTCTTCGGTGAGAGATAACATATCCACAGGCATGCTGCAAGAACTATTCGCACTTCAGCCTGACAGCTGACCACAGTCAACAAGTGCTACTTACAAGCGAGTACCGTACTCACAGTGACAAGAACGACAGTTCAACTTCCAACCCGTGATTCGCTGAAAGACGAGTGGAAACCTGGCAGTGACACAGGCAAGCTCCCGGTGCAAGACGGGAATATCGCGTGAGCCGAATCGGAATGCAAGGCAGTACTAGTGTCGTGGGGATACACTAGTATACTCGAGCACTCAGCATGTAATCAGTACCCAGTAAGTATCATGATGTCGCTAACCGTTCCTTGTTCTGTCAGTTGCTGAGCGCCGCGAGCTCCGAGTCATTCCGAATGGCAGTTCACGGCAAGTTCAAACGTTCACGGTCACGGTGGCGCGCTTTCGACGCTTGACGCGTGACGTCGCTTCCTGTCATTGCTTAGAGTCGGATACCGTATTCCCAAATATGTATGTACCACATGTACCGAGCCAATGGTCTATGTACAGGAATTGCATGGCGTGAAACCCCGTCTATATTACCACGAGATATCGAGACCTCATTGAAAGCTAGAGCACTGTGACGTAGCGCTTCTTGTGTACACCTTCCTGAATGGCTTTGATCTCTGTGTATATGGCTGATAAACACAAGAATATGTTGTTCAGAAATCCACTCACGGAGAGCGAGGTGCTTTGAATGGTAGCGACACATGGCCAAGTTACCTGATTGATAGAAGACTCATCTTAGACTGCCAAAGCGAGCAAGAGGCAAGGGTGCGCACCCAGCATATACCACATGTTCGGGATGCCGAGCCATCTCCAGGAACCTTTCTGTTCCCCTTCTTCGTTGAGGTCCCATATGGGCTGGATCTGGGCAGACAATTCGTCCCCAACAACACGGTTGATGGCCTTCGCGGCGCTCTCGAACCTGAGCGTGACAATAGATCAGCGGAATGCCTTTGACGTCTACGTCGAACACACGCGCCCTGTGGCATATATAATCACGTCGGCGTCGAGCTCACTGCCATCCTCGAATTTGATGCCCGTCTCGGTAAAGCGCTCAATCACACTATCATTCTTCAGCTTGATCTTGCCGTCGACGATTTTCTGACTTGCCCCCACATCTGACCATACTGAGCACAGCTGCATGAGAACGAGAGTTGTACCCACGTACCAAGGTAGTAGCCGCCTCCGCGAGTCATCGCGTTGTACAACAATCCAGCACCATCAAATCCGAAGCCGAGCTTGAATCCGACCTTCTTCAGCCCATCAAGCAAGACCCTATGTCACGTAGCAACATTGCTGTAGACAGCTATCTTCAGACACGCGCGCGACGCACCTGTCCGCCTGGGCAATATCATGCGTGACTCGCTTGTGCAGTTCCTTCATCATAAAGGTAGGCAGGGATGTGTGTACGAAGTCGCCAACGTCAGTCGTACCCGCGCCTTCCCAGAACGTGTCTGATCCGGTTGCGGTGAGCTCGTGTAGATTCAGCAGCGCACTGTACACTTACCACCGAAAATGCGTGGCATGCCCTCTTTGGTAGACATGACGTACGTGTCGCTCCTTTGGTACAAGGTCACATCTGTGCCACGCCGTCAGGCAGCCGAAAAAATGCCCGATAGCAATCAACGCACCGACGCCGTGCTCCTCGTAGTCAGAGGCGATGTCGTGCGCTGGTACGGGTGTTATAAATCGTAATGAGAACAGACACAGCTTGAGACGACGACCTACCTGAATTACAAGCTCCTATGACCACGACTTTCTTGCCGGCATGATCTCTAGCAGTCTTGAACTGGGTAGAATGCAGGACCTGGCCTTGGAAGTCCTCCTAGAGCCCGCATTAACACCGACTGTCGCTCAGATTAAAGGGTCGTACCTGTCCAGGGAAGGTCGGCATGTTCGGAACGCCGCCGCCGAACCCGAGTGCGAGGACGACATGGTCAACGTGGAAGGTGCGCGTCGTGCCGTCCGCCTTCTTGACCACCACCTCGTATCTGCCGTCGCTCTGCAACTTGACGCTCTCGGCAGAACTCGACGTCCATATGTTGAGCTCCATCGCCTCTGCGTAGTACTCGAGCCAATTTGCGAGCTGTGCGTCGTCAGGCGGTTGTTAGCTCTCGCATCGCGGATGGCGATTTTTCTTACTTTTTGGGCAGGCGAATAACCGGCCATGAAGGCGGGAAGCTGATGCACATGGTCATGAGACTACGCACGGCACGGACAGGGCGGACGATATCTCACGGCATGTACGGCATATGGTCATACCCTGGCAATGGACACGTCCGAGTTATTAGGAATGTCCAGCGTGCCTGTGTAGAGCCGTCCACTTACAAACGGGGTCATGCAGACAAAGCGCTTCATAGCGATCTCTCCACTGGTCGCCGATGCGATTCTGCTTCTCGACCACCAGCGTCGGGACGTCCAGCATCTTGAGACGCGCTGCGACATCGAGGCCAGCTTGGCCGCCGCCTATCACGATGACCGCAGGGTCACCGCCAGAAAATGACGCTCCTCCTCGCGATGGCTCAGCCACTTCCCGTGGTTTGGCAGGAACTCGCGTCGAGGACCAGTCTTCTCTGGGAACCCTCTGAGCTCCTGGAGAGAAGTGTAGAGCGTGAACGCCTTCCACTCGCCGCTCGCTGTCGGAACGAGCCGCACCACACCGCTTCCAGTGCCAACATTCGTTCGAAGTCGAAGAGCGCCTGAACCCACGCGAGGTCGGGGTATGGCTGCTTCAGCGTCGCGCCGTCGCGTGGCTTGATGCTCGAGAAGCCGAAAGGGGCAAGCTGGTCGTCGAGGAACTTCTTGATCTTCGCGACGCCGTGGAAGGTGCGGAACTCCCATGTGAGCGCGAGGTGATCGCGCCACCAGCCATCCTCGAGGAAGAAGCTGACGATCTCGCCGGTGTGCTTCGCGGAGACGGCGTCGGCGAACTTGGTGAACCACTCCCCGGCGACTGTCTGCGCATCGACATCGGCTTGGAGGGTGGCCCCGAGGTGATCAAGCGTAGGTAGTATGGGCTTGAGGGCATCAGTGCCGTTGGGTATGACTCTTTGCGAGTCTATAGCGGCGACGTGGGCTCTGAGAGGCCGTTGAGTTTAGGCGGAGCGACTTGTGGTTGGCTAGCGGAGCCGGGCACTCCCTTCTGCGAGCCAAAAGCGAAGTGAGGCTTTCTGCGACCCTGTCGAAGACGGCAGCCATGTCGAGGAGTTTGAGGAGCGAGTAGCAAGTACAAGTCAAGACTTATACCCATCGCATTACTGCCTCCATAGATAAGCCGCGAACACGGTGGAGAATACACTTCCCCATGCGAGCGGGCATGTCCCGGTCTCGCTAGCGATTAGAACAGAACGCAGGTCAACTGACAAGCTCGTACCCTGCGGGTGAGAAGCTCGATAACCGGAAGAGGTGGACGCGTTCCTGTGCATAGCTGGTAAGGACACGTGTACGCAGCTTTACGTGTCTTCCGACTCTCCGGTACACTCTTCGGAGCGGTCGATGGCTCAAGGTCAACACAAAATCCTAGTTTCTGAGCACTCAGCGACTTACATGGTCATGGGCTGTAGACGTAAACCGGCATAAGGGTAGCCAACTCCGAGACCAAGGAACACGCTGCAGTGACTGTAGGCATCGTAGGCAATCGTAGCTGAACGTTGTACATTGAGGTGACGTACTAAGTTGCGCGAGGCTGTCTCGGCTTCGCAGTCGTACCCGTACAGACACAGACAATCGCGGCCGTGCCATGTTGAAGCCGCAAAGGGTATACACCTTCTCCTGCTAGCCGTGCTGGCAAGTGTTCCTATATCAGAGTATAGTACAGTGGATCCCTCCTAGTCCTCTTCGTCGAGGTCGATCTGCTGAATGCGCACCTATGAAGAGTCGCCGACACCCACTGGGTGACCCAGGCCTTGGGTGGTTGGCCTACTCACACACGTGACACAGCGCTCAAGTTGAACGACACTTCCGGTTGCATCTCTGTCTGAGCAAGAACTATGGGCATGTAGCAGGCGTCGCCCTGGCAAGCTCGTATATGGTGTCATGAATCACGGTGCTGCTTGTGCTGTGTAACTCGGCGAGGGTGCCTGCGCTGCTACTTACTTTTACCCGGAAATGGCTATTTCGTGGGAATCTGTCCGCGGTTGTACTCTATTCCGTGCTCGCGCGACGAACCACCACCACCACCAGTGTGCCGACTGAATCTCCATCTCGGGCGCGGGCAGTTTGACTCTATACCTCAGGCCCCTCAGGCTTTCGATCCTGCTGACCGGTCTGTGACCACCAAACGGTACATACTCAAGATCCAGCCGGACCGCAGCTCAAAATGGGCCAACAGTGGAAGTTGAAGAACCTGTCCGTTTCTTTCGTACATGGTATCAAGTACTGCTGGCTGACATCTGTGGCCTCTGTTAGCTTCAATCTCGATGCAAGGCGCCGTTGCGGCTGCATGGCATCTGCTAAGGTGGCTGAAGTAATTTCTTTGAGGAACCAAACTGTCTGGTCTCAATGCTAGCCATTCCTGAAGGGTAAGAGTATATGGGTCTCCGTGACGAGTTCGTTCTGAGAGCATTTCTGTTACAGCCTGGACAATACATATTGCCGAGCGCGAGGACATATCACTGGCCCGCGTAGCCTGGGGATATACCGCTCGAACTACTCGATCTCATAGTAGACGACCCCGACCTCAAGATTGCGGATGTAGCATCTCTCGCCCTCACGAACACCCTTTTACGGTCCATCTGCGACAGGCGGATTTACAAAGCAATGCTTGCTTATCATGGCACTTGGGCGTTCCAACGTCTCATTTATGCCGGCGAATACCTCGATGGCGACGACCTTCCACCAGGAATGCTCAAAGAACACGAGAAGGAGGAACTCGCTGGGAATTTTCATCACCCCTACTATGGGGACTACCCTGTATCGCGCGTGTACGATGTGGCGACAAGACTCACCAAGTATGTGGATTTCAACGAATCGCTTTGGCCGGATCAGTTTGGAAGCCTGAGGTTGCGCAACTTCCTCCGTGGCTGGTACGACGACGACCCGTCGGAGCCCCTCTCCGCCGGCGAACTTCGTGAACTGGACAAGATGATTGCACCCGACTATTCCTGGGATGGGAAGCCGGAGACGGAGTGGGTCTTGTGCAACTGGAGTCAGCCTGTGACGGACCATTCACGAAGGAGACCCTTGGCCTTGGTCATGCGCTCATGACGCAAATCGGTTGGTCTACGCAGAACAGCTTCTCTACGACGGACCCGTCAACCGTGGCCGCTGGGCGGACACGCTTCGCTATCACGACCATGGATCGATTGAAGGAACACCCTGTTTCGAGGGCAAGGATCTGGTTGACGTCTCGCAGACTGTCGTGGGCGACGTGCTGAACATCTGGAGAGCCGAGCGTCCTGAAGAGTTGGCTCCGAAGTTCAGGCCTAGGAAGCAGCGGAATTCATCACCGCCCGCATGGTAGCCTTATGTCGAAGTGGAACGGTGGGCGTGGTACTGTAGTCTCCATCCTCAGTAACATCACATACTAGAAGTCGGCGTACAGTGACCCTTCCTTGCATCATCACTTCCTCGCATCAACGACCATGTCCCGCGGCAGCGTCGACTGTATGCGCAGTTGTGTCGACCATATGCGCAACGTCATCGACCATATGCGCGACGGAATTGAATATACAATGTTTATATGTACCACCGCACCAGGTTCACTCACATATCACGATCTCGGATTCCCTGGCAATGAATGTTTGAATCAGGGTATATTTTGTGCTGGCGGCAATACAATCCAGAGACAACATGATGCCCAACCCGTCCATAGGTACAACAAAGCAAAAGCGAATACGATGACGTCAAATGTCCACTGTCCGACGACACATGCAACACCCATGCATGTCATCGTGGCGAGGGAGGCCGTTCAAAAATCGTCCTATAGTAGTGTTCCTGGAGTCAGCGAAGTCAACAAGCAGGCATACAGGTGACACACATGATAAAGCTCGAATGTCTTCGAGAACAATGTCACGCTCTCCGAGTCATCGAGCAGACCAAAGAGCGACGCATCAGCAGAAGCGACGACGTTGAAACCGCCCTCGACGTTTACGCTGCCTGCGACGGCGCTTCCCGTGCTATCGGACGTCGCATTTGAGGCCACGACAGAGCTTCCGTCGTTGTCTAGCACGAGGTCTACTTCGATGAAGTTGTCGAGGTTGAGGTTGACCGACGCAGCCGAGATGCCGTCAAGCGCGTTAATGCCGAATGAAATCTGGAACGGGCCTCAGCATGTGAAGACAAAGCCCTAACGCAAACGACGCACACCGGGTATCAAGTCTAGAGTGAGAGTACTGTTGGAAGCCACATCGGGTGGTCCAAGGAGGTTGACTTGCGCGGCTACAGAGCGATTAGTTTCGAGTCATACTAGCCGTGTTCAGCGTGACTGCTCACTGTTCTGTCCATTCGAGATGTCCCGCTTGAGTATATTGACTTCGGAGGGAAGTACAACTCCAGGTTATCGGCGCTGAAGTCAAACCCGACATCAAGCCCGACGCCAACGTCCACTGTGGCTGTGGCTTTAGCATTGATCTGGAACGTGGGACCAATTTTCAGGATCCTAGGGCGAAGTGAACCAAAGAGCTTTAGGAGAGTATGTCGCTCACGTACCCCGGGATATCCAATCCTGGGATGCCGATCTGAAACAAGGGGATTGAGCCAGTCGTGAAGGTACCCTGTAAACACGCTCGACGTCAAGCTAATGGCCGGGGAGGAACCATACATCAGCACGAACCGATACGTTGGTATTCAACTGGAGTGTTCCATCCAGCTTTCCGTTCACGTCTGGAGAAGACGACTGAGTACCATACACAAAGAGCGGATATGAGATGTCAATCTCACAGGTCACCAAGCCGAACTCTGTGAGCTTCGGAGGGACGATAGTCCCAGCTGCACCGACGCCATACTGAATCGTGATATCGACATGCGGAGTAACCGCAATCTGGATGTCTCCCGTAGCGGAATCCCCACCGACCGAGATTGCGGGTGCCGTGGTGTCAAGAAGAATAGTCTGATTGTCGAAGGTGATTGTGGCTACGTCTGAAGTTTGGGTATGATTGAAGCTGGTTATGTCTAGCAGTTCAGAGGGTCGTCACATCAGCGCTACCGACTATCGCGGACGTAGTACTTACTATCCTCAATACCCACAGTGCGCCGTCTGTCCGCAGTGGAGGCAGAGTTGTTCGTGCCAGAACCGTGAGTCCCCGAATAGCGAACGTGACATTACCATTCCTAACAGCCGTCGAGATTAGACCTAAAAGTTCCAATTCGCGTGAGCCTAAGTTTCCGGACTCACTGAGACACGTCGATGGCGCTGAAGTTTGTATCAAGGCTGATCCCCTTGACATTCGTGGAGGCACCACGCGTGTAGAATCTACCTAGACGACGGACATCCCTAATTTGATTTCGTGGTCCCAGACTTTGGCGACACGAGCGAAGGGCATCGTTGTGCACTGGAGACTGTCACATCGACGGCATCACATAGTCAACGGCTGCACGTACGTTCTCAGGCAGCCGGACGATCGTTCCAACTGCACCACCCTGAAACAGATGTTCGCAGGACGCAGAAGGGTCGGCACAGACGACCCGTATGTCTTGCACTGTACTGTCAGCATCGCAATCAAGTATTCCCACCCTGCTGCCGAAGTGAGGTCCGAGACGGAAGTTGGTGAGCCCGACTAGTGGTAGGATGATTAGTGCGCAAACGGGACGGTAGGTGAAGCACACTCACAATGTAGACGCTCGCCGCCCAACATCATATGAACACTCGCCGCTCAAACACGCTTTGTCCAATCATTCAGAGCTACAGTCAAAGATGATAGGACACTAGCGGAAAAAGCAAGCGAAGGTAGCCATGTTAACGAATGACGAGAAGGAGCCGATGTACCGGAGTTGAAGCCGAAGAGTGTCCCAAGGAACGGGGACTGAGTGGTGAACGAAGGCCTACACCAGAGGCCGACGTCGAGGGAACGAACGAAGTTACTCTTATGATGCTTCATAGGCGGCGAGCTCTTAAGCATACCTGACAGGCCTCCGATCCAAGACAACTACCCACGCACCACATGAAAATGACGGGAGGAGTTCGTACCGCACGTCTGATATGATTGTATCCTCTAGGTATCTCAGCATGCTGTCGGCAACCTACATCATGTATGCCCATGGATCAACGGATTGTTCAGAAGACACTAAGACTTGCATCTCAATCGAAAGGTACCTGCATGGCGACTGTCAACGCTTGCCTCGCGAATGGCTTGGCCATGCGACGAGCTGACAGAGGTTAGTGTTACTTTGCATAGAGAAGATGAAGTCGAAACGACTCACATTTCCAGCGGTCACCCAGCGCTAAGTAGACGTGAAGCATCTGCAAACACGCGCATGGTGTATGTATGGCTGTGCTCCGAGCAACTGACGCTCCGAGTCCACATATAATGCTGCAGCTAGGCAGCCTATGCTAGGATCTTCAAATTGTGCTGTCGACACAGATAACGTAGCAAGGTAGATAAATCAAGATGAATCCTTGTCCATACCAACCCGGAGCAAGAGGAAGAGGTAAAACGATGGTGAAGAATCCCACTTCAGCAGCTGCTTCGACGAACGACCGAGCAGCTTTGCTTGCATCCATATGGTCGGCTAGTGATCCTAGCCCGGCTACGTAGCTGTACCATGTGAACCGCAGGAAACCGTAGTTTATGCGGCAAACAAGATAGACCGGTCCGATGTTGAACGACTCGTTGATCCACATGAGGATCTCAGGCGTAGCTCGCCTTGTCATGCTAATCGCACGTCGTATGGAGCAGTCCCCGGTGACCCAGTGAGAGCGCAGTGACAGGCCACCACGACCAGCTGCATCAAGCCTCCGCGCAGAACTCTAGATGTGCGACAACCGATGCGGAAGAATACAGGTTCGCAATGAGTGGAAGTTTCAAGCACTGCGAAAGCATCCCGGAGCGAGAGACTGAACGGTTCAGGAACGAGACAACTTGAAGCTGAGATGCCAGTGCGCCGTATGGCTCATATATATATGGCTCCACATGTACGTAGCGTACGGAGGGTAAACATGGAGAATGAAAATAATAAAAAGATGCCAGTGCGCCGAAGAGGCAACTCCAGAAAGTCTACAGTAAGTTAATAAGTACTTAGTTATACTCCATAAATACTAATAAGTAAATGTAACCTCCGTATTAGGCAGGCTGTGGCTGCGCCACTTCCACAGGGTCAATGAGTTCCACTCTCTACACCCACCACACTCGGTTCCCCCCTGAATGCGATTCTTTCGTGCTCTATGACCTGCTTTACACGTGTAACCTCATCTGTGAAGCTTATTGATTAGTATGGAGTCTGTCGAAAGTCATACGGTGTGTACGTTCATCTCGGAGAGCGGCAAGCAATGCTGAAGATTCACAGGGACACCGGACCCGCTTTACCAGGTCAAGCTCTTGTCTGCGCTGCGAAGTGGTTCGTTAGCTATCAGCAACATCATAGAGGTTCTGTCTGACCGCATGCTTTACAGGAGACCCAGCGCGTATACATACGTTCCTGTCTGCACTGAACAAGGACAGCCGGAGATCTGTAGAGGGAGACAATGACTTGGGCGCGACTGCCCTTCATCTTGCCATACGTTGCGCGTCGAGTACGTGTTAAACGATCGATAATCTCGAATCCCCACTGAACGCGTCTAACAGCCGATACTGTCGCGCTTCTCCTGGCTCACCGTGCGATCTCTCCTAACTCGGTCCACCCACCTGGCTCTGGGACGACTGCTCTTCATCTCGCAGCATCAATAGCACGCGTTGAAGTTGTCAATCTGCTGCTTGACCAGGAAGGATTGACGACACACTCAGAGACAGTGAGGGGAGGTCGTGCCTTGATGTTGCGAAGGGGAAGGAGACTACGCGGGCAATTCAAGGTATGTGCGCATTCTCAGCCATTGGACTTCTGGCTCATTGCGCCTGGGTAGATTCACGAGCGTACTTGACTGCATCTTACCGCTCGTTGCTGCGAACATATATACTCTCTCTCCCCACTGACCCTCCACCGAGGACTTGATTAAGCTTCTTTCGTCGCCACGAATCCGCCATGTGGACCTATCGTATCTGGACGAGTCATCTGGGCGGACACTTCTGCACGAGGCTGTCAGACGGAAGGACCTTCGCTTAGTTGAACTCGCTGTCCGTGCGGGTGCGGACGTCTTCGCGCGAGATCGACACGGCAAAGCTGTATATGACAGCGCCGGCAAGGATGACCGTGTCAAGGCCTTCTTGAGACAATGTAAGCGGACCATTGTACTCCATATTCTCAGCTGTGTTGACAATGGCACAGTTACAAACCAAGACCCATCGCTTCTGAAACCAGCCTCAGACGCGGAACCGCCGGAGCTGAAGGGGTATCTGAACAAGTATACAAACGTGGCGAAAGGCTACAACACCCGTTGGTTCGTACTTAAGGAGGGGGTCCTGTCGTGTCAGTCATCTTCGTCCTCTTTCCTGTTCTCGTGCTGAAACATACGCCAGACTACCGACACCAGGAAGACGAGGCCGTCGCGAGTCGGGCTCCATTGCGATGAAGACCGCCGTATTGCATATATCCCAGGGCAACTCAGGACTCCGTTTTGAGGTACATTCCACAGGTACTCGCAGCAACGCACAGAAGTGGTACCTGAAGGCAAACCACCGTGTGGAAGCCGCGCGCTGGACGCAAGCACTGCAGAAAGCTACCGAATACGCCCGCCGGGAGGGCAATGGTGAACGTAAGAGCGGCGAGAGCGATGTGCCCAGCTTGCCCAGCTTCTCCGGGGCCGCCTCCATCCGAGGGACGATGGCCAGCACGCATGTCTCACGCATCAAGCTTGCCGACAATGTTCACCATTCTGGTGCGAGCTCAACCGTGGGCGGCGAGACGGAGTCAGGCGACGAGGGCCCTTCGAAGCACGAGAAGAGCCTGAAGGAGTCTAGCGACGAGCGGGATGAGGAACACGAATCGGTCGCCGAGTCAGAGGGCAAGGTCCCTCCGCACAACAATTCATTCGAGCTACAAGGCAGTACACTCGTGGCCCAAGTGGAGCTCGCGTCCGACCTTGTCTCGAAGATACCCGTCCCCGACCCGTCTCCCAGAACTGCGGAGCTGAGGAAGGCCGTGGAGGACACGCTGCAGTCCGTGCATGGCATGCTGGTCGAGTACGTGCAGATGGTCAAGGACCGCGAGGACTGGTGGAAGGCGAAGGCCGAGCGCGAGCGCGAGCGGCAAAATCTCTGGGAAGAAAGCTTGCAGCTCGTGGTGCAGGACTCGCAGACGCTGGAGGGCGAGCTCCGCAAGCAGTCGCGCCGGCGCAGCCGAATGGCTGAGTCGAGTTACATGTCCGCGATGACGCACATGGAGAGCGAGGGTACGATCAAGGCCCGGTCGCCTTTGGTTGCTTCTCCATTGTCTGAGTCTGCTAGCTCCTTCGGTGGGCACCCGCCTTCGTCGCCGCCGCCAACACCTGGACTCGGCGTGGGGATGGTTCGCCGCCCGGTTTCTCGACAACCATCTGCGACGTCACCTATACAATCCATGATGGCTGCGTCAGCGTCTCGAACGTTTTCAGCGACTGGAGCACCGCCTACTGCGGATGACGACGGCATGGTCGACACAGACGAGGAGGATGAGTTCTTCGATGCCATCGATGCCAACAATCTCCCGAACCTCGTCGTCAAGCCTGTAGTATCTGACCACTTGTGGATCACTGTTCACAGGGACCAGTATCTTGGTTACCTCAAGCTTCGTGAACGGCTCGCCATTGACACAGACAACCGGCCACCCATGAGCCTATGGGCAGTACTGAAGAATAGTATTGGCAAGGACTTGACAAAGATCTCCTTCCCTGTGTTCTTCAATGAGCCGACAAGCATGTTGCAACGTATGGTATGTGACATCATCCCAACATTCACTCGCAGTGTAGCTGATGTCATGTCTGTAGGCCGAAGACATGGAGTTCTCCGATTGTCGTGAGTCGCTATCCAGCACTTCGTTCACGTATCCATTGCTAATATTTGCCCGCTAGTGGACTCTGCGTACGCCGAGACAGATCCTCACCGGCGTATTGCATATGTAGCTGCTTTTGCGATGTCCAACTACTCCTCGACGATCGGCCGTATAGCCAAACCTTTCAATCCAATGCTGGTATGTGATCAGTAATGTCTATCTCCGATCGATGCTCATGTTATCACAGAGCGAGACCTTCGAATATGTTTCACTAGACAAGGATTATCGCTACGTGTCGGAACAAGTCAGTCACCACCCCCCAATGTCAGCCTGTTGGGCGGAGTCTCCGCATTGGCGCTACTACGGCGAGGTATGGCGACTCCGAGGTTATGCACTGCCAACCGCTAATTGGAAGCTGGTTAGGTTGACGCTCAAAACAAATTCATGGGAAAGTCATTTGAGATCCATCCGACAGGCGTGGCGCACGCAGAGCTTTTGCTTCCCAAGGAGCGGGCACCCGACTACCCAGCAGCTAAAGGGCCACACGTTGAAGGGCGAGTAATTGAACATTACAGCTGGAAGAAGGTCACCACCAATGTCTCCGGCTTCATCTTGGGCTCGCCTACCATAGATCACTACGGCGACATGGTGGTAAGTGTACGGGTACTTCATGTCATTAGGCTCTCACTGACAGTGTCCCAGATTACGAACCACCGCACTGGTGACAAGTGTGTGCTCACCTTCAAACCCCGTGGTTGGCGAGGGAAGGATGCGTACGAGATCTGTGGCTACGTGACAGATGTTCATGGCAACGTGACCTACGAAATGGCCGGTCGCTGGAATAGTCAACTAGTGGCCCGAGCCGTGGGCGCTGGGATTGGGCAGCTCCACCCCGACGTCAAAATCAGTGGCCAAGACTCGACTTCATCGTCCCCCGAGTATATCTTACTCTGGCGCAACTCGGAGAAGCCTACAGCACCTTTCAACCTTACGCCATTCGCCATCACTCTGAATGACTGTCCGGACACACTTGGGCCTTACGTCGCACCCACAGACTGTCGTGTTCGCCCCGATCAACGCGCCTTCGAACTGGGCAAGTATGAACGTGCGAACGAACTCAAGAACAAGCAAGAGGAGCTCCAGCGAGCAACACGAAAAGCGCGCGAAGAGGGTCGCTTGCCTCCTCACCGTCCGCGATGGTTCTCTGCAGAGACGGAGCCTGACACCGGCGAGAGGGTGTGGACCCCGTCGATGATCAACGACGAGTTGGAGTATTGGATCGAGCGCGACAAGGTATGGGGCGCCAAGCATGTGGGTCAGACGGCTTCCTGGAAGGATGTCGATCGTATATTCATCGAGGACGAACCATGATGCATGATGCATAATGTCGCCGCGTGTAGAGACCGCACAGTTGATTACATCCACATCTCACGAACGTCTAGGAGTAGAAGCGCACGAAATCACTGCATATGTATTTTTCAAATTGTTGTAGAGAGTAGCACATTTACAGTATCGCATGACAGAATTAGCAACGCATACCCATCCTTGGTTTGGTCTGGTGGTAGAGTTCTGTTGCTGTGAATGCAATCGCAATCATGTCGATGCCTCCGAGACGAACACGTCTTCACGCTTCGGTCCACTTGACGAACATATTTCTTGTATTCAACTGTCGATCGCGCGGATGTAGACCCTAAGGTTGGACCGCTCCAGGCGTGCTGTAACGCATCTGTTCTCTGATAGAACAAGCTATTCACCAATCCAATCTCGGATCGCCACCACACGCTGTTGACTGTCCGCCGCAACCTGTGTCAGAACCTGCTACTTCAACGCCATCTCCGAGGCCTTTGTCAATGATTTCCGCGGTTTTCCGCTTGACCATCCACTTGCTCGTCCCAATCAATTCGTCTAGTTCTTCCGCTTCCGGGAGTAGTAGCGAGATGTCGTCGTCCTCTACGCGGACATCGAAGGTCAGGATGTTGTAGTTGTCGTCGTTCAGACAATCGCCTCCTTTGAGAGTGAAGTTACGCTTGTGCATAGGACCTGCAGTTACAATCAGACGCAATCCCACAACCATCCGAGATAGATGCCTACATGAGACGTAGACCTTGCCCGAGTTTGGGTCGTCGCCAACAATGCCATGTTCCAGAACGAACGCGCGTTTGTGTGGGCACATCTTGGTGTACGGTCAGAACAAACCGACATCACTCGGGCTTGATTCACTTACTTGTTGTGTTGCAAAGTAACCTTTCCGAGGTACGTGGAAGATAGCGAGTTGGCTATCGCCGTACTTGACGGCGACAGATCTACCAGAAGAGCTGAGTAACGGGTGTGATGAAGCTTCGTGCAACAGCTCACGTTGTGCCTGCATCCGTAGGAATCAGATCCTCCAGTTGAGCCAGCTTGCGCCATCTCCACTGCTCCTTGGGAGTCCGGATACTGTCCTCCTTCAAGCGCGCTGGTGGGAATGCCTTCGCCCAGTCTGCCGGTCGTGGCTGACCGCGCTCCAGCACCTGCTCCACAGGCAAACGTCGCTCATCCGTGTTGACGAATTGTCGGAACTGCTTCTGACGTTCAGGGCTGTCTACGACCGCCTTCCACTCGTCGTAGTATGTCCCGACGAGGTCCTTCATCTCCTTCTCCAAGTCCTCGCAGATGCCGAGCTCGTCGTCCAGGATGACCCGTCTGAGTTTCTGTCGAGGGGTCAGATATGCACCACGGCCGATCGCACAACACTACAAAGCGCACACACCTCTATACCGCCTTCCATCTCCTCGAGCCAGCGGGACGTCCGCATGAGTTTGTCGGCGGTCCGGATGTAATACATGAGGAAGCGATCAAGAATCCCGAGGACCTTCGACGGGGGGACGTCACTAGCAAAGAGTGTTGCATGTCTCGGAGTGACGCCGCCGTTGCCGCACAGGAAGATGTTCCAGCCCTTGTCCGTAGCGATGAGGCCGAAGTCCTTGCCCTGCGCCTCGGCACACTCCCGGATGCAGCCGCTCACGCCGCCCTTGATCTTGTGCGGCGAGCGGATACCCTTGTACCGCTCCTCGAGCTGGACCGCCATCCCGACGGAGTCGCCGATGCCGTAGCGACACCAGTTGGTGCCGACGCACGACTTGACCGTGCGCAGTGCCTTGCCGTAGGCGTGTCCGCTCTCGAAGCCGGCGTCGATGAGCTCCTTCCAGATCGAAGGCAAGTCGGCCTTCTGTGCACCGAACAGGTCGACACGCTGTCCGCCAGTAATCTTCGAGTACAGGCCGTCTGATGGGTGTCGTCAGCAGTCGTTTGACAAGGGACCTAGTGTTTGACATACACTTCTTCGCAACTTGGCCGAGGACAATCAATTTGTCTGGCGTAATCTCGCCAGCGGCGACTCGAGGGACAACGGAGAATGTGCCTGTTCAGTGCATGAGTTGCTACGCGGACGTCTGGGTGCCAAACTCTCACCATTGCGCTGGATGTTCGCCATGAACCTATCGTTCGTGTCCTGATTTCTACACGACACGTCAGACGGTGCGACGCCGACGAGCCACACGACGTACGAGTGATGCACGGGATTCATGACGTGCTCGTTCCAGAGCGACGACAGGATACTGCCCACGGCAGGCTTGCAGATCTCGCACCCGACCGCCTCCTTGTCACGCCCACGCTCTCCACGACGTCCGTGAACGTCTTCAGCTTCTTGATCCTGACCACGTCGAACAGGTCCGCGCGGCTCATGCTGAAGTGCGGGCATATATAGTTGCTCACGCTGTTCCCCGCCCGCTTCATCTCCGCCTTGAAGATGTTCGTCAAGAACGGCATGCACCCGCCGCACCCGCTCCCCGCCTTCGTGCGCGCCTTCACGTCGCCGACGCTCTGCGCGCCGGCGCGCACGCTCCGGAGCACGTCGCCCTTGCTCACGTTGTGGCACGAGCAGATCTGCGCGTCGTCGTCGAGGTCCGCGCCCGCGTCGTCGCCCGCCCTGCCCGCGCCGAGCACGAACTGCGACGGCGGGACGTCGAGCGCCTTCTTCTTCTTCACGAGCGCGACGAGCTTGATGTAGTCGCCGTGTCCCCGACCATCATCCCGCCGAGGAGGTGCTTCCCGTCCGCGGTGAAGATGTACTTCTTGTACACGCCCGCGAACGGGTCGCGGTACGTGAGCGTCTCGGTGGGCCCGTCCTCTGGGGGTCCGTGCCCGTGGCGCTTCTTGGGCGCAGAGGCATCGGCCTTGGGCGATGAGGCCCCGTTGGAAGAAGCAGGGGCGAGGAATTCTTCTCGATGGGTAAGTCAGACATAGGGGGGAGCGCACTGTCCTGACTGACTGTAAGCGAAGGGCCCGTCGCGTCGACGGGCCCTGCCACGACCTCCCATACGGAGGGTTTGTTCGCGTCGCGTTGATTCCAAGATAGAGGCTCACTATTGGCCGGTGCGGGCTTCTTAAGCTTGACGGACACCGCACTGTCGGCAGGCTTGGGACGGCGCTTCTCCGCGAAGTAGTCCCCGAAGGAGGCAACCTATGACCATACATGTCAGACTCAGGCTTTACGACCGCCTGCACGCGGGACGGTACGCACGTCGACGCCCATGAGCTTCAGCTTCGTCGACAGGTCGGGGGTGTTCATCTTCCGCGGCCTGAACTCGCCGACGTCCGTCTGCGTCTGGGTCAGGTTGAACGCAAGGATGTCCGCCATCTCGACGCCGGGCGCGATCAGGCCGTACGTGTTGTCCCGCCAGCTCGCGCACTCGCCGATGGCGAACACGTCCGGGGCGCTCGTGCGCAGGCTGTCGTCGACGACGATCCCGTGCCTCTCCGCGCACCGGATCCCGCTCGCGTGTGCCAGGTCGTCCCGGGGCGTGATGCCGATGGCGACCACGGCGACGTCGCACGGGACGGAGCTCCCGTCCGTCAACTCGAGGCCGGTCAGAACGCCAGCGTCGTTCGTGGCGAGCCTCTGCACGGAGGCGCCGCCAAGGAAGGTGACACCCATGGCCTCGATCCGCCTTCGGACGATCTCGCCGCCGTGGTTGTCTAGCTGGCGGGAGAGCGGGTATGTCTGGCGGTGGATGATCGTCACGTCCTTGATTGTGTCGAGGTCATATACAGCTTTGGCGGCCTCGAGACCGAGCAGACCCGCGCCGAGAACTGCGGCCTGCGGCACCTGGTTAGTTGCGCTCAAGGACAGCGAGCTGTCAGGCTGACCTTGCCGCCCTTGACAGTGTCTTTCTCCGAGTACGCTAGGAGCGAGTCCATGTCGGCGATGTTCCTGTATACGAACAGGCCAGGTACGTCCCTGCTCGCATAACTCGGCAGTGTCGCCTCGGAGCCCGTGGCGATGACACAGTAGTCATACTTGACTTCACGGCCCTTGTCCGTGACTACGACGTGAGCCTCAGTGTCGATCTTGATGACTGTCTCCCCGACGTAGAAGCTGAACCTGTCCGGGTCTTGCTTCGCATACCAGTCGGCTTGAGACGGAGGATGTGGGTCAGAAGGATATTTCTGTCGTAAAGGGATACTCACGGGAGTTCAGGTAGAGTTTCTCAACGCTACGGTGCTGGAAATACTCAGTCAAAGCCACACGATTATACGCGACTAGGCAGCGGAAGATCGGGATCGGGATCAGCCCGGGACATATAGCTACTGAAACGAGACGTACGATGTGTCTCTTCGCCGCAGGTTACGATGCGGTACTTGCAGGCTGCATCGAGGTTGAGTAGCTTTTCGATGAAGGCTGTGATTGCGGGAAGTGAGATTGAATCCCACCATTACGAAGGGATACATACCGATGCCGACCATCCCCAGCCCCACCACGAAGACGGTCTTGCGCGAGCTCTCTCCTTCCGACGACATCCTGCCTCACGGAAGAATCCAGGTGCGATGGAACAGTGAGGGCTGAGGTGGGGGTTCCCTGCGCGTTACGCTTATGGCGCTGCCCTAATCTCCTGCGGGAGAATTCGGTTCCAAGGACGCGGGGTTGGCGTAACTCAACGCCAGGATGCCATCTGCAAACCTCACCTCAGCAAGTCGGTCTCCGCCGTCAGAGTCAGAGAGCCTTCTTTCCCCCATACCCACCGGTACCGGGCCCGCCCGACCGTGCATGCGCCTGATAACCGCCTGGCCCTGGCCGCTGCGGTACGAAGATTAGCATGTCGAGTATCCGCTTCGTTGTTCCTGCACCGGTGAGTAGCGATAAGAGAATTCATGCCGGATGATTGGTCGGCGAGTGGGTGGCTGAGTGCTTCAAGCTCCGCGAGTATCGCTGCGATCCAGATCGGCGATCGAGTTCGACAGCGACGACTCGGACGATGTGACGCTCCAAGTCTTCAGCTGCTCAACCAGTCGCCATCGCCCACTACGCGAGACGAGGCGAGTTCGATGCAGCAACTGCATACGCATGATATCACGTATGCACGCAGTGAGGTGGAAAGACAGGATGGATTGCACTGACGAGACGTTTCAGAGACAAAGGCCCAGCATGTAACCTGCGGCTTCGGGCTAGCGCATCGAACGGGACATGATTTCCTGATGGCAGAGAACCTGGCACGCCGACCCGAGCTGTCCCCCGACCCCAGAGTGGCTGGCCCGCGTGAACAGTACTCATCTTGCGCCGCCCTCCTCTTATCGACAAGCGGCGAAGGGACCTGCTCCAGGCTGGTTCGGACGTGCGGGGGCGGCATCCCCATGCGGAGATAAGGACGTCTTCGTTCGATACCCAGCACAGTACCCAGACGATATCCGATCAGCGACTGCTACTAGCAGGGACCGACATTCTCGGTGCGGTTCCGACGACATGGAGAAGGTCCATTGGTGGAGAGGCTTCCCGAGCACACCTTTCCTCCGGCTGATAGGCTCAAGGATTTTCGGGCGACAGTGTCGGGGCACGCGGCGCTTGTGCAGCGCGCTCAAGCGAAGCAGCCCCAGGACGCGATAACACACCCGCAACCCGGCTCACTTGCACCCGGCCTTATCTCTTACACCTCTGTGGCAGACTGCCGCGTTCCGGCTCCAGTTGACCAGGGGCGAACAGAGGACGAGTTTTCCGGATAGCACACGGCGGGGCCGCAGCCGTACGACATCAGCCAGGGAACCTGAGGCGACCGAGATTACAACGCTGACACGAACTCGGTGAGTTGACAGCCCCATCACACCGGAAACTTTTCCGAACGACCCTTGTCCTCCCCTCACCAGGTCTCTGGAGAAAGTGTGGGCGCACAGCACTCGAGGGAAACCATCAACCTACTATGTCACGACCCACATCGGCTTCCCCGCCAACCTTCTGGCAGTTAATCACGGAGGCGCGTGTTAACCCTTGAATGGCAAGTGCACGACGCTTCCGATCCTGTCGTGAAGACGCAGTATTCGCGGAATTTCCACTTGTGAGCGGTTACAATCTGGCAAACCACCAGTCTGTTTCTGACTTGTGTTCACCTCTCAGATCATGGCTCGGCTTTTGGACTGCTTCCTGTCGTGGTTCGCCTTCTCGCCTCTCGTCCCGAGCGGTCAAGTCCGACTTGAAGCTGTCTACCGCCAAGTTGGTACGTGCCCTAGACATACCCTAACACAGCGACCACGAGACTCATGAACCACAGGTAACTCGAACATCGTCTCATTATGCTCGACGCTCCTTGTGCGCCTGATCGTGGGACCGCTCGTTGACCGGTATGGCCCTCGCAAGGTCATGGCTGGCCTCCTCGTCCTAGGTGCGATCCCCTCGGGGCTCGCGGGCACGATCTCGAACGCCTCGGGTCTGTATGTCGTCCGCTTCTTCATAGGTGTGTCCCTGGCCCCCGCGTTCTCTTTGTCCAGCCGAATGGAGCCCTCACTCAACTTGTTGCAAAGGTATCCTCGGCGGGACGTTCGTTCCGTGTCAAGCCTGGACGTCTGCGTTCTTCGACAAGCGTGTCGTTGGCCGCGCAAATGCCATTGCGGGCGGGTGGGGCAACAGCGGCGGCGGGTTCACGTTCATCATCATGCTCGCCGTCTACGACCGGCTCATCCGCGACGGTCTGGCGAAGCATGTCGCCTGGCGAGGTAAGTCAACTCTCTCGGGCGTCTGTTCGACGTCCGCGTTCCTTCGCCCGCGCCTGTACTGCCTTTCATGACACAGCAGATGTGTCAAGGAAGAGGCGACAGACGGACGAAGGAAAGCTGGGATCTATTCACTTCTTTTGGTACACGTGCTGATAGACTTCGGTAGCATCTTTCGCAATCGTGCCCGTGCCCGTTCTCCTGACCGTCGCGGCGCTCACACTCATTTTCGGCACGGACCATCCTAATGGCAAGTGGGAAGACCGCTTCGCCCGCCCTTCACCCTCCTTCCAGGAGGACGCCAACGTCATCGAAGACTCCTCAAGCGCCGGAAACGCCTCGTCGAACCTCAAGGACGTGTCGACCCTGCAGGACGCGGAGAAAGCGGACAAGCGGACGGACAAAGAGAAGCAGGCGAGCGCGGACGTCGACGTCTCCCCGTCTCCCCTGCGAACCCGGACGCGGCAGGCGTCGTGACGAGCAGCGTGGACGTCGCGGTGAACCAGCCGGTGACGATGGCGGTCGTGAAGGAGACGACGCTCAGCCCGCTGACGTGGCTCCCGAGCTTCGCGTACCTGACGACGTTCGGGTTCGAGCTCGCGGTGGACGCGAACCTCTCGAACGTGCTGTTCAGCATGTACCAGAGCAAGACGTTCGGGCAGACCAAGGCCGGGTACATCGCCGCGATATACGGCCTGCTGAACGTATTCTCGCGCGCGTTCGGTGAGTGCACGGGCTGGGTTGCGGGGGTTACTTCCGTGCTGACCGTGCGGATGTGTTCCCGCTAGGTGGCTACTTCGGTGACATGATCTACCGTAGGTACGGTGTCCCGGGCAAGAAGTACCTCACGCTCGCCCTCGGTGTCGTCCAAGGCATCATGTCCATCGCTCTCGGCGTCTACATCGACAGCAGGTCGGACCCGTCCCTCGCAGTGGTCATCGTCATCTTCGTCATCCTCGCCTTGTTCAACGAGGCAGGAAACGGCGCCAACTTCTCGCTCGTCCCCCATTGCAATCCGAGTAAGTGACTGGTGGAGTGTCTGCTGTAGTCTCGGTGTCTGACGAACGCTTCTCTCCTTCTCTGTTTCTGATATTAGATTCGAATGGATTGATGGTATGCACTCCGTTCCCTCGCTGATATATGGTGGATTCTCTTAACGACTGCACAGACGGGTATCGTCGGCGCCCTGGGCAACCTCGGCGGCGTGTTCTTTGCCCTCATCTTCCGGATGCAGCCCAAGCCGTACGGGAAGGCATTCTGGATCTCTGGCGTCGTTGCAATCGTGAGTGTGCCCTCCACATGTCCGAGCTGCCTCGTCGCGCATCAGCATGGCGTGCGCTTGAGCAGCGTGACTGGTTGACGTCTGTATATGCTCATGACGTTTTCCCTCGCACAGGTTGTCAACTTTCTCCTCATACCGATCCGAGTACCTCGGACGTAGTCGGACACTGTCGCCAAGCCAAAACATAGATAAGCTCACCTGTGCGATTGATAGAGGGCGTTCTCGGGGGGTGGAGGCAATGGGGCTAGTGTGGCGGGACACGGCGGCGCGACGCAGTGTGGGGCACGAATTCTCAGTTCGCAATGAAGGGAGAATCCTGGATAATCTGGCCTATGTGTAACCGAGACTCAAAGCCTGCTGGGTCTCGCTGGGTGGACCCGGGAACGATCGCTATCGAGGCGGTTCTTGGAGGGCCATTGGACATCGTGCCTAACGCCGTGCCCCTGTCGATAGCACGGCTATCTCGCGAGCGGAGACCCTTATCGTACCAATAAATTTCGGCGTTCAACTTTCAAACGACACGGATCCGATGACGCCCTTCAGACGCCCCCGAAGAAGGCGGTCAGTGAGAAATACAGTACCTGCGATCACAGGTTGGCCGCGAGAGCTTGAGATGCACCTGCGACCATGCCCACGCCGAGCACCAGTAGCAGCAACAGCGAGGACGGACGCCTCTCCCCTTCGTCCGCTTCCGGACCCTCTAGCTCAGCTTCGTCGCGGTCATCTTCTCCGCCTTCGGATAACGAGCTGAAGAGCAGCTATCCCTCGAGCTTCCCAACGATCCCTGAAGATGAGACACCTCTATTACCGCACATGCAGTGAGTATGTATTTTTCCTCTTCGTAGGACGATGATTACCGAGTCGCTGCGTACCCTGACAGGACGCTCAAACACCTGACCGCTGGGTGCATCGCAATCCAGAGCTCATACGCCTGACGGGGAAACATCCTTTCAACGCCGAGGCCCCCCTCATAACTCTCTTCCGAACCGTACGTTCCGTTTTATATTTAACGTGGTCCGTCCAAAATAGGCAACCTGGTGTGATGGCGGAGCGCCCGCCAGCCACAGCGAGACACCTGCTTACATCATCTCTCCTCTCATTGGCTAGGTTCTTACTTACCGGTTTTCTAGGGCTTCCTTACGCCTGCACACCTGCACTTCGTCCGCAACCACGGTGCAGTGCCCCAGGTATCAACACAGGAATCAAGGGCGTGGCGCATACGTATTCACGGTCTTGTTGAACGCGAAGTCGATTTCTCCATCGCGGACCTTAGGGAGAGATTCGAAGTGGTGACTCTGCCCGTCACACTGGTCTGGCTGGCAACAGGCGGAAGGAGCAAAATGTACTACGGAAAAGTCTAGGATTTGATGGGGCAGCGCAGGGCTGTCCACTGCGCTATGGACAGGCGTTTACCTCGCAGACATCCTTGCTTATGTCAAACCTCTTCGGTCGGCTGGCGCAAAGCACGTCGTCTTCGAGGGAGGAGACTCTCTTCCTAACGGGCCATACGGCACTTCGCAACGATTACGTGGGCATCTAATCGGGAGAAGGGCTACCTGGTAGGTGTGTGGCGTCCCCAGCAAGGTTCCGAGCCACCAACTGATGTCCTTTGTAATATGTAGCATGGGCCATGAATGGCCGACCACTGGAGCCTGACCATGGGTTCCCGGTACGAATGATCATCCCGGACAAATTGGTGGGAGATCCGTCAAGGTGTGTACGGATATGCTATCAATCTTCCTTGCACATCCTCATGCTCGCTTTCTAGTGGCTCAGACGCATCGAAGTATCAGCTGTTGAGAGTCAACATCACCTGCATTTCTTTGGTGAGCGCAATGTCATATAATGGTTTAAAAAATGGATAATAATTGGTGCGACGCACACCCAGACAACAAAGTCCTGCCTACGCAACTCACTCCAGAACAAGCACGTTCTGCAGAGGAGAAGAAGTGGTGGTACGACCCCAAGTATATCATCACGTAGGCTTCCCCTTTTATTCTCTCGTTCATATGACTCATTCAACCTTCTCCAGCGAACTCAACGTAAACAGCGCCATCGCAAGGCCCGCGCATGAAGAGATCCTCATGCTCGACCCCTCCGCTGAGGCTACTCAGTCTTCGATTTACGAGCTGAAAGGATATGCCTACTCTGGTGGTGGGCGAAGAATAAGCCGCGTGGAGATATCGATGGATGACGGCCACACTGGCGACTAGCGAACGTTGACTATCCCGAGGACTTATATCGAGCTGTGGCATACTCCGATCCCAGTTTTGGCAGGTTCGACTTGGATGAGCGTGATACGTGCTTGTGAGCATTTGATCCATCAGCGATTAAGGGGGTTTACAGGCACTGAGATGTGTGCGTGCAGCTGCTGGTGTTTCTGGTCCTTCGAGGTTACCAACTCGAACTGGCGGGGGCCAACGTCATCTCCGTGCGCGGAATGGACGAGTCCATGAATATGCAGCCGAGAGACATGTATCCGAACGCAACGTCTATGATGAACAACTGGTGCGTACGCAGTTCGGTGAGCAGGAAACGACGATTGACCCTGCGGGCGGATGATATTCAGGTGGCATCGCGTTGCAATCTTGAAGCAATGTTCTGTTGAAGGGGTGATTACCGAGCTCAGGTTTGTGCACCCTGCGCCTGTTGGCAAGTACTCCGCAGGTTGGATGGAGGTATGTTCACGTGTCCAGGAAGGTAGTGTCATTCTGACAATTGTCCAGCTCATGACAAAATCAGGAGCGAATATTCTCCGCCCTGATTTCTCGGCATCCGCCCTCGCTACTCTTCAAGACAATGCTGTTTCTCAAACTCAAACACCCTCTGTCCCTAAAGGAGGCAACGGGAGACTAGTGACGCTCCGTGAACTGAGGACACAACCAAAAGACAAGCCCTGGTTTGTTGTTGACGGCGAAGTCTACGACGGGACTGGATATCTACATGACCATCCGGGCGGAGAGGACAGCATTCTTCTCGCAGCTGGAGAAGACGCAAGCGAGGACTTCAGAGCCATTCACTCTGCGGATGCGTGGGCGAAGCTCCGGCAGGTAAGCATCACTTCTGGAAGTGACATGCACGTTCAATCAATGTTCCCCAGTTCCACGTCGGGACTCTTATCAAAACTGGTACCCCCAATGATGCAGAAACCGAGGCGTCAGAAGACGAGACATCAGGCCGTTTCCTCTCCCGCGTGTCTGGCGCCAAGTCACTCTTGTCAACGTTGAAGTCATTAACCACGACACTCGCCTGTACCGCTTCGCGCTACCAGATCCAGATCAGCCTCTCGGATTGCCGACTGGCCAGCACGTCTTCGTCCGGCTGAAGCGTAAGGATTCGGGTGAGTGGTACAGCGTGCATATACACCGGTCTCGGACAAAGACGCAAAGGGCTTCATCGACTTCTTGATCAAGTCAGCGTCTACTCCTAACTCATATTGATTCTGTATAGCTCACGGATCTGTCCCAGGCTCTATCTTCCCAACGACAAATGGCCATCAGGTGGAAAGATGACGGTTGGGTTTCACCAGCTTCAGCTCGGGGATACATTCGACATCAAAGGTCCCCTTGGGTCGTTCGTGCTGTTGGGGCATAAATCGATCAGCTTCAGAGGAGTTGAGAGAGAAGTCACGGACTTCGGGCTTGTTTGCGGCGGCTCTGGTCAGTGTCCATGGTCTTTGTTTCAAACCGAGCCGTGTTGACTCACTTCCATGTAATGTCAGGCATCACTCCTATCCTGCAGGTGCTTCGAGGAGTGCTGCACGACCCTGCGCTCGAGCACACTCGTATCTGGCTCATCAACGCCAACAAAACAGAAGAGGACATCTTATGCAGAGAGGAGCTCGACGGGCTCCACGCGACGCATGGCGAGAATCGCTTCCATCTGCACTACACACTCAGCGTCACACCGAATGGCTGGCCGTACAGCACAGGTCGAATCACAGATGCGATGCTCCAAGAGCACCTCCCATTCCCAAGCGAGCGAGCTATGGTGCTCGCATGCGGTCCAGACGGCATGATCAAGCATACACTGAAGCCTGGCTTGCAGCGTTGTGGTTGGGACGTCGAACGTCAATTGGTAGTGTTCTGAACGTAGATGTGTTTGTGAATGGTAATGATGTACAATGCATGTTGTATTCTTGACTATGCTCGATTTCCTTCCTACCTACCGTAAGTGTTGAGTGCATATGCATGGTGTCTACGTTGCGTGATGGACTGGTCAGAAACCCATTAACGTTCGTTCAGCTTATGTTGTGCCCCGCAGCTGCCAGCGACTGCAGGAACGGTCCCGCGACAGCCGCGTCGGCAGCACCGACAAGTGCTTCACCCTTGGGTCCCTCTGCGAGAGCTTCGCGAGCTCCTGTCCGAGGTGCTCCCGAGGATCCCGGACATGCGCGACAGGATCGACGGCGACCGTCTCAGATGCTGCTAGTCGCGAGTAGGCGGCCTGGTATCCCGCCGTTTGCTCCTCGTAGTCGATTGCAGTGATACCGGCATCGGGGTCCTCCTCATCCTTCTTAGTTAGGAACTGCGGCTCCTGGAAAAGCTTCGCCAATGAGGTGAACGTCGCCGGCCTGCAGCATAACACTGGTGAGTTGTTGTTCGGACATAGCATCAATGCGACCGCCTACCATGCCTGTACTGAAGGCTCCTGGAGCATCAGCGCGCTTTGTGTAAGTAGCTTCGTCAAGCCGACGACAACGACCTTGCGTTCCTTCGGGGGCATTTTCGGCGCTTGTGGTACCACGAAGTTCCCGACGATCTGCGACCACAGCCTAACATGTGTGCGTCAGTATAGCCAAGTTACCGGAGAGAATAGAATCATACTGAGGCTGAATTTCTTCCACTGAGCTGATCACATAGTCAGGTCCCAGACCCTCAACAGGAATGGCTATCGTGAACGCGAGGAAGTAGACAAAGAGGTAGACGTATTTGTCTGTCTTGCTGGTCTGCATCCGCGTGAGCAGCGTCACCATCAGAGCGCGGAAGTACTGTTTGAGATCCGATCTGTTCAGGTCATCAGTCGTGAGACTTAATACTATCCTCCTAGTATGATGGTACTCACGGTGGGATGTACTGTACCACCGATTGCAGGAGCTCAAAGCCCCACACGTCATTGAGCTTCGACGGGATGAGGCGCTGCTGGATGACTGCCAAGACTGCCGTGAACTGGCCGGTTGCGACCATCTGCTTCGCATCTCGAGAGAGGAATGCCTTGAGCAGCTTGACCAAGCCCGGAATGCTGCCCTTTTGTTGCCACGCGGCGGGAGTGAGGAGAAACGGAAGAAGACTGCGGTACTCTGCTGGCACATCGCCAGTGTGGAACTCGAGCATCTGTGCGAGCACCTGGAAGACGTAAGGGATGTACTCTGCAGATGTGGTAAGTATAGAGCACCGGTCGACCTTACTGATCACCCACGGTCAATATCTTGCTGGAGGATGATCGTGAAAGGACCGAAGAGCGCTTGCTCGAAAGTCGGCAGTGTCGACGGGTTGGCAGCAACAACGAATCTGCAGCACGAATGGTCAGTCATATCATCTCCGCACGTCTGCACAATCCATATACCTCATGAGCGCAGAGATACTCTCAAAGATGAACTGGTCGAAGAGAGGGTTGCTCGGGTTCTTCGAGATCGCACCGAGGATGTTGACCAGTCTCTGCAGGAAGCGCTCGTAGCCCGTTGTGAAGGTCGACCGGGCGGTGATGATGACTCGCATCGCGCCTACAAGTTAGCTGGTCAGTTATGGGTACACTGACGCCCTGGAAGGTACGGACACTTCATGAGGTAGTCGTTCTCAGCAACCTTCTCTGGTGTGCCCGCAGACTCCATTTTCTTCAGCAACGCATCGAGAAGATGTGGCGCCAGTTCGTGGATGTCTGCCTGAGTGAACCTGCGTAGAGATACGTGAGACCCAAAGGTACGTGAATCTGACTTGCTTTAACATACATCAACTGTGTCCCCTGCTTGATGAAGAGTATCCGCTCGACGCTGATCGCGGCGTACGTGTAGCAGACATAGTTGTCTGAGCCGAGGTGACGCAAGAGCAGCGGGAGGACTGAGAGTAGCTGTGGCTTGACAAGCTGTTGCAAGTCGTCTAGATCAGTACATGTACATCACCGTGAACTCCGCTCACTAACCTGATGCCGGAAGGTGTGCAGGAAGCGGATAGCATCAACTTGGAGGATCGGATGCGCCGAACCCGACTCAGCCTGCAGGTCCTGAAAGACGTGGTCCGAGAAGAACTGGACGACATCCACGAGTGTGTTCGTCGACGTGACACCATGCTAACGAAATCATGTCAGCAACACTACGAAGAGGTTACTGCACCCTCCGTTCACCCACCTGTGTTGTGCTGCCCCGCGTCGCCACTGCCGTCATGACATAAATCGCCGTGTCCTTCGCGCGCCAGTTCTCCGCGGGATTCGCTGTATACTCCTGGAGCCCCTGCCCGATCCATGACCCTGCTATTTCTGTCGTCTCACTCTCATACCCCGACGACACAAGAGCACGGAGGACCTCTGCAGCCGCCTGGCGGCGCGTGAGGGTGTCCGTGCTCATGCCCGCTCCGCCGAGGGACGGTACGGCGAGGTCAAGCCGGATGTACTCGAGCGGGTCGTCCTCGAACTGCTCGATCTCGTGCTCTTTGAATTCGAAACAGTGCGTGAGTGGGTGCGAAGAAGGAAGGAAGACAGGGCCTTACCCCGAAGCCCGACGTTGGGGATGACGATGCCCTGCACGAGGTTCGTGATGATCTCCCGCGAGCCAAAGAGTTCCTTGTAGTGGCCGATGCGGATCGCTGTGGAGATGAAGCGCAGGGATTGCGAGACGAGCTGGGGATAGATTCAGTCGATGTATGCGGGACAGACTCAGAGATGCTTACACCGTCGTCCCCGACGCTTTGTCGCTTCCCACCACTGATCATGTTCCAAATCGAGGAGACGAATGCAGGAACGGCATTCGAGCCGGACATGACCTCCGAGTACAGCTTGATATGAAGCTCTGCGATTTCCAGAACACCTGTCTTGATCTGCGACGGGAGGGAGGGAGTTGTGTCGTCATCCTGTGCATCGCGCGTTGAGCCGTTGCCGCTGCTCAAGAATGCCAAGGCCACCTACCTCGCCTCGCAACTGCGGTGGATCCCAAAGCAAAAGTTGCAAGAACAAGCCATCAGGAGATGAGAAGAACTTTTCATGAGTATCTTCAAAGTCTGGAGGGAGATCCTGGCACGTGAGATCGTAGAAGATGTCTACGAGTGTTACTTGTGATTGTGCGATCGTGGCGAGGTTGGGGGGAGATGGTGTAGTGAAGAGTAAGGTAGTGGTGTGGAGAAGCAATTCAAGGAAAGGTTTCGCGAAGCGAGAGAGGACATAGTTGATGATAGTGAAGAGGTCATTGTTGCGTGTTGCGGCACGCCACGGTCGGAAGATGGAGTGTGCCGTTTCGAGCACGCCAATGTTGATGTCGTAATTTGTCGGGGATAGCGAGGACACCAGTATCTAGACGTGCTATGAGATTAGGTCTGGTATGCGCAATAGTCTGCCAAAGGAGCAGAAAGTCTGATCCACAGGGACGAGCATTCCTGAAACGCGGAACGCGAAACGTCACACATCGTTACCATTGGTGACTTGTCAGCCTGCGGCTCGCGCGAGCCACAGGCGCGTCGCCTCGCATTCCTTCTGCTTTAATCGCGTTGACCGGCAGTCGTTGCTCAGGGAACGCAAAATAGGCGCAACTTGCAAGAGGGACAGACTCAGAGTCTTCCGAAGATGTAGCAGAGAGAACTGGCTCCCAGTGAGAAGATGAGCGGGCCCAGAACACAGCTTGCTTTTTCTTTCTGTCTTGGAGGGCTCTATACAGCATCCGCAACTGGCAATGAGCAAGCCAGCCGGCGGATTCCCCCGCGAGTCCTCCCAGGGACAAAAATGCTTCTACGCACAGCCAAAACTTGGCCAGTGTGAGGCTCATCATCCGGCGTCTATAGGATCGCCGAGAAAAATAGTGAATGTCGCGCAGGCCGGGTAGCATCACGTCCTCGTAGACATTGACGAGCATCAGCCTCGGGATCGCCCACTCAAACCCCATCCAGTCAGTTAGTAGGGCGAGCTCGTCGTGGATAACCATGTTCCACTTACTCAGGACACGCTGGACAGGGATGATCAGGCGTCCGAAACGGCGATGTGTCATCGCCATGTCGAGACGTAGCCGCAAGTTTAAAGCAACTGTCCAGCGGGCATGAATGCTCGCAGGTAAGTGCTGCCAGTCATTTTCATCCGCACGAGCACTAACGCGTCCACAGCGCAGCTTCCAGATACCTCGGAAATGTTCCTCCCAGTGGATCGGACGTTCTAGGAGGGAAGACTTACATCGACCAGATCAGGCCACCTCTCCGGAAAGTCCTCCTTTGCGATGAGGGACACAGACTCGACCACCTGTGCTCGCATAGCCTTGTCAGACGCGTTGGACAGCGCGATCATCGCAGGGATGAGTTCATTCCGCAGAGCAGCCTTGTCTGCGTCCGGAACGGGTTGTTCTTCCTGTGAGCATGTCAGTCCATGTATCCGCATAGTCCGGGTCAATCCACGCACATCGTCCCATCTAGTCTTTACGACATTTTTGAGGTACACACTGCCGGCGAGCCTGACCGAGCGATCCTGCGATGGTTCGAGGACAATACGAAGTAGAGCGGAGAGAAAGCCTTGCTGGACGCTGAGGGCTTGCAGACTCTGTTCAGCCTGCTTGCGTGTTGCAGGGTTGAGAGAGGAGATGAGGAGGGCAGGGATATCAGACATCCTGCGGAGGGAGGAGGCAGCAATGGACAAGCAGCAATCAGCCGGATTCCACGACGCGACTGATTTTGTGACGCGCCCCAAGTCGCGTCTTGTGGCACGTCCACGTGCCGCTTTCCTATTCCGGAGATTGATCGTGGCCGCCAGTGGCCCACTCCTGGCTTGCACACCCTTGTAACAACCTGAAGCATCCACCATTACCCTTTTCCCGGAAACATCGCAATATTGATTCACTCTGAAAAATGGGACAATACTACAAGATGTAAGTTGATACCCATGTCGACGATGGAACGTTGGGAGAACATAGCTGACCAAGGCGCACTTCACGCCGGCAGGCTGAACATCGACAAGAGAGAGACGTTGGAGTTTAGCTCTTCGAAATTTTGGGACGTACTGTCCAGGGATGACCCCACTCGGCTGATTCGGATGTTAGCAATTCCTCGAAAGGTGACAGTGGCGAACCATACCAATCAATAGTTTGGTGCAATAACCATTGTATCACAGCTCGAGCCGTATGGACCTGTCAGTGTGAACAAACGCGGTCTTAGCACGGACACTCGCGACCTTGGTGCACCGGATCTACCGTATGACGTTCTGCACCATATATTCAGCAAGATCTACTCCAAGGACATCAAGGATGCCGTTTACCTCGCCCTCACGAATTCATTGCTACGTGACCTCGGGCAGAAGCGCGTCAATGAAGAGTTGGTGTCGGGCGAATACCATGCCCCATGGTACAGTGAACGCCTCATCCTAGTCGGCGAAAACGTTGACGGCGATGACCTACCTGCCGATATGTTGCTGGAAGACGAGAAGGAGGAACTCGCCGGTAATGCCATTGTGGATGACGACCCGTTCGTTCTCGCCTCTACAATGCAGACAGATTCTACCATGACGACAGGAGACTGCCGTTTCTCTGGAGCGCCAAGTTTCACCAGTACAACACCAGGCCTGTCTTCTGCGGAACGCGAGGAAATGGAACTATTGGTGGAGGAAGATTCTATTGGGACGGAAATCCTGCGACCGAGTGGATTCTGTACAACTGGACAACTTCCGAATATGTGCGTGTCAGTGGCGTTGCTGCCCTCAGTGGCTCGCAGTGCCGTGGCCCTTGGACAAAGAAATTTCCGACCCTCGGGCATGTCCTGCTCACACAGATCTCTGGGCAGGAGATGATTCGGGCAGCATGTTCTCCGAATACGCCGGTGGGTACGTTCCCGGGGTCGATGGGCTGGCCATCGCTTCCTCACAACAGTCCATGCGAAGCCGACGCGATGCTAGCGACAAAACGGACAGATCGATAGAAAGCAGAAACATAGGCTCGTCAGACAAACGGAACAACAAAAAACATCGACAATGAAGGACTCGGACCTGATGGTGGACAGGGAGACCTGGGACGACGCAACGGACAAGGTCATAAACGAGGTCATGGATATATGGAGGCATGTGTTGCCACGGCGTATACTGGACAAACTCCCAGCCAGCAAACATACGGTCAAATGAATATTCGGTGCGCTCGGCATTGGACAAGGACTCGGTGACAGGTGCTTATAGTAGAGACGATGGTCAAGTATACACGTAAGTTTCCGGCTCGCTCGCGAATGGTAACCATACAAATGCAGTATCATAGTGTACATCTTGCTTTACAATACATGTATATTCTCTAGCTTCTCTACGACCAAGTCTCTAGACTCGCTGAGCAACCAAACATTACGGCGCGTAACGCTTTCCATACACCCCTTCCTGGATTGCTTTGATTTCTGTCGCGCCCTTGGTGAGTACAAAACCAAAAACAACACATGCGGAGCGATAGCACTCACGGAGAGCGAGATGCTTGGAGTGGTAGCGACACATAGCGAGTTACCTAGAATTTGCAGTGTGAGTGTCGCTCCTTGGGCCAGATGGCACCATCACATACCGGTCATGAACCAGAGATTCGGGACGCCGAGGAAGCGCCAGGCGCCGTTCTGCTCGCCCTCCTTATCCAGGGCCCAGATCGGCGAGACTCTGCTCGCAACCTCGTCGCCGACCAAACGCTTGATCACCCTCGTTGCACCCTCGAAGCTTTCAAGACGAATTCAGCTGCTTGGTTCACTGACATGGCGGTGGACCTGATACGCACCCCGTAGCGAACAAGATAACGTCAGCCTCGAGCTCGGTGCCGTTCTCGAACTTAAGACCAGTCTTGGTGAAGCGCTCGATCTGGCTGTCGTTCTTTATTTTGATCTTGCCGTCGATGATCTTCTGGCATGTGCCGACATCTGGTGATAAACCGTCAGTAATAGACACTCACGCGTAGGCTGCTAACGGACCCAAGTAGTACCCTCCTCCACGACTCATGGCGTTGTAGAGGAAGCCAGCACCATCGCTACCCCACCCCAGCTTGAAACCGACTTTCCGCAGACCGTCCAAGGTCTCCCTATGACGCGTGGGTTTAGTCGGGGACTGGTAGCATCAATCATACGTACTTGTCATCTTCAGCGATGTCCTTTGTGATCCGCTTGTGTATCTCCTTCATCATAAAGGCAGGCATGGAGGTGTGGATGCGATCGTTGAGCTCCGTCGGTCCGGCGCCTTCCCAGAAGGTTTCTGCGCAAGTCGATTTGAACTTCAAAACACGTACACATGTATGATAACCACATACCACCGAGCACACGCGGCATGCCGTTCTTCGTCGACATAACATACGTCTCGCTCCTCTGGAAGAGGGTCACGTCTGAAGTGCTAACGATGAGAAGCTGCAGAAATTCCGTGGCACGTCAGCTTACCGACTCCGTGCTCGACGTAATCTGACGCTAGATCGTGTGCTGCAAACAATGACGTATTCAGCATGGCACACAGTAGAATCGTCTGACTTCTCTACCGGAGGTGCAAGCGCCAATGATCACGACCTTCTTCCCGATGTGATCTCTCCCTGATTTGTGCTGCGTTGAGTGCAAGATCTGACCTTGGAACTCTTCCTGTTACAGCCGAGTTAATTCGACGCGAAGAGACTATGTTGTCGAACAACTGACCTGCCCGGGGAAAGAAGGCATCTTGGGCACTCCGCCGCCAAAACCGACTGCCATGATGACATGGTCGACGGTGAATGTACGCTTCGTGCCGTCTCCTTTCTTTACCACGACCTCATACTTGCCGTCATCGAGAAGCTTGACGTTCTCGGCTTCAGCGTTTGTCCAAACATTCAGCTCCATGGCTTCTGCGTAGTACTCGAGCCAACCGGCAAGCTACATTGAAGTTCGATATTAGCGTTCTGTCAATACACTTCATCAATCGTAGAACTGTAATACACTCCGTACCTTTTGTGCGGGTGTGAAGACTGGCCACGTAGGTGGGAAGCTGTTCATCGACGGGTGAGATCGGTGCTCGCATCTTCGAATACAATACATCGGCACACTCACGGCAAATATGGCAAATGGTCGTACCCTATTTCAAAGTCGATCAGTGAACCGGGTGAATTAGATTTACGATTGCACGTACAGATGGGATCATGCAGGCAAAGCGCTTCATACCGATACCTCCATTGATCACCAATACGATTCTGCCTCTCGATGACCAGCGCCGGAACGCCCAACATCTTCAAGCGAGCGGCAGCGTCCAAGCCGCTCTGCCCCCGCCGATGATAATAACGGCGGGGTCGCCCTTCGAGAACGTGCGCTCCTCCTCGCGCTGGCTCAGCCACTTCCCGTGGTTAGGTAGGAAGTTACGGTTAGGCCCGATCCTCTCGGGGAAGCCCTTGAGCTCCTCGAGCGTCGTGTACAGCGTGAACGCCTTCCACTCCCCGCTCGCGGTAGGTACGAGCCGGACCACGCCGCTTCCGATCCCGACGTTCGTCTCGAAGTCGAAAATCGCCTGGACCCACGCGAGGTCGGGATACGGCCGCTTCAGCTCCGCGCCGTCGCACAGCTTAACGCCCGAGAAGTCGAAGGGCGCGAGCTGGTCGTCGAGGAACTTCTTGATCTTCGCAGCGCCGTGAAAGGTGCGGAGCTCCCAGGTGAGCGCGAGGTGGTCGCGCCACCAGCCGTCCTCGAGGAAGAGGTCGACGATCTTGGTCGTATCCTTCGCAGAGGCGGCGGGCACGAACTTCGCGAACCACTCGGTGGCGACTTTCTGGACATCGACGTCGGCTTGGAGCGAGACACCAAGGCGATCGAGCGTGGGTAGAGCAGGCTTCAGGTCCGTACTGGTGGGCACGGCCTTCTGCGCGTTGAGAACGGAGACGTGAGGCTCAGTTAGGCCATTGGCAGTGGGAAGTGATGGTTTAACGTCGTTGGGACCCCCTGGGACGTCTTTCTGGGAGTGGAGAGCGGAAGACAGAACGTCCGAAACCTTGTCGAAGACGGTAGCCATGGTTGAGGGAGTTTAGGATAAAGCCCGTAAAGGCGGGACTCTATATACGGCCAGCGCGTTCGACACAGAGATAGGCATTTCGACCTATTTCGACGCAAAGGACGAAGGCCTTCCCGTGTATGCAGGGCCGACCATGGCCTGCTGATCCTGACCTAGAGTCAAATGACAAGGTGTTAGTCCCTGTGAACACGAATTCCCACGGCTTCTGTCTTACTTACGCCCGATCACTGTGTTCACGCGACGCAGTATCATATATTAGCATCACGCGTGCGGCGCGAGAGAGGGGCTCCCGCCTAGCCATGATTGTCTCACAGCGTCATGCATCCACGTAGGCTGCATTTTGGCGTCTAGAATACGGCATCGGAGGCGAGAACTGTCGCAGCCATGTTGCAGTACTCGACTACAGACACCGTGTATACTCACCTGGACAGCAGTGATAGCAGAGAAGCGAGCTATACAGGAGGCGCGACACCGGAGAGAACCAGGCGGACGGGCACCCGGGTTCACCACTTGCCTAGCGAAGTACGGAGCAGGTGCCCCTCAAGCGCAGCCGACGCAGCCAGCCAAGCGTTCAGGTCGGGTGCCAGCTGATGCAGTACGAGATACGGCCTTCATAAGGGGGTCCAACAATGCCGACACCGCTTCGATTCCTAGACGCAAAACTCAAAACCGTGATGCGCCTGAAGTCGGAAGAAGGTTACCGTGCTTCGTGGGTCGGGGCCTAGTCCAGTTCGGCAGAGGGGTCACGCTATCAGACCGGGAACCATACCACAGTGGTGTCGCCTGATGTCCGGAAGTGAATGGGTTATTTCGGAGAGCCAGGTCTTGTGAATTGGTCGCCTTGATACCCTGTCAGTCGACGGAGACCCGCGTTCATCCCGCATTGGAGCCGCAGAATGAGGAAGCCAGCTGTCGGACTGATCACGGCACGATTTGAGACTTGACGAAGCTGACGAGCGTCTGCAACTGGAAGGGATCAGCACATTGGTCTATGAGTCGGACTCTATGAATGAGTCCGATTATTGCGCGCGAGACACTGACAGGTTCATAACACTGATCGAACATCGAAGCTCGCCTTGGTTGGCCTTGTCATCCTTCTATCGCGATGAGTAACCCGGGTCCTGCGCGGGATCAGACTGTCGCCAGAGTAGGTGCGCTACACCGTCGCGCCCTTCAAGTCACTCGAACGGCCAGTAGTCAGCCCAGCGATCGCATATACGGCACCACCACATACGACTGATTCAAAACTGTATGGGTCTGCCCAAGAGGGCTGGACGGTGTCCGTCCACGTCCTGGTCATTTCGCGTCCCAGGGTACCGTTGACATGGTAATCCGAGCCGGTGGAGTAGTGTCTAGCCTCAAGGCATGCACTACGTGTTTGCAGTTGCAAAATACTACGTCGTGATAGAAACTTCCTCAGTAGCCTGGTCGGACTTCGCTGGTTGAGATTCAGCAGGCCAAATCTGAAGAATAATGAGAGTCGATATCAAAAGTGCAGTTTGGTCAGACGGATGTGGCCCACCGACTCCGAGGCTCTAGACGCGGTAGAGTACGCTTATGCAGAGTACGCTTATGCAGAGTGCGCGTATGCAGAGTACGCGTATGCAGAATAACCTTACGCAGAGTAAGCTTAAGAGCAGATAATCAATTCATCACCGCTCGTACCAAGGGCAAGGCGTGGGAGACTGACCTGATAGGGCTCAAACGGGCGTGCCACCGCACACTCAACTGTACGGTACGGTACAGTGCTGATTGACAACGCGACGTCGACGTCTCCAGGGTATCGCCATACGTTCTCTCCTCCTCTCATGAACTCGAAGGCCTTCCCAGTTGTCCTCCCCGATAAATGGCCATTCAGTGGCCACTGAGAGCTTGTGGCGTTCTCGCCCAAATCACTAGGAGACCGGCGGGGACTCCAAGGCCGCGATTACGCTGTCATAACTGGTGGTGAGACTTCGAGCTTCCGGTCCCGAGTAATTCACAGCCTACCTGCGAATGGACGGACGACGGCAGTGTCAGCGACCGTCTGCACGGGATCATTCTACGGGCCGTCCTTGCGGCTGCAGCCTGCAAAGGCCTCCAGCGCAGAAGCTTCAGTCAGCCATATCTGTTTGCTCGTCTCGCACAACAATCCTGAGGCGGTGCTGCGGAACGAGAGAACAAGAAGGCGTTCTTTTCATTTTGGCGAAGGCCCTAGGACTCATCAGCTGAGCTGCGTACGTCAAGGTGAGTAATGAAACTGCGTACTTTGCCAACCTCCTTCCTCTAATCTCAGTACTCAGTCTTATGATCTGTGACGGCTCGTGGACACTAGCACATCACGCCTATACAAAGCATTCACTCTCGATCTCCATTTTAACTGGAAGACCTGCGTTAGTGCCCTTGACCAGGTGAGTGGATGCAGGGTGATGCAGGGCCACAGTTGTTCAGGTCTATTCACACTCTGCGACGGCCTTGTGCCCTCGATACAGTGAGCCTCGACGCCAAGGTGACCTTCGCGGATGTGAGATGATCGCGCAGAGGAAGGACAACCTTTTGCTTGCGCCCGACTTGCGCCATTCGCGCGCTATAATGCGTCGACGCGTGAACGTGACCCGCAGTAAGTAATACAGAAACCGTGGGAAGGTATGTTACTGTACTTTGAAGTCTCGTTTGATCATTTTTTGACTCGGACAGAACGAGAAGGTCCGGGCGGGCCTGTGTGAACGTGAAGTTCTTCGCCGCGCCCTCCATATCGGCCTGCTCATCTCGATGCCGTACACGCTGGTCGTATAAGATCCTTTCGTAGACTGACCGCATCTTGATCTCTGTCCGCCATGGCCTCCGTCTTCGACAAGCTCTCAGATGCCCTGTCTTCCGCTCTGAACTCTCAAAAGACGTACCGGAGAGTAACACCCGCGACCCTGCCCTGCCTACCCTCGATCGCCTGGGTGCATCTCTTCAACCCGATCTCGATTCCCAGAAAGTCGTTACAGAATGGTTTGCGAAGTTCGCCGAGGCAGTCTCCGCGAAAGACACGACCAAGATCGCCGATCTCTTCCTCGAGGACGGCTGGTGGCGCGACCACCTCGCGCTCACCTGGGAGTTCCGCACCTTCCATGGCGTTGCGAAGATCAAGAAGTTCCTCGACGACCAGCTCGCACCTTTCGAGTTCTCGATCGTCAAGCTGCGCGACGGCGCGGAGCTGAAGCAGCCGTACCCTGATCTTGCATGGGTCCAGGCGCTCTTCGACTTCGAGACGAACGTCGGGGTCGGGACCGGCGTGGTGAGGCTGGTGCCGACGGCCAGTGGAGAGTGGAAGGTGTTCACTCTATACACAACCCTCGATGACCTGAAAGCTTTCCCCGAGAAGATTGGGTCCCGGCGTCAGTTCCTGCCTAACCATGGCAAGTGGCTGAGCCAGCGCGCGGAGGAGAGCTCTTTCTCGAAGGGCGATCCGTCTGTGATCGTGGTTGGCGGGGGGCAAAGTGGCCTGGACATTGCAGCGCGTTTGAAAATGTTGGACGTACCGACGCTGGTGATTGAGAAGCAGAAGCGCATTGGCGATCAGTGGAGGGACCGGTACCAGGCCCTCTGCCTGCATGACCCTGTCTGTGAGTCATATTCCGAATTCTGCTCGCACAAGTCCATAAGTTGAGTTGGGCTCTCGAAAAGGGTACGATCATCTACCATATCTGCCGTAAGTCAATGTTTTTCGACGCGCTCGGGAAGTGTCCTTAGACTCCGTATATCAGCTTCCCGTCCACATGGCCGGTCTACACGCCCGCGCAAAAGGTCAGACCATCGTCACGATGCTCTAAGCCGTCCGGTAGCTTACCTCGGGTGTAGCTAGCCAACTGGCTCGAGTACTATGCGGAGGCCCTGGAACTAAACGTCTGGACGAGCTCGACGGCTGAAAGCGTCAGGCTCCTGGACAACGGCAAATATGAGGTTGTCGTTGAAAAGGCGGATGGCACGACGCGCACCTTCGTCGTCGATCACGTCATTATGGCCCTCGGCCTCGGCGGCGGGGTTCCCAAATTCCCTTCAATCCCGGGAGAGGTGAGGAGGCACGCAGTGAAGTGGGTGGCAGAGGGGATGCTCATCTGTTCGTGGCAGGATGAGTTCCAAGGACAGACTCTGCACTCGACACGGCACAAGTCGGCGAAAGATCACCTTGGCAAGAAGGTTGTGATCGTCGGTGCTTGCACATCAGGTAGATACATCATTAATCACTACGGCTCATACTGAATACATCTTTGATCTCAGCACACGATATCGCGGCTGACTACGCTGAACACGGTGTCGGTAAGCTGACGAACTACAGCATTGCTGCTGCTGCTCACCTCCTTTGAAGACGTCACCATATTCCAGAGGAGCAAGACGTACGTCATGACAACTCGGAACGCTGCACCGCGCTTGTTCGGAGGTATATCTCATGATGTATGTCTTGGACTCGCAATGCTGAAACAATCCGGACAGACACCTTCTGGGAGGGTGTCGGGCCGACGGACGTCAGCGACCGCGTGCACACGTCCATGCCCTCTTTCCTCGTCAAGGAGCTTGGCAAGCGACAAACCAAAGACATTGCAGAAGCAGACAAGTACGTTCCGTGCACGGAGAACGTGGCTCTGGTCTGACAGCTCGTGCAACAGGGACCTCCTAGAAAGTCTGCAGAAGGTCGGCTTCAGACTGGGCTGGGGCCCCGAGGACGCTGGATTCTTCTACAGTTCCATGACGCGCGGCGGAGGATACTACTTGGGTTCGTGAACGTGCTGCAGATGTGCCGCTCGCCGCTGACACCGCACCAGATGTCGGCACTAGCCAGCTGATCATTGACGGCAAGATTAAGATCAAGAACGACAGCTTGATCGACCGCTTCACCAAGACTGGCTCAGGTTCGAAGACGGCAGCGAGTGGAAGCTGACGTCGTCATGTACGCCACGGGGTGCGTATCCGCCGCATTACTGTTTGGCTGAGCTATAATCTGTGGGGTAGCTTCGAGGGTGCGACGATTTCCATCAAGCGTTTGGTCGGCGACGAGCTTGCCAGTCGGGTCTCACGGATCTGGAACTGAACGACGAGGGTGAGCAGAACGGCGCCTGGCGGTGGCTCGGCGTCCCCAACCTGTGGTTCATGATGGGTGCGTGTCCCCTGTTCGCATTGCCCCAAGAGGGCTTCGTCTCATTATGTGATTCCCAGGAACCTCGCCATGTGTCGTTACCATTCCAAGCATCTCGCTCTTCGTAAGTGGTCTCATATCGTGAGCCGGGGAGTTGTGTATTGATAGGGGCACGGTAGAAATCAAGGCGATCCAGGAAGGCGTGTATGGGAAGCGTTATGCACCATGACACGCAGTTCTCCAGCCGGTGCGGGGCAAGTGGAAGTCTTAGAGAAAATGTACCTTACTATCTCATAGCGTACGGAATGTCATTGCAACACACCGTTTCCATCGGACGATCCTGCCACCTGTGGCCTCTGATGAAGCATAGGTGAGTGCTTGCGACCTAATGTAGACACGCTTATCGGTAGAGGATTGCTCTGAGGACCTGACGCTTCAGCTTAGAGCTTCCAATAAACATTGGCAGTGATGTTCTTCGCATGCAAGACTGCTCGCTGATGCATATGCTATGTCAGCGGTACAATGTCCCGTACATACGTGCGAGACAAGGTACAACGACCTGCTGCCCAACGTCTTGGGTTGATTTTGCTCTAAAGCACAGCTGCTTACACGGGTGACATGGAGGAAGTGTCGTGCCGCTAAAGCCCGGGATCATGAGGATCAAACTCTGGATCTTTACACCGACGCTTCATAAATGTACGGCGTCATCGACGACTGTCAGGATGCAATGTCGCGTTCGCTATCTGGGACTCAGTAGTTCTGGCATGAACACTCAGGACAGTCACCAGACGACGTACTGTGGTCGGTAAGTAGCGCTGGTCGTGACGACCTCTAGACTTGCAAACATGCTTTGATAACTGAGTAATGTAGTACAAGACTAAATCTAGAGGATGAGAGACCATGCGTCGTAATTCAGTAAGTAAAGTTCCTGAGCATGGAGATTACTGACAGTATTGCTGTAAGTACGTCTGCCATCCCATTTGACAAAAGCCCACCATATAGGTAATAGCGACTCCGTACGAAAGGCTACCATGCAGGTGGCAATGAAGCGAGCTCCATACCAAGGTCACCAAACAGACTTGCGCCGCCGTTTCCGCTTCGTCCTAGGTTTGAGCCTGACTGAACTCCGGAGCCAAAATTTCAGGAAATTCGCATCTCCAGATATTTAGCACGTCCTCCACGACTTCGTTCGAGACGTCGACCAATTCCTTGTCCCTGAAAACAGAGTGCTCCTGCAACCGATCCACGGTCGTGATAGCGAAGCGGTGTCCTGCCCAGCGCCCATGGTGCCACATCCCGTCACAGCGCAGATTGTTGGATAGATTACAGCCAATTTGCGTTAGAAGAGCATGACCGAGGCCGAGGTTTTCATTGGTGAAAGGACCGTTGCAGGCCGAGCCGGTAATTTTCGCAATAGCGCTCGTGCGCACGAACTCTGCCGTCGTGAAGTTGCATAAGACCCACTCCGTCTCCGGTTTGCCATCCCAGGAATAATCCGGCGCGATCATCTTGTCCAATTCAATGAGATCCTCGGGGGAGACTTGATTCGAGGCGTAATGCAACCGGCGGAACTGAGCCGGCCAACGCGACTTTTTGAAGTACGCACCCTTAGCGTCGTAGGCCGCAGCGAAAAAGCGCGATACACGGATGTCACAATCGTTGGGGTCAAGTTTATTCCCGCTGAGTTCTCTCTTCTCATGTTCCTGCAACATTCCCGGTGGAAGGTCGTCGCCATCGAGGTATTGGCCAACGTAAACGAGACGCTGGGACGACCAAGTGCCATGATAGAGAAGCATTGCTTTGTAGATGCGCTTCTCGCAGATGGTCCGTAGGAGGGTATTCGTGAGCGCGAGAGACGCTACATCCACGATGTTGTCGAGGTCGATGTTGTCTATGATGAGCTGGAGTATCTCAAGCGGTACATCCAGTGCGCCGAGGTCTCGCGGTTCCGAGCTCCGTCGTTGCCTCGACAACCGGTATGGCTTAGGCTAAAGATAGAGCGGTGCTTAGATTGCATTTAGCGTCGACAAGTTATAGCACTCTGACCTTTCGAGGAATGGCTAGCATCGAGACAAGACCATTTGGCTCTGCATAGAACAACACCCCTTCTACCTTGGCACAAGAAATGTCACGAAAGTTGCGCCTTGCATCGACATTAAAGCTAAGACAACAAATGTCAGTTGGCAATGCACGATGCCTACGTGCGAGAGTGACATACAGCTCCCATGATTGGCCCATTCTGGTTGGGGTTTAGCGGCTGGCCGGAGCTTCGGGGTTGTTTAACGGTCACAGCCAGATCTACGGGGTACAGTGTTGATGACCTGGGATATGGGCTGAAGTTGCCAGAGATGGAGTGCCAGTCGGTACTGCAGCAAAAGTTCGTCCGAAGCCGTTCAAGTCGATCACGGTTGTGGCTTGGTTGTGGCTGAGGTTGGACGGGGAACGTTGAACCGCCCGGCGTTCAGTACTTAAACCCGCCAAGATTCCCACGACAATGGCCACGGCCGTTTCCGGGTTCGTAACAAGCGCTCAAAAGTGCGTTGACAGCCAAACGCATAACGATAGACGTTTCGCCTCCTCCGAAGTGATGTCTCCGGCCGAGATGCCGGGGCTGCCGCGCCACAACAGCCACCCGGGGATCCCTCGGGGATCGGTGGTAGGTGGCTGGACCCCTCTGGACCCCCGTCTCGCGGTAGCCGTTGTGGCGCGGCACCCCGGCACCTCGGCCGGAGACATCACCTTCGCCGAAGACGAAACGTCTATCGATATGCGTGAGTAGGGGCAACGCACTACCGATTCAAACTCCGACGCGTCCGCGCGCCACCCGCCTGCCGCGCCTCACAAAGTGGGCGCGGAAAGAGGTGCACTTTTCTCCGGTTCATCCACTTCAGAATATTCCGGAGAAGTGATGATAATTCATGTAAATTCGGGCTTGAGAAAGTGTTCTGGACAGAATTTCCGAAAATGTTCTGCGGCGGCGGCAATTTCTATTGCCCGACAATAAGAACACTGCAAAAAAATCCATCCAGAAGACTTTGTCAGACGAGGCTCAATGACCACGTTCGCACATTTGATGCAGGAGCTGGAACGCGGTGGAACGCCAGAAGTGCACCTCTTTGTTGCGGTGCGACGCGTATTACGTAAGCAAGTCGCGCGCGCCACTAGCGCGCCTCGACGCGTTCACCGCCAGTCTTGTGTCTATCGTTCGTGTTCCCTTGCTGCTACATGTACCAAACTACCATCAACATGTTTGTACCACTGTCTCCGACAGCCCAGAAAATTTATTGGGCCCAGGATTGGCTCCCAGCATACAAAAGGTGGATTCTGCCCTTCTGGGCTCATCACCGATGATCCACGGGCCTGGAAGATTATTTCGGACCATATCATTTCTTGTACCGTGGGTCTGAATGTGTGATGAAGTTGACCTTGTGGTTAGATTTCTCATACACAGCTTTCACCGAGACATTGTATGGAGTTCCTCCAACATAATGACTACCATGACATGCTGTATTCATTTCACTCCTCTGCGGAATTTCACAGACACTCGTAAGATACACACCAGTCTAGCTGAATATATTTGTGATTTAATACAAACCATATCGGAAGCGACAGCACGATGAGACAGTCGTGTCCACTTTCTCGCCGCGTCTTGATCACGTGACCGAGGACGCTTTTCGGAAAGGTGTTGCCCCTAGTCAATATGCGTTTGGCTGGAAGTGCGTTGTGCAATGTGAATTGATGATAATCGTGAGTCTCAGACATCCTCGAGCTCACTGAGTGACTCTGAGCATCATAAAAACTAAACAGCACCATAAAACGAGCACTGGGGCAACACTTGATACACTCACCGAGTGGTGTCTTCCGCCTTGCCGACCTCGGACTTGTATCCCATGAATCATGATCCCTTACACTGGCGTGCGGGATACTTATGACTAGTGAAGATAGAAGCCTGGAAACGCACCTCGCAGTGCACGGACACATGGAGGCCCGAAGACCCGGGTCAAACGGGCTGCCGCCCTTGATGTTCAGTGTCCTCTGTGCAAAATGATTCGCCGTGGATCTTGTTCAGAAACTCAGCCTACGCGCACCACGTCTGATGATGATTGAAGTCGCGCCTTTGTATTATCAGCATGCCAAGTCGGTCTGGCAGGCACTGGAGGAAAATATGCAGTGGCAACCTGTGGGCGGAGATGAGTACTTTCAAGTTAATGAGAAAATGATTCGCCGACTACAGTGCGCGCGCGTACTAAGTACAGGTAGTAGCTCAAGCCTATCGCAACGCAAGTTGCAGTATCCATCGACAACCCTGGCCGTTCGAGTAGACTCGGGTCCAAAGACAAGCAGGTACATCAATACGGTCGGACGCGCGCTCCGACATCCAGGCGACTCGAAAGACACCCACGACTCGGACTCACAGCATATCTCAATCGTTCTGTTCCCCACTACGACATCCATGGCTATTCGGCCAGTGTCGTTTGGTGGTGGAAGAGGTACCAGAGCGGATACTCGACTCGGAGCGTGTCCGGCTGTCCGGCTTGTCGACGTCGACGTCTGCTCAGATGTATAACGGCCAGACATGTACGAGCGATGCGAGCGGGGCATGAAACGGTTCTCGCTCGTCAGCCAAACCGTTCGTGTGTGGGTCTATGCACGAGTTGGAAACAGAAGTCAGTGTAGTAAGCACGCATGGGTACTCGCTCACCCACTCCCATGAAGGTTTATTACCAAAACAAAAAGAAAGGCGCGCCGACCCATCGTCGGACAGTGACCGTTGACGACCGATACATGACTCCGCACCGGCCCGCATGGCGACGTAATACCAGTGTCCGACCCGCAGAGGAACCCCCTACCTGGATTTCTTTCACTAAGGACTCTGGTCACGACAACTGACAATACTGAAATTGCGATGTTGGGCCAGCTCGGCACCGTAGAACTGGCCGCAAAGGAACCCAGCACGCGCCATCCGCCCACGGGCGGGATGGCGAGTGACCTATGCGCAAGAATGAATCGAGAATAATGTAACGCCACGGTCAGCTTGCACGGACTCAGCTCGTCCGCAACTCGTCCCGGTAGGACCGTGACTCCGTGTGTGAGCAGCATTGGTCGTGGATGACTCACCGTCGCGCATGTCAATAGCTCGGACCGTGTAGTCAGCGCCGTGTCGTCCACGCTGACATACGAGTCTACGACGGCCCTCGTTCGCCCTCGCCTCAGCCTACAAGCAACCCCGTGCTCAGGATAATGCACCCCTATGTTCCCCTTAGCGTCGCGCCCGCCGCCCAAGGCGAGCCAAAGGACGAATATGGCCCACTTTGGCGCGACCACCCTCTCACTCCTGTCGCAAGAAAACAATTGTCAAAGGTGTCCAGAACCCCGCAAGACGGTCACCTGCGTACTCCCCGCGTCCCTGACCGACCGCCCGCGGCCGCCTTCTCAGCTCTGCGTTGTGGCGCGGGTGGCAGATGGAAATTCGCGGTCACGGGTTGGCTGGGGAAGGCTCCACCGGACCACCGCGCCGCGTCGATCACGACCGATCGCGGCGCGTAAACCACCTTGCCAGCGTCGCCACCGAGGAACAGCGTCGCGGTAGAACTACCGCACCAGACGCCCAGCCGACGGCAGCGGGCAGCATGCTTCGACATCGATTGAGAGTTTGGTGAACACGAGTGCAAAAGCTTCACGATGGACGTCGAATGGGTGCATTCATTGCGATTACTATCATTACAGGGCGTAAGTATGGCATACCCGAGGGTATTGCTAAAAGTACACGGGACGGAGCATGCCAATCCTCCAATACCAGGCGGACTAAGGTGATATTAAGAGCATTGTGCTACGATGGGGAGGTAGGTCGGGTTTCAATCCACACGCTGAGGGATCTCGCCCACGGGAGCGTGAACCAGCTCTCGTTACGAGCAAGCAGTTGTGCAGTGCCGACGTAGAACGCGATGGACGCGGTGATAATGCCAAGCGCGCCGCCTGCCTTGGCGCATGCAGCGGTGACGGACGGCTGGAGCTGGGCTGCGGAGGAGGTCAACGGAACGTCTCCGCGCGGAGCGTGTTCAGACATACCAATGCCGAGCATCATGAAGGTCAACGTAAGGAAAAGAAAAGAGCGGCCATGCCAATGCTCCTTCTGAGCGATGCGACACTGAGGAACGAGATCAGCCAAAATCAGGGGCGCAAATCCGGAGGTGATACGCACAAGAGTAGGAATGTGACGATGAACCACATCATGAGGTACATCCCCAGTGCGGTCGCCTCGTCCGAGGCAGCATCAGCATACGCGGCTGTGATGCCGGAGCCAGGGATGAAGACCGTCGCGTACGACATCCAGAACGCGCCGTACATCGTAAAGGCTGCGGGACAATGTCGGTCAGCGCGTGGGAACTCGATCCCGGCCGCAGAGGGACGGCGGCCGGGCGCGGGAAAGGCACACTCACCAGTGGCGCCGAACGTGTTGGCACAGGCAAACTCCCACATCCCCGCGCAGAACTGCGCGAGGCCGCCCACGAAGAGGGACATCGCCACGATCGCGTTCGTCGTGTGAATGTTTCGCACCGAGACGTTGAAGAGCGATAGCATCAGCGTCGTCGACGCAAACGCAAACAGGCCACTGTGATCCCGAGTCAGGCTGGGAAGGCGGCAGGTCACAGGGCGCAGAACACGTACAGAGGACCCGGGTTCGCGAGGCGACGGAAGTTCGCGTTGTCCCTCGGGCCCAGCGCAGTGCGGGCGGGCACTGCGTGGACCTGATGGTGGTGCGCGTTGTACTGCTCGTGCACCTGCCCGTTCTCGGCCTTCTCGAGCTGGGACGGGCTCGCCCTCGCTTTCTCGCTGAGTTCTGCAGACATCGTTGTTGTGCGGGGTGACAGCGAAGACAGAGGGAGCGATGCAGGAGGAGGGCTGGGATGGTGCGAGACGAGGAAGGCCCGACCGCGAGAGCGTGTCTTTTACCAGAAGCGTTACGTAAGCGGGTGCCTGCCGGATACGGCCAAGAGCGTAGTGGGCGGCACGCGGGCTTCTCATCTGACCCCGCGCTGATGACCCCGCACACTGCGTCTGGGGAGGCTAAACGGTACTAGACACGCCGAATGTCCACTCACCATCAGTCGTTGGACACCCTGGACAGGCATAGCACGGCGCTATCTCCTGTCTCCTCTCAGCGGTTCTCGCGTGCCTTCCCCATGCCGTCACGAGTGCGGGTTCGACACTTCGCCCGAGGGCATAGACACTTGGGCTTTGTCAGATGCGCTGTCGTCCCCAGGCCGATGCTGTGTGCCTGCTGGGGAGTGGTGACGGCACAGCGTTCAAACGTTCAGGGAGACACCCCTCGACACACTCACCTGCGGACCTGCAACGCGGCGCACAACTGCCAGCGACGAACCGTTGAACCGTGCGACCTGACATGGCCCCAGAAAATTTGAGCGTCTTCGTGGGGTCTCCGATACACAGTTCGCGATCGTGTGGTGATCCATCAGATAGATAGCTCCTTTGAACGCGTCAATAGACGCAGCCCGCTGGGTTGGAACCCCCGACGCCATAGTGGTGGCACGACGAGTCCAAAGTTAGACCACCAGACTCGTACGCGTTCGAATCGTCCCACACGGCAGCAGCCAGAACGCCTGTTGAAGTGAGCGCGTCCGCGGAGAAGGGCCCAGGAGGCCTTCTAGGCCAGAGGACAGTGGTGAGGACCCGGAAGACACTGACCAAGCGAACGATGTACGCGGGGGCTGCGAGTACCTCCGATCTCGGAAGCTCCAGTGACCTCCGCGAACATTGAACCATGAAGCCAAGCGACCAGGTGATGGTGAGCATGCATCGTGTGGCCCCTCGTCGACACCAACCTTGACCACCAGTGATACCCAGCGAGCAGGTGTCGATGCGCGACAGGCAGTGCAGCTCAGAGAGTACGCACGTGTTTCGAGGACGAGGCAAACCGAAGTAGGCCGACAGAAGGCAGGAGATGAACTCGGCGCATGTAGAACAAGCAGAACCCAGATGCAGATCCTCCGCTGATCAAGAACAGACACAAAGCGGATATGAACCTCGCTGGCCTGCAGGACAAGGCGAAGGCCAGAGAAGCGAAGAGGCAATAGCGACGGACCCGGTTAGCCTTTAAGTACGGCGATAGACGCAGCATCACGAGCACCTATGCAATTACTTACTTGATGTCGAAGCAATGAGGGCGCCGCCATGCGGACCCGCCTTCCGATTGCGTGCAGGCCCGCTGACCACCAGGTATCAGACGCGTCCCATGAAGCCCATAGACGTCCGGATGAGTCGACCTGTCCATGTCGACCCGATAGGCAGGCCGTACGCCGCGAGATTAAGGGCCTCGCGTGGTGTGCGCGTTTGCACCCGCGGCCCGCGGAGGGGTACTTGTAGGGCGGACGGTCCAACCTTAGTCTCTGCGTTCCTACGAAGAACGTTCCGCCGGGGACCACGAGGTAGGGAAATTGGCCGAGTTTGCCAGACCGGAGCGAAGAAGCGCAGAGATGCATTGCACGGGCGGGATATTCTTGGAAGTCGAGGGAGCACTGGTGGACCGAAATATTCTTGGAAGCGTACCAGGTACGAGTCGAGCAGTAGTTGTGCCGCCTGGGTAACGACGATCCCTTGCATCTTCTCATGACCGTGTACGAACAAGTGGCCACACGCCTCCATTCGGAGGCCGAGCGTGCAAATCACGGAGAGAAGCACGTTCGCCCAGGACAGAATACAGTGGGATCACATGCAAAGTCCCACTGTGCTCTTCCAGGACGAAAGCCACCTAGAGTGATCACATACTCGGTCAGGTAGACCGCCTCCGTACGGGCGCGGACTTGCGAGGCGGGATTTCCATTTTGGGAAGTAGGCGGGGCGTGCGCCACATTCGGTCCGAATCCGGAAGGTACGCGCGGAGGCCAGCAAGCGAGAACGGAAACGCATCAAGGGAAGGAGAGCTCGCACACAGAGTGTCAAGACGTCGCAGCAGCCGGGGAAGAAGAAAGCGCAATGGCGGCTCCCCCAGGCCTTATATCGCCTGCGCCAGAGAGGACCGGGAGATGGACTCTCGCTCGGCCGACGGGACGGACGTGCCCAATAACCGGGATCCAGCCCTGCCCGCAGCGCGCGGAAGGAACAGAGCAGAGCGCGGCCTCCGGTTGTCGGGTTGCCGATCGGTGGCGCGGAAAGTGGGCGCTTGTGTGCGGGCTCCCCGAGTTCTCCCGGTCCTTGCTCTCGTCTGGATGTGAAGTTCGTCGTTGCGTAGTTTGTTCTGCGTCTACAACAGCCTGCTGGTGTCTGCTCTTAGCTTTTCAACTCGTCACAAGTATACTGGGTCACTCCAAATATTGCTCTATTTTCCAGCGCATCATCGATTAGGGTTCTGCAGTGTGCTTCGATGCACGGAAATGACCCACGCACGTCAATGTCGCTCAACCACGTTCACAGCGACGACAGATCCTTCTTCGCACGTGTCCACCGCTCGGGCTGCCGCTTCCACCGTAGCAAGGATCGCAAGTGCATTGATGCTTCGTGGGACGCTCGTTGTGCGGGTTCCGTCTCTACTTGACGGGTTCCGTCTGCACGAGCGTCTCGTGTCTTGGCTAAAGAAAGCTCAGTCCGTAACCCTCACCAAGCCTTGCACCATCGACGACCGGTAGAATGACTACAGCGGGACTTTGACTTTCCTTGCGGGACTTCGTGAACATGGACTTGCGGCTTTCAGCAGAAGCGCCAACGTTGTGGCGCGCACTGGGGACCCGAATCCCTCCGAGGCGCACTGACCCGATAAGGCAATCGGCGGGATCGATCGTCTAATCGGCGAGCACGCATCCCGACTGCCGGTCCACTACTTACCGGAACGGTACTCAAGTACTTGCTTGGAAGCTCAAACGCCTCCGCGGCCTGCAGTCCACTCTACACGTCCTGTCTGCGTACCCCGCCCGCTCTGTGAACCAAATTGTCTTACGGCCGCGGACAGAAAACCTATACACAGTGAGTGCAGCCTACCCAGAATAAGTAGAACACGACTCGGATGTCGGAACAGACATTAGCGGCGACAGTACTCTAATCTCGGTGGTCGGTAACAGCGACATCCGGTCCCCTCACAGCTATCGACGCGACTCGAGTCGCCTCCTCACACCAACACCGCCGACGTCATATCCCGAATCTCGAGCAGCTCGCGCGAGGCCTGGAGTCGTCAAGCCCTTCAGAGCGACGGAGCGCCCAAGCTCGGGTAGAGACAGCACCTTATTCGGAGGTTCGAGAGCAGACAGGACCGGAAGTAAATTCAGCCAGCTGCTCAGGTGGTCGCGAACGCGTCTTACGCGCAGGTACAGTACGTTCGGAACGGAAACTGCAGCTTCAACGACTGAGGGAAAGGACAGAAGCCTGTAAAAGGAGAGGGTCGAACTGAGAGGAATGAGGTGTAACCAGAATATCATCATCGTTGACCCGCAGGTCGTCCTTGTGCCTTATAGGTACGACGCTCTACTTATCAGTTCCCCTCCTCTCCCCTCTCCCTCGGCACCACTGGTTGACACGGAAACGTCCTTCACCTTGCACACTTAGGCACGAACACGTCGCCGTCGGTATCGCATTCACGAAGACGACCGCGTGCATTGGAGGGCTAACAGTTTGGCGCGGTAGTTAGAAGTATCATGAATGGATGACAAGTCCGAGCTGCAAGAGTCCACGGCGAGCGAGCCGCTGACTCTGGAGCAAGAATATGAGATGCAGCGTGAGTTGGCTCAGCCGTCTGTGTCTTGTGCGTCTTCGCTAATCACTCCTGTATTACAGGGAAATGGAGAGAAGACGAAGATAGTACGTCTGTCCCAATCATACAAAGTGCTCCTGAAGCGTTGACTCGGCCTCACAGAACTGACGTTTATCATCCTCGCCAACGAGCAAGCCGCGTCCTCTCAACCGTCCACAAGCACGTCCGAACGCGAATCAACGACAGACGCCAGCTGGTTGCAAGACCTCTCCATGATCGGGGACGTGAACCTCTTCCTGAAAGGCGATCCGCCGACGAGGACTTCGAGGCGGAAGTGGAGATCATGATCGCCGGTGCGCTGCTCATCCCTTGCTCTCCCGACTCGGCCCCTGACAGAATATACATCGTCTGCTGGATCCCGCGCACTCGGCTTACCACGCTGACAGAACCAGCCTACCGCCGCCGCGGCCTCGCACACACCGTCCTCCAGCTCTTCCTCTCCTACGCGACCTCCGCCCCCCGTCGCCCTCCCCTGAGTGGCTCTCCACGTGACGCCCTGCCCCCGATCCCCCGCACGGCCCTCGTCGCGCGCATCGGCATGCGGAACGCGCCCAGCATCGCGCTCTTCGCGAAGCTCGGCTTCGTCGAGACGAAGCGCGTGGAGGTCTTCGAGGAGGTCGAGATGCGCTGGCGGGGCGCGGAGGGCGGCGGGGCGTGGAAGGCGGGCGAGGCGCGAGAAGTGCAGTTCGCGGAGGAGTGAGCGGTTGCTCGGTAGTATGGGAGGAGACAAGGGGCTGGCCGTGTCTTTGGTCGATAACTTGCAGTGAGTGACGGATATGTTTCTTTGTTGGGTGGCATGTCCCTGCGTCAGTGCTCCTGTGTTGTCTCTCTATCAGAGGTGCTTCCTTGCATCCCACAACCTTGGCCCTGCTTGCTCCACTGGTGTGCTATCACCGCCGCAACACTGGCTGCCAGTGGAATTGCGAAGTGCGAAGCCACTGCGGCAGCACATCATGATTTTTTCTGTTGTCGGCACTCGGGGCTGATCACTCTTGAAACAACGGTACACTCCAGGGTGCCGTAAGCGGTGAGCATTTTATGTCCCTCTTTCTGGGACGCAGTAGACTTGCTCATCATCGCTTCGTCACAGTGAGCTTCTCTGAATGAACCAGCTCCGAGTCTGCCACGAATCCAGCAGCTAAGGTCACGCCCTCGCTATCCTGACACAAACCCCTCAGGCCATTGCTCATGGCACGGACCTCCGGGTCGGCCTGTCAGAGTGCCAAGTCCCTCGCTCGCAACCCGCTAGGATGCCGCGGGGCGAGACAGGGCCCACGTCCGGTCGATCGCGAACCTCGCCATCCCCAATGCAAATGCCCCGCTGGCACCTTGCGCTACGGCTCCCGGCCACTTCATTACCGGGGGCGTATGTATGGACTTCGACAGGGGCTCCGCCGATCGGAAGATTGGCCATGGTGCGTGTTCGGCGACCCCGTGGGGTACTTGTGGGGACGGGGACGCGGCGCATCTGATGCATTCGATGGGGGATGCTTACAGGATGTGCGGCAAGTCAACTGTGTTTTTCTTTATGATTGCGATGACTCCTGACTGTAGTTGTCTGATGCTGCGGGAAGGCTTTGACGTGCTCCGAACCCTTCCGGCGAATCGTACGTAGTCTGTGTCGCACTCTGATACTTGTGTCGACGCTTGGCACATCCGCGCTGGACGATCACGTTGGTGTCGGCCCATCTGAAGCGGCGTACTACTCCTTCGGATGGTCTCATCCTCTATTCGACTGTCGACATCTCGGTCTCACGCGCAACCACAGTCGCCCGCTCGCTCGCACACTTCTCCTCGACAATTAATATGTATACGGAAAGTTGGCGGACGCTATACGGCTCCCGGTTCTCTCCTTCTCGGCCCCGGTTCCTTACGTTACAGCACAGCTTTCGGGATCCATACCAAGGATCCATACCAATCACCGCGCGAAGGCGGAGCGCACGTCCTGAGACGGTTCACTGAGGCGCCCGACATTTCATTTGCGGGGATTGTGGGCTAGGTGATGGGCGCGGTATCGCCGTCAGCGGGCTCTGCGAGGGTTGGTATCTGAGTTAAGTGGGTCACGACGTATTCTCATTTCGAACTGCTGAATGATAGAAGATGGAAGGAAGTCTTAGGACCTGGTGCTCGGCGGTCGATGTACGCCAGCTGGGCATACCTGTTTCGAGGAGGTACGTTTCGTTGACACTGACTTCTCCGAGCCAATGGAACAGTCTTCTCCGAGTCGTAGACGGACGAACCGGGTCGACGCTCCTTGAGACACAGTCGGTCGGTCTCTTTGCAAGCTGCGCAGTGTGCGCTTCAAGTCCCTGACGGTGAGAAGCAAACGGCTTTATCGCCGCGTCAATGCTCAGAATTTCATCTCGCGTTCAATCACCCCTCGCAGGTCCGTGCGTTTATGGAGATCGCTGTTCCGGCGGAAAGAGGGTTGGACTGCATCAAGCCCCTCATGCGACAGCGGTGTTGTACCTGCTTCAGTAAGGCATGTTTCGCTCAAGGAGACTGCGAGTTAACAAAACAGTCTTCCCCGGAATCTAGTCGGACGGATCGCAGTGACCAAATTGACGCTCCCTGAGACATCGGCCGGTCTCTGCACCTTACAAGCTGCGCAGCGTGCGCTTTCGAGAAGCTAACGCCTCTGCTTATCACCGCGTCAATATTAGCTCAGGATTTCATTCCGCGTTCAATTATACCCCCTTGCAGGTCCGTGCGTCATGGGAGATCGCTTTTCCGACGGAGGGAGAGAGGGGCGTCGCGAGGCTGCCGGATACCGGGGGTGGGGTAGTACGGGGCATCAGATGCGCCCCTGTCGACTAGTGCGGGGAGCCGACTGCATAGTGCGGGGAACACGCCCAGCCGGTCGAGGCGCGCCCCGCCGCGACTACGGACGATGGCTGGTGTGTGATGGATATGGGAAGTAGAGAGCCATATACGGACGGAAGGGCGCCGTGACCGCCCATGTGAGCGAGGATCCCACGCCACAGACGCGATCGCCTCCCTGCCACTGACACCGACACCGACACGTGCCCGGCCCCTGCCAGGTCTGCGAGGTCGTGCTGAGGGCAGTCAAGACGCAGGTCCGCAGACGGTGTCGGCGTCGAGCAAGGGAAGAGGAATCGGAGGTACGTCATCATGGATGTCAGTGTCAGCACCCTGACAAGTGTGATGGCTTCGCACAGGGAGGGGTGGCGGCAGGTGATCCCGGAAGCGTGGGCCGGGAAACTGGCGGAGGAGCAGGATGTCTTCGCGCAGGACAAGTGACTCTTCCTCCACTTTCCCGCACCAGCCCTGCGGAAGTCCGCCAGCCCATGCTTTATAAGCCACCCTCGTCGTCCCATCCTCCTCAACTCTCCTCCATCCCTATCGCCCACCATGTCGTCAACCTGGACCCACACCTTCAACACTCCCGTCTTCAAGGGCACCGTCGAGGTCCCCACCGGCCTCTTCATCAACGGCAAGTTCGTGGACGGCTCCACCAAACAGGCCATCGAGTACGCACCCGCCATATTGCACTGTCGCCTCGTTAACCCTCTCCCAGTGTCATCAACCCTTCTACCGGCCAGCTGATCACAAAAATCAGCGTGGGTACCCTCGACGACGTGAACACCGCCGTCAAGGCGGCCCAGCACGCCTTTGAAACTACGTACGGACTCGCCATGCGCGGCAGCGACCGCGGCCTCCTCCTCGGCAAGCTCGCACAGCTCATCGAGGACAACACCGACGCCATCGCCTGCGTCGAGGCCCTCGACAACGGCAAGACCTTCCCCTTCGCAAAGGGAGACGTCCAGGCCGTCGTCGCCTGCTTCCGCTACTACGCCGGCTGGGCCGACAAGATCCAGGGCAAGACCATCGAGACCTCCGAGGCCCAGCTCGTCTACACCCGCCACGAGCCCATTGGCGTCGTCGGACAGATCATCCCCTGGAACTTCCCCAGTGCGTGTTCCGCCCTTCGACCACCACGTGGTGGATTTGCGCGCGATGGGATCTCACTGATTGAATGCGATCGTATATGAACAGTCCTCATGCTCGCGTGGAAGCTCGGCCCAGCGCTCGCGACGGGTAACACCGTCGTCTTGAAGCCCTCCGAGTTCACGCCGCTCTCCGCGCTCTTCGTCGCGAAGTACATCCAGGAGGCCGGCTTCCCCCCCGGTGTCGTCAACATCGTCAACGGCTACGGCAACGTCGTCGGCCAGTCCATCGCCGAGCACATGGACATCGAGAAGGTGCGTTCCGTGGCCGTAGTTGCACGCCCCGGGGAGCGCTCATCTGTCCGCGCAGATCGCGTTCACGGGCAGCACGCTCGTCGGGCGGAAGATCATGGAGGCGGCGGCGAAGTCGAACCTCAAGAACGTCACGCTCGAGCTCGGCGGCAAGAGCCCGAACGTCATCTTCGACGACTGCAACCTCGACGACGCCGTCAAGTGGGCCGCGTTCGGCATTTTGTGCGTTCATCCGTGTCTTGCATGACGTGATTCGCTGACTTGGGCGCTCCGCTTCCGCCGGCAGCTTCAACCACGGCCAGGTGTGCTGCGCGGGCTCGCGGATCTTCGTGCACGAGAAGATCTACGACGAGTTCCTGCACCGGTTCACGGAGTACACGCGGAACGTCAAGGTCGGTGACCCGTTCGACCCGGACAACTTCCAGGGCCCGCAGGTGTCCCAGGTGCAGTACGAGGTGCGTCCTTCCCCGGCGCGCTACACGTCCCGCGCGGGTGCTGACGGCCGCGTGCGCAGCGGATCATGGGCTACATCAAGACCGGGCAGGAGGAGGGCGCGACGCTGCACCACGGCGGCGAGCGGATCGGGTCGGAGGGGTACTTCATCCAGCCGACGATCTTCACGGACGTGAAGCCGCACATGCGGATCGTGCGCGAGGAGATCTTCGGGCCCGTGGGCGTCGTGGCGAAGTTCCGGGACGAGGACGACATCATCGCGCAGGCGAACGACACGCTGTACGGGCTCGCCGCGGCGGTGTTCACGCGCGACATCGTGAAGGCGGTGCGCACGGCGAACCGGCTCAAGGCGGGCACGGTGTGGGTGAACTGCGTGAACCACCTCCATACGGCGGTGCCGTTCGGTGGGTACAAGCAGAGCGGGATCGGCAGGGAGCTTGGCGAGTACGCGTTGGCGAAGTGCGTCGTTTTTTCGTTTTGGGTGTGTTGCTTCTGTGTTGGATGCAGGCCTGACCCTCCCTCAATTCGCAGCTACACGCACGTCAAGGCCGTCCAGATCAACGTCGATATGCAGTTGTAAGGGAGCCGTCGCGGGGTGTTACTCAGCGGGAAGTCGCATTGCTTGTTGTACTCATACCATTTCATGTCTTTGTACTGCTCTCACGCGCATATGTATATTAACCCAATACTTATCTCGGTCCTGGATCTGACAATTGGATGGCAAGGTCTTGCTTGTTCGCTCAGTCAGAGTGTTGTGTAGTACGTCGCGGTGGCCGATCGCGAAGGCCCGGGGTGGTGGTCAGCGCCGTGGCCTTTGTGAGAGCTTGACCCACACTTATGTGGTCTATGTGGTCTATGTGGTCTGCGTTCTATGTGGGCTGCATTCTCTGTGCCAGTGGTCTGCATTCTATGTGGGCTATTAGCGCTGTATTTGGGTAAATCATGTCTGACGTTGAACGTTTGAACACCTTTGAATAACAGAAATTGCTCGTTACTTGGCCTCCATACTTGTGCCAAGGCATTCCACTACAGGTAGCACACAGCAACATCCAGCGACTGGCATACTTACTGCAAGATGCCATCGGTCAACTTCCAGCTAATAAATCGCCCCGCGGATCGCGCACGGCGCTGCCAGTGTGTGCGATCCGCGGGGCAGTCTATCGATCTTTTGTTAGCTGGCACTGACGGTATTGGAAGATGTACGTACACTTCATCGACGTCCATGACATCGTGACCCGTAAAAGTTTTGAAGCTTTAGCGGATTCAACGGGACCACTGGCAACTCTTTGCAGCGTTGCGACTCGAGTGGTCCTTCCGATTCTCGCGCGAACCGGCTCGGCCCCTGGTAGAGTCGTTAGCTGCCCCTTGTAAGGTGAGCGTCACGGCGCGCACAACCTTGTACAATTGCTGGTGTGATTCGTTCCTTAGTTCTCTGGTCCAAGCAATCCAAGCCGTACGATTACGATGCGAGGGCGCAGCACGGACAGTGTCGGACACGCGCGATCACGGCGTGCTCGACCTTCCCTTCGACGTCCCAGAGCACATCGCTCGTCACGTCGAGGGAAAGGGTCTTATGGATCAGGTCAATCCAAAGCCTGTAAACTCTCTCCTGAGTAGCATTGGCCAAGAGCGCATCCGGGATATGTATGCAATGCGAATGCAACGCTCGATGGTGTCTCCAACTTCCATCTATGTCGGGGATTCCCTCGATGGCGACGACCTCGCGTTAGGGGGAGCTCGCTTGTACCATGCAGCCCAGTCTGTTCTCAATGACCGCTGGCAGGTGATGTACGACGAACGGCCCGGGAGGACACGATTCGGCCCCCAGAGCAGCGAACATTTGTTTCCTGCGGAGCGATGAGCGATGCAAGACATGATAGAGCCGGACTTCTCATGGGAAGGGAGCCCTGGGCGCTGCAATCGGTCGACCACTGGCCACTCGTTTGTCATCACGTCGGTGCACTACATCAATGTTGATTCACCTTATGAAGTGTTCGTTCAAAGTGGTCTCCACCCTCGCTGTAAGTCGTTGTAGGTCGTCACGGAGACGATCCAAAGTGACGTCCAGCTCGCTGAGGTCTGGGTCGGTTGCAGACAATTGGCAGACACGGACGAGTCGGAGGTTATCATATCTGTCTGAGGGCGTGAGTGATAAATCGACGGACGGGCATCCGTGCACTCACATTGTGTTGATGCGTCTTCCGCAATGAGCTCCCGTGTTTCTTTGGGAGCAGTGTACTATCCTGACATGACCGCGGATTCTAAGTACTACTAGTACTCAGTACGATGGGCAAAACCCTCCTCTCTCCCTCCGGTCGGAGTCGAGGACCACTACCTCACTGGGACAAGTAGAGATCAGAGACGATGTAGTTCAAAAAAGATTCGACAGCTTCCTCAACAGCAGGACCTAAGAGCAAGAGACAGAAACCGCCGCGGCCTCGGCCTCACTGGCAGATGCCAGCTCCTAAAATCTACTCCACGTCTCCAGCAAATCTGCTCCACATCTCAAGTTGACTCTTCCACTTGGGCAGAGGCCACGATGGCCAGAAGGAGTGTGGGTCGGCACGGTAAACAGGCGGCATCTCCATATGTGGCATTTCGGTATAGGACACGTACTCGACAGAATCAAAAAACGCGTCAAATTCCGTTGCATAGACGCGTTCCTTCTTGAAACCTGGGAGATAACCAATCTTGACCTTAAATACGCGGCGAGGGAGGGAGCGCAGGATGGCAACGAGTGGCCTGAGGATGGATACTGGACCAGACGAACATCCATTGAGCAGGATGTGCACCGAAGATAGTCGCGGGCAAAGTGTATCGCGGGCGAACATGAGTGATTGGCAGAACCGGCTGAGGGTCTCGTCGGACATCGTCAGAGACTCAAGTGCTGGCATGCGCCGCATGAGGCTGACCAAGTCTGATGAGGAGAAACCAAGTTTGGAGTGTTCATCATGGTATGAAAGCTCGATGATCCATGCCTCGCGGACCAGAGATGTATCGACTTGGGCTGGTATCCTAACAGAGGATACGAGCTGTACAGATCCTTCGCTCGTGGTGATAGTCTCCTTCCACTCTGCGCCTACGATGTCCATGTTTTCACATAGAACACCTGAAGACGGCGACAATACAATGGGTCTGGCGAGGGTTGACGTATCGCAAGGTGCCTGGGGCGGTGCGTGGCCGGGTGCGCAGAAGATAGATCTTGGACCACTGATCGGCGCGCGGGCCCCTCGATCTCTGGATGTCATCCAGTATAAGAGGGTCTCGTAAATCCGAGCCGCCGTACATAGAGACCGAGGTACATGCGCCGAGTTCTATGCTCCTGACGATTGTACGGCGTGATTTGCTGCGTGTAGACGACAGCGTAAGTCGCTGCAGCCTACCAAGGCGAGGTTTAGGCAAATGAATACCCTCGTCCTCGGAAAGGCAGTCCATCTTGTCCAATACCAAGTCGACAAGGTTGGGAGTCCCACTGAGGAGCGAAGCGAGCGCAGTGAAGGGTCCTGACCAGCTGCAATTGTGGAGATACAACTGTGTGAGGGTGCTGAACTTGTTCGCTGGACACCAGGGGATCTTGGATAGGTAAAGGCGGAAGAGACGCGGAGTGTCTCCTTGGAACAGCAAGAGCTGGGTATCACCGCCCGCTTGCTCCTGGTATGTCGGGTAACCCTGGGTGATGTCGGCGACCCGTAACACGGGTGCCGGGAAATCGAAACAGTCGAATACCTGCTCCGACCATCTGAATTGTGCGACGATCTCTCCGACACGAGAACCGTCGGACACGAGCTTGGATCTCAACCATGGGGTAAGCCCGCTGTCCAAGCCTATACTCACCCTCAGGTCGCCGCCAGCGGATCGTTCGAGAAACAGATCCCTCAAGTGCGGAGGTGTGTCAAGGGTAAGGTCGCTCCACAGAAAGGGTGTTCGCAAGGACATCTCTCGCCAGTGATGGCAGACACGCATCAAGCGAAGCACGAGAGAGCTGTTTCGCCTGCGCGAAAGAACATCCTCGGAAGACCACGCTCGTTCGCGGGCGTAGGGTTCATATGAGTCGCCGTAGTAGTGGCGGTGCACAACCACCCGCTCGATTATCATCTTGAATATCTCGGGTGGCAAACGATTGACTGCGACCCTCGAGTTTGCAATGGATTTGAGCAGCCGACTGCAAGAAGCGAGGTCCGCTATAGCGTTTGCCATCTTGACGACGCACCATCAGCATACTATGCTTGTTCATAATTATTCTCGCACTATCATACCTGGTCGTCGCTGAAGTAATGATACCTTGGTCAACAGGTGTCACTGCTCAAAAACGTCAAGGCTTACTCTAAGAGACGGTGTTCTTGCTCAACCTTGAGCGGTAAGGTTCCAATCAGGTCCATGAGCGACATCATCCTGGTGTGCATTCTGGGTGAGTCGAGTAGGACAGCAATTAACAGGATATCGAACCTGGTAGTCGTTCGGGATAGCTCAAACCGAGTCCGAGCACGGTCACGGTAGCCTCGTGCGTGTGCGTTCTTGAAAGAACAAGCGAGCGCTTGAGCGCAGAACGAGTTGTCATCGATTCGTCTCCCAATTATAAGTAAGTACTTCGTCTTTCTCCACTCAGCCTCAGCCTGAAGAGTCAAACTGCTCATCATCCACAGCACGTGTATATGTCATGAATGTAGCCCTCGTCCGTATCCCATATGGCCACTGTTGAGGAGGTATATTGAGTGAACAATAATACACGTGGCTTGTATCAAAGGACGGCCAAAAGCAAAATACACGAAGGTCGAATGTCGAGAAGGGGGGTGCCATAGCGGACGAGAATCCAGCGGCGATCAGTCCGCGCAGTCGAGTGAAGCATTGCTTTGGAGAGAGGAGGGAAATAGGGGATATGTCACTATCTAGTAGCGCATGCCGACACAAAAAATACACCAAATGTGATCATAAGTACTGTAACGGTATGCCCGAAGCTCATAGGAACCATAACATATACGCTATACAAAACATGTAGGCGGCGGGAACACCGCGCGCGGACTGACCGCACCGACCGTCAGACCGACCGCCACTACGTACCCATCAGAAGTCGTCAAAGTCGTCAGCAGGCACGCCCCTGACACCGCCGCTCTGCGTCCGTCCGCCGTCGCGCGCCTTCGCCGTGCGCATCTGCGGCACGCGCTTGCTCCCCGTCTCCGTGCTCACCCGCTCGCGCTCCTCAAAGTCCTCCACCTCCCGCGGCGAGCCCTCGTCGTCCGGGTTCGTCGCGGGGAAGGGGAACTGCACGGGCGGCATCGGCACCGGGACGGGCACCTGCTTCTCCCTGCTCCCCTTCTTCGTCTTCTTCCGCTTCTTGCTACCGTTCGTGCTCGTGCTCATTGTCGAGCTCGTCGACAGCGACGTCTTCATCGCCGGCGCGTGCACCTGCTGTTCCGCGCGCACTACGGCGGGGGTTGGCTCGCTGTCGCCCTCGGGGTACGGCGCGGGGTCCAACCACTCCTCGTCCTCCTCATCGTCAAAGTCGATGGGCTCGTCGACCGACGAGCTCTTGCTCTTTGCCATGACCTCGTGCTGGGGTATATCGAAGGACGACTTGGCTGTGCCGGGGCCTGGGGTGACAGGTCCTATGGGGTCGTCCTCTGTGTCGGCCTCGCTCTTCGACCCGACGCCTTGCACGCTCGTGTCGGGCGAGGCACTAGGCGAGCGCACGCCGTCCGAAAAGTCGCCGTCATCATCTTCGGGCATGTCGATGTCCGGCTCGGATATGCTCTCGAGCCCTATGCTGTCGTCCGGATCGGACGGCCAGCTCGGGGGCTCGTCGTGAATGTAGAAGATCTGCTTGTGCGTCTTCGCGAGCTGTACAGATGTGAACGTCTGAGCGCACATGGAATCAGGGATCAACCTACCTCGGCGACCCTACTCCTGAAATCAAGCCAATCATGCTCATCCTTCACCAAGAACCCGATGAGCATGCTCGGGTCCAAGCCCGAGAGGGGCATCTTCCGCACACGATCGCAATGGAACGTCTTCAGCTCCGAGGCCGAGTACGCCGTCACGTAATGCCTCTGTATCGGGTCCAGGTCTGCGCCCAGCTCTCGCATGTCCATGTCCGAGTCGTCCGGGATGTTCGGCGAGGACTGCCAGCGCGCATGCGACTGCGACGAGGACGACTGCGAAGCCGCGCTGGACGACGACGTGGAGAGTTGCTGTTGGAGTGGGGAGGGCGTCGCGGGCGATGAACGGTGCGAGAAAGTCGACCCCCCAGAACCGCTGCTCACGCGGACGGACGTCGGGGTGGTGGGCGACCGGAAGTGGTGTGACTTGCGTGGGCGGTCGCGCTCCCGTTCACGGTCGGATGAGTACGAGTTGTCCGGCGACGTCGCGCGCTCGGGGTGCCCATCGATGCTCGATGCCGGGGTGTCACCAAAAATGGGCGGTGGCCGCAGCGGTACGGCAGGGCGGGCGTGGTGCGGATCAAGGTAGAACAGGTTATCTGCTTGTGAGCCAACGAAATAATAAGAGGAAGATGGCCGTCCGCCAGCGATGCCAACGGATTGTGGGAAGGTGTAAAGAGCCTAGACACAGCTGCAGTGAGCGAGACTACGCATCGGCGGATCGGACATACCTTGACAGTATCGTAGTATACGGGATTCACCCCGTCGAGTCCTAAACGGATGCCGATGAGGATGAGGACGCCACGGTCGCCCCAGCCCAACCGTGCGTGTCTTCGGGGTGAACCCATGGTCGAATGGGAGACTGCGTAGACGTCGGACTGGTAGACCACGCCCCCGTCCGCAGCGACAGACACGCCCAAATTTGCCTCCGGAAACGTGTGTACAAGGGTCCTGCATGTCCATGTAATCGCGAACGCACGCATAGAAGAGGAAAACGCACTTGATCGCGCCAGCTGCTGTGCTGGGCCCAAACCACTGTCCAACGTCCTTTCCCAGTTCCTTCCCAACGAGAGCCATCCGATGTACGCTGAACGGTGCTAGAGGGGAAGGATGGTCAAGGAACCAAGTGATGATCTGAACATATGTAGCGTAGTCCACTGTATAAATAGGATATGGAGGTCTTCGCCAGTCTGCGGGTGACGTGAGCACGCAGAGGACGGAATCAGCGAGGCACACTTACCGCGGCCAAGATGTAGGTGAAGCAAGGCATTCGCAAGTAGCGACTGCCCTGTGCGCAGCATGCAACCCCAGCCTGCGTCGCTCGTCCATCCCTTCTCACCGCCGAGAGGCCAATTCCATCGTTTCGGCTGGGGGCTGCCCGTCGGCGCAGCGTACTCGCCTACCTCCGTTTCGAGTGCAGAGAGCGTCGTATCACGGATCGGCTGGAACTGCGAGCGGTACGTGAGCCAGATGCGCGACGTGAAGTCGGCGTAGAACACAGGCGGCCAGTTCTTCGACGGATCCTTCACATTGTTGCCGGATGTTGGTGATGATGGAGTGAGCTGTGCGGACGAAAAGGAGGCATCGAACGGTGACAAGTCTTGCGGGGTTGCGGGTGCGGAGGACGTTGATGAGCGGAGCGAAGACGGCGAACGGCGGGAGTCGGCGGAGCCGCGTCGCGCGACGCCCGCTCCTGCGCTCGCACTGAGCGCCGATGCGGAGGCGGTTGGCGGGGGGTTCGGCTCGTAGCCCGGATGTTCGACGCCAAGGATCCATATAGGGTCGCTGCATTTATCGGGCAGCGCATCGCTGTCGAGGAGATAGCGCATCGCCTTGTCGAGGTGGCCCTTGCCGTGGCGCGCAGCAGTGAGGAGGGCAGAGCTCTTGCCACGCGGAGACGTCGTGGCTGCTGCGAGCTGCTGCTGCGAGAGCAGGGAGGGCAGGGAGAGGTCGGTGGAGGAGGAGCTGAAGGTGTGCGAGAACCAGCCAGAGAGGCGGGTGGGGAGGTCTGTGAGGCGGGCAGCCGAGGCGCTGGAGGGGTAGTAGACCTGCGGGTAGGTGTTGCTAGGGTCTGCAGAGGGCCGGTCTGAGCGTGTGCGCGGGCGGGGGATGTTCACGGGCTCGACGATGACGGGAGGTTCGTCCGCAGGCGTCTCTGGCTCGACGCGGTCGATGCTGTCCGTGTCGTGAGAAGCGCGGCGCTTCTCGTCGCGGTCCTTCGTCGGCGAGAGGACCTTCTTGAAGGATTTGCGGGCCTTTGGTACGTCGGGTGCGGGGGGAGGGCTGGAGGACGAGGACGAGGAGGTGCTTGCCGTGCTCGCGGCGGTGTCGGCTACGGATTTCGAACGGTCCCTGCCCGATTTCTGAAAGAATCTGGGGAGTTTGGTCGCCGCGCCCGGCGACGACGAGGAGGGGGAGAGGCTCTTTTGCTTGGAGGCCATCGGGTCGCCGCCGCCGCCGTCGTTGATGGCGAGGGAGTGGGTGAGAGAGGTCAAGCTGCGTTTGGTCGCGTCGCGCATGGACCGCGGCGCTCTCCGCTCCGCTCACGCTGGCTCCCTCTCTCACCCATCCCCTTCCGACGCTCTCCTTCTCCCCGCCAGCAGTTCACATAATCGCTGTCTTTTGCTCCCAACTCTCCAGTCTCTCGCCCGCTCTCGCCTGGTGCCCTTGGCCCGTCCGGTGTCCTCGCCGGGCCAACGAGAACGACGCCAATTACCCCGCCCATCAACACACACCCACGCCCTCTTTCATGTGGCCCGAAACCCGACACCTATCTGCTCGGCCCCTATTCCACCAACTCTCTTTCCCGCCAGTGCGCCCGAGCACGGGCACGCGCTTCATTTCGCCTCGCTAACGACGGCCACCTCGACCCTTGGCCACCACGTCGTGTGTCCACCCAGGATTCTACCGCCAGGCGTGTCTAGATTCTGTGTGGGCTATGTGAGCACTATGACGTTCCGTTTGGTCACTTCCACGCTTGATATGGGCGAAGACGTCGAAGGTGTTCTCCCCCAGTCAAGTGATAACCCCTGCCGAGCCTCCATTCAACCCCGTCCTTCTTCCGCCGGCTTATAGTACTTATCGTCGTCAAGGACTGTGAATGAACGTGGAAATCGGTCCGCGCAGGTACGGCTGACCCAACCGTGCCCCGCATCCACCATCTGTCCTGATAGAGCACGAACCGAGGTCAGCCAGCTTGTTCATCATCATGCGCGAGCCCTGTCGGGGATTGCGAGGTTCAGATGCGCGCGCAGATCCAGCGTTCAGGCAATACACAAGGCAGGCCAACCACTTTCCTCTGTCACAGGTGAGAACCGGGCCAGATCGTGCCTCCCCTTTGACAGTACTATCTCCAGCTGCGCGCCAGGCTGCACCTCGACTACGTGCTGGGCGCATACAGGCCGGTATATTTGGATGTTCTCAGGCTAGGCTTCTAGGTCTCCCGGCGGGCTACGTAATTCTTCGAGTGGACAGACGCAAGGGGGCCTTTGCGTGGATGTCGACATCGAGTGGCGGCGCAGCGTGTACCCGGCCGAAGTCCTGGTCTGCTCCTTTTAGCCACGCACAAGACCGACGCCACCATTTACGCTCTGGCCAAGCGTGCTGATGGATGCTACACTTCGTCCTCGAACTCCCGTAGGCTTAGGACACGGTCATGTGTGTTCCTACCCATCTGCACTCGATAGGGACTGAAGTGATTGTGCCCGCGGGGCCGCTCGTTGACCCTCAGCCGGTTAGGACGGGCCGGAGGACGGTACATAGGGCGCGCACGCAGCATCCACGTCTCCTCCGGGGATGGGTAGAGGGTAAGGTACGAGGGGCCCGTTGGCACCCAGCCATGGCGCAGTGATGGCTGCATGGCGGGAGAACACGCACGTACACACACAAGTGAGATCGTCAGGGCGAACGAGATCTGCGCCAGCGACGCGTGTCCGCGATACGCCCGGGCGCGTGGAGATCCCCTCATGCGTGAATCTCGCTCTCGAGGGCCTTCGGGCGCAGTGTCAATTTAGCTGCTACAGCATGCGAATGTATACGGGTCGGGCGCATGTTATAAACGAAGTGGAACGGAATGGGCAGCGATAAAAAGTACAAGAGGCAGAGACGAGAGGACAGAGGGCAATAATATGAGGAAACTGTTAGAACCGAGCCCTTGTATACACAATCTACCAGACGAGGACAGAACAAAGACCTCCAGAAATGACAACCTAGCATATCACGTCCCGCAACACGACCCGACAAGCCGCCTCCGGTCCCCCTGCGCGTGCGTCAGCCGGATCGTCTCGTCCGCCTCCTGCATATGCAGCGTCCGCGCGTCCAGTGCCTCCTCGTATTCCCATTGCATCACCACCCGCCGCGCAACGTACTCGAACACCCCCGCCACGCCCTCCCCCGTTTTCGCCGACGTAAAGAACAGCTTCGGCCGGCGCTCCGGCGGCGGCGGCAGCGAGAACGAGCCCGCGGGCGACGGGCCAGACGCGGGCGTCGTCGACAGGCTGTGGGCGCGCTCGCGGTGGAAGAAGCTCGGGGTGATCGTCGGCGCGGACGAGACCGTCGACGACGACGGCTGCCGGCGTGGCGTGCGCGTCGGCGAGTACGACGGCGAGCGCACGGGCGACGCGGAGCCCGTGGATATCGACACCGTCGTGCGCGCAGGCGAGGACAGCGCGGACTCGAACAGGTCGAACACGGAGGAGGAGGGCGTGTGGTAGATCGTGTGCGTCGTGGTCATTGTGCCGACCGTCCCGCCCCGGAAGACCGTCGACCGGCTCCGCGAGCGCGAGACGGAGCGCAGGCTGCGTCGGGGGCGCCGTGCGATGATGTCGATAGATTTGCTCGGGGGTGTGCCCGGCGCAACAATGGGCGTGGGCATGTCATCCTCGTCGCTCTCTGCCTCGAGGATCGGCACGACGCTCAGGATAGGTGCAAGAGGTGGTGAGAGTGGAGGGACGAGCTCGTCGACCAGGCGTACGGCATCCGCTTCGGATACACTGGGGGTGTCGCGGGCAAGGTCGATCTTGTTCCCGACGACGACGCAGCAAAAGTCCTGGAGGTCCTCGTCCGGCACGGGGGCCTTTTCGCGAAAGTCGTCCCACCATCGCACGAGGGCTTGCAGCGTCTCGGGCTGGTTCACGTCAAAGAGGAGGATCGCTGCGTCCGCGCCGCGGAAGAACGCAGATGAAAGGCTCGAGAAGCGCTCCTGCCCCGCCGTGTCCTGCGCAACTCCAGTCTCGTCCCGCCCGCAGTATTGCAACAAGACCACGCACCCATATCTGCAATGTCACCGTCTCATCCTGCGCGCTGTGGTGCGGCACAGATTTCGTTATGAAGTCTGCGCCAATGGTCGCACGATACCCGGTCGTGAAGCGTCCCGAAATGTACTGCAGAGGCTTCAGCTTGAGCTCCCCATGCTGCACAGCGAGCACGCACCTGGTTGCGAAGACTAGTCTTGCCTACGCCCGACGCGCCGATGACAACGACCTTGACCGTGCGCATGCCCACCGTCGCTCCCGGGCTGCATGAGAGTCGTTGCAGTCGTCGGTGGCGCGCTCCCGCGGTCGGTCCGTCGGAGAGGCACTGTCCGAGGTCTCTGCCGCCTCCGCGACTGAGGCGCTGCCAAGGGTCTTCGCCCGTCCGCTTCTGGCAACCCCGACTCGGTCGGGCAGCTGCACGGCGCCGATCCTTCTCCCGCTCCCCGCAATCACCTGTTTCCCGATGTGCTACTTAATGCAGTCGACCCCATGCTGTACCGGAACCATCACCGTACTATATAGCACCTACAGCTCTCCCCACCAAAAACCATCGTACTGCATATCATGGCTCCCCAGGCATACGTCGCACCCGTGGTCGACTCCTCGGCGGTCTTCAAGAGTGACATATTCAAAGGAAAGGTCCTGTTCTGCACGGGTGGTGGCTCCGGGATATGCAAGGGCATGACAGAGGCTGTGGTACGTGGGCACGCATTAAAGCGTTATATCAGAAACTATAGTGAGGACAGATGCGCCATGGGGCGGATGCGACGATTGTCGGGAGGAAGTGAGTACTCGCCAGTCGAGGTCAACTGTACATCATCGAGCCATACATCTATCAGACTCGACCGACTCAATGCGAGCGCGGCAGAGCTCTCCAAGGCTACTGGGAGACAGTGTCTCGTCGCCCAAGCCGACGTACGCGATCCTGAGCAGCTCAAGAACGCCGCGGCGAAGACCATCGAGAAGTTCGGCAGGATCGACTTCGTCATTTGCGGTCAGCTCCCTGGGGTCCAACGTGTGACCAGTGTTATAACGGGTTTCGGCCTGTAGGAGCTGCCGGGAACTTCCTTGTCCCAATCTCTGGTCTCTCGGAGAAGGGCTTCAAGACTGTCATTGACATCGACACCGTATGTGCATTGAAGAAGTCATCTGCTCCTCGCTCACGCACTTGGGGCAGCTCGGTACGTACAACACGATCAAAGCCACCATCGCACACGTCCGCGCATCGAAGGGCGCGTACATTCATGTCAGTGCTACTCTGCACTACAAAGGTCCGTAGACGTTGCATAGGCACTGCACTATGCACTCATTTTCTTGCAGGTACACCTTACCAGGTGCACGTCTCAGCCGCAAAGGCCGCTGTCGATGCTAGTGAGTATACCCGTGCACCGCTACGTCATAAGCAGCTAACAACATCCTGCAGCCTCCGCAGTCCTCGCAGTTGAGGAGGGCCCTTTCGTACGTCCCTCCTACTCTCGCCCCTCTCATCCTCCTAACACACTCTCAGGGCGTCCGCTCCAACGTGATCGCCCCCGGGCCCATCGGCGGCACCGAAGGCGTCGACCGTCTCTCGCCCAAAGGCAAATCGCACGCCGCCAACATTCCCCTTGGGCGGGCGGGGCACCTGCACGACATCGCGAACGCGACCGTCTTCCTCTTCAGCGACGCCGCGAGCTGGGTCACCGGCCAAGTGCTCCCCGTCGACGGCGGGAGCGAGCATCTGCGCCAGTTCTTGCTGCCGTACCCCGAGGCGCTGATCAACCCAGATGCGGTCAAGAACTTGATCAAGCCGAGGTTGTGAGTGCGTGGCCGGGGGTGGTGTCGAGTTCTTGGGTTTTTGATCGTGACTGTATCGGGACGGAGATTGTACTGACTGTTGTTATTTATCGGAGGTGCTGTTGCATCCATCTCGAGTGTTGATCTCACCAGTCAAACCGACTTCTATGAATACCCTCTTCAGTGAGTCGAGGCTCTTGCTCCAGCATAGGCTCAGGGGTTCGTTCTGTCCATGCGGACGTGATACGCTTATATAACCTCCACTACCTGACCGTCTTGCACATAACGGCGTAGACGCGACATGCTCAGCCAGAAGAGAACTTGCGCCACTGATCCGAGTCTCCGTTGCTGACTAGGTTCGATACTGCCTGAGACCTCATGTGGAGGTCTTGGTATCGGATTGCATTGCTGACCAGGAAGACAGACATCCATTTCTGGCCCACAGTGGACTGCAACACAGATTTATCACAGGAATCAGTCATACCTCGCTGCACAAGCCATCGTGTAATAAGCTTTGAAATCTCAACGATAACGGCGGTACATCCAATTGACTCATCAACTCACACTAGCAACACAGGTACAGTAATCCTACCGTACGGCGCTACCCATCGACAATGGTGCTCACATTGGTAGAAACCAGATCATTTATATAACAACAAAGAAGTCAGCATACATGTCATCTTGCGCTTCCCCTGCCATGTCGTCCATAGAGTCTGTTACATGTCCTCTAGTCCACGTGTTCCTGTGACACTATATCGTTCACCGTTCCGTCTTGCATGTCCATCTCTATATCGTCGTTCCAATGCCCCTCTTCGTCGTCATCATATGGTTCATCCTCCGAGTACATCCCTTCATAGTCACCAGATCAATCGTCCTCCCAATGTGTCTCTTCATTGTCGTCCGAGTCAGATGTTGATACTGCGTCCTCTGACGACTCCGCAGGCCGCAGGTGCTTTGCCAATGTATCCGGGTCATTATCTCTCCATAGTTCCAAGACCTCATCCAAGATCTTGTCTGTCACATCAACATACTCCTTGCAGTTGTAGGACTCGCTCTCTGTCAATTGATCCACGGTGGTGATCGTAAAGTAGTGCCCGGCCCAAGGACCACGGTGAATGGCGAAGCGTCTCTTGCCTTTTAGTGCGCCCGAGCGATCCGACGACCAACAAATCTGGGTGAGGAGGACGTGCCCAAGGCTCAGTAGGTCGTCCGTCCACGGACCGTCACAGCGCGAGCCCGTCAACCTGGCGACACCACTGGCGCGCACGTACTGAGCCGTCGTCCGTTGCAGAGGATCCACTCGGTCTCCGGCCTCCCATCCCAGGAGAAGTCGAGCCGCAGCAAGTTGTCCATTTTACGTCGCTCTGCAGGGGACAAAGAGGACGTATTATGCCGACTGAATCTCTTGCCCAGCAGTCCGCGCGCGTCCGTATCGAGGAAGGTGCCATCGTCTATGTACAACCGAGGAACAGGTTCTGAGTCGAAACCATATGTCCATCGATCGTGTACGCGCCCCGTGAGTTGCGCCTTCTCGCGCTCCTTGACGCCGGGGGGTAAGTCGTCGCCGGCGAGACGGTCGCCCACGCAAACGATGCGCTCTAGGTGCCAAGGGCTAGAGTACTCTATGAGCAGCAAGTCGCATACGCGGTTCTGACCGACGTCGCGCAAGAACGAGTTGGTGAGCGCGAGGAAGACAGCATCAGCGATGTCCTCGTTTCGGACCTGCCGGAATATATGTTCCAGGATGTCGAAGGGCAGGTTGAGTGCGCCGAGGTCGCGCGGGTCAGTGCTGTGGCCTCGTTCAAGTGAGCGTTGATACGGTTTGGGCTGGGGAGATCAGCGTCACGTCAGTTGAATCGTATCAAATGCCGGCCACGATGCCTTTCACCTTCCGGGGTACCGCTAACATCCAGACAAGCCGGGCTGGGTCATGCGAGAAGAGGATGTCGAATAGCCTAAGAGAAGTGAACGCGATATAGTGTGTCTTCTGTCAATGTTGATGCTGGCCACAATAGTTAACCAAACATCCGTCAGTGCCTGCTGGGACAAACTGCAAAAGCAACTTACATCTTCCAGTACTGCCACGACATGTTATAAACGCTAGGCACGAGAACTTGAATAGGTATGCAGTAACAATAGTGATCTGTCCGTTGCGTTGTAAGTACTTGCAATGATGATGGAGTTTATTTATTCAAAATTGGTCGTTCTCACGATGTTGGCCACGGCGCTTCCCAATCCGGATGATATCCACGTGCAACGATGCCGCGGATGCGCACTACCAAGTGATATATACACCTCGAAACGGGCGAATCGCACGTCTAACGTGGCGATAGCAGCTACTTACGGGACACGATGTTCGATGCGGAGCATATGTGAGCAAGGCGTCGGACAGCTGATGGCAAAACCTGTGTGGAACGCGCTGTCACGGCGTTGTCAGCAAGGGACAGGTTCTGTTGCCGCGGCACCACCCGTCGAGCGCACTGTGCGGCAATACTCTAGGTGGTACTAAGCTCCATTGTGGGTCCATGAGGGACGCACGCCTCCACTGATTCTGTGACGCGTCCACTCCATCGTCGTTTATCATAGCCTTTAGCACCAACACAGAAATAGCGTCATACATATCGTCTTGTGCTTTCCATGTGTCACCCATTTCTGCTACGTCCCCCTAGTCTGGCTGCACCTGTGCTCCTGTATTGTTCACCACCCCGTCTTGCAAGTCCATCTCCATATCGTCATTCAAATGCTGCTCTGCATCGTCTGATATAGTTCATCATCCGAGTATGTATACTCCTGGAATGTCTCTTCATTGTCGTCCGACTCTGACGACTCCGCCGCGCACTCCAGTACATCCATGTCATTATCTCTCCATAGCTCGGAGACTTCAGCCAGGATCTTGTCTGTGACATCCACGTACTGCTTGCAATTGTAGGACACGTTCTCTGTCAGCTGATCCACGGTGGTGATCGAAATGTAGTGTCCAGCCCAGGGGCCACGGTGAATGTTGAGGCCTCTCTTGTCATCTATTGCGCCCGAGCGTTCGGACGACCAACAAATTTGGGTGAGGAGGACGTGCCCAAGGCTCAGCATGCCATCCGTCCACGGACCGTCACAGCGCGAATCCGTGAGCCTGGCGACACCGCTGGCACGCACGTACTTAGCCTCCGTCCAGTTGCAGAGGATCCACTCGGTCTCTGGCCTCCCATCCCAGGAGAAATCGGGCTGCAACAGGCTGTCCATCTCACGCCGCTCTGCAGGGGACAGGAACTTCGTTTTGCGCGGACTGAATATTTTGCCCAAATAGCCACGAAACCTCTTGTCAGCCAAGGCGTGTTCTGCTATGAACAGCCGAGGAACGTTGGCCCCGAGGAATCGGTCGTATGCGCGGCCTCCGAGTTGCGCCTTCTCGCGTTCCTTGACGCCGGGGGGAAAATCGTCGCCAGCGAGGCGGTTGCCCACGCAGGCGATACGCGCGAGGTGCCAAGGGCAAGAGTACTCTATGCGCAGCAATTCGCATACGCGGTTCTGACCGACGTCGCGCAAGAACGAGTTGGTGAGCGCGAGGAAGACAGCATCGGCGATGTCGTCGTAATTGAACTGCTGGAATATGCGCTCGAGGATGTCGAAGGGCAGGTTGAGCGCGCCGAGGTCGTGCGGGTCCGTACTGTGGCCTCGTTTGAGTGAGCGCTGGTATGGTTTGAACTGAGGAGACCAGCGTCGATGATGATGTTGCACTAAGTATCATACTATCCCGGCCACGGTGCTTACTCACCTTGCGGGGCCTTGCCAACGCCCAGACGAGCCGGGTTGGTTCATGCGAGAAGAGAATGTCGCTTAGCCTAAGAGAATCAAACTCGATAGTGTGTCTCTTGTCGATGTTGATGCTGGCCACAATAACGAAGCATCCGTCAGTGCCGGTTGCGACAAACTGCCAGAGCAACTTACATCTTCCAGTACTGCAGGCGTGTCATGGTGACGACGCTGAGTAGGCACGGAAGTAGGTATGTAGTGACAATTGCGATCCGTCCGTTTCGCTGTACTTACACAAGGAGGGCTTTGTCCACCCTAACTTGAGTCCATGCCGGTGATGCCGCTCCTTCCGTAAAAAAGCACGTGACTTAGAATTCCCATAAGCAGTATCGCAGCAATGCTCGAGGTCCTTACGAGGCAGCTCGAGGCAGTTGAATCCTTCCGTGCAGGCTTCAAGCTGTCTGGACACCTGGAACATCTGTAACCATTCAACAGTGAATGATTCTTCCCTCTCTCATGTCGATAGCTCTCGCATGCACTGTGGTACAGTATGTATCGCAGTAAGTCAGCAGTGTGAACTCGTGGAAGCCCGAGACGCCCGGGCGTGAGGGCTTCCAATTGAATCTTCAATACCATTTCCGATGATAATACAACATTACAATACATCATAACTTACAGTGTCTACTACGTTTAGTTCCGCTGTGGCAGCTGAGCAGCTACAGTATGTGCCATGCAGGAGTCGAGGATTGGCGCTTGCGCCGCTACGATGGAGTAGGATGGAGGTCACCTAGCGCTATAGCAACAATGCCAGTGGTCGTCAGTTGGTCGTTCTCACTTGGCCACGGCGCTTCCCAATCCGGATGCAGCAGCATTCCCCACCTCATGTTGAGCCTGAGGCCTTACAGAACCCGATCAAATTAAACAGGCCTACGTGTACCACCCTGCGCCAATTTCGCAACGAATGCAAGGCGTAGGGCTGGATAGATATGTAGTAGAACACAGATCTCTGCTGCTAAATCTCAGTTCTGACTCTTTCTGCGTGTGCGAGGCTATGAGTGTATGCGTCCTTGTGTGTCTCAAACGAGGGTAGATCACGCTCAACCATTGATGGGATTACAGCGTAGATCGAGCTGGGTATGGAGAGAACAAGGAGTCGGTCGCTGAACACGCTCAACACATCGTCACGATGACCAAGACGTGCAATCGTTGTCGTGTGAGTATACCGCTAATATTCGTACAGATGTTCCGGGTGGCTGAGAAAACAAAGCCTGATTATAGCTTGGACGGCAGCTTTCCGAGAGGAGCGAACTGCGGCTTCGTCTTCGTCTTCGTAGACTTGACGAGCTCCTTCATGTCCTGCAGGAGAGTAAGCAACGCGCTACATGATCGAACTGGAGCGAACGCGAGGCACTCACGGCAGTCTGGAGCATGGCGCTGTTCCACGTAGCTGTGTAATCCAAGTTCTCCTGCACACTGCCAACGGAGACCGGGTTAATGCTATACTCAAATCCCACAACGTCTCCACACACCTATGATCCCTCGCATGCAACAACAAGTGCTTCGACCCAAGCACCGCAATCGGCGACTTCCCCGCGATCGTCCGCGCCGTCTGCAATGCAGCCGAGAGGACCTCGTCGCGGCTGCCCTGTACAACGCGCGAGACGAAGCCGAGCTTCTCGGCCTCGGCCGCGGAGAAGTCGCGCGCGGTGTATGCTAGCTCGTGCAGCAGGCTGTGGTTGCCCGAGATCTTGGGCAGGCGCGCGAGCGTGCCGATGTCGGCGGCGAGGCCGACGTCGACTTCCTGAATGTGTACTCTCAGCTAAGTGTCCGGAGGGTGGAGTGAGTACGCAGCCTACCTTGATCGAGAAGACGGTATTCGACGCTGCGTATCGCACGTCGCATGCGGCCATGATGTCGATGGAGAGGCCGAATGCGATTCCGTGCGCTGCGACGATCACGGGGTAGGGGCACCGCTCGATCGCTGTGATGCAGCTCTGGAACGAGAGTATTTGTTCGCGCAGCTGGAGGGCGCGTCTGGCAGGCTCGTTGGAGAAAGCGTCGCCGAGTCCTCCGAGTGCGCTCACTGTTTCGAGGACATTGAGTATGAGAAAGACGTTGAAGCGACGTGCCTACGATCTATTCCTGCTGAGAACAGCCTCGGGAGGGCGGACGCAAGCACGACAACGCGTACGGTAGGCTGAAGAGAAATCTTGTTGAAGACCTGCGCTAATGCTGTCCAGCACCTAGTCGAGGTCAAGCATTCGTGAGAGCTCCCGACAAGATGAATGGCTCGGGCACTTACTCCTCACTGAAGGCATTCACAGGCTTCCTTGCAATCAAGTATTGGTTCTCCGTGATTCCGTCAAGGCGTAACAGTACGCTTACTCACCGTAGGATCTCGACCAACGCAATATGAGGCTCGGGAGAGGAAACCTTGAGGAACTCCGTTGACAGCCCAACCAGCGACGACGCTTCCGACATGTCTCAATGTTAGCTATGGCTCGTTTCGCTCTTTCACCCTGCTTCAGCCGTGCTGCGAGCCGGGGTTACAGCAGTGTCAGTCAATCTAGTTGCAGTGTAAAGAGAACTATGGACGTCGTTCCGCCACCGAGCAGACCAGAAGCATGTGAATGATGGGGAGTTTGATGCCGATACCTTGACAGACCGTTTTAACAGATGTTCACTCGAATTGCACGTCTATGTCCTTGATGAGGGCGTAGGAATTTGCGCAGCCAGTGACTGCAGTGTATACTGTTGAGAGGCTCGGGTCTCAAGATCTCAAGAGCGACACAGAGGCTGCATATATACTACTTACGTTGACCGACAGTTGACCGCTGTGGCAATTGCAAAGGCGATCGGATCGGCGCGACAGGGACCCCGGGGCCCGGTAGGTGAGGAGGCTCCGGGGTCCACTGCCAGTGTTCCTCACTCGTCACCAGCATCCGAGAGTCGCCCGACGTCCTCAACGTCGTTCACGTCGTCGCCTACGTCCCCGAGCCCATCACGCACTCACGCCCTACAATCTAAACAAATGGCTCGTCGCTCCGCACCTCCCGGCTCCGGCCCCGCCTACTACTCCGGCGCACCTGTGCGTCGCGGCGCCCTCCACGACGCGAACGAGTCCAAGTTCTCTGCATTCATGCGCGAGGAGGTCTGGGCACCTGAAAAACTCCCGGGGAATGTCAGCATCCTGACGGGGTTGGTCGTGTTCTTTGGCGGCATTGCTGCCATCCGGACGTGGGGGACATGATGATCCCGGCTTGAGGGTAGAGGGAGGAGAGCCGCACGAGTGTCGACCGAGTGCACCCTACCGTATCCCATGGTGCGTTGCGCAAGCCTTGTTCTCCGGCAACTGTATTCAAGTACTGTATTTCGCAGCGATGATAGCCTACGCGCAATGTTGCGTAACACGTCCCGCATATATCCGACCTTCTGCCATTCACCGCCGCGAGCACCTCCACGAGCAGCCCTCGTCGTCAGCAAAATCCCCGCATCCCGCGTGGTATCCATTTTAACATACTGTAATCTATATTGCTGTCGACCTGCACACTCGATTGCTTTGCGCGAAAGTACCTTTGGCATGGCCATCCATACACAATCCCATTCCGTCAATAGATGCCCAGATATCCTGCATACCTCTCGCTTTGTGACAGAAACATGACTGGTGGGAATTGTCTAATGTCTGTATGAACCCGCCGGTGCTAGACTAACACAGGGTGCAAGCTGCAAACGCGTATAGCACCGACAAGTTGGGCAAATTTATGGGCGCTTATACATGACCTGCGTCTTCGCGGTCGACCTCCACCACACGGCGACCGTCTGGTATTGAAAAAAACTGGCATACAGTACACCTGAACGAGTCTCGCGAGCTACAACCCTCCCTTTTCCTACTTGATGTCGCTTCTTTCCTCCTCTCGGGCCCTCGCTCGTCATGCGCCGCTGCTTCCGCAGGAGCTCGTAATAGTATGCCTGCACACGTCGGCGTCGACTTCTTCGGCATCCAGTGCCCCCCCCTCTCGCAGACGTCTCGTGAAGGACCTCAAGCCTCGCTCTGCCTCCGGCACAGGGACACTGGTCGTCGCACCTGAGGAGAAACGCGAGCGGGATGCCGCACCTCACTCAACGCCGGGAGCGCGGGACAGGTTCAAGGCGCGGGAAGCGACACTCATGCAAGCTAGGGAATGGAATCAGCGGAGGCGGGAGAGAAGGGAGAGGGGCGAGGACAAGCACGCACGGGGTGGCAGGAAGGGCGAGGCTACACGGTCGACTGTGAAGGGCTGGGACCGGTCGGAGAAGAGCGTCCGCAGGACAATGTCCATAGCGCCGAATGTCCCGGATTATAACCAGCCCTGGCGCATGCCGAGGAACGAGCCGAGGAGGTCAGACGGGTCCGCGAGCTTCAGCGGGACGAGGTCTGCAGAACGGTCCTCGGATGCAGACGCACCGCGCAAGCCGAAAGTGCAGAACCCGCTGAGCGAGGAGTTCGACACGTCGTCCCGGGCTGCATCGACGGACCAGTTGCCGAAGGAATTCGCTTCGCCGCCGCTCATGGAAGGCCTCTTGAACTCGGTCGTGGACGTCCTCGGCCCACATGCGAAACCGACGCCCATTCAAGCCCTGTCTCTCAAGCACCTCTTCAACCGACCACTACCAGGCTCGTCTACCTCGCAGGTAGAAGACGACGTTGAGTACGTGCAATGCCTCCTCGCGTCCGAGACGGGCTCGGGTAAGTCTATGGCATACCTCCTCCCCATGCTACAAGACCTCAAAATCTCCGAACTCCAATCCGACCCTGTCTCACTCCCCCCTTCCCAGCTCCCGCTGAACCCTCGTGCCCTCGTTCTCGCACCAACGCACGAGCTCTCTAGGCAACTCTCTGGGTTCGGGAAGGCTCTGCTCCACGGGATCAAGCTCCGCGTGTTATGCGTATCGCAAGCGAACATTCCGAGCATCCCTACGCGGAGCGTGTCTGCGTCCAAGATGTCGAAGGAGCTGGACTTTGACGAGCTCACGCAGCAGGAGGGTGCGTACCGCAAGACAGCCAGGCCTGTGGACGTCGTCGTTGGGACAACGTCTAAGATACTTGAACTGGTGAAGGGGCGTAACTGGGATCGCGAGCAGCCGAAGGTGGAGGATACGTGGGACAAGGAGGCGCCGAAGTCGCGCAGGTTCACTGTCGGGAAGCCTGAGATGAGCCTTGAGAGGATCGAGTGGGTCGTGGTTGATGAGGCAGACGTTCTCTTTGGTGCGTATTGTATTCCGGACGTCTCACAACATGCAACTGACTGTTGTTGTACTAGACCCTGACTTCCAGGAGCACACGAACTTGATCCTCTCGGCCATCGCAGAGGCTCGCGGCCAACCTATCGAACGCCCTGACGAGTCCGAGCTATCCAAAGTTGGTCCCGAGAACCCCGCTCCGGTTAACTACCCCTTCAACCTGCTCCTCAGCACCGCGACGATCCCCTCCTCGCTCGCGTGGTACCTCGACACCTACCACCCCGCGCTCCTGCGCCTCGCCTCGCCGCACCTGCACCACCTGCCCAAGACGCTCAGGACGGAGTACGTCGCGTGGACGGGCGGGAACCGCAACGCGGACGTCGAGCGGCAGCTGCGCGCGGTGTGGCACGAGGACGCGCTCCGCGACAACGGGCGCCGGTCGAAGGTGCTGATATTCTGCAACAAGAGCACGAAGGTCGAGGACCTCGGGCGGCACCTCGACGCGAAGGGCATCCCGAACGTCGCGCTGACGAGCACGAGCGAGACGAGAAAGTGGGGGTCGAACCACCACCTGGACGGGTTCCTCAAGCACACGAGCCCCAACACCCCCGAGGGATCCTCAGATAAATCAACTGCGGCGTCTGACGAGGAGACTGCAGAGCCGGTCGCCGTTGTCGCCGCAACGGACGAGAGCAAGGTCCCGCATGTGATGATCACGACGTCGCTGCTCTCGCGGGGGCTGGACTTCTCGCCCGACCTGAAGCACGTCTTCATCGTCGACGAGCCGCGGAACATGATCGACTTCCTCCACCGCGCGGGCCGCTCGGGGCGTGCCGGCGAACAGGGCAAGGTCATCGTGTTCGGGAAGACGAAGGGGCGCGGGTCGGCGAGGACGAAGGATATGAGGAAGAAGGTCGGCGCGTTGGCTGCGTAGACCGTGATGGGAAGCGTAGACGGGATCTCAGTATATTAGTAGGAAGTATATTGCTCGTACTTATGTTGGTCGGTGCTAATCGAAGACGCTGCTCACTGCTCACATGTCTTGATTTGGGTTTGACACTGACCGCCGCCCTTGAATTATGTGAGGGTAGGGCAGTACGGAGCAGGCGGGTGCTGGCTCGGCACAATGAATGCCATTGAGCGTGTACTGAGGCCTGAGGCTTGTGGTCTCGTACCCATTCGTATGGACGCACCCCACCACCGGTGTCGGGAGACCAGAGGCTTGAGGCCGAGGTTCCAGCCTTCCTCCGTCTAAAGTTACATGTCCGCCGGTATATATAGCGCGAGTTGAGTATCAGTAAAGTAAGATGTATCAATGGTGGCGAAGTAGAAGGCAACATTTGTCTACTCCGTTCATACGATTCGTGGTGTACTTCAATGAAATGACATCCCATTCATAAGTAGCAGCTTGACGGGCCAGTATGCCATAGGTAGGTCAGGGAGATCGGAGTTACGCCGGCGCCATGGAGCCCTCAACGTTGGTACATTATCATAGGCACAGTGCTTCACCGTCTTAAAACGGCTGTCATGTGCGCTTTGATACCTGACTCTGTAATAGTCCGGCAGATACGCGATTGTGACGCTAGAAAAGGGTATATCAGCCCGTATTGTCGAGAGTGTGGTCATGATGCTATCTAAAGGCGGGCTTGCGCCCGACAAGAGGACGGTGATCCTCGACAGCCGTGGACACAGTGCCTCCACCCGCTCCAGCCAATCGCCGTCGGATATTGCGCGGGCCATGTGCCCTAGACTGTGACCATAGACCGTCAGCTGTCTCAGCTCCTCCATCTCCGGCAACAATGAGGACCACATCCGTACAGGCCACAGGCTCTCCTTGGGATAGACGCGACGTTCCAGGTAGCGGAGGTCTCGCAACTGGCGTAACCTGAAGAAATCGGCGAAACAATAGCGCCAATCCGGGCCCATGGGGACAGGGCGGAGACATTTATTGCGCAGTAAGAGCCCGCCACGCTGGCTAACGGCCCAGACGGACATCGAGACGTTCCCGTCGGACAAGCCCCCTGGTGGCGTTTGGAAAAACTGGAGCTGCAGGCTCGTAGGCTCTACGACATCCAGGCCATATCGATATAGGGCGTCTGGTAGCCAGTCGTCCTGCACGTCTTGTGCAGAGGAGCCGCGAGTGTCGTACACCAGAACGGTAGCTTGATGTGTGAGGATCAATTTGGACAGCAACAGCGCAACACTGGCACTGCCAGCACTGATATCGTGGAAGGAGAGGCGGCGAAGACTCGGCAGGTAGACCTTCCCCGCTTGATCGGCACCCTCCTCTCGCAGCTCCTTGTCGTGGTCCAATGTGTCCGATAGGACCAAGTCCACCAGGTTGGGAGTATCGCGGAGGATATTGAGGACCGTAGAGACCGGATTGGACCAGGCACAGCGACCTATGAACATTGTCGTGATGGTGGTGAAGCGGTCTTCTGGCACCCAGGTGAGGCCACATAATGAGACACTGCGGAGACGAGAGGTCGATTCGCTGAAGATTTTGACTGTAGGTGCCGCTGCGGGTTGAGAGGAGTCATCGTCGTTCGCGTCGTCCTCGTCATCCTCGTCATCCTCGTAATACCCATCATCCGTGATTGTTAGGTCCTCAAGAGTGTCACTTGATTCAGAAAGAATATATCCGCATGTACAAATGACGTCGTAGGTGCATTCCGACCAGGACAATGTCCTGCAATGTGGCGCCGGTACCGTCCACATGATATCGGGAATTTCGGAGCCAAGGAGTGTAACTTCCAGTGGAACAGCGGGATAGCGTTTGAGGACGAGGCTCTGCAGCGGAGACCCGCAGCTGGAGACATCCCTCCACAAAGACGGCGTTGTCGTACAGACAGCGTGCCAGTAATGGCACACGGCGGCGAGTGTAGCAAGTTGATTGAGGTCCGTTCGCCTTCGGCATGCATGAATCGACCGAGGTGGATCCAAGCGACATTCCTCGACGTTCACGGCAGCGAATTCGAATATTCTCTGCCAGATATGGGGTACCATAGCATGTGCTGGACAGAAGTAGTTTTGAAGGGTCTTGAGCATACCGATAGCCTTGTTCACTTTTCTTTTGGGCCCCCGCAGGCCCATCTTGAGATTATGGAGCTGTGGTAATAGTTCACTAAACACCAATATTCATCCCGAATACTGGATCATGGCCTACCCGGCCCATTCTATAGACGGCGTTGTTGATCAGTGGAAGCCTGTGTGTCGAATGCGAACGTCGTTCACTCACCTCATGAAAGAATTGTTCATGATGCATGCGACAGTCTCCGTAAGACTTTGAAGGTCGCCGCAGAGACGATCCAGAGCGTCATCCAGCTCGCGCAGTGATTTTGTATTATTGCTCTGGTCCAAGCCGTTTCAGAGACGAGCGCATCGATGTGCAGTATTAGCGCGTCAGTCCCATCACTGAGACAGTATTTCGTTCACCTTATGCATGCTTTGTTTCTGTTTCTGTTTCTGTAGGGGTCCAGTCCAGTATGTACTTGTCTCAATCGACACGGCCGCGATGGGTGCCGGTGACTCTGAGCTCGTCGCTCACAAGAGCTTAGACGCGCACCCTGCCTGCGAATTCAGGCGAATTCTCACAGGATCTTACTTGAACAAGCGCTCAAGCTCAAGACGGGCCTCCACACCTACCATAGCCTCTACTAGTGATTACGTCTAATGAGACACGGCGAATGCCAATCAGCTCTGAGGGTTGTAGTAAACCATTGCACAGGACGGAGAAGCACTAGTCCACAAATGCCGAGGGACGTAAAGGTCCCGCATGCAGCGATTAGTACGACAGGCCGAACTGAAGTCAAAGCACTCCGATTCTACTGTCCTCGTTCCACACATAAGACCTACTGGCAACTCACTAGCGAGGGAGTCTACAGTAATAGTCGGTCCACTGCGCAATCGTAGGCCAATATACAGTAGGAAGTTCGGGGAGTTCAGGGTGGTCCGGCCATGGGGTCTCCATCGGCGGCACATCTTTGTAGTCAACGTATTCTGCCTCGAAGGGGCAGGGATGATAACCCCAATTGAATGTCCACCTATCGTGATAGTAGCCCGGAAGGTACCCAACGGTGACCTTGGAGAAGGGCAAACGGTCCCGTATTGCGGCAAGCCTTGCCATGACCTCGCCGACGTGCGGATCCTGGGACGACAAGAATACGACGATCCGGGTTAACCGTGGACATATGGGCTGCTGATCGTGCTCTGACCCCTCGCCGCTTTTGTGGCTGTCCTCGAGCCCTTGAGCGATGTGCGGTAGGTTGCGGCCCAATACCGTGAGCTGTTCCAGCGCTGGCAGCTCAGATAGGATGGAGGACCACATCCGCGACGACCACGGATCTTCGACGTTCATATAGAAAGATTCGAGGTAGCACAGATCTTGCACTTGAGACAAGGGGAAGACATCGGAGAAGCGGTAGCCCTGGTCGACAAGCGAGACGAGTCTTCCCGGTGAGAAGAGCCCGCCATGTCGACTGGCGGCGACGACGGACAGTAGGAGTTTACCGGGCTGCCGGAACTTTCGTGACATGGCGCAAGACACGAGGTGCATTCTTGTAGGCTTCACAAAACCCAGGTTTAGTCGAGATAGCGCCGCCGATATCCAGGGTCCGTCTGCCGAAGAGTTGCACCGGGCGCCGTTCGCGACGATGATCGTTTGTGGCGACAGATCCAACTTGGACAGCAGCAGCGCAACACCATCACCCGCAACGCCAACGTTGTGGAGGGCGAACCGGCGAAGGTCCTTCAGGCATACCCGCCCCGCTCTGCCCACAGATTCAGCCTCTCCTCGCTGCTTCTGCAGCATCCCCGATAGGACGAGATCCACCAGCTGGGGGGTGCCACCGAGGAGATTCAGGATTGTCGTAACGGGATGGGACCAGAAGCAGTAGCCTATCAGCAGTTGCGTGACGGTGCTGAAGCGGTTATTCGGCGCCCAGTGGAGGCCATATAACGAGACGCTCTGTAGACGGGGCGTGGAGTCGCCGAACAAGGTAAGTTTGGGAGATGTTGTCGGCCCGTCGTCGTCGTCTTCGTCGTCAGAAAAGTAGTCACGATCGTGCATCAGTACCAAGTCCTCGAGGACCTCAGTCGAGAGGAGCTCCATGTCGTCACGTATGTTTTCGTAAGTGCAAAGGGTCCACTTCAGCGTCCTGCATTGTGTTTTCGGTAGCTCGAAAAACACGTCGGGTATTACACTATCCTTGAAGAACAGGTCCAACGGCATATTGGGATGACGTTCGATAACGGCATCCTGAAATTGAGAAACCGGCCAGCTGACGCCACTCCAGAGCGAGGGCGCGGTGACGCAGACGTAGTGCCAGTAACGGCAGACTTGGACGATCGTGTTAAGGCGACCAGAGACCATGCGCAGCCCGACAGCTTGGATACAATCGGGCCGATCAATAATGGAGCGGTGGGCCACAACGTTCGTGGTTACGAAACGAAAGATCAGGTACCAGATGTGAGGCGGCAAAGTATTCGCAGGGCAGAAGTGGTTGTGCAATGCCTTGAGCACAGGCACAGCTGTTCCGACGTTCAAGCCCGATCCTTGAAAGACGTCCTTGACGTGCTTCAGCTGCACGACCGAGGTTCGCTCAACAACATATTGGTCCTCGATTTCGTACAATGACCTACCTCGCCCATTCTGAAGATTGTCATTGCACGCTAAGCATCCGATACGTATTGCAGGACACACGGAGGTTCACCTACTTCATTGAATAGCTGTTCATGATATGCGTCGCTGTTGCCGTGACTCGTTGGACGTCGTCACTAAAATTCTTCAGCGCGACTTGCAGCTCGTCGAGGTCAGGACGAGCAGCAGAGTCGGGGGTTGCGCCATCTGTCACCTGGGGAATGGTAAGTACTACTATGCTCGAATGGTCGTAACACTGACATCATGCTTATCCATGTTGGCCTATTCCTTTGGCAAGTACCAGTGCTGAGCCGGGCGCGTGCGTTGCACTGATTCTGGGGCGGCCGTAAACTTGAAGGTGAACGTTGTGAACAGGCGCGCGGTCTACATACAAGCGCGGGTCGGGCGCGCGAGTGGCGGGCCCGGCACGTGAGTGTGAGGCAAAGCAAGTCGCGAGTCGGCGAGTCGGGCCTCGGCTATATCTTGAGGCACGAAGGTTGAAGGAATTGTCTACGTCTGCCTGGGGAGACTAATAGCCTCGGCGAGCGCTGGCCGGGAGTTCCTCCCTGGCTAGTAGTAGCGCGGGTTGCATCTTCCGCATCATTTACATCCTCAGTATGCTCGCGTTGTACACTTGAGTCTTACACTTAACAAGGCTCGAGATACGGACCAAGACTCAACTTTTGTCAAGCGCAAGTTCCTTGAGTTGGAGATCTATGTCCTACATGTATAAGTTACACCAATCCGAGTCCCAGGTACTTGATGTGATGCTCATTATTCGTGCAACGACCACATGTCTGCTCCAATTCGTGAAAAAAAAACTCGGCACTCGATCTATACTCCATCGGGACCCTTGAACAGGACATACAAGACCATAATTAAGTTTAGGTTTCCGTCTCGAGAACAGCGGTGAGCAGAGCATACTGTACGGTCCCGGATAAGGATGACTACACAAGGCAATTCTCCTGCGAGAATGATCAGAGAGAATCCGCGCTTTGTTATGCAAGGGCGGAGCACCCATTACATAGGTTGCCGCAACAGCTGTGAATCAGTATGTAGACTCGGAAACGGTCGCGCGGTCAGTAGTCCATTCCTGTAACGGTAACATATATAATATAATATAGGCTCCCTCAGTGTCCCACGCAAGTGTCCGACGAAACAGATTGAGCCCTAGCTCCAGCAGTATCTCTGCATGCACGTCTCACACACCCCGCTCCGCTCAACCCCAGCCTTCGCCCTGCTCCTATCGACAACCGCGCACGCCAAGCATGCAGGCCACTCCGGGTCCTTCGTCCACACGCCATCCACCTCCGTCGCCAACCCCTGCGTAGTCATGTCGAACATCTGCGACATTGCAGCGTCGATGTCGTCCCCCTCGAACGCCAGCTGGAGAGTGGTGATATTGGTGAGCGCTGCTTGGCCGAGAGGCGGGGATCCATTGGCGAGGTAGATGAGGAGAGGGACGGGAGAGGAGGAATTGCACCCGAAGAAGGTAGGATGGGTCGTCAGCTCCTCGTCGTGCCACGTTGCGGCGTCGGTAGGCACGGGCGGGAAGTCATAGGTGGAAGGCATGAGAGCCGTGCGAGCTTGTGTAGCCTATATACGCGGTAAGTGAGCCTTCGGAGATATACTTGCCTGAGGAAGCGACATACGCTCACGACGGATCCATCAGCCCAGTTAGTGATGTTTCCGCTCTACAAACGGGCAGTCAATATAAGATGGCACCGCAACACACGACTGATGTCCTACACCATCGGTAGCCCATATGACGTCTACTCCCCTAGCCTTCGCCAGCAGGGGAATGAACGGAATACCCTCGCCGTCGTCGCCTCCGTCTACCAACGCAAGCTCGGTTGCATTCCAATCAAGGTACGCGCCCTCGTTGAGTCCATAGAATGGGTTGGGGACTCGAGAAGTGACGAGCCAATCCAGCGATGCAGTGTCGTTGCTCAGCTGGGTGAACAACTCAAGGAGCGGCGTGAGTAGGTTAGTGCCATTGAGGAAAGACTGCGACGAGTGGAACAGACATGTCAGCGCGGATATTATCGCGCAGAGTTAGTCAAGCGTACTGAATAGTTGAGGCTACTGAAGACGTTGGATGACGTCGCAGCGATGAAGGATAGTTGGTCGAAGCCGACCGTGCAGGTGTCGCTTCCAGGCTCGGTGCCGAGGTATTCCATAGGCGTAAACGCAGCCAAGCTGGGATCAAAGGAGCCCATTTCATCTGCGCGCAAGTCATCAGACAGTGAGAGCGGCTCTGAGAAGAGATGGACGCACAGGCGCTGAACTCGTATATAGGGTTGGTCAGAGGGACGTTGTCATTCGAGCCAGGGTAAATGTTCGAGAAATTCGCGTTCCAGGAGCGCGAATCTACCACAACGATGGGGAATGGCTGTGAGTACGACGCGAACGTAGAGCTACATACGCATCAGCAGATACCTCGGCAAGAGCGACGATTGCTCACGCACAGATTAGTCAAAGACGAAAACGTGATACCTGCCCCGTGTGGCACAGACGAGTCAAAGTAGTTATTCGCATTCGTCCCATTCGCGAAATGCCTCGCCAGAATGCGCGCCCACAAGTCGACGATACTCACAGGGTACCCAGCGAGGAACTTGCCCTGGATCTCCGTGACGAGGTCCACGTCATACGCGAGGTCCTGCACCGTATCCGAGGTCGGCGATGCGAGAGAATACTGCGCGTTCCAGCCTCCCCACCCCGACGAATCGTTGGGCTGGAATACAAGCTCCGGCAGAGTCGGGAAGTCCGCCTGAGCGAGGGACGTGACCAGCCAGTTACCGCCGGACAGGCCAGTGATGTAAGTAGCGGCCTGGAGCAGCCCGCCGGTCCCCGCCTCCGCGGCTGAAGAGTTCCGGCCGTCAAGGGCGTTGAGCGCACCGGCGCCGACGATGGCAGCCCGGTAGCCGCCGCCACTGGTGGCGATACCGAACGTCGGGTATGCGCTCGAGCCGTTCGCGCCGCTGAGAATGTCAGCTACATAGGACGGCAGGGCGGAAACGTTTTGGGCCTCGATTTGTTGCTGGACGTTGGCGAGGTAGCTCTGCCACGCGGAAGGGAGCACGAGAGACTGTCGGGATGATACGTAGGTCGACTCGGAGGGACTGAGGGACTGGTTGGTGCCCGTGCCGGCGAGGCGGACGAGGGAGGTGTCCGGCGGGCATGCTACGCGAGTGGGAGTGTACGCTTCCGCCGCGGCGAGTTGGCCCCTGGCAAGAAGAGCTGGTGAGAACAACGAGTATCCCAGAAAAAGGAGCGGCAACATAACGAATGTGGGCGTGCGGGGCAAGCACTGGGGGATCACAGGGAGTCTCCCGTGGCTTATATATCACGACGCATTTCGAAGGCGATCAACTGCGATCGACGGACATAATACATTGCACTAGGCAACCTCGGAGTTGCCTATTACGTATAGCCTTGAGAGACACCACAGACACATCAGAACACGTAAGCATGTATGCACTCGGCACGGTGACGCACCGAGCAACAACGGCACGATCGCGCTCATGTGACTACTACGGTAGGGGCTGTGCTATCTGCGGCCCTGGGTCACCGCGGAAGGCGGCACAAAAGCCACAATTTGATGGCAGTCGAAGCGTCGACTGCGTACGAATCGCGGCATCGTTGAAGACGTTGACTTGATAAATGCAGAGCGGAGTGCGACGGCACGGGTTCTCGGAATTGATGTGAACCAGACTAGCCATAAGAGTATGTCATCGACGTATATCAATTCAAACATCAAGCAACTTAAAGGGCTGCGTTGAATAACTCATGACCAACTCACCTCGTTGTTAAGGCCTAAAGCCCATCAAGACAGACTCTTGCGTAATGCTGCTATGCAGTGATCTTGGTCAAAGATGCAAGCTCGCAGCTTTTGTCGAGTCCTTTATGGTCACTGCGAAAAGGTCAATGCAGGTGGAACGTCAGCTAGTCCAATGAGAACCCACGAGTGCAGACTTACCGACGGTGTTTCTCACAGTGGTACATACGGCACAGCTGCCGCAGTTACAGATGCGACATGTGTTCATACAACAGATACAACAGAGGGACTAAAGTACAAACAACAGCGACGAATGTCAACCCAACCAGAATTTCCAAACTACATCATCATGCAATCAGCACGGACCGCCAACCATCTGAATGTAAACGGCGGTAATAGCCACTCCCAGCGAGAAGGCGATCACAAGCCTGGTCACCTCAGCGGCATCCATACCACCGAAGACGGCCTTCGGCTTCTGCAGCGCCAGAGAAGGCCGGGCTGCCCCGTTTCCAGCATCCTTCCTTACTGCATGGTGCAATGCATTGCCTTCCTTACCCCATTCTCCGCGAGGGGGCGCGTGTGTCGGTGTTGTTCGGCTGATGTGCGCGGCCTGCAAGGCTGGCAGGCCGTCCATGCTCTTCAAGTTCTCCTTTCTCCAGTATGCCTTCAGCCCCTTCTCGGCGACTCGCGGCTCGGATGAGGGATCGGCTGCGCCATCGGCGGCATCGTGTTCTTGCTCGGTGGTTTCTAGCTGTGCCAACCAATTGTACAAGGTCGGTCGATGGGCGAGGAAGGCATATTGAGGAACGCCGAAACCACAAGACTGACGGACGATGAGTTAGTAGTGGACGCAGAGCTCGAGGTGGACACACGCACAGTGCCGACTTTGTGGATATCGACTACAACCACGCAGCGCGAGCCGGGATGACGGACATCTGGCGGGAGTAGTTCTTCGTACTCGGGCGTGCCGAACTCGAGGACGCGACCTTTGGGAGTGTCAGTGCCTCGGGAACGACAACGCTAGTCACGACGTACCGTGTCCGAATAACCGCATGATTCTAGGAGTACCTTCGAAGGCGCAGAACATGATCGTCATCCGGCCATTACCCGGCTCACGAAGATGTGCCATAGTCTCGCTGCCTAAGCAATTGCATGTCAGATTTCGTAGCTGATGTAGACACAATTGGACGCACCGCTTCCAGTCATATCCTCATACCAAACCTGGCTCTCGTTCGCAATATGCAATGTCCCCTTGAGCCCTTTAGGTGAGAGGTTGACATGCCCCTCTCCGCCGAGGGGCGCGGAGGCGACCCAGAACATCTGCTGAGCCTCGATCCATTTCATGAGGTTAGGGGGGATCGAGTCGTAGAATTTACCCATGATCACAGTCAAAAAGGGGGCCGGAGAAGTAGCGCTATCGTGCGCGCGATATATACACTCCTCGTGGGCTGCTTAGTAGATCGGAGTCATCTGGCACGAACACCAGTACCACCGTGACCAGATGACTGAGTACGCCTGGGTGTGGTTCTTTCCATGAGAGTTCAAGTCGCAGTCGTCGGATGGAATGCAGGGTTTTCAGATAGTAGAATGAGAGTCCGTGTGCCGTTCGAAGCTTCAGAGCATGGTTGGTTGACGCCTCATCAGAGGTCAGTATAAAGTCTAGTCTGAGTCGGGGCGTACAGGCCTTGTGGGGACTTGCCATATTAGGACATCGCACAGCCGCGCACAGGGTGCTCGTCTGTCCCTGCCGCTCCGTCCTCAAGCTCAAGCTGTCCGATTTGTAGACGGCTTTCGCTGCTCTGCATCACATTTCTCGTTCCCCAATTTTTCCATACAAGCAGAACAGATGGCGTCGCTGGTGGAACTGGTTGAACCCCTACCACTTAGGTTTGAACGGGAGTGCTTTCTTTTGAGGTGAAGTCGTAGTCTCTCATCTGGACTCGGAAGTGGTACTCGTTCTAACGGCATTATTACTCAGTGACACTCAGGTATGCTGATTCAGACTCGGACCCTGTGCCAGATTAGGACACTCACGGTGCAGAACCAAGGTGGCAAATGTTGATGCGGCTCTCGCATCTTGCAGTCGGCAGTTAAGGTCTCTGGTCAATTCTAGGGCGGCGGTCAATTGCTTGCCACCGGAGATTCTCAAGTTGATATTCGACCATGTGGTCGTGCATCGGTGGCTCAGGATGGCCTTTGAGCCAGCCTGGACTTCTGAGTACTTGTCCTTGGACCCCTCGAACTATAGTTCCGTGATACCTGCCACAACACAGGTCTGTCGATACTGGCGAGGTCTCGCTTTACGGACACCGTCCTTGTGGAGGATCCTCGATCCGACGGCCCCAATCGAACTACGGGATCTATTGTTCGAGAGATCTGCCGGAGCACAGCTGACGGTCAACGTCTCCTACGATGTCTCCCCGTGGCTCAAGTCCAAACTCATCTCGGATTGCGGGCGTGTCAAGGAGCTCAGTGCTCAGGCTCTGCGGGCAAGTCAAGTGGTCGACCTAGTCGATTTCCCCGCGCCCATGTTGCAAATTGCAAGTGTCGAGCAGTCACGCAGGCGGCAACTTGGGAGCGCAGAGCTGTTGCTGTTCAGAGGAGATGCTCCACGTCTCTTCCGACTCTTCTTAATGAACATCACATGGCGACCGATAAACGCGTTTGGCTCCCTTGCCCAGTTATACCTCCGCAACTGCAAATGGTCGCAACCATTGAGGTCGCTCGCTCAGCTCCTCTGCGCCACCCCCAACCTTGTTGACTTGGTCTTGCATCAAATGGACGTTGTCGCCGACGACACAGACATCAATATCCCGCGTGCCAGGCTAGTAAAATTGGAACGCCTCACGTTGACGTTGACATCTAGTACAGCCATCCGTAATGTTCTCAAGATTGTACAGCTCGGGTCGCAGACGTCTGTCTCGATGTATGGCGACCCGCATGCTGCGCGAGATCCTCATATATTGGACGACATTCGCATATCGAAGGGCATGATCAATGACGCACCGTACAAGTTCTACCTCCAGCACAATCTCGCGCGGGCGGGAAAAGCTCACTGTATCCTCGCGGGTACAAGCTCAGCCATTCTCTGCGAAAACATGTCAATCGACGTCTCCGAAAACAGTGTCAGATTGGGTGAAGTGGATTATTACGCCTTCGGGTTTCCGCAGGAGGCCGACACCTCTTCGATTCGCGACGCTTGGATCATCGAGCCCGACAAGGACGACGACGACGACTTAGGATTCTTCCCGGAGGATATGTTGAATTTTTTGCGGCGCTTGGCCAACGTTGAGAGCCTAACGATGCTCTCTCCAACGTTTTCCCTCTTCACTGCGGCACTGGCATTATCCCCGACTCCCGATGCTTGCAAGCGGCTGTCTTCGATGCATATCCTATTCTACGGGTCTTCATCTGCGCCAGCCTTAGTCCTCGAATCACTTGCTGCAGACCAAGATCTCCACGTGCGTAACGTGACGATTGGTTACCTCCCGGGCTTCAAAAATGATCGTGTCTTTATGACGGAGTTCGACGCCTATTTCGACTCCGTAGAGTATGTTTCATACACTCAAGTGCCACGCATGGACTTGCCGCCCACTTGCACAGTCGATCCGCACTCCTTCTGGCCACAATGGCCTCTGTCCAGCTGGACGAGGGAGATTGAAAAGTGGGCTTTCCTTGTCAAACTCCGGGACATCTCTGACATGCAGCTTTCGTTCTGACAGAGTAGCCGGGCTGTCTCGTCGTCGGATGGGATAAATTCGCAGCCGCCCGTTGTTTCGTCCCCCAACCCATATATGTCCCGACTCGCAGCAGTACACAATCGCCGTGCTTCTTATATGTCGTGATACATAGGACCGGCGGTGACCACATTGCGCCTCAGCAAAACTTGCCAGTGGTCCGCCGTGGCAAACGAGGTCGAGCCCACTTCAGGTTTGACACCAAATTTCGAGTCGTCGGATGTATTTGAGCCATGCAGTTATATTCAACTTCATTGTCAGTACGCGATTCGAATTCGAAGGAGGACTGAACACTAGATTCAATAAGTAGGAACTTGCCATATTGGGAGATGACGACTCGATCTTCGCTCAAGCGCTCGCTTGTTTTGTGACTCACGCCGCACACCAGGCTATGTACTGTGACCGTGCTCGAACTTGGATTGAGCTATTCTGAACGGCTACCAGGTACGATAACCTGTTGATTGCTACCCTACTCGACTTACTCAGAATGCACACCAGGATGACGTCGCTAAGGGACCTAATTGGAACCTTACCGCTCAAGGTTGAACAAGAACACCGTCTCTTAGAGTAAGCCTTGACGTTTTTGAGATGTGATAGCTGTTGACCAAGGTATCATTACTTCAGCAATGACGAGGTATGATAGAAAAATGAATCTGAACGAGCACAGTTTGCTGATGGTGCGTCGTCAAGGTGGCGAACGCTATAACGATCCTCGCTTCTTGCAGTCGGCTGCTCAAATCCATTGCAAATTCGAGAGTTGCGATCAATCGTTTGCCACCCGCTATATTCAAGATGATAATCGAGCGGGTGGTTGCGTATCGCGACTACGGCGACTCGTATGAACCCTACGCGCTCGAACGAGCGTGGTCTTCCGAAGATGTGCTCTCGCACACGCGGAATAGCTCTCCCGCGCTTCGCTTGACGCGTGTCTGCCGTCACTGGCGAGAGCTTTCCTTGCGAACACCCTTTCTGTGGAGCGACCTTACCCTTGACACACCTCCGCAATTGAGGGATCTGTTTTTCGCAAGATCCACTGGCGCCGACCTGAGGGTGAGTATGGGCTTGGACAGCGGGCTTGACCCATGGTTGAAATCCAAGCTCGTGTCCGACGGTTCTCGTGTCGGGGAGATCGTCGCACACGTCAGATGGTCGAACGAGGTATTCGACTATTTCGATTTCCCGGCGCCCGTGTTACGGGTCGCCGACATCACCCAGGGTTACCAGACATACCGGGAGCAAGCGGGCGGTGATACCCAGCTCTTGCTGTTCCAAGGGGACGCTCCGCGTCTCTTCCGCCTTTACCTATCCAAGATCACCTGGCGCCCAGCGAACAAGTTCAGCACCCTCAGACAGTTGTATCTTCACAACTGCAACTGGTCAAGACCGTTGATTGCGCTCGCTTCGCTCCTCAGCGGGACACCCAACCTTGTCGACTTGGTATTGGACAAGATGGACTGCCCTTTCGAGGACGAGGGTACTCATAGGCCTAAACCTCGTCTTGGAAGGCTGCAGCGACTTACGTTGTCGTCCACATGCAGCAAACCATCTCGTACAATCATCAGAAGCATAGAACTCGGCGCATGCACCTCGGTCTCGATGTACGGCGGCTCGGACTTACGAGATCCTCTTATACTGGATGACATCCAGAGATCGAGGGGCTCGCGCGCCGATCAGTGGTCCAAGATCTATCTTCTGCGCACCACGCCACGCACCGCCCCAGGCACCTCGCGATACGTAACCCCTCGCCAGACCCATTGCATTGTCGCCGATCCGTCTTCAGGTGTTCTATGTGAAAACATGAACATCGTGGTCCCGCCAGGCGCAGAGTGGAAGGAGACTATCACCACGAGCGTAGGACCTGTACGGCTCACATCCTCTGTTAGGATACCGGCCCAAGTCGATACATCCCTGATCCGCGAGGCATGGATCATCGAGCTTTCAAACGACGAACTTGGCTTCTCCTCATCAGACTTGGTCAGCCTCATGCGGCGCATGCCGGCACTTGAGTCTCTGACGATGTCCGACAAGACCTTCAGCCGGTTTTGCCAATCATTGATTTTCGCCCAGGACACACTTTGCCCGCGACTGTCTTCGGTGCACGTCCTGCTCAACGGGCGTTCGTCTAGCCCAGTATCCATCCTCAGGCCACTCACTACCATCCTGCGCTCCCTCCCTCGCCGCATGTTCAAGGTCAAAATTGGTTATCTCCCAGGTTTCAAGAAGGAACGCGTCTATGCAACGGAACTCGACGCGTTCTTCGATTCTGTCGAGTACGTGTCCCATACCGAAATGCCACATATGGAGATGCCGCCTGTTTGCAGTGCCGACCCACACTCCTTCTGGCCATCGTGGCCTCTGCCCAAGTGGAAGAGACAACTCGAGATGTGGAGCAGATTTGCTGGAGAAGTGGAGTAGCTTTTAGAGCTGGCATCTGTGGCCGCGGCGGCTTTTGTCTCTCGCTCTTAGGCCCTGCTGTTGAGGAAGCTGCCGGATCTGGTATTGAACTACATCGTCTCTGATCTTCACTTGTCCCTACGAGGCAGGTATGCACTATGGATGTGTATTACTAACTCAGCTGTACCGGTACGCAGTGATGATGCGTGTTACCGTAGCCATACGTGACCAGCACTGCCAAGACCGTGACGCTTGCGATTTCGACGCGTTCGGTCTGCTGCCACCATGTTACCCATTGCTCACACGTTCAAACGTCCACTATCTGTGCAAACTTCTGCATGGCAGTAATGCTATGCTCACTTCGTCACACCCTACCCAGCTGCATACTAATAGTGCGCTAGTCTTAGTATTATGCGTTGCAGCTGATTACGAGCGCGCGCCTGCCAGACTCGGACACGGTTGTACTCTACTTATCTACCGTTGATGCAACGTTGGCGCACCGGAGAGTTCTTGCACTCAGACTTCACCGGGGTCTCACTTCCAGGAGACGCAGACGCGAGGCCGGTGATTCCGAATCAGCGTGAATCACGGTGTTGATCCTTCAACGTCACTGATACACCGGCTTGCTGATTGCCTCGGTCATTTCAGTTCAAAAGACGCGGCAGATATATACACTTAGGTATATATAGTGGACTCGCACCAACCCGTTCGTGTTTCCCCGCCAGTTCTTGGGCCATATTGACTCCTCGGTGACACGATGCAGTATGTACGGTCATTTGAACAACGGATGCGCGAGGATCTGACTACGAACACACCCTAGGAAGCAGGATCAAGCAGCGGCGGACGCGCTTGAGCTCGCGCGACTTGGATACAAGCAGGAGTTCAAGCGTGCTTTCTCTCCGATACACGTATTTGCACTCGTGTTCAGCATATTTGGGCTGTTCTCCTCGATCTCGTACGTTTCTCGTTTGCCACTACGTGTGCCGTGTGCCGGTGACTCACGATCTCCACGTTGTGCAGATCAGTTCTGGTATATGCACTTCCCAACGGAGGTCCTGTAGCTATGGTTTGGGGCGTGAGTAGCTGTGGATATCATTATTGTAAGGCATTGACTCAATACGCCTGCAGTGGGGAGTGTGCAGCTTCTTCATTCTGTTGGTGACTATGTCGCTTGCCGAACTTGGTTCTGCTGCACCTACTTCGGGAGGTCTTTATTACTGGTCGTTCAAGTTTGCATCACCACGATGGCGCAGACTGATCTCGTGGATCGTCGGATGTAGGTCCTTCACTGGATTCACACAACCGGATGCTGATGATCCTGCGGATCTGTGGCCTGTACAGATTCGAACACGATCGGTCTCGTTGCTGGTGTCGCATCTACTGAATGGGGATGTGCTGTTCAGTTGATGGTAAGTCGCTCAGACTTCGATATGGTTCACATTTAATCGCGCTAACCACGTCCCTAGGCGGCGGTCAGCATTGGTTCCGGTCAAACATGGTCTGCAACAACAGGGCAGACATAGTGGGTGGCATCTGACGTTGAGATCTCTTATACTGACACATGGTTTCTCAGCGCCGTCTTCTTGCTCCTTCTATTCTTGCATGCTGCCACTACCTCACTGACCACTTCGGTTGTCGCACACCTTCAGACCATCTACGTCGTTCTTAACATTGTGTAAGTCCCTTCGTTTGTTTCAGCAGTATGAAAGATCCTAAACGGTGTTGCGTATGTCTAGACTTTGCTTGGCGATCATCGTTGCGCTGCCGGTCGCAACGCCGGCGGAGTTCAAGAACAATGCGAGCTATGCTTTTACAGGATTTGTCAATTGTGAGTTTGATAACCGAATGTTTCTATTTCTCACTGACACTAAGGTTTTGCAGACAGCGGATGGACGAACGGTTTTGCCTTCATTCTAAGTTTCCTCGCGCCGCTGTGGACGATCTGTGCGAGCCTATCGTCAATTATCCCACAGCTGCTAACGCTGACCCTACGAGTTACGTAGCCGGCTTCGACTCGTCTCTCCATATCAGTGAGGAGACGAACAATGCTCGAATCGCCGTACCTCTCGGACTCGTCGGTGCAACCGCCCTCGCAGGTGTGATGGGATGGGGTGAGTGGTGGTAGTAGTACGTTTCTCCAGTGACGCTGACGCTGTGGAACCAGCAATCAACGTTGTACTGGCATTCAACATGGGCCAGGATATTGAGGGCCTCCTGGACAGCCCGATAGGACAGCCGATGGCAGCTGTGAGTGCGGAACGCTATCGTGTGATGGGTACGGGCTTGACCTAGTATCCCAGATTTTGTTGAACAGTTTCGGTCAGAAAGGTATGCTAGCCATATGGTCCATTGTTGTTGTGGTGCAGTACGTCCCTCTCTTCGCGTCTTCACAGCAGGGCTGAGATTTATGCCGTCCAGATACATGGTGGGCATGAGCTCTGTGAGTCTCAGTTCAAGCCATGACGCTGCATGTAGCGATTCGGAGCTGACCATGTTACGTGTAGCTTGTTGCCTCTTCTCGCCAGACGTTCGCATTTGCCCGTGATGGCGGTCTACCTTTTTCGGGGTTCCTCTACCGAGTAAATCCTCGCACCCAAACGCCGATCAGATGTGCCTTCGCCGTCGCATTTAGCTCCGCTTTGCTCGGCCTGTTGGCGTTCGCCGGTGATGCAGCCACGTCTGCTCTGTTCGAACTGGGCGTTGTGGGACTCTACATTGCCTATATGGTCCCGATCGCATGTCGGTTTGCTGGTAGAAAGGCGTGGGTTCCCGGCCCTTTCGACCTCGGCAGAATGGTACGTCGGATTCATCGGCACTGCACATCGTATTAATTCCCATCTATTCGCTTCTGGGTACATAGGGCCTCCCCGTAGCGGCTGTTTCGTTGCTCTGGCTGATTTTTGGCATCACCATTCTCATATTCCCCACTTCACCTGCACCCGACGCCCCAGACATGAACTACACGGTTGTCGTGCTCGCCGCATGGCTCGCGCTCTGCTTGGGATACTACTACTTGCCCAGATACGGTGGAGTCCACTGGTTCAAGGGGCCCATCGCTAATATTGACATTGGGGAAGATGAAACAATTGCAAAGAGCGAAGATCCTACGAAGGGAGCAGTGGACACGAGCACGAGCAGTATCGACGACGGCGAGAAACTTTGAGGCGGTGACGGTGTCATGATTGACTCCGTTGCTTCTTCTAGTATGGCGCTAGATATTCATGTCATTATGAGCCAGCTAAGTTACATGATGCTACAGTACAGGCCGGATTCGAGGCACGTTCAGTTCGGATTGTAAGTAAGTACGTAGATGATACTAGGGTTCCCGAGACGCCGGTACTTACTGCAGACGAGTACAGCCGCTTACTCAAATTATCATGTCGAGGTTCGATGTAGCTCAACCAGAACCGATGTCGGTACAGCACGATGAGTTCCTGAGCCGCACTGCGTTCCTTGCAGGACAGTACTAGTGAGCGGTCACGGGCGCTACTTTAACTTGCGTACCGTATCACAGGTACCGGCAAGGTACCGGTGGCGCAACGGTGGTTCGCCTCTGTGCGCTACATGACAGTGTTCTCTCGAATGAGCCTCAAGTTCGACGTCAAACTGATGCTTCGGTCATGATAGCATGATACGCAGTGCTAGGATGCAGGGCACAAACCGTGACTTCTTCAGGGCCCGAGCGCGCTCAAGCTGGCACAACCTTACTGACGGGCTTCTATCTGCTAATGCTCGCGGGCGGTTTTATTCTGGACAGCTGGAGTCCCAGGAAGAAGCAGCCAAATGGAGTGGGAGACGATAAGAAGTGACCTTCGTGACGGATCGTGGTGCGTATCGAGTCCATATGTACTGTCTTGGACACGACTTGCTTCCGCGATAGCATCCTCCTCCTCCACTTCAACGTCCCTCACATCTTCCGACTTTGTCTAGTGATGGGGATCACGGAGAAGGAAGATCAGTACGTGCTGTCGCCTCACGCCGACATTACGGCATGAAGCTCATCTTCACTCTGGATTAGGAAACAGAGACAGGCCGACGAGGATGCGCTCGAGCTTGCTCGACTTGGGTATAAACAAGAGTTCAAGCGGGCATTCTCGCCCTTGCAGGTCTTCGGACTTGTCTTCAGCATCTTCGGCCTATTCCCCTCCATCGCGTGCGGTCACAACACTTTAGGGTACAGCCTTACAGTCGCGTTAACCTTTCCTCTAGGTCTGTCTTTGTTTATGCATTACCGTACGGGGGTCCAGTGGCGATGGTGTGGGGCGTAAGTGATATCAATTGTCTACCATCTCTACTGTGCGGATAACCATAGAACGTCGCTGACGCCGTGTCGCGCTTTCAGTGGGGTATCTGCAGCTTCTTCCTCCTCTTGATCACGCTTTCACTCGGCGAACTCGGTTCCGCGGCGCCAACGTCCGGTGGCCTCTACTACTGGTCGTTCAAGTTCGCGTCGCCCCGATGGCGGAGACTGCTTTCATGGATCGTCGGATGTGAGTCGACCTTGATTTTGTGAGAAGTGTAGATTACTTACTCCAAGGGACGACAACAGACTCGAACACCATCGGGTTGATTGCTGGAGTTTCGTCCGTTGATTGGGGATGTGCTGTTCAGCTCATGGTAAGGGTTCTACCTCTTATCAACATCAGTGTCACTCATCTGTGCGTATATGCGACAAAGGCAGCAGTCAGCATCGGATCTGGACAGACGTGGTCTGCAACGACGGGACAAACCTAGTGAGTCTCATTCACCGATCCGCGGATGTCTGACTTACATGTGTCCGTGCACCTCATTAGCGCGGTATTTCTCTTAATACTGATCCTTCACGCAGCAATCACCTCTCTGGCAACGTCCATCGTCGCTAAGCTCCAGACAGTATACGTTGTTCTGAACATATTGTAAGCGACTGTCCTCGAATAGAGCAAGGAGCTGACCATCGGCGTACCTCATGATCGCAGGCTCTGTCTCGCTATCATCATCGCGCTCCCGGCAGCTACACCAGCTGAATTCAAGAACAGCGCGACATATGCCTTCACGGGTTTCGTCAATTGTATGAACATCGTGTTCTGTTACTCATCGCGGACCTGATCCACGCATTACAGACAGTGGCTGGCCCGATGGCTTCGCATTCGTCCTCAGCTTCCTTGCGCCCCTTTGGACAATCTGTCAGTCCAAGCCAATCTCACTTCTCGAAGGTAGTGCCTGATGTGTTACACGATGACCACAGCCGGCTTTGATTCATCTCTGCACATCAGTGAGGAGGCGTCGAACGCACGACTGTCAGTTCCTCGAGGACTCGTTGGTGCGACAGTTGTGGCGGGGGTCATGGGCTGGGGTACGTCTTCCCTTGAGAATGATCATGGCAAGGTTTGACCCGAGCTATATCTGATAGCAATTAATGTCGTGTTGGCCTTCTACATGGGCACCGATATTGAGAACATCATGGACAGTCCTATTGGACAACCAATGGCGGTGGTCAGCACGGCCGTGGCATGTCAGGAGCTGACCTGAGCTGACCTGTGATTTCTGCGATAGATTCTTTACAACAGTCTCGGCCAAACGGGCACGCTGGCCGTCTGGTCCATTGTCGTAGCTGTACAGTGAGTTTGTCCGCTGTGCCATTATTGTGGCATGACTCCTAAGCTGTGCGATGCAGGTTCATGATGGGCACGAGTTCGGTGCGTATTGACATTCCCTGGGCTGAGAATAGCTCGTGAACTGTCAGCCATACAGCTCCTCGCGTCTTCCCGGCAGACATTTGCCTTCGCCAGAGATGGGGGTCTCCCATTCTCCGGCTTGCTGTACCGCGTTCATCCGCGCACACAGACCCCGGTCGCGTGCGCTTGGGCCGCTGCATTCGTTGCGGCGTTGCTTGGGCTACTGGCCTTCGCCGGTGACGCGGCCACGTCGGCAATATTTGCCTTGGGAGTCGTCGGGCTCTACATCGCGTACATCATCCCGATATGCTCTAGATTCGCAGGTGGAAGGGCGTGGGTGCCTGGCCCGTTCACGCTTGGCCGATTCGTAAGTCACACTCCCGTTCGTCATCTCTGCACCCAGTCTGACCCTGCTGCCTTGATGTCCAGGGCTTTCCCGTGGCTGTTGTATCCCTGCTCTGGATGGTCTTCAGCATTGCCATCCTCATCTTCCCCCCGTCGCCCGCCCCCGACGCGCCCGACATGAATTACACGGTCGTCGTCCTCGCGGGATGGCTTGCGCTTTGTCTTGCATACTACTATTGTCCAGTGTACGGCGGGGTGCATTGGTTCAGGGGCCCCATCGCCAATGTGAGCGTCGACGAGGATAGTGACGAGGTCGAGGATGTGAAGAACGATGTGGCTGTGAGTGTAAATAGCAAGGGGTCGGATTGATGGGGTCACTTGAGACTTGACAGTAGATTGTAGCCGTAGAACGATATAAACGAAGGTGAATTCTGCAATTGAGCACTTCCCAGAAGTCAGATGTGCGACTTGAAGTTGTACGCTGCAGTACTTCTGTTATACATTTCACGTGAGTTATATTGCGTCCTATGCAAGAGGAGGAGGAGGAGGGTATTCCATTTAGTCACGACATCTAGGCGCCTCGGCGTTTTCGATGTGTGACACTGACAGCGCTCACTAGGTACAGGTATCCGGGGTCGCTGTATACATATCAGTACTATAAGCGCCGTTAGCACGCACTTTGAAGTCGTAGTACCATAGGCCCCACGTTACTTGGCGATTCGACCCCCCGTCTACGGAGCATCTCGTTATGTGGCCTCACATGGGTACCAACAAACCACTTCATCACCGTGACACGATTACTCGTAGGTCACTGCCTCTGGTCCCATCCAGTCTCGACAATCCTGGACCTCCTCAGCAGCACACCTCAATTAGTGGATCTCATCCTATCGGGAACGCTGAACGAACAGCGAGAGCCTGAGGAAGCTCGCGTAGACAGAGCGAGGAATGTTCACCTCACTAATCTCCGGCGGTTCTCCCTTCATGAAGTCGACCCTGACAGCGACTCGGATGGCATCGCATCTCTATTCTCGAAGTTGGTTTTGCCGCCTCAGGCCGTCGTCCTGTTAAACAGCACTGGAGATTCCGAGGCGAATGGGCACTGGATACCAGAGACGTTATCTCGATCTGACTTCGACTTTACGAGGCCTACCAGGATGCAGCTCAGGTTTTATCGCAGACAACTATCCCACCGCACTTTGGGTCAATTAAAACTGTCGGTCATCGCCGCCAGTCAACATGGCGGGGTCATCGTGACAAAGGAACTCCTCGCGCCTGCGGGTCGCTTCGCCAGCAACTTCCATCTGGCTCAATTGCAATATCTGCTATACCTCGAGGCTCCGAGCCACATCGACGATGATGGCCTGTGGCAATCATGGATGTGGTCCTCTATCCTTCCGGAGGTACCGGCGCTGGAACGACTGACGATCTTTGGTCGCAGTCTACCAGACATCGCCAGAGCGCTCAACCGCGATGGGCCCATGCGCGTGCAGCCACACCTATGTCCACAGCTATCCCAGATCGTCGTCCTCTTGTCGTCCGATGATCCCCCGTTGACCGCACCATGGCCACTCGTCGCAATAAAGGAACGGCTGCATTTTTTCCACGTCACGATTGGGTATCTCCCGGATCATATGTGTGAGGAGGAGGAGGATTGGCAACTTGAAGGCAAAGATGACCTCCTTGACTCGGTGGAATACGTCAAATACGAAGGAGTGCCCGGGATGAAGACCCCATGGCCTGACCAGACGGATCTCCCTGCACTACCTCAGGCATACTGGCCAAAAATAAATCGTAATCGTTCAACGTTCACGCTCAACCTGTAACTTACACCAGTAATGTCGAATGCATTAACCCTCAGACACAGGAGGCTCCCGAGTTGTCTCGCTCATGCTGGCTTGGGCGTGTCATGTTCTGGACTGCAACCGCATTTTGTTACTGCGTGGTACATCTATGGCACTAGTGCCCTTCAACTGACACCGACTAGTCAGACATGCACTCACGGTCAGAGCATCAACATCATCGACACGCCTGCCAGTGACTTCCCATCGCATCCGACTCAGATGTGGTGCGCTGTTGCTACCAGCCCGAGTAGCACCTAATCCGCCACTCGAGTCGAGCAGGAGGTCAGGCTTCCCTCCGCGCCGCGTCACAGGTCCGGGGCTCAGCGCTCATCCTGCGCGCGCAAAGTACGCGGGAGGCGCGAGTCTCGAGGGCGAGCAGGCCGCGCAGGAGTCCCTTGACCCGAAGCCCGCGCGGAAATGGGCTGAGGAGGGTTGTGCGGTCGTCGGCAGTGTCGGGGACGTGCGATTACACCTGCCATGATATAGCTCTCTGGGCTGACTCGGACTCGCGGTTGTATGACGGTGAGCAGAGAACTCTGATATAGTACTTAGTCGAGCTACACGCACGGAAGAACAGCGGTATGGAATAAATTTGTGGTGCGGAGAAGCGAACATACCATTGTACGAGCAAACTGATCGTCATCGCGACGCCGTCCACGAGCTGGGACGAGCGGCGCAGGTTGTTCGGCGGTGAGGCACGGTTGTCAGACGAGCTCCTGAGTCCTGATGCGATGATCCAATTCTCATCATGAACATGGCAAAGTGGGAACGTGCCACGGCACGATGGGAGTGACATCGTGTTGTGCTTGATGAGATGGCATTGCGAAATGACATACAGTAGCGACGAAACTTGCAACCTGATGAGCAAACACATCAGTGCGAGGACGAATATTTCATTCAGTCACAACGTCACCGTATTACTCCGCCAGCGACCATGATATTGGCAAGTCCGGTCCGCCACGAAGGGGTTCACTCCGAAACACCTGGCAACCATTGCGTCAATAATAAGGACGTCCATTGACGAGCCGACTCATGACGAACCAAGTACAAGGTCTAGCGGGATTGAACGAAGGAAGGGAGCGATATGGACAAAGGTTTCCTGGTGTTTCGCGGCCGATATTTTTCGGAAGACCCCGCGAGGCAATGCAAGGTGCGAGCAAGGAATGGACCTACGAGCCGTGTCTGATGGAAGCGTCCTGCAAGCATACGATACATTAAGTCGAGTCAGACACTACGAAGGGGCGACGTACTTATGGAACTATTAAGGGGCGGTTTGCGCACTAGGACTGCGGATGCGCTAGCGTCAGCCGGCATGTATGGCAATTATAACGTATCTGCTCACGACGATTGCTCACGAGCGTTAGACAGCCGTACAGTACTTACCTTCAGGTACTACCCGCGCAACGGACGAATAGACATACAGCGTAACACCGTACTCATTAGCCCGGAGGAGGGTCGCTTTCATGAGCGTGACCTGACGGTGGTTGCGTCATGAGTGACTACTCGTGAACGCGCACGACGAGCTGAGTCGTAAGCCGGTGTCAAGACGAAGAGATAGACGGAGGCCCAGCCTGACTCTTCCTGCGAGTCGTTCTGCAGTTGATGTGTCGGGAAGGCAGCCGTGAGTGAGCAAGAGATCCGCGGTGACAAGGCACAGTAGCTAGGACTGTCGCGGAGAGTTTGGCCAGAGCGATCGCGAGGCGAGAGGGCGTTGGTGGCCTGGCAGGAGATAGGATCGTGACGGGCGGCCGGGGACCTCGCCGCGAAGGCCAGTGCGTCGGTGCCTTCCTGGACAGTGCACCGAGCAGTCCACCTCTGACGGTCGCGATGCACAGAGGTATGATAGAAGACATGCATCATGCCACACTGGGCGGTGGAGACAACGAGCGGGTTGGTTCAACTTGGTGAAGGCTGTTGACGAGCGTCGACCCGTCGGATAAATGCCGGCGAAGGCGGGCGCGGGTCGACAGCAGCGGCGAGTGTCCATATATGGCCTCCTCGGATGATTCGAACAGCACCCCGCTTGCAAAGGAACACAAAAGCCTTTTACAGAACATGCAACAACATGATGTGAGTGCACACGTCGGTCCATCGGCGTATCGCTCACGAACTCCTAGACAGAGAGGATAGCCTCTCAGTCCATGTCCGAGTCTGCCACCGCCAACCCAGACCTCGGCGAGCTCAATGGCACTTTGAATCGCCTCTGCGACGACCTCAAACGACTTACAGCGAAAGTGGAAGCCTCTTTGAACGGACATTCCTTGAGGTGTGTGAACTCTTGAACTACCCATGATGGTCAGCTTTTAACGGATCGATTGCGCCTTCAGCATGAGCCAGGTAGGTATCATGAAGTGCCTATGTTATTGCATTGAGAACACCATGTCGTATAGTTGAAGCACCTCAGGGGAGAATTCCACGAGCCGACCGGCAAATTTGGAAGCGCGGAAACCATGCTCAAAACCCTCAAAAACTACCTATGTCCCGCTAGTGCCCTGCCACCTGACATCTGGCGCCACATCTTCCATCTCACCATCGCGCAAGCCAAGATCGAGTCCAAAGGTACACCTAACTATCTTGGCGTACACAGACTGCAGACGAACTACAGCCGTCTGGCCACGCTCGCCACTGTCTGTCGTTATTGGCATGATATCTGCGTCCAGACGCCCTCTCTTTGGAGTTGTGTCATCTGGCGTACTTCTCCACTACAGGAACAGGTTCTCAGGTGCCATCGTGCCATGCCGCTGGACATCTCCCTTCGCGGACACGGAGTACCCAAGGTGCTTCTCGAACCATCGAACGTGCGATGCAGAGCGTTGGAGTGGTCACAGTGCACCGAAGACAGTATCACCAAAGAAGGCTGGCTCCTAGCCCTCTCGGGCGAAGTTCTCGAAGACTTGACGCTTTCATGTCACGAAGTCCGCGCCTCCGAGAGACCCGAGACGCCTATGCGCATCATGCTATTCGGCGACTCGACTCCCCATCTGCGGAGTGTGTCGTTGTGCGGCCTTACCTGGGCCCCGAAGAACCGTTTCATCACTGTGACGCAACTGTTGATAGGCCACAGCTCATGGTCTCATCCAATCTCGACTATTCTTGACCTCCTCAGCGGCACTCCTCAGTTGGTTGACCTTGTCCTATCAGGGATGTTGTCTGAGCAGCAAGAGGTTGTCGTTCTGGGTGGCGCGAGGAAGGTTCACCTCCGGAACCTCCGACGGCTCTGTTTTCATAACACTGGTACCGGAAGCCATGGCATCGTATCGTTCTTCCCAGCGTTGGTTGTAGCGCCGCAAACTGTTGTTTTGGTGAACAACGAATCTGCGACGTTTGAGCGCTGGACACCAGAGATTCTGCTTCCATTTGATCTCAGCCCTACCACCATGCAGCTCAGGTTTCACCTCACCCCGTATTCATACCGAGAAGTCGGTAGGCTCCAATTCTCGATCATCGCCGCCAGTCAACATTGCGGGATCATTTTGACAAGAAAATCCATCGTCCCCGCGCATCAGGGCTATCGCTTCGCCAACATCATCGACCTATCTCAAATACAACATCTGCGATACTTCGAGGCCCTCCAGTTCGGTGTTATTGGTGGCAGCCCGCCCCCTCCGTGGGCCTCATGGGTTTGGTCTTCTATCCTTCCGGAGCTATCAGCGCTGGAACGACTGACGATCTTTGGTCGCAGTCTGCCAGACATCGCCAAAGCGCTCGACGGCGACGGGCTTGTGCGCATGCAGCAAGGCCTATGCCCACGGCTATCCCGGATCGTCGTCCTCCTGTCACACAGAGATCCACTTGTCGAGGCGACCATGGCCAAGCTCGTCACAATACGGGAACGGCTGCAATTCTCCTGCGTCACTATTGGGTATCTCTCGGACTACAGGCATGAGAGGTGGTATCAGCAAAGCGAAGACTACCTCTTCGACTCGGTGGAGTACGCGGACTACGAGAGAGTGCCGGGAATGAAGACCTCATGGCCCGACCAATCAGATCTTCCTGCACTACCTTCCGCGTACTGGCCGGAAATCGAAACATATTCGTCCCAGGTGTAGTACTCACCAGTCGTCGAAGTATGTGTTAACTTGATCGAAAGAGCTGGCTGCTCATGATAGAGTTGATTTAGATGCTCATGCGGCTAGTGGTAACAGGAGCCCTGCGTAGGAGCTACGACGTCGCGATGGTTTCGTTACCAGAGTACGTCTCCTACGTTCTGGCGTCGCCGATGAAAGAGGGCTAACAACAACTAGGCGAATACGTTCTGATGAGTATCTAATGACGGTGAATGTATTGAATTCGAAGTACTCTACTCACTCTTCATACGGAGGCTCTCAAGTTGTCTCGCTGATAATGGCGTGCCATATTTTTGACTGAAATCGCAGTGTCTTGCTGCGTAGTGCGTATGATCCCTACTAACCTCGTCACTGGGATCAAGGTGCAACGGTTGTTTTGGGCGGCCACTGCGCCTCTCAGCGGCGAAGGCTACCTCAATGCCTGACCGATAGACCTACGGAGCCCCTGCACGTCGTCAGAGAGAATCAGATGTAGTATGACAGGCAGCGGTACAGAAAGAGATTCGGTCGCACCGATGCAGGTTTGATCACACGCGCTCTGCTACGGTGTCGAGATCGTAGCCCATATATATATATGCGAGCCAGGAAACCGGCGCAACTTGCACAGTAACAGCGAGGATCTTCGGCCGTGGTACCGTGACGTAAGCGTTCCCGGACAGCTACTGATCCTCTCCAAGGCCCCGTGCACGAGTGTTGTAAACCGGAATACGAAGAGCGTCTCCCTCCGGGAGTACGCAGGCCAGGTCTCGCCGCTCGCGCTCTGTCGCCGTCGTGGACATCCACAAAGTCGGTACGGTGCGTTCCCGGTTTCCGTACGATTTTTACCAGCGATTAACGACACCGTTGCGGTCCTGCGGCTTCGGCGTTCCGCTGTACAACTCCGTCTCGCATCGCCCGGCGACGCTGTCCGACGGCGAACGCGCTACAACTCGAGCAAGTATATTACAGACGCAATCGCACCATACAGCGGACTATGTACCATCGATGAGTAACGTCACAAATCAAAATTTCAGCATATTCATATGCTTGACAACAATGCAATTCTTCTCCAATACTCAATCCAACGTCCCACATCCTCCTCGTCTAGTTGCCTTAATCTAGGATCCGCTAAGGTTGCCGATGTAGCGACGGCATGCTTTGATTCCAGTGCGGGGAAGCCCATTGCCAAAGTACCGGTCGCAGTACGCAATGATTCGAACCATGAAAGGAGTCGGAGAGCGGGCAGCATGCGCAGGAGCTTGACCTCAGAATCGTCGTGGGGGACGTCGGCGTCACGATCAGTATGTCCTGCTTGCCGCAGCGTCGCTATCCATTGGTCGTATGAAACAAGCGGCACCGAGAGCTGCCGCGAGATCGCAGACGCGATTGTCCTCCAAGGTATGGGTCGAGGGTGAACGAGATGGACGATGCCCGAATCAGACACCCTCCTAAAGTCGCTTACTGCAGCTGCGACGACGTCGAGCTGGATCCAATCTACCGCCTGCGCCGTGCTTCCGATCAACTAACGTCGTTCCCAAAGCCATGACAGACGTACCCTGTGATCCTCAGGGAAACACCTGAGCTTCTCCGCGCTTTGCACGAGTACTGGGAACCACTCTGTGGCATTCCAGGCACCATCTACACCTCCAGAGATCTGGCCCACGCGTACGATGACCGTCGTTAAGGGCGTTCGTTCACTCGCATGGTGCAAGACATCCTCCGAGACCCACTTGGACTCGCCATAGCCGGTACCCACTGCAACTTCGGGCGCGATCCTGGTTTCGGCATGCACCTCGCTGACGGGAATGTCTGTCTCATGCCTGTGAATGAGAACGAGGTGGTAGTTTCTGAACATACGTACTGGAGAATACACCAATGCTGCTGACGAAAATCAGTCGCGGCAGGTGAGTGAAAGGAGAAGACAAGGCGAAGTCGATAAGGCTGCGCAATCCCTTCACGTTGTTCTCGAACGATGCTAGGGCAAGGTTGAAATCCACGCGCCATGCTACAGTCAAGTTCAGCATTGCATTTAGAGTCACAGTAGTGTCCTACAACTCACCATTGTGGATGATGTGCGTGACGGAATCTCTCATCTTTCACGAGAACTGAGTCAAGTGACCAACGCAGGATGGTTGGACTCACCTCGTTATAGATACTGCGCTCGATCCCGAACCGCGGGGCGATGAGATCCCCTTTGAGAAGAACCACCTTACCCTCGTCAAGGTCTACGTCGATCCTTCGCTCGGCTAACGCTATCTTCTGCCGTTGCAGAAGGCTCTCCCCGCTCTTTGCTATCCTGTTCAGAGCGTACACTTTTATAACTCCACTGTCCAAAACCAATTTTGCGAGCAGAGCGCAGCCTAGACTGCCAGTCGTGCCCGTCACGAGTATGACATCCCCACCCGAACTCGGGCGCGACAATTCTCCTGAATGGGATGGGAGGTCTTTGGTGTATTGGTCGACCATCGCGCGCATTGCGCTTACGTGTACGTCTGCGGATAAGTGAGCTTCTGTCCCCGCGACAAGGTTTGAGATGTAGGCAGCGAGACGAGAGACTGAGGGATGATCGTAGACAAAGTTCCTGATGCCACGCGTGTCCAGGTGCGCAGAATCCTTGATGGCACGGAGAAGCGAGTTCCTGATCCAGGTAGCTTGTAGACTGCGAGCGCATGGGTCATCAGTCCGTTCGATTCTCGACACGTGTGCTTCAAGTTGTTCATACCTGTCACAGCCATGTTCGAAGAGGTCATCGTCGTCCTTCACGGGATGCAACAAGACCTTTCCCACTACTGCACGGACGAAGTCCGTGGTAGTCTTGAAATCCCACTGTTCAGGCGGCGGGATGCTTGACTGGGCCGTCTCCTCAACCGCGCGATACAACTTCTCTATCTCCTCATCGTAATCGTTGATCATGGCTTGGCGACGCGCTGTTCCCTTCGCAGTGTACGTGAATGGCTTCGACGGGTGCGCTACAATGATCATCTGAGTACACCCCAACGCATCAGTACGTGTACGGTATAGACTACGTGTGCCGAGGCGTACCTCTTTGAAGAGCCATGAGTGCTGGGGCGCAAATGTGTTCATCTTCTCCACGGTAGGCCTGTCGGTAACTGTTACAAAGACCCCCCGAATGAGAGGTAGACTTGGCTTACCAGATCATGTTACGGTACTCCGCCAGCTTGTCTTGGTCAGAGGGGTCGAACCTGAATTCAGGCTTCGGGTCGGGTCGACAATGACTCCAGCTTGGAAGTGACCACGGCCGAACATGACACTTGAATAGACATGTGGGTCCTGATTGAGCATGCTCTCTGCGGAAGACGTGCGTAAGTCATAGTCGCAGAAATCGCATTAGAATTGATCTACCGAGGGGTCCAGGATTCGTCTAACGAGGCGGTGATCTGTTAGCTTCAAATCTGGATGTATGTATAACCGATGTAGCTTTACCTTCTCACCCGTGTTATGCATGATCTGATCGTCGCTTCGTCCATATACTTTCCAATGCCCGGGTTTAGTTGGATGCTGGACGACCAGGTCTGAGGTGTTGTAGGCGTCCCGACCATCGACCTGCATGTTGATGACGCTGGGTGCGCAGAACTCATTCGCCTAAAAGCATAGCCGTCAGTGCACGCGTACGTTGTGGTACTAAAAGACAGACAGTGTACTGACCAGCACGATGAGCTCGTATGTATTGTCGCCAAACAGCTCCATCTTGACATCGAGGAAGGGTGCAATCTGGAAGTAGTCCCAGTCATACCCCACCTTGGCTGAATAAAGTCGTGAGTCAATCCTCATACCACACCAGTCTGCTATTCAACGTACCTGGCATGATGGGTGTGAGAACCAGACTTTCTGTGCTAAAGACGATCGTCAAGTGAACAAGTAGGAGATAATCAACAGAGAGCACACTCACGTTCCATAGAGGATGAATATAGACACGCCTTGTGATGTCATATAATCGCCGATCTGTTTGTTCAAAGGACCTCCTCCGAAGATCTGAGCACCTCCGAGTCTTCAGTTCGCTACGCGGATACAAGTGTAAAGGGCAACGTACAGCACCGTCTCGGCTAGCCAGCCATTCTACACACTCTGCCCTAAGCGACCAAGCCTATGGATATCCCATGACGCTATGACTTTGTTGGATCGACGGAGACGTACCTCTAGAATCGACGGAACAGAGAATATTATGTCACTCTCAGTAGCCTTCGCAGCCAGGAAATGTATATCGGGATTCGGAACGGGCGCTGGCGATCTCGGTTCGAACGCGCTCAAAACAATGCCGCACGATGCCTGCACCGAAGTCAGTGTGCCAACTAAGGACTCAGCCACAGCCAAGGGATCGACTCACAACCCAGCACATTACAGCGATTCCCAAGGTATGGAACAGAGGCACGACGTGTATCGAAAACACTTTGTCCGCGAGGTCGCGTTCCCCAAAGTAGGGGATGATGCAGGCGTCGAGGATGCGTCGATGCGAGAAGGGGATTGGCTTCGGGAATGCCGTCGATCCTACTCTGAGATCAGACAAGATAACGGATGGAGTTGGACAAAACGCACCAGATGAGTGCATGATCAGCGCTGGTGTATCAGATCCATGAGGCACATACGGGAGGTCGTCGACCTCCTCCGCCAGCGGAGCGAAGAGTTCCCCGAAGACGAACATGGGCGAGACGCGCGGAAGAGGAACGCTCGGCTGCTGAGTCTTGATAATTTCAAGCGCGCTGTGCATGAGGTCCGTGATGCCCTGTTCGCTGCTCACGAGAACATGCTGCACGCTCGTCTTGCTGATGAGGTGCGCGACGGCAGCGGCCGAGTTGCGGGGCGAGATGGGGAAAACGACGAAGCCAGCGCGGATGATGCTCATGATGGTAACCATGTACGGGATACTGTCTGCAGAACCGCATGAGTATATCGACACGAGAGAGATTCTCGACGTGGGCGCACCTGATGATGACAATATGCCAACTACAGAATGTCCCTGCATGTCAGGCGTCCAATCCGTACGTGTCCTTATCTTCTGAGCACCGACATGCATGGCTCTAACAGCTTCGGGCCAATACAGAGCCTGTACAGCACCGTCGTCCTTGGAATAGACGAACACGCGCTGTTGCGGACTATGCTCTGCGTGCCATTCATATAACTCAGGCAGCGTGAGGGAGCCATCCATCGGAGGCCGTTTGAAGGTAGAGCTCGAAAAACCCTGAGTCTGAGCGAAAATAGGGTACAGCGTCCGGCCAGACATCTTGCAGTTCCGATTTGAGACACTCGAGGTTAGTCTTTTTGAATCATCGCACGTAGGAGGTTGATACATACCGTCACGGTAGCAGAGAGGAACAGGCTCGATCGCCGCGTCGACGGTGCACTGAGCCTGTATATATGATATTCCGAGTCTGAGCTCTACGCTGCCAATATACAATGACTGCCAATTGGAGATGCCCGGACATGCTCTGCTGCCGACTCGGACTCGGGCCAAGTCAGGCTGACGTTTGCGAAATGTGATGCAGTGTGCACCCCAAGTTCTTGCCAAGGTCATCGACGAACATATGAGCTGTTTGTACAAGTCTGTTCATCGATTGGTACCCGTGTTCAAGTGATACCCTGCAAAATCGAAGGCTCGTCAGCGCCACAAGCGTGCTTACGATACTATGTATACAGTGACTTACTGCGCCCCATTCAACATTGGGATTGGTTTGGTCAGGGTCCAACTGCCAGCCGCGACCGTGAGTTCGGAACTGTGGATAGCGAAGCAGGACAGGGAAGCGACACACCTCCACCAACGTCCGACAAAGGCCTGAAGACATACCGGAACACGCAAAGTATACATGGCCTACCAGCACTCGCATTCGCACCCGTGTCTGGCGTAACCACGATCCACGCGCCGTCCAATGGTGACAGGGGCAAGGACAAGGATACAGTAAGGAAAAGATGACGGGTGCATCCAGCTGGGTCCGAGAAAGGGTCGCAGAATGCCACCACTGAGAGCGCTGCCAGGACAGGAAGCAGTCCTGTGCTGAGCAATGTTGCATGATATATCCCTCCCATTGCAATCGCATTCCGAGAGAAGCAGACCTCACGCTATCCACCTGCCGCAGCCCACGTACACCGCGAAAGCAACGTGACTCAAGCTGGGGGGCGACACGCCCACACCCAATCCCATAAGGAAAAGCCAGAATAACGGTTCTGAACCCATGTGCAACGAGCGACATCTACAGAATTAAGCAACGAACGATACGAGGGGGGGGGCCTAGGAACACTGGTCGATCTCTATGTACGGATATGCATACCAACTAAGGGGCGCCGACAACTTACAAGCGAGCGAAAACCCGGAAAACGTACTGTACCACAACAACGAGCGGGAAAGCATAGCGTAAGGACGTAACTGCCGATGCGAGCATCGAATCATTGCCGGAAGGGAGGGGAAGGGAAAGAAAAAGCGTCCATACCACATACCACAGACTCTATAAAGTCCAACACCGCCTCACCACGCTTATAATCGCGCACCGCCTCGGCGAGCCCGATCACTCGACCCACACGGGCCACAGACAGTGCGCGCGCGCGGAGCACACCTCCGGGAGGGCCACCCTCGGCTCCGCCGCAAGCGCCTCGAACCGCAGCGACGCAAACCTGCCGTCGAACCCGGCCGGGCGCGCCCTATCCCCCTTGTACGAGGGCAGGTACCCCACGACGACGTGCGCGACATCCGCGTGCTGCGCGAGCTTGGACAGGACGACGCCCGCGGCCATGAAGCGCGTCATCAGGACGTGCACGGTGCGCGGGCGCGCGGGCGGCGCGCCCCGCGCGAGCGCGCCGAGGGCGACGGCGAGCCCGACGTCGTGCACGACGACGGTGTCGAGCGACGCGGGGAGCGCGGGGACGCCCGTGCCGCCGACGCCCTCGCCGAGGAGCCATAGCGTGCGCACGTGCGTCGCGGCGAGGACGTGCCGCAGGACGGCGTGCGCGTCCCACGCGGGGGCCGTGCGCCGCGCGCCGCGGGGCGGCTGCACGAAGCACACGGCTGCGCGCGGGCCCGCGACGAGGATGTCGCGCGCGCCGGAGACGAGCATCTCCGTCGCGTCGCGCAGCGCGGGCGTGCGCGCGAGCGCGGCGAAGAGCGCGGCGGTGCCGTCGGGCGCCGCGGCGGGGCTCGCGTGCAGCCGGATGGAGGCGTCGTCGGGCAGGTCCACGTGCGCGAGGAAGCGCGCGACGTCGGCACTCGCCATGTCGGCGCAGACGAGCCTGCGGAGGCACGGCAGCGCGACGCGCGGGGGCGCGCCGGACATGCGGAGGCGGCTGAGGACGAGGTCGGTGAGGCGGGGCGCGCGCGCGAGCATGCCCATGACGCCGTGGCACGCGTCCGGCCCGGGGCAGCCGTCGAGGTGGAGGCTTGTCAGCGCGGGGAACTCGTTCTCGGGCAGGACGCTGCAGTCGCGGAGGGTGAGCTGCCGCAAGGACTGCGCCTGCGTCGCGAAGCGCGCCGTGAGGCAGTCCGTGTCGAGCGCGGGCAGGTGGCGGTTCATGCCGAGCACCAGCTTCTCGAGGCGACATTGACACGCGGGCGACGCGAGGATGTCGAGGTCGCTTGTGCGCGCGTTGGCCTTGTCCCACTCGATCGACTTGACGCGGTGACCGTCGGACTGGAGGAGACCGCGAAGCGCGGGCGAGGGCGAGGCGAGGAGCCGGAGCTCCAGGGGCGTGCTGCTGGACTGGCGTGAGACCGCGAGCGGGCGGCGGTCTCGCCGGTCAGTGATCAGGCTCCAGAGGGCCAAGTCTGCGAAGGCGACAGAACGCCAGCGACGGCACACTTTGACGATGGTGGCCACCTTCGCGGGGACAGGTTCTACGACGCTCCAGATGTCGCCCGTCGCGGTCGCGTTGCCGGCATGCGGGTGGGCGGCATCCTTGTCCTGGATGGAGGCGAGGCGGAAGATGTACTGGAGGATCTCGGGGGGCAGGCAGACTACTGGGAGGTAGGCGTTCTTCGACGCGCCGACCTCCTTCTCTGCGCGACGCAAAAGGCCTCGCAAGGAGTCGAGCTGTGTGAGCTGTGTGAGCGGTCATGGACCTGGGATGGAAATAGTGGAGCCGCAGCCACAAACCGTAGGCAAGCTGTGGAGGGACGTATGAGCCATGGGTAGGGGTGAGGGCGAAGTGTCCAGACAAACCTTAAAGCTGAAACATCGTCGTTTACCCTTGCGAGGGTGTCTATGAGTCGCACGAGCGAGGCCATGGTCTCTGAGGTGATGCTCGGAATGTCCATAGGAGGTGGGAGCGCAGTGGGAGTACGCGGCTTAGACCCTCATATCCTGCGGGTCATAAGCATCCGGGAGTCTGCTATATCGGTGTTAGCGAGTCCGAACGCGGAGAGACTCTGACATGAACGGGGCGAGGGGGCACGCAATGTGTCAATGAAACCGTGCGCTGGCTGGCCGGTCTCTGTGCGGCGGCGCTTCACTGGGAGGCGACGCGGGGGAGACTTACCGGGAAGAGAAAGTGGGTGGCTGGCGAGGTCTGCGGGGGAGGCAGGGGGAGCGGGCCCTGGCCCTTATGAGCATAGGCCAGCATAGGCAGACAGGGCCGGCGCGATCGAGCGCAGGCGAAGCGAGATTGGGGGCGGGCGATCGCGCGGGGAGCAGGCGGCCATTGGCCCAGGTCATGATAGAGTTCACGCTCGCGGCACCACACAAAAGGAGGAGCGGCGCGGCGCCGCAGCGGGAGCGAATTGGGAGGGCTCAGGCTGGGATGGAAGGGCGAGTCGGGGCCGCCGCCCTGGCGATCAATGAGCGACCCGGCAGTTGCCCCCCGCCCCTCGCTACCCGCCCGGCGTTCCGCGCCTCCCAGAATGGCTCCGTCCGCCAACAGCCGCGTTTACGCGCCGGCCATTTCCAATCCCGGCCCACCATCCCCCAACGGGACTCCCCGGCGCAGGCACACGTCGCACATGTTGCGTCCACTGCACTCGCCAGCGCAGGCCCTCCGTCACGTCGCCGCGGTCATGCAGCTCACGGACTCGAGAGACCAGTCGTCCGCAACCTGAGCTGCTAGCACCGATTGCCCAGATGGGTCTTCGAAACCAACCGGCTTCGATCGTCCCAGTCTTCGCGTAGATCGATATCTACCTTCCACAGCACCGGACGAGCCCGCGCGTCACTAGAATCGCCCACTGTTGACTGTTGTCCAGGTCCTGATGCGGCACTCCGGGAAATCCGGACTCGCACGACAAGTGCTTCCTCTGGGCGATTGCAACCGTACGCATGAGCCCTTCGCGTAAGTTAGTCGTTAGTCTCCACTGTTGGCCAAAAAGAGTTACTCTCGTTTGCGCCCTTCGCGGCAATGTGGGTAAGCGGTGTCACGGTCAACGGTCGGATGTAAATAATAGATGGCGGGTGACGGGGTACGTTGGTACCTGGGTGAAATTCGTGTGTACTTATTAGGGATCTGACGCGCGTATAATATTGCGCTCGCGTGTGGTCGGCCGAAACTTCAGAGTAGTAGGGGTGGTGTCAATGGGTCAATGCACATTGTTACGAGGGAGAGAAAGAGCGCGAGGAACTTGAAGGGGAACCCGCGAGGGGTACATGTGACATGATATCGATGTGTCGCTGTCGTCTTCTACCAAACGCACAAGTCGGGACTACCTCTTTGGTACATGCGACGGTTGCCAGTCTATCAGTGCAAGTGTTATGGATACTTAGGCGGTGCGAGGGCGGTGTCAGGTCCTGCTCCTCCGCCGATTCGTCCTCATCTCAACTGGGGGATATCCGCCTCCTCGACAATTGCAATATCGGTTCGCTTTCCTCCTAGTCCCACTCAGGCTGAACCTCTTGCAATCTGTGATGCATTTCTTCCTGTCTTTGTCGTCGCGCCACACACCTCCCAGATGAAATTCGCTAGCGCGTCATTCCCTTCCGTCGCTGTGAGGACTGGCGGGAGACCAATGGTAGAGCTTGTCTCGCGTAAGGAGTATTTCTGGGTGAAGTTCGTACCTCGGTTCGAACCGCCCAGTGGATGTAGCGTTTTCCAGTTCGTCGCCTAGCAGGACGCCTATGCTGCTTCCTAAAGCATTGGCCCTTGTCGCCCTATCGTCGGCGAGGTGGGAAGCACGACTGTAATGGCATTCCACACTCACAGCCGCTGCGGCGGCCACCAGTCGATATGATCCTGCTTCTAACGCAGTACCGTACTCACCGACTCACCGTTGCTGCTGTCCGGAGAGTCCGGAGTTGCGCGGGACGACCGCAGCGATCGGTCACCGCGCTGAGACGATCCGGTGGTTACCAGACGGAAGCTTTGGGTGGTGATTGCGTGATTGCCAGCACGAATCGAATTTGCATCCGTGCGCTGCCGCGTGAGGTCTTCGTACTAGCCTATTATACTTGTCGGCTGAGTGGCGCGGAGAAGCGGTACGGTACAGTCTGCACGCGTACTTACTGAGGATAGCGGCGGCCGCACCGAGTCTGATCTGAGACGTAGCAAGACCCGAATTTGATAGAAGGATGGGTACACATCACAAATTGTAGGAGGTTCAGCCTGAGTAGGACTAGGAGGAAAGCGAACCGATATTGCAATTGTCGAGGAGGCGGATATCCCCTAGTTGATGCAGTACCGGCGATAGGACGTGCGTGTGGTGAACGTCGATCTGTGCTTGATTCCGTTGGGATCGACGCGTTATCGTACAGTAGAAACAACGTATCTTAGTCTCACCTATCATAGCACCCCCTCAGACCATTTCTGAGAAGGATAGGGCAGCTCTTCCAAGGCGACGCACCTCCAGAACAACACGCTGATCTATCGTCCGAGTCTGAGAACCGCGACAATCGTCAGCGTGTGCATCAGGATGATACAGGCCGGGTAGCTGAGCACAATCGTCAGCGTGTGCATGAGGATGTGATACAGGCCGCGTAACTGAGCAAGACACGTCAGATACCAGGTTTGCCGCACGCATGTCGGTGTAAGGCCTATCAAACGTGCATTGTCTGACAGCGGGAACCCGGTAAAGTGGCGCCTACCATTGCCTGCATTTGTTCATACGTAAATTAAGGCCGCTCAGCTGCTGAGGCCGAGGAGCGACGACCTTCACGACATGCATGTCCGGGTCTCGTTAGGCGTACCTGTCGGGAGGATCAACCGGCTGGGTGTCCTGTGCTGTTTCAGTGCACCGTCGTCATGACCCAGCTGTTTCTCGCCAAAAGACATTTCATAGGGGCTTGACTTGCTGATGGAGGTGAAGGTGTCGGAGTGTCCGACCCGGCGAGGACGTGGTGGCGTCAGCGGGTCCTTCCTTATTTAGAAGGTGTACTGATTCAACGTCTCCCGGCCACCGTCCTGTCCTCTGTACAAGGTGGCTCTCAAGCACGCAGGCACATGGCCAGCAAATCCACACCTCGAATGAACACCGCCTTCGTCTCTGAAACTGGGCAGCGGCGATCCGCCAGTCCTTGACGCACACGTGGCACTGGCATGACGAAGGCTCCGAGGGGCCCCCATGGGCTCAGCATCACAGGGACGACGACGAATGTAGAAGAATTGTGTCTCCCTTCCAAAAGTCTCTATTGCAGCTCCTGGAGAGGCCCCACCCAGCTTGCATGCGAACAAGGTATCACTGTATGCGTGAGCTCGAAGTGAGCAGGCTCCATTGCAATTTGCCATGGCGCCTCTGAATCACGTCGTCGCCCAGGCCACCCGTCTCCCTCGAAGTTGTTGCACCTGCAATGTACGATCGAGTGGGACGCTCCAGAGCAGGTCATAACGGAGTGCACCTTCGCGGCGACCGAAACGGGCATCCCAAGTGACGGGCCCGTCGCGGGCCCAGTGGCGAGAAATGCACTGACGTCAGGCGCAAGTGTCTACGTCTTCAGAAGGCGGGGCCGTTGACGGAGGCAACGCACAGATGCGGTCATCGCATTTCCCGGTCTGGACGCAGCAGCGTTGGATCGCCTGGGCACGCGGCGGCCCCGCCGCCGCCCTATAAGAAGGTGCCCGTCAACAGTCCTGCCAGCTGCACCGCTCCTCACGACTCGCCCACGACCCCCTGTACACGACCAGCACGACGACCACGACTTGGACGATGGTCAACCTCCTCCCACTCGCGCTGCTCGCTGCGGCCAACGCGGTCGTCGCACAGAACACCACGTTCTTGGCCGGCCTCATGAGCACCCTGGAGGACGCAGGCTGCACGTCGTTGACGCATATTGCCTCGTCTCTCAACGGCACCAGCCAGGGCCAGTACCTCCTGAAGAGCATCTCCAACGGCGACTCCTACGTGTTGTTCGCGCCCAACGATGGGGCAGGTGAGTGGTTTCGGCGCCTACAGAAGTCGGATGACGGGTCTGAGGTTTCGTGACAGTGTCTAATGCGCCGTCAAACATGACGGACAACCCGTTCAACCTGCTGTCTTACCATGTCGTGTCCGGCAACTTCAGCGGCCAGTCCACCACTTACCCGAACACGACCGTCGGACGCACCTTCCTGAACGACACGACGTACGTCAAACTCGAGGGTAACAGGAGTCAAGTCGTCGCATGGTCAACTCGTTCGGACGGCCACGTCCACGTCCTGAACCAGAGGTAATGCCAGTGCACTCGCCTTCCATGCTAGCACGAATTCTCACCTGTGGCGCTTAGGAACGACTCCACTGTGACCAACACCACGACATACGGCAACGTGACCATCTACGTCGTGTCCTCCGTGCTCGAGTGGCCCGAGAACTTCAGCGGCGCCGTATCCGCGGACGCGCCGAACCTCGACGCGTTTAGCGCGACGGTGTCGAACGTGACGCAGAGCTTCTACAACGGCACGGACCACACGACGAAGGACGAGACCGTGGCGGAAATCATCGGCGGCGGCTTCCAGGGCTTCACGCTCTTCGCGCCGAACACGTCTGCGATTGAGGCGATCAGCGGGAACATCACGATGTACGAGCAGAACGCGACGCAGATACAGACTATCCTCGCCAACCACGTACGTCCCCCATCGAGTCGCATTACCCCCATGCAGTGCTGACGTTCTGCGTGTAGATCATCAATGGCACATCGGTGTACTCCCCGGAGCTGGTCGGCAAGAGCTACACCTCCGCGGCGGGCCAGGCGTTCTCGTTCTCTATCAACGCGACCGGGCAGTACGTCAAGATCGGCTCACTCACCGCCCGCATCCTCCAGCCGGACGTGCTCCTGAGCAACGGTGTCGCCCACATCATCGACCAGGTCCTAGTGGACACCCAGGAGGACATGAGCGCCGCCAGCTCCGCGTACGTCCCTCCCTAATTCTGTTCCTCTGAGTGAAGTGGTTGCTGACGGAGAGGTTTCGTATAGGGTTGCGTCGGCGACGTCTGAGGCGGCGCAGAGCACGACGGAGACGCGTCCGATTGGGTACTCGCAGACGGCGACGCTCGCGTCGGGCGCGTCGGGCTCGAGCTCGTCTTCGAGCAGCTCGGCTGGTATCGCAATGCGCGGACTTAGCACCAGCCAGATCGTCGCCTTTGGGTTCACCGCTGTCGCTCTCGGCGTGGGCGCTTTCGTTGCCTTGGCTTGAGACTGCGAAAAGAGATGAGAGTTTCACGCGTTTGATGAACGATGGCTTGTTCTTGACTCAGACTGGCATGAATCAGAACGGATACGAAGACTTTATTGTAGGAATGGATTGACCAGATTGTGGTTTTGTATTTCCGTAGCAATATGTAGCATCCAATTGACGCATCCTTTACGGCCCAGGCGACGCGATACGTGCAGATCCTTGGAGCCATAGAACGGTGCCGTGCGCATTGCACGCGGCAGCCTGAGGGTCGGGCACGCCGAGTCACCGACGTGCGGGAGAGGAGCGATACAACGACGCGCCCACATCAGATGACTCCCGCCAATTCCCATATCCGGGCACCCGAACGTCGGGCCCGACGGAGCACCGCTTTGGGCCACCGACGATCAGGAGGCGCGTGCGCGTCGCGCTATATAGCTGAACCTTGGCCACGCGTCAACCGCGCCCCTTTCACCCCTCCCCACCGTCCAGCCCAGCATGCCCCCAGGAAGAAAGCCGCGACGACAGACGCGTCCGACGCCGCGAAACCCGCGTCGGCGCGCGCGACGCGCTCTAGCACGCGCACGAAAGCTCCGACGTCTAAGGCTTCGACGTCTGCTGCAGCGGCGCCGGCTCCGCCAGCGGCCCCTGCGTCGAAAGGGAAGGCGAAGGCGAAGGCGAGTGCGAAGCGCGGGAGGCTGCGTCGGACGATGAGGAGGACGAGGAGCCTGAGGCTAAGAAAGCGAAGACGAACGGCGGCGGCGCCTCGCAGAAGGCGGACCCCCCGCAAAGATGGTACGTCTCGTGTTCCATGCGAGTGGAGGTGGGGTGTGGTTAACTCTGGTGTGTTTTCGAAGGTGACTGTGCTGAAACGCGGGGCTGCGCCGGTCGACCCTACCTCGGGATGGGTGGGTGAGTATAATGTGTACTTTTGAGGTGTGCGACGTGAGCTCATCTCGTGGGGTCCCAGATACGCATCAAGTCCTGTCGACCCCGGAGGGTATCTGGGACGCGACCCTGAACCAGACAGACATCGGGAAGAATGCGAACAAGTAGGATCCTCGTGTGGCCTCCCTCAGGACTACACCGCTCACATCGCCGCTGCGCAGATTCTACGTCTTGCAGGTCTTACACCCCCTCGGCAACGAGGGAAACTGCACGTTGTTCACGCGCTGGGGCCGTGTCGGCGAGAGCGGGCAGCAGCAGAAGAAGGTACGGGTCCATCACAGGTCATCCGCCGGTCTGAGCGAATACCGATTGTTCGGCTCAGTCTGCCATGTCCGCATCTGCTGCCGTGAGCGCGTTCAAGGCGCAGTTCAAGGCGAAGGCCGCGGTGAATTGGGAACAGAGGCATGGTATGGTCGCGAAAAAGGGTAGGTGTCGCCTCGAGCTCGTTCGCCCGGACGCTCATCCATACGTGAACCACAGGAAAATATCAGTGGATAGGTCGGTTCTTCGCGTCTCTTTGGTTAGCAATTGCGCAGGGTGTGCTCAGCGTGCCTTTAGAACGTATTTTCGAAGACGAAGGACAGGAAGACAGAGTGGAAGGTAGCTCGAAAAAGGATGAGGAACCGGAGAAAATCCCCGACTCCACTCTCCCGCAAGAAATCCAGGTGACGCCGGAAAGGATGCTCCGTGGACATGCAATTGACATCTCTCTCCTAGGCACTATGCAGACTGATGTTCTCCGCGAAGTAAGCCTTCATCTTATGGAAAGTGGTGCTTGCTGATGCCGAGCATCTAAAGGCTCATCGACGCTACGTTGTCTTCGATGAATTACGACGCGAACAAGCTGCCCCTTGGTGAGACGCTCTCCGCAAGTAGATCTACACCAATTTCTGACCGCTGGGTCCAGGAAAACTGGCCAAGTCAACCATTCTCAACGGGTTTGCCGCTCTGAAGGTTCGTGGTGTCATGTTATAGCCAGAAGCTCGCGATTACGATGTTGAATGGCGCTGTTTCAGACCCTCTCAGAGGTCATCTCGCAGCCGGATAGTGACACAGCGAAGCAATATGGTGGCTTCCGCTCTGCCGTCCAAGAATTGACTGGCCGCTACTACTCGTGAGCATGATGTTCACTCTGCGCTCGGCGTAGCTGACAACCTGGCTAGCATTATCCCGCATGTATTTGGGCGTAATCGTCCGATTACCATCGACTCATTGCCTCTGTTGAAAAAGGTCAGTGATGCCCTCTCTGCTCAACAGATTGATGACGTTCTGTCGCTCAGGAATTGGACCTCGTCGATGCGCTAGGAGACATGGTACACGATTCCGCATTCCTCACAACATCGGGGCCTACTCACTCTCGCACAGGAAGTAGCCTCGAAGCTGATCTCGTCCACGGTCCCCAAAGACGCGAGCGGCAAGCCTCTCAACCCGTTGGACCACAACTTCCTCTCCCTCAATCTCTCCAAGATGGATCCGGTCTCGCGGAGCAGCAAGGAGTTCGGTGCGCTCGAGGCGTACACGCGCGATACGCACGGCGCGACGCACCGCCATTACCAGGCGCAAGTTCAGAATGCATTCCGTGTTGAGAGGTAGGCCCTCAGCTCGAGGTGACGCTTTGACTCCGTGAGGTGCTGATGGTCATGGTAGACAAGACGAGACGGAGGCGTGGATGAAGGCTGGGAACGATAAGGTTGCGGACGGAGAGCGTCTTCTGCTCTGGCATGGTTCGCGTTCAACTAATTTGCAGGTATGCTGCCTCTCCTCGCAGTGATGGACTCGATTATGAAATTTATCTCCCTCAGGTATTCTCAGCCAAGGTCTGCGGATTGCTCCTCCAGAAGGTGAGACAGTGCGACATGTTTGATTAAGGATCTCACTTTCTGACGATTGCACACATTCAGCTCCCGTCACTGGTGTGTTAAACCAAGTAGCATAGGTGTACTGAGGGCGTACTGACGCTATCGCAAGGTTACATGTTTGGCAAGGGAGTTTACTTCGCCGACGTGAGTACTTCATGCAATGAATCGAACGCATGATCTGATTGGGTTTTCTAGATGATGTCAAAGGTAAGTCGAAGAGCCGTCTACAGGGATCCATGCCACTGAGCGTCGCCTAGTCCGCCAATTATTGCCATGCATAGTATGTTCCTCTATGGCTACGTCGCCGAAACCCGATCTGACTCGCTTCCCCTAGCCTGAGTGATAACACGGGTATCCTCCTCCTGTGCGAAGTTGCAGCGAAGCCTTTCTACGAACAGTTTGATGCCAATTACAACGCCGACCAGGACTGCAAGAAGGCTGGTGCGAGGTGCGTTGGCGTTGTCTGTTCAGTTCCTCTAGAACAGCAGACTGATCACACTTCCAGGTGCACTAAAGGTTGTGGGCGAACTCAGCCCGGGGAGTGGCAAGACGCAGGTGCCACTTTAGAGAACGATGCTCTCAAAGGCTGTCATATGCCGAAGGGACCTGGGAAAGACGTCCAGAACATCCAGGGCTATCTACAGTACAATGAAGTAGGCTCCACCTCTCCTTCGACGAACATTGATTAACATTTCTGCTCAGTATATCGTGTACGACACGTCACAGATCCGCTTGCGCTACCTCCTCATGGTCAAGATGAACTAGTAGCCCGCTTCCCCCACTCGCCAGCGGACATTGACAGTGCAAAATCTAAGACGTGGTACAGTACGTTGTTTATCTGAATTGTGTCCTATGGGATGTCATGTTGCTCTCTCGCTCTCTCGCTGTCGTACGCTCTACCGACTGAACACACCTGTGCTTCGTCGATGTCATTATACCTACAGTACGATACAGCAAATAAAATGTACACTCGCATGACTCAATCCACTCTCCTCCGCTTAGCGTCGTGCTCCCCGTCCACCGACCGTGAGCGACGTCTCCGATCCTGTCTTGGCTCATCCCTGGCTCGCCATCCCTCTCTCCGCACAGGAGATCGTGACCTCGAGTATGGCTGCCGTCTGCGGTCCCTGTCCCTGTCTCGGCCGTCATACCGATCTCTATCCCTGTCTCCGCTCATCGATCCCCCCATGTCTCGCTCATGCCCTGTTTTCCGCTCCCCGCTCTTCTCACGACTTCTCCGCCTATCCCGCCCATCCTCATCGACATTCCGGTCACGTTCCCTCCACGAGCCCTTCTCCTTCTCCCCATCCCGATCGCCTCTCGCGCCCCATGGCCGTCCGCCCGCCGTACCACCACCCATGCTCGCGTTAGCACCGGTGCCAATCTTGTTTGGCGGCAGATTATTGTTCTGCGGACAGTCCTTCTTGAGGTGTGGCCCGCCGCAGAGGAAGCAGCCTGCGCCCGACCCGGGGCCGATGGTCGTCCCGCCCGCCTTGACAGGTGCGGAACCACCAAAGCCGCCCGACGCGACGGTGGTGTCCTGGTCCAGCAAGTGCGTGTACTTCGTGCGGCTGCGCTTGCCAAAGTTCTTCACCTGCATGACCTTAGGGAGGAGCGAGACGTCCATGGTCGACTCGGTCGCCTCCGTGTAGTCGTGCTTTACGAGAACCTCATCATCCTGCATTGATAAATGGGTCAATACAGACGTGGAGGAGCTGCGCGGGAGGGAGAGGACGCACCTGATGGAACGCGCCCTTGTGCCAGTACTTCTGCAAGAACTTCTGCTGCCCCTTCGGCTTCTCCTTCCTGCTCTTATCCGCGTGCTCCATGTCCTCCTTCATCCTCTGTTCCTCCGGCAACGCTCTCCGACGCTCGATCTCTTCGCGTTCGAGCTCACGCGCTAGTGCTGCCTCTTTGTCCCGCTTGATGCGCGCGAGCTCGCGGAGACGCCATGCCTCGAACTCGCCGGCTGAGTCGAGTCCGTCGGTGTCATCAACGTCGGGGACCTCAGCTTCCTTCTCCTCTATGTTATGCAGAGTCAATGAATGAAATGTCACGCATCAGGGGAGAGCGTACTCTCTAGAAGCTCCCGCCGGATGCTCTCGGCCACCATATTGTGGCTGTCTTTCCTGCGCTCCTCTGCCTCTGCCTCCTTCTTTCGAATAGCTTCCTCTGTATCTTCAGCCATAGCTTCCTTCTCCGCCACTGTTACACGAGCCCGTCTGCAGAATGTCAAACTGCACTGAATCTCTAGATGTGCGTCGCACTCACTTCGGTACGAAGACAGGTCGGAACTGGACCTTCGGCTTTTCCTCCTCAGACTCCTCTTCGGATCCTGTTTCGTACTCGCTGGACTAGATGAGGACGTTTAGTTAGACGACATACGATACGATTGAACACACCTCTTCCGCCGCCTTTACCTCCTCCTCTTCCTCCTCTTCCTCTTCTGTTACTATGTCAGTTTACCGTCACGGAACGTAGCCATCTGGACGCACCCTCCTCTATCTCAACCTGTGTTCTTCCCGACTCCCCTTTTCCGGCAACGATGACCTGCCCTTCCTTAGAGATGTTGACGTCCCGCAGCGCGACATTGATCCCCTTCGCTGCCTTGAGCCTCTGCGGAGCTTGCCTTACGTCCAGGCGGCCCTCGTCTTCCTCATCTTCTCCAGTGATATCCTGGATGAGCACATCGCCTCTTCCTCGGGCTCCTGGATCTCGGCGGCCTCGTCGTAGTCGGATTCGTCTGAGGAGGCCTCGCCGGCACCTTTCGGTGCTTTACCTTTCCAATATCGAGCGGCAGGGCGGGGAAGACGTGCCGCTGGCTTGCGGGCAACAGTCGTACCAGACATCTCGCGCCTGTGGTGCAGCGAATCTCGGAGTTCTTAGGTGTGCTAGCAAGATGTAAGTAGCAAGTAGTATCAAGTATGAGAAGCCTGCCACTTGACGAGACGCGCCGTCCAAAAGTGGCAGTACAGTAGCGCCCAAGTGGCACCGACCATGACCGCTCCTCCGATAGACAGTGTCCGTGCGTGCTTTCTGGTTTGACCGTCTGCTTTATTGACTTGTCGCCGTTCCGGCGCATGTCCTCCCTGATCCAGCCATGATTTGAAGAGCGGAGTGGAGCTTGAGCTATGCCTCAAGAGTCAAGATGTTCGCTGTTAATGGACTAGTATGTACTGAACGATAGCACAGGTGCATGCATGCTTCTATGGGCCTGAGGAAGATCGGCACAATATGTCGCGCTGGCGATTGCGACGTGCGGCACCCGAGCCCCCAAAAGTTCGTATCATGTCAAATAATAATATTCCCTCTTCGCGCTCTTACTTACTGTAACTGCCAGTGAGTCATCACGATCACCGCCTTGCCAGCTAACACAGCAAACCAGCGACGGTCCCTTGACCGTTCATCGGCACGTTTAATTTATACCTTTCAGAAACGCGTCTGTTGGCGTTGTCCCTGTCAATTCGAGGCCTTTCGATGCTCGAGGGACCGGTCTTGGGCAAGTACGAGAGCCCGCATACAACTCGTCATGCAAGGAAACAGTGTCATGCTAGACTCGCGGCCGCACAGCGCCGAGTTATCGCTCGTCTCGAACGAATTGGAGCCTGCGCAGCACTCTTCACTGGCACTGGGCCCGGATAGAATACGACATTAATGGCTCGGCGCAGCCTCGATCCCACGTCTGTGTCCTTACACTTTGATGATCGATAAGCCTTCGCTGAACAGGCTCAAGGTTACTAGACACGCCTGCCTCACACGCGCTCACCAGAATGAGGTGCACTGTATCCAAGCAGAGCAGTCCTCTGTATGCGTTTCTCGTGCATCGCCGCTAGATGGTAGTGACGTGAGTATCACTTTGCAGAGGCTTCAGCTGTAGAGGGCTGTCCTCGCATCAGCTGCGAACAGTCTCGATCTCACGCCGGTGTCCACTGAGGGTAAAGAACCACCTGCACCCTCGTGTGTCCAAGTTCGTGGCTTCTATACGCGCCGCGAGTCAGCGCTACGTTATATCGATGCATATATACATTACTGATCATTGCCTTCGCTCTCCCTGCGCTCTCCCCCTCGTCCAGCTTCGAGTTTTTGCAGCGCACACCAAGAGCCATTGAAAGTCCTCACGAGGTACGACTCTGCTTTCGCCAACGAATATCTTTGATGACACCGTGCTTTCCTTTTAGCGTCGCGACCATCAGCGGGCGCCAGCACCGCGCGAACCGACGACCAAGACGGCGCATCTTGGCTTGTCGTGTAACTGAGCCAGTATACATACCGGATATCAGGTGGTATGTTAGCGTACTATGCTTGTTCTTGGAGAGCCGCAATCTGAGAAGCTGCTATTAGTTACGTGTTTCCATCGTCGAGGGTCTGCGTGGTTGTCGTCATCGGTGCGACAGCGCGTTCACATCGCCATCGCGCACATCCCACGTCAACGGAATGGACAAAGTCGAGTCGATGTAAGCGTCACCGTCCAGTCGCGGGTATCATAATTTACACATGTGGATCACAGGACAGCTTCGTCAACGTCCGAGGGCTCCTCTCACGGACCTTCGATCCGCGACTTCCTGTGGAGGTCTGTGAACGCATCATCGACCACATAGCTGTGGGATGGAAAAAGGGTTATTTTATTACAAAGGGCGAGCCATATTTGTCCACTCTCGCATCCTGCGCGCTCGTATGCCAAGACTGGTACTACCTGACGTGGTACCATCTTCGTCAACGCGTCTATCTACGAGACCGGAAGGACGTCCTCTCGCTCTCCAAGACACTCAGTGCAAAACCTCGCCTCCGTGAGGTCATTGAACAGGTCATTATATCGGGTAGTTCTCCCGGGAAGCGTCGACCGATCAGGCACCTGGGGACGTTTGCCGCCATGTTCGCGGGCAAGGCTCCGAAGTTGTGGTGGATCATCATTGAAGACGCCGAGTGGACCATCGGCTCGCTCCGAATAAAGGACATCGGCTACCTGGTTGCGTTCAGGTCCATTGACACCCTAAAGATCCACAATATCACCTTGTCGAACGTCACCCAGCTATCACACCTCGTTTTAGCACTCCCGCGGCTTAGGGATTTATTGTGCATCAAGGTTGACTGCTTGCAGAAACAGCACGTCTCCCCGGTCTCCCTCCCACTGAACTGTGCAAATCTGGAGGATCTCGATGTGCGATGGGTTGCACCAGCAGTCGAAGACCTCTGCGTGCAGATCAGCCGGGCTTCTCGAGTGCGCGATCTCGGTCTTGCGGTGGATGACGAGTTAGATCCATCCTCGGTAGCCAGCAGAAGCCAGCCTTTGCTGGACGCGAGTTCCACATCTGCAGAAACGATTCAGTTCCATTTTGATCCCAGTTCTCCTGTTCCTGATGGTGCAATTGATGCTGCAGTCGGAAAGTCTGCTTAGTTCTCTCTGGAGCCGCTTTGCTGATTGTTTCCTGTATACAGAGCGACATTACAACCTTTCACATCACGACAATCTGAGGCGCTTGGAGATCTACCTGTACCCCCCATTCGTAGCATGGTCCTGGATCCCGCATATCCTGTCTCACATCGTCTCGAAACACTTCAAGGCTATGTGCGTTGTGTTGGCGTTTCAGACAGACCAGATGACCGATGTCTTGGACGGAATGCTGACGACAATGGAGCAGGATGGTGTTCTGGCGCGATTGGACAGTATACTGCAGGAGAAGCGCTTCTCCGGTACTATTGCATCGCGCGGCGTCTGTATAGGCGTTAATTCTGATAAAGATACTTGGACAACGGGGTCTGAGTTTGTTGGGATGGGTTCAGCCGCGGCGCTACAAGAACAGTACGATCGGCTGGACGGGCTCGTCAAGCGGAAGATGCCACACTCGCGCGGACGAGGTATATTGAGGTACGTAGTACTATAGAGTCGTCAAATTGCGAGGGAAAGCTGAGTGTCTTGAAGCAATGTGCATGACTTCCAAGAATTCGTCAGCTGGAGGCAGGACATGGAAGAGATACATCATCAAAGTATGCAGGCTGAGCAGAAGAATACCACCGGAGAGGATGCGCACCCCGGGGCCGACGGTCCTCGAGGCAGCACGGATTGACATCCTTGCAGCCCTACATCATCTTGGCTTGTATCGTTGCATGGGGTTCGTGAGTATGGAACCATCATCAGTAGGCCGCTCTGCTAACTTGTTGTGCGGTCTCAACGTACAGAATGGCCCCGCCGCTGTATCGCGGGTCGATATGTTGCTGTCGGGGAAGGCATTCGCGCCCACTTATGCTCGTATGTAGCACACATGATCATCTTATCTTTGGAGGGACGGAGCTATGGATGTTGTGTGCTCGAGACAGACATTTGATTGTTATAGAACAGGTTTTCATTGATGCTGGGTGCATCCAATTGTATTCGGGCACTGCGTGTGTCAACAGGACACTTGTGTTTCGTCATACTAATCGTATCCGCAAGCTCAGGATCGCTACGAGCAGCTGAATGCACGCCGGTTATTAACGGGTAAAGTCAGTATCGGTGAAGTACGTGTGCGGTGCGTCAGTGAATGAATGGCGACCACTGGTCGGCACATTTGACGGCGTGTGTATGATCTCGTGTGTATGATCCTGTGCTCTTTGCTCATCGAATCGATGGCCTTGGCGACGAGTCTGCAAAGCCTGAAGCTTGGAAGGCTTGTTGCAGGTCGGAGAGCAATTGCAAGTAACAACAGGACCGTAGCATCATGATGTTGTGTGTTTGCAAGTGAGTACCCTCTGACATATCGTCATGGTGCACCTGCATGCTGTCTTACAGCGTACCATAGCCAGTCACTACCACTCCGAGTAGGAGCAATAACAGAGTCGGAGCGAGCGGCACATTGCAGTAATTCGTAAGTACACGTATCTAGTGACCAGTGACCCAATACTCTCCCTAATCCCTACATATAACTTACGTAGAAATCTACTTACTCGCTCGAAGTACATGTACAGATGCGATGAATACTACTAATTCGACAAGAACTGAATATCTAGTGCTGATCCGATTCTGGCCGCCCCCATTTTACAGTGCGTACCGCTCCGTTGTTCCACTCGGCCACTCGTCGCCGTGCAAGCGACGAAAACGTCGACCTATCCGTACCCACAAAACCGATACCGCGAGACTGGATGATTGCGTCCAGGATAACAGGATACCTGCAGGGGCCGAGACCCACAACCGTCAGCAACGTGCCCGCCAAGACGCGGTCACAACAAAGCCGGATACGAACCATTTGCCGTAGAGTTCGACCGTGCGCTCCAAGTCGTGGTCGACCTTCAACCACCCAAGTTCGTGCACGGAGTTCCACCAGTTCGGATCCTTCTCGTTGCCCGTCATGATGACTCTCGTCACCTCGATGCCCTGCCTGCTCCGGAGCTCGTTCTGAACTTCGAAGACGCGTTGCGCGAAGGCGGAAAGAGGCGGGAAGCACTGCTCGCGAGAGACGCCACCGCACCAATCAGCAAAGTCGCCGCGTCGTGCGTGCACGGTTATGTACTACATGCCGTCAGAGAAGTATAGACATGAAAGCGCCGGGAAGACGTACCGGAGGGATCTCATGACCATCTGGGACATTGAATGTACGGCGCAAATAAGCGCCTGCGATGTCTTCCAGACGCTGCGTGAACTTGAAGTGCTGAACGACGAAGCGCCACATCGGGCTGTGATCCAACTCGTACTCCCAGGGCTTTCATGGTCATACTCAGTATTATACGTATTCAACGGTCATGCGACTCACCACGGCCCCGACGACGTAGTATAGTATATCGTAGCAGAGCATCTGATCGTCTGGGGGGAGGGAGTTGCCCGACTGAGTGGGTAATGTGGGATGAGCAGCCGGGTTCGCCAAGATTTCATTGCGCGTCTCTGGAAAGGCGAGGCGTGCAAGAGACCAGAAGCTAGAATGCATGTCGTGCTGGAATCCCGGAAGGAGCTTGATCCAATCCGGCGCACGGGTGTACGAGATGTCTATTGTGCGGATATTGAATGCGAGCTTCTTCACGGACGGAATGATGACGTACCCAGGCCTAGCGTAGACGTGCTGAAGCTACCTCTCGGTGAATCTGCGCCTATACTCTGCGCTTGCCAAAGACTCCAGCATCCGAGTTCATCAGGAGGAGCGTCCAAGTCTGCGGCGAGGTTGTTGTTCTTGATGTCCTGCCATTCTAGAACAGGAATACCGAGCGTCGTGCGGAGATAGGGCAAATCGAAGATTTCGGAGAATGGAATGGGGACACGGTCGCCGCCAATTTCCGATGTAAATGGAGGGATGACAGGGACACGCGAGGTGATCATGGCCAAGTATATCATATTGCCCTACAGAACCCATCAGAGCGGAAGAGTACGATGGAACATGGCCGGTACGCACAATCGTCATATAGTCATTTGCTGAGTTTTATAAACAAGTCAGTGGGGACGAGAGGGGTGCGCGATATACACGTACTAAATCCGGCCACCAGCCATGATGTCAGGTACTTCCTGTCGTCTCTGAGGCTGTCTGTCCTTTCTGTGAACCAGGGGGAAGCAAACTCGAGCTTGTTACTGACCTCTAAAATGTGCTGTTGAAGGGCCACGCAAAGGACCGTGCTCGTAATCCAGGGGGTTAAGATGTGGTGGGACCTTTGGCGGAAACAGTGGTGGACTGTCAGCGAAGGAAGGTGACGAAGGAACCGCCGCCCTGTCGTCATGATCGCCAGGTGTCCCCGTATGGCGTGTGGACCTGGTAGCATCTCTCCATATCATACAAGCAGTGAGGAACGAGATAGAGACCAGAAAAAGAGCAGGGAGTGCGTTGCGCAGACGATAATATCTAGACGGAATGGTGCGATCTTTCTTGCTGGTTGGTTCACTCTTGGGCGGGTGCGAAAGTAGGCGTATCATGATGAGCTATCCAGTGAGAGACAAAGAAGCACAACCAGCTGCAGAGAGCAAAAGAAAGAGAGGGCAGAGGGCTGGTAGAGTACAAGGGGTAGCCCGCTAACGTTAGGAAACCCCGACAGAGCTATATACCGAGAGCCCGATCTCAGGGGAGACTCGCTGTTGTCGGAGACAATACCGAAGACATAGCCGTTATCCGGCGTCGATGGACAGGGCAGAAAATGAAGCCCCACGTTCAAACCACATTTCGCTGCCAAGTCTTGGAGTATGACAAAGGGGCCATTCCGCCGCTCCCTTGCATCCCGAACGCCTTCCAAAAGAGTTAACTGGTCAGTCTGTGTGCGTGACACAGAGATACTAAATACCTCACTCGCTCATTTTGCGTTTTCAGTATTTCCGTGTTGGCTTCGAGGAGGGACGACCTGAATTAAGGGCACAGGAGCAACGCGGACAGTCCAGGCCGGCGGTCGACTCGGAGGACTCGAGATTCGAGCGATACCCGATTTGGTAGTGCCTAGATGAAATCTCAGATCACGATCTCGCAATCCGCCTTCGCCATGTTTGGCAGTGCACACGCGCTGCACAGACGCGTCAGCTCCTCGCGCCTTGCACTCTCGCCACCACTCTACCGTCAGTCGTCTGTACACGGAATATTCACACCCATGGTTGGTTTCACTCCAGATATCTCATGAAACTGTCACGCTCAAATGACCTCGTCGGTCTAGGAACCATCGCATCGCATTGTACCCGCTAACGCGTCCAAGTCGGCCTCGATCCGGGACACCGCCAACAGTCTCGGCTTGCACGATGCGCTCCGGTATGGTCCGCGTAGCTTGGCAGCGGAGAACAAGACCAGGGGAGGGTTGAGGGAGCGACTGGAAAACGTATGTGTTTTGCCTTGTGGTAGAGCTCGACTGCTGAATTGCGTGAACCTTCATCTCGGTCTGCCCATCATCTCTGAATACGATCAGTGGGACGCTACTCAAGACAACTTGAAGCTGACCATGCAGCGCAACACATTTGGTCTTCACATGCCGATGCGTATGTTGATGGAGCGCAAGATTGTCTCTCGTGTAAGTGAAATCGAACGTAGGCTATACGTCGATGGTCATAGCATTGATAATCCTCCCTTAGAACCCTCACATGCCCGCGCTTCCTCAGTCTAACCCACATCTCGATATTCTCATGGGGCGCGACGAGACGCTCGATTGCGCCGACTTCATGATGCCAGGTTCGTTATCAACTATTGTTCATTTATATCGCGCTAAATATCATTTATCCTACAGCATCAGAGCTGGCGCAGCCGTTGGATGTCCACGCGGAAATGGAGAAGAAGCTTCGCATGTAAATGCCATCTCACCAACCACTGTACCATATGCGTTCTCAATACGGACCCTTGCAACGTCGGACGACCTCGAAACACTGTGACGTTCATGGTCCTGGCCTAGTACGCATCTACGTTTCGTGATGCTACTCTTCCTAGTCTCAACATTGAGCCTTAAATTACGTTTTCAAATGGTCAACACGCACCGTCATAGCAAGGTCAGAAAGGTATGCCAGGCCGGCCAAAGCTCGGACTGCGTTGCACACACAACGGGCAGCTTCATACATGGATTCCTCTCACTTGTCTTGGAACGGACAATTTCCGAGACCCCCGCTAAGTCTGTCGCAGTGGCCATGATATTGTTGTTGACAATGAATCTCTGCCGCATCGCGCTTTGCGCGAACGGGTCGTCAGTGTTCTCTGACTGTCTGTTGATAAAGACGTGGATGTCTTGTATAGCTTGCCGATTATCGCCCAAGCACGCGACTAAAGCAGCGCTCACTTCGCGAAGGCCTTCGCCTGTGGTTACTAGCGTCCGTAACTTGAAAGCTCCCATGCGACGGAGAATCTTGTGAACCACCGTGTGTGGCAGCGGCGAACATCCCTTTTCCACCAGCCATAACTCCTCAATCTGGGGCAGGAAGCTGATCTGCGCCAGGGCCTCCTCCCATTCTTCCTCCGGAATATGGACCTGCTCGATATACACCCCAGATGCCTGCCCTAGAGCAGTCAATGAGAAAACGCCTTCCCCCGTACTGAGGATATGGAGCATAGTGCACGAAGCGATGGTGCGAAATCGAGATATGCTGCTGACATCTTGGGCAGTCAGCGGGTCGGTCGTTGTACGGATGCATAGTGCAGTGTCGGGACGCGCGCGGATATGCAGCAAACATGCTGCGATCTCGTCTGGCGGGAGGTCTCGCATTGTCAAGCGCCGAAGCTGGGGCAATTCTGCGATTGTGTCCTCGGAGGCTGTAACTATTCGACCAAGGAATGGTCGCGAAAGCGTGATGTCGACGAGGTTCGGACATCTCGCCAGAAAGGACATGAGTTGCGCGATGTCGCAAGTCCCCCGCCACTGTGCTAGAAAGAGTCGGGTAAGATGGGGAAGATGATTCGTGGGCAACCAACTGAGTCTTCGCAAGCACAGCTCCCGCAAGGACGTCGTCCCTCCGAACAGTTCAAACTCGTTGTCGTACATGTTCACGCTGTTCACCACCAAGGTGGCTGCGCGAATATTGGGTAGATATACCCGCAAGATAGCATAGCGATCGTCTTGGGCGGCACGGATATAGTGAAATTCCTGAATGGTGGGTGCATGCATGCGCAGCCATTGTCGGCAGCCCGAACGTGGCTTGGAATGAATAAATAGCTTCAGCGGTAATATCTTGGCCCGTGCGACGTGATCGTCGTATAGTACTTGCTTCCTGTCGTCGATGGTGGTCCACAGCTCTGCCATATTGATCGCTACTGCTCTCCAACGCCGACAGACGCGCATCAGGGGCACCACGTCGCTCGATCGGATGAGATGGTCCCTGTAACAGAGAGCGTGATCGTCTGGATCGTCTTTGTAGTCGTCAAGCGGGGATCCAGGGACATATCGGAATATAAGCCCAAGGACTTCAGGAGGCAACTCGTAGGTCGTGTCCATCGCGGACTGTGCCTCCATGTAAACCAGCTTGTACGACGATGTAACTTGCGCTAACTGTTCCAGGTTGGAGTCAATTCGACACCGTCTGTATACAGACTATGTCTGACTTACTAGAGATCGACTGAGAACCGCGTGAGCATTTTCAAATACGCCTGCGCAAAGATTTGGACCACATACCTCATTGTGCCCACTTCTCTAGCAAGTCTCGCTCGTGTCCACTCCGCAAGTTGCAGAAGTGGTATGTCGTCGATCAATGAAACTGGCCTGATCTCCTCGGTCGCCATCCTGAGATTGCCCAAAAACCAATAACGAGGCGTGAGGGAACGTTGAGATGCTGGTGAGCACAATATTAATGAACACGTTCACCATTCGACTCGGACGACTGAGGCACCCACCGTCCGTCGTCCCGAGTCGTTCTTCGAAGCCACGGACACGTGACTCCGTCTTCTGCTCTCGCTGCAGGTCGTAGTCACGGTAGTGGCAATGACACTAGCACCACTCATTTCAGTACGCCGGTTGTTGGCGAAGGCGAGACTGTCTCCCATGAAATCATGAGATGCAGATACAATTTCGGCCCGTGCCACGACTCGCGTCTCTAATCCGTAGAAATCCCGCATGCCCATACGGTTGCCCTATTACTATTCTGGCACCCATCGCAGGCCATATCGCCAGGTTTCTGCTTTCTCGTGCGCCCACGTCCCAGTATTCTGGCTTTCATCGACACTTTCACCCGCATTGTCCTTCGACGCATGTCTGTTAGCCTTCCTGAAAGACGCTGCCAAACAACATGGGTACTACGTACCCTAGTAAACTCTGTATGGAGGCGTCAGAAAAGTGTCCCATGCGGGCCACATGTCTGATTCTGTCGCGCAGACGGGTGGCAGAGCAATGGTCGGCATCGTTCGACAGGTATGGACACTGACAGATGCAAAGCCGTCTGTGTCCAAGGTAAGGTTGTGCCCCGCCGCATAGTCCTCGGGGATCATGATCGTAACGTGAGGTATCTTCGTTTCTCTGAGCCATGCGATGTTCTGAACGAGAGGACCATCAACCCGTGGTAGTGAGTTGACAAGAAGATGGAGATCCTGTATGGGTGGCCGCTCGTTCTGTAGGCACAAGAGGGCCATGATGACTTCGTCTAACGCATGGTGTCGGCTCGTGACGACGAGTTTCCGTAATGCCTTCATGGGGCGGAGCATGTCTTGTAGTACCATATGATGGATTGGCATGCATCCATGCTCTTCCACGAGCCACAGCTCCTCAATTTGAGCCAGGGGGATCAATCGCGCCAATTCCGAGTGTTTGGGGGCCCCTTGGTCGAGGACGAACAGGTCGTCGACGTAAACACCGGACGTCTGCCCCAAAGCAGCCACCGAACAGGATAAGGCAGCCTCTTCGGGATGCGCGTGTACAAGAAGCTCGAGCCTAGTGCATGTTTTGGCAGAGGGGAGCTGGGATATACTGTTGATGTCCTCGCAGCTGAAGGGGCTGTAACACTCTTCATCATACGTACGTACGCGTAAGGCGGCATCGCAATGCGCACAAATGCATAGCAAGAGTCGCTGAACATTGTCTTCATCGGCATCCTCAAACGTGAGCCGCCGAAGATGGGGTAACTCCACGACCACGCCCTCAGACGGTAACATCTGTGTGTCTATGAAGAAGACACACACCAAAGAGAGTCGACGAGATTTGGGCAATTTTTCAGGAAGTTGAGGAGGTCGGGCCCATGCCCAGCCCAGTGTGTCAGGTAGAACCGAGTTAAGTTGGGGAAATGATTTGTCGGCAGCCAATCGAGTGATTGCATGGACAACTCCTGCAGCGAGATTGTCCCTCCGAACAGTTTAAATGTCCGCTCGTCTGAAGGCATCGTTAGAGTGGCGATGCGAAGGTTGGGAAGAAACGTTCGCAGCAGCTTGCGCCAATCGTATCTAGTTGATCCGCAGGCTTCGACAGAGTGAAACTCCTGAATAGTGTTCGCATGGGCACGTAGCCACCTTGGAACGTCTGGATGCGATTCCGGTTCATCTGCGACGAAGAACTTGAGCGGGAGCACCCCGGATCGCGCCGCATGACATTCGTAAGGTATCCGATTCGTATCGTCAATGGTAGTCCACAGCTCCGGCATGTTGATTGCTATGTCCCTCCAGCGCCGGCAGACGTGCGTCAGGGGCACGACATCGCTTGACTGGACAAGATAACTCCTGACATGGGCCAGACGGCCATCGAGGTAATCCTCCCAGTCGTCAAATGGGGATCCAGGCACGTACTGGAAGACCAAGCGAAGGATCTCAGTAGGCAAGCGAAGTGTCACGTCCATTGCCTTCTGCGCATCCAGCAGAGCAGCGCGGAGCGACGATGCCACTTCTTTCGCCTGTCCGACGGCTGACTGAGTTTATTTAACAGGATGGGCGACAGTGCGAACGTACCAGAGATGGACTTTGGACAGATGAGCAGAGATGCCGGTGACGAAAAGTATTTGGCGTACAGACCTGGTTGTAACCCATTCTCTTGCGACTCTCGCCCGAAGCAACTCCACAAGTTGGAGGAGGGGTATATCGTCGACCTGTGATGCTGACGCAGTCGCCTTCATGGTTTTAGTGTAAACAGCCACGGTTTCCGCGTCAAGTACCAAGCAGTCTGAGTGAGTACAGAGCGCAATTGAATGGCAAGTAGAACTGGAACTAGAGCATCGACGACGACTTTGAAGTTCAAGGCGTCGCAGCCTGAGTTACAGTACTATTGAATACATGTCCGAGCCTGGACTCAGGACTGTCTGGACACCTCTAAGGCACGTGGTCCTGTTCTCAGTCGAGCCACAACCCAACCCCAACTTGAACATGCCGGTCGCTGCCAGTGCTACAGCCAAACCACCGCGTCTCAACAGCGTCCTGAGTTAGTCCTGAGACGATTCACGAACGTCCAGACTGGTACTGAGACTCCACTCTTGATCTGCTCACTGTCTTACGCCGTCCTGACTGACAATTTCTCAATCCGCACGCAGATGCCGAGCCACTCGCTCGAAATACTTCTCGTTGTATGTGCTGTATGCTGGTCGATATGGCACCTCGTGCGCGCGCGGCAGCCTCGAGTCTCGCTCCGTTCGGTCGCCATCCTGGTTCTGGGCGACATTGGAAGGAGTCCACGGATGATGTACCACGCGGAGAGCTTTGCGTCGATTGGCTTTGAAACGTACGTTATTGGCTACGCGGGTGAGCACTTGTAGCGAACGCGACATCTCTTCTGGTGATTGAACGCTCTCCAGGTGCAAAGCCTTTCTCGTCGCTGCTCTCTATCCCCCATGTCCGCTTCTTCTACCTATCTCAGCCGCCCAGATATATTGCCTCATGGCCGTTCATCGTTGCTGCCCCTCGCAAGGTGTTACACCAGGTACTCAGCATACTCAACACACTCCTCGTGCGCATTCCGCACCCGCCAGAGTTCATCATAGTGCAGGTGCGGCTCTACGATCATCGGAAAGGCCTGGATGGTCATCACTCACGACCGGGAAAAGACAGAATCCGCCTAGTATCCCTACCCTTGCTCTCGTTTGGCTCGTCGCCAGACTCCGAGGCAGCAAGGTCATCATTGACTGGCACAATCTGGGCTACAGTATCCTCGCCCTGAAGCTCGGTGACAACCACATATTCGTCAAAATAGCAAGATGGTGATTGTCGGTTCGCTCGCTCTGAGCTCCCGGGCGTACTCAGCCTTATTCATAGGTTCGAGTCGTACTTCGGACGGACTGCTTACGCCCATCTGTTCGTGACACGAGCGATGCGCGACTTCCTCGTGAGGGAGTGGGGTCTGCAGTAGGTAATTCATACCAATTCGTTGGCGTATCTAATTCAGGTGTCCAGAGGCATCAAGGTTGTCCTGCACGACAGACCGCCAGCACGCTTCCACCGCGCCTCTCCGAGCGAGATGCACGAGCTCTTCCTTAAGCTGCGCAGCGTCTTGGCGATCCCGGCGTTGAACTCGTTCCTCCCACCAAGTAGCCCGCCATACTCTACGGCGTTCACCTCTATGCCGCGCTCCAGCCTGCTCCCTTCAGAGCCCGGACACCCGTCTGACGATACTGGTAGCAGCATTAGCTTGGACCCGGAACCAGACATGGAAGAGGGCGTAGATCGACTAGCGATGGGCACTACGCCCATGCCGGCTTTGCGCTCGGACCGTCCGGCGCTGATCGTCTCCAGCACGTCGTGGACGCCTGACGAAGATTTCGGTATTCTCCTGGACTCTATGATCCTATACGAAAAGCGCGCCCGCGAACTCAGTCAAGAGCGCCGGGCGGATGCACCGCGAAAAGGCCTTCCAAGATTGCTCGTGATCGTGACGGGAAAGGGTCCGCTGCGCGATGAGTACATGCAAAAGATCGGCAATATGCAGAGCGGAGAAAACGGGGAGGAAGCTTGGCGGTTCGTTCGCTGCGTGAGCTTGTGGCTCGAAGCGGAAGACTATCCGCTGTTACTCGGTGCGCCAGATCGGCGTGTGTGTCCCTCTCATGTTAACGTGGTCATCAGGCTCCGCCGATCTTGGGGTATCGCTACACTCGAGCTCTTCCGCGCTCGATTTGCCCATGAAGGTGGTCGATATGTTTGGGTGTGGTCTACCTGTCTGCGCGCTCGGCTTCGCATGGTCCGTCTTTTCTGATATGCCTGAATGACATTGCCAATTGATTCCGGTGGCAGCTTGGATGAACTGGTGAAAGACGGTGTCAATGGACTCGTATTCCACAACGCAGAACAGCTCGCCGAGCAACTAGAAGTAAGCCCGCTTCCCTCGCCTGAATGTTCTTCCCTTGACAACGCTACACAGAGCTTGCTCTCGTCCCATCCGCATTCTCAGCCCATTGAGGAGCTGCGATCGTCGCTACAACACGCCCAGCCACTATCGCCTCGCTCTCCGGCGCGCGAGGAGGATCCGGAGCACTGGGGAACGTGGGCGCAGAACTGGGACAGCGTCGTGCGCCCCTTGGTCCTGCGCGACGTAGCGGAGACGGCGCATTGAGCTATTAGACTCCGTGGGGGAGACGCGAACCCACGCGTGGCGGGTGAACGATCAAGTGGATGGAATGTATATGGACCACGGTACAGTAACCGGAGATGCGCACTTTATCTATGTCGACCGATGCGGATGTGGGGAGTGCTTTGGAGCAGACACAGCGAAGTCTCTCATGGGGTGTTTGGTCCTCGCGAGGGCTGTGAATGAGAATCTCTCGAGGCTACTCGGATTGTCCGTCAGCTTCGGATGCCACTCACAGCGTTGACGATCCCTCGCCATAATCTCACAGGCTAAACAGGTTCCCGGCTGGCGATCACACCGCAAATCGTCGGGATCCCGGCTGCTGAGCGTTGCCAGAGGCTACGTACAGGTAAACGTTGGATACGTCTGCATCACAGTTATGCCGCCGTTACTTTGTGGTTAAGTGGGGTCTATCTTTCTGCGGCATTATCAGAGCAGTGGTAGCCATGTAACTCCGGGGAGGGCTATTGTACGGCAGCCAACGTTTGAGATGCATTCGACTAATGACGCGGTGAGGTACGTGTGCAACCGGTTGCTGGGTTTTCGTGACGCTGACGAAGGTCTATTTTCATGCATGCACTGGGATTGACTGGGGGATATGAAGACGCTGTGAAATGAGATACTTACTCCGGACTGGAATATGCCTCAACCAGAGCACACCCTGGAAGCACCCTTGAGATTTCAGACGTTGGCCCAGGGAATACCAATACGCTGGGCTTGCGTGCTAGGGTCATATGTGGTGCGTACTCAACCGAGCTGCGAGGGAAGCTCCACTGAATTGAAGTGGCTGATCGGCGGGCTCAGCGCACAGTGAGACCGTGGCTTCCAATCAAATCGGCACACAGTCTTCGTGACATGTCGTGTGTCGCACAGGGGATGCATATTTGAATTTCGAGAGCTGTGCCGGGCGCCGCTGAAGTGACAGCCGGGGTCACCGATATCATGTCGATCAGTTGAGTTCTGCGGGCCATTCGAGTTTAATGAGAGCCATTGTGGCCAGTCCTCTCCTGATAGATGCGGTGACAGTTTTTACTCTTAGCGAACAGCATCGTATGCTTTGAGGCACCTTTGGTCTCATCTGCTATGAGGCGCGTACATTCAAATGATGCAACGCAGTCATTTTACCGCGAAGCATCCCCATACAGATGCTCAAGAATCTGAAGCGCCAGTGCGTCAGCTTTATGACCCGGGCCCATCGTGGCACCGCCAATGTGCCACAACGATCTCAAGGCATGTTATATGCACGGTGCGTCACTGCTTTTACGTCTTATAGCAATCTGATATCTGGTGCAATCACCGCGTACCGCCTTTTCTGTCAAGGAGACGCTTCGGACATACATCGAATTGCCTAAATAGCCATCATTCATTGTGGTTTGGTACCAACTGTCCTGCATAGGTATGTTTGTTCCGTCCCATGAGGAAATAAAAAGATCAAAGCTTCCTTGGCTCAGATGTGCGACGTACGCGGAGTTGATTTACCCTTCTTTACGCTTTGCGATGCATCGTGTCTTCCATTCCCCACGAGATGGCTTCGGTGGCCGGAGATGATGGGCAGATGCTCTGCCAGTGGTACGCGCTCTCGTCTCTTACGTGGTTGCTATTTTTGTTTTCTCTTCAGCTTGCAAGATTGAACTATTCCATATGTGCCGCAACTCTATGATGCACCGCCACGTTCAGCACCAGCACCAGCACTCGCATACGGGATAAGTGGACCTCTCACTACTTCTCCATATGGTGGCTGACGGCACTTCGGGGTCTAGCACTACATCAGCTTCGCGTGTTCGAGTTACCGGCGGTACTGTCTATTAAGCCCAGACGTGAATGTCCCAGCAGCCTCTGATAACAGTAGGCCTCGGTCCCAGAAAATCATACTGATGAGCTGTTTGACATGTGTACATCTCAATGTTCGATGGCCGAGTGTACAAGGATAGTCGATGTGGTGAGCCTGAAAGTGCATCGTCTGGCTATGTGATCTTTGACTTACAATTACTTTTGAAACGGGCGACATGCGGATAGGCCGCTGCACCCATGCAGCCGATGTGAACAATCGAAGTGAAGAAGTTGAGGTTTCTCGTAAAGCGCTGGCGCGCTCTACAATTGGCCGCGCGCTGGCAGGTTCACACGATCCCGCATGGCAACCGAGGTGCGGGCGGACACCGGACAGTTGCCGGACAGGCTGGATCCCACCAACCGAAGTGAAAGAGACTGGCGCAGAGCCACCCGATGCAGCGACCGAGGCAGGTGCCACCCAGTAGACAATTGTGACAGAAGGCTTTCGCAGAGTGCTCCAGTTGTCAATCGTGCGCGTTCTTGTGCTGCAGATTGGCCGCCACTCAGAGATGCGATGTCACGGAACACACGGTGTCTTCGGGTTCGTCAGTTGTCTTCCAGAGCGTCTCACACCCTTGGCTTCTAGGACAACTTTATGCGCCGAGGCCGCCGACGTGTAGGGTTTCTTGGATGCGGCGGGGCCCAGTAAGTCCAAGGACTGGGCAAGAAGATGCCAGCGCTGATATCGCACGCGTTTCCGTCTAGGTACACCAGTTCGACTGGGCGACTTATTGAACATTCATTCGCTTTCTGCCTCGTTCATTTGGCGCAAACAGGCACTTCTTGCTATATTGCGTATGTTTTTAACTGACGTTGCAGAGTGGGTCTTGCCCAGAGCAAGGACCCTGTCTCAGCTGATACTCTCGTCACATACATATTGTTACCGAAACGTCACACTGCGCGAGCGTAGAAATGGTTCGGTACCGCGATGTCGAAGAAAGTTTTGCGAAGCAACCCCTTCCTGAAACGGCATGCAGCGGACTCCCATCCGTGGTGTTAGAACAACCGTCCTTCGTGATCAGATCTCCGGGATCGTGCCGTGACGATGATTCTTTCCCCATGCGTAGGCGGTCGGACACCTGTTTCGCACATTCACGCCATAAAGCATCGGTCGTAAGGCGCGTAAGGTCTCGAGTGCGCTGTCTCCACAGGATCGTTATGACGGGGCCCAACCTTCATTTGGACAGCACCATCGGATGTTTCTTCGTCGGCATGGTCTTTGCTATAGTGTATGTTCTCTGGCATACTCTACGGCTTGTGCTAACCGTTTAAAGACTATATGGTTGTTCCTGTGCTCAGGCATTGTATTACTTTTGGCAATATCCGGAGGACCGAGCGAGAATGAAATTCTTTGTAAGTTCCCTCAAGTGAATTTGAGCCTCACCTAACTCCGTTTTGACAGGTTTGTCTATTATGGTTGTGATTCTCTCCCAAGGGAAGGCCGTTCACGCATCTTACATCGAATGTTGCAGGGCTCTCGACACGGCTACGACAGCAACGCACATTGAGGTACATTTGATAAATCTCTTTGTTCGCCAGCTCCACTCAAGGACACTGGCAGACAATATGGGGATTCCTGCTCCGAGGGCACTTAAACCCACTAGCACTCACAGTAATGCCGATGTGCGTAGGATTGATTGCAGAAACCGAAATGTCGGAGCTGATACTGCTACATCAACAGCGCTGGGCCTGTAAGCAGTATGTCAGAAAACGTGCAATAATGTGCTAACGAACAGTAGATCGAGTGGTTTCTTGCAGTGGGTGATCTTCATGTTCTTCTCGCCGCTCATTATTGAATGTCCCTCCATTATCAGGCTACCATTGTTGTCATTGTGCAGTTGTAAGTCCAGCGATAGCTTGCGCGGATGCAGACCATTTAATAACCCGCAACTACTCCAGGTATTACATTTACACTATATGGAAGCGTACGTCCGTGTGCAGTTCCAGCAATGCGTCTAAATACACGAAAAACAGTCGTTGGAGAGCGCTGGTTCAGATTACCCCTCGCGGTGATGGCGGTAAGTCGCGATTTCATGATGTACCTCTCCATCTGAGATTGAGCAACTCCTGCAGACCCTGTTGTCCTTGCTATCATATGGTCAGTGTTGTGATCCATGAGTCACACTGGAGATTGCGCCTAATAATCAGTCTCGACTCCTCGCCCGTCTAGCGTTCGGCATCCGTAAGTGCTTCAGAACAAGTTGTTGCTCAGAATGATACTGACTACTCTCGTAGAAGACACCCACTTGATGTATGTGATCAGATATATGACCGCTGTCGCATCCACCGACCGAAGTCTCGCAGCATAAACCACCCCGAGCTTCCAGGCGCCTTCATGAATAATAAAGCCAAGGTATGAATCTTCTCGCCGCAGTTCCTTCATGCGATAGGTACTGACGCGAAACTGTTCTTTACGTCGCCAAGACTGCATCCTTCGTACAACCACTGCTCGCCGCCATTGCCGACATTTATATCACTGCTGCACTGTCGCTGCTCCTGCGGCGAGAGAGAAGTGCTTACAGACGGTAAGCGCATGGTTATTACGGTACCCTCGGCGGATGTCGGCTTAGCCTCGTCTGTAGTACATCATCGCTCCTTCGCAAGTTGACTGTCTATATCATCAATCGTGGTGTCCTTACTGCGTGAGTCCCTATTCAGGTGGCATTTTGCGATACTGCTTGACGTCGATTTATTGCAGGGTACTGCAGAGCCTTCAAGCCATCTTAGTGAGTCTGTTTTAATTATTTGATGCCATCTGCAGGACGATGAGGGACATCTCAGTTCGCGTCCTATCGCTCAAACGGGTTTTACTGGTCCCTATTTGCCTTTCCGGGAACGAGAGGTGCGTTTCCACCCATAACCACATATTCATGGTCAACTCATACAACTGCAGTATATGTGGTATCGACACTTGCTGTGTACGTCACGGGAGTTCACTGTCGACAGTCGACGAGAACAAATACTGAATTCTAAGGGCTAGACTGAACGCCCGGCATTCCAATCGACTGGGCATCGATTTGTATCCCTCCACAGGAGAGCAACATACGAACGACTTGCAGCTCGAACCTCCGCAGACACCTAGAACACCGCGGATGTATTCTCGGTGAGCACCTATCTCGGCCAGCCTTTAAGTGCTTCTCAACGTCACTCCTTCAGACATATGTATCAAGAACAACCTACAACGCCTTTGTCCGGCACATCGGACAAATTCATCATGCTCACCACCGAAGTTGTGCACCATGTAGATTAAGGCTGCTACCCTTGATCGAGTTTTCAGTCTTGTAATCGATAGCGCACTTCCAGAGATATCGTCGTGTTCTTCGATTGCCCTCGACTCGCTTTAGCTTCCTTGCCTGTACTGACTTGTGCAGATCGATCCGGGTCAGATTTATCACGGCGGCCGACCGTACGAAGAAGATTCACGTCCCGCTAGGGCTGTACGTACCATCTGATGGGTATTAGGTTTAGAACTTCATGGTCCAACTTTCGATTCGCCCTGGAGGAGGAGGAGGAGGAGGAGGTAATTCCATTTTAGTGCAGCTCAACTTCGAAAAGATGGCGATCGTAGCGCCCTCTACAAAGCGAGCCTCAACGCGCGCAATAACCGCATTTCCCCATGCAGCGCAGTCACTGTGCTGCTCCGTGATGGTCCGCTGATAGCAATCCTCCGTGATTCCTTGCCTGCTCGAAAACGCGGTCTCACAAGTACTAAGGGTGCAACATAGGCATAATAACCCAGTACTTCTGCTTCGACCTCAAATTCATCGCGGAGATCGTAGGTATGATAAATATATAATGCTTCACTCTCTTTTAGTACACCACTGGCCTCAATCTTGGCCTTCCACCGTGCGCACTAACACTCCTCACACCAGCTTGCGGGCATAGTCCGCAAGTAACCCGGCCCAGACGAGCGCCCCAATGTCAGCGTTCGACTTCGTTCCATGGATAAGAAACGGACCGCGTCAGGTTAGGACTGTATGTATAGTGAAGTAACTGTACCTTCCAAATCTTGCCCCCGTCCGTGACCAAATCAGGCGACATCAGCTGCCAGGCCAGATGTATGCTTGTGCCACCAACACCAAGAACGAAGTATGGCAGTCCTTGTCCGTTCAGCGTTCCGGCGTATGTCAGGAGCACAACAAATGACGCGGCAAATATTGAGAGTATGGGGCGAATGTAGTCTCCGAAGAGGAGGGCGCAGGACCCGATACCGATGCGCGCGTCATCCTTCTTGTCTTGGCAAGCGTATATAGTGTCGAGGTGTATGATCCAGCTGTAACAACATTGTCATGAGCGTGACCAAAGCGATGGGTTTTCGTGGATCGTACCAAGTAATGCCGAGGCATATACACGTCATGAGTGCCCAATCCATAGTCGCATCGTTCGTCATCCAGGCAATCGGAGTACCCCAAGCTGAATCTAAGCCTAGAGTCCACGTTGAGTACGACTATCACTGTGACTGTTCGCTCCGGCGTGTCACTGACCAAGGACGGCCTGGGGCCAGTTCGTGAAACGCTTGCAGAAAGGATAGATAACCTCAAGAGTGAAGAAGCCGAGTAAAGCAACCATCATCCTGCAAATGTCCTTGGAATGAAATCCGGCCATCAACAAGGAGGCGTGAATCACTCACGCATTATAGCCGAGCAAGTACATGACCGCCACATATGCCACGATGTGCGCTCCAAGAAAGAGGAGAGCGGAGGGAACGGAAATAATGGCGGCAGCGATGGGTCTCGTCTTTGTCCGCTCTATAGTAATTTCAGCTCTCGTCGTCATTGGTGTCTATGTTTTGTGTGCGTACCGACTTGACGGTCGTAATTGCGATCACAGATGTCGTTCCAGATACAAGCAGCATTGTGTCGGATTGTGCATGCCAGAAGATATACGGTCGCTTGGATTATTATCTGCTGCAGGGGAGTCTTGAGGCGGTATGCGCTCATCGTTAGTCCCCACACTAAGACATGACAAGGTACAGTAAGACGGCGACCCTGGATCTAAGATTCGGACATGTACTTACTGCATGGCCACCACCATAACACCGTCCCGGCTGGCCAGAGGTGGATGCGTGTCAACTTCCAGTAATCCCCCCACGAAGCAGCTTCCAGCACGGAGGCGCTGGCTTCTCACTTGACATGGCTGTCGGGAATAGCGACAAGATGAAATGCCTGAAGCTGAGCAAGGTGAGACAACTGGATGGGGCTTGGAACGGACAGAGGCGGGGATGTCCTATTATTGCGATGGTGTGCCGCATATGTTCGAGCTTCGGACACCTTTTGGTAGGACTTGCAGATGGGGATGGTCGGCGTAGAGTCTAGATGGAGAACCTCCATATGCATCACGCAGTTGATCCTGGTGGCGAACACATCATGTCAGTGGCCGCCTTCTGTTGGATAATGGCGTGCGGTTCTCACATAGAAGCTAGACGTGAGAAGTGCGCTTTGTGCTGGAGCTGTCGATCACCATAGCCATGTCCTGCACAGGCCAGCCCTGGCAGCACCCCGTTCATAGCGCATTGCGAGATTGTCGAACTATGTAGCGGATCAAGGTCTCACCGGGCCACCATGTAGTCAAACCCTGAACGGGAGATGGCATCCACGACTCCGGTCGTTTGAGAAGGCGGGTCCAAGAACGCGCAGGGAGGACACTCGGAATGGGGACCGCGAACGGCGCGCGGCGTGGTATCATGAACTCTATGTCGCTGGTATTGATGTGGATGGCCGTTGAATGTCACACTGCCCGATACTTTGGTGGACAGCTATACTGTCTTATGCTACCACAAAATCTTAGGAGAAAAATCTTGGGGATTCAACACGAATAATGTCTGCATAGATAGGGCCTCGCCCTGAGCGACATCAGACACTGAGCTGAGTGACATTAGAAGAGAAATGACTCACAAAAAGACAAAGCGGAGATGTAATAGGAATCTTCAGTATAGGGAGGTCGAATTGCACCCTCAATCTCCGACGTGCAGGACTGCATCGAAGGGGCTGTTGTTCGTGCCCGAAAGCCCGGAAGTGGCTCTTCGGAAGTGTGTGTCTTGCAACTGTTAAATGTCTTTGCTGCATGCGAGACTTGTGCGTGCTAGAGCAATTGAAATCATCCGTGACAAGCGGCATCAAGCTACGGGTAGCGTACCTCATCTACTCTACTCCTTGAGTGCGAACGGCCTGAGCTCGGAGACAGCTCTTCTCTTTTCTAAGTTTCATTGTGCGGATCCGACACAACCGGGAGATGGTCGAGTGGATGATGCACTGCGTGCGTTGTGAAACCGCTCACCGTACACGATGACATGGTAGGACATGGTGTGCCCAGTGCCCACGCGAACTTGCGACTTGATTCATTGGCATGCTATTTGACGATGACCGCTCCAGGATGGATGACGAAGAGAACGCCGCTGACATCGGGCTTGTGAGCTCTCTATCCACGGATTAGCTCGTACTAACAGCAATTAATCAGGGCAGGACTATGCGTCAGGTCTCCGAATATCTTGAACTGAGCAACGCACAACACGATGACCGGTACATGCAAACCATAGGCCCGGTGGTTCCTAATCTGCATCATAGCGAAGCGCGTATCGTTGTCTATGGAAGGAATCGTTTCCCGGCTCAGTCTCCCCAGGCAGACGTAGACAATTCTTTCAACCTTCGTGCCTCAGGATATCATTGTCTGACTTCCCGGGACAACGATGCGCGCTTCAAGACTGCCCGCTTAGGGCCCAGCTGGCACGAACTGAACTAGCCATGTCGAGGACGACCGGCGGGGTGCTTGGGACTCCCCGAAGGACGACGAAACACTGGATCTAAAGCAGGGCATTATTGATGCATACCTACCATTGGAATACATCACGAGGGGAGCCCAAGTTCAGCAACTTGCTGGTGTCGACTTTGTCGTTCAAGTTCGTCGTGACTTTGGACGCGAATGAGGTCGCAGTGGCTGAATATGAGGTTCATCCAAATATGGCAATCACCACGTGCCCAAGTGTGCGGTACAGGCTGGCTTGGACCTTGGTCGGCTTACTGACTTACTCAGTTCTACCTCTTAACTTCATCCTCCATGTCCTCTCCTGACGATGGATTCACCCACCAGCTCGCTATCAAGTTGTCGAGGGCACTGAATCTAGTGAATCCGAATGACCTACTTGCCCGGCGTGTGCAAGATATAGCCAAGACTAATACCCTAGATGGCTTCGTTGCTGGTGCGTTGTTCGCTGAGTCGCAGATGCTGCTCATGCTTATCCTCGCACAGCGGCCAAGTCATTTGGCAAGTTCAAAGACTCCTTCCTTGCTGAGATTCATTCAGAGATTACCTCGCACGCGAAGCAGGACGATCCTGAACATGTACCTGAGCCCGTACAAGGCATCGTTGTTCATGACAGTGAGGTCCTAGAGCCGGAGCCAGTGAGGCAAGGAGGGCTCATGCGAAAGGAAGCGGTGTGTAGCCACCGTTCCACTCATCAAGTGTTCTTTCCTGACATGAGTGAGCTCAGGTCCACGCATTCCGCCAGCCGGCCAAACTGATGCAGCCACCTACACCTCGGGCATCGGTCCTTGGCCTCGACCGACTTGCGCAAGAAAAGCGTGCCGCAGCAGCAGCAGCGACCAATGGCGAAGGGAGTAGGAAGAGAGCAAAATTAGACGATAACTCGGAAGCTACTTTCAAGGGTGAGGCTTATTTCATGCATATGGTCGAGAGGTCGCCAACGTATTCAAACAGTACCGAGTCTTCCGACTCGCACGGCAAATATCCGTCAACGGGCGAAGAAACGCCATCGCACCCTGGTGGCCTGTCAGACACTGCACGGAACAGGTTGGATGAGTTCAGGCGGAGGAGAGAGCGAGGTTCGTCCAATTCCACTATCTCATGACGCACTGACTAACTTGTCACGTCAGAGGGTATCCGAGCGCAGAACGAGCGTAGAGACGACGGCCCTCGGGGATTGGGCGATTTCCAACGACGACTCAATCGTGACGACAATCGCCGCAGAAATGACAGAGACCGTGATCGTGGTGGCCGAGGGTGGGATGTCACACCTCGCTCTGAGCGCGGTAGGCGAGGTGATGACGCGCCCAGCGTTCGTGTACCAAACATCGGCTGGGATGCAACACCTCGACGAGCGTCATCACCGTCAGGCACGCCCATACGCGATCGGCGATGGGATGCACCGACCCCGCGTAGGGGCTCGCCGCCAGACGACGTGGAAGATGTTGCGGGCATGGGTCTGGATGCACACGAGTGGGAGGAAGAGCAAGTCCGGCTGGATCGAGACTGGTACATGGGCGCAGAGGAGGGCGGCGCGCTCGCGGGCGACGAGGAACTCAATCCGCTGGCTCAATACGAGGACTTGAACGCGGTCAGGCAGGCGGAGGCGGCAAAGAAGCACGTCAAGAAGATATCAGCGAAGCAGGCGCAGTACAATGCGGACAACGACCTGTGGGAGGCGAACCGGATGCTGACCTCCGGTGTGGCAACACGGAAGACGATCGATCTTGACTTCGAAGACGAGTCAGAATCGTCTGTGCACGTCATGGTGCACGACTTGAAACCGCCATTCCTCGATGGGCGCACCGTGTTCACGCGGCAGCTCGAGCCGATCAACCCGGTGCGCGACCCGACTAGCGACATGGCTGTATTTTCGCGCAAGGGTTCGGCACTAGTCAAGGAAAAGCGCGAACAGGCAGAGCGTGCTAAGGCAGCGGCAAAGCTTGCAGCCCTCGGCGGCACGGCTCTCGGCAATATCATGGGTGTGCAAGACGAGGATGCACGAGCGGAGGGTGAGCACAATTCTCGTCAGCTCTAGACATGTCGGAGTGGACATTCACGTAGTTCTCGTTGTAATGCGTCTGCAGCCGAGGCGGAAGCGAAGGTCAAGGCAGGCGAGAAGGAGGATTACAAGGGCGACTCCAAATTTGCTAGTCATCTCAAGGCGGGCGCTGGTGTTAGTGCTTTCGCGAAGTCGCGGACCCTCAAAGAGCAGCGTGAATATCTGCCTGCTTTCGCATGCCGTGAGGAACTCCTGAAGGTTATCCGTGACAACCAAGGTACGTCGCTTCCTCATTCAGATGCACATGTTCGACCTAAGGTGCCTGTGTAGTCATTGTCGTCGTCGGTGAGACCGGGTCAGGCAAGACAACCCAGCTGTCGCAGTTCCTGTATGAGGACGGGTACTGCTCACACGGTCTCATCGGTTGTACACAACCTCGACGTGTCGCTGCCATGTCTGTGGCAAAACGTGTCAGTGAAGAGATGGAGGTGCGATCTACTTATTCGCAGGCTAGAAGATCAAATACTGACTGAGGACAGTGCAAACTTGGGTCTCTTGTCGGCTACGCGATCCGATTCGAGGATTGTACTTCGCCGGAAACGAGGATCAAGTGTATGTCCCCTTGACAATCAGCTTGCCTTTATTGACATTCCCCTAGACATGACGGACGGTGTCCTTCTTCGCGAGTCACTTAATGAAGGTGATCTTGACCGTTACAGCGTCATCATTCTTGACGAGGCGCACGAGCGTTCATTGAGTACGGACGTCCTCATGGGGTTGCTTCGAAAGAGTGAGCACATGACACTGATATCACCCAGCCACTGAATTTGCTGACATTCATACAGTCCTCTCGCGTCGGAGAGATCTCAAGCTCATCGTTACGTCTGCCACAATGAATGCCGAGAAGGTATGTTGTAATCGTTGCCTCTGCTTACATGTACTCACTGTATGCACTGTCAGTTTTCAACCTTCTACGGCAATGCTCCTTGCTTCACAATTCCAGGCCGAACCTTCCCGGTCGAGATCTTCCACTCGAAGTCTCCTTGTGAGGACTACGTCGATAGCGCAGTCAAGCAAGTCCTCCAGATTCACTTGTCCCTTCCTCCGGGCGACATCCTTGTGTTTATGACTGGTCAAGAAGACATCGAAGTGACTTGTCAGGTTGTACAAGGTTCGTGAAAGTGCTAGACCGTACTGTTAGCAGCTGCTGAAGGTCTCGTAGAGCGTCTCTCACAGCTCGATGACCCCGCACCACTCTCCGTACTTCCTATCTATTCGCAAATGCCTGCGGATCTTCAGGCAAAGATTTTCGAGCCAACTTCGGATGGCAGGCGCAAGGTCATCGTCGCTACGAACATCGCCGAGACATCTCTTACCGGTAACACGTGTCACGTGTACTAATAACTTATGCTAACTGACATGATGCAGTGGACGGTATCTTGTATGTCGTGGACTCCGGCTATTCCAAACTCAGGGTGTACAATCCAAAGGTTGGTATGGATGCTCTGCAGATCACGCCGGTCAGTCAGGCGAATGCCAACCAGCGGACTGGTCGTGCTGGTCGTACCGGCAGTGGGTTCGTAGCTTGTTTTCTTCGACTGCAGGTTACATACGCTCACGAGTCGCTTACAGGTTCTGTTATCGTCTGTACACAGAGATGGCCTTCCGCAACGATATGTTTCCGAACACAATCCGGAGATTCAGAGGACGAATCTTGCGAACACTGTACTGCTGCTGAAGTCACTTGGTGTCAAGAATCTCCTCGAGTTCGACTTCATGGATCCTCCGCCTCAGGTATGCTAGGATGATATCAACACTTCGAGACCGTTTGCTGAGCAGTTTTCAGGCGAACATGCTGAACTCCATGTACCAACTCTGGGTGCTTGGTGCCCTAGACAACGTCAGCGACCTAACACCAGTCGGACGGAAGATGTCTGAATTCCCCATGGAGCCGTCAATGGCCAAAATGCTCATCGCCTCGGTGGAATACAAGTGCTCGGCTGAGATGCTCACGATTGTGTCCATGTTATCCGTGCCGAGTGTGTTCTACCGGCCGAAGGAACGCATGGAGGAGGCCGATGCTGCTCGCGAGAAGTTTAACGTCCCAGAAAGTGATCATTTGACGCTCTTGAACGTGTTCGCGCAGTGGAAGAGTCACGGGTGAGTTGACTGCTTTCGTAGTGGTTCTTGCGATGCTGAAAGCACTGCCCCACGTACCAGGTACCGCGACGACTGGTGCATTCGACATTTCCTTCATCCGAAGTTGCTGCGAAAAGCTCGTGAAGTGCGTACTCAGCTCGAGGACATCATGAAGTTCCAGAAGATGGAGATGATCTCGGCCGGCACCGACTTCGACGTCATCCGGTATGCGAACCCTGAGATTCCGTAAGGACAAATTGGCTCATCCTTTCCATATAGGAAAGCGATCACTGCTGGCTACTTCCACCAAGCGGCGAGAGTGAAGGGTATTGGCGAATACGTGAACATCAGGACTGGTCTGCCTACGCACTTGCATCCTACCAGCGCGCTGTACGGTCTCGGCTGTAAGTCGTGCATTTCCTTCGATAACAGAACCGAAGCCCAATAACCGTGTTGATAGACACACCAACCTATGTGATTTATCACGAACTCATCCTCACATCCAAAGAGTACATGACGCAAGTGACAGCCGTAGATGCGTACTGGCTTGGTGAGTAGGCTATGATTTGTCTCCGACCATGAGCTGACGTACCGTATCCGCGTAGCCGAACTGGGATCCGTCTTCTACTCTGTAAAGGAGAAGAATTTCGACGATAGAGGCAATCGCCGCGTCGCTGACCGCGAGTTCTCGAAGAAGGCAGAACTCGAGGCGCAAATGGCGAAGCAACGTGAAGAGTAAGTCGTGCTGCCAGTCCCTGTGGCACTTGTCACTTACATTAGGCCATTCAGGACGGCGAAGAAACAGCAGGAAGAGGTCATTGCCAGCAAGCTTTCCAGTAGCTCTGCTTCCAAAGTCATTGTCCCTGGCACTCCGAGACATACTGGTGTTGGTGCTGGTGGGCGCGTCACCCAGACTCCGCGGCGGAGAGTTGGTATATGATTTATTCACCATCTGTATTAGTTGTGTAGCCCTACGTTTCGTGTGATCTGTAATTGTCAACATGCTGTTCCCCATCATCAACATATGTTGAGTGCAACCGATACTTTGCTCATTACTCGCGCGTCTGTGACAGGAAGTGCAGTAAGTTATGCAACGCGAACATAGTAAGCTACCGCAAATTGAGTCATAATAACAAGTGTTGTACAACAGTCTTTGAGTCAGTAGAATGGGTGAAGATGATACAGTATCCCGCAGTTCCACTCGCCGCTGGTCGGTGTCGGCGTCTAGGTTCAACCACGCAAAACAATGTTGACGCTAACTCCTGTCTTATTCCTACTTGGATGGTATACTCCTTGCTTCGTGAAGTACGAGAAATAATGCAGTGCTCTCTCACAGTCTATCCATCGCAATGACGGCGATTGAGTGGTGGAGACCCAAAATGGTACCGCAGCTACAGACTGGGACGGGCTTAGATGGTCACCTGGCCCGGGCGAGGTCACTTGCCTTCGTTCTCGACCTTGATTCACTTGTCTCTCCCAAACTCCCATCTCTCTTGACCACGTCGACCTCGACGACTGCAACCATTTTCATTGTGGTACCCTGAAGCACTGGGAATTGCCACTGTATCTCGAAGTGGACGATAACATACACGACTGGTTAAGCACCGTGCCGAGTCTGTCTGGCCATTCTGATATCCCGGTACGTTCTTCGAGCTCATTGCACAGTCTCCAACTTGACGGTCTCGGTGTATGCAGCGAGCCCCAGACTCTGAGCCGCTGTTCGATACCGGAGAACGAAGATCGACCTGCCTGGACTTGCGCCAAACCTACGCCATGTCCGCTCGCCCGACTCGCTCTGCGAGCATCCCTATCCCTCCAAGCGCATCCTCGGCAGCACGCAGCCTCGAGGATGTTCTCTCCATGCCATTTGCTCGACAACCATCAAGCGGTGCTACCTCTCGACCCCGGCGCACCAGTGGCGTCTCACGCAGCCCAGACGAGCAAAGGTTCCGAGGGCCTAGCGTGAGTCCTGTGCGCAGTACCATCAGCACCTCGCCTTCGAGGCCGTTCGTGGGCAGTTATTCGTCTGCCCTGGGCCGAACCACCGCACAGCGAGTAAGCACACCGACTACCGCCGACTCGCCGGCGCCGACCTTCCAGCCCCGCATCATTCGAGCAGCGAGCAATCCTACGCCGTCGCGTGACCCTGTTGCTTGCCTTCCTGGCGCTTCATCTCCTGCACCTGTGCTGTCTACCTCACCCGCGCGTCCTCATCGTCTGGGAGATCGCTCGAGCACGATCTCGACGGCACCGCGCATCTCTGCTTCACTTTCCGCAGGCCCTCGTGTCAACTCTTCATTCGCCCATTCTACGTCTGTCCATGCAATCCCAACCACTACCGTACAGGGCTTTCCTCGGCCCGCATACCTCGAATACTCTGCACTGCGCGACTTCTTGCACACTGACGCTCCCGCGATTGCACCGCCTGTACGCAATGCTACGACCGCACCACACCCGCTGTCTACCATCGTTGCCCCGCAGCCATACCCCTACTTGCGTCGATCCTTGACGCCGGCCGATAGTGACTCCGAAAACACTCCGAGTCCTAGTCCGCCACCTCATAATTCTGCCAGCACCACCGACAGCAGCCTGGGCACCTTGTCTGCAAACCCAGTCCTGAGGCTCCCAACCAGGTGGAGTGAACAGGACCGTGGTACAGTGCTTACGATCTCGCCGGACGGTCAGGAAGTGACATTCTGCGGTAAGTTAGGGTTTGGCCTCATCGCATGATGCCAATGTCTCACGTTCGCAGGACCATCGTTTACGGGAGAGAAGGACTCCGCGGCCGCACGCACCAACTTCCCGATTCCACCAGCGTGTGGAATATACTATTACGAAGTCGAGATCATCCAACGTGGACAGAAGGGGTGAGCCAGGTCACGTCCGATGAAGCGTGGGTATTGAAGCGTCGTGAGCAGACACATCAGCGTTGGCTTTTCCTCGGGCAACGTCCGTCTCTCGCGCCTCCCTGGCTGGGAACCCCAATCGTGGGGCTATCATGCAGATGACGGGTGGTGCTTCGCTGGCACGAAGGATGGCACGCCATATGGCCCTACGTTTGATTGTGAGTTGGCGCGCGTGTGCTGCGATCCTTATACTGACTCTCAGAAGCTGGGGACGTCATCGGCTGCGGGGTCGACTTCAGCCAGAACCGCGCGTTCTACACGAAGAACGGCGCCTTCCTCGGTACGTGACGTCTCGCGCGTCTGCATCCAGTGCGATCTTACGCACTCCTCTCTAGATATGCTGTTCGAGAACATCCCGACGGCTACCGTCGCGCTCTACCCGTCCGTTGGCATGCGCCACACAGGCGAGTCGGTGCGCGCCAACTTTGGCCAGGCTCCCTTCCGCTTTGCTATCCCGGATTATGTGCGCAACCAGCGCGATGCCGTATGGACCGAGGTCATGCGCATCCCAAGCCAGGCGCCTGATTCGAGCAAGGAGCACGAGAACGAAGCCGAGGCAAAGGAGCTGAAGGCGCGCATGGATAGCGCGGCTGAGGAAGAGACACGGGCCACGCTCAGGAAACTCGTGATGGGCTATCTCGCGCATCATGGGTTCGCGCGTACGGTGAGGGCTTTCCGTGAACAGTGCACGAAGGACGAGGGTATGGGCACTTCGAGCTCCGGCCCGTCGGTGAAAGAGGAAGTGATGGACACCGACGATGGTCCACAAGCGGGGCCATCGGGCATCGCCCACGGGTACAACACTGATTTCGGAGCGGGCGTACAGACGTATGACTCCGATGGGTTTCACCACGCCGATGCAGAGACACGCGATCTGCAGACGCGTTTGTCGATTCTACAAGCAGTCCGCGTCGGCGACATCGACCGAGCACTGGAGGAGCTGCACATCTACTATCCGCAGGCACTGACTGCACAGGACGGCTTGCTACTGTTCCGTCTCCGCTGCCGCAAATTTGTGGAGCTCGTGCTAAAGGCGGGCGCTGCGCTGCGCAAGGTAAAGGAGGTTGAGAAGGAGCAAGACGGGAACCTTGCAGACGGGTTACCTCCATTGCCACCGATGGAAGGGAGGCCAGACGACATAGCGTTGGATGGAGAGGGCGCGATGGACGTGGACGACCCATCGCCCGAGGCCCTCTCCACGTCCACTGTCCGTGATCTGTCTGTCGGCTCTCTTCTACCCACGTCCGTCGCGCCCTCCATCGTGCCTACCCTCGCGGACGCAGCGCGGGATGCCTTGCACACAGCGTTGGCCTATGGCCAAACGTTGGAGGCAGACTACAAATCCGATACACGGCCTGCGGTGCAGACGCACCGGCTGCGCACATTTGGGTTGGTCGCGTACGAGGATCCCGAGAATGTCGGCGGGGAAGTAGGTGCGCTCGCCGGGCAGGAGGCCCGGGTGCAGTTGGCCGGCGAGGTCAACCAAGCCATACTGCGTACGTACTGTTTCTGAGTGGGAGGGGATGTCTGCTGATTCTTGGGTTGCACAGAATCTCAAGGGCGGCCCGTGCATCCTGCCCTCGAGACCCTCGTCCGCCAGGCGGGTGCGTGCGTAGTTCAACTCGGCCTCCTCGGTGAAGGCCGAGCTGCCTTCGCCGATGTGCGACAGGAGCTCCTGGAGGCTTGATCTCACACTTTGCGGAGAAGCTGTTTTGCTGGGTTGTGAACATGGACGGTGGGAATGCTAACGATCGAGAAGCAGTATGTGTATTGTACAGTGTACTAATGCCAGTCTGTGTACTACCAGTGCTTTGATATATATATGACTCCGCTTTCCGTCATATTATAGCACAGTTCCTTGGTGAAGGCGGCGACGGTATCGGAGATGCTTCCGCTCGTGCATAATTACAAATTCGCTGATGTGTATGAATGACGAGCGGTGTCAGTTTTCGAGATCCAGAGCCAATATTGTCGTCGCTCAGGCTGGCGCAATAGCACAGGAACGATGATACTTACACTTGACATGGTCTTGAACTGAGGTTCGTCACTTTCGGACAGACATCCGCGGAGTTGACTTAGTCTCCTGTTCTCAGTAGCGCACGCTCGACGGATCTATCATCCTGTGGATGCACGCAGGCACGGAAGCAACAAGGAACTAAATTGTACGTGGGGTGAGCGCCAGGGCGCGCAGCTACTACTGGTCCCTCAGGCCCAAGGTTCCATTCCGTTCATTGGCGGATGCTCCTAGTGCCTGCCAATGGTTTGCACCTCGCCGCCATCGAGATTACTGTCCATCCTGATCGTCCGTACCAGCCTGTACCTGGGACGCCAGGTACGGGACGTGGTACTGGTACAAATAATTGGGCGGGCCCACGCGTATTCACAGCTTCTGACAGTCTGTTTTGGCTCTTCCCCCTGCTGCCCAAGTTCTCTGAAGCACACCTCTCTATATGAAGCGCATCATCGTCGCGTGCGATGGCACCGGCCAGTCCGCGAGCCGCGGCGACCTATCTGTGTCGACAAATGTCAACCGCCTCGGGCATGCCCTGCTGAACGAACCCGGGAAGACTGGCGTGGAGCAGATCGTGTTCTACCAGTCCGGTGTTGGCACGGCGGACCTGGGCGCGACGTTCCTGAACGCAGGCAAGCTCGTCCAGGGCGCGATTGGCGAGGGCATCGAGAACAACATCGCGGATGGGTACAACTTCGTGATGAACAACTATCTCCCCGGTGACGAGGTGCATGTTTCGATTGTCCATGGTACATGCCCTTAAGCTGACCCTGTGGGTGACTTAGTTGTTCATTTTCGGGTTCTCCCGCGGCGCGTTCACGGCGCGCGTCCTCGCGAACTTCATCGCGCGCGTTGGGGTATTCAGCAAGAGGTACTCGTGGGCCTTCAAGCCCGCGTTCAAGGCATACGTCGGGGGTCCGGAGAAATTCGACGTATACCTGAAGCAGCTCGCGCACAGCGTTGAGCTCGATCAGAAGTACTGGAAGCCGGAGAAAGGAGAGTACGTACCCAGGGTGTTCAAGGTCAAGATCAAGGTCGTGGGGTGCTGGGACACCGTCGCGAGTTTGGGAATTCCGTGGAAGCCCTTCACGAACGCGGGCGGTGTCACCGGAGATTACACATACTACGACGGTAGTCTTGTCACGGTGCGCCGCTACGTCCACTGACACGTCGTATCCGAGTCATGATGTTCTGGCAGGTATTGAACACGCCTTCCACGCGCTGGCCTTAGATGAATGCCGGGGCCCATTCACTCCGACGTTGTGGTATCTCCCCGATGACGACGAAGTTGCAAAAAGTACGCCCCTTCTCCCTCTGCTGACACCATATTCCTAACCGCAGTTTTCCCGTAGCCATCGACCTCCGTCAATGCTGGTTCCCGGGCGTGCACACCAACGTGGGCGGGGGCTACCCGATCAGACGATCGCCGACCTGACGCTCGCATGGATGGTGGACCTCTGTCGGCCGTTCCTCGACTTCGACCAGCGGTACATCGACATGTGCGTCGACCTCGACCACCAGCCGTGGAAGATCCGCAGCAAACACCGCGAGTCGGACCCGGACGGGTTCGACCGCATGTACCAGGGCTGGGCGCGCGGGAAGCAGTACGACTCGTACAAGCGGGGCCAGACGTGGACGTGGCTGTATCGCACGCCCGGCGCGTACGACCGGCCGGTCGACCGCACGCGGGAGGTGGTGCATGCGAGTGTGCGCGAGCGGTGGACGACGCGGCCTGCGGGGCAGGAGTGGCGGCCGCACGCGCTGAAGGGCTTCGAGCCGAAGCAACGCGAGGACGGGAAGTGGGAGTGGGTGAAGGACGCTGGCAGCGGGAAACGCATTGCCCTCGACGAAGAGCCGTTCGAGAACAAGGCGGAGGGGAGCTTCGAGTGGCTGCTCCGCTACGCCCCTGTATTCCCAGAGCCGAAGAAAGCAGATGACAAGTCTGCGGAGGCGGGAAAGAGCTGTATCGTTATGTGATGTTGTACTGTATGCGCCAATATGAGGCCCTCACTTGCAGCCATGCATACCGCGACCTGAGATTTGCATACCCGGGCCGCCCTACGGACCCACTTAGCAGTGCATCACATCTCTTCTACCTTCCTTGACCTCATCACATCCCGCTGCTGAGCCCGTGCGTGGACGTCTGGGGGATTTGGGTCGAATTTTCACGCCGGCGAGCTCCCGCAATGAACTTAAGTAGCAACATTAACCATCGTTCGCTCTTTTCGCGCTAGAGGCCCGTAACCACCTGTTTATCAGGATCAGGGATGATCCCCACGAACATGGCCAACAAGCGTCGCTACTAGACAGCAGACCTGAGAGTCGAAGGCAGTCATCGATCGTCTGCGTGTGAGGACATACCTGGGCAGAAATTGAACTGGTGAGATATTGATCATCCCTATGCAACATACATTCGTTGTCGACGGGGTTCTGGATTAAATGAAAGCTTGTGCCTGCAGCTTCCATATCCTCGCGTAACTACCATCTCGAGCAAGCAGTTCGGCATGTGTCCCTGTCTCTTCAATGGCGGAGTCATTCATGTATCTGTGGACACAGGATGTAAGCCGCGACGCCCCAGGAAGCTCGTACGAAGCAGCGTACAAAATCAGATCCGCATGTCTCGTCAGGTTTCCAAAGCGATGCGAAGAGAACAACATGGTCTTGTCACCTCGCAGTTGTCTGAGACGAGTGAAGAGGTCTATGAGCAAGAAGCGCGGATGAGTGCCGGCCGCGCATGACGATACAGAGCGATAGGGACGTACCATGTTCGGCCGTTGGGTCTAGCGACGCACTGGGCTCATCAAACAAAAGAAGTCCTACAGCGCTGTCCTCGGCAACTATCGAGCGCATGAACGTCCGGGCCCTGCGATACAATCTGTTTCAGGAAGAATGGCGCAACACGTCGATGGGACGTACACTGCCAGCCTCTGCATCTGCCCTCCGCTCAGGGTATGCCCCGAGTTTGACTGGAGCCCTGCGATGCCCCGGATGCCCGCATATTCCACTGGCCTTCCGAACAAGGAATTCGTGCCTTCTGGGAGTCCGGAGTAGTAGTCGGTCACTGGTCTCTCGAGGTATGTGTCGAAACCCTCGGGAAGGCGCTCGATGAACTCTTCTGCGCCACCGAGCTTTGCTGCCAATCGAACTTGATCGTCGTTCGTAGCATGAGTTGGGTTGCCTAAAGCGATGTTGTCGCGGATCTGCATATCATATCTTTGTTAGATGTATGTGATTGTAGCAAGATGTTGGCGCTCACCGACAAAGGGAAGTGCGTGTAGTCCTGGAAGAGCACCGAAACCGACTGTCGGAGATCAGTCAACTTCAAAGCACGGATATTCTGCCGTCAATCAGGATCTCGCCCTCCTCGACATCGTAGAGGCGCATGATGAGCTTCAGCACGGTGCTTTTGCCCGATCCGTTAGCACCGACGATGACCTGGATGACGTGTTCAATGCGCGAGCCGCACGCACAGCGGGGCAGACGCACACATAGCTGGCCAGGCAAAAGCTTGAACGAGACATCTCGCAAGCCCAGTCGTCAGATCAGGGTAGCGGAACGATACGTTCCTACGCCTCGGTCAGCGCTGTTCCGACAAATCTCTCAATGTGTATACCTGAACTCTACAGTGATGCCTGATTTCGCTTTTTGTGCGTCTTCGGGGAACGGCACGGTCCCGTCAGGTACCCGGTTCGGGATATTGACGATGTCATACATCTTGCGCACAGTAGCAAGCTGGTCTGCAATGGACCCGAACTGATCGAAGAATCGGTACACAGTCCACCCGAAGCTGGACGCGGTGTGCTGAATGAGGTTGAGGGATGCAAGGGAGACCGGAATAGACGCTGGGTATTGCACTGCGCGGAGAGTGAAAACAATCTGCATGCGTCAGTCGAGCCTTGACACGGCGTGGCTATCATACCTGCGGAAGCTCCTTCCATGGCTCCTTCAGAAGGGAAGCAAAGGAAGTCTACGACGGGTTTCCATTCGCGCCTGACTCCCAGAAGTCGCCTGCCTGGTCACCGACACGCTGAGCGGCTTCTCTAAATTCTGCAGGAAGTATTAGCCCCCGTACCGTCAATCATATTTGTCGACACACCAGATGTACAGTATTCTGCAGATTCCGGAGACGAACTCCTTACGGTGGACAGGGAACGACACGACGCGTTTGAGCCCCTGCATCTTGATGAATCTTGGTTGCGGGTTGTGGCGGCCCATACTACAGGGTTTGACATCAACGTCAAAGTGTACAAGGGTGCAATTCTAGACAGGGCTTACCGCCTTGACCCCTGTCAATTGAGTTACTCTTCGGAACCAATCGAGGAGACTCTGCGACAAGCTGATCGTTGCCAGCAACATGCCATCTGGCTGATCCTTCAGGATCGCCGCTAGCATCGACACCTCAGACATGATATGCAGCGCAGTAGACACGGCGGATGTCGTCATAGAAAAGTGTCCCATGCGACGCCCCCTCGAGACGCCTGACTTGCTTCCTCGAGCTGGCGCTGAACGGCGGGATCCTCGAACGTTGGAGATCCAAGCGAGCACGCGCGTGGAACAGATGGACTGTGTAGTGTTGTCTGAGACGGTTTGATAGGGGTAGGACAAGGTGTTCTTGACGTGGCCAAGTAGACGGCCGAGCACGGCGCAGCCCATGCGACCGACGGAGATGCGCACAAGAAAGTCCTTATCAACGGTACGCGTGTCTATGCAGTTTGTACCTGGATTTCAATCAGTCAAGCGGGGAGCGATATGAATGATGCGTACAATTGTTAATAGTTGGCCAGAGTACCTACGGAGGAGGTCAGTGTCTTCGGCGTGTGGTAGCGAGATACGATACCATAGGAGGCAGCTGGTAGCAGTGACTGGCGAGTTCAACGAAAACGTATAGTAGTACAAGGATCCAGCAGTTCCTGATTTGTGAAATGTCTTTCATCATCCGCCATACATATGGCAAGCTCCGGGTCACCCCAGATAATGTTCGAGAGTTGACGTCCGGGAATATTCCATCCTAGTATCGGTTGTTTCTCTTCGTAGAGTCCCATACGCCTATGCGTGTATGTTTGACCCGCTTGACATCCTCTGGGTCGAAGGTTCCCGATCGACGCCTTGGACTTGCGTTTACCTCGCGGCACTGAATTGTGGCGCTCAGCAGCTAGGATCATCATGTTCAGAAGCCACTCACTCGTTTGCTTGCTTACCTGCACGTATCTAATTGACCCTCGGCAACGTAGACTTCACGGCCTGTTGTGCTAGAGAAACCAATGTTCTGTGCGGCTGCCCACTCCGAGTACGGTTGAACGCGCGAACTTACGGACTCCTGGGCAGCTATTTCTCCCCTAGCAGATCCGAGATGCAATTCGTTGAAAGAGCGAAAGAGCACGAGCACTGGGTTACGTACTGTATGTCACTGTGGTAGAGGACTGACTGGACAGAGTGCGCTCCAAGCCTCGGCGTGGCGGAGATGTATATCCGCACGTGATGACGATCCTCATCTCGGTAGGCTTGCATACTAAATTAGGCAATCCTAGTAGTGATTGAGGCATTTGTGCGTGGGCGTGGTAGAGAATCCAGCCTGCAGTGCTCTGCAGACGTTCTCCTGCTCGCACTCGTGTCACAGCGCACCACCACATTCAACTGTAGGGTACTCGGCGATGTAGTCCGGAGTCAAATTCACGTCTGGGCAGGTACCCAGTCGATCTCATGCTCCATCCAACGCACAATTGCCTCAGTCGTACTCGACGCACTGTCAGGTCGAACGTTGGTTCATAGTAGCACCCAGGTGCGAGGCCTTGAGGTATGACCGCAGCAGTCGCACTATTGTCTTGCCTAATGCCTACACCTGCCAGCTACTAGTAGATATCCAGGCCCACGAGCACACGCGCTGGTACACGTCTGGACTGCATAGGTCGGGCTGTTTCGTACTCTATCATCCGGGTCTGCATTCTGTTGCACTTCAAGCTTGAAGCTTTGAAGCTGACCAGCGACGACCGCCGGTATATACCTCCAGTCCCTCCGTGCTTCAAGTTCCTCAAGCACGCTGAAAGCAAGTATCGAAGTGTTCATCGAGTATGAGCCGGTACGTGCACCGTGAACGTAAGGACAGCGAACCCTTCAACGTCTCCGCATATCAAAGCATATTTTGGCAGCACCTCGCGGGTCCTCAGCGCCAGGCGACTCTCACCAACTCTCGGTGCACGATTGGCCCTGGCAGGTTGCCCGCGGGATGTTGATTGTCACAGGTGTGTCACATGTCACGGATCTTGCCGCATTTGTGGCGCCTGTGACGCGCGAGGCGTGACCGCGTACCTCGTCAGTCCCGAGAGGACCCGGGAAACCGCTCTGATCATGCTTCCAGCGTCCCGCTCAGATACTTATTGAAGGTCGATCCTTCCTAGGCTTGTTTCGTCCGTCCACTTGCGCCAGAAGAGCGCAACTAGATCATGGTGAGCACCGCGTTTAGGCTATGTTATAACCGACTTATGTAGGGCTACCAGGTTTTCGTGAATGATCAGAAGTTTGCATGGTAAGCCCAATTTCAATCGTCTATAACCTTGTTATAATCGCCGACGACCTCAAAGTGAATCGTGCATCAAAGGCCATCGCTCCTCATCATGCCAGCACACCGACCGACCTCTCTTCGAGATCAAGAAGAAAGGACGGCCAGTCTCTCAATGCGAAAGATGTAGGGAGCTACGGAAGACGAAGCGAATGCACAACAAATGCACTTGCGCCTGTGCATCGTCCGCAGAATCTCAACAGCCTCAGGTTGCTAGTTCTTCACCGAGCAAGTGTGCGTACACATGGCCCCGACTGTCCTCCCTCGTTAATTCTTGAACTGTGTAGCACGTCGATTCAAGCCCATCGCTCCTGCGCTACCCAATGGTCTCAAGAGCTTGCTGCCCGAACTAGCAGACAGTACGTCGATAGTGGGACCTAGCTCTGACGGTTTGTCTACATTGCCCTGCGCAGGAACGGACTCATTTACTATCTCCATACCCGTAGACAGTTCTTCAAGCTCGTGCGACTGCGGTGCCCCCGGTTGTCTCTGTCTCAAGGCGGCTATGCACCCATATAGCGCTGACACGTCGATACGCCCAGACCAGCGTCCTCAGAACGGGCTCGCCGCTCTGGCGGCAGCTGCAGATATCCATTCTAGGCATGAACATCTTTCCGTCGGCAACGAAATCAGCCCTTCCCTAGTGGCATTCGCTGTCGGCGATAGTGCGCCAGGGCACGGAAAGCATCATTGCGCGACATTGGCCACCGGTCAACCGCCAAAACACCTCTCCGGCCATCTCTCACCCGAGCAGTGCTCGCTGCAGCGAAAACGGCGCAGATCCAGCTCCAATGAGGCAAACTCGTCTACGCATATACATTCGCACACAGAAGAAAGCCTAGAACTTCCTCCCATTCGCTATTCTGGCACGCCGGACGGTCGACCAGGTGGAACATTTGCTGTTCCTGTCTTTCCGCCCATCCCACCTCTGCGCGAGATCACCTCATTAGCTGGATCCGAATGCTGCTGCGGTGTCGAATGTACATGCCCGGGGTGTGTCCAGCACCGAGGTCGTGGCCACGCGTCGAAGGACTTTCACGATTGCGCGGACGGGTGCGGGACGTGCGTGGACAACGAGAACGGGGTAGCGCTGCCATCCCCGCGCGCAGGCTCGTCTTCTAGCCTTAAACCTGGGTCGAGTGCACAGCCGAATTTCATCGACGCGTTTTTCGCCCGTGCTGCCGCTCTCCCGCTCCCACCTGCTACGCGCACGGCGGGTTTGGACGCGATGAACGTGACGATTTATCCTACGACGTTGTTCAGAGGCGATGCGAAGGAGCGCGAGGAACGCGTCGCAGCGTTTGGACTCGTCTCGCTTCCTCCACTTGAATGTGGATGTGCCGGGGGTTGTGGATGCCCCGCAGGGCGGTGTGGTTGTGGTGAGGGTTGCGGCGGGTGTTGCTGACCCCGCCAACACCGGTACCTCGGGAGTATCTCCAGGTGCGTCGTATCTTGTGCGCACTGCTTAGGTACTGAATGCCTCCGTAGTCTGGTTTACTGGTGTGCTCGGCGACGATCACCTTCTATTTTCTTTGGGACACGACACTGATTTGGCCTTCGGAGAGCCGAGTGTATTATTATCATTTACTTGTGTGTTGCTCTTGCTCTGACCACGATGTTGTGCTTGTATGTCAAGTCATCTGCTAAATACCCGAGCTTTCGAGTGATGTAGCCATGCAGTCGCCACCGGCCGATGTGGTATTTGACTGGGTGCGTTCCACACATGAAGCCTGCCCTGGTAGGTCAGCGGAGCTATCGATAATGCGTCCGAATGCGATCATTCGCGCGGTCACACGTCCGACCCTGACTCACACTACTGGTACCAGAACATAGTGATAGGCATGACAACTTCGGGCCCGATCCACGCGTACAGACTGGCGACTGTAGGCGCTATAGATAAGTGGGACCAATACCAAGTTGCGTATACCATCGAACAACAGCCCCCCGTCTCCCCGTGGTCATAATGGAGACACAGCTGACTGACAATGTGAAGTGCGTGTTCCATGTACGTGATTTCAATGTTTCAGCTTTCCAGGGATAGATCGCGTTTTGTGCTCATGACCTTGCTTTGTATAGAACAAGGCACTGATACAAACTCGAACCACCGTTCGACCTGGCAGCCGGAGCAATCTTCTTCTTCGCAGCAGTCCGGTGGTCTTGTAGAGACCTTCATCAGGGTCCGGCGCCCGTTGCTCGATAAGGACTATGCATGCGGGGCCTTCTCCCTGGTTGATGTGCAAGAGCCTCGTACGCTCCATTTTACGCAACCCCTAGTGCGTGCGCTTGAGTGGGGTGTTCCAGAATATTTGAGAGAACGGACTGTGCTGACGCTCGTGCGCAAGTGGCCGGTTTTCGACGAAGAGTTCCAAGGCCAATGCGGTGTTTGGCAGTGATGTCGAAAACGACGCTGTGTATGAAGGCATAGATGTATCGCGAGCCGTCCGACAGTGTTTGCAGTTCAACACGCGCGAGCTGTCCATTCTCGCTTACGGGCAGACGGGCACTGGCAAGACGTTCAGCACGACCGCTTTGGAAGGTGGATCTTCAACATTTTCCTCGGCTTCGTCTCATCTCTATCTCGGCCACAGATAGAGTCGTCCAGCAAGTCTGGACGGAGGTAGATCAGAGTGGACAATACGCTGTCTACATCGAGGCGTTCGAGATCAGAGGCAATTCCGCCTTCGATTTATTGTCTGACCCACCGCTCGCTCCTGTAAAGATCATTGTCACCGGCGCGAGCGAAGTGCAGTATGGTGGCCTGAGCAGACACGAGGCTCCTTCGCTAGCCGTCCTGCTGGACCTCATCGGCCGAGCGAAGCAGCTACGCCTGACCAGAAGCACTTTCAAGAACAGTACTAGCAGCAGGTGAGTGCCAGTACAGTGAGCATGCAGGCCGCATATAAACATTAAGCAGGTCGCACTCCATAATCCGTCTGCACATCTGTTCTAAGGACAACAACTCGAGGAGGTCGCATTCCAATGTTGTGGACCTTGCAGGTTCGTACTCACCTCGCAACACTTCTTCACCATCCTAACGATACGAAAGGATCCGAGCGATCGAGCCTCCTCGTCCAAAACGACATGGCCACAATGAAGGAGTCCATCGAGAGTAAGTGACGATAGATTAGTATTTAGTAACTGACACTGGAACTCACTGTCCACAGCGAACAAGTCCCTGTCGGTCCTCAAAGACTGCGTCCGCGCCGTGTTGTCCGCAGACTCGCACAACCCGTGGCGAGGAAGCAGGCCAACAAGCTGTTGATCCTGGCCTGCGTCAGTCCCAGTCTGCTGGACGTCGAAGATACTGTGGGTGCGCTGCGATACGTCGCTGTATTCCAAGTAGGTCTGCTTGAGATGTATGCGGGGAACCTAGTTGACGGATCTGATGTAGCTCGGAGACCTGGTACAATACAGCGAATTGAAGGGCGTTACTAGGACCGTCCTCGATGAACCCATCACAGAATGGGATCACGACCAAACGATTGTGAGTGTCAGAATTCCCGTCGGCGTCCGGTCCTTACGTTGAAACGTGGCGTGCCCAGTACTACATCAAGCGCAACTGGTGCAAGCTGACACCCGTCCTCCACCGTCTCCTCTCGACCCCATCGTCGAACATGGCTGATCTGCTCCCCCTTGTCAGTCGCAGAGCTATCGCACCTCTGTGCCACTTCAACTCCCGAGGAAGCGAGCGGCATTCAGCCTGCACCCGACGCTCGCGCCGTGGCACAGGCGAAGAGCTGGGTCGCCACCTACAAGGTGAAGATGGACGCGCTGGTGCAGAGGGCGCAGACGCTACAGCAAGGAACGGGAGGAGCGGGGACGTCGGCGGGCTTTGCTAGGGTTGCGTTAGATGCACTGAGCGGGAGGGATTTCATGGCTGGCGAGACTGGGTCCATGACGAGGGTGGATGCCAAGGGACGTGTGTTGCATAACTCGAAGTTGAGATAGGCTTGGATCGCGATGATTAATAGGCGGACGGACTGAGAGGGCCGTTGAATGTCGTCAACATACACTAGAAATCCCGACAAGGAGCAAATACAATTACTGAACAGACGGGCGTGTGGTCAAGGTACATGCGCATTCGCGAGTCTCAAAGGTGTGTCTATGTCCAGCAGCTGCGATACAAAGCATCAGTGTAAAAAATGTTGTACAATCTCGACTGGAATCCCAGAAGCCCATTAGATAGTTATACACTGGACATGATGGTATCAGCCACGCGCCCTACGACGGGAAAACCAGACTTACGTGTCGTCTACACAACGTTGGCCAGTCTGTCAGTTGTGGAACACCTCTATAGTAAGAAATACATACCATCATACTCGAAGCGAGTCTATCACGAGATCATGAGTTCTGGAACATGGTTGTGAAGGGATCGCACGAACCTTCTTCGGATTATCGGGGGCGTGTCGGACGTATCGATCGTTTCCAGGAGGTCTAAGGACATGATGAGATCTGACGCTGCCGGACGTCGGTACAGGCAAATACTCACAGCTCCTTCTTCTGCACACCGTCCAGTGTAGAATTCAGCTGCTGTCTATACACTGGGAATCGTGGCACTAACCTTGCAGGATGCCAGCATGCTCTGCAGGGTCACGCAGACGGCAACAACGCTCAGCACAGGTGACCACTCGTTACCCAGAATGGAGGCACATATCTAATGACGCAGGGATAACGTCAAACACAAAGATCGTCAACATATTGAGAGGAACTTACGTGTCCATTGGTGTATACATGCTATGAGCGCAGCGGCGTATATAAGCACGAGGCGCATCTACCGGACTTCAGGACGTTGGCGACTTACTGGGTGCATCGGGGATTTCCACTTGTCATCTACCACAAATTGGACTGCTGGCGACGAAATCGGATATTGGTTGTCGAACCGGAACCTGAGGCAGAATACCTCGCCCTGCGATGTACATCATGAGTGCGATGTTTCCGGGTGGCGAGGAGAAGAGACTCACCGCAAAGACAGTATCACCGAGAACCTCCAGAGACAGGAACCATTCCTCAAAGTTATCGGCACTCAACAGGTTAATACCTGTTTCCCTGTTTGTCAGTCTATACCGAAAGGCAGGTCGCGCGAGGACGCACCTACTGGCGTTCCTTGATTCTTGAGATCTGCGAGCTCCTTCTGTAAGCGACGCGTGGAAACAGCCATTCGTCAAACTATGAAAGTAGGCTAGCTTCTTCAATATTTCCTTAGCTGCGATATGAATGTGGCACTTACTATACGGAAGACGACGAAATGGAGGTGTGAAGCTCGAGGGCGCTGCGAAGCGCCGTGATAGTCGGACCGTCGCGGTCTCGCCACAACGCACACAAGACCAAACAACCCGCAGGTATATGAAGCCGCGCGCCCACTCCCTGTTCTCTTCAACAATGTCATTTCCCGTCTCCGCCTTAGAGTCACTTGCTTCTCGCTTGTCTTAGGACCCAGGAGATATGCAGGCGCTCGCGGGGACGCAGAACGACTCTCGGGGTGCTCATTGTTGGCTGGTGTAACCCTCCACCACCTTGCGACATAAGCCGCGAGGAACAGTTTTTCCGATGCTTTTTGCTACGTCTGGTATACTACTGGTGTCTACCCGTACTACACCTCAATGCGAATCTTAACTGTGGAGCATCACCCATTGCACCTATTACGAATGTATCCTTGCGCACGGAAGGAGCGCAGTCTTCCCACCCAATGGATCTATCACCCGCTGATGGGTTTGTGTTATCCCATGCCCATGGAGAAAGTCGCTTGACCACTGGTATGGGCACAACCCCGCAGGCGCATCCTCCACTGAGGGCGGTCTTGTCATCGACCTCAGCCGCTACTTCAAACACGCCCGCGTCGACCCTGAGCGAAAAATTGGCTATGTTGGCGGCGGACCGATCTGGGAGAACGTCGACAAGGCCACAATTGAGCATGGCCGCGGTATGGTCAACCACGTATGTCTCACTACTTTCCGCACAGTGTGACTAGGCGTTCACTGATGCCTGACATAGATTGGCGCAGCTGGGCAGAGGCTATCCCTGTGTTACGGACTCACCCTCGGCAACGTCCTCGAAGTAAGTCCCATTCAGCTTGGCACTGCATGTATCCTCATGTGCATGTGTCCCTAGGCCACCGTTGTTCTCGCTGATGGATTGGTCGTAAAGGCGAGCAAGTCAAAGAACAACGATCTATTATGGGCATTCGCGGTGGCGGGTCCAACTTCATAGTCGTCTCTGAGTCCGTTTTCCAGCTCCACGACCAGCCCCAAACCGTCTTCGCCAGCGTCACAATCTCTGACCGTAGTTAGCTCAAGGCGCTGACTGAGGTCACTTCCAGTGTGGGGTGGTGGGACGACCCGGGCAACAAGTCCCCGCAGATCCAGACAGCGGTTGTCGGGCCCAACGGCAAGCCTGTCATGCTCGTCATCTTCTTCTATAACGGCCCGAGGTGGAGGGCCGAGCATTCTACAGGAAGCTCTTTGACATCGGTCCCATCGATGATCAAGTGAGGGAAATCCCATATGAGGTCGCCAACGCGCTGCAGGTGCCGTTCTTGCAGTCCCTTGTTGCCCGTATGGCCATTCATCTGACGTGCCTCACAGAACCCGGTCGCATATCACGGTCATGGTGTCTATTAGCAAAGTGTTGCGCATTGCAAGCCCGAATACCGTGCTCAAGGCGTTAGACCGTGTCGCCGAGCTCATCGCCAGGCCTGGCCCGAACCCGATGGTCCCGTTTGAGTGCTTCCCGCTCCACCAGATCACTGCCAAACACAGCGAGGAAACCCCGTTCCGCCACGTCGCCGCCCCGTTCATGCTCGTCAACGCGCTTTGGGTCGAGGATACGCCGGAAAACTTGAAGCGCGGTCGCGAGATGGTGTACGAGCTCATTGGCCTTATCAAGAGATCAAACCCGCAGCTCTCCGTGGAGCAGCAGGCCGGGTACGCAAATCAAGACGATGAAACGGTGTCAAAGGACGCCGCGGACAAGGCGAGGCTCGTGTTTGGCAAGCACTATGCGCACCTGCAGGAGGTCAAAAAGAAGTACGACCCCGACCAGGTTTACCACCAGTGGGTCCCCATCATACCCGCTCCGTAGATACAATCATCAAGATGTTATGTCGTATTTTCGACTGCTAATCTAGGCTCACGCATCAGTCACGAGCCTGAGTCTTACAGACTCGTCGTCAAGCCCGTCGATCTGGTGAGCAGAAAGCACAGGTCTATAAACACGCCGTCAACCGTAGAGCTTGAAGCTTGGTCCGTCATTCTGGCTGTTGAGATCACTCCGTCGCGCAGTACTAGTACCTCACAGGGACCTGACGTGTAGTTTGCGACAGAAGACAGAAACACCACGACGGAATGCTAGTATGCTCAACCTGAAAGTGACACCAATAGATGATTTCTTGTCCCGGTAGCAGCTCGCATGGGGGGCACTGAAGGTTTTCAGCAGCTCACACAGATTGCCGGCTTAGGCCGCTAGGCGCAGTTCTTTCACCGTGACGTTCCAAATCCCTCGATGGAGGTACGCTGAAGTCTGGTGGGTGGGCCGTGTCGGAGGCCAGCAGGGCGTGTCCCGGGTGTCCGTTCATTTGGAGACCGAGTTCGCGTCCTTGTTTAGAGAACTACGTGCAAGATGCCTGATAAGCGGTCAGAAGAGGACATCTTGGTTATTGGCCATGTCGACGGTGGACGAAGTCTGTACCGCGTGTTGGAACCGGTCAAGAATGCAATTTGTGATTGAATCGGACAAGCAGTACGAGATTTCGACTGTATATGCTTTGTTGCCTGCAGTCACCGTGCAGTGGATGTCCTTCGGATCTTCTATCCACCGTTCTGTGTGCACATGACTGGATCGTGGGCAATCGGCGCGTCCATCATGAGCATGCCTACCTCGTGTGGAGATGCAGCGCTCGTTCTTCATATCTATGGGTAGGAGTTCCACACCCACTCAGCTGCAGCGACCAACCATCGCTGACCAGTGTCCGGTACGACGTCGCTTCTAGGTAAGACTTCGCTAGCTTCGTCTCGCGCGAGTATATACCACGCTTACACTACCGATAGCAAGCATGGTATATACCCTACGAGACTTCGAGCAGGAGATGAGCCGCAGGTCGACCGTTGGGCTGGTAGATGTCCTCCGAACGAAGTTATATCAGGGAAGTCGACCATTTGGTATGTCGGCCGTTGCACCTGCGTCGATTCTACTGAAGCCTGTCATTCAGCCCACAACTGGTGAGAATTTCGCGTAAATCTGACTGTAAAGCATCTGTTGAGTTTAGAGCATGGATAGGACGCTATGGTGCGAAAGGAGCTTCTGTCGACTATCATGTTGTTGGTAGAGGGCCCGAACGCACGGGTCCTCGTTAACCACAAGCTTCCCACAGAGATCCTCACATTGATCTTCCATTATGTCCGTCTTCAGCCTCGCAAACGGGATACACCTGGGACGAGCATCTGGGACCCTGTAGTCGTGCGGATAGACTGGCTCGTTCGAGCGTCGCACGTCTGTCGCCATTGGCGCGCTATCATCGTCGATACACCTGCGCTCTGGGATAGGATCGATGATTCGCGAAGACGTCTAGATCAAGTACGCGTCCCGGCCGAGAGGGCTGGCATAATGCCGCTCACGCTCACGATTACACGCGAACCCACCCGCCCTATGAACGCGCTCCTCCAAAGCAACAAGCCAATAAAGGAGATACGGTACGACGGGATCACCATCGAGCTTTCTAAAAATACTTGCAGCAGCCCGCGTATTTTCTTGAGAGCCTCAGTCTCACCGGGACACTAGGCATGACGACGACCGAGCCAAGCCAAGTTTACTCCGTAGTATTTCGAGGGCACACTCCAAGCTTGCGTCGCCTCTCTCTCGACTCCCTTAATTGGATTCCCACACTCCAAACGTCGACACTCACGCACCTCTACCTCGCAGATTGCTGCGGGAAGAACTCTATACAGATGATACTGCCTTTGTTGGCTGCGAGCCCAAGCCTGACAGACCTGGTGTTGGTGGACAGCCTTGTTGATCACGATGTCCTCGAATCTCCGCAGTGCAATGCGCTAGTGCGCCTCCGCCATTTGCGAAGACTAGTGCTGAAGCACATGTCGAGCGCGGGTGTCAAACGCTTCATCTCACACATACGTCTGGACCCGGAGACGTGCGTGCGATTGATCAATGTTCTACCTCTCGACGGCGACCTCTTGGACCAGCTGTCTAGGCTGCCGTTGGTAGCCGGCGTAACCAAGCTCCTGATCAAGGGATCAGGAATACGGCGCACCGTAATTTGCGAAGGACAATCTACTGGTATATTCATCGACAACTTTACCTCGGTGGATGAGGAGTGGGGCACCGCCCTGCCACGGATGCTCGCAATGGACCAGCTCCGCGAGCTCCACGTAGTCCTACGGGATAGCCCCGCGCTATTCGCCAGCACCCCGACGGCGCTGTTCGACTTCCTACACAGGGCACCGGCTCTTGAACACCTCTACGTGGACACGCAAGGGCTTGCGAGCCTGCTCGACGCACTCGAGTGCTGCGGATCCAAACCGCCAAAGCTGGCGTGCCCGAACCTCGTGCTGCACGTCCAGATGCCCTGCCGCGGGCCTGGGTCGGACAGCACGTCTCTGATACAGTCTTTCGCGACTAGACAGACGAATCTGGGCATTCGCTATCTAGTCGCGGAATACTGCCCCGGATGTGGGGCTGGGGCGCGGCGTCGACCGTGGTTTTCGAGGGAGATTCAGGTCAATTTCGAGTCGGTGACCTCGATTTCCAATCCTCGACTAGGGCGTGACTGGCGGATGTTGCGCGTGGACTGGCCGGCGTGTTGAAGCCGATATCACGCGGGTGGTCAATACACGGTATGGTTCCTTGCAATCCGTCGTCTTTTTTCACGGTCACTCAATTGTCGCTCGGTACGCATCTGACAGGAGACGACGAGCAGCACCGTCAATAGTGGTTGCTAATGGTCTATCTGTTTCTATCGTGTCAGTATGTCAAGAGGGTTATGATGGCACTGCTCACTGATCCCCGTTTCTCGCAATGGCATTCATAATACGCGCCATCGTGTCGTCTACTCGCGCTTTGTGTGGTCCTCTTGAGTCATTCTGTAGATACGTACAGTACTGTATTATACTGCTCCTTCGGCCTTTCATCAGTGGTCGCTGTTTCTTGTACCGCACCTCACTTGCACCTCACTGATACTTATTGTACCCGTTAACGACTCTACGCCATATAATTAGCTGTTCGTGGTGATCATGAGCTTGCGAAACACATGTGTCCATTTGACATGCAGTGCCCGAATACAATTTGATGCACCCAGTATCGACGAAAGCCTGTTTCAGAACAATCGAATGCCTGTCTGGGAGCGCACAACATCCGTATCGCCGTCCGTCCAATTCTTCAATTTCAGAGAAGTGATCATGTGTACATAATACAAGCATAAGTGGGCACCAATTCTTTCCCCGACCTATCAACCCGCGTTGCGGCTGTGGGGAAATTCTGTACGTTAAGAACGCACAACAAATTAGTAGAGCGGCCTAATATTGATCGTTGTATACGCACGAACTCCATGCGACGATACGAGCCACTGTGCAGGGTTGCAAGGATGTCAATCCGTGCTGCCTCGAGGACCCTCGGCCCCCTTCTCAGCGGTGTTCCGCTGTTCAGCTCGCATACTGTGATGGTGTACCCTTTGCATGTCCTGCTTCCAGCTGGCGTATTCTTGGAAGTTATGCACAGTGCTCCAAAGGACACTCAGCTTTCCTTTGCAATTTTATAAAGTCCACCGTACTACATACCTCAATATATCTCGTCCCTGTGAGAGTGGCATGTTCCGCTTGACGAGCTCGTCCAACCGATTGCACCGTTCTTGTAGAGCTGAACCTATCCCAGTAAGCTCATTGCCAGTCGTCCAAGTGATGTTATCGTCGTAAATGCCTATACAGATGCCACGCGACGCCACAGTACCGGAGAAGCGCTTCTCCTGCAATATACTGTCCAATCGCGCCAGGACATCCTCCTCCTCCATTGTCGTCAACATTCCGTCCAAGACATCGGTCATCTGGTCTGTCTGAAACGTCAACACAACGCACATGGCCTGGAAGTGTTTCGAGGTGATGTGAGACAGGATATGCGGGATCCAGGGCCATGCTACGAATGGGTGGTACAAGTAGATTTCCAAGCGCCTCAGATTGTTGTGATGTGAAAGGTTGTAATGTCGCTCTGTATACAGGAAACAATCAGTGAAGTGGCTTAAGAGAGAGAACTGAGAACACTTTCTGACTATGGCGCCGGCATCAATTGTACCATCACCAACAGAAGAACTGGGATACATATGAAGCTCAATCGTTTCTACCGATGTGGCACTGGCATCTAGCAAAGTCTGGCTTCTGCTGGCGCCGAGGAAGGATCCAACTCCTCGTCGACCCCAATTTCGAGATTGGGCACTCGAGAAGCCCGGCTGATCCGCACAAAGAGGTCTTCGACTGCTGGTGCAACCCATCGCACGTCGAGATGCTCCAGATTTGCACAGTTCAGTGGGAGGGAGGCCGGGGACTCGACTTGTTTCTGCAAGCAGTCAACATCGTAGCACCATAGATTCCTAAGCCGCGGGAGTGCTGAAACAAGGTGCGACAACTGGGCGACGCTCGACAAGGTGACATTGGAGAGGTCTACACTGTCGATGAGGCTGAACACGCCTAGGAAGCCGATGTCCTCCATCCGGACCGAGCCGGTGGTCCACTCTGCATCTTGTATACCGATCCTCGACAACTTCGGAGCCTTGCCCGCGAGCATAGCGGCAAACGTCCCCAGGTGCCGGATCGGTTGACGCTTCCCGGGAGAACCACCCGATATGACGACCTGCTGGATGACCTCGCGGAGGCGAGGTTTTGCGTGGAGTGTCTTGGAGAGCGAGAGGACGTCCTTCCGGTCCCGTAGATAGACGCGTTGACGAAGATGGTACCACGTCAAGTAGTACCAGTCTTGGCATACGAGCGCGCAGGACGTGAGGGTGGTCAGATGTGGCTCGCCCTTCATTATGAAACGATAAACGAGGTTGACTCCCGTTGCTACGTGGTCGATGATCCGTTCACAGACCTCCACAGGAAGCCGCGGGATCGAAGGTCCGTGAACGCCCTCGGACGTTGCGGCTGTACTGTAGTCCCCATACATAAACCATAACGTTACTCGCGGCGGGACAGTGACGCTTACATCGATTCGACTCTGTCCATTCCGTTGACGTGGGATGTGTGCCACGGCGACGTAATCGCGCTCAGGCTGTCGCACCAATGAAAGTCTCCTGCAGGTCTGGTTGCGTGGCGACAGCGGACTCGGACCCTCGATCATGGAAACAGGTTACTAAAAGCATTGTCTCAAGACCGCGGCTCTCCAACAACAAGCATAGTGCGATAACCCACTGCTCACTGACTACCAGACAAACCAAGATGCGCCGTCTTGGTCGTCGGCGGTACGCGCGCTACTAGAAATGAAACCGAGATGTCAGTAAAAATATTGGTTGGCAAAAGGGGAGACGTGCCTCGTGGGGACTTTCAATGGCTTTTGGTGCGCTTTGCAAAAATTCGAAGCTGGACGAGGGGGAGAGCCTAGGGACAGTGAAGGCAATTTCTGGCAATCTTGAGTGATGTGCATCGATGTCACGGTACATGCTATGTAGCGCTCGCTCGCCAACGCGTCCGAGTCGACGCTCCGTATCCGCTTCAAGTTCACAGTATCTTGACTTCTCGTTTGCTATACTAACTAGAACTGCGGGCACCGGCGGAGACGCAGAAGGAGCTTAAAGGTCATCTTGCGCCGGTACCATTCTTGGTTGGCGCATACTTCCCATGCTCTGCAACCTACTAGAACCGCTTGCAGCATCTCGTCAACAATATTGTACATCTTTTGTCTACATCTGTCCCTATATTCCGTAGTACAGACGTCTTTCACACTTCGCGCAATAGCAATGAATAAGTTACACCGCGGCGGTAGCACTCTCCGCCGCCTCGCTCAATTGGATCTTTTTGTCGCGGTCCTCCTTGATATCAGCCAGGATCTCTCGTGCCCCAGTCTCAATCAGCACTTTCGCCAACTGCTTCCCTATCTCCTCCGCCTCCTCCACCGACCTCACCTCCCGCTCAATGGTATGCTCGACATGTTTCGCGCCATCCAGCGAAGTGACACAGCCCGTGAGCACCAACACCCCTCCCCTCTCGCCCTCCTTCTCCCTCAGCTCCGTATGCACGCCGACGGGGACGCTGCACCCGCCCTCGAGCACCCGCAGACACGCGCGCTCCGCGCGACACGCCCACTCCGTCGGCCAGTGCGTGATGCCCGCGCAGAGGGCGCGGGACGCCTCGTCGTCCGTGCGGATCTCGATCGCGAGTGCGCCTTGGGAGACGGCGTGCAGGAGCGTTGGGGGCCCGAGGTTGGCGGTGATGCGCGGGCCCCAGCCGAGCCGGACCATGCCTGCACGGGCGAGGATGATGGCGTCGAAGGGCCCGTCCGGCGCGTCGAGCTTGGCCATGCGGGTGTTCCTTGGAGACATAAACATGCATCGAGAGAGCACAGCACGAAGTGTACGTACAGGTTGCCGCGCTGTAGATGGGCAGCGTACGGAGTGTAGTCATGGGTAGTCTCGCATAGGATAGACGACTCACGACATCCTTGAACACGAAACGGGGGAACCGCCGCTTCAGCTGGGCGACCCGCCGCACGCTGCTCGTGCCCACCACGCTCCCGTCGGGCAGGTCCTCCAGGCTCGTCCATGGCTTCCCCTTCTTCACGATCAGGCAGTCCACCGGGTCCTCCCTCCGCATCACCCCCGCGATCTCGCACCCTGGCGGGAGCTCCGTCGGGACGTCCTTGAAGCTGTGCACGAGCATGTCGACCTCGCCCGCGAGCAGTGCGACCTCGAGTTCCTTCGTCCAGAGGGCCTTCCCGCCCAGTAAGTACAGCGCCTGCGACTGGTTCTTGTCCCCGCCGGTGGACATAAACGCCGTCTCGAACTCGGTGTCCGGGTGCGTCGCGGAGAAGGCGTCGCGGGCGATGTTCGTCTGGATCTTGGCGAGCTCGGAGGCCCGCGAGGCGAGCGTGAACTTGCGCGGGGTGCCCGTCGAGACGGAGGCGGGATTGGTCATGGTGGTCAGACGAAGAGTGTACTAGTACTGTGCAACGGCCGCTACATACTCATGATTATTGAGCGACTGCAATTTGCTCAATTGGGCGATCAACTCGGATTCAAGTCGAGATCGACGCTCCCGTCGGCCTGATCGCCGATCCAACTGCCCGGTGTCGTACACAAGTCTTACACACTAGCTCGGGTTCGCAGGGAGGCCGAACATTCAACGGAACAGCGATGCTCAAATCATCTAGCATCCAATATACAATTAAATCGAGAATATGCTACAACTACATAGATGGCCGTCGGACTAGTCTGGTCCGTTGGTTTAAACGGACATGTATTGTGACATTCTGAGTCCATGTCAATCGCTGCCTCATCCACCAATACGAGAGGGACTTACGGCGAGTCCTTCTTGGCTTCGTCGGGGTGCTCCCGAGAGATCCGCTGTTCCAGCTTCTGGAACTCGCTGAGGGCGATCTCTTCCTCTAGGTCCAGGACCTGACGAACAACATCAATGGCCGACGCAGTACAATGAGGCGCCAAACTTACCTGCTCAACACCCTTTACCTCCGGGATGTAGTGCATGAGCATCCGCTCGATGCCGCTTTTGAGCGTCACCGTGCTCGAGTCGCACCCCCTGCAGCTGCCCTTCAACTTCACCCGCACGTACCCATCGTCCGTAAACCCGCGGAACTCAATGTCACCGCCGTCCTCCATGATAGCCGGCCTGACCCTCGTCTCGAGCAGCTCTTTGATCATCGCCACCGTCTCCGAGTCCGTGTCGAGGATGCGCGTGTCCTGCGGACCCGCCGCCTCCCTGTCCTCCACGGACCGGAACAGTGGCTGGCCCGAGGAGAAGAACTCCATGAGGATGGAGTAGATTTCGGGCTTGATGACGGACCATTGCGTTTCGGTGTCCTTTCCGACAGTGACGAAGTCCGGGCCGTAGAAGGCGCTCTTGACACCGTCGATGCCCATGAGGCGGATAGCGAGTGGCGACTTGAGCGCAGACTTGATATCGAGGAACTCGGCGGTGCCTTCGTCCATGACAGGTACACCAGGGATGAACTTCAGCGAATCCTCGTTAGGCGTTGTCTCGGTTTGGATGAACATTGAACGATCTGCGGGACGTGAGCTTCTCAGCACGCAGAGGCAGAAGAATGGCTCACATTGTGATGGACGCTCCATGCTGTGCGTCTGCCTCGCGGGGTGGGTTGCAGAGTATGTCGCCAACGTGAGGCCATGGTGCAGGTGAGTCGAGCACGTCGCTGATACCGCGAAGTGCCTCCACGCTGGGCGCGGCACTGCGTGTGCTTTCGCGCGATGTCTGAAAACAGACTTGGACGTTTGCGACAGTGGCCGTAGCGAGGAAGACATGGTGGTTGTGCTGCAAGAGATGAGTCGACGCTGAGTCGTAAGCAGACTGGCAGCGACTCGGAGCAGGACGCTTCACGTGACTCGTTAGCGAAGGACGCTGGCGCGTTGGGTCGTCGGTGACATCACTCGTTCGCTCGCTGTCTTACCCCGCAACATGCTGCCAATCAGCGCGGTTACAAAAGTCAGCCCGCCGGCCTCTCCTCCCTGTCCTCTTTTCCCCTCTTCCCCCTTTCTTCACTGTCATAGGTGACGGAGATGGATGAAAAGCAGCCTCTGATGGTGGAGGTGTGTCTGCCCGTGTATGACCCAGCCGTGGAGAAGTCGTTGGCGGGGAGTGGGCAGCGACGCGAAAAATCCGCGAAGGGGCGCTGGTGGGGACGCGGTGACCTCGCGTGGAAATGGATCCTTGGACTCTGTATGGTCTTCGTCTGGTACAACGTCCTTGTCAACTTCAGTCCTCCCCTGAGACCACAGCTCACGCGGGACGCTGGCGTTGACATACCGATCCGCATACAACGTTTCTGGGGCCAGTACTCGCCTTACTATCCCGCCGGCGAATACGTACCAGCACCGACAGGTTGTAATGTCACTCAGGTGAGCATTCGTTGGCGACATTGCGAGATTTTGTACCATTACTGATCTCACATGAAAGGTCAACATCGTACGTGCACTTTGATGTGACTATATGCGCTTGTTTATGGAATATCAATCAGCTACATCGTCACGGCGCACGATACCCCTCGCATTCCGACGCTCCCGGGTACATGGCAGCGGTCGCGAAGCTGCTCGAAGCGAACAAGTACAAAGTGCCCGAGCTCGAGTTCCTCAAAGACTACGAGTACGTCCTGGACGAGGACCATCTGCTCCCGCTCGGCGCGGAGCAGAGCTGGGAGTCCGGCATCGAGGCATACGAGCGGTATACAAGGTTAGTCAGGAGTGCCAGCGACATCTTCGTGCGGGCCTCAGACCAGGAGCGTGTCGTCGACACGGCGGGCAACTGGACGCAAGGATTTGCCGACAGCAGTCATGGGAAGGTCAAGCCTGTAGTGGACCTGCTCCTGTCAGAGAAGGTACGTGGTAGCTGCACGCTACCTCGCTGTATCTAACTCTGACAAACGAGCTAGGTGAATGACACACTGGACAACAATTGCCCGAACGCATCCGAGGCGGAGGAAGAGATGGCGACCTGGTTGCACCAGTTCGCGCCGCCGATCGCGAAGCGCCTGAGAAAGGCCGCACCCGGCGCGAACGTATCCGAGGACGATACCTTCGGCTTGATGGCGATGTGCCCCTTCGAGAGCATCGCAAACGCTAACGCCGAACCACATCTCAAGAAGAATGCACATAGCAAGTTCTGCAACTTGTTCGCGGAAGACGAGTGGCCTGCGTTTGAGTACCACGGAGACATAGAGAAGTACTACAAGACTGGGTATGTCGATTCCCTTACCGTTACGCATGTTGTTCATGCTCACATACATGCATTCAGTCCTGGCAACTCTCTCGGCCCCGTCCAAGGCATCGGCTATGTCAACGAACTCCTCGCCCGCCTGACCGACTCGCCCGTACAGGACCGCACACAGCACAATGCCTCGCTGCCCTTCCCGCTACACAAGCGACTCTACGCAGACTTCACGCACGAGAACCTCATGGTCGCCGTATACGCCGCGATCGGCTTGTTCAACGTTGAGGAGGGAGAGGCGCCGAACCCGCGGAAGATACCCAAGCACTGGGAGCACAGGGTGTGGCGCGCGAGCAGGATGGTGCCGTTCTCGGCCAGGATGGTCGTGGAGAGGCTAGAGTGCGGGCGTGTGCGGGCTGAGGACGAGGAGGAAGAGGGGTGGGTGATTCTGGCAGGTGACGCTGGGGCTGAGGAGACGGAGACAGAGACGTTCGTGAGGATCTTCGTGAACGACGCGCTGCAGCCCCTCGAGTTCTGCGGCGCGAAGACGCGCGGGGGATGTGCCGGCTAGATGCGTTCGTGAAGAGCCAGGGATACGCGCGGAGGAACGGAGACGGAGACTTCGAGAAGTGTTATAACTGACAACTGAACGACGTGCATGTTGTCGGTGATTCCAAGTGGTTCACTGCGAACACTTGCTAGAGAGGGATACATACGCGGTACGCATCCTTGTTGATACCTATGTATGTTGCTTTTGCTAGGAATACACGAATACCCTGATGCTATTGTATTATTTCGAGATTTAGTACTACCTTTATTAGTGTGTAGCCGTATGTTTTTGGGTCTGTCTGCAAATCGTGGAATCGTGCAAGGTTTTACAGACGGGTCCTCCTCGGTGTCCGTTTAGCTCCTACGATGAAGTGGTGCGGCCCAATATCAAAGCTCAAAGCGTCGTCCGCGAGAAAGTCTCAGAGCATTCAATCTATTCGACGTATTTGCGGTTTCCCACTCATCACGCTGTCGTAATCAAAGGTCTATGCGTCGTCTACCGGTCATACATGTCTGTTGCTGCGTTGCTTATGGGTGTCACAAAAATCTATGCGCTCGCTGACTCTTCAATTACGCTGTCGGTCTTTTTCCCCTCTTCCCCCTGTTCGCGCGCCAGATCCGACTCGCGACGGGCCTTCCTATCCCCCAGTCCATATCCGATCTGTCGGACGACCAGCCAGGCGGGGAATAAGGAGACGGCCCACATGCCAAAGTTCAAGTACACCCCGCCGACCGAGGCAAAAATGGGTATACTGTTCAGCCCGTACTGCGAATCAAACGCGTCAGTTCGGGGTCTCGTGGCGAGGGACCGATGTGTGCATGACTTACACTAACAGCCTGAGCGGCCGACTCGGTGCCTCGAAGCAGCCCGGCGATGCGTACGACCTCAGCATCGCTGTCGGCGAGGTTGCCGACGACGAAGTACCTACGCTGGCGTCAGCCCCGTCTCCAAGTCTGTGAGGCGTTCGCTTACAGATACAAATACTGGACCTGGAAGCCGATGACGAGGAACAGGAAGAGCCCGAAACCTCTGCCAAAGCCCGCGTCGACCCAGTCGTACGTCGGCTGCGTTCTCCGAAACTCAGTGACGAGGATCGTCGCCCAGAGCCACCACGCGCCCTGCAGGCCGAAGACGGTGAAGAAGGCCCAGCGGGCGCGCGTGTGCAGCCTGAGCTTCGTGTGATCGAGGAAGGCGCCCAGCAGATTGCCCGCGATCATGGCGACGATGCCGGAGACGAACGAGCCGAGGGCGCGCACGCGCACGCTGAACCAGAGGGACTGGTAGGTATATGTGACGGCCTCGGAGTAGACGGCTTGCGCAATAAGGGGGACGATGAGCAAGAAGTTCTTGCTGAAGAAGAGCTTCGCCGTGTCCTTCAGCTCCGCGATGCTACCGTTCGTGATCTTCAGCCGGACGGGGACGCCGTCCTTCCGCTGCACTTGCTCCGGGTTGTTCAGCAAGAGACCCGCGAACGGCCCCAGAGCTTGCAGCGCGATGAACACGAGGTACACCGTGTACGAGACGCTGCCGGCCTCGTTTCTCTTCGAGTTGATTCCGAGGTTGATGGCGCCTCCGAGGATCTGCCCGCCAACCCGGAAGCTGAGCCAAAGCCCCAAGAAGCGGCCCTGGTTGTACGGCTCGGGGTACGCCAACGCAATCGCTGCCTCCGACATCCAGAACACGCCTGCCGACAAGCCGCAGAGAGCGGCTCCGAAGAGGACGAACCATTCGGTGCCATACCTGTTGTTGGTGTACAGCCCGGCGGCGTATGGTGCGTATCCCATCGTGCCTACGATGAGCGTCCATTTGATCCCGATCGCTTTGACCACGATACTTGAGAGGGTGCAGGTGACGACCATAAGGCAGAACGTGAGCGCGTTACCCGTGTTGACCAGGTATGGTTTTTGCGCCCCTCCCGCTCCGAGAGAGTTCATAGCACCCCAGATGCCCGGAGCCAGCAGGTTGCAGACTCCGAGGATGACGGCGTTATAGATCGTCGAGCGGTACCATTTCGCTGCCATTCATTAATTCATTATGAGCGATCGCGAGATCTGCCATGACATGAATACGCTTACGCTTCACCACCACTTTGGCGTCTGCGCTGTCGACCTCGATGTCCGTGGCGTTCAAGTCCTCTTTGAAATCTGCCATCGCTGGGTCCGTGATCGAGGTGCTGTCTCGGTCAGTGCAGGGTTTTGCAAACCCGGTCAGGCTTAAAGGCAATCGTGCAAACCTTCCGCAAGCGCCGTAAAGAGCCACAGGCGCTCATCTCATATCGCGTCAGATTGCTTCTGTATGTCCTTCGCGGCTCAACGAACATGGCTATGATGATGGCGGGTCACATTCGCTTGGCGGGCTCATACTACAGGTACATTCAACAGTCAGTCCATACACAGCGACCATCCGGGAGGGCTCTTACCTCAGATGTTCAGAGGACCACGGATATTGAACCGTTTCCCAGCGGCATCTGCATTCTCACTACGAGGCCTCCGTTGGTTATCTGTGGAACTCTGAAGTGACATCAAAGGGGAGCTTGTGAGAGTATTGTGAAAGTAGATAGACGCGCGCTGGCGTGACGTCGAAACAAATCGCAACCCAGGCCCAGCGCTTCCATCACTGAAGCTCGGGATTGTGTCAAGATGTCGATTCCACCCCACAGACCGGCCGTGATAGGCAATTCTGTAGGCGGGTCGCCCGGACGCCCGAAAGGAATGCAGGTCAATGATGAATTGCGCACCTTCTTCAAACCTTGCTGTTGGTTTTTTTGAACCAGCCTGAGGGCCGCTGTAAGATCGACACATGGAGTATGCTCCGCAGTAAGGCAGCAGAGACTGGGTAGGGTGCATTGTGACTATACTGCGTTATCGGACGCGAGGCCAATGACTCCGTTTTTGAGGAACCAATTAGCGATGACGTCCAGGCAACTCGGGCAAGACGGACCATGCGGAGCCGCACGCCCAGACAGGTAGATCACAACCAATTGCAAACATAATGGACCCGCTTCATGGGCAAGCCGAGCGCGAGGGCGAGCTCCCATACAGCGAACTGCAAGATCGACGGGGCCTAACGACTGTGTTAGCCGGAAAGAGAACTGATATTGAGTCGTCGCACCGAGTAATGATGGGTAGTCGGAGTCTTCCGCTTAGAGCTACGACTCCACATAGTGAATGAACCACCCAGCTGTTCTCTCTACCATATGGCCAATCTTTTGCGCGTATTCGTCACGCAGAGGACCCTGCCCTCCACGATAGCTAGCAGATTTGATTGACGTCTTCGTAGTGGATCCGCCAGAGGCTCCTGACTGCGTTCACGGGTGCGCCTTGCGTGTCCGATGAAAGCCGGCATGGGCTCCGTGCGCATGGCCAGTCGATCTCCACCTTCCTCCGTGTTTGGTTCTGAATCCAAGCTGATGCTGCTGCTCGTCAGAGGGGCGTCCACGCTCTGAAGTCAGCAAATTGAAGCACGGCATTGAGGGGAAGCGCGGTACGTATGGCAAACTGGTTGAATTAGTCAACGCTGGAATCGCCAAGATGCTGCGTAGTTTGAGGAAGAGCTCGTGCGTCTCGCACGGAGATGCGGTTACGGCGGTCGAGTACCACATATGACCTAAGGACGAGGGTTAGACATGCCATGCACCGGTACGAGTGACTTGCCCCATCCCTCGATCCCTCACCAATAAATCCCGCGTCGTTCGTGAATGCTTGTGAGCAAGGCTAGGTGGGTTCCGGATTTCAGAACGGGGGATTTGAAGATCATCATTTCCCTAGTACTCTGACATGGAGCTTCATTGAGCTTCAGAGCAAGAGAACTGCGGCCCTATTGTATCAATCAACACTTGGCCAATTGCGAGGGAATTGGCGTGAATGGCCACGAGGCAATGTGCAACAAGGAGCGGACGGGTGGGGAGAAGAGCAATGATGGGCCACCAAGCTTTGGCATTGGGAGAGCGTTCATTCCTCGGAAGAGATGTGTCGCTTTCGCTGCAAGTGCTCACCGCGTAAAGTTATATTTCAAAGCCGTTTGAGGCGAAGCTCACCGCGTAGTTGACCGTCTCATCCAATATGGCCGTGCACAAGGACTCTGACGATCGGACGGAGCGAGGCTCGAGCATATGCGGCTAACATACAGCGCATACAATTCAGTGATCAGACCTGAGTGGGAGCTGAGAGAAAGACGTCGGGCCACGGCATACAACCACTCCTTATGCTTTGGCCCTGGCAGTACTCGAGTAGATCAGGTCAAGAGTAGACCAAGAGCATCGGTCACTGACACTCCCCGATTCGGAGTCGCCCGACGCCCGTCGTGAAGAAGGATCACGTGCCATGGGGTGCGGCTTAGAGCTTAAAGCTTAAATTGCCCTATATCTGGTCGAATTCTCACCGGGGCATTCGTCTGTTGCAGGCCATTACAGGCGAGAAAGCTAACGAGCGAGATGGAATGTATTCGTACTTTGGATACAATGGTGTCTCTGGAAACGCGCTATCAAATACAAGACTGAAATACCTGGCCTACGGCAGCTAGTGCACGATGACAACGTCTCAGCCTATCCGCTGCACGACCTCCGTGGTGAGCATGATAGATGATGTGCCAGTGCCAGACACAGGCGTGGTAGGCTGCTCTTGGTACATATACCTAAGGGAGCGGTATGAGAATTTGAGCACATAGCGCCGCATCGGCTAGGTTAAGGCGACACGTTACCGAGAATACATCCGCGGTGCTCTAGCACCTTCGAGCTGCATGTCGGACGTATAGTGTTCTCCTGTAGAGCGATACATGTCTAAACTGGGCTGATTGGAAGATCGGGCGTTTATCCTGGAGCCCTCGGGTTAGTACGTGGTTTCGTCGAGAGTAGGCGCTTCCGGAACGTACACAGCAAGCGTCGATACGATGTACACTGCGGCAGAATGAGTCGACCCGTGAGATTGGGATGCGACGCGCGATGGATCACATACCCCTCGTCCCCGGGAAGGCAAAAAGGGACCAGTAAAAGCCGCCCGAGCGGTACGACGCGAACTGAGATGCCCTTCGTTATCTTCTGGCTGATGCGCAAATGCACGGAGTGTCCTCACCAAGATGGCTTGAAGGCTCTGCAGGACCCTACGATCTCGACGTCAACCGGTTCCGCGTGACTCTACATGCATCGCTACTCACGCAGTAAGGACGCCACGGTTGATGATATAGACAGTCAGCTTTCGGAGGATTGACGATGTCCTACAGACGATGCTCAGCCGATCTTCATCGAGTTACCCAAAACTAACTCTATGCACTCACCGTTTGAACGCACTTCTCTCACGCCGCAGTATGAGTGACAGCGCGACGGTAATATAGATGTCGGCGATGGCGGCGAGCAGTGGCTGTACGAAGGATGCAGTCTGGGCGAAACAGAAGGTGTCAGTGCGTTTGACAGGATAAGAATTGCGGCAAGAAGAATCATACCTTGGCTTTCGTGCTCATGAAGACGTCGGGAAGCTCGGGGTGCTCAATGCTGCGGGATTTTGGTCAATGGGCGCGACGACATTCTTGTGCTGGTCACAAACATCAAGCGGGTATCCACTATGAGAGAAATTAATGGCATTCAAGTCGCAATTCGTATCGGCGCACTCACGGATGCCGAACGCTGCATGCGCGAGTGATACGAGAGCATTCATCAGGCCCGATTGTCAGTGTACGTACGGAATCAAACAAGTACTGACCGTATGACAGCAGGGACAACACGGTCTACATGCGCTGTTCATTCAGTACGTAGGTGTAATGTACGAGACCGTGACTTACCACGACTGCCGCGAGAGGCAATCCGAACCAGCGCTCTCCGACGACTAAGTTGCGTATTAGCACACAGACCAGTGGACGTGCACATGGACGTACGCTTCCAGATAGTGAATATATAATACCTGGGGGTGTCTCAGCTCATGCACTCACGGCTGCATCTAAGCTCATGGAGGACTCACATCTGCACGATGACGACGATGGTAGCCTAAAGGCGCGACGGTGATTTTGAGAGGCAGACGCACGATATCATGAGCACTCACTGCAAGAAACCATTCGATCTATCGCTTGTCAGCTTTACGATTGAGCACTTCATCGCACACTACTCACAGGTCCAGCACTATTAACCCAGCAGAATCAGCTCCGACGCCTTGACCTTTAGGATCATTTCTACATACATCGGCATCACTGTGAGAGCTGATGGGTTCCCGTGCCCTCGGAGCAGGAACTCCCACATTGTCTGTCAGAGAAGTTGAGTGAAAGCCAAGTAAAGACGTACAATCCACGTACGTCAACATGTGTTACTGTCGTAGCGGTGTCGAGAGCCCTAACGACGTCCCAGGTTAGATGCGTGAACGCCACGTCCGTCAGAAATGAAACTACAACCATAACAGACTAATCTGCGCAGACCATGTTAGGCGAGCCTCTCAGTAGTAGTACACCATGGGACTTACGAAGAGCTTCATTTTTGCTCGGTCCTCCGGGTACTGCGAGAAATAATACAACACCTGAGCACACGTACAACCATATAAACTTCAAAAATCAATAGTCAGCGTGAGCCGTGGAATAGGTCGGACGGCGCACATTACAGCAAAGACCATGCCGATGAAGAAACACCCGACGGTGCTATCCAGGTGAAGGTTGGGTCCCGTCATGGCGGCACTGAGAGACGGTGCTCAGATCCTTGCGACCGACGTTTTATGCCTAAACCGCGCGAAGCGGATCGCCCATGCATGGAACAAGGATCACGATTCCGGGGATTTGTTCACAAAGGACGATCGTTCTAACGCCACGGATGAGTATTCTGCATGTCGATCTAAGAAGGCGTTGAGTGGCAAACCTTCTCGAAAACACGTACACAGTCACACTGCGGCGCCGAACCATTTCTGCGTCTAACTTCGCTGTGGGGCCTCGGTAGCAATACGCATGTGACAAGGTGTTGTCGTTGTAGCGCGAAACAGTGGTTGCTCCGATCTTAGGGTACAACCCGACGATGACAGCAACCTCAGTCGAAAAGCAATCAGGTGTGGGTCGTAGTTATTTTGCACTGCAGCGAAGCATTCCTAGTCGAAAGTGGTGCGTTAAGATATCAGCGCCAGCATCCTCTCGTCCGTTTCTTGGACTTACGAGGCCCCTCCCTCCTGTCCCCAAACCTTTGAGCCGTCCCCGCTGGCATGCACGTCGGCGGCCGAGGCGCGAGATTGGAGAAGTTGGATTAGAAGCGTGGCGCTATGCGGGGAAGACTTGTCGCATCAGGCAATCCCGAATCCCGATCTTGGAACTTTGGGCGGGCGCCCGATGCCCGATCGCGTACGGGTTCGCTGTGCGACGTTGTTTACCCGAAGGCCGATGCACTCGGCCACAGACAACCTCCTCCTCGCGCACAAAAATCACAGACAGTCCGAAAGGTCGATGGGCTTGGGGAAGTCCGCACGTTTATCCAGAATCGTGCCGCAGGGTGTTGCAGAGAATCGCTGTGAGATGATCGCGGAGCACGACTGGAAGTCCTGTGCAACTTCTTCATCGTTCAAGTTCACATATAATTGTTAGTCCCGGAATGCATATGACCGGACGAAGTAGCACTGAAGAGGAAGAGGACGTCTGCAACCCGTGTACACCCGACCTGTCAAACCATCAGTGGATGTAATTTTGCGAGGGATCCGGAGCGAATGTTTCATATGTCTGAGGGATAATTTGGGAGATGCGTTGACGGGCTCGAGGATGAACTCAGCGCAAATGATCATGATTTCTGCAAACGAGATCGAGGGCCACTGGGTCATCCGACGTTCTGAACTTGATAGACCGTACCACCGGTGACTCGAACACGCGAACCTAATATAATGGGGGACTCTGGAAGCATGGTGGTTACCATACGGATAAACAGAGTGAAAGGAGCACTTACCCCGTATGCGAGTGTGCCGGCTGAATGGTGCAGTGCACTATAAAGGTTCTAGCGCGCTCAGGTAATAGCGCATTCTCGGAAGTTGCAGTCGCAGGTCAAATACAGTGCTAGTGGAGGAGTAGAGAATACGCACAAGACATCTGCCCGTCGGATTCCGAAGCCACTTCGAGCAGAATAGAAGACATGATACCGCAGAGTGTAAGCAACGCGGCCGTGTATGTGTGCAACACCGAAAGGCGTGACGGCCCTTCATGAATGACTCCTCACACTCAGCCACCGACGCCTACACTCGGCAGGCGAGGGATGCGGACCCCCGGTGAACGCGCCCCTTGGTCCTGCGTGACATGGCCGAGGCGATAAATTGAGCGAGACACCCTGCCAGGAGACGATGCATCCGTGCGAACCGCCGGTCGGTCAACGCCCTCCTCTGCCTTTGGTCCCGCATCCAAGCTCTGAGCTGACGCTGCTACCGGAGGGGCAAAGGGGCTCTCAAGTAGGCTTGAGCGCGGCATAGATGTGAAGGGCGAAGTACGGCAGGCTACTTGGTCACGGTGAGAGGAAAGGGCTCAACACCGAGATCTGGAAATGCGATGGCGGACAGTCGTGTGTCAGTGATACATAGCGTTGCGACGGGCGGAAGTCAGGCCTCGGCGGCCAGTGCGCCGGTACCTTCCTGGACAGTGCGGGCGGTCCACCCTCGACGGTCGCAGTGCACAAAGGCAGGAGTCATGCATCGTGCCAGACTGGGCGGTGAAAACAACGACGAGCGTCGAGCAGGCAGAGGCAGGCAGCGAGTCGACCGGTCGGATATATGTCGGAGAATTATAGGCGGGCGGATCGACAGGAGCGGCGAGCGCCCTCTCTTTCGGCGACGACTAGTACTTCTGCGACTGGGCCCGGGACGACCTGCTCACTCTGGGATGGTGTCCCAAGTTGTGCGTCGGATCACGCGCGGACAGTCCGCTCGCCGTTCTTAGGCCGGCCAGCACGACAGGCCGTCGACATCTCGTGCTCTCGATCAAGTTGTACTCGGCCTCACTGCGACTTTTCCTCTACAGTACCTCGTTTAATCTTCGTCCTTTCCTCCGTTCTCCTTCAATGAGCTGCTATCGGCCGTCATGCGAAGCCAGTACTCGGCTGCTGCTTGCTATACGAGTGTGCTTCGTCCACCCGAAGACCAGTCCGCCTCTTCTTAGGTGTCGGTATGTCACCGCGTACGCGCGTAAGATTGGACGGGAACGTCTAAGTTGACCTATATGTGTCGTCTCTAGACTGTTTCGCTACAGATTGACTCGTACTAATTTCGATGCTGATGTGATGTCTGGCTGGTCAACGCCTTCACGGGTTCATTCTGTGCTTCGTAGACCCGGATGGCAGACTCTGAGAGCATGTAGGCTGTCTTCACCCCGTGAGTTCTCGTCCTTTCCCCGCGCAATCGCTGCTGACATTTTGTGAACACTGGCAGCTGAACACTCTCGTGAATCGCGTGCATCACATATACCCCACCGTAAGAAAGCCACAAGGTGGCGCAGGCACTACAATCCACGCCATACTTCTCAGCATACGCCCGCCTACGGCCGTACTTCCGCCCTGTCCGCACAACGCCTTCGCACATTGGTCGGGCCGAAGATTGACTGCGGCCGTCCTTGCGTTCGACGTGTAATGCAGCCGCTCTAGGTATGTCACGTTCGCGCATGCCCAACGGGCCTGTCTGACATACATTCATATGCACCTTTAGTCGTTCGTTCGCCTCATCTACCTGAAATGTGTGGTGTCAATCACGGTCAGTCGATGTATCGGATAAGCGGATTACTGGTATGCCGTCCAGTCCCGCTGAGTGTATATGGCATCACTGAGGTCGTCTTCGCAGTCATGTAGATGTCAAGTGGCCATTGTGCACCTGTGCTACCTCACCTTCGCCCTTGAAACGTACGCAGACTTTCCTTTCACAATGTCGTCCCTGACCAACGTGCGTATCACGCATGCCTTGGTTGGATGCGCAGTTATAATTAGGCAAGCCGAAGAGGTCCTTGAAGCGGGTGCAAGACGGACATTGACCACACTGACGACAGCGTCGATGTCAAGCGGGGCGGTGACGTGCTCCACGACCATGTCGATGCCCGAGCGGATGCGGTAGGGCATACGGAAGACCGGTGTTGGGAAAGTACGATGGCCGGCATACAACTTGTCGTGCAAGGGAGCAGTGTCGTGCTGGACTCGCGACGACACAGCGCTGAGTTACCACTCATCCCGGCGACCGAATGAACTGAAGCTACAGATCCTGCGCAGCACTCTTCGCTGCCAGTACTGGATTGAATGCTACATTGGCCTGATGTTCGCTTATTCTGTCCGGAACCCTGCGCAGCGTCGATCCCACGTCAGCTATGTGGTCCACCTTGATTATCAGTGAGCATTCATTGAACAAGCTCAAGGTTCGGACCACCCAGAATAAGGTGCACTGGGAGCAACAAACTGCTTGCGACATCGTATGTCTAGTTTCGAGGCTTCTAAGTATACCCGCTGGCGAGCGAGCGCTATGTACATTGTATCGATGCATAAGTATAAACATCACTTATCACGCCTTCGCTGTCCCTGCGTTCTCCCCACCGTTCAGCTTCGAGTTTTTTTTGCAGCGCATATCGAGAGGAATTCAAAGTCCTCGCGAGGTATGACTCCGCTTTCACCAACGAATATCTTATTTTACTGACATCGTGCTTCCCTTTTAGCGTTGCGACCACCGACGGGTGCCAGCACCGCGCGAACCGACGACCAAGACGGCGCATCTCGTCTTGTCTGGTAGCCAGTATACAGACCGAATTTCAGGTAGTGTGCTATCGCACCATGCTTGTCCTTGGAGAGGCGCAGTCTGAGACAATGCTATTAGTAAACGTGTTTCCCTTGTCGAGGGTCTGCGTGGAGGAGACTTTCATCGGTCTGACAGCGCGGTCACATCGCCGTAGCGCACATCCCACGTCAACGGAATGGACAAAGCCGAGTCAATGTAAGTGTCACTGTCCAGATGCCGGTACCATGATTCACACATGTGCATTACAGCACAGCCGCAACGTCCGATGTATCCTCTCGCGGTCCTTCGATCCCGCGGTTTCCTGTGGAGGTCTGTGAATGTGTTATCGACCACGTCGTGACGGGGTTGGATCTCAGCTATGATGTCATAAAGGGCCAGCCAAATCTGACCACGCTCACATCCTGCGCGCTCGTATGCCATGACTGGTACTACCTGACGTGGTACCATCTTCGTCAACGCATCTATCTACGAGATAGGAAGGACGTCCTCTCGCTTTCGAAGACACTCCGCGCAAAACCTCGCCTCCGTGAGGTCATTCAACAGCTCGTCATATCCGGTGGTTCTCCCGGGGAGCGTCAACCGATCCGACACCTGGGGACGTTTGCCGCTACGCTCGCGGGCAAAGCTCCGTTGTTGAGGATCACTATTGAAGATGCTGAGTGGACCATCGGCTCAGTCCGAATCAAGGACATCAGCTACCTGGTTGCGTTCAGGTCCATTATCACTCTCAGCATCCGCAATGTCACCTTGCCGAACGTCACCCAGCTATCCCACCTCGTTTCAGCACTCCCGCGGCTCAGGCGGTTTTGGTGCTACAAGGTTGACTGCTTGCAGAAACAGCAAGTCTCCCCAGCCTCTCTCCCACTGAACTGTGCAAATCTGGACTATCTCGAAGTGCGATGGGTTGCACCAGCAATCGAAAACCTCTTCGTGCAGATCAGCCGCGCTTCCCGAGTGCGCTATCTCGATCTTGGGGTGGACGGCCAGTCGGATCCACCCTCGGCAGTCAGCAGAAGCCAGACTTTGCTGGATGCGAGTTCCACATCTGCAGAAACGGTTGAGCTCCATATGAAACACAGTTCTCCTGTTTGCAATGGTGCAATTGGTGCCACAGTCGGAAAGTTTGCTTAGTTCTCTCTCGAGCCACTCCGCTAATTGTTCCATGCCTACAGAACATTACAACCTTTCACACCACGACCATCTGCGGAAGTTGGAGATTTGGCTGGAATACCCCTTTGCAGAGTGGCCCTCGATCCCGCATATACTGTCTCACATCGTCTCGAAACACTTCCAAGCTTTGTCTATCGTCTTATATCTTCGGGCTGACCACATGGCCGATGACCTGGACGAAATGCTGACGACAATGGAGCAGGATGTCCTGGCGCGATTGGACAGTATACTGCAGGAGAAGCACTTCTCCGGTCCGAGTCCTGTTGCATTGCGCGGCGTCTGTATAGGCGTTGACGATGACGGAAACATCTGGATGTCTGGCAAAGAGCTTATTGGGATGGCTTCAGCACTGCGAGAACGGTACGATCGGTGGGACGAGCTCGTCAGGCGGAAGATGCCACACTCGCATGAACGAGGTATATTGAGGTACGTAGTACTATGGACTTGGTTAAATTGCGAAGGGAAGCTGAGTGTCCTGTGGAGCACGACGCATAACACTTCAGAATTCATCCGCTGGAGGGAGCACATGCAAAAGATACATTGTCAGAGTATGCAAGCTGAACAGAAGAACACCGTCGGAGAGGAGGTGCACACCCGAGCCGAAGGTCCTCAAGGCAGCACGGATTGACATCCTTGCAACCCTGCATCCTGGCGCGTATTATCGCATGGGGTTCGTGAGTATGGAACCATCATCTTTAGGCTGCTCTGCTAATCTGTTGTGTAGTCTTAACGTATAGAATGGCCCCGCGGCCGCAACACAGGTCGAGATGTTGCTATTGTCGGAGAAAGAATTTGCGCCCACTTATCTGTATCATACATGATCATTTCTTGGGGATTGAAAAATTGGACAGGCAGCGGTACTATAGTTGTGTGCTCGAGATAGACATTCGAATGTACATGACAAGTTTTCGTCGATACTGGGACCGTACTGAACTAAGCTTGAGCGCGTGAGCCATAGGGAGATGAGTATAATAGGAGCTGTAAGGATTCCGTACGCACAATCTTAATTATGACCTCCCGCTTCGGCGCTATATTCAAGAGGCACCTCTAACCCTAGTCTCGGGGTCCCCCGGCCGCGCGCGCTGTCACACCGAGTATGCCAGTGTACACGACCACGACATCGCATCGGCGGACAGCAATAAGCTCACAACGTCCCGCCCACAGCCATCCACGAGCAGCCAGGAAACCACCAACCGACACGTCACAGACGAGTTTGAACAACTCGTGCCGCAAATGGGAACCACTCCCCGGACAGGCACTGGCATCCAACCCGCAACAAGTTCACAATAGCCCCTTCCTCGACGCGGTCCTTACCAACCCAGGGACACTCGCCGTCTTCGATTGAGCCACCGTCGCGTTGCCAGGGCGCTGAATAGCGCACCTGCCCCGACAACCAGTGGGCCCCATCACAAGGAGTCACCGTGCGCGTGGGGGAGGTGTGTGCCAGAAATGCGGTTTATTACTCGAACCCGACCAACCCATTCATGTGCAGGCCGTCGATGTCGAACGATCTCCGGCGGCTTCCACACGCACTCAACGCCAGTACGCTCGTGCGCGATAGAGCGCGCTGGGCTCCCGACGCACGGAGAAACTCTTCTCCTGCGGTTCCCCGCCGCCAAACTACCCATCCCCGTGTGCGGGGCGCGCGGCGCACGGTAGCCAATCTCGCCCGAAAGATCAACTGTCGTGGGCATCAATGCAAACACTCGGAGAGCTCACGCACGCTTATGTACTAGGCCTGCTTAGATTCGACACAACCCGCCAGGTGTACCGCGCGCCTTCATGTGTATCAAACGGGTTGCGCGCAGGGTGGGAGGGCAGGAGTGTGTGTGTGAGTGAATGAGTACGTAACCTTCGTGTATGCACCCTGCACATGCACCGCGGACATCTCTCACCTGCTAGACCCCGTCCACGCGAATGCCGTAAGCATTGATTGAATATTCTCAAGGTTTGAACAGCATGCGTCGTGCGCGCTCACCAGAACAAGATGCACCGTATTCAAGGAGAGCAGCCCTCTGTCACTGTATGTGTTTTTCGTGCATCGCCCGGCCGCTGAACGTTGGTGACGTGAGTATCGCTTTGCAAAGGCTTCAGGCCCTAGAGGGCTATCCTCGCATCGGCTGCGAACAGCTCGGATCTCACGGCGTTAAGCAAAGAACCACTTGTGGTATCGTGTGTCTGTGTTCGACGTTTCTACATCCACCGGCGAACGCGCTACGTTGTATTGGTGCATATATACATCACTGATCATTGCCTTCACTGTCGCTGCGCCCCCCCCTCGTCCAGGTTCAAGCCTGAGTGCTTGCAGCACACACGAAGAGACATTGAGAGTCCTGACGAGGTACGACCGTGACCCTGCTTTCGCCAACGGATATCTTTACTGACCTCGTGCTTTCCTTTTAGCGTCGTGACCACCTACGGTCGCCAGTACCGCGTGAACCGACGACTAGACGGCGCATCCTGGCTTGTCTGGCAGGCAGTTTCATACAGTACTGGGCCCATCAGGTAGTGTGTTATCGCACTAGTACTTTCTTGTAGAGCCGCAGTCTGAGACTAACCTTTTAGGAACGTGTTTCCCTCGTCAAGGATCTGCGTGGCTGTCGCCACGCGCACGCGGGAGATTCCAGCAGTCCGACAGCGCGGTCACGTCGCCATAGCGCACATCCCACGTCAACGGAATGGACAGAGTCGAGTTGATGTAAGTGTCACTGTCCAGCCGCGGGTACCATAGTTCACACATGATCATTACAGTAGAACCGCATCAACGTCCGAGGGCATCTCTCACGGACCTTCGATCCCGCGACTTCCTGTGGAGGTCTGTGAACGGATCATCGACCACATAGCTGCGGGAATGATGCTGGCTTATCGTTACGTAGGCGGCGAGCTACATCTGTCCACTCTCACATCCTGCGCGCTCGTATGCCAAGACTGGTACTACCTGACGTGGTATCATCTTCGTCAACGCATCCATCTACGAGACCGAAAGGATGTCCTCTCGCTCTCCAAGACCCTCCGTGCAAAGCCTCGCCTCCGTGAGGTCATTCAGCAGGTCGTCATATCGGGTGCTTCTCCCGGGGAGCATCGACCGATCTGGCACCTGGGGACGTTCGCCGCTATGCTCGCGGGCAAGGCCCCGAGGTTGTCGAGGATCACCATTGAAGATGCTGCGTGGACCATGGGCTCGGTCCGAATGGAGGACATCGGCTACCTAGCTGTGTTCGGCGCCATTCACACTCTACGCATCTGCAATACCTTCTTGTCGAGCGTCGCGCAGCTGGCACACCTTGTCTCATCGCTCCCGCGGCTTGAGAACTTATGGTGCTTCAATGTTGACTGCTTGCACAAACAGCAAGTCTCCCCAGCTGCTCTCCCACTGAACTGCGCAAATATGAAGTATCTCGAAGTGCGATGGGTCGCACCAGCAGTTGAAGACCTGTTCATGCAGATCAGCCGGGCTTCTCGAGTGCGCAATCTCGATCTTGCGGTGGATGACGAGTCAGATCCATCCTCGGCAGCCAGCAGAAGCCAGACTTTGCTGGATGCGAGTTCCGCATCTGCAGAATTCGTTCAGCTTCATATTGATCTCAGTTCTCCTGTTCGTGATGGTGCGTTTAACGCCACAGTCGGAAAGTTTTCTTAGTTCACTCTCAAGCCACATCGCTCATTGTTGTATGCTTACAGAGCAGCATTACAATCTTTCGCACCACGACCACCTACAGAGGTTGGAGATCTGGCTGTACCCCCCCTTCGCAGCATGGCCCTGGATCCCGCATATCCTGTCTCGCATTGTCTCGAAACACTTCCAAGCTATGGTTGTTATGATATGGCTTCGGAAGGACCCCATGGCCGATGACCTGGACGGGATGCTGAAGACAATGGACCAGGATGACGTGCTGGCGCGATTGGACAGTATATTGCAGGAGAAGCACTTCCCCGGTCCTGTTGCGTCGCGCGGCGTCTGTGTAGCCGTTCACCATGATGGGACCTCTTGGACGTCTGGCAATGAGCTTATTGGGACGGGTTCAACACTACAACAACGGTACGCTCGGTTGGACGAGCTCGTCATACGGAAGATGCCGCACTCGCACGGACGAGGCATATTGAGGTACGTGGTACTATGGACTTCATCAAATCGCGAAGGAAAGCTGAGTGTCCCTGGAAGCACCGCGCATAACTTCCAAGAACTCGTCAGCTGGAGGGAAAACATATATACTATACATCGTCGCCGTATGCGAGCTGAACAGCAGAAACCCGCCGATGAGAAGGTGCAACCTCGAGGCAGCACGGATTGACATCCTTGCAGCCCTGCATCCTGGCTTGTGTCGTCGCATGGAGCTCGTGAGTATAGGACCTTCATAATTAGGCCTTTCTGCTATTTTGTTGCGCGGTCCCAACGTACAGAATGGCCCCGCGGCCAAGTCTCCTGGCACGCAGACGTAGTAGACAATTCCTTGAATCCTTCAACCTTCGTGCCTCGGGATATCCTTGTCTAACCACGGCCGCGGGCCGATATGTTGCTATTGTCGGAGAAAGAATTCGCGCCCACTCATGCTTGTGTCACACATGGGGAATTGAATTGAAGGACTGGACTGACGGCAGTATGGTCGCTGTCTACTCGAGGCAGACTTTCGATTGTTCTAGGTATCACGGTTTCATCGATACTGGAGCCGTACTTGTTTGATTCAACTTAGATTTGTGCGCGTGAGCGGGACAACATGGAGAACCCAACTGAGTTCGTCGAAGTCTTCCACCACCAGATGATGTCGACGAACGACGAGGGTCGAGCGAGACTGTCATCAAATGCCCTCCTGATGCCTCGACACGAAACGCGGAGGCACTGTGAGTACACAACAACACATGCTAGCGGCGTAGGGGGGTCATTTTCGTGCGCACGGAGCGTCGTCGCGACAGACTCGCCACAGTACTGTGCTTCATGAGATGGTGAAGCTTACGGTCCGAATGCTGTCTGGTATATTACCGGGCAGTGATGTATGGATACAGATGTGGTGAAGCAGGATTATGAGCGCTTGCGCACAGGCATCATCCGGGGATATGGACTACGTAGAAAGCGTACACCTCAGGCTCTGTGCGAGCCGACGCTGAACGACTCTCCGCACCCGCACGCGTCCTTGATGTTCGGGTCCTTGAACGCGAACTTTGCGCCACGCAGAACAAACGTAGCGATGAGCACGGGCACAAGGGGAAACGTGGGAGGATGACGGACCTCAGTGAATCCTCGTGCCAGTCCATCTCGCTGCCGATGATGGAAAAGAACGCCTTGCTGTCAATGAGGACGTTCACGCCGTCCTGCTCGGCGACCTCGTCGAACTTGCCCGGCTTGTCGACGTATTCGAGGTGGTATGAGAGCCCTGCGCAGCCCTTGATCCGCACGCCTATCCGTATGAGCTGAGGCGTGGGCCCCTTGAGCAGTGCACGGAGTCGCTGCACAGCACCGGGTGTCTCAGACGCGCCGCGCGCGATTGGTCTGTCAGCGTACAGGTCGTGAGTGGAGCGGTCCGGGGCTACGCACGACTGTAATGGCAGCTTTGGTCGGTTTGATGGTGGGCTTGCACCGTTCGGCCTTCGGAGCGGGCGGCGGGCGGGCTGCTAGTTGCAGCGACGTCGGGGGGAGAGCGATTTCGGCGACGGCTCCTTCGCCCTCGCCTTCGAGAAGGGAATGACCACAGGGGGTGTCTGTCCCAGCGGCTTGGACGGATGTTGCGGTCGGTGGATGTTGTAGTCGGCGGGTCGTCGCTAGAGAGGGCAGACATCATGGCACGCTGGGGTGCGCGTATGCGTTGAGCGGATCGGCGAGGTAGGCCGTCGACGGTGTGGTAGTGGACACATACGGGGTGATCATGCTGGACGACGGAATAGCGCGAACGGTGGGAGCCGCATACGACGGAGGGCGGACAGAGGGGTCGAGATCTACTGACAACGACGGCAAGAACGACGACGGTGGTAGAGAGCGGGGGTTGATGAGGAGAGAAGACTTATAGTCGCCAGGCTTGAGGGTTGCTGGCAACGTGGGCTCACAGTCTTGAGGGCGGTGACTCCCCGCCACTGAGTCGCGACACTCTCGTCTTGAGGGATGATCGATGATGTCCCGGTTGATATGCATTCGCATGTCCCTGCTGTCGGAGAGAATGTGTGCGTGCAAACACACGCGCGCGCTCGTCCTGATCTGGGGAGATCGAGCAGTCGAGATGGACGTAGGGCTCGATGAAGGACGACGGTGGTGGTCTGTAACGAGCAGTTAGGCCGCCGAAACTACTTAGAGGAACACTCACCGATGTCAAAACACGAGTCGACTGGACTCGCCTGGGGAGACTAATAATAGTGACCGTCGTCGTACGTGGTGACGGATGCGCGTCACGATTGTGACCGATCGCGAGAGCGGCTTGAGTGCGCTGCGCCACAAGCGTTTAGGCTAGTGTACAGTGTACACTCACAGACTTGCAGCAGCTGCACACGTCGACGTCGTGAGTACTCACGATCACCTCAATGCTCATTGCCTCGGATGACCACCACCTACTAAGCACCCTTACCTTCCGGCAGCCCGCTGGTGGGATTAAGATCCATGAAACTCGATTATGGCCGATACTGCTAACACCCATCATGAGAACGTCGTGCAGCTCAGCAAAGCGGTGTCCGCGGGGGTTCAGAGGAGCCTCGGCGGTATGAGGTCTGTACCAACTACCACAATGAACATGAGCTATCGTTGTTGACGTTGCGTTTCCAGCATACCTGATGTTCGTATCACAGTGCTAATTGGCATGCTTACTCTCAGAACTGAAGTACTCTGTTCCAGATACGAGTTGCGGAAGGAGAGCTTACGACGGCTGTAGTCATGCTCAGGTCCGCTCTGAATGCTGCTGTGCCTTTCCACCGCTTGCCCCCCGAGATCATGAAGGCGATATTCTGGCTCGTGCCCACGATGCAATACCATCTCGTTGGTCGTAACAGCCAATCCCACATCGTGGACATCTGGGAGCGCCGCCACTACGCACGCATGAACGAGCTGTTCACGCTCATGCTTGTGTGCCGCCATTGGAGGGATATCGTGGCAGCGATCCCGTCCTTCTGGAACACCATCAATCAGGCACACCAATCAAGCCGGACGACGTTCCTAGAGCGGTCACGGTTTGGCCCGTTGAAGGTTGTTCTCCACAACACTCCATCGGCATTCATGTCCACACTTTGCGACAGGGAATACGCGCGGCTTGTAGCGATATACCATTGCAACATAACGGCTACTACCGCGCAGGAATACCTCGGGTTCCTCGCGCCAGCCCTTGAAGTTCTGGACTTATCGAATAGCTGGTTCTTCGGACGCCGGATTCTCGGCGAGTCTGTACAGACCATCCAGCTCTTCCGCGGACACACTCCTCGTCTGCGCCAGCTCAATCTCCATCATGTCCACTGGTTCCCCGAACTACAGGTGTCGGCACTGACCCATCTGTCGGTAGACATGTGTCGATGGGACGATTTCTTGGCCAAAGTAATGGGAATCATAGCGTCTGCACCTGGTCTCATCGACCTGGTGCTCAGCGCGGTCTCGAGCACCACACCCGACGTCGAAACCCTGAACACGTCGTATCCTGACTACTCCGTGTCTTGCCATACCTTCAGAGGCTCCATTTGCGCTACGTCGTTACCGAAGAAGCCGTCATAGCCATCCTCGCGAAGCTGTCACTCCCTTCAACAACTGTTGTCGACATCGTCAAGGCCCTCGACGCGCACCACTTCACAGCGAACGTGCTGCCTACTCTGTCCAACCTCCCAGTGACGAAGACGGTCACCCGCGCATCCATCGCGATGATGCCTGTCGTCAACGACCACCATTTCATGATGGCGCAGCTCACGGGGGTGAGCGACGTAGCCGGCATCCTCTGCACTCCCGTAGGGCTCCGCGGCGACCTCGCCCCGGTGGCCTCTATCCTTCCCGCACAACAGCTCCGCGAGCTCTGGCTGATGTTGGTTCCGACCCACGAAATCGTGATTATGGCCGGTGGGGACCCAGATTTCTTCCCTGCCTTCGTACTGGACCCCGACGCGCTGCGGGAGACTTTGAGACCCATGGCGGCGCTCGAGACGCTCGTGGTGTGGAGCACTGTCCTGCCGAGCGTCGTTGAGGCACTGGTGGACCACGGCGCGAGGGCGTCACGGCCGTTGTGTCCCAAACTGTCCTGCGTGCGCGTCGTGCTAACCCGCAGTACACCGGCACCGCAGGCAGAGGAAGCCGTCTCACTGCTCGATGCGCAGCAAGACATCTTGCGCTTGGCCCGCGTGCAGATCAACTATCTCCCGAAGTACGCAGGCGAGAAGGTCGAGAGGACGGAGTTCGACCACCACTTCCCCTCGATCGAGTATGTTACGCTGGACCACACGCCCACCATGGAGATGCCGCCCGTGTGCATGCACGAGGCACACGCCCGGTGGACAGGGTGGAAAGTTGACGACGACGGAGTGCAGATCAGAGAGGACGGTGAGCTCCGCGAGGACATGCACATGTCATGAGGCAAGTGGACTTTCGCTCCTGTCACCGGTCGGTCGCTTATCCAGAACTAGTTCTCAAAAACATCGAATATGCTATGTACACCAGAATACGTGACTTGTACTTCGCCGAGGAGTGCTAACATAACCCTCTTGATATGCTAACGCGATAGAAATAGATAGCCCACCGACAACGACTTTTTACTGGGCGGCCTGTCGTCTTCTGTCAGATGCGTACCCGAGCGACAATTGAGTGACAAAAAGACGACGGTTTGCAAGGAACCATACCGTGTAGTGACCACTCACGTCATATCGACTTCAACACGCTGGCCAGTCCACGCGCAACATCCGCCAGTCACGCCCTAGGCGGGGATTGGACATCGAGGTTACCGACTCGAAATTGACCTGGATCTCCCTCGAAAACCACGGTCGACGCCGCGCCCCGGCCCCACATCCGGGGCAGTATTCCGCGACTAGATGGCGAATGCCCAGATTCGTCTGTCTAGCCGCGAAAGACTGTATCAGAGACGTGCTGTCCGACCCGGGCCCGCGGCAGGGCATCTGGACGTGCAGCACGACGTTCGGGCACGCCAGCTTTGGCGGTTTGGATCTGCAGCACTCGAGTGCGTCGAGCAAGCTCATAAGCCCTTGCGTGTCCACGTAGAGGTGTTCAAGAGCCGGTGCCCTGTGTAGGAAGTCGAACAGCGTCGTCGGGGTGCTGGCGAATAGCGCGGGGCTATCCCGCAAGACTACATGGAGCTCGCGGAGCTGGTCCATTGCGAGCATCCGTGGCAGCGCAGTGCCCCAGTCCTCTCCCAGCGAGGTAAAGTGGTCGATGAGTATACCGCTAGATTGACCTTCATAAACTACGGTGCGCCGAGTTCCTGATCCCTTGATCATGAGCTTGGTTGCGCCGGCGTTCAACGGCAGCCTGGACAGCTGGTTCAAGAGGTCGCCGTCGAGAGGTAGAACATTGATCAATCGCACGCACGTCTCCGGGTCCAGACGTATGTGTGAGATGAAGCGTTTGACACCCGCGCTCGACATGTGCTTCAGCACTAGTCTTCGCAAATGGCGGAGGTGAACTAGCGCATTGCCCTGCGGGTCCTCGTGGTGTAGGACATCGCCGCGGTCCACCAGCACTAGATCTGTCAGGCTTGGGCTCGCAGACAACAAAGCCAATACCCTCTGTAGCAGTTTCCGCCCGTAGCAATCTGCCAGGTAGAGGTGCGTGAGTGTCGACGTTTGGAGGGTGGGGATCCAATTGAGAGAGTCGAGAGAGAGGCGGCGCAAGCTCGGAGTGTGCCCTCGGAATACTTGTACGGGGTAACCCCCGCTTGGCCTGCGGGCGTGCCCGGTCGTCGTCCTGCCTGGTGTCCCAGTGAGACTGAGGCTCTCAAGGAGATATGCGGGCTGCTGCAAGTATTTTTGGGAAAGCTTGATGGTGATCCCGTAGTATCGTAGCTCCCGGATTGGCTTGTTGCTTTGGAGGAGCGCGTTCATAGGGCGGGTAGGTTCGCTTTTCATCGAGAGCGCGAGCGGCAATATTCGAGCCCTCTCGGCCGGGACGCGTACGTGATCTAGACGTCTTTGCGGATCATCGATCCTGTCCCAGAGCGCAGGTGTATCGACGATGATAGCGCGCCAATGGCGACAGACGTGCGACGCTCGAACGAGCCAGTCTACCCGCACGACTACAGGGTCCCAAATGCTCGTCCCAGGTGTATCCCGTTTGCGAGGCTGGAGACGGACATAATCGAAGATCAATGTGAGGATCTCTGTAGGAAGCTTGTGGTTAACGAGGACCCGTGTGTTCGGGCCCTCTACCAACAACATGATGGTGGACAATATCTCCTTTCGCACCATCGCGTCCTATCCGTGCTCTATACTCAACAGATGCTTACGGTCGAGTTTGCACAAAGTTCTCACCAACTGTGAGCTGAATGACAGATGTCAGTGGAATCAACGTGGGTGCAACGGCCGACATACCGAATGGTCGACTTCCCTAATATCAACTTCGTTCGGAGGACATCTACCAGCCCAACGGTCGACCTGCGGCTCATCTCCTGCTCGAAGTCTCGTAGGGTATATACCATGCTTGCTATCGGTAGTGTAAGCATGGTATATACTCGCGCGAGACGAAGCTAGCGAAATCTTACCTAGAAGCGACGTCGTACAGGACACTGCTCAGCGATGGTCGGTCGCTGCAGCTGAGCGAGTGTGCGACTTGCGCCTCATACCCTTAGATATGAAGAACGAGCGCTGCGCGTCCACACGAGGTAGACATGCTGCAGTCATGTGCACACAGAACGGCGGACTAGAAGATCCGAAGGACATTCACTGCAGGCAACAAACCGCATACAGCCAAACTTTCGTACTGCTTGTCCGATTCATTCACAAATCGGATTACCCTTGACCGGCTCCAACCTACACGCGTTACAGACTTCGTCCACCGTCGACTCATATCCAAGATTGCCTCGCCTGACCGCTTATCAGGTATCTTGCACGTAGTTCCCTGAAAAAGGGCGTGAACTCAGTCTTTGTATGAACGAATGGAACACCTTAACCTTAACTCACCAGGGAACACGCCCTGCCGGTCTCCGACACGGCCCGTCCACCAGTCTTCTGAGCTCTCCGTCCGCTCGACGACCTCTATCCTGTCCCCCGCGCGGAACTCGAGGTCTCCCTCCGCCTGAGGAGTGAAATCGTACAGCGCTACGACATACGACGCTGCAAGCCTGGGCTTTGGCTTGACGGGAGGTGGCGGAGGTGGCGCCTTCTTGGCGATAGCGGGCGACGTTGCGGATGGACCGGGCGTGTACGGAGGCGGCGGAGCTGAGTAGTTTGAGCCCGGAGGAGGCGGAGGGGCTTTCTTAGAGAAGCTGGAGGCGACAGAGGATGTGGTAGAGGTAGTTGGTGAGCGCCCGAGAGAGGAGGGAGCACCTTGCCCCGACGCGGCTCGGTGTGCGTGTACGAGCTTGGCTGCGTTGTCGAAGCGGGGTTGAGTTGTGACGCGTGGATGTTAGATTAAAAGAACGTACTCGTAGACAAGAATCGCTGCGTGATGTTGAGTTCCTCGATCGTCTGCCACGCATCACTGCGCTTCTCCTCGTATTCTCTGGCGATGTCGTTCCCGGTGACGGTGACGTCGTATTTGCCTTCAGCAAATCCGTTCAGTTTGTCAAGCATCATGTAGAAGATGTTCAATCTACGAAGTAGATATCAGTATAGGTGCGCTGGTTACTGGTTGGCACCAATGGCTAGCGAAAATCTGACGCACTGCATGTAGAAGAACGAATGGAACAATGGGTCAACGAATTGGGTGCATTGCATCAGAAAGCGTGGCATCTCTTGCTTCATTGTAGAGTTGATGTAGTCGTACTCATTGGAGGCGATCTCGAAGTCTTGTTCGAGCTGTTGGCAAGCGCCAAGGTGGAGTTGTATCGTGTATCAGAGGATATTGCACAACAAGAGTCAACGACGTACCTTGAACAGGTTCTTCTCATCGTTTAGCGACTTCTCCTTCTTGTCCCGCAACTTGGTCAATGAGTTATTGTACCGGTCGTAATCCATGAGCTGACAGAAGGTAAGGAGTATATAAACATGTAGACTACGAGGTTTCAGATGATCGCACAGACCTTATGTTCCCGCTTAGTGATCGTCTTTCTGATCGTCTTAAGCACGCCCTGCAGCTCCTTCACAGGCCCCATGATCCTGCTCTCGATAAGCTCCAGCTCCGGAGCGATAGCAGCCTTGAGCTCCTCCATGGCTACTTCATAGTCGTCGACGTTCCGGACGGTGTGCGCGCAGTCCGGATGCTTGGAAGAAAGATCATACTCGCCGGGGTTTGTATGGAAGACGATCGCGAAATGCTGAGCAAAGCCGGCACCATATGTGAACAGGTTCGTGACTGCCTCCGTGTATGCCTTCGTGTCCTTCAAAAGCTTCTCGGTCGCCGTCTCTATCGAGGCGAAGCGGCGCCCATAGTCTTCGAACTCTGGGTCGAGGGACTCTGTGACGAGGTGTCAGGGTCGTTCGGTCACCGTGCCAGCACTATCCCGCATACTCTTTGACATGCCGACCCTTGTGGTCAGCATATGTGGAGTCCTAGGAAGCCATTTAATGTTAGACAGTTCCCTCCGTAGGGCGATGATAAGTGCACTGCTTACCGCGCGAAGGCCTTTGAGATACCCTTCATCTTTGCTGCGCAATAATAATGACCTCGAAGGCGCTACTGGGCGGGTGGTTGACCTGATAGTCCGAGTCTGAGCTGGTACTGTAGTGAGGGCGAGAAGCCAGAGAGGGGCAAGAGGGAGGCAGTGGGCGCACTGCGGCTTCCTGTCAGTGTCACTGCGGCGGTTGTACTCTCTCCGGTGACTGCATCAATTAGGAAAGGGTATTACGTAAGGCGACTCATCACACAAGCCGTCCGTTCTTTGGGCGCTTAACGGAACTGCACCTGCGGCTCCGAGACTTGACTTACTCTCGCCTCCTCGTCTACATACCACAGACATCGTCCAACGTAACGATTTCCCCTTCTTAGAGCTCAATATGCCTCTCAATCAGCCTTCAAACCAGATCAAGTGTGCCAGTCGTTCGCCTCGTTCTCGTCACTGAACGACTCAACGGATTGCTCATCAGACTTACAAATGTCTCGGTCGTCCGCCTGAAGAAGGGAGGGAAGCGATTTGAGGTGTGTACAGTGTGTAGGACTCAAGAAGGCGGGGCTGATTGGTATTGGGGCCTGACAGGTCGCATGTTACAAGAACAAGGTGCAGGAATGGCGCAGCGGAGTCGAGACGAACCTCGACGACGTCCTTCAAATCGCCAATGTGTATCTCAACGTCTCGAAGGGCGAGCTCGCCAAAAGCCAGGACCTACAGAAGGCATTCGGGACCACCGATCTGGACACCATCGTGAAGGAGGTGAGTAGACAGTTAGGTCGAGCGATGTATGCAGCTGACCGCGATTGACCTAGATCCTCAAGAAAGGCGAGCTGCAGGTCGGAGAGAAGGAGAGAGAACATGATCTTTCTTCCATTCGCCGCGAGATCGCGACGCAGGTAGCAGAGAAGTGCGTGGACCCAGCAACACAACGGCGCTATCCGATCGGTGTCATCGAGAAAGCCATGGTTGAGGCTGGGTTCAGCGTTCGCCCAGGAAAGAACGCGAAGAGCCAGGTATGGGGCGCTTGTTCGCACACACATTGCGCGTCGATCTTCTGACATTTCTTGACTCGTCAATGCGTACTAGGTATCCGAATGCATCAAACTCCTACAGTCCGAGTCGAACCTACCAATTCAACGGGCGCGCATGCGTATCAAGCTAACAATGCCAAAAACCGACGCCGAGCGGCTTCGTACTCGCGTCCTTGAGGGCGCAGAAACAGTAGAGCGAGACGACCAGAGCGGCGAACAGTGGGAAACCGTGCGTGCACATTTGCTTGTCTTGCTGCGCGTGCTCATCCATGTTTTGTTGTAGATTCTACTCATTGATCCTGGTCAGTTTCGCGTCCTCAACGAACTGCTGCACAAAGAATGTGCTGGCAGAGGTCAATTGGAGACGATGTCCTTTGCAGCGACTGCCGGCGATTCGGCGACGACGGTATGAAATCGCGTCAGGAAGTCCCAGAAATATCACAGGCAGAGCCATACAATTGTTGTACATCACTTGTATAGTACAGATTTGCGACAATGAGTTGAGTGCGTGTATCCTGTTGTAAGAAAGGCTAATCGTGTCAAGAATTGAGCGTATCGACATGCTCAGTCCGCCAGACTTCCGATAGGGTACACGTTTGAGGTTCCAAGATCATCACTCATCATCCGACCATGCCCCGTCGGCGTAGTCAACCATGTCGTCGTCGGCCATGTTCAACTCCGGCTTGGGCTTCTTCGTGGGCCGCGGCTTCAGCTTGAGGATACCATCAACAGCGGTCTTCAGGTAGAAGTCCCACTCAGCAGTCACGCTCGACGGCAGACTCGCGGCGAGCTGCTCGACTTCACGCATACGCGCTCTGAGCTCCTCCCCATCTCGCTTCTTGTGCATGCTGGCGCCGGGCTCGAGGGCCTTGTTCAGACGTATAGCCTCTTTGCGCTGGTTGCTGTATAAGAGGAAGTCCGTGTCAGCGAGCGCATTGCACAGAAAGTAACTTAACAGGGGCGGTGAATGGTTACTCACCGGCATCGCGTCATCTCTTTGAGGACCTTCTCGAGCTCCAGGTGATCGACGGTTTGGAGACGCCTCTTCAGGCGGTTGTTCGTCTCGTACAGGTAGTTGCACGCGAGCTCCAGGAACGCCATGCAGTACGGAAGCGGGACCAGCAACAACAGGCGGTATCGCTTCTGCGGCTTCTCCAGCGACTTGACCCAGTCGTACGTGTACGTCGCGCGGTACGCATTGGCGAAGCGGAGGTGAATCGCAGCGGCGGGTGTCGTGGGTGCAGTGCCCCTCTTGCGGCGCGCACGGAGATAGGCGTCTGCGAACACTTGGGCTGCGTTCAGCTTCTCCTGGGCCAGCTGCGCTTCGGCGGGGTCCGGCGCCTCGAAAGCGAGCGATTCATCGTTCAGATCGACGACAGGAGGAACGACATCAGCGTCATCTTCTTCGTTCGCTTCCTCCTCGTCATTCTCATGCACGTCTTCCGCTGGTTCACCTGCCGTGGTGGTGGGAGAATTGTCCGCCTGAGACACGTGTACCTGATGGGGAACGGAAGGTGCAGCGCCTCGGCCCAGGCCACTCCTTGGCTGAGGTGTAGCGGTCGCACCCGGAGCAAGCAGAGCTAGGATCTCACGAATGTCGTTGTAGACGACGCGCCGCACGTTCTGTCGCGGTGGAAATTGTGACTGTCCCGCCTTCGCGTGGTAGAGCTGAACCATCTCATCGAATGGAGAGTTTGTGGTAGAGTTATCGCGGACCTCCTTTGCGAGAGCTTCCCAGGCGGGCGCATCGACGTAGCTGACGCATTCCGTTTTAGTACGGCCATACGGTAGAGCAGACTACAGAACTCACCGCTGATAAATGCGATTAAATTCCCTGCCAGGGCGACGGAGCGACGTGATCGTATGGTGAACATTGTCTTTCAGCCATCGGTAGTGGGAGTTGTCGCCGACTAAACAGAGTAAGTGAACGAATGTCTCTACTGAACTTGAGTGTTGACTTACGAAGACAAAGATTCCTGCAACTACGGATAGTCATAGCAAATCAGCAAGGACAGCTGATAATTCCTGTATCTTACTCACATTCTCGCCAAGAACACGTTTCGCACGTGCCAACCACGTTTCGAAAGGTCGCTGCTTCCGAAAAGGAGGTGCCCTATAGGAGTTATCAGACTGAGAAGTATCTGATATACCCGTAACACGTACCAGCATTGTCTTGAGTATAGATTTGTTCCAACAAGTTCGCCATAGGCTCCATATACAAGTATACGAGGCGTGTGCTCTTATCCCTCAGTTGGTGAGCACTGGGCAGGACTCGCTGGAGCCAGCTTCGAGGCATCGTGAGATCGTGTAGTGTATTTGCGCCGTTCAGTCGAGATGCCACAATGAGAAGACCAGCTAGGCTGTCCAGGAATCCACAAAGTACGACGATGTTCACAGGCAGTCGATTCACCAAAATGTGGCTTGATGGCGAAGATAAGTGTTTGAATGTGCGAGACAAACAAATACTCACTTGACGAAGAGAATGCCGCTTGCAAGTGAAGCAGGATGCATGTTGTAGACCCATCGTTCCAGGTCTTGAGCAATGTATGCATTGAATTTCATGTTTCCGTTGCCGCGCACTAGTGCTTTACACCCATAGGCAGTAACAAACGGAACCCGAGAAAGATGGTATCGCAGCTCGCCAGAACCGAAGGTTAGCCCGAGCGAGATGGTCGCCATCAATGCAGTAAGGAAAGTCTTCGTGAGACCTTGCTGTTTGTCGTACGGACTGAGATCGTAAAGCCAGTCCAAGACCCACTTCCGGACGATCTGGATAGCATCATTGTACTCGGGTATAGTCAGAGGCCGCAGACTGCACACTGTCCCCAACTTGTAGAAAGAAGGGTTCAGTGCTTCGTACAGCTGAGATAGCCAGTATCTGAAGATGTAATGGGCGAGTAGCATATACTCCGGTGGCTCGGTCACTTACTGGTGTTGCTGAGCTTGTTCGAAGCGGTTCTCTAAAGTGCGTACGGAGTTGTAGATGGCGATCTGTTGCAGATGTACTCGAATGCGCAGGTTATACGAGTCTGCGCCGTAGTCCTTGGCAGCCACATGATCTTGAGGGCACTCCGCTCGGAAGCATGTGCCGGAAGTAAAGAAGGGCAGACAGACCTGGAATGCATGCGTCCGATGGCACAAGTCATTCTCCTCGCGAACCTTCATACATAGCCGTTCTTGCAGTGCTTGTTGCAGAAGCCTATGGAGTTCGCTTTTCAATACTAGAACGCCCTGATCGTTTCGCCGAGATCCTTGTGTCCACCGACGAGCACATCGACCAAAGAGGAAGGTATCCTTTGGAATGAGGAAGAAGTCGTCGGTCGCCGCCTGGACAGCGAACAGTCTTCGGATGCCTTCGTCATCACAGAGATTTGCGGCAGACGCAAAGACGCGCAACAGCTCGACGTAAATGCTGAAGTGATGTAGACTGTCCACGATCTCGGGTAAGCTCGCAGCTTTGAGCTTCGGCATAACCATGAATGCGTGATCAAGACTTCTCAACGCCGACGCAACATCCTTGTGCCGTTGACGGAATTGCTCGCTTAGCCCGAGAAGTCTCGGCGCATCGCTCAATACTATTGCTCGGAACATAAGCAGCTGGCGAAGTGTTTGTCAGCCTGGGGACGGTGTACACTTCACGCCAGCCACATGTCCTACCTCATCACGGATGTTGTCGTCAAGTTTGGCCTTCTCCAGAGCTTGCGAATGGAGGATATGACACAGACCCTGTAGTACAGTGTCCGATCTCGTGGCGTCGGAGGTGGGTTTGATTCCAAAGGATAACTTGCGTCGCAATCCGTCCAATAGCCAATGCGAAGCCTTGACAGCGGCATCCGCGCTACCGTAGTCCTTGAGGAGCAATGGGATAGCCTCCGCTATTCGTCCCGCGTCCAAATGTACTTGTGCGGCGTCACTCAGGCGTCCAAGTTGCTCTAGAAACATCACTTGAGCTCTATCCAGGCCGTGGTCATCCATATACTCGAGAGCGTCTTCGTCTGAATCGAACAATAATCTCGCCTGTCTGTATCACATATAATCGTATAGAAGCGCAGCATACAGCAATGCTTAGACTCACTTGATCTTGCGATTCCTTAGGTATTGAAGACGCGACACATCTATGATGGTCTCTACAACACCTGGGTCCACGTAATTTCTGTGGCTTTTGATGACAGCCACCGCCTTGTTGAACATGCCAGCTCTGCGATATAGACTTGCGGACTCGGTATACTGTTCGGCATAAAAGTAAGCTTCTGCTGCTCGTGCCAAGTCATTTCCCTCGGGAAAGAAACACTTCGCAGCGATACGAAAGTATGACCGCTTTGCATTCGCTGCTTCAAGTCCCAACGACCAGAAAGCTTCGGCTGCCCTTCTGAAAGCAACGACTCGGGCAGCATTGTCGCCACGAAAGCTTGTGGGAGTTGTGAGAGCCGCCTCTCGAAGATGGTATGCTTCTGCAACAGATCGATCTCTGAAGAGCCCTGCGCGTTCATAGCAGTACATCGCTTCCATGTACTGCTTATTGTCGAAGAGCGCATGAGCGCTCTTGGCCAATTCTTCCGGTGTCGACGAAGTCGCCAATGGTGAAATACCGGAGGATGGTGTACAAACCTGTATGTGCCCCTTTGCAGCCCAAAAGTGCTATGAATGCTTCAGCTCATCAAATAACAGACCAGTAAAGCGAAACGTACCCGCATCGGTTCACATTTGTCAGAAGTGTCCGCGATCCAAACATTCTTCTGAGCCCTTGTGATAGCGACATAGAGGAACTTGAGCTTGGAGAGCATGAGACATCAACAAGACCGTACATAAATAACAGTACTTACCTCTCGACACAGTCCAATATAACGGGAATAGTCGATTTGCAGAGACTTTAGCGCTGTGTCTCCACCACCGGAAAGTGCGTCCAGGACAATTCGCCATTGTGAGAGCTCAACAGTGGAGTCCGAAAAGAAGTTGTACAGCAGCACCTAGCCAAAGAAAAGGTTGGATTGGCCCAATATTATTCTGTTGAACTCTGAGATGCAACGTACGTCGTTGTATTCAAGCCCTTTAGCTTCGTATATTGTTCTGAAAGGGCTATCACTAGGGTGCAGGAACCGCAATGTCGATAATACTCACAGTATCGTGCCTATGTTACCCACTTGTGCACGGAGTCTTTTTCGGGCAGCATCATGGCGGACAAGGATACCTGTGCAATGTTCCTCAGTAAGGTGATCACAGCGCTCAGGCTATGGATACTCACATTGGTGCGCTCCATATTTGAGGTGTTCCGTGCTGCGTCGCAGAATGGGCGAACTCGTGCGGATAACTATGTGATGATGAACTCACGAGTCACCGAATAGGAACCGTTTGTATCGCTCGATGTTTTCATCCCATCCACCGAGGAATATGGGTGTCGCTCCTTGGACCAAACCGCGCTCAGGAGCCAAGTGGTCGATAGCGTAGGGCCAGAACATGGTGATTAATTCAATGACCGAATGAGCGCAATCGACAATACCGGCATGTGATCGGTAGTTGACGGCGAGTTGAAATGTGTGAGGCTGGTGACGAGGACCTAAGCGCGATTCACCATTCGACTGTGCTGAAATTAGAAATGAGCCGCCCAATCAGGAGTGATGACGTACCTCTACTCGATACAGGAAGGCCTTCAGATCGTTGAAGCGGAAAGCACTGCCTATTGAAATAGTCTGAGCCGTGTCACCCGCCCAGAATAGGCCTGTGTCTGCATTTCTGCAGATCGAACGCAGAACTGAAGGCCAACTGAACAAGCGATTACGATCTATGTGCTATCAGCTTACTGAGGGCATCAATCAAAAGATTGTCTTGGGCCTCATCTACATACCTTCACTGTAATGTCAGCAATTGACGGCGATGTGCTGCAAAATTTGTATGACGTACAAGAAGTCGAGCTGTTTTCCAGGGAGCCCTTGCGATTGCATTGTTGTCAATATGTGATGTGTTCTGACAAAAGACGCTCCATTATACACAAAGGCTAGGTAAACAAGTACTCACCGATCGGCAGCATCCCACTCGCCTCGACGGCGCTTCTGCTTCAAGTATGCCAGGAAAAGGTCGTAGATGACATTGCGTTGATTCGCAAAGGTAGCCTGTGTTCGGTGGCTGAGGCTGAGGTATGACGGTTTGTCAAGGAAGCCGTGTTCACTCGTCAAGCTATGCTCTGAGCCTTTGATGACACCTGTTGAATGCCAGGGTAATGCGGAAATTGCGAAGTTGTTACAAGCTACATACCCATGATCTCGGCGAAGACCAACGCAGGATCTACCATTGGATCAAGTATTAGTGTATGGCCTGAAATACAGCGGATCCTGTAATACCTAGGCCCTTCGTCAATGACTGTGGGAAGTGTGCCCAATACGACCCAAGAAAAACTTGATACGAAACAAACGAATCGCGTAGCTGCTCCATGTAGTCGTTTGACGGAACATCGCCTACGGCTTCTACGGATATGTCATCAGGAGGTACCGAAGATGACTTGGACGGCGGGAATTCGGCCTCCAGTAAGCGACAAAGCTGGAAACTGTGTGTCAGAAGGAAAATGCCTCGTGATGTATGCTGTAACACGTACTTGATCGAAGGTAACGAACAACGGGAAGTGCTCATCAGCTAGTTCACTAAAGCGCTGAGGCAGATCACCTCGGTACTGGACTTCTTCATCCAGGTCAACAAGATCTTGATCATGATCCTGCTGTAGGTTCCTGGTCGTTTTCATCGACCTGAGCTCTTCGGGCGACTTATCGGCCATCAGGAGTGACCCATGAAGCTTCGCGAAGAACTCTTGCACTTTCTCGGCGAGTACTCTTGACTGTGTAACGAAGACCTGGCGAGGCTTGACCAGCGCGCCTTCGCAAGCTTGCCACGAACGTTCAATCCCGAGCATCTTAAACAACATTGATGTCGTCTTGCTGAACACTTATTCAGTACTCTCCATCGCCACAATGTTGAGACACCTACCCAGTACCACTTCTGCCGAGCACGTAACAGGACCGAGGATATTCAATGATATCTTTCTCTTGGGTTCTGTGCCGCATTATGAGACAAACAGTCATCAAATAACCGGGTATATAGGACCCACGACACATCGAAGACGTGCATCACGTCTTGATCGGCCAAGAGACCTAAGGGTTGTCGCTTCGAACCAAAAATTATCATCTTAATATGGAATGCGTACTATTCAGGAGTGCCTGTCGCGGTGTTGCATTGAAACTCGATGATACCCCCAACACTGTATATGAGCGAATCTTACCTGCGAGAAGGTGACGTATTTCGCGAGGCTGTTGGAGTGCCGTAAGCGTGATTCCCATCTGAGCAATGCTTGTCAACACGTACACGAGCATGTCATGCATCTACCGGTGACACATACATAAGCGCGCGCAATGGGCAGCATGAATGAGGTTCACTCGACGTCACCTTATCTTCATCGTCTTTGTGCACATTTGGAACTTGAAGAGCAGATGTCGAAGTAATGTGTTCGTCCTCGGCTAGCGCTGGCCATGACGACGGAAGAATGGTACCGGCATGCTTGCCAGCTTGTATAGGCCGACCTCGAAAAACACATCTACGGTGATCGTCAGGCGCACATAGAGAATGGTAGTGCTGAACGGAGGTCCTTTGAGACGTACCTCGACCTGTATTCCTTACCCCTCTGGCCCAATTGATTACCAATGCTATCCCAGAGTCGCCGATTGAGCTGGGCATGACTGTAGATGCCGAAAATTCTGATGACTATAATGCGCATTGTTGAATACGGTGACACAAGAATCACGAGCTCTGTATCAAACCTTGTCGCTCGACCTATGTAAAATGCGTCAATGACTACTCAGGTGCGCGATCAAACGAACTGACATTAGTCTCAAACTCCGGCACGCAGTCAATCTGGTACTATCAATGGATGAGTAACTACGAGTCATACACCGAGATCCTTTGCCTGCAATGTACTCACAACTAAGCGTGAATCACCTGTCATCTTGGCTTCGTAGATAGGGATTTCTGCGTTCTCAGTTAATTGCTTCTGGTTATCGGGCGAGAAATGGCCCCAGGACAATTCCCTAGTGACGCCAAGTACGATCAGAGCAACACACGACCCTCACAAGGGGAACAGCACATACCTGATTTTCTTCAATATAACTTTGAACAACGCCGTTGCCTTCTTGCGCATCTTCCGGAGGTCCGTGTCAGCATTCGTGGAGATGAGAATCCTCCATTGGCCAAACCCCTCTGCACTGTCGAAGTAAAGAGCAGCCTTGATCGGCTGGACGAAAGGATATGCAGAGGCCGTGTCGTCGACGAGACTGATCATGGCATTGGGTGCTGAAGCACACCAAGCAGCGCTTTCTGACCGATCCTCATCCTACAGCCGACGCGCAGTCTCGCGGAATACCATCGCATGAGTCGACGGCGGCCGACGCGTCGGCTTGTACGATGAGGATCGTGCAGCCGACATAGGTGTATAATGTGTTTGGCTGGGGGTGATGTATACAGTACCGTAGTGATCCTAGTAATCAATACTTTTACGGTCGGCTGGGCTCTTCTTGCGTGCTCAAAGCGTCGGTTGGCACAGTGCGATCGTGGCGCAGTGCAGCGCGGCGCGTCACAACTGGGCACGCGTTCAGACGCGTTGACTCGGAGACTTTCAACGTGTCAGTGCGTCAGCTCTCAAGATCTCACTCTCATGCACCGCCTTGCCCTCTCATTCACCAGGCGACCTGTCGCTCGCCGTCTTGCGCTCATACCGTCTTGCCCGCCTACCCTATCGCCTGCATACCCTCGCCCCACTGCTGTCCTGCTGTCCTGCTCGCACGCCGTCTCGCCGGTCTATCGTCTCACCCGCTATCTCACACACCCGCCGTCTCACACACCTGCCGTCTTACTCACCCGCCGTCCACCGTCTTGCACGCCCATCGTCTCGCACACCTGCCGTCTTGCTCACCTGCCGTCTTTCTCACCTGCCAATTCACCGGCCTACTGTCTGGAGTGCCACATGCAGTGCCACAAGGGCACGCGGAAACGCCACGAGGGCGTCAAGACTGCGGGGATGCGGGCAACTCGAGCAGGTGAGTACCCCCACGCACGGTCTCAGGTGAGACAACACGCGAGGACGGCGACGGGCGCACATAGGGCAACTGCCCCAGATGCAAGCTCACCGCATGGCACGCGGACACAGCGCGCGGACACAACACGCGGACACAACGACGAGCTGGGAGGAGTGCGAGAGGTCAGCGGGCACAGGGTATGGCAACGTACAAGGGCGCCCAGACAGTGCAAGCACAAGCAGGGCGGGGGTGGACGAGTGGTGAGACGGGCGAGCAAAAAGACGGGTACGCACACGCGGTGATGTGTCGCATGACGGGCAAAACGGGCGCGTTGCCCGCCGCGCGTGAGTGCGAACACATGCGAGTGAGATCACTGACTGCAGGCACAGGAAGTGGCGGCGACGTGCTGCACGACGCGCACGGCGACGACGTGTACCAAGGGCCAATGCCTTTTGCGCAGACATGACCGATGAACGGCGGCGGGCAGACGAGCGGGCGGGCGGGAGCGCACGCCGACCGCGCGCGCGCTGGGCAACTACCCGGCACACGAACATGGCCAACGAACGCGCGCAAGGCGAGCGCGTCAGCGGGCAGGTCAGTGGGTGGGCAGGTGGGCAGGGGGGGGGGGCAAGTAGACGGACAAGACGGTGGGCAAGTAGACGGGCAAGACGGCGGGCAAGTAGACGGGCAAGACGGCGGGCAAGTAGACGGGCAAGACGACGAGCAGCCAAGCGAGTGAGCGGATACCTTAGAAGGCGGACGGCGCACATAGGGCGACTGCCCCGGATGCAAACACGGCCAACAAGCGCACTGCGCGCGCGGGCCCCGGACGAGCAAAAAGGCGAGTATGCGACGCGGCGATGTATCGCACGATGGGCATGACGGGCGAGGGGAATTGCCCACCACATGTGAGTGCAAACACACGCAAGCGAAATCACTAACGGTAGGCACAGAAGGCGGCGGCGACGTGGGGCGCGACGCGGAAGGCGACCACATGTACCCAGGGGCCAATGCCCCGTGTGCAGACACGGCCGATGAACGGCGGCGGGCGGACGAGCGGGCGTGCGGGAGCACACGCCGACCGCGTGTGCGCTGGGCAACCGCCCAGCACGCAAACACGGCCAACAAACGCGCGCGCGCATGAGCTCAGGACGGGACAGACAATGGACAGGGCCGGGGTGTGCGGAACACGTCGACCACGAGCACACAGGGCCAGTGCCCCGCGTACAAATGCAGCCGACGAGCGCGCCGTGGGCGTGGGCACAGCGCCGAGCAGGTGGGAGGGCGTGCGGATGGCGCGTAAGAAGCAGGGACGAGTAAGCCTAAGCGAGCGAGGAGGACGGCGGCGGGCGCGGGCAACGAGCCCAAACCCGCGCAGGGACCACCGAGGTACGCCAACCCACAGTGAACCGGGGTAGGATACAGGTAGCACCACCCATGGATACGGGTACGCTCGTTGCGGGTGCGGCATGTCTCACCTGCTATCTTATACATTCACCGTCTTGCACACCCGCCGTCTTGCACACCTGCCGTCTTTGTAACGTGCCTTACTCAATCCCGCAGATACAGTGCACCAATCTCCATTGAGAAGTGCGATGTATCCGGAGGACGACGAGTTAAAGGACTTTTCCTTCAACTCGCCGGGCGACGACCTATAAAGGTACGACGCCAAACACACGCAAACGTATATACATACAAACATATCGATCCAATAAGTCCATAACGGGATTACACACGTCCATACGGTAACGTCCCGTTACACTCCTCCTCCCTGGACTCGTCCACGGGTCCACGATAATAGAGTATGCGCGAATATATAAGGTCATTGGACCGTGATGATGAGGCGAAGCGACAGGATGACGACGGCGACGACGTGAGTGCCGACGGCGACAGCCTGCGCGGTGAGAGGAATGATGAGGTGAAGGCGCCAGCGACGCGCCGGCCAGTAAGTCTATTGCGGACGGAATTGAAGAGACGGGAATGTTCGCGACGCCGTGATCGAGAAGTACAACGCGCCCGTAAGTGCGGGGTACAGCGACGACATGGTACGTGTCGAGCAGCCTGACGATCGAGACGATCAGTCAGAGTGGCCAGAAGGACCATCCCCCGGGTGGTTCTCATCAGGAGGAGGTGCATCCGCGGCAGGCTGGGGGTTCTCCTCAGCCTGGCCGTCTCCCATGGGCACATCCACAACCGTTGTCGGGATGTGCACCGTAGGCGGGATTGCCGGCAACTGCGCGATATCGGGCACGTCCACGATGTTGACGTCGCCCGGACTCATGGGGAAGGTGCTGAAAGGGGCACCCTCATCCAGAGGCCGGCTCTCGTGAATATTGCGGCGTCGCCGAGCGTAGTCCGTGAGGAACTGTGCCTCGCCGGGCTGGATACCCATGCGGGCGAACCACCGCGCTGCATCATAGATGGTAGCGTTGGAGGCGTTCCACGCGTACGGGATTGTCGCTCGTCCGTCGCCGATGGGATAGTGTCCGTTCTCGACGATGAGACCGTACAGCCCTTCAATGGAGAAGAGCTGAGCGACAACGATATCCCAAGGCCTTCGTCCGTTGGGGGATCGAGGTGCGAGGCGGCGTATCAGATGCACCGCCTCGGCATCGTCGACGTTAGGCTCGCCGTCCTCTACACGCACCCCATCGGGTATGTTGTGTGGGTAGAGGCGGTACCAATCCACCCATCGACTGACCGGGTCTTGAGGGTCAGGCTGCGGCAGTCTCGCCTTCTTGGTGGGCGGCGCACGCATATGGCTGCCTGCCTCGGCGTCAGCGCGACGCTTCGTCGATTTTGACGAAGCCGGTGGACCACTGGCAGTGGACGTGGGTACGGTAGTCGTCGTCCGACTGCCAGAGGATCCGGCACCAGGGGTTCCCGCTGGTGGTGCAGCTGCTCGCCTCCGTTCCTCTTCTCGACTCTCGCGAACGGCACGCTCGATGTTGCGGACCTCATCCGCGTCGATCTCGGCATCACGTCCACTGGTGGGCGTGATGACCGGAGTCGCGCGCGGAGGACGCCAGTTGCTCACGAGGTGATACATCCCGTCGACGTATCGCAGGCCCGCGTCGTCGTGGGTCTGGTGGATCAAGTCCCGGACCCGGAAAGCGGCCTCCTCATCCCCGGCCTGTGCGACGCGCAACAGATTGCGTCCGTCCACGTCGCGGCGGGGGATGAAGTTGTGCCATTGTCCGGCGCGTATCACCAGCGAGTTGGCCGGTAGCGGTACGTCCTCGGGCCAACCTTCAGGAGCGACCGGCGGCGCACCCGTACTGGATATGTACTGGGTACGACCGTCGTCGGTTCCCGTCGTCTGCGGCCGCGAGACCGGTTTCCCCTTCGCCCTCTGCTTCCCCTTTGCCTTGCTAATCCGCTTCTTCTCCTCTTCTTCGTCTACGTCATCGTCGTCGCTCTGGTCCTCGTCCCATCCTCCGGGTTGCATCATGGCGGGCAGCGCAGGCGGCCTGCTTGGTGCCGGCGGTGGGACGGTCCTTGACTCAGGCGCAGACCGTGGCGGCGGCGGGATGACGGGTACTGGGGAGCGCGTTCGTGGCGGAGGGGGGCTGGCTGTGTCCTCTCTGGCACAGTCTGCCTCGTCCTCGGCTCGGACCGTACTGGCTGCGCCGGTTCCGGTGCAGCGTTCCTGGTCCTCGATTCAGACCTCGACGAAGCCGGCAGCTCCGTTCGGGATGCTGTCTGCTTCGGAGGCCTCGTCTTCGGCGGGCCCATCTCGTTGGCCTTTTGACGCTCTTTCTCCTTTGCTCGGTACTCGCTGAGCTGGCGTTGAGCGTCGTCGAACTTGTCCTCGAGGTACGTGAGGGAGGCGTCCCGCCTGTCTACGCGGTCTTCGAGCTCTCGGACTTCCGACCGGAGTGCTTGGGCCGCGTCTTCGCTCTGATGGAGTCGAGCTCGCGTTTCGGCCAATTCGTCCTGGGCGCGAAACGACCTCTGCTCCAGTTGGTCGTACTGACGCTGGAGAGAATCTACCAGCTCCCTCCCCCCTGGAGCCAACCCCTCTGAAGGAGGTCGGCTTCAAAGCGGGCCCGGATCTGGGCCTCCACTCCGTTGACGGCCACACCGAAGCTCGCGTCCTCGTTCTCCGACCGAGGGAGGTGGGCGAGGTACGCGTCGCACACGGTGCACGACCCCGGGGTGTGGATTACCAGCGGAGCTGGCGGGTGACGTGGCACCCAAGTCTGCGCGAACGGGGCAAACAACGACGACGAGCCACCCACAGTCCCGAATTGGTACTGCGGTGTGACGGGGTCGTCGCGTAGTCCGCGCGACTCACGCGCCTGTTGACGAGACGCGTCGATGGTTGGCACGCCGTGCCCAGCCACCCCAATAGGCGGCGGTTGGACAACGGCGTCCGATGTCGAAGTCACCGTTGGCGGCGACTGCGGG